CGTTTAGTTTTTGCATGCGATGAACACGAAATAAATCCTTATTTCTTTAATACTGTCAACAAGGAAAAGGAGGAGCATGATGAGCATGATGAAATACGTTATATCTCTTACGTCCCTTCTTTGCTTCATCATCATCTCCCGTTTCCAAGCAGGTCCCTACAACTTCCACATTTGACAAATCAGCACTCAAAACTTACTGAACATTTATTTTCTGATCCCTTACGATTTCATTTTCAATTTCTACGCCTTTGCTTTGCAGCTTGCTATATCGCCTCAACTTGTTGAGATTTTGGCCGTCGCGTTTCATCTCGAGGGCCAAAATGAAGTTTCGCCGAACGATGGGAATTCTGGGTGGTGGCGCCGCCTTCAACGGAGCAGGGGGTCCCAAGGCGGTGGCGGGCGTGGACGTGGCGCAGCTGCTGAGTCGCATATCCAAGAGGCAAGCAAATTCTACACAACCCAAAATAGCAAGACCAGCGGAGATGAAAAAGATCAGGATGATATGATGAAAATGCCGTCAAATTAGACGAAATTAGATTACATGCAAAACTACGGCGCTGGTAAGCATGAATGCAGAATATGTCATGCACTGCGAGATCACGATGATAATGAAACGACAGAATCAAAGAAAAGCGCCACAATGCAATAAAATTGAACAGAAAGAACGCTGAAGAACTACAGGCGCTTTTTTCTTTCTGTGACACAAGAAAATGCGTCACACATCACGATTGCGCTTACTTGATTTGGCATCTCTCTCTGCTGAGGCTGTAATTGTACAGCTTTTGTCTTGGATATCGCATTATCGAATTTAAGTCTGTCTGGGTCTGCTAGGTCGTGACGCAATTATCTGAATGATGTAATTATGATGGGCGCAGCACTGCGACACGAATGCAAATCTTGCCGCGCAGCCAAGCAAGACCAGTTTTCCTGTTGCTATGTGCTGCGTATTTTGCATGGGGCGTTGTGTTTGTGCATTTTTACCGGTCAGCGGAGCTCTACTTCGTGCGCCTGCATTAGCTGAGAGCTGTGTCAGACAAGCATGACTGCCGGACCAGATAGATATTTGCAGTTGATACGCGTCTATCCAGTGCAAAAGTATCGTACTCGTAGTAATTGCAGTCATGCGTTTACAAATCTCTCTCTTAAGGCAAATCAGCATTACAAATTTCATTTTTCATGCTGAGGAAATTTGTAACTAATGCATTTATACGAGTACGATACTTTTGCAATTCATAGCGTCGGCACTTCTCATGGTACTGGGGAGACGCAGCAGGGGTTCGGCCCCGGCCAAACCGGGACGTGTGACGAAATCTTCTCGGAATTATCCTCGATTGTATCCTCCCAGACCGAGACTCAGGTGTCCAAGGATGAATTTTGCAGCATGACTTCAAAAAATGCTGGTGGCAATGCAAACGCGAGGTACAACCCGGCGGCAGCGTCAGCAACTTATACGCTGCCTAAAGAAGCCCCCGGCAACGAAGAAGAAGGAAAAAAAGAGAGCAAGAAACTCATCTACACCTGCTGCACCGGCCACGGCTTTGGCAGCTTCGTGAGTTGCTGCTAGTTGTGCTACTTGGGACGAGGAAAGCCTCGCGCCGGGGAGCAGAGCCAGAGGCGCAAAGAAGTGATCTGCACATGATTGATTCATTTTACCTTCATGTCGAACAACGAAAGAACTTTACTGAAGTCGATCTCACCATCTATCGATTCAAAGGTTGAAATTTATTGTAAATGCATACAATACTTGAACTTGATGTACTTTCCAGGACCAGGTACAGGTGACCGTTACGTCCCATTATCAACCCTTTTGACACCTCTTTACAACCGAAAGCAACACACGGCCCGATCGATGGATACTTTGCAATTTAATTCTAATTTCCTCCAGCACAGGCAAGCGAACGGGAATGAAAATGGTGATGCACTAAGTAGTCTGAGTAGTGATCGGTTTGCCCTAGCTGTTGGACTTCTTTATTTCTTCAGAACATCCACCGACGAATCTTCCAAGAGAAACAAGTACAACACCTCCTAAAGACTACGATAATTTGTTTCCATGTCGTCCAGCAAAGTGACATCACAACTCCAACTCGGTTTAATTCGGACCAAAAGTATGTCGGTGATATGAAGAATCAATTACCATATGTGTATCCAAAATGCCAATGCGTCCTCGTGTGGTTGTGCTCGTGTAGTGTCGGTCATTGGAGGAGAGGACTGCTCTACTCATCGGTCTCGTTCTTGATGTGGAACAAATGGAAAGTTATAACGGATCGGTCTTGTCGCGGTAAAATGAATCACATCGGTAGTTGTATTCGTCGTACGTTTGTGATGTGTGGAACTGGAATCTCGGTGTGGTGCGCGGTTTAGTTTTTGCATGCGATGAACAGGAAATGAAGTTCTTAATCTTATTTCTTTGACCCCCCGGTTGGGTACTTACATCATCATGATATTGTTATACAAGGAAAAGGAGGACGAGCATGTTGAAATACGTTGTATCTCTTACCACGTCCCTTCTTTGCTTCATCATCATCTCCCTTTTCCAAGCAGGTCCCTACAACTTCCTCATTTGACAAATCAGCACTCAAAACATATTCGAACATTTATTTTCTGATCCTTTACGATTTCATTTTCAATTTCTACGCCTTTGTTTTGCACCTTGCTATTTCACCTGAACTTGTTGAAATTTTCGCCGTCGCGTTTCATCTCGAGGGTCAAAATGAAGTTTCGCCGAACGATGGGTATTCTGGGTGGTGGCGCCGCCTTCAACGGAGCAGGGGGTCCCGAGGCGGTGGCGGGCGTGGACGTGGCGCAGCTGCTGAGTCGCATATCCAAGCAGAAACAAGCAAATTATACACAACACATAGAAGCAGGACCAGGACCAGCGGAGACGAAAAAGAATATGTTGTGATAATGCTGTCAAATTTGATGAACTTAGATTCTTTCAAAAAAATACAAACCTACGGTACTGGTAAGCAAAATGCAGAATATGTCATGCAATGCGAGATGAAGATATTAATCTATCATAAATGAAACGACAGAGTCAAAGTCAAAGAAAAGCGCCGCAATGCAATAAAATTGAACAACGATACTGAAGAACCACAGGCGGTTTTTTCTTTCTGTAACACAACAAGAAAAAACTGGGTAACGCACGATTTTTGGCATCTCTCTCTGCTGAGGGTGTGGGTGTATTAATTACAGTTTTTGTCTTGGATATCGCGTTATCGAATGCAAATTTGGCTGGGTCTGCTAGGTCGTGATGCAATTCTCTGAATGTTGTAAACTATGATGGCCGCACCCGCACTGCCGCACAAACCTTACGCAGCGAAGCAAGACCAGTTTCTTTGATTTTCCCTTGCTATGATGTGCTGCGTATTTTGCATGAGGCGTTGCGTTTGCGCATTATATTTATGGGTCAGCGGAGCAGGACCAGGATCTCTACTTCATCATGCGCCTGTATTAGTAGAGAGCTGAGAGCTGTGCCAGACAAGCATGTGCATGGCACATGCTACAACGATCTTGCGAACCCACATCACTATTTGCTGGTGATACGCATCAGTGTTGCTCACGGTCAGGGAAAAACCCAGGCTGCCGACGAACCACCCAAGACTTGTGGGGAGTTTTTTGCCATGGTGACGCAGATAAATCCCTTGACTGGCAAACCGTATCATGACAAGGACGAAGTTTGCAGCAACGGATCCGAAGAAGTTGGCGGCAATGCAAACGCGCAGTACAATCCGGCGGCGGCGTCAGCAACTTTGAATTTGCCTGCGGAACCGCCACGGACGGAAAAAGAATCGAAAAAACAATCGAAGAAACTCATCTACACCTGCTGCACCGGCCACGGCTTTGACAGCTTCAGCAACACACCTACTAGAGATCTTTCACGGAAGATCAAGATTTCAATTTTCCATTTTTCTCAAAAAAAAGCATGTTATACCCGATCAGTTGAGAGCCGGTGCCTGTTTTCGTGGCGCCACTCGCAATATCCACCTCTTCCCCCGCATTATTCGTTGGATGATTTTCTGTGCCGGAACTTATCCCACCGCTGGTCCCCGGAGCGTCTGCATCGGCTTTGTAGCCCATGGAGGCCAGGCGGAGCATCAGAGTTGCACTATCATCGTCCTGAGACGACACGTCTGCGGTTGCGGCAGACATCTTGATGTGCCTTTAAGATGGTACAAGTGTTTGATGTACCAAGATTCAGTAAAAATCGAGCAATACGCGCGATAATATTCAACAAGTTTTACACCGAGTTTGATGCTTGTTTTCAGCTTCAAGTTTTAGTGCCAAATGCCACGCGATCACGTGGCAGACACGTACTTCCTTTCCAGACGAAACTTTCATCGCGTACTTCCTTTACAACGGCCTCGTAAAATAGTGAGTGAAAACGGAAAAACAGTTCAAGTTTTTCAATCTCAATTGTCGTCGTGCTCCTTACAAATCGTCCGTACTATGCTGCAATATTAATTTTCGGTAGTATCTTAACTAGGCGGTGAAAAAGAAAAAGGTGAAAACGTAATATGAGATGGCGGTGAGACAAGAGAATGCATCGGTGAGACGCGCATATCTTTCTGGCAAACTATTAGCGGTGATGACTTATTTTGAAAAAAAAGTCGTGACTATGTCTTCAGTGAGAAAAAGTGAATTTTTTTACGTCCATGTCGTGATAACAACAAAAGTTAAAAAATCCAGAGCCAATTCTCAGAAAACAAAGCAAGGTATCAAAGTGGGTGAAAAGCAGAGTTGTGAGACGAGACTTACTTTGGTACAAAGGTCGTGTTTCTTTCAACAATCTCGACTACTTCTTTGTGCCTACTTTTTCGAAATAATGGTGGAAAAAAGCAAGGTGTCACAGCAGGGTCTGAACAAGCAAACCCGGTGTGGTATTTTGCTAAAAAAAAAATCGGGAGTGTATCTACTTCCAAGGCGCTGGTAGTATTTCGCCTGGACGAAAAGATGAGCAGTAGAGCTGAAGAACAAATCAAATTCCAAGAACTGTTCTAGAAAAAATCTTCGGTAGTTGCAATCTCATCTACATGGATCCGTGGCCGCAGTGGGAGGTCATCTTGTTGGGACTCCTAAACAAAACCTGTGCCAACGGCCGAATCTTCACGTACTTAGAATTGGTCCCGCGAGCCAAGGTGGATCCGACGGCGGACCTCTACCTTGCTTGCTGGGTAATATAGTAGTTGTTCAGTGGGAATAAATAAGAAATGAGCAAAATAGTCAAAACGCTTTAAAAATTCGTAGTGTCAACAAATTACACTCATCAATCCGCAAGTAGCAGGCTCCGCGCTTTGTTCGTTGTGTGAACAAAGGGGGGAGCGGCTCTGACAGGATTGGCAAAGCTGGGTAGTTGTAGAACGAAGAAGAAAGGAGAAAAACTGGGGAAGAAACTCATCTACACCTGCTGCACCGGCCACGGCTTTGGCAGCTTCGTGAGTTGCTGCTAGGCAGCTCGGAGCCAAGAACGCAGCCAACATGATCCTGGTGGCGAAGTAGAGCGAGATGACCTTCGTCTTGTCGACCACACGGGACGAGGACGAGACATATTTTTGCCGAGCGAGGATTTGTGCCGCAGCTCGTCTGGCATGTTGTTGACTCTGGGCTTTGTATTGCATAGCCACGCCCACGCATCGCTCCTCTTGCCTGACATGCAAAATTATTTGCGTTTGAGCATAGGAGCAGACGATTGGTTTGTTCCCTTTCTTTTATCTATCAAGGATCCTTTTTATGCAACCGAGGAGAGGAGCTAAAGCTAAGTACACTATCAGTATTTATTATCATCTCGAGACGGCGAGAACAAGGCGCCAGAGTCACCCACAGCTGCACCTGGTGGTGTACTTCTGTCAATTAAGGAATGGGATGTCAGTGAATTTATTGTTTGAAAAATATACACATACAGCTTCGGTTACCGATTGATTGAACTGATTATACGAAAGGCTCTTCACGAAGTCTACAAAAATCTAGGTCCGTTTTCGCATGCACTCAAACTTTGTTTACCTCTTTTACAGCATTTTGTTGTTTTTCTGATTTTTTTTTACCAGCTTAGCTTTAACTTTAAGAGAGCACTAAAACGAAGAAGTGGAGCAAGATCGCCTGGGCTCTAACTCGTGGTATCACAATTACACTCTGTCAGCAAGAACATCTAGTAGTTCAGGAGGCACTCGGATCGTGTGAAGAGCAGGCAAGTGAAAGAAAATCCGCGGCAATCCATAATTGTCGTGGTGCTTCTTGGGGACCATGTTGATGTTGATGTCCCCTTGAAGATGTTGCCTGCTCTACTTCCCTGGTGTGTACATCTTCATCATCATCGACAGAGTAATTTGTTGTCCTAAACAAGGTGTACTCCGAACAAGAAGGAGAAGATGCCGAGATGAAAAGCGGACACAATCCCAATTCGGTCCCCTGTTCCACTTCCCGAGGCGGGCCGACGAGGATTTTTCTAAATATAGCATCTTCATCTGCAACCACGAACAAGCTCGGAGAGGAAGATGCAGCCGAATCCACAGCTGCACCTGTTGGCCATTCCAACATCGCGCAAAGATCCAATAAGTCTCACAGCAGGACACATCGATTTCTGAATGTGAGCGGGACCACCAAGATGAAGATCTGCTTTGTGATCAGCACAGAGTGACTCCAGCCACAACTCTTATGGACGACAGTACTTTTTCTGTAGCGGCCGGCCCCGGCTGCGCAGCTGATCCTTCTTTATTGAGATCATCGCGCTCAAGAAATACATCCTTCTTTGAGATCACTATACTAGATCCACCAACGCGCGTTGGGGGCCCACCGACCAGACGAGGAGATCTGACCTGCTTTCAATGAATTGACCGCATGCAGATGATCCTCCCGAAGGTTTTTGTTTTTGTGATTTGAGTTTGCATTGAGTTGTTTGTTGTTCGTTCTGTAGGCCACGGCGCCAGGACGTCGAGTGGAGCTCCAAGAAATTTCTTCCGTTATTTCAGCGACAACATCTTCGAGGCCACCATCGACAAGTGTCTTCTGCTGGAGCGGTATGTTAACAGAGTACCAAGATCCGCCGATAAAAATAACAACAATCTCGTCTTGTTTTATTTTCTTGAAAACCTCTCTTCACTGACTGTGACTCCTGTGACCACCAGTTTATTTTCGATTTTTTTACCAATGCTTTCAGTCGCACGCATAGAAGAAGTACGGCTCAAAGCTGCATCCATGAAGATTCCATGGCACGCCTGGGGTTGTTACTTATCGCGGACGAGATGAAAATATGACTTTCGGCACCAGGACCACCGGCGCGTCATTTTCGATTCACCGGTCGTGGTTGTGGTACCATCGTCCAGCTAAAAGATACAGTTGTGGCGGGGTTGTGGACGTTAATTTCTTTTCGGAAAATAAGGCCGGTGCCGTAGCCTAGAACAAGGAACAAAAAGAACCGGTGTTGCGTCAGCTCACGAACGTGGTCCACGAAAAATAGATAAGTTGTAAAATCATGCCGCTACTACAAGAAGAACCTTCGTCATCCTTTCCCGCTGATCTTCGCGACGACGTATCGGCCGAGCGCTATGCCGTCGATCTGGAGGATTTGGCGGGGAATCCCGTTACGGTCTTATCCTATGTAAAAACGCACCCACCTCATAGTCAAGTTGGTAAATCTGCAAGACAAATCAGCAAGCGTTGGCTGTTGCGCATGACAGGTTTGGCCTCGTAGTGTGATCCTGTTTGGCCAGGTCGTCAGCATATCATGCTGATTGGAGCGGTACAAAATCCAAAGCGCGACTACAAAATGCTCCTTCTCATGGAGCTCCGCATGAGAGACATTTTCACCGATGCCGATTTGCCTGACAGCTGTGGGGTGGGGACGTTTTTACAAAGGATAGGTCTGCGTCTGGGGTCATCTGGTGGTCCGGAGAAAGCAACGGCTGCAGACCAGCACCACGGCGGAGCAACAGAACTCCACTACAAGAACACCGGCAACTACATCACTTCATGGCCTAAACGATTACAACCAGACGAAGTTGCTGGTGAAGCGGTGTGACTTCGAGCGACTTTTGTACATTCAGCACGGGATTCCCGCGTGTCTGATCGTTCTGTTCGAGGTAGATCGCGAAACGGGACAAATTTTCCTTCCCGAGGAATTACAGGCGGTCGAGCGACGAGTAGGGACCAGGAAGAGTCGTCCTGTGAAGGGAAAAATCGGCCGTGGCGATAATTATTCCTCAGAGGGGGCTTGTACCACAGAGCAGGACGAGGAGGACCACTCCACGCCGCGGGAAGGAGGCGCGCTGGGCAAAGGATTTTATGAGATAAATCAAGAAGGTTTAGCAGATTTCGACGAGGACGACGAATTTGCTTGCAATAGCGACGACGAAGACTTCTTCAAGGGCGAGGAGGACTTTCTCTCCGATCTGGATAATGAAGATTCAACGAGCAGAACTGACGAGCAAAGTGGTAGAACACCTGTAGTTGCAGCGGGAGGTCCGGGGGACGGCGCCGGTCCGATAAGAATAAGGCAAGCGGACGAAGATCTAGAATTGCTTCGGGACGAGCAAACAAACGGTAGTACACAAACGCAAGCCGAAGAGGGCGAGGACTTGAGCGATTACATCGAAGTTTATGGTCCAGTTTCGCCAGCAGTTCTAATGCCGCGTAGACACCTGGACGATAAGGAAGATGTGAAAAATTTAGCGCCGCCTGGCTGGTATACTAGTACGAGTTCTAGTAGTACTCCAACTTCTTCTATATTACATGGTGGGGGCCGCGCCCGCGGCCCAAGCCCTAGTCCAACGTCCACCACCGCGTCATCCTTTGTGCCGCCGGATAGAATAAACTATGTGCAAGATCTCGACGGTGACTTTCTTCATTCCCTGCTTGCGGTGCCCGAATACCTCGAGCCCTCGCAAGACAGCAAGCAGCAGAAAGCTCAGCTTTTTTCATCGGGTTCGAGGAGGAAACAAGAGGCCGCCTGGCTGAAGATGGCAAAAAAGACGGCTGCCAGGGAGATGCAGAAAAGCGGCCGGAGGAACCACGGGCTGCTCGAGGAGCGACGAGGACTCATGCAAGAGCCAGATGCTGTTGCTGGGACCTCCCGTGATGCGGTGGAGGAGCAGCTGCTCCACGAAGCGGCGAAGAGAGACGGTCGTTCCAAAACTGATGCCTACAGGTTAACTTCTACAAGCATGGACGGTAGCACAGTAGCGGCGCAGTTAGGCAAAGCTCCTGGAAGAGGTGGCAATAAAGATGCAGCGGGAGCTAGAGCTTGTAGTAACTTCCTGCCTCCGCCAAATAATAAATCTTCGAAGAAGAAGTACAGGCTTCTGATCAAGCAGCACGAGTTTTACCCTGATGGGAAGCCGCCCGGGAAAAACAGCCGGCTCTGGATCTATCAGGCCATCGTGGAGCCAAAAGCAGGGCCACCTCTTCATCAAAGACCGCTTGTTAATACTGCAGGAACATCAACCTCTGCCGTCGCAGCGAAGAAACTGGAGCTCGAGTCGCGCGTGGATTTTCTTCGGGCCTGGATCTACCAGCGGGAAATGCGGAAATTTGCCGATTTCCAGGCGCGGTTGGTGCAGGCCAACGAGCTGGCTTACAACGCCCGCATGGTGGCGGTGGCCCACGAAATCCTGGAGGCGGAACAAAATCCGGAGAATTTAAACAGTATCACTACCACGCCAGCAGCCTTGATGAACTTCCGTGAAGCTGAAGATTTTCATAATGCCGATAATCTAACAACAGACCCAGCAGAAGTTGTTCAACGTCCCGATGCAAATACAACAGCATCTGCGGGGGCCGGGGACAAGGAACACCACGGAGGTGAAGTAACTGCCTTGTCAAAAAAAAGTAGCGTGAAAATAAATGATCCACTAGAAGCCCAGAGACTCGCGAACGCAAAGATCTTGGCGCGGGACGCGCAGCTGCAGCTGCAGCAGTCGTTGCACTATTCCGACCGGTACCTCTGGAACCTCTGGCGCACCGGGTTTCTTTCCGCTCGCACCTCTACGCCGGCGCAATTCAGGGTCAAGCGGTCTTCCGCCATCGCAACGCTCCAGGCCTTCCTGGAGTCCAGTTTCACGCCGCCTTTGATGGTGAACCACTGCGACCGGGAGTCCGGATCCAGTCTGTTTCAATTTGTCTGCGCCGAGGACACAAGCCTGGCCCGGCTGATGATAAGACGTCGCGTGCGGGTTGTTAGGAGGAGGAAGAAAACTCCTGCTACAAGTACAACAAGAAGAACTGGGGTGGCGGCGGGAGCACAGGAAGCAGAACAAGCTGTAGCTCTCTCGTCCTCGTTGGGGCGTGAAGATGATCCTAGTACCGCTGGTACGACTGATGTCGCAGGTTCTTCTCGTCCTCATCCTGTGTTCTCGTCCGATAATATTGGCATGATGATAAACTTCAACACGGGCGGCGGCTCTAGCAGCAGCGGGCCACCTCCAGTACCACCATTCGACGACAGCAGCACACTGCACCCATCCGATTTCTGGGTTGAGCACGGGGAGAAGGGGCAACTGTTCTGCCGAAACCTCTGGTACGACGGTGCCGCCGCGGCCTCTTCATCTACAACTTCACGTAGTAGATGCAGTACAACCACGGAGCCCCCTGTAATCGTGACTGAGATTGTCGTGGAGACCGAGAACGAAAGCAATCTGGTGCGGTGCCAAGTGGGTCCCGAGGTCGTGGTGTCTTCTGAGGTGTGTCGACGAGGAGCTAGACAGGAGCAGAAAGACCACGTTTTATTTTCCACCGAGTTTTACCTTTTGTCCACGTTCGCACTTAACCGGAACGACAAACACGGGGAAACCTGCTTGACCGTTTTAACCAACGAGGACCTCGGGCTGGAGATTCTGCAGCGCCCGGACCTTTATCCACTGCAAAAGTATTGTATTCTTCGTGTAATAAATGTTGGCAATACAACCGCAAAGTATAAGTAGATATAGGAGAACCTGCATTTTTCACGACCCACTGTGCATTTCCTTTTCAAAATAAAAGTCTAGTACATGTGAAATCTGTATTGGCACCTATCTATGATAGGACAGTACTTTTGCAACGCATAGCCTGGACAGAACGATGATGAACATGAAGACCTCGTTATAGAGAGGAAAAATCCCCCGTCCCCATATTGAAACGGTATGTTTCCAAAAATTTGTGTTGCGGATTTGAGGTCACAAATCACATCTGTCTTGCAAGAAGACAAGGGCAGAAGCTTCCGCCCCATTATGGAGGCGATTTGTCACGTTGTTGGGCCTAGAGGGGAGCCGTTTGCCATGCTGAACAACTAGACCCATACGCCCCTACCTAGCTTGGGGATCTGGCCGCAGTGCCTCCCTGCAATGCAGAGCTGATTTGTGGCCACAAATCAGCAGCACAAAAATCCGCTTTGATATGGGGAGGGGGGATTTTTCATTTTGATACTCGTCTGGCCGGACCTGTTTCTCCCGCGCAGCGCAGCTCGGGTTCAAACGCCTCTGCTTCGCCATTCTGGCGCACAAATCCTTCGACCTCGCGACCTGCGACGTGGCGAATTTCAAGGTTATGCTAGTGCAAATATATCCATCTGGGTCTGGGAATTCCTGCAAACGAAACTTTTGATGATGTGCCTTTCAGATCTTCACACAAAGAAAATTATCCCGTCATGGACCACTGCTGCAAGCGTAGTTGCCAACTTCTTGTCGCCAAGCGGAAGAGGGGATAATTTCTCATGCGGGACCATAGCCATTGAAAAACCCTCTCAATATTACAATCTGTCATGCTAATATGGCCCGTAGCCGTAAGCCACACGAGACCTTCATTCTCGAGCACAAAAAACAGTATGACAAAAAGAAACACTGGCACTAAGTATCATCCAGACCCAGATGGATCTTTTTTTGCCGTTGATCAAGGACGCAAAGTCGCCAATCGGTAAGTCGGGTTACATGATCGCACGGTCCAAGGGCATGAGTGAGGTGTGTGCAAAGATTGACCAAATGCGGAAAGACCGAAGAGACGCCGCGATCGCCTCCGCCGAGGGGGAAAGTGGTAGCGTGTTGCCTGTTGACGGCGTTGGTTCGTAAAGAAGGGGATTGCGACTGTTTCAAATGAACTGTTGAAAAAGAACGAGCGCAGCATCCCCTACTGTTTGTGTTTTCGGTTTTGGCGAGCGAATTTTATGAAAGTGTGTTCCTTTGCTGTTCTACTTCTTGCATCGTGAGGCAGGCTCTTGACTTTGAAGCGAATGATAAGATTTTTTTTCCCGCTGTAGTGCGCTCGATAAAGAAACGAAGATGATTCAGATCAAATGACAGTATGGCTATGGCACTCGATGGAAATAAAGCGGTGAGTTCTTGCACGAACGAATATGAAAGAGATCAACGTGAAGTAAATTCTGGATGGATCCAATAAATAAAAAAAAAGTATATTCTGGACACATCAATAGCGCTGGAGGCGGGGGGAGACAAATAGTAGGATGCTACTCGCCCTGCTGCTTGGCTTATTTTCTGTAGCTGGCCATAAGAATTTGAAATTGAATATTTACTCAGAAAGGATGACTTCATCGAAAGCTTGCTTGTCTTTCAGTATAATCATCATCATGAGACAGAGACTGTAAGATTTTGGTTTAATACAACATGTTTACTGCCAACAAGCAGCATTTTTGTATCGTAAAGCTCTTAGATTATTATTCATAGATAGATCTTTTTCTGCCTTTTTACTTATGAAATTGTTCTATGAAGAAGTAAGCCACTGACACCAAACCGCAGTATGAGTGTTGTTTTTAACCTGATCCGGGTGGGTCTTTCCCTGACCACCCTCTCTGCCTTTTGTTTCCTCTTCATGACCTCACTGCTTCGACGCAACGGCAGCTTCCGGATTGCGCTATTCGGCTTCTACCGGGCCGAAAATATTAGAAATGCCCCCGCCGCGCCGGCAACAAGCAGTGTTTGCGACCGGCGTAATATGCACGCCGACGGTGTCCTCGGTGTATCCAAAAGAAACCTCCTCAAACATTTCCCGATAGATTTGGTGTTAATTTGGGGCTTTCTGTACTATCTGCACCTGATTGCGGCGCAAGCGACGACAGATGTACAAGGTTCCTTCATTGTGAAAACACGCGACACCATGGCGGCGTCCCTTTTGGCTTACCAGGAACACAGTCTGGTCTTCCTACCGATGTTGGTGCTGCATGCGGTTTTGTGTGGTAGTTCATCAGCCTACTACACACGAAAACGGAACTTGCTGGCTTTGTTTTGGATTGTGGTGAAACTCTACTACCCGTTCGCCATGTATTTCGGGTTGCACTTTGTGCGGCCGGACTTCCGCCTGCTTTTCGGCTACTTCGTGGACTACGCACTCATGTATGATATGGCCAGATTCGGCGTTTTTGCAACGTGCGTGCACGACGAGGAGAAGCAGGGGAAAGGAAGTTAACGAATTCAAATTCATTTGATATGCATGATGTGGTAAAAAGATAAAAAAACGCTTCTGCTTCACACTACGTTGCACACAAAGTGAGGTCATCGATTCTCAAACCTGTACAATCGCCTAGCAACAAACTACAAGAACCATCCGTATCGACGACTGGAGTTGTCACAAATAAATTGACTTTTGTCGGAAAAAAAGAATCAGTGAAAGTACACGAAGTCGTGTTTTATTTTACGGCCACGTAAGTAATAAATCTGGTAGCCAAATGCGTGCGCGCGCAGAGCGCGCGCCGGCTTCGTGGGCCATAGCTATAGCACGCATCGTTTTTTTCCGTAAATAGCCAGTTGTGTTTGGGCCCCCGTGGCTTGCTAAAACCAAAAGCCAAGTCGTGCATCCACCAGAGACGAGAGAATTAGTTTGGAGCGTGAGAGATGTGAAAAATCAAGTAGTATAAATATGAAGAAATGTATTTATGTAGTTCGTTGTAGTCTAGCTCTAGCTCTACCTCTAGGGACGAAATTTCGTGTAATCAGATTGGTGCGTATCATTAATTTTTCGCTAATTAGATTGGTTAAAGTAAAGGAAAATGGCGACTCCGCCGGAGCAACTTTCCTCGTCACAGGAGGTGGAAACTCTCGTGAAGGAGCTGCAAGCACGAATTCCGCGTTTGCTTTTCGCTGGATTGGACATCTTCCCGCTCGCTGGTGGGGGCGGGAGCTACAATTCGCAGTGCTTTTTGCCAGCAGGAAGCGCAAGAAATTCTTCTAACGCCGTTCTTGAGAACACGCACGTCGACGCACGAGGTGATTGTAGTACATCGAGCCCTGCACCTGCAGGTAGAGCAGAAATATCCACGAGGACGCACCACGTGATCGCCGTCTGCTCAACCCCAGTTGAAGCGCGTTTGCAGATTTTCGACAAGCTCCAAGAGATCGTAAGCGGGAAGCAAGTGGCAACGTTGCAACCGAGACAGGAGGTCTTCGAGATTTTTTCACCGAAGGCGGACGACGAGGGCCCTTGTTCCTCTAAAACAAGCCCTGAAGTGGTGGTCGGAACAAAGGATGAAAGTGGACGAAAACTACAGGAAGGCGGTATCAAAAACGTGGCTTCTCTTGAAAAAGATTCTACTACTAGGGCTTCTGCGAAGCAGTTGCAGGAGACTCCTTCTCCAACATCATCGAGAGGACCACGTCGAGTGCTTGTTTCCGTCTCGTGGCATGACATAACCCAGTTTGCGCACTTGCTGGTGAAGGGCAATCCCGGCGTGCTGGAGGTGCTGTACCGTTGGAGTATCGAAAGGTTTTTTTTATTAGGTTCGGATCGAGAAAAGCAAATAAAGAGAAGTCGGGCCGGCAGCGAGCGGGGGCAACAAGAAGTCGCGGCTGCATCTAAGTATCAAGAAGGATTTGACCCAGATCTATTACATTACTTTGCCAACAAGAAGTCGCCTGGTGGCACAACCGTTCTTGAACCAGCTGCAAGCCGTCCGCGCGAAACAGATGTAGTTGCCGGAGAAATCTTTGGTACGACGACCCTGTTCGTCTCAGACGACTTTCTCCCGATCATTCAGACCATTTGTCCCCCTCCGGTGCTAGAGGCGCTGCTGAAACACAAGTGCTACCGCTATGGGATTCTCAAATGTGAAATTGCTCTCTGTTACATTACAATTTGGTCATGCAGGAATAGCAAAAGCGAGAGGGAGGAGGGGGACGAGAGCGTGCGCGTATTGCATTACGCGTTTGGCGCGGATTCCTATACTAGTTAGGCCCAGTCCCAGCATCGAGTTCTTCTTGTCATGCGAAGCAGCTCGATCGCGTGGACGGTGGTAGTGATTTGGCGTGACAATAAACCAAGTATACCTACAGTGCTGATGAATGTGAGAACATTTGAGCATCCCATAACCGCTGCGCGTGCGCCGGGCCGTTGTTGAGTCTGGTGAAGGCGGGAAAATGGATGTCGGCGAAGAACTCCAAGGGGAGAGAAAAGGTAAATGCCAATTATAAAAAAAAGCCGAGCACGCAAGGCGGAAAGCCCAACGAGCTGGGAGCAGGGGATGGAGCCGCGCCTCCTATACTAGAAGAGGCAGTACTACACCCACGAACAAAAGAACCGCCGTCAACTGCAGCCAATCTATTTCTCTCCGCCGAGGAAACTACACTGTGTACCGCTTTGGCGCAGCGTGCGGCTTTTGGGATCGACAAAAGTGTGCTTCCGGATTCTTTTTCACGCCTCTGCTGCGGTGAAACCACTGAAGGACCACCCAGTAATTCGCCCAGTATAGCTTCTGATGTCGTGGTGCCAGAGATTTTTGAAAAGGCGGAGATGCGTGAGCTTGCTTCCTTCCTGATGACGGCAGCAACAAAGTCGAAGGATGGACTGCTGGTTGATTTTGCGTCGAAGGTGCAAGAGGACCAAAATGTTGACGTTGACAGAATGGTGGACAAGCAGATGAAAACCACGTTGGAAATCACCTCCCTCGACAGTCTCTCGGTCGCCTTAGACGACTGGGTGGACCGGATTCGGGCCCGGGATTTCCAAAACTTTGCCGCCAAGAGTACAACTACACCGATCAGCCCCGGCGCTTTGAAGAAATTGAATCTGACCTCCGCCCCGCAAGAACTACACGACTACCTGCCCTTGACCTACGGCACGCTGCCCGCCTCCTGGGCGTCGCGACTGCGGGCGAAGTGGCCGCGGAACGCGGAATTGGTGTTTCTGGCGCAAACGGGTTCCTTTTTGTACGACCTGCACACGAAGACTTCCGACGAAGACTACTCGATCATCTTTCTCGCCAGCTCCGGCGACCTTTGCTCCCGGGTTCCCGGCCCGACGCAGTTCCAGTTCCACCAGGCTGCCTCCGGTGGGTTTGCCAGCGACAAATTCGGCACGGTGGAGTACATATCCTGTGCATGAGTATCGTACTCGTAGTACTCGCATTGATGCATTACAAATTTCTTTCTCAAGAAGTTAATCTCGTGCTGAGAAAGTTTGTATTGCAATGAATTCATACTAGTACGATACTTTTGCAATGCATAGTACACGGGGCGGGAATTGGGAGCGTTTTTGTGTGAGCTCTGCAAGGGGAACCCACGCAACTTGGAGATGTTGTTCACGCGGAAGCGCTATCCTGCGCCAAAGCATCTGCATCTGTAAAACTGCACTCGTGATGAAATCTAACTTGCTACCTGGTCTAGCATGACAAGTGAAGTTTTGCATTGTTGTTTTTGAAAAATAAATTTGCCATGCAATCATTCATACAACAAGTAGAAGTACGATGCTTATGCTTTTCGAATTTTGCATTGCATAAGCACTTCGAGGGGAGCTCCGTCTGGGTGGAACTCGTGCAAAAGCGGCGGATGTTCCTGACGCTACGAAGCGTGGCGCAGTATCTTGGCTTCATTGGGGAAAGACTGTATCGGGCGAAGAAGGAGGTGGCGGAGTGGCCGGAAATTCTTCTGGCTGAAGAGGAAGATAAAGACGGAAAGTTTGTGGAGCTGAATGGGAATAAAGAGCGTGGCGGTGTGGCGCAAAAGACTACAGGAGGTGGACAAGAGGGCGTCAGCGTTCTCCCCGCGGCGCCCTCGCACCAGATGACTATGTCCCCCTTGGACCTGTCCGAGCAAGAGACGCAAGCCGCCAAACGCGTCTCCAAGCTTCTCTACCATGCGTGGCACAAGATTTTTGAGTTGCAGCGGATTCTAAACTTAGAAGAGCCGCTGGTGAAATTGGAGGGGAAACAACACGAATTTGTGATGCAGAGTCGGCTCGGGTGCTTGCCGAGAAGCCGGGAAGAGGCGGAAGGGTTTTTGCGGGAGCCGCTGCAGAAGTACGCAGCATTGAAAGAAAAAGCGGAAGTAACGAAGATGAAAAAGCTCCTACCCGCGGAAGTGGACGTGAAAAAGCTCTCGGATTGGCTTTTCACCGTCCGCCTGCGGGAAACGGCGGACAAGCATCGGGATAATTTGATGACAGGTATGTTTGCCGAAACGGCGAACTCTTTCGAAGAAGATTCTCCACGGTCTATAATACGGGAATTATCTTCTGGGAGCACGGTCGGAGAGAAGATGATAGTGGGTGCTGTTCTGCCTAGTACGAGCGGAACTACTTTCACGCCGCCTGTTCGCGGCGGTATTAAAAGTGTTGAACATCTTCAAAGCGGCACGCTTCACTTAACCCCTGCGGAACAAGGGAAACATCATCTTCAAACCGTTGGAACTACGTCGAGGTCGCTGGATCAGGAACCTGGCGTGATTCCGACGCCAGTATCAGCCACCACATTCCCTGTAGAAGGAGTGGATGCGACGTCCGGGAGGCAGAGCTGCAACATGGTCCAGTTGTTGCACCCCACCCGATCCAGTTCCGGCAAAGAAATAAGCGAGCAAATTCAGCAGATCCTTGCGCAAATCGAAGCAGAGGAGAAGATAAAAATTCTCCACGCGGGCTACGCCTGCTGTTCGCAGCTGCTTGGTACGGCAACCGAAACCAGTGACCACGACGTGCATGTAATTTTCGCGCATGACAGTCACCAGGCCTATTTCTCCTTTCTGGAGCCGGTCCAGAAATTTCGGAAGGTCTTTCCATCGTTCACTTGCGGGTCCGCGTGGTCCTCGACGTCCGCTGGAGCTACTGGTAGTAGTTTTCCTGAACATCAAGAGTCTAGTAGCACGATTTCAGATCATCTAGTTGTACCAGGAGCGACGTCTACCACAACAAATTCCAGTAGCAGTGCCATCGACATCGAGATTTCTGGTTGGGAGATCCGGCATATGACAGTGCACAACTCCCCCTCCCCCTCATTTGTATAGCATGAACGGCAATACAAGCATCAGCAACAATGCCGGTTTTGCATGACAGATTTGCACTAGAGTATAGTGCTATTTGGACTACCAGAACTTGTCATGCACACAGTGCCAAGTGGCAAAGGGTGGATTGGGTATTTTGCATGACGAATGAGGGGGAGGGGGAGTTGTGCACTGTCATACGGCACTCGTGCAAGATGCTGACTACCTCGAACCCGTCCATGGTGCATTTGCTGTTTTCTCCGGTGCTGTTTCGCACGACTGAAGCGATTCAGCGCATCTTACTCCCGTTCGCGCGCCAGCAGCTCGATCGACACCAACTGTGCCTGGCGTGGTGGAACCACGGGAAGCAGAATTACCGGGACTTCGTGAAGTTCGCGGAGAAACCGAAGTGGAAAAAGTTCGTGCACGTACTGCGGCCGCTCTTCTCGGTGCTGTGGACGATGATGGGGGTCTACAACAACTCTGATCTTCATGGGGGCGCAGAAATAACCACCGAGACCACTAAGGGGGCACACGACAGCAGCAACAAGGATCATGCCCCCGAAGATGAAAAGGTCTGTCCGCCGGCCCGGTTTTTGGATCTGGTGGCTGAAGTCGCTGATCAAATAGCGATACCAGACGAGGAGGAAGGTTGTACAACTACTTCCCCGACGGCACTCGCACTACCACCAGTCGAGTTAATGGAAGCTCTGGTTGCAAAAACCACCGGTGGGCCGACTGCTACTGACGATAAACATCAGCACTGGGGCGATACTAACGACAAACGCGACTACCAAGAACTCAAACAAGATACAGAAGAACACGAGCTCAAACAGAAACTGCAGGATTTTATCGAGGTTATGATCAAAAGGACAGAACAAATTTTGCAACAAAATGGCATCCGAACAACCGGCCGCAGTAAGGACCAGAGTTCGAGAGGGAAGCAAGCGCAGGACGACGCAATCTCCGAATGGAATCAAGTGTGCATTGCTGTTTTGGAGAACTGCCTGATAAAAAACGAAACTGAAATGAAAAGTACGTGAAAAATAATGAAAAGAGGCGCGTCGTCTACGTTCTTGTACAACCTGTTTCTGTACGTACGTCGACGTACGATGAAGGTAAAGTGCACCTGTTCTAGCTATTTAGAATGTTTGCTTGTTCGTCAGATCCCGTGTACTAGTTCCGCGTTTCTGGCGCTGCGCTCGCAAACCTTTGTTCTGCTTGGTCAGCCAAAGATGTAGCAGCCGGCGGGGGCCCTCCTAGGGCTTCTAGCTACATCCATCGAGAATTGTTGTTGTTCGCGTTTGGCTGTTGACGTGTTTTTCTTTTTAGTTTTTTAGTCACCACGTCGTGTGCTTCCCTCGTGAATTAAGTCGTTGGTAGTTCTGACTCCCATCTGTCGTGCGCTGGACGACCTAGCGTGTCTGTACTATCCCTTCACAATCGTGGCCATTTCCCTTGGTGTCGTCCGGCATCGTTTCGTTCTGTAGCAAGTCGTACTCACTGAAGCAGTACTCCCGTTTATTGTCAAGCCTACTTTATTACCCGGTGCGTGGTTAAGTAGCAACAGCAAGCGAGTCAGCAGGAAGTACAGGTAGTACGAATTTCATTTGGAGTATATCTTGTTTTCGTGACATTCTTACTACAGGCACAGTACTCGAGCACGGGTCGCTTACGGTCTATTGAAACCCTTAAGAAGTAGTTGACCCCCTCCCTGACCCTGGTTGCTGTATTCAAGGTTGCTGTATTCAACACCAATAATAAAACTACGTAGAGTTGTCCAACAGCTGTATATGCTGTTCCTTTATTTACGTTGCGCTTGTCGAGTAGGTGCTAGGGTCCTACTCTTGAACCAAACAAGAAAATAACAGTACGTGGCGATAAGGATGTTCATGTTAATGAAATTGATGAAATTGAAACCGCCACTTCGCAACTTTTGGGTTTGGCCCCTTTTGGCAGTCATGGAAGTTTTGATTTGCTTTTTATTTCTTGTGGAAAGCACCAGTGGCGCCATTGGATTTGGAACAAATCTTCTTGCCGAGCACGGTCGTAGGTCCATCAAAGAATGGAAACCGCGGCACGAAGTTTCTCCGCAAGAGAAAAGAAAACACAGTACTTCTAGAGGTCAGCACAAGAGGCTTCTTCGACGACGTCGCCCGGGCATTAACAATGGTGCCGACAGTAGAGAGGGGGATAGGATTGAATCCGCCAAGGTAGAACAACAAGCCGCGATTGATGGAGGCATCTCCCATGTAGCTGCTTTCCCAGCACGACAAGAACCTTCGTTATCGATGTCGATGTTGCAGCATCCTCGGAACGACTTGAACGAAGCCATCAAGGATCATTATGCAGTCGTCCCCGATCAAGTTGCACATGCACCTACCACAATTTCAGGATGGCGCTCTACTACGTCCTTTCTGTCTTCACGATCGTCCTCGTCTGCAGGAGCTTTGTCTCTTTTATCAGGAGTCGGGAAGCCGAGCGGTCAGCAGTGCTCCAATTACCGCTTCTGCAGAGAAAAGTACTTCGACAGTCATGGAAAGGACAATGTTGTTGACCACAGAAATCGTGCAGAAACATGGTACAACCCCTCGTCCCCGCCCAGCATGATGTGCTGTCCAGGGAGGATGAATGTGATGACTTCTACACCGATTTTGAACATCGACGAGCTCGAGGTCGAGGACCCCGACCCCGGAAGTAGAAGAGCGACGTTATCGAAGATGAACTCGAATCACTTCCTGGGACTCGACTCGTGTTGTCTCCAAGGGACCACTGTCCTCGAGTCTGCTCAAGAAGAAGAAACCTCCAAGAGGACGACCAAGGGGCATGGGAAAGGAGTCGTCTTTAGAGAGGGGACACGCAAGGAACTCATCCAGTCGAAGTGGTCCAGCCCTTTGGACAGGCAGATGAATATGGAGTTTTGGAAACAGCAACGAAACGCCGACGACCGCATGATCGCGTATTTGAAGCGTACGGGGCAAGATCAAGATGCTGAACTGATGCACACCAGCAGTAAGAAGAAATTTATGGATCACGCCGACGAGGAGAAATTGCAAATTGAGCGCAAGGCTGGCGATCAGCTGTGACCGTACGCAATGGCGGCGGTGCAGGCGGGCGGAAATCCGGTCGAACGGATGAGCTGGTGGGGGCCCTCTAGAACAAGAACTTCTACTTCCAGCGAGGGAGCTGAAGATTTCAAGTTCTATCAGGGTTCATCAACATCTCTAGAAGGTCGTGTAGTACAAAAAGAAGAACAGCATGATGCAGTAGTCCCACCGCGGCTCACCAGGGTGATAAGTGGTTTTCGCGGGCTCGTCAGTCAAACGGGGTACGTGATCGTGGGGTCCGGGCCCTGTATCTGTGACGAAATTCGGAAAAACACGGTGTCACAGAGTTTGAATTGGCGGCCGACTTCAACTTCTAAAGATGAACAACTCGTCCAAGGTGATAGTGAATTGGATGAAGATTCTAGCACCGCTGCTGCTGCTGCTTCCAGTTCCAGTACGAGCAGGGAAGGTAGTTCTTCTAGCAAGAAAATGGAATGGCAAGCAGGAACACGGGATGAGCAACGTGATGGCCGATCTTCATCTCGTCCCCGCGGTGGAAGAGGACAGAGAAATATTAAGCTGGAAAATAAATTACACAATCACGACAATAATGGCTCTCCTGCGTCTACTGCCGGTGTTTCCAGTGTAATTTCCTCTTTTTCGCAACTGCTTTTCGGGAAGATGAAAAGGACGAAGATTGCAAGGAAAAATAACCTCCGCCGTCAAAATCGACGCGTTCTTGCCCAGGAGAAAGGAAGAAATGCAGCCACCGGGGCCGAGCTGCAACATAGAACCTTCGAGGGATATAATCAGCATCAGGCACAAGGTCTGTCCGCAAATAAAGCTAGACGAGATGATGTTGCGACCACCGGCAGTGGCATGCCGACGCCACCGCTCGTTTTGAATGAAAACGACGGACAAGAACACCAAGGACAAAAACGTCTGTCAAATAAAAATACGGACGGCTCCTTAGCCCGCGGCAAATACGGCGTTCGGCACGACCGCGGGGCCTTGAAAACGCGGAAGTTTATGGACGGCCGGAACGCGCAGGCGACGGCGGGAAGACAGGCGGAGAACCGGGTGGCTTCGAATGTTTGCACGCCGGACTTACGACCCGTGCCGGAGGAGGTGGTGCGGGCTGTGGTTGGTGTTGCAGGTTTGGATAGTATGATAAAAAGCGGCAATTATGCAGCCGCTTCGTTGAGCAGTCTGCTGGAGCAGGAGAAACACGGATCATCTGCGAATTATCATAGCGCAAACGACAGCACGACAAGTTTTGAGCTGCAGGCCGGTCTGCTGTCGGTGCACCCAAATGGAACAAATAACAAGACAGACGGCGGGGGTGATAATGCAAATGCAAATGCTAATAGCACGTCAAGCAAGAACAGCACTAATTCTAGTAGTACTTCTGAGATTGTCCTACTCCACGACGAAAACATCAAGAACCAGCTCAGCCCCGAGGAGCAGCAACTAATTCTCCAGCTGAGGCAGCAATCCTACCAAAACCTCTCGCTTATCGACGAAACCTGCGCCACTTACTGCACCCGAAACTCGTCGTGCCATGGATACACGGTGCGGGGGAGCGGTACGACGAAACCCGCCTGTGAATTGTATCTATACGAGGAGCGCCTGACCATTGCGCAGCAGCTCGCGAAGGCGGAAAGAGAGCGCAAAGAAGCGGACGAGAAGGCGAAAAGTGCCGAGGAAAAACTCGTCACCAGTCTCTTCGGCGATACAGCAGAACAAAAGGTGGATAAGAGCAGCTTATTTGACGCGCAAGTGGCGGGGGGCAGGTCCGGTGACAAGTTTTTGGTGCAACTGTATTCGAATGTGACATCAAAGACAGCAAGCAAGAGTTGGACGGAAGTTCTTGTGGGGGATGATGCTGAAAGTGAAACAGCACAAGAAAGGGCAGAAGCGAATACAACATCAATTGGCACTGCTGGTCGTGAAGAACAAAACGAAACAATAACAGACAGCACGGAACAAGATGAAGGTCGTATGGGGTCAACGTCAACATCTCCAGATACACAAGAAGTAGAACACAACCAAGAAGATGCAGAACTACACAAGCTCGACGACACAAGCACATTGAAAAACGGCATCAACGAAGTGGGTTATGATTACCTCCTCCCGATGTGCCAGTGGCGGGTTTCGAAATTTCTGAATTTCTACTGCCCCCGGAGATTCGTTGAATTTGCCAAGACTAGGGAGGAACGTGGCGGGCCGGCGGAACAAAATCAGGAGGCCGGATCGGAGGCCGGATCTTCGGAGACAGAAGAGAACGAGGAAGATGTAGATAAGCCGGACCCAGATTTTTTCCACGTGGAAGAAGTGATTTCTGCAGCGACGATGGGAGCATCACTTCCTTCACAGGAAAAATCTTCTCACGCCTACGTCCGCACGTGTGGCTACACATCCGAGAGAGGTGATAAAATAAATCCACTTGGCCCGCCAGGCGAGGACGAGGATAAAGTTTTGAAAGATAATACCAGCGGCCCAGCACCAGAAGGTTCATCAGCTTCAGCTGCGTTTTCTCGCTCGCTCACACAGACCGTGCATCCCTGCGCAAAAGTAGGTGCGCCCGAGGATCTGGACTTGACGCAAGAGGGAGACAACTGCAAAGCCTATTGGTTTAAGGAGTCCGTTCTGGATGACAACACATGCAGGCTGGAGTGCGCCCGAAATCGCGGTTGTGTCAGCTTCACCACGATTTCGAAGATCGACGGGGCGCCGTCGGCGTTTTCCACCTATAGTGGCACATCAAGTGGTGGAAGTACAAGTGCTAGAAAGAGAAGGACGACCTGTGTTCTCTTCAGCGATTGCCCCCTGCTCGTACTGACTAAGGTGCCAGTGCTCGTGACTGGTGAAGAAGTACACGAGGGAACCACGTCTAGTGCTGCACGCAGCAACAGCAGGGTATGGTACTATTTCAGGATCTTCAGGTAGTACAACTGAAACTGATGCCTCCCGTGAAGACGAGATCGGAGGTAATTCTAATCAGTTTTCTCAACGAGTAGTGCCACCAGCGGTCTCGTCAACTACATCAACCCCCCCTTCACCAGCAGTCTCGTCAACTACGACGAGCAGGAGCTCCTTCACCGCACCGCACCTAGCGAAAACGCTTCTCTGTATCGGCACCAAGCAACGAAAGCTAAAAGTGTTTGACGAAAGCGAAACCCTTTTTGGGAACAGCGGACGGCTTGCAGGGGCGTCGATAACGTTCCGCGGGTCGTTGAATGACGAAGATTTTTTGGCGAAAAATGGGCTGGGTGATCACGTAGAAGTACCCTCTGAAACTGACGACGACCGGGAAGAAGAGGGCTGCTGTAGTTCTTTTCAGCGCTTGTTCCGAACAATCGGGGAATTCGGTCTGCTTCGGACCGCGATTGTGATCGTAACGGGGCTCCTGGCCGTGCTCGGAGTCGTGGCGGGCTTTATTTTCATCTGTTGTAGTAGGGACGACGCGAAGGGGAACGAGGCTACTTCTGCAAGTTGTACTAAAGACGAAAAAGCGGAAAATGATGAAAATATAAATAAAGTAGCAGAAGCGGAAACAAAAAATTTTCCTGGAGGGGTCGTGGCAGCCGCTGCGGGGGACGATGGGACGACTACAGCAACCGGAGCCACAGCGACCGGAACAGCTAGTGCGACAAGCGAAGGAGGAGGTTTCTTTCTCTTTGGTGAAATAAATCTTGCAAACGAAACATACCAAAAAAACGACGTGAAGACGGAGGGGGAGATCAGTGCTGGAACAAAAGAAGAATCACAAGGCGGAGCAGTGGGTAGTGGCACATCTACTTCTCCAAAAGAGGACCATGAGATTAACTCGGTAAGGGAACCACCTGATACGGCCGATATGAACAAGAAGGCTGAAGTAGATGATGGTAGTCGCGCGAGCGCCAATCAAGATGGCGCTTGAAGAATCATCTCGGGGGAGGAAGAGGACAAGTGGCTAGCAGCTTTGGTACCATCTGACGGTCAAGAGAGTGGCCGGCGCGCGGGAAGGGACGGGCATCAAGAAATGCAATGCGTTAGCATTTTTTTCACATTTCGTCCAGGAATCAAAATCCCTGGATGCTTCTTTCTATGGGATGAAAAGACGGCGCTAAAGCAGACTGGATCATTTCCTTTTCGGGCTTCGCCGTGTTCTTGCCACACTCTTCATTCGTGTTTTCCGTTTTGTTGCTTGTTTCGCTTGTACTCAGACGTAGAAGTGAGAGCCTGAGAGTTATTTTCAGGATAGTGACTACAGTATGAGAGCGGACAGCGCGCGCCGCGGATCAGTTATCGAGCGGTAGAGTGACAGAGAGGCTGCACAGAGGGGTTTGATTCACAGGAGCGTGCGCAGTCGCGTGTCAGGTTTGTTGTTGCTTGTGTCGCGGCTTGGTATGTAAATTTTCTCGATGTGGAGAATTTTCGTTTTGGATTTCACGAAAAGACCACATGGTAGTTAAATCTTTCTCCCGACCACACCGTCTCCGTAGAGTTCGTTGCAGACAATTTTCGTTTCCTTGCAAAAATTTCAAATTTACCGCATCAAGCGCTTTGGGAAAAATGTCATTGGAAAAAGACATAAAGACCCTCCGGGCGGAGCTGAGCGTATTGAAGGACAAAGCCTTGTACGGCCGGCCGCAACCCCCGGGAAGCTCGTCTTCGGGTGGCGGAATAAAAGCGACGCGAAAGCGAGCGGACTTCGACAGTTCTTCGGAACGAGACTCGGATTGCAGTACCGACGCTTCCGTGAAAGAAAAGCTTTTACGCAGTCAGCACTTCTACGATGTCTTCAGGTATTAGGAGGGTACAATAATTGGAATTATCTTTTTATTTGTGTCTTGTTTATTTTCTCATAGTCTAGTGCTAGAGGTGGTAGAGGTTCCATTGATAGGATGACGATGATCAGGTATTAATTCAAGATCATTCAAAAATCGCGTTCCGAACACAAACAAGATACACCCTGTCAAGAAGAAGCATCTCAGACAAGCTTTATCATCATTTTCATTTCTCTACAACAGGAACCGCAGCGGCAAGCGGTTCGAAACGAGGACTGCACCAGGGCGGAACACGGCGTCGAGATTGGTCATGCTCCGCCAACACGAAGGGAACAAACCAAATTTGGACAGCGAAGAGGATCCTGATCCCGCGCTCAACTCAGCCTACCTGCGGAAGATACCGAAGCAAGGATCGGCTACTTCTAGTTCGTCCGCGTCCTCGTCTAGCAGTGCCAGTGCCGCATTGTTCAACGGGCAGCAGCACAGAACGAGCAACTACAAGCCGTCTGCTTGTTTTTCCAAGAAGAACTACAACAAAAGTCAAAATCGTTTCCACCGGCGCCGACAGGAGCCACTGGAGGACGACGAGACCCCCCTGGACCCCGGCACTCGCCGAGCGAGGAGCAGTTCTCTATTCCAGCGAAACGGGGGGCAGCGCGAAATCGCCGACGTGAACACGACGTCGAGTCAACTCGACCGCAGCCTCTTCGGCCACGGGGGCGGCGGAGAGGGGCTGGTGACGCCGAAGGTGGTGCAAGTGGATCATCAGGCTGCGTTCCAGGATAAAAATCCTTTCTCTGGGAGTAGAGAAACAAGAAGTGGGCGAAAAAGAAACAAGCTGAACAACAGCAATTCATCACCAAGTAGTAGAAATTATAAGCACAAGCCGGCACTCGACTGTGGCACGCAGCGGACCCGGTCGCTGATCGAGTATGTTAGGGATCTGGAGAACAAAGATGAGGATAATCAGCGGGAAGAAAGGATGCACACCAACGCAGATGGAGATCCTCGTGAAAGCAATAATTTGTTTCCACCGGATGGCTACAACAACAAGTACAGCAACAGCAATCTAAACCGATCGCTCCAGATTTACGAGCACGAGGCGACGATCCGACGGGGGCGAAATAAATCTGTCGACCACGTAAAGAACAACCGAAAACCGCTGTCGCAGCAGATTGACAGCGATTTGGAGTACGTGTCCAGCCTTCCGCCGTCGCCCATCCGCACGAACGACCACCTGGAGCGCGAATGGAGACTGCTGAAGCAGGAAGTGAAGAAAACGAAAAACAATAAAACCAGCAGGAGCAGTTGTAGAACAGCTGCAGTGGAAGCCGTCGCTCCTGTGTACTGCAACGAATTGTATGATGACGACAGATTTCATTCCCAATCGCAATCGCAGGCGCGCTTCGTCCCGCTGGCAGATCCGGCACCGCGCGAGGGACTGGGGCAGTCTTTCGCGCCGGGTGGAACTACACGAACAACAACGAGACCCGGAGGAGGAAATTACAAACCAGGAGCCGGCACGACACGTAGAAGTACTAGAGCCAGCAACAACTACGTTGCGCCCTCTGCTTCTACGCAGATGAACCTCCGGACAAGAGCAGGACAACTACAACATCCGTCTCAAGAACGTAGAAGTTCTACAACAACGACCCGGCCCGCAAAGGTCACGAAGATCCGACTACCGCTGACGGACTATGTCGGCAAGAAGCCGCAAGAAGATGAAGGCAACATCAATACAGCAGCAGTTGGTAGGAAAGTTACGTCCGCATCAAGTAGAAGTGGAGGGAGCAGCGGACCACTGTCAAAAACACATCCGGCCCAATCCCCACCCTTTCTGTTCATGCCGGAGCCCGCGGTGGGAACAAGCAACTCGGTGCACCACAGCAAGCAGCTGAATCCGGTCGGGTTTCTGAGCGACACCGGTTCGAAGCCGGGACACTGGGCCAGTGGCAGTGGCCACCACGACTTCAACGCGTATCACCACCACGGCGGCGAGCGTCACCACGCCGGCGGCGGGGACCGGCGGGACCCGGATAAGATGCAGGCGTACTCCTCGGCGGCGCAGTTTAACATCCGGAAATTGTCGCGAACATCAGGATATCCTGTGCAAAAGTATCGTACTCGTAGTAAATTGCAACTATGCATGACAAATCTTCTTCCTAAGGTAAAACAGCTTTCCATTTCTAATGCTGAGGCAATTTGTATTGCGATTTATACTATGACGATACTTTTGCAATGCATACAGGAGGGGTGAACAACCCGAATAGAGCGTTCCAGCCGCCGTCCCGACAAAAGCAGGCCTTCAACAAGTACCGTACGCCGGCATTGCGGGGAGGGATCCGACCGGTCCGAGCGAAATCGACATCGGCGATACGTTCGGCGTACGGAGGCGGAGCGGGTGGTGGATCATCATCTTCACGTGCGGGGGCCGACAGCAACTACACGCGGTCTACAGCACCTGCTGCTGCTGTGGTACCCCCACCCGCTCCCGCAGCCTCCACAGGACCTACGAGAATGGTGCAAGATGAACAGCCTGGTGGGTTGTCCTCGTCGTCAGCCCTCGTGGGCTCTGGTACAACTACGGCAAATGGAGCAATTGGAACGACAGCAGGGCCAGTATCCCCACCCGGAGTTGGTTTCGGGTCCAGCATTCCTCCGCCTGAGCTATCAAGTGCAAAAATGTCCGGGTCTGGAAGACTGCGAGATTTGTCATGCTTGTCTGGGATGACCAAAAAGTTTGTGATGCGTGTTCAAGAAGAGACCCCCTTGCCTGTCATGCAAAAACGCAGTTTGTCATGGGAAAAACGCAACACAAAGAAGCGCAGATATTTCTGATGCTTGGCTGTGCATTACAGAGCATTCCCTATTCCCAACGCAGCATCACAAGTTTCCAGACCCAGACATTGTTGACATTTGATATGAGCCAGAGAAGGACGACCGGCCGCCCGTGGCGGACGTGCGGGAGCAGCGGATGTGGAGCACGGACATAAGAACAGCGAGAAATTTGGTTCCAAAGCTGCAGTATCCTGTGCAAAAGTATCGCACTCGTACTAGTCGCAGTCTGGCATGACAGATCCGCCTTGCTACCTGAACCTGCATGACAAATTTTTTTTTTTTTTCTGGGAAAATTTGTCATGCGGTTTACACTAATACGATACTATTGCAATGCATATGCAGCAGCGCACGCGGCTCTACGATTCTCACCGGCAGAGCGCGGCCCCCGAGGTGGGGCCGCAGGGCGTGAACATCCAGGGGCTCCAGCACGCACCGGACGGGTTAGCGCCGACGGCGATGACATTTACGGAGCGGAGGCTGGAAGCTAAGCAAGATCAAGAGAGTACTTATGAACTTGCGATGTGATTTGTTGTTACTTACTGTTTCTCTCATTTGATGTGTTGACATTTAAATTTATCCCGTGTAGCAAAACTACGTTTTAAAAACCTAATATCTGCTTCAGGAAACCGCGACATTGCAGCGCGAAACGTGAGAATAGCGCAACAGAAGCACGAAGCGCGGGCTCGACAGCGGTCCAACCTTGCTGCGGAAATGAGCAGCGTTTCGCAGGCAGGTACGGTACTTGAGCTTCCTTGTCAACGTGTTTATTTCGATGGTATTTGTGTTAGAGACAAATTGGTGACGAAGTGAACAAGCCATCTCCACAGAGCAACGGAACTTTTCCACCACGAGAGGAAAGTAGACACTACCACAACGCCGAACCATGCAAATAATCAATTCCACTTTGCACAGGTAACAGCAAGAAGCTGGACCTGAGCAGCGTGTTCCGCAGACAAACCGCGCCGGTGACCGTGTTGAAACGCGTCGTCTCTCCGCAGACCGCTATCAAATGTAAAAGTGTCTGGGTCTGGAAGAATGCAACTTGTGATGCTGAATTTGGATTCCAGAAAAATCTGCATTGCATGAGCAGCAAAGGGGGTGCAATTTTTGCTACGCGGAGAGGGCATTTGTCATGCGGAAAAGGCATCGCGAAGCCCTCAAAAAATCTGTGATGCTAAGGCATGCATCACAGACATCATGGGTCATGGAAAATATGCATGACAAGTCTCAGAATCTTCCAGACCCAGACATTTTTACATTTGATAACCGCGGAACCCGAGCAAATCACGAAGTCGAAAGCGTACTCCCGGCCCGCAAGCGTGGATATCAAATGCAAATATGTCTGGGTATGGAAGATTCTGAGACTTGTCATGCACGTTTTGCACGAGCTATGATGTCTGTGATACATGCCCTAGCATCACAGGTTTTTTGAGGCCTTCTTGATGCCTATTGCGCATGACAAATACCGTCTCTGCGTAGCAAAAAATAGAATCCTTTTGCTGCTCATGCAACACAAATTTTTTAGACATCCAAATGCAGCATCACAAGTTCGCTTCCTTGCAGACTCAGACATATTTGCAGTTGATAGTGGACCCCAAAAAGCATCTTACCGGCGAGACCACGTTCCAGCGTAGAGGGATCCCGAAGTACGACTACAAGGCACCTGGATCGAGGATCACCAGCCCGGGACGGAGTGTCACGTCCTCGCCAGGCGCGGGTCGCCGGGGGTCCTCTGGCCGAAGTCCGCAGCGACGGTCCAGCTTTTCCCAATCCAGCCCAAGAAGGAGCAGTGGAACTACAAACAACGGCCGCTCTCGCAGTCCTGCGCGCCAAAAGCGGAAAAACAGCTATTTGGCTTCGTACACAGCGAAGAAAAACCAGTGGCGGGGCAGCGGCTCGCCCCCGGGCGCGGGACCGGCGTATCAAATGCAAAAGTGTCTGGGTCCGGAAACTTGTGATGCTGGGTGTCATTCGCACTTGTTGTGGTGGCAACAATTATGCGATGCCAAAACCTTTTTTGATCGCATACCTATTTACTAGCGCTTACGTATAAGTAGCCATACTAAGTTTTCCAATTTAGCTTTTCAGTAGTGACTACGTAGTCGCGATTTATTGGTTTTAGTAGGCCTAGAAAAGGCACAGGGACGGACTGCCCTTAGACCTCCGATGTGATGCTGGGTGGCGTATCATGAGGAGGCCACAAGTGCTGCCTCAGCATGACAAGTTTCTGAGCTTTTAGGTGTTGCCTATTCTGCATGACAAACTGCGTTTCTGCATGACAGAAAAGAGGGGTCCTTGGGTAATGTGCATGACAAATTCAAGAGCCATTTGAGACAAGCATGAAAAACTTGCATTCTTCCAGACCCAGACATTTTTGCACTTGATACGGCGGGATACAACGCGAAACTGGCCTACCCCGCGATGAATCCCCCTCCTTCGACCAGACCCCCGATCCAGTATCCTTTGCAAAAGTAACGTACTAGTCGTATGAATTGTAGTTGTCAGGCAAATAAATTGAATACCTGCATGACAAACACCATTTTTGTTCGTTGAAAAAAAGATGGTCTTCTTGCAGTTTGAACCTAGAGGTGCGATACTGTTGTGATGCATATCCAGCTGGAGCCGCCGATGTCGTGGGTTGCGCCTAAAGCGGTGGAGGAGGCACGGACGTTGCGGAAAGCGGTCAATTTATTGCGGCAGGAAAATGCAACGCTGCGGAGGTTTATCAACAGCAACTTTATTGTGACACACAGCCCGCGGAAGGATCCGGCACGGATTGTGTGAAATGACCATGCATGGATGCAATCTCTGACACCCACTTCCACTCCACAGCCAAGTTGGTAGTGCAGGACCAGTTTTTCTAACGAGAATATAGCTTCAGCGCACACTGTCTGACGTGGCCAAGAATAGAACCGATGTTGCCCACGAATCGCTCAATTGAGTCGGTTTTTGTCCTTAGTTGCTCACAGTTGAATTTTAGGCAACGCGTTCTTTTCTTTTGCATCTGCTGTCTCGGACTTCGACGGGTTTCGGACTCCGAGTTGACAAGAAGAGATACTACGCAAATGAAGAAAAGTCATACATTCTTGACAAAGATTTAGAATTTTCATTTTGTCCGGGGAGAATTTTTGAGTCGTTCTTTCGATCGTCGTTTTTGTCTGTCGCTCATGTCCGGAAGACCGATCATACATAAGTACAACAACTCCCAGTATCTTCTATTCGTTGGGATTCTCGGTGCCATGGTACGGGAATGTTGGAGTGGACCTTTTTCGTTGACACGTGATTCTTTCAACGCTGAGAAATTTGAAATACAATGTCGTTCCTACACAGAGGTTTCAGTAGAATGTCTCAATTACTGTTTCTCTTTCTACAACCATCAAGGAGAAGAATGTAAAGAAATCACCAAGATGAAGAACAGCAAAAGCATGAGGAGCAACAAACGGCCGAAACTGGCCGAAAGGGAAAGCGATTTCGAATCGTTTGATGGCTCCGGCCACAGCGACAAGGATCAATCGGAGGGAGATGTTGGCGCTTCGAGTGAGGAAGTGTCGTTCCCAACAATCTTCCTGCCGAACGTGTTGCCAACAAAGCCTGTGCCTGACGAGGAGAAGCATGTGTTTGAATTTCTTCAGAAGCTTTCAAAACACTGCTTCAGTGGCGACGGCACAGCAACGGATGTTTTCAAGTTGGCTAGCAAAGGTGGAACTACATCTGAAGAGGGGTGCCGATCGGTGCTGAAAGCGGTGCGAAAGTTTATCGATCTACATGCAAACGGAGTCTCCTATTCTACGATCAAAAAACAACTGGAATCAAAGGCGGTGAATAACGGCGACATCGTCGGAATTTGGCTCGAATGTCAAAACGCGATACTGACAGTCCAGAAAAAGCCGAAGGACGTCGCAGTGTTGAGTTGCTGGACCGTACAGCATTGCGTGGCGCACGTCATGGAAAGCGACAATCTTGTTCAGGTACGACAGACAGGAATTTTTCTTTTTTCTATTTTCTGGCATATTATGTATGAAAGAACTGAACTGAAATTTTATGCGATGCGCCGTCAACGTGATGTTCATTTGCGATATGTGAACTACAGCCCATCCCAGAGCGGGCGATCACATGTCCCTGGAGCATGCTGCAGTCGGACGCATTCTGGAAATTGCTGAGCGAAATCGCGAACAACCAGAACCACCAGAGTTACATCTCCGTCGCACCTCAGGGGAAGCGGGGACCAGCTTACAGGTACACGTCCAGTAGGTACTGCCACGAAGTGCTGATGCGCCTGATCCCGAGAAGCGAGGACGTTACCGACGCCACTCAGCCCTTGACAACCTTCAAGAAGGTCCGCGACCAGGTCCGCAAGGAGTCCACCAAGACAGAGGACTACTGGCGACGTTCGCCAGCGTGGGCAGCGTTCCGCTCCTTCGCTTGCTTCGCGGCTGTGAACACGTGCAGCCAAAAGAAAGCCAGTGCAGCCGCATCTTCCTCACTAGCTGCGAAGGAAAAAAGCGGGGAAGGAACTGACTCTGAGCCGAGTACGATTGACACCGACGGAATTTGTGTGTACAAGTGCATCATTCAGATTGTCTTGGCAGATTGTCTCCAGAAGAACATCGCCCGAGCAAACGCAATTCTGAAGTCCAGTCGCCGAGTCCTCTGTCTCAGCAGCTTCCGGGAGGCAGCTCTAAAGATCGAACGGCGACAGTGGAAGCTGGAGAACCGGTGTACCGTCGGCGTCGCGAATTCGTGCAAGAAGATGATTGCAGAGACGAGCAAGTGCGTTCGCCGCGTCCTAGACACGGAAAACAAATTTGTCACGGTGTTCGAAGACAAGCGGCGCATGGCATTAGTGCCGAAGGTAGACTTCACGGGCTTGAATAAAGCAACAGCGGATTCCGCGCGGAAGCATGAGTTGTTCTATTCGCAGGCGACGATAGATCGACTCCTGCAGGAGCTGAAAACGAACCCGGGGCAGTCCACCACAGTGTCCTCGCAGGTTTTGGAGCCGCGGTTTCGCGGCGCCGAGGAGAAGTGGACGAAGGAGATGGTGTTCAAGGCTACCGACGTGCAGGAATTGTACGACCTGCTTCAGGATTCACCGAAACCGAATCTCGATTGGCAACGTTCCGTAGCAATCTTGTACGATGTGGAGCAGTGGTCGATAGCGTCATTCTGTCGGAAGAACACGCGTTTCTCTATGCAGGCCTTGTTGGATCTCTACAAGCTGTACCTCGGACGCAGCACTGCCTGCTACGCGACCTGCTTTCGGGCGAAAAGTGAAGGGATTCTGACGGCGTTCACGATGCTGCTCCTGTTGGACCTGAAAGCCTGCGAAGAGCACGAGATTTTACTTGAGCACCCGTTGAAAATTCCTCCTAAGTTCCTACACGATCTCTACCTCGACTCAAGGGAATATCGCGAGCACCTGATCAGGGTGGAAACGTACTTGAGGCAGCGGAGAAAAGGAAGCCAGGATCCTTTCGGCGTCGCGGGCGAGCAGGGACCGCGAAGCCTCGCGGTGCGGTTTGCGGAACAAGACGAAGCGATTCAGGAAAAGAAGAAAGAAAGACTCGGTCGGTGCAAGCTCGCTGAGAAGGAAAAACTGGAGGAATTGCGATCCGAGCGCAAGCGACACGACGAGTTGCAGCGCCAGAGGGACAGGCACACATGTACCTGTTCTTCTTTGCATACTGCAGACGCGAACCGGAGATACCCTCTGAATAGCTATTCCTACAGCTATGGCACCACGTACTACGGCAACGCTGCTGCAGATCGCTTACGTATGATAAACCGACTGTGTGGAACGGTGCACGACGGATGCACCTACTGCCGGCTAAGGAAGCAGATGAGAAGCGTCACCTTGTTCCCGCACGTGCGAGACTTACCAGACAGCGAGACAAAACGCAACGCGATCATGTACCAGAAGCACAAGCCCGAGGAAATCGGCATACTGGAGCAGGCGCTTTTCCATTTTGCTCGGTCTGTTTTCGGCAGTCGGGGCGGCATCACGGCGTACACGTCCTCGTGGACCGTCTGGCCGGAAGACGACAAACCGGAGCACGCGCGCGACCGGCCGTGCCTGGGTACGACACACCCGCTCCCAAGCGGGCGCGGCGCTCTCCATTGCACCGCTGGCGATGCCTGTTTCGTCGTGGCGAACAAAAGCAATGCAACGTTGGGGGTCCGTGTGGCGCTGAGCAGTGTTCCTCAAACTTGTAACGGGTGGCGGAAGCTGAGGGCTGTGGAACAATGGAACTGGACAATGATGCATGAGCAGCAGATGACCGACAGCACGCTTCCTGAGGCGACTGAAAGGTACGAAAACGCGCGACAGACCTTCCTCATGAAGACAGACCATAAGGAGAACGCGGTGATCGCGTCGCAAAGCGAGGCTTCGGCCGGGGCGACGGTGGCGGAGAGTGTGGAGCTCCGTGAATACGTGACTTACGGAGTTCTGCGGGCTGGGCACAATCTCCAGCTGGCGCGTTTACTTTCCGCCCTGGAGCAGCGTGCGCTCGACTGGAACAACCAAGACGTCTATCTGCTCGTCGTCGCAGCGCTCTGGCAGGTCTGTCCGCCGCTTTTGTCGGAAAGTGATGTTGCAAAGGACAAGTCGGCGCTGATGCAGTCCATGCGTAACTTCTACTGCGCGCACCCAAATTTGGGTGCAGCTGTGATCCCAGAAGATGACAGCCCCGTCTTGAAAGACACTTTGTACTTCCGTGAAGCTACTGCTCTGTTGGCCGATACAACGTTCTCGACCGCGCTTGTCCGGGAGTGCGACGACCTGCTGGACTCGGCCAAGGACAACTGGGAAAAACAGAATGTGCTGCTCGTCGTTGGATCGATTTGCAAAGCCGTCTTCGAACACACGATCTGCGACATCGCCCTCCGTGTGCTTCAGAAATGCCGCCTGATCGCGAAAGATTGGATTCACAAGCTGACGGAGCGTGCTAGCACCACCTGCAACGACGACCAAGGACAGGAGCTTCGCAACCAGATTTTGGCAGTCTCTTGCGGCGCCTGCTGTGCATTCTGCCCCGAAGAGTTCGAATGCGACACCACGCTAAAGATAAGCACCATGAAGGCGAGGACCGTGGCGGTCGACTGGTTGTTTTTCCGGGCAACGATGCACGACAACAGCTCCGCGGAAACGCTGAAAAGCCAACCATGGCTGGGTAGACATGCGCTTCTGGCCGAGAAGACCGCTCTTGCGATTTTTCCAGCGCTGCGTAACATGTTAGAGACGGAAAATGGGGGACGCATCATTCTGTATTTTTTGAAGGCGTTTTGGTCTGGATCGGCGCATGGCACGAACCTCACACTGAGTGCTTCCGTTAGGTATTCCGACAGTCGGGTATCGGAGAGACTTACCCCCTGGTTTGAGTTCGATGTAGGAGCACCGACAGCGGCGAAAGCAAGCGCATCAGCTGCTGAGAAGACCACACTGCAGCTCAACGTCGTCAGTGGTAGCTTCCTTGTCAATGGAAAACCATCCGGGCGGCTGCCATCTTCCATCTTGACAAGCCGGTCCTACCAAAGGCTGTTTGGCCAAGCAGCATTTCTGGTACAGCCTGTCGACGGACGCACGTACAAAACGCGGTCTGCAATCAACGGATCGCACTTCTTGTTCCGGGAAAGCGCCACACCAACGGTTGCGGAAGGCGAGCCAATAATCATCGAGGAGCGTGCAGGCACTCGAGCGGCCCTCGTCCCGGACGGCGCCTTTTGCGATGAAGACTTTCTTCCCGAAGACGAAAGCTTGGAGGAGCGCATTATGTCGTGGGAGCTTGGAGAGCACATCGCGGACCACAAATACGCATATAAGGAGGACCCTCCGACGAAAGCCGAGTTAACGGATGAAGATGAAGCAACGCGCGCGGACTTTCCGAAGAATATGATCTGCAAGTACAGTCACTGGGTGTCTGAGAAGAAGCTCAGATTTCGGCCGGTGCGGTACTTCGACCAAGGGTTCGAGGACAACTCTGCCGACTACATCCTGGACTTGAAGACCAAGCACTGTCGTGATGTCAAGCGCGACTGGGAGTTACTTGACATTCAAAGTGACTGTGTGCAGGAGCTGCACAAGGGGGTTTTTTACCGTTTGACACCGTTGTCACACATGTTCACGTATGCCGGCAGTGGCGTCGACGCTTCGACGCTGGCCGTCGTGCTGCTACCGGAACTTCAGGGACTGCGCTTTGATTTCACAGCAACAACTAAAACCGAGGCTGCAGTTTCGCCAAAAGCTGTTCTGCATGTAGCCACCCCACACAAAACATCATCGAAGAAACGACCGAAACAGGACATCGTCGTAGCAGGAGCGGAGACAAAAAAGGAAGTCGAAATTTTTGCCGCGGACTACCCGAACTACATTGTGGCATCCGATCAGAATCTTGGAACGCTCCATGGACTGAGTGCAGGACTGGTGCTTACTCCGACGCACGAGTACAAGCAGGCACTGCCGGATATTTTCTTGATGCCCAACTCGATTAGTTTAAAGCCCTTCCGGAAGACTGGTGCTGTCCACGTGGACCTTTCGTCCCTGCGAGAGCCAAAAGTCTTCGTCTACGTCAAGCGCCCGGAGTTGCGGGACCTACATCCGCAGAAGGAGCAAATGGCCAGCTTGTACCTCGCGCACTTGCACGCTGTCACGTCAGGCGTGACGCCGGATGCTTTCCTCGAAGTTCCAGGCTACGTTCAGGCGATGAAGATTCTCTCCTCGGGCCGAGTCGATGGAAACCTCGTCCCTTCCATGCAGGGAACCAAAGATAGCGATGCGCAGCACTTGGCGCAGTTGCAAACGCTCCTGCAGATCGCAGCACTTGCTCCGCATCGGGCCTCCTTCCCCGACAACGGGCACTTTGAATACAACAATTTGAGTACGTCTTGCTTGGAGCCGCTCGCCGCCCGCAACGAGTACAGCTTTTACGCAAATGACGTCGCGGAACACATCAACAGTGGACTGCTGCGCGCAGGACGAAAATCGATCGCTAGTGATTCGCATTTGAAGCGCCTCGGCAGGGAGTTCTACTTAGCTGGTGATAAGACTGAAGATCCAAATACCGAACAGGGCGAACTCGCACCGCGGATGGGATCTCTTTCTTTTCGAGCGCTGCTGCGAACACAAAATTACGCGGCGTCAGACGGAGATCACTGCAGTACAGCGTACCTGCGTACGCTGTGTACGAACATGACAAGTGGTGACCGTTGGGGTAAAGCAAAACCTGTCGACGAAGCTGCTGTTTGCGCCAGTTCTACGAGGCTTACACATACACGTTCGCAACCGGATGAAGATGAGAAATTCGAACTTCGTGTGAACGAGATGATGGAGTATATTCGCAACCCGAGCATGCTGAAGAAGCTAGCTAGTACGTGGAACTTTTGCTCCCTGCTGTGCGGAAGCGGCTCGGACCGATTAGAAAGTCTCAACGCTCGCGTCGACCGCGAGATTCTTACGAATCATGTCGCGGTTGACAACGAGTTGAAAACCGGTTCCGTGGTCGAGTTTGCAAAGGTGCTTGACCGCTTCCACAAGGATTTTGGCGACAACCGAAACCAATTCCTACCATTGTATGACATTGCCCGAAGTACGGAGACGAAAGTGGATGAGTTTGGGGCCTTTGCGGTTCTTTTGGCGAACCTGCAGGACCCGCCGGAGTACGAGTTTCTACTCCTCGTCTCGCTCACCGCAGCTAGTGGATTCGCATGGCCAAAGCCCCCCGATCACAAAAAGTACGAGGAGCCGTACCAGAGCGAGTTTCTCGGAGACTGCAACACCCCGAATCGCACTTCCCTGCAGTCTCTACTCGACGGCAATGCGGGGCTCAGGCGGTTTTGGCAAAGTGAACCTTCTCCGGCAAGCTACTACAACGTAGCTTCCTACTACCAGCAGTCGAGTGCTTCTTCCTATAATTTTCAAGCTCAGGGTCGGGCGAGTTACTATGCTGCACTCGATGCGTGGAAGGCGAAGAAGCAGACCCATGAAAATGCCTGCGCTAAAGCGTCCGACAAGGTTTTAAAAGTAGCCAGGTACGCGTTCAACAATGGCTACGATTTTTCGTCGAAACATGTCAAGTCACTTGTATCCGAGGAGCACCGCGACACGTTTGTCAACTGGGAAACTTTTTCTGCCAAGGTTGACGAGAAGTTTACCGACTGGCGGAATGCAAAGAAGCTGCAACTCTTCACCGAAAAGCTGACTGCCGCCGCAAGGAGGAGCTTGGCGAACCTCGCCGCCCTGGATACGGACGCAAACCACCCCGCTTGCCCATCGGAAAGCGGGCTTTCGCTGCTTTTGGAGGTAGATCGCTCGCTGGCGAAGAAGCCCCGAGCCCACAACTTTCGACAGATGGTGTCCGTGAAGAACCTCGGCACGAAGGCGCGTCCAGCGAATCTTCCACAGCCCCCGGAAGGACCGACTCTCGCTGAGGTACTTGCGCTGCTGCCAGCGAATGGTGCTCCCTTCAGTCCCGACGCACGTGTAGGTGCTTTGTCATCATCTGATAGTAGTGCCAACAAGCGGCGCAGGCTCGATCTGGCAGCACAGGCTCCGGTGGCTCAACAACGATTGCAGCTGCTAGACACGTCCGGCGTGATTTCCTCTGATGGGGATCAGTACAAGGAGTTGCGAAGCCTCTACATGAAGGAACTGCACGAAAGCTGGGACCTGGCACAGAAGAAAGTAACGAACTCTGCATCTTCTTCGTCGGCCAACTATGAGAACGCGGTGTCTACTTTCCGTGGCCTGTACGAGCCTGGAAGCCGTGGAGCTGTCCTGAACTACCTCAAAGACAAGCTGAGCGAGTGCCAGGACTGCGTGGACATCTACTGCGCCAAGGTTCAAGTGCTACTGCGTTGTGGACCTCATCGACACACCAGCCGAACCGAAGTTTTGGCGCGCTTCTTGGGAAAGGCGCATGCGCTGCTCAGCGCGGGGAAGATGTCGCAGGTCGACCCACGGATCCATCGACTGGTCGTAAATTTCGCAGTCGCTCTGCGGTCCTTGCAGCGCGCTCGCCGCTGTCTGCAGATGTTTCTCAAGGGGAGTGTCATTGCCAGGCAGTTGGAGCTGGAGCTGGAGAATACGGGTCTCTCTGAGGCGGACATTGCCAAATACCCCGAGTGGCTGGCGTACGAAGTGGAAAACTCGCTCTGTATACGGCAGACGCAGGCGGACGTAGCGAAAAGTCTTGTGGAGGACACCACGACTAACAAACTACTGCAACTCAACATGGGCGAGGGCAAGACTGCGGTCATTATTCCGCTCGTTGTTGCTGCGGTCGGCAGTCGCAGCGCCGCCGGAAGGGAGGCGAAGCTGGCTATGGTGACGGTACTGCAATCGCTTTTTCTGACGAACGGCCGCGAGTTGCAGTTTCAGCTTGGTGGCGTGATGTCCCGACGGATTGTTCCTTTTCTGTTCCGACGCGACTTGGAACTCAGTAAGCCGGAGAACTGGGTAACCGACCTGAAACAGTTGCTCAAAGACGGCGGTGTAGTGATTACCACTCCGGAATATCGCCTCTCCCTCGAAAACAGAGCGCTGGAGTGTGGTTCTAGGGAGAGTTCCCACTTCTGTACGAAGGCTGCCGCTTCTCTACACAGTATCCGTCAAATTTTCGACCGGCGCACAAGATCCTTTTTAGACGAGAGCGATGAGATTCTTCTTCCGAGCCGGCAACTGATGTACACACTCGGGGTGGCGGGGGCGATGGATGGGGCCGAGATGCGGCATCGTCTGGCGTCACTCGTGTTGCAGATATCGTCGGAGCTGGGGCCCGATTTGCGCGACAAGTACGGTTCAGCAGTGGTTGAAATCGGAAGTAGTGACGACTCGCCACTGCACCAGCAGGAATACCGAGTCATCCGTTTGCTACGCCACGCGGATGAACCAAAAGCGTACGCAGAGCTGCAGAGACTGATAGTGGAAGAGATCCTCCATCGCGGATTTTTGAAACTCCGGCCAGAAGAGGTGCAAGCCTTTAAGCGCCTCGTCCTGCAGTCGTCGTACGACAAGCTGGATCTGCGCACCTTGGAGGAAAAGAACTCGCGCATCGTCGCCCTGACGCTCCGAGGGCTACTCGGGTTCGACGTGCTGCGGTGCGTTCTTCAGAAACGATACCGAGTCAATTACGGCATCCACCCGACGCGCACAAAATACGAGCTCGCTGTTCCGTTTATTGCCAAGGACTTGGCAAGTGAGCGGAACGAATTTGCTCATGCGGAGGTTCTCTTGCTCTGCACCGTCGCGAGCTATTTCCAGCGTGGTCTCAACCTGTGCCAAATGGAGACGGTCTTCCGCAAACTCGGACAAATCTCCGCTTCTGAGGCGGACGCGCTCTACGCTAGTTGGCTGCCAAAGAAGGTGGGCACCTCGGTGCCAGACACCAGCAGCACTAGCGCCACTTCCGTGAGGCGTTCAGCGCCCTCTGCGCGGACGGGTGTGAACCTGGCGGATCAGGAGCACTTTCGCCAGGTGGTGCATCCTTCGTTTTGTCGCAACATGTCGGTGATCGACTTCTACCTGCGGCGCATGGTGTTTCCGGAACAGGCAAAACAGTTCCCGCAAAAGCTCGTCGCGACGCCGTGGGATTTGTGTCGCGACTCGAGCTTGCATTCCGACTGGACCAGCATCACGCAAGGATTTTCCGGCACCGATGACACAAAACTTCTGAACCCAGAAACTATTCAACAGCGAAATCCACCGCACTTGAAGCACACCACCGGGCTGCAGCTCATCAACCTCCTCCGCGAAGAGAACAACACGTATGTGCCGCTGAAGCTGCAGGACCACGCGGAGGCGATTCTGCAGCTGTTCAGGAAAACCGGCGCTGTCACGGTGATTCTGGATCCAGGAGCGTTGGTGCTCAAATACTCCAGCAAGCAATTCGCCGAGAAAATGCTGGCCGCTCGTACGGACCGCAACTACGTGGTTTTTTTCGATGAGATCCACGACATCCAGGTGCTGTCACGCAGTGGCGAGATAACAAGGTTCAATCTCAGCCCCTGCGCGAGTGATATGTCGTGCGCGTTCCTGTATCTCGACGACGCACACTGCCGGGGTTCGGATTTCAAGTTGCCCCTCACCGCGCGGGCGATTCTCACCCTCGGCGCCAACATGTGTAAAGACAAACTTCTGCAAAGCAGCATGCGGCTGCGACAGTTGGGAAGGGGCCAGAGTTTGCTCTTCGTAGCGAGTCATGAAGTAAACACGCAGTTGAAGGCTTACTTAGCAGCCAGTAAGAAGAATAATGGCGGCTCCATTCCTGAGCTGGCAGTTGTGAGCGCGGTGGTTTCTTGGGCGTTGCAGAACACGTGCCGACGAATTGCTGATCTTGTGACCTACTTCGCAGCCCAGTGCCGCTCCTCGATGACTAAAGCAGAAGCGTATTCGACCTCGAAAACGCTGGAGGACCTGTCCAGCGCGTGTCTCGAGAGCGAAGTTTTGCAGCTGGAGCGGTTGTATGGACAGTCGAGGGAAGAGCGTCCGCTTACCGAGCTTGCGCGGGCGCGCCTGGGGGCGTTTGCAAAGAACAAGGGCAGCAGTAGTTCGTCGGCGATGGAGATCTTCGCGAAGAGGATTGTCAAGCGGATAGAATCCATGGTTCCCCGGGTAACACGCAGTGCGGGCGGTCTGGACGAGGAGCAGGAGCGGGAATTGCAGCAGGAATTGGAGCAGGAAGTGCAAGTACACCGACCGCCATCGGCGAATCCCGTACAGGAGTCTTCGATTTCCTCTGGGCTGGAGTGCTTTCTCAAACCGGCGCGTTCTACCCGCGAGCTGCTACCACTCGCAGCAGCTTTCGAAGCAACCAGCATGGCCGGTCAAGTGGAGGGTATGTTTGCAAACATTTCATCGTCGACGTCGAAGAAGAGCGACACGAAATCTTCGTGGACAGTGTTCATCACATCCAACTTTCAGAAGACCGTCGCGGTGAAGCGAAACGCAGACCCGTACATGAAAGCACCCCGCTGGGTCGTCGTCGACACGAATCGCTGCTGTGCCGTTCTTGTCTCAAATTTTGAGGCGGAAAACTGCATGCGGCTACTTGCACTTGACGGTCCCAAAGCGACACCTGACCACGACTTCGACCAGCAGGAGAATGGCGACGAGGAAAAAAGCACCAAAGGTTCTTCCGATGTGTCGTCGAAGAAAAAGGCTGAGTTGAGCAAAGCAACAGGTAAAAAAACTACTGCGTTTTCCCATGAAGCAAAGGTGCAGATGATGAAGATTCTTGTAGCTGCGAAAAAGAATCATGAGAAGGACGCTGCAAAGAAGAACAAGAACAACAAAACGACGGCTGCAACAGCCTCTAAACTGAAGAGCAACTCTTGTTCTACTGGTGCAGCGTCCAGCAGCTCGAAGGCAATAACGGTTGCGGCGACTACGTCGTCCGTGAGAGTGAGCTCGAAGCTCTGCCTCGTTCCATTTTCAGCGGTGGTCCGCCTGGGGCAGAAAACCTGGATTGAGCCGGTGCCCATTCCGCCGTCAATCCACGTGTTTGGCGGGAGTGTGTATGCGCCGATAGAGTTGAGGAAGCAGATGTTCCTGTACCTCGGGCTTGCGCCCCGACCGCAAGGGGACGGGCTGGACGCGCGAGATTGGGACAAAAAGTTCAATTCTGGCAAACTGCAGCGCGACGGATTTGTCTTGCCCAAGGATCGATCCGCGGCGATGCTAGCGCTGTGTCCATTCCAAAGCACCCCGGTGGAAATGCTGAGCAGACTGTACAACACAGGGCGCGATTTGGGAACGGCCCTCCGAGCCTCCCCGTTTGCGTCGGTGCTCGGCTGCGCGCTCAACTTCTAGAGCAGCAGCCGAAGGGACTTGAATATAGCGAAAATGGAATTGAGAATGAATCAAATAATCTCAGTATGTGTATATGACGTAGTAGAAGAGCTCCTACAACTCCTTTGTACGAAACGAATTTCTATCCCGCCTATGTGGGAGACAGGTGCAAGTCCGCAAGTTCGCGACAAGTATTTTTCTTTAACTATCGTCATCAAGAGCAATCTTGTTCCTGCTCTGCCGCACCGATCTATTTCTTGTTGAAGATCAATGAATCGTTCGATTCAATCGAATTGAAGGTGGTGTCCACCGCCCTTGCAACTTTGGATGGTCGTCAGAGACTCGCTCCTTTCGTGATCCTACTTATTTTTGGCAAGATGAAGATCGCAACGGAGTAGAGTGATTGAAGATGAAGATTACCAGAGAATGATTGAAGATTTACATCGATCTCCAGTTCAACTTGTGTGGACTTTTTTTTTTCATCTTTATTCTTATTGCCTTTCTTTGTGTGGATTTTTTTTCAGTTTTCGTGCATTCTACATGTAAAGCCAGTTCCACCTACAACTACATACGATGTTTTTTCTTTTCTTGTGAACGTTTAGGCACCGTGGTCGTGAGCAGTGTGAAGAAGAACCAGCACCATGTCTGCGCCGAAGCGGATTTTTTCGCGGACTTTTGCATTTTTTCTAGAGCAACTATTGCTAGGCAGTTGCATAATTTTTTCTCTTCACATCAATCTGCTAAACAGTAACAGCTACTATGATTTTTCTTTCACCGGCGCGACACCAACCGGTACTACATCAGCCGTTCGTCCCTTCGCGGCCTTCGGCTTCCAACTACGAAAAAGGTTGCGAATATCCTCCTTCCTCGCAGACACGGAGCCCTACCTTGCGGCGGCCCACCAGCGCGACGGCAACAATCCGCGGCACGACACTCGGGAGTTTCGCCCGAAAAACAGCGTTGCCGAGTGCCACAGTGGCGCGACTATGTTAAAAGAGACGACGTTTGCAGCTTGCGGTGGTACTGCAGGACGAGAGGCAGCTGGTGCTAGTAAAGATGCGGGGGAACAATTTATTTCTAGTAACGCGCTAAGCTCTTGCTGGGGAAGACTGCGGTCCACGTCGAGCGACGGGGTGGGGGAGGAAAATGAGCCGCGCACGGCTCGTGGTGGTGCGCGATCTTCTTGTTCATCCAACACATCAGAAGCTCCAGACAGTTCATTTCGGCGGCGACAAACATCTGACGGCCAGCACAGATCTGACGAACAACAAGCTCCTGATGCAGGCGGGATTCTCAATTCGCCGAAAAGGAAAGATTTAGCAAGAGATGATGAACTTTTCCCTGTATCGGCAACCAGGCAGGGCGAGTACGACCCAGCACAACAGGAAGATGATAACGATGCTTCCGCATCGTCGAGCACTGCCGGCGCTGCGAAAGAACAAGAATCGCACTTCGGCCCCGAAGATCAAGAACCGCTTCTTCTTGATCCGAGACACCTCGCACGATTAAGTGTTTGGGACCGAGAGCAGCGGGAGGTTGACCACAGAAGCAAGAAGTACGTGAAATCGCAGGTTCTTCGAGGCTTCAACCTACCCGTCGATGCGGATTTGGAACAGCCGCTGTCCGAGGAGTGGGGCTGGGGCCCGTTCATGGCGAATGGAGGTAATCCTGCAGCGCCTGCGCCAACGCAGTCCCTGCGTGGTTCGGAAGTTGTAGAACATGTAGATGCTGATGGGCAAAAATTTTTTATCGAGGAACCGGAAAATGAAATGGACCCAGTGGTGGAACGCGAAAGGGCACAACCACCGACAGGAGCTAGTCTTTGCTCGGACCAAGTCGAAGAAAAACGACGCGTTGCGAGTGAAGTGCAGGATGTTCTTGGTGTGAAGACAACAACAGCGACGACGAGTACGACTAGAACTATGATACGGGAAAAATGGATACCCGCACCAGTACCAATATCGTCTGGAGAAACAGAAATAATTCCTCCTTCAGTAGCAATGCGGAAAAGGTGGGGAACTCCTTCCTCTGCTCCTTCAGCCGTGGTCCACCCGGGAGGTGGTTTCCCGCTACTTCCGCGTCGCCGTAGCGGGGGTGTGATTCCCGCTGAGGTGTTGAGTGCCGCATTTGATGATGAGTTTCACGTCCAGGAAGAACCTTCAGAAGGTGAAGCTAGCAGTTGTGCGGACGAAGAATTAGAAGAGGAGTGCCTTTTGCCAATAGAAGAGCATGAAAACGATCATCAGCGAGAGGAGGAGGTGGAAGAGGAACAAGCAAGTCCACCACAAAGCGCCGCCGCCGCTGCGCTACCGCAGCGGAGTGCTCGTAAACAGCTCCTACAATTAGACGACCAAATACACCAAATCCACCCCGATTACGAAGAGGCTACCGGTATATCTCCGTCCAAAATGGCCGCGCGCCACCGAGCCCGGCGAGACAGAGACCTGCAAGGCTTCAAGCATGAACCGGGCGTTTTGATGTTACCAAGGAGTTGTATTGTTACAAAGGAGCCTAAAGAAGAACGAGAAGTACTAGCGAGAGTACCGGAGGCACTGGACTACTCTGCCCGCCTTAACCGCAAAATGTCCGCCGCATCTGCCGCGACGACTGCGCCGGAGACCCCTGGAGGCACGACTGCCACACTAACGCCCGCGTCTACTTTTTGTACTGCGGGTAGAAGTAGTGGTAGCAGCCCTACTAGTCCGTCATCTTTCTTCTACGCCGAACGTTGCTTCTCACCTCCTTCACATCCAAGGGCCGCACCAGCGGCCGCACCGGCGGCGGAAGATTTTCACATTCAACGGTCGCCAACATCGACATTTCCTGTGCCGCGAGGGAACAATATTAGGAACAAGAGGGGTGCTGGCCCCTCCGGCGCAGCCCCTCTGTCAGCGCCACACGGAGAAATTGAAATAAAACACAAGCAGCAAGGCCGTCGTACAAAAACCGTCGACACTACAGCTTCTACTTTTGGGTTTCTCTTCGCGCCGTTCACCGCTGGCGGGGCGGAAGCGGCTGCGAATGAGGACAAGGAACAGCAGGTCGTGTCGCCACGAACGACGACTCTCTGGGGCGGGGTCCGGATTACAGATGAAGCAGCATCTTCTAAAGCGGGGAGAACTCGTTCCTCCGGAGCTGAGCAAGGATCTTCAGCGGCTGCCGAGGAGAGCAAAGCCACCTGTGGTCGTGAACCTGCAGCAGTAGACGGGGACCCTTTCTTGTTAACGCGATATGAAGACGCCGACGCGGACGAGGGGCGTTTGCTAGGTGATCATGATGTCTCCCCTGCTCTGCGGCACATCGACGAGAGGCTGGGTAACCTGAGATTGGATCATGACAAAAGTGGCTCACGACCAGAAAAAGGCGCAGCTGCAAGAACATCAGCACCCAGTGTACGAATAACTGAGAACCTTGGACTAGATGTCGTGCGTTTGTAAACATATCTTAGCATACGCCTCCTTGCCCACCCAGAGGCGAGCACACATGTTGTTTTCTCTCGCAGAGGAAGAGGAACACGAACACGAGCTAAACTCTATGCTCATTGATCGAGCGTCTTTGTTTAGGTTGTTTCGCGTTCGTGGAAAAAAGTGCCAGCACGTGCATGCAGATAGCGACGTACAGGTGTTAGAGGCTTAGACCTCCCTTATGAATGTGCAGCTTAATACCAATAGGAATACACTTTCACTTGCAGCAACTTCTGAAAGCCCTGGTCCATACCTAGTACTGCTACTTCTTGTTACATCTGAAAAGGAATTACGAGTACACTACGACGACTAGTTGTACGAAAATTTCATGTGTTGCGCAAAGAACCCAGATGTTGTGTTGCAACAGTATTTCAATCCGTAAGGAGCTTCAGACCGTTCCTGGTGCTAGTCGTATTTTCGATCGTGGTCGGCTACTGGCGATTCCGCTGCTCTGCACTGACGAGGACAAGCTCGACCTTGTGCTGCAATTTCTACTCGCAATTCGAGTCGTACATCATTTCAGAAGTCTTGAAGAGACAGAGGGTTGTGGCAGAAGACAGTTTCAATGTTGCTTGAGAGAGTGAGCGTTTGTTTTTCCTTTCGTCTTCCTTTATTGCTCGTGCGCGAACTTCGTTTCATTCGTCTCTTGTCGGCCCTCGTGGAAGGTCGTGTTACACCAAATTTCGTATCATGTGTCTAGAATCATGGCGTAAAGAAATCATATCTCACCCCGGCAGCGAACTTTTATACCAATCTTGGTTTGAAAATTGGAACTATGAGATGCATAAATTTTTTGTGTTCATGACACGTTGTTCGGCTTCGGAGCGTAGCTCTTTTCCGTGCGTGGTTGGGACAACTTCTGTCACTACTCGCTCCACTTCCTGCCGCTGGACCAGGTGCAACAATAAAGCGCGCACATCAGTAGAAATTATGCCGGCCCGCACGGCGTGGGACGTGGCGTGCGACCACGAGATTTGGCTGGCCGGGAAAAAGAGACAGGCGGAGGCAGAGTGGCAGGCGAATGTGCTGCAGCAGAATGTGAAAAAGTTCCGTCCGCGATCCGCCGGGCCGAGGGTGCCGACTTCGTCCGGCGGGCAGATCCATTTGGGGAAAAAGGCCAACAAAGCAGATCCGTCGGGGGGTGCCGTACAACCTGCGCAGCAAGGCAATGAACAGGTCCGACTCCCGCCGTTCAACCCAAGTCCGGAGAAACTGGCCAGAACCTGGGAGGAGAGCGCGAAAGACCGAGGATCTTCGCTCCTTGCCGGAGCGAAAATGAAGCAGCGCCCGGCGTCTGCGGGAGCGGTTGTAAGGAGTAGATCGAGCTCGAAGATGAACAACGGAACGACGACGACCGGTGCAGCAGCCGGAAGAGGAAGCTCCGCGACGAGGAACCCTCCCTCTAAGAGCAGAAATGGCAGCAAGGGTAGCAGTTCCTCCGCTGCAGGAGCTGCTATTTTGCAGAAAAATGCGAGTAAGTCGAGGGCGGGTGCTGCTGGTTCAAACGGAAGCAACATGGCCGCTGCAACCACAAACAACGGCTCCACGTCCAATGGGACGAACATAATGAACCAAGCGCTGCAAATTGTGGATATCACTGACTCCAGACGGCAGCAGCGAATTCAGGAGATTCAGCGGCAAATGGACAACATTGACCAATATCCGCCGTCGCCGTTTAGTAGGAGGAATAAGGAGCCGGCTGAAGTAGATGCTCTACTTCCGCAGAGGCCGAGCTCTAGCGTGTCACCTGTAACAAGAAGGACGAGAGCGAACAGCTGTAAGGGAAGTAGCACAGTGTCAGTGAAGGAAGTTGTAGAGCAGCAGCAAGCAGCACAACTCGACGTATTGCAGCGGCAGTTGCAGCTCCAGCACCAGCAGTCGCAACTATTGTCCAGCAAGAAGAGTGAACCTGCAAAAAATCCGAGCAACGAGCTAAACCAGCAGCTTTTCAAATCTTTTTCCCCCGGTCGCGAAGCGAAACGCCTTTCCGAGTTCTACTTTTCTCCGCAGAAAGGGCACGTATCAACCGTAAAAATGTCTGGGTCTGGAAACTCGTGATGCTGAGTAGCGTAGCATGAGGAGGCTACAAGTGCTGGCTCAGCATGACAAATTTCTGAGCTTGTAGGTGTTGCCTATTCTGCATGACAAATTGCGTCTCCGCATGACAGAAAAATGCGGCTCTTGGGCGACGTGCATGACAGATTTAATGGTCATGCCCGACAAGCATGACAAACATGCATTCTTCCAGACCCAGACATTTTTACGTTTGATAGCACGGGAATAAGAACAAATCTTCTGGAGATCAGGAAGATCTACCAGCAGGGGGCAAGAAGACCAACACGCTGCACTCCCAGGATCCGCGCACTTTGGTTTCCGAGAAGGAAAAAGCCGCCATTTTGCTGGAGGCGAATACGCAGCAGAAAGAGGGGGAAGAGACGAGAGTCTTGGAAGGGCAGATGCGGTTATTGGAAGAGCAGTTGGTGAAAGTGGAGCAAAGGATCGAGGAAAAAGTGAGAGAACTCGAGGAGGAAAAGAGGAGAAAAGAAGCGGAGCAAAAGAAAAAGGAGCGCCTGGCAGAACTCGAGTCGCTCCGCATGCTGCGTCACGCGTACCCGGATTTCAATACGGAAGAGGATCCGGAGATGGCGGAGATGCTTTTGAGAGAGGTAAAAGAGGGGCGAGAAAAGGACATCATGGCGGAAATCAAACTCGCTATGGCAGTGTCAAAATCCGCGGAAAAATTCCACAAGATCCGGGAACGCAGTCAAAGTCCGAAGAGTTGTAGCGGGCAAAAATCACCACTAGCAGGTGGATTTGCCTTGGCCGAACAGGAGCCGGATTCGTTCTCCGTAGGAGCGATGAATCACCAGCGAACGAAGTCCTCCAGTAGTTCCTCGGGGGGAAAAATTGGTGTAGTAGTACCTCAACACGATAACTTATCAACTGCAAATATGTCTGGGTCAGGAAGATTTCGAATTTTGTCATGCTAGTCTGGTATGACGTTGGACTCTGTATTGCGTGGCCGCGAAGGGCCCCTTTTGCCTGTCATGCAAAAACGCAGTTTCTCATGCAAAAGCGGAATAAAGATGGAGGAAGGGCGGCGCGCGGCTCTCGCCACGTGCTGTCCGTCCTCGCGCCAACCCAGGACGAGGATTGTTGAAGAGTGTTCTCTACCCGGATAATCGATAAGCAGTCTGTACCGGGAGACTGGTTGATGCGCATGTCGCTCTCGGTGTGTTCTCGGAGCGCGTTCTCTCCGCTCGGAAATGCCGTTCAAGTTACGCGACGGACGCGCTTTTTCTTCTCGGTCAAATGTAGTACTTGTTGGTCCATTCGGAGCGCCGTATGTTCTGTTGCTGCTCGTGTCCTACACGGAGGTGCGGCGTTTGTACAAGGCCTCGTCAAGCAGCACTATCAGGAGTGCCAGCCATCGAATCGAGATGACCATGCTTTTACTCGGAGGAACGGCAACAACGTGCGGACACCGACGACGACCAGACTCGGAACTACCGCGCTATGTAGTACACTCAAGTTGCTGTCACGCTAACCAGCACGACTACCACGAGCAACTGCAGCACACCAGCACGACTACCACGAGCAACTGCAGCACACCAGCACGACTACCACGAGCAACTCCAGCACGACTATCACGAGCTAACCAGGCACGACGCGCAGTCTTACCGCCGCCATGGACATGGCGTGAAAGATTCGTATCGGACTTTCTGGCCACGGAGTTGCGTGTGGGACTTCGTACAAACGGCGGCCGCCATGCTGGAAATGGTGTGTCGAAATTCCTGGCCGCGGTGCTGACGAAGACGAAGTTACGGGCGCGCAAGGGTTATGGGGTTAGTAGGGGATTGCCAGGCACCCTACGTTCAGGTAAGTCCCGTCGCGACTCTGGCGTAAGACCCCCGCCCCCCCTCTCCCCCTTTGCTTCTGTTGCAGAATAAGTCAAGTAGTTGCACTAAGACTGCCACGCACAAACTAAACCTTTAAGTTGTCACTGTGCCCCAGGTGGGTTGCCAGTCAGCAGTGACAAACAACTGGCCAATGGTTTGACATCTGTGGTCCGCGGCACTTGCCTTTTTCGTCCGTGCCGCAGGTAAGGCACAAATGGTCCAGCCTCCCCTGTCCGGGTGGGGTTGCGGCTTAAGGGAGAGTCTCGCCCCTTAGCCCAAAGGGGTACGTCGTCTCTTCCGTGAGAACAAAAACTTATGGCGTAAAATGGGTCGGGTCCTGGATCGTTCTGTATGTTGGGCTGTCGCGCTCGGCTAGCTGGCCGGGCTGTGCTGATCAGGTGTGGTGGGTAGCTCCCGACTGGTTGGCACTTGTATTGGGGCGACTTGCCGTGGTAGCGCTCGGCTTTTGTATGTTGAGGTCGCCGAAAGTGCTTCCTCGCCCACCCCCCGGGGAGGGGATCCTTGACCTGTGGCGCTGGGAGCGAGTGTCCACTACATGATGATGATGATGATGACGCAACCCAGAACCACGGAAGAACTTGTCATGCTGGGCAGCGCATTACAGCGTGCTCATTATTCCCTTCCTTGCATCACAAGTTCCAGATGCAGACATCATATTTGCAATGCATATAACTACCACGGAAGCAGCAACGAAGAGAACGAAAACGAAGAGAACAAAACAGAGTACGCGGTTTCGTTCAAGTACCTCTTTTCTGCCGACGCGATATGCATTGCAAATATGTCTGGGTCGGGAAGGTGGTAACTTGTCATGGTAAATCTGAAGCATACAAAAATCTGTGTTGCATGAGTGCCAAAAGTAGCTTTCCACTTTCGACCAAGTTGGGAGGGAGCTTCTCATGCAGGATAGGCATGGCAGTGGCAGAGACCACCTCGCAGAGTCTGTTATGCTAAATTCCGCATTCCTGACCTCATGGGTCATGGAAAATGAAAATCTGCATGACAAGTTTACACCCTTCCAGACCCAGACATATTTGCATTTGATGCGCGACACTAGAAGACGATTCCGGCGGGTCTTCCTCGGCCTACAATCAAGAACGACGGAAGGCGGCGCGCGAGATCCGCCAGCAGCAAAAGGAAGAGCGGAAGTTCCGGAAAAAATTGAAGAAAACTTCTACCCATCACGGAAAAGATCATAACTTATGCCTTGGACGCTCGTTAGCATAAGAGGGGTGAATTTGCAGTGAATTTGTCTTGCATGACTTGCATTTACTTCAAAAGAGAAGTGCGCTGCGTGGTAAAGGGCTGGACACGATCCCAAGCAGCTCACGCAGCGTGAAGGGCTGCTCGGTGCCAGGTGGCACTTGCAGCACCGAAAGAAGCGGTCTTACGGGGCCCGCCGGACCGTGTAGTGCATAACCAAAGAAGGTGGATCGTGGGGCTCTTGTTCATCTGCGCGCTCACCTCAGAAGTTCCTCTCCGAAATGGTCGAAAGGGAGGGCGACGCCTGAACACAGGGGCACGAGTACAACGCGCACGCTCTCGCGAGTTGTGGTTTGGAATTGGATATCTGGGAGTAGCCTCGGGTGGAAGGGAAGGCACGACTCGGCCGCGGGCACTAGTTTGCTTCGCCTGCTGTGCTCGGCTTACAACTCCCCAGGTGTTTTTTGCCTCCGGAGCAAGTCTTATTCGACGTGACCCCCAGGCCAAGAATTCCCTTGGTGAATTTTAAGGCTTTTTGTTTTTGCGACACTTTCTGGAAGCCCCAAAACCCGGAGTTTCTCATGCGCCAGCGCATTTTGAACAAGAGCCGGAGGACAAAATTCACCGGCGTCCTTTCCAAAATTCACCCCAAAATTCACCGAGCGCCACTTTTCGACCGTGATAAGCAAAGTTTAGCGCAGAAAAGTGCTCAAAAAAACGCACAAGTAGACCCTGGGAAGTGGGGCCGAGGGGAAAAGACAGGCGCCCGCTGTTGCCCTTAGCGCCTCTATATTCTGCCGATAAGGCCTGGAGAGTTCACGCGCCTGCCGGATAGACGCGTCAAAGCTCTCGGCCGGGTCCTTTCACCTTTGCTTCCGCGCCCTCATCTTGCCTAAACTGCACTTATGTGCTTCGCGGCTCTTGTTTTTGGCGTCTTTGCCGCGGCTGCTGCAGTGCTTGCTCTTTTGCAAGCACAGGAAGACGAAAAGACATGGCCAAAGAATGACGCCCAGGCCATGTCCAGCTGCCCGCCGCATAAGCCTGGACAACTTCTGCGGTGTGCAGAACCCACTTCCCAGAAGAGCAAAAGGGACAATGTCCCGGCAGTCTCCTCTGCTATTTGTCATGCAAAATTCACTACAAACTCGCCACTTCTCATGCTAACGGGTGTTAAAGCTCTAAATCATAGCAACTTGCTCGGTTGTTCTCGTTCGAACCAACCAGGAGCGATCTGTTCTGAGATGTCTCCGCGGGGTATCCAGGTGGTTCTCAACAGCCCAGACGGGGACAAAGACCACATTGTCTACGACGAATCGATACTCGCTGCAGGGAACAGCCTGGAATTGCGGAAGAAAGTTATCGTCGACCAGCATCAGCTATCAAATGTAAAAATGTCTGGGTCTGGAAACTTGTGATGCTGGGTGGCGTCTCATGATGAGGCCACAAATGCTGCTGGCTCAGCATGACAAGTTTCTGAGCTTCTAGGTGTTGTCTATTCTGCATGACAAACTGCGTTCCTGCACCACAGAAAAATGGCTCTCTTGGGTAACGTGCATGACAGATTTAAAGACATGCCAGACGAGCATGACAAACATGCATTCTTCCAGACCCAGACATTTTTGCACTTGATATCAGCCGGCTGGACCGACGTTCTTGCAGATGAACGGGAGTTCTTCTGTAACTGCCGCAGGAACCGGCGCATCCACTCGGCTTTTGCCCGGCGTGATAAAGTCGTCCTCCAGCAGCTTTCTCGCCTCCGCGAACGCCGGGCACCCGAAGTATGCCAGCGGGCTGGAACTTGGGTTGCTGAAGCATTACCGCGACGAGAGCGAAGTGGACCGGTTTCTGAGTCATGTGAAGCTGCCTTCTAAACAGGGGGGAACAAGAACGGCAGCTCGTCGTGCTGGCGGTGTAGATCATTATACCATAATCGATGGGCGGGGTGAAGACGCGAGAAGCGAAGACCAGTCTTCGTCCGAAATGGAATCTTCGTCCTCTTCGTCTCAGCCAACCTCTACTTCAGAAGCTGCTACACAGCAGAGCAAAAACTCTGCTGCTGGCCAGGAGCTTGTTTATTCCGCGGAGCAAAGCGGGGCCGGCGGGGGCTCCTGTCCGGAAGATTTACTTCATCCCGTGGATCATGCAGCAGCATCTACCTCCAGACCGGTTCGGAGATCGAAAACCCTTGGAGCTGCAACCCATGCGACTGATGGAATAAATAAAAACTCTTCCTCCTCCGATGCAGAGGTAGTAGCTGCAAATCGTCAAAGAAGCGGGTCCTCGACGTTGCAGAGAGCCAACACCACCTCGGCAGTGACAAAGAAGAAGTCAAAAGAGGGCGGCAGGAACAATAAATCCGCGACGTCAAAAGATCGAGAAAACAAGCCCGAACTCTCGGTCCCGATCCCTAGGTTCGAGAAAGAGTTGCTGAAAAAATCCTGCTATCAAAGGTAGAAATGTCTGGGTCTGGAAGAATGCAACTTGTGATGCTGAATTTGGATTCCAAAAAAATCTGTATTGCATGAGCAGCAAAGGGAATGCAATTTTTGCTACGCGGAGAGGGCATTTCCATTTGTCATGCGGAATAGGCATCGCGAAGCCTTCAAAAAATCTGTGATGCTAGGGCATGCATCACAGACATGCTGGCCAATGCAAAACATGCATGACAAGTCTCAGAATCTTCCAGACCCAGACATTTTTGCATTTGATACCTGCACGGTTGTGTACAGAGCGCCCCAGGGGTTCGACGAGGTGGTAATAGTGCCCAGCCGCGACTTATCCAAGGAAAAAAGTGTGTAAGTGTAACTTTCTTGCAGGAACAGCATCACAGATTTGTTTTGCATGACAGAGAAAACCTGTCATGCGTAGCTGGTACGCGAAAACACGCATGAAAATAGGCTCTGATGCACATCCAGCATGACAAGTGTAACTGTATTGCAACGTCTGCAACACGGAGTTACACTTACACAGTTTTTTTCTTGCATACGACTGGATGGTCCGCCACCAGGTAAATGACTGTCGGGAAGGCCAGCATTTTCTAGCGTCGATGTCGAAGGTAAATTCCTCTTGCGAAGAAAGTCAAAGTTCATTCTCGGAGGCAGGCGCAGATGGAGGCGCGCCTGGAGGAGGACGCGATAATGTAGAAGAAGAACAGTTGAGTAAAAGTGGAGAAAGCGAGGGGGTGAAGAGCAGTAACTCTTCTTCCTCGAGCTCTTCCTCCTTCCGGGTAGCGTCCTCCGACAATTCTTCGCTACACAATTCCAGCTCCAACGCGCGCCTCCTCGGCGCTACCCACTCGCACACGGGCTCCGCGAATGTGGACAGTAATTCGCACTCCCATTCGGGCACCGCCAACGAGTCGCTGTTGGGCGGGTCGAGCTGCGAGGTCGTGGACGAGAATCATGATGGCAGCAGAGAAGTCGTTCTGTCGCAGACCAGCACGCCGGCGGATGATAATAATCCTACTAGAGTAGAAGGAATTGTTGCTCCCGGCACGGACTCCAGATATGAGGGTTTTCATCCTGCTACCAGTACATTCTCCACTCCCCGGACGCCGCCACTGCCGCAGGACGAGGTAGATGGAGTGGAGGCCGCTGACTCAGGTAGTGACAACGGCGCAGTACTCGGGGATGAAGAGAGCAGCAGTGCCACAGCCAGCTCCGCCGCGAATTACAATTTGATGAGACAGCAGGAGGCAAGTGCGTCTAGTATCAATGCGCATCAAGACGAGAGACTAGACGACAGCCACGGTCGTGGTGCACGGGCAAGAACACTAGTACAATGCGATGAAGAAGAAGCTCATCTGCACAACCGACAGCGTGGCAATTCCAATACATCAAGCGGCAGTAGTCTTCTCTCCAATCTTGTGGACGCTGCTGCGGTAGTTGCAGGTCAAGAAACAATTGAGGATGAAGAACTAGACGACAATAATCTGTTAAACGAGACCAACAACGAGCTTGAAGTGCACAACACGGCGGCGGAAGACGACTTCACGTCTGCGTCGGCCGGGACGCGCTTGGCGTCGCCGCATGAGGAGGGGTTTGCGGGGGAGGAGGAGCAATTGTTTGAGGAAAGCTGCACTTCCAGTTCGCACAATGGAGTTGTGGAAGTGGAAATGAACATGGAAATTACGCAGCGCGAGGTTCTCCCTGTCGGTGCAGAATCTTTACAGGGGCAGCGACAGCCCACATCTTCTGAAGTGGTCGACGACGAGGTCGTAGATCCTTCGCAAGATCCATTAGTGCGCACTACGCTGAAACATTCACATCATTCACATCCGTTCACTTTCTACCAGGCAGGAGAGGCGGACGAACGAAAGCAAGAAGATCAAGATGATGTCGATGCGGGAGGGATGGATCTTCACGGAACAAGTGATGCGGCTGGTGATGAACATGAAGCTGAAGCTAATCGAAATCAAAAAGTGGAAACAGCAAGCAAAGATCAACGACCTCTTGATGCAGGAGTACAAAACCCAATAAACGCCGAAGACGCGATCTCCTCCTCTTTCGTCAACGGCATTCTGTATGACGTGGCGGCTTCGCTGGCGGTGAGAACAATAAATCAGGACGAGAACAACAAACAGGAAGAGAACAAAAACTACAGTGGTTCAGAGCAGGATCAGCTTGCAGCTTCCAAGTCGATCAGCGTGGTGACGGAGGAGCAAGGACATGATGGAGGTAGAGGAAATGGAGATGGAGAAGGAGGAGAAATTAGTTTGGAAGTAGAGATGAACAGCAAAAGCCGCGACGATGTCAACGACAAGAACGATGACAAAACATACTCCAGCAGCGGAGTTGTTGATGATCTAGGGCAAGCCAGTAAAACGCTGAAGGACCTGCCCTTCGCCTCCCCGACGGATCATGGGGCTGCGGAAATAAATAAAGGCGGTGGCAAAAACGCAGAAGATTTGTACAACGTGCAAAAAGACGTCGTCAGCCCTGAAGAGGAGCGGCCTGTGCCAGTAACTGCTGAGGGGGCGGACGAGATGAATCTTGATGAAAATGAACCGCAGACACCGGAAGCAGGCGGTGCCGGTCATCACGAAGCTGCGGAGGAAGAAGACCAGGAGGAGCCGCGTGGAGCAGCAGGAGCTTCCGAGGTAGAAGTTGGTGCTGTAGGACCGCAGGAAGAAGCTGCCATGGAAATCATGGACGAGCAAGGACCTGTTTCGCAAGAAGTGAGCCAGCACGTTCCAGCTGTTGAGATTGCTGCTGATGCAGCTCCAGTGGTGCACGAGCAGCAAGAACCTCCTACGGATCGGGATCAACAAAAAGAACGACCCGCCCCACCCGAGGAGTCCGATTCCGAGTTTAAGCCGCAACGCTCTGACCCGCCGGTGATACACAGTCTGCTGGAGCGGTGCAAGGCGCTTGGGAAGAAGATCGAACTGGATGACGAGACGAGAGAGGAGTTGGAAGGTGTCTTGGACAACGCACGGAAACTTTACGCGCAGATGGAATATGCATTTTTGCAAAAGAAGTATCGCACTTAGTGGTAGTACTAGTACGAGTATGAGTTGCATTTAGCATAAATTGTTGCTAGAACAAAAAAACGCAATTTGTCGTGCTAGATCGGGCACAAAGTTAGACTCGTCATGCATGATTCGATTGCAAGTACTTCTACGGGTGCGATACTTTTACCTTTGCGCAGGATATTGAACAGCACCACGAAACGGTGCAGGAGAGGAGAAAATCCGTGCGAAAAGTGTTTGATGATGATACGGAACAAGAGCAAGAGGGTGCAAATGATGCAGAGCAAGAAGCGACCACGATCAGGATTAGTACCAGGAAACAGAGCGAAGAGGAGCGCCTGTTGGAGATGCGGCGCAGGTCCCAGGAAGTGTTTGAAAGGCGTGGAGGTGGAGGAACAAAGAGTAGTGGAGCTACTACATCTTCTACGCGACCGCAGTCGGCGAAACTACCGAAAAGTGGTCACCAGAGCACTGCTAGCACGCAGAAACCGCCTACTACATCAGCGAGCACCGTTCCAGCCGGGCCGAGTTTTTCATCATCTTCATCCAGTAAGGCGCCGGCGCGGCGCGATTCGCTAGCGGCAAGAAAATTGGAAAGTGCGGAAGCTGGAGGAGAGGAGGTACGTACAACGGATAGCACTCAGCTGCTTTCTACATCTAAACATAACAAGAGGGTCTAGAGGAATCTTCTAAGGGATGTTGATGTATGCAGAGTCTGTCAGAAGTACAATTCTTGGATCGTGATGATGATCATGTTTCGACGAAGAAGTTCACCATCTCGTAGATGAGACTTGAAATTTCCAAAACTGATGACACTAACAGCCAAACACGTGGGACCACCAGCTCCTGAGAGTCGCGACGCTTGTGGAGGCGAAGTCTCGTTCTCGGTCACCTTCCAGGTCTCCCTCACTTCCCCCGTCGCCGCCGGGAATAAGCAAGAGGGGCCAGCTACAGCATGACGAAATAAACACTAAACACCTAGAATTAGAAATCTCCCCTACCACGCCCCGCCCTCCGGACTGGAACTTCCAGAACCTGTTTTCCCACTTTCAGCCCTCGCCGCTGGACACGCCGGACATCCGCAAGGAGTCCTCCCTATCATGTGCAAAAGTATCGTACTCGTACTAATTTTTGCATTTATGCATGACAAATCTAGTTCCTAAGGCAAATCCGCATGACAAATTCAATTTGTAATGCTGAGCCAATTTGTATTGCAATTTATACTAGTACAGCGTTACTTTATTTGCAATTCATACTCCCCCTCGAAGCTGCCCTTGGAAACGCGGCTCGCGAATCAGAAAAAGCGGACAGTGCTTGATGCGAGGTGGCGGCTGGAGGCGGATAATTCTAGCGCAGCTGGTGAGGACCACGACCACGGTGATGATTTTGATCCAACATCTTCCGGAGGAAAGCCGATGAAAAAGGCCTTCTCGGCGATCACGGCCAACCGCATCACGGACCGGCCGCCCTGGGACAATACTTTTAGTTTGATGAAGGAAATCAAACCGAGGGCGGGAGAGGAGGAGAAAAATATGGTCGGCGTGCAAGAACGTGGTCCTGTTGCCCGAAACAAACAGAAAGGGCCGGCGTCGAGTAAAAGCAAGAACAGGAACAATGCTGGTACTACCATCAGGCAAACCCAAAATGGAAATAACGCAAACGACCCAAATAACGACCATATGAAGACCAGGAACAAAAAGCAGAAGCTGCAGCTCCTCGTTCCGTCGCACTCTATGACAGAGAATAAAGTCAGTCTTCAGCAAGTGGAAAACATGATAGAAGACGGCACAGCGGCAACAAGTGATCATCTAGAAGCGGTCGAACAGATGATGAGCGCGCTAGAGGATTGCGAACAGGCAGAGGAAGCTTTGAAAAGTCACATTGCGAAGCTGCAGTATGATGCCACACGAAGAACAGAAGATGGCGATCAAGATCTTCAACGTGATTATAGAACTACAACATGTTCAACATCAAAAAACTTCCGCAGTCCGTCCAAATTATCCTCGAAGATGACCAACAAGAACTTCGCTAAGTACTACGAAAACCTTACCTCGCCGGACAAATTGAAAAATCACGCTTGGAAAACCGTGGGCCACCCAGCGCCCTACGACGGCTTCGCGCACGGCCAGGCGTGGCCCAAAAACCGACCCGTCGGGGAGGAAATCGAGTGGGCGGAACGGCAGCACCAGATGCACGAGTATGCGGAGGCCTTGCATCGGAAGTTGAAGCGAAAGCGAAGGTCCGCGCTGCAGTGGCTGCAGCGAAATCGAGAAGTCGTGGTCGAAGCCGGGTTGGATCCGTATGGAGGTCTCAAGTGCTACATTCTCAACTGTTACATGAATTTGCAATGCAAGACTGGCAAAAGTGAAAGGAGGAAGATTGCGCCTTTTGCATTACAAGTTTGGCGCAGCCGCAGACTTCGATGCTGTTTAGCCCTTCCGAAATTTGTCATGCGAAGCCGCTCGATCATCTGCTGGCTGAAGGCACTTTTGCATGACAAATTCATGTAACAGTTGAGAATGTAACGTTTGAGAGCGCCATAATCCGGACGAGATGATCTCTGGCGACAAAGTGAAGACTGGGTATCAAGTGCAAAAAGGTCTGGGTCTGGAAGGATGCGATCTTGTGATGCATACTTGGATCACACAAAGATCTGTCATGCTTAGACAGCAAAGGGAGCTCCTGTTCCTGTCGCCGAATGAAGGCGTTTGTCATGCGGATTAAGCATTGCGAAACCGTCTCAAAACCTGTGATGCTAGGTCTTGCATGGCACACCTTCTGTGTCAAGCAGACACAGCATCACAAACCTCAGCAATCTTCCAGACCCAGACACTTTTGCAATCCATACTGGGAGTAATAAAGCAAAAGCAAGTGGTGGTGGCGCAAAAACCAAAATATCTGGCCGCCCGCAATCGGCTTCTATTCGCCCCCAGTCTGCAGCGAAAGTTCGAGCGAGTCAGGGATTTAACCAGGAGCAGCCAGCTGAGATTTCCGGAAATAAGAGCAGTAAAGGTGGCAAAGTAGTCGCTAGTACTGGTGGTCCAACATCGAGACCGCAGTCGGCCCCGCCGGCGCGACACAAGAAAACGGAAACATCAACTGGCGCTGGGGTCGTTGGTTCATCGGATCATCATGCGGGGATGAAAGGAGCTGCAAAAGGTCAACATGCCAGTAGTGGTGCTTCAGCTTCCAGCAGCAAGCGACCGTCTGGCGCAGCAGGAGCTGGTGCACCTGTGGAGGGCGCCGGGGCGCACCAGAAGGACAATATTAAACACGGTCAGCGGGAGCAGCGGTCCAGACCGCAACCGCATGAGAAAACGACCGCCAATACAACTAGCAGCAAGGGCTCGAGCAAAGAGCAGACAAAGCAGGGGCACCAGGACCCGCGAAAAAATAAAGGTCCGGTTACAACAACATCAGAAGACCAGCACGACGAGCAAGGTGGTCCCTCAACAGGCGGAGGTGCCAGTAACTTCTTATGCAACAGCACATCAACGACTTCCAATCAGGGCAAAAAAACCTCCAAAACCCAGCCTCACACTATCGTTCCCGCCCTCCGTCTCCCCGAGGCCACAGGCATCCCGTTGATGGGCATCGCGAAGAACCAGGGCGTGGCCTACAGTTACGACAATGATCACAGTAAGCGGGAAAAGCAGTGGATCCACTTCTCCCATGAGCACGAGTACCTGCAGGACAGCCCAACGAGCGATACCCGATTATGGGACTCTCAGACGTTACATTCTCAACTGTTAGTACATGACTTGTCATGCAAATTTACCAGCAAGATCGCCACGACGAAGCTGCTTCGCATGACAAATCTCCGAAGGGCTAAACAGCATCTAAATCTGCGCCAAATCTGTAATGCAAAAGGCGCAGTCTTCCCCCTTTCACTGTTGCCGTTCTTGCATTAAAAACAGTTGAGATGAGTGTAACATTTGAGAACGCCATACCGCTCCCGCAAACGGAAGAAGGAAGAAGACCCAGATCAAGAAGAAGAAGATCATAATGCCATCTTCGGCCCCTTCAGCTCCGGTATAAACCTGAACCAGCTCCAATACCGCAGAACAAAGGCGAACGACGCGGATGTCGATTTGCAGACGTCTCCCGCGGATGAAAGAGAGAAGAAAGAGGTGATAAGGAACGCAAATTCCGAGCCGAGGTTTGTGAAAGTGAAGAAGAGAAGTGGAGGAAATGGAAATGCAAAAAGACAACATCAAAACCCCACGTCAATGACTTCCTCCGAAGCTGCTGGTGGTGACCCTGCTTCTACCAACAGCAACCTCAACGACGACGCTATGGCGTTCTCAAACGTTACATTCTCAACTGTTACATGATTTGTCATGCAAAACTCCAATCAGATTCGACGCGATCAAGCTGCTGCGCATGACAAATTCTGGAAGGCCCAAACAGGCTGAGAATCTGTGCCAAATCTGTCATGCAAAAGGCGCTATCTTCCCCCTTTCAGTTTTGCCATTTTTGCATCACAAATTCATGTAACAGTTGAGAATGTAACAGTTGAGAACGCCATAGACGCGGATTCGCTGCAAGAGGCGTCGCGGGAACGGGAAAACATCGAGAACGACTTTATCCAGCATTCGCACAGCTCCGTGGAGGAGGAGTTTCTGTCCTCTTTGACCGGAAGTTCCAACGAGCCGATTGGTACTATGGAAATAAGCAACACCAAGTCAAAAAGTTCTTACATTCGGCAAAGAATTGCCATTCCCGACGTGTTCTGGGATTTTCGTTGAAGGGGCGGACGCATACTTAAGTAGCTACTTATGTGAATTTATGAGACGAAAGATGAAGCCACGGTGTGACGGTCGTCAAACCCCGCCTGGGCTGTGATCTTCTGATTAACGCGCTTCGAATAGCTGCGTCCTTGCAAAGTAAGAGTAGAGCCATTGATTCAGATACCAGAAATACACCCTGCGTAATCTTGTGCTACTGTTGTATAATAATGATAATCCGATGCGGTCGCCACGCTTCAACAGCGTCCGCCAGATTCTTTCAATAGTTCTTTCGCCCAAGTAAGTAGTTCTAAATGCCCATCGTAAAAAAGTTGCTTCACTTAGTCAGTACCTCGATATCAATTACCGCGGGAAGATGCCGAGGCACTTCTCGAATAGGTTTCAAATGAACAACAGATGGAGATACTAGTACACGTATTCATTTCGTATGGCTGACAATTGATGATTGTGGAAAATAATTACCTCGGAATCGGATTAAAATGAATAGGAATAGACACAGCTGCGTTGCTTGCTGATGTACCAGTCTAAAAAGAGCTGACATTATTTCATCCGAGCGGCTTGTCCCACTTCGAAAGAGTATGATATGAAGGTGACTGTTGAGCTTGCAATGAAAACAAAAGCAAAACGTAAATGAGAACTCGCCCCCTGCTGTACCAACCGAGCCCAAAAAAGATGAAGAAGCTGCGACACTCTGATAGCAAACTCATGGCACATGTTCTTCGTGCGGCGTTGCAACCGTTCTTTTCGTGCCAGCTGAGGGCGTCGTTTGGAATTGCACGTGGTGTGGGTTTTGGAAGGGCTCCTGCAGAGAAGTTGTGAGAGATAAAGTTAGTTTATGATCACGCTGCTGTTGATGATGACCAAGAAGGAGTTGCAGCTTCTTGTGAAGAGCGCGCGCAGAGTTCTTGCAGCGAAGCTGCTCGGAAACACCAGCAGAGAGCGGTTTGGCCAATCATGCTGCGAATTATACGATCTGCCAAAACTAGGATCTCTGAGGAAGAAGATCTTCGCATGCGGTGTGAGGAGCATTCCTGCTCGACTAGAAACGTGGGACGATGATGAAGATCTGCATTCATGGATCTGTCGAGCGTGGTGAATAAAAACGAGAGTACGAGCAAAGTGCCTGGTGAGAAGTAGAGCAAGAGTTCTTGTAGTCTTATGATGGTTTTTGCGCTAATCCCTGCCCGTCAGAGTCAGAAACCACTCCTGTCACTTTTCTGGTAAGTTCAAGAGGACAGAAAATGTATCAGCAGCCAGCACAACCTCCAGCTCCGCAAGCGGCATCGCTTCTCCGGCCGCCACGAATTTCTTCCACATCATCCCGCAGCAACTCGCCTGCGAAGTTGCGTCTCCGCCAGACGCCCCCTCTACAACTACATCCCGGCCACCAGTTGAGAACCGATCATGGTTTTCAGTTCTACCAAACGAGAGAGAACCTGCAACTCCAGCAGAAAAGCCGCGAAGCGCAAATCGATACTTGGCTGGAGCAAAATTTACGGGAGCTGGAAAAGAACTTGAAGGAACAAATCAAGCAGCTGTGGGAATTGGCAGAGAAGCGGAAGGAGAACCAGGAAAAGGAAGTGGAGGAACAGCTGAGAAAGCAGTTTGACGAACTGGATACAATTTGCGAAGAAAAGAAACAGGAATTACAGAAGGATTTTGAAGAAAAATCTGCGAAAGCTACCTCGACGTCCTCCGCGACAATAAATTATGGAAGGTCTACCTCGCAGAACTTGAACTTCGGAGCCAGGAGCATAACAGATCAAATCCTGGAGTTGCTGCACAAAATTCTGACCGCTTCAAATTTGAAAACCATCACCGGGGCTGCGGTCGATGACATTGTCGACGGACTTTTCACGGTTTTTCAAAAAGAGGTGCAGAAAATGATAAAAGCAGGAAATAACGAAGCAGGAGGTCGTGCTGCCAGTGCCATCTTCTCTACTACCAAAACTCTGCGCGTCCAAGCGTTTAGAAAGTGCATGGTCAAGTTTTTCACCGACATTGTCACCAAAGCGAGAAGTGCATCGAGAGCTTCTTCTGCACAGACTGCTAGTACAGCAGCAGCAGCACCAGCAGTGTCTTCCTCGCCAGCATCGTCGAGAAATATTAACCACGTGCCGGCGATGGCTGTATCACAACAAGTCGAAGATCACGACGAGCGAACACTTTTCTTCACCTTTGAGCGGCATCTACAGCTATTGCAGAATGTTCTTGACCCGGTGACGGGGCTTCTGCGCAACCACGCCCTATCCACGGAGGAAATTTTGGAATCGATGAAACAGAAAAGCGGACGACATCTATCTGTTGGTACAAGTGCTGCGGTCGGCGGTGATGCAGCTGCTCCTGGTTCCTCGTACTACAGCACACCACAGACAGCGGCAATTTCCGGTGTACGACCACGTGGCGCAGCACCAGAAGATAATTTGTTTTCAACTGTCGACCAGTTTCGGTTTTTGTGGCTGCAATTGCTGAAGGGAGTCTACCTGGACTTGAACGACCAACGGCTGCGAGAACTGACGCCTGTTGCTAGTGCGAATGTGATGAATTATGCAGAACCTGCTGCACCTGCCGCTCCGGGCACGACCCGAACTGGCGGGGAACAGACGACAAGTGCTGCCGGAGTAGAGTCCTCGTCGTCTTTTTTGCCAAAGGATGTTGAGCCAGCAGTTGATCATGACGCAGCAGCAGGGGAAAAACTTTCTGCGAATAAAGCGAGGGTGTCTTCTGTAAAACTTGAAGAACCGCTGCTGGAGATCTTAGCATCGTCGTCCACGCCTTCTGGTGCACAGCATCAAGTACTAGAAGGCTCTAGTAGTACAACGAACGGAACAGTAGAAGGTTCTGCTGCTGTCGTGAAGAAACAAGACACGTCAGGAGCAACATCAGGTTCTACTTCCTTCTCGCCTCAAAAAACGCAAACACTGGAGATTGTGAATGCGCAAGATTCCATCGACGTGTTGTCTCCGATTCTTTTCGACGAGGAGGTCAACATTGCTTCCTCTTCGGCGCAGCAGGCCGGAGCGATAAAAACGGCTTCTCCTGCAGCTTCGTTTCTCCCCGGTACTGCTGGATCGAAAGCTGCCGAGGAACATCAGACTCAAGAAGACAATCCTGGCGAGGAGCACCAGCTCTCCAGTCATGCCGATTTTGTCGTCGGCGAAATAGTTGTCGAGGAATCACTTGAGAAGGCCCGAGTTTCCGTCGCGGAGAGCATGAGTCGCACGTCTGCGGTTAGGACTTCGTCACGGCTGTATTTTTCTGACGGGGGAGCTGGAGGGGGTGATAACGATAAGAACAGCTATAATTCGGAAGCAGCTCCTCCGAGCTCCACAAAGGATGAAACAACAGTGCCGGGCTCTTCTACAAATAAAGCCTCCCTTGCGGGGTTGTCACCTCCGCAACAGCACCTTTCAAAGCAAGACGACACCTCCTATCGCTTGCCCCGTTTCGGCCTGCTCAGCACGAGCTTCGACAGCAGTGTTGCGAGTCCAGAGAGGCTGTCGAACAATAAAGCGCAGACGCCAGCCCAGCAACTGGAAGAGGCAGTACAGTACCGGAAACAACTACAAGCGAGCGCTGCAGTCTATGGAGTTCTCAAATGTTACATTCTCAACTGTTACACGATTTCTCATGCAAAATTGCCATCAACCTCTACTTGATCAAGGTGCTCAGCATGACAAATTTTTGAAGGGCGAAACAGCCTGAATTTGTAATGCAAAACGCGCAAGCACAATCTTCCCGCTTTCACTTTTGCTGCTCTTGCATCACAGATTCGTGTAACAGTTGAGAATGTAACGTTTGAGAGCGCCATACAGTCGCTCCTTCTGCGCAGCTGTTGATCAAGGAGGTCAAAAAGCCTCCGCTTCTTCCGCCGGAACCTGCTTCCTCTACTACTGCGACGAAGACCGCGGGATCGTCATCTTCGTACGGCTTGTTGACGGCTCCAGGGAGTACTATTGCAGCTGGAGGACGAACGACAGCTGCTTCGCCACCTGTGCCACCAGTTGTACGGCTAGGTGCCGCAAGAACTACTTCAGCTGATGGACTTGAGAAACAAGAACCATCTTCTTCTCCAGGACAAGAACCTTCTTCACGACAGCAGCAGGCTCTACTTCCGGCGAAAAACAAAATCACTGTGAATATCATCCCCTCGCCCACGCGGAACCTTGTGACACCGGAACCGCAAGGGAAGTCTGGGTCCGCCACCTGGAGTCCGCGGCTGAGCAGTCCACGGGACCACACTTCCATTGCCTCGCGACGCAGTCGATCGGGATCCAAAAAGAATCCAATTGATGACCTCCTGACAAACGACAACAACGAGGACCTCCTGCTGAAAATTAAGGAACTTCAGAAAGTCCGCGAGGAGTACTTCGAGAAGCAAAAACGGTTCTCCGAGATTGAGCGACTCGGCATTGCGGAGGGGGAAGACGCGGGCATGGAGCTCGAGTCCGGGGTGGAGAAAATTCTGGTCGACAAATACGCGCGCGACTTTGCCCGGGAATCACCGTCCGCAGCGTTAAAAGTAGGTGGGACGAGTACCAAATCATCCAGAAGTAGAAGCCGGAGTAGGAGTCCGAGTTTGGGAACGACTGGTCCTTCTCGTGGGGGACCACCTGCCAGGTCGAAAGAACAAGATACTCCTGCGGCAGCTGCAGCTCCTTCTGCAGCGGGAGGCGCAGAAGTTCTTGTTGATTCAGCGTCACGAACTCCTACCCTTCCTCCTGTAGAAACAGTTGGTGAAGAGGGTTCTTCAGCACCAGCCGGAGGTAGAACTTCTTCTGTACTAGAAGCTGGTGTGCAAGATCACAGCGACCTTTCCATGAAAATCGCCCAGGTGGACAAAATCAACGCATACATATCAGAGAGGCAACAGCAAGACCTGCTAGCGAACGCCACGAGTCTTTCGCAGCCAGTCGGTGTGCGGAAGATCTTGCCTCTGCCGAAAAAAAGTTCAGCATCATCTTCGGCGAAGAATAGCAAGGCGAGCGTGAAAAATGAAAATCTAAATCTTCCGAGGGAACGACCGTCCCCCGGCGGTTTCTTTTTGAACAACAAAAAAGCGGCAAGAGCTACTTCGACGTGTTCGAGAGACAGTAGCACTACGCCACGCGGCGGCGATGAAAAACAAAAAGAGGAACAATTACCCGGTTGCTTGTCGGCAGGAATCATGATTCGAGCAACGGAAGAAGCCGCAGCTGTAGGAAAGAACGCCGCAACCAGCAAATCAACTTCCTCCAAAATTCCACGAGGCACGAAGAGAACAGCTTCTCTAGAACCGGGCGCTTCTAAGCTACATCCTGATCCTGTCTCGACTAGTACAAGTAGCATCAGAGGAGCTCCTGCTGCACCATCACAACATCGAGCTCCTGCACCATCAAAGACAAACAAGCCCCGACCGAAATCTCGCACGGAGTGGGAGCTCGATCTGGAGAATTTCAAGCTCTCGCCGGAGGATTTGTCAGTGGTTGAGCAGGATATTGAGGAGAGGAAGAAGGAGGTCGCTGCTTTGGCCGAGCATTTTGCCTACAAAGATACAATTACCGGTGGTCCTGGTGGGGGTGCTTCCTCTCGTGGGGGTAGCAGGGCGAACAGTCCGAAGGGTTCTTGTACTAGCGCTCTTCAGTGCGGCAGCGGGGGCACAACTTCTACGGCGACTATCGGGCGGCAGTTTTTGTACGACATTGAGAAAGAGTGGCAAGAGAAAAAGGAAGAAATTCTCATGTCGAGCGCAGCTACACCTGGAACTGGAATAAACTCTGCCACTGCAGCTGATAAAGGTAGTACTGCAAAGGAGTCATAGCGGCCTAGAAGGAGCATTGAGAGTTGTACATTACAAAAATAGCTGGTAGAAAAAAGAAAAACTCGAAGAGTCGTTCGCCACCTGCACAGCTAAATAAACCAAGGTATTTGTCAACAGCTGCGGGCCATAAGGGAGGACTGCTGGATGACGATCTCAGTTGTAGTGCATTTGTCATGTCATCGATAAAAAGTCTCGCCCCTTTTCTTCTTCAAAGAGGTGAGATCTTTCGTTCTGCGATATTACTGAAAAAAGCAAGAGCGGCTACTTAGAACAAAGAAGATCTCACTTAGAACATCTACATGCCGCGTCTCTTCTTGCGATCCAGATTGCTTTACGGAGATCACCTTATTTTCATGATTTTATTTCCAGCGAGGAAACAAGCGGCGACTACACATGTTTCTTCTTTCTAGCATCTTCATGCAGCGCACTCTCGCTCTTTCCATTTCCGAACGGGCGGTCTCCTGTCAGGCGGTACTTAATATTGTTTCCAACTCTCGGAAAAAAGAAACCAGTTCCTCAAAAAAGATCGAGATCAGATATATAGTGCCTATGCTCGTCTCTTCGAAAAGTACTACAAATAGAAAAGAACTCGTCGTGTATTTCACAACAAGTCCCACCCGCGATTTGGGTTTCCGTTGATTTCCTGAAATCGTAAGTACCGCAGCAATTTCAACACTTTTGCCTCGCACAAAATAAACTTCCAACCACACTCACGACCGACAAGAACGCAGAAATAGCTAGTATAAATTCATTCAAAAAAACCCGGCCAACAAGATGAGTGTCAAAGAGGCCATCGAGTCGGAGAAGAATGGTGGGAAGATTTTCATCGGGAATATTCAAAAAGACGTCCGGGAAGAGGACGTGGAAGACGTGATGAAAAAGTACGGCGAGGTGCTTTCCGTCTGGGTCGCGCAGAACCCCCCGGGGTTTGCGTTCTGCACCTTCCGGGACCCGGCGGACGCGAAAGCGGCCATCAAGGAGGCCCACGGGTTGCAGGTGGACTTTGCGGTGGACAACGGGAAGGGCTTGCGGTGCGAAATCTCCTCCTACGCCCAGCGCCGCCACAACCCGCGCAGGGGAGACTCCCGGGACCGCCGCGGCGGGGGACGGGGCAGGGACCGGTACTTGGTTCTTGTTTCACTAAGAACGAGGATAAGAAGACGAATTTATTTGTGATGCATTTTTAGCAGTCATGTACGTAGTGGTGACCCTCCGTGCAGCAATTTTTCCAATACAACTTCAGTTCTCGTTCCCGCGGGCGGGGGCGCGGGCGGGGTCGGGACAGCCGGAGCCGCGGTCGGGACCGCGACCGGGAGCGTCGCCGCCGGGACAGCCGCAGTCGAGGCCGTGGACGCGGGGGCGATCGCGGTGGCGGGTCGGATAACTACCATCGCGGGGGACGGTACTGAAAGAAAATTCGGAAAATTGCGAGGAGCAGAAGCTGGACACGGTCACATATAAATAGTTAGAATCTTCAAAGACGTGGGGGAGCTGGTGGAGGTGGAGTCAGGAAGAACCTGAAACACGTAGAAGGAGCAGAAGAAAATTACTGGTGGAGCTGATCGCACACTTACTTCTGTCGGTGAAGAGGTTCATCTTGCAAAAGAACAAGACGATGGAGATGTGGTTCAGATCACCGACAGGTGACACACATACACGTACTGATGAGAAACTTTTAACTTTAATTTTGGCAAAACTTAGGGATGTCCCGAGCTCCTCGGGGATGAGTGTGAATGTCTCGACGCAAACAATTTGCCTCAGATTTCTCGTCAAAAAGAATGCGAGCTATGTGCTCGCGAATCAGAGACAGAGAGGCCACGGTTTCGCGCTCTGTGTGGCTCTTTGCGGCACGATTTTTTCTCGTTACTCCAGCTGCGATCTGCTACCATGATGATCGCATGTGTTCCGAGAAGAAGGCAAGCGCCTGGCTTGGTCCCTGTGCAGCTTCGGCTTGAAGATGTGGCGCTTTGTACATTGCAGGCACTTTGTGTTTGTCTTTGTTTGATGTTCCAAAACAATGATCAAAGTCAAACAGTCCTGGAAGGGGCACGCTAAGGACAAGGAGGAACAGAAGGCGAAAGGACGAAAGTTCAGGGAGTTCGCGGCCTGGGTCGAGGGACTGATTGGGGAGAAGTGGGCTGGCCAATTCAGTTCGTACAGCCCGGCGGCGCTCGCCCTGTACAACAAAGGGCGCCGCGAGAATTGGACGCATTTCGGGCACGCTTTGGGTGCAGCCGTGCCCGGCGCCATTTTGGAAGGACGACACGCGCCTGAAGCTTTTCGTCTTCCCTCGCGCAGGGCGCCGAGCTGCCCCGGCGCCGCCCGCGACTTGTCGGCCAGCGCAAGATCCAGCCCCCGGAGGCCCACGACAGCAATGGCCCCGCTGGTCTGCAACCAGGGGGCCAGGCTAGGCGACCAAGGGGCGCGCCCCCTTCGCATGGCCCCGCTGCATGGGGTGGATAGGTAGGGCCCGTGATTTCCCCACTGCGCCCCCGTATGGTGTGGGGGCCGCCGGGTCTGATGAAGCGAAGCGGCGGACAGAAGTGGCGAAGGTGAAACTCGCAGACCGAACCCGGCGGCGGTTTGCAAGGAGGCGCGCGGTGCCTTCGCGCGTTGCAGTGCCCCTTGGGCGGCCTGTCGAAGTTCAGCGGCCCAAGCGGGCCACGCGCCGCCAAAATAAAAGAAACCAAAGGGGAGGGCGGCGCGCTCCCGCGCCGTGGGCTTTCCGTTTTATTTCCGGGGCGGGCGCCGGACCGCCCAGCAGCATGCATGCCCGTGCCCCGCTTCCTGCTGGCGCTTTTCTTCCAGAGGGGGCGCCCGCGCGGGCAATTCCGGAGCCGGCAAGGGCCGCCCGGGCTGCCGGAAAGACGCAAGGATAAGGCGGATCGCGCCATGGGCATCGCCGACGCGCTCGAGGGCCCCGGCGATCGAAAGCCCCCCAGCCGACTACAGAGAAGACACGGACGGGCGCCCGGCAATCCGCGCCCGGATAGGTTGGCTCGGGCCCCACACCCGGCCGGCGGCGTGGCGCATTCGCCCGGCACTGGCTCGGCGCGCGCGCGGCAGCGGGGCGCGGCGCAATGCCCGCAAGGCCGCGAGCCAAAGCCGGGCGGCCGTGGCCTTGCGCCCGGCTTCCGCGCGCTGCCTGCGCGCGCGGCGCTTCGATCGCCGGCCGCCCCGGCTGCCCACCCTGGGAGGGCACTTGTTGCTTGGGGCCGACCGAGCGCCCGCGCTAGCCTGAGTGGCCCCATTGGGGGCCCGCCGGCCCTGTGTGGGCGTAGGCCGGCCCAGCCCCCCCTGGTCCCTCCCTCCGCCGCGTTGGCCCCGCCGCCGTTGTGTGTATGTGTCGTTGCGCGCAGCCCCCCTAGCCCTAATACACCCCCGGCGGCTGGGTTTTTGTAGGTAAGTGTGGTTACACTGGCGCGCTTTGCCAGGTGGCAGACTAGCCCGCCGGCGCGCTGCCCTTGCCCTGTTGAGGTTGTTCTATCCGCATACCGTGCCCGGTCATTTGGTTTTGCTGTCTTCCGTGCGTGCGCGAAGCTCGTTGTTGCCGTCTTCTCGGCCCGGCCTTTCCTCATGCCGAAGGAATCGATTCCGATTGGGGCCGTCCGCTTGGCGCAGAACTTTTTTGACACCCTTTGCGCGTGGCGCGGACGGTATGCCCTGCATGTGCTTGCGGTTGTAACATTCTACGGCTTGCGCCAGGTAGTATCTGTTCGCTTGGACGCCCTTTTTTGTTGTGTGAGGGTAAGCTTTTCCTACAAACAAAGACCAACACTCGTCATGAAGCATGCAACTCTTGCAAATTTTAGTGCCATCTTTGTAGGATTGCGATTGAAGTAGAGGTCGTGTGGCGTTTTCCTAGTTGTTTCCTGCAATTGCTCTGAAAGCAAAAGTTGTGACTCATTCTGGCCGAGGAGCGCGTGTTCGAGTTCGCTCAAAAAGGGAGGACATCCACGCACCCCAACGCGCATCCAGCTGCTGATCCTCCGGTCTTGAATAAAATGACGGCCACTCCTATTGGTAAAGCCGACTCGGCCTGCGGCGAGGTATTTCTACGCGCGGCGGCACGCAGGGCTGAGCCACCAAATAATAATGAAGGCGAGTCGATGTCGAACTCGAAGTCATGTCGTGCAGCAGGTTCTCCGCACGACAAATCCACTTCTTGCACCGCTCCCGCTCAGGATAACGACGCTGCAGGGAACAAGCAGCACCGGAGCCACGGCCCTGTAGATGGCATCGACCGCCCCAGCGAACTGAAAATGATCACCACGACGACGATCTCCAGTGGTGATCCCCACGACCCGCACCAAAAACTCTCGACGAACACACGACGCGATCCAATCCAACCGCTGTCTGTCGAGAAAGAGGAAGAGGAAATCGATGTCCCGACTACAACAACTTCCACCACAACGACCAAAATCGTCGAGAAGGTCTTGCGCATCATCCCGTTGTTCGAAAACCGGATTTACACGATCCCCAATTTCGTCTCTGACGAAGAAATCGAGTACCTCCTCGCCCTCGCAGACGAAATCGGTTGGACGCGGTCCTTCACCTCCAAGTCCACGCACTACGACGCGGAATTTGACGCGGACGGCAACCGCCACAGCGAAAACAGGACCAGCATGTCGTGCAGCTTGCCTAGATGGTCACCCCCGAGAAGTACGAGTAGTACTACAACCAGTGCCTGTAGTGCCTCGTCCACCGCTGTATTGCAAAAGTTGCTTCTTGACGACCCGGTCCGCACGGTGATGCGGCGCGTGGCTGCGGTGTGCGGAACTAGCGTGAGGAAAGTGGAGGACCTGAATATGGTGAAATACAAGGAGGGGGAGTTCTTCAATGAGCACCACGACGGTGGGTTTCGGCCCAAAACGGTGTTTGTTTACCTCAACGACCTGGGGAGGACGAGAAAAGGTGAAGGCGAGTACACAGGAGATGAAGTGACTCCACCAACTTCTTCGTCTGCGAGGAATGCGAAGGCTTGCGAGGGCGGGGCACAAGAACGGGATGGAGGACAAACAGAAGCAGAAGCTGCAGAAGAGAGCGATCCTCCCGTTGTTCTAGCTGATGAAGATCTTCACCTCTCGTCGCTGGGCGAGGACAGTACTATCAGAAGTAAAAAGACAGCAGAAGAACCGGAACAAGATTATGGCGGGCACACCATTTTTCCAGAACTTGGCATTCATATTGCGCCGAAGAAGGGATGCGCTTTGCTGTGGAGCAATGTGCTGGAAGCGGATCCGGAAAAAGCGGATTTGGCCATGGTGCACGCTGGGGAGCCGGTACGGGGGAAGGGAGTCGTCAAGTACGGCATCAACTGCTTTTTAAATCGGGAAGACATGGAATGAGGGTATGATACCGTGCACCAGATTTGCTGATGTACGTGCGTTTCTACGACTCACGTGTTGAAGAATTTTGCGGTCCCTACTGAATTTTTGGCAAGATGAAGTACTAGAAAGTGAAAGCTGCGACATAATTTTTGTGGTCTGTAGACGATGTAGAATCTATCACGTTCTTGAGATGACTGGCGAAAAATAAAAATCGCTTTTCTTTTTCGCTCGAGATGAAGATGATCTTCCTTTGCAAAAAACAAATCGCTGCGAGGCTTGGCTTTCGTGGATTTCCGTTGCGACCTCTGAGCCGGAATTGCACGCCGAAGAACTCTTCAAGTGTGCTGTCATGCTTTGTTCGACAAGCGCCAGAAAGGGAAGCTTCAGTTTTTTAGCTTCTGTTTGTCTCTTTTCGGCACGACGGCCTGTATTTTTCTCTTCACAACTGCGTCCTTCGTTCGTTGCTTCAGAGAGTGGGCCAAACAAAGCACCCCGATGGCATTCAAAATTTGAAAGCAATTATATAAAAGAACTGTCACTAGGTCTAGGGGAAACAAAGAAACACGGAGAGAACAACTAGACATAGCACAGCAGGTGCGTGAGCGTGGAAGCTTCCACAGCTTCTGTTGAGTAGGCACGTGACGCTGACATTCTCGTTGAGGGCACAAATAATGCGTTGCAAAATCGGTCGATGTTGACGTTGAGTCGACTACACCAGCAAAGTATGGCTCGACGACGTGTCATCGTCCCCCCCTGCTGTGATGTGCTTTCCTTGTTCCCCATGGGCGGGCCCTTCTGCCGTCAACAAAACTGCAAAGCGGCAAAGTAGATTTATTTATATGTGAAGATGATAATTGTTATTGTGCTGCTCCGCTCGAGGCTACTTTAGGTCAGCATCGAATCAAAATCGTTTCAAATTTGTCTTTTTCTTCGACTTTGTATCTATCTGTTGTCTTTCGGTTCGCGAGGTTTGGTAGGTACTTACCCTGCTGTTGCCCGTGAGTGTACTCAAATCTTAATACAAAAAGTTCCGACTGGTGCAGCCCAGGGTGATGTGCCATACTGGCGCGAATTGTTATGCCCTTTTGCAGATACAAAACGTCGGCACTACTACAGCGACAAAAATCAAAAAATCGTGATTGATATTGCACTAGTGCACTATCTTTTGAGAGCACGGCTTTCGCCGGCATTGTTTAAGTCCGAATAGTACGCTTTCTTGTAATTGTACTGGACGAGTAGTAGCACTAAGACGGTATACGACCACATTGTCGCTAACGCTAGCTATGTAGCGTCTTAAACACAAAACTAATCCGAAACAGAGTTTCAATTTCTATTTATACTTTACGGTATTTTAGCTGTATCTATCTATCACTCACGAACATGTTGACTCTGACATTAGTCTAGTTGTTGGGGGCTTCTGCCTGGTGTGATAGGTACACACAGGAGGAGCAATTTTTATGATAAAAGTGCACAGGTATGTTTTTATGTTGAGAGGGAAACCTATACAAGGCTTCGAAGCTGGTGTACAGAGTCCTTGTTGCGTCCTGCTCTTCATTTTTTCCCGAAAGCTGCTGCTTGGTCTACCTACAACCGCATGGAGTTACCACCGGCGCTTTTTTGCGGATTTTTGAAAACAATGTCTCACACTTACTCAATCGCTATCTTCATGTTGCAGTAGTCTCCGGAATAATGCAAATATCTACAAATTCAAATCATACAAATGTCAATGTGTAAGATGCCGTGCTTATTGGTCTCCCTCCAGCATACTATAAGGAGATTATCTTTTACGTTTACCACTGTATGAAGAACTTTACTTTTGCTTAATATAGTGAAAAACCGTGAGTAGTACGTGTACGACTTCCTGTTTCTTTTTTAGAGAAGTTTTTGCTTTTGACCAGTCCGGTGTCCGTATTTACGGCATGAGCTAACGTTTCGCTTTTCGAGAAAAAGTCCTTTCCTGCGAAACATAGTGACTCTGACTCCCGCCAAGAAGAGAAATCCCCGGACCTACTTTATCTTCAGGTGCTTAAGTAGAAGAACAAGAATATCGAGTGATTTCGCATTTTTGTGCAATGCACTGCTCTCTTTTTCATTTTTTACTTTTTGCCTTTCACATCTTTATTTTTTACCTGCTCTAATGCAGCCTTTCTCCAACTCCAATCTAGAAGCCGATAAAGCGGCCACGGCCAGCGGGGCCCCGGGACTGCATAAGCCTGCTTTGCAGCCGCCGCCCGTGATCCCATCGGTGCCGTCGTATTCAACGATACGAAATATTTCGCACCAGGAGCACTCGCGGAGTGTGTCCCGCCCTCATTCAAGGGGAGCGGAGTTTGACATACAAGACCACCAGGTCTTTTTACAACCGCATATCAACTCTGCAACTACAACCTCCTCCGCGGCTACGTCTGAGCATACTAACAACTCGGATTATACCCTTACTCACCAGCTAGTACATCAAGGGGCGTTAACAAATCACTTTAAAAATTATACGGCTACTACGTATGATCATGATGATGCCGCAAGGGCCAGCTTCTACCAACAAAATTTACTCTCCGTACCCGCCCCAACCTCCATCTTTAATACTGCGGGAGGAGGTGCAGCTGCAGCTTCAGGAACTCCAAGAAATGGCTCTAATATAATCGACCACGAAACGTCGCGGGAGGTCACGGTGAACTATCAAGTGTGAATAGGGCTGGGTCTTCTGGAAGAATGCGAGATCTGTCATGCAGTTTTTGCCTGACCCAGATCGTCTGGCATGCAAGCGCTAGCATCACAGATTTTGAGAAGGTACCCTAATGCCTTCTAATCCGCGTGACAAATCCCCTCTTTGTTCGGTAACAAGAACCAGCAGCTGGGGCCTTTTGCTAGCCAGGCATGACAGATTTTGTCATGATGTACACTTCGCATCACACATTCGAATTCATCCAGACCCAGACATATTTGCGATGCATATGAATACGCAGAGTCTGATTTCTTCTGGCCGCAGCTTATCGATCACCACCAGCCGGAACTTTTCCAGCAACAAGGCTACCGTTAGCGGGGGTGCTGCAACAGAAGCTACCACGAGCAAGAACTCGGCTCCTTCAGGCGGCAGGAGTGGTCGGGGGATTCTCGTCGGAGCTGGAAGAAGTGTGGGCTGCACAAGGACCAGACCACGAGCTTCTACTTCCACGCGCTTCTCCTCTGCTGGAGGTGCGCCTCCGAGCAAGCAGGCCGTGGTGCCCTTCGAACACAATCTTGAACAAGTCGTTCCTAGTACAAGTGGTCCTCCACCAAAGGAACTACAAGCGGACCAAAGCGGAGCAGCTGGTTCTTGTACTAGTGGAGTCATCTTCGCTACTAGTACGGGTGGACCGCTGGCGCAGCTTTCCTCACCACCGCGAGCTGCACTCGCTGCTGCAGATAGCGGGGGCCCTGGCCCTGCAAGTTCAGCAGTGGGTCGACTGGTACCGCTCGGATTAACTACACTTGTTCCCAGGAAGATGCAGCATTTGTTCCTGGCGCCGCGAAACTGTGAAGACGCAGATGAAGGGACGATAAAAAAGCAGGACTATACTAGGAAAAAAGGCGATAACTACGATAGTAAAAATCACATGACCGCTGGTACTATGCTGAACAGGGACCAGCACACATTGAGCTTGCAAAACAATCCTCCGGACTCGCCTCCCACAACTGACGACATGATGAACAGAGCTGCTGCAACGACTTTATTGCTACAAGACGATTACAACGAAGGCTCCCCAGGAGCACCGGATAAGAACTCGGAAGATGCAAGAACTGCAAAAAAGAAGATGATGCACTTGGTTAATACGGGCAAAAATACTTCCGCACCTGGGACGTGTTCACGACAGGCACACGACCAGGGCGAAGTAGTTAGGTCAAGCGGTGGAACATCAACAAAAAAATCCGCAAGCAGCAGCTATATCCGGCGCCAAGTGATCGGCAACCAGGTGTTTATATGAACTGCAAAAGTATCGTACTCGAACTCGTATAAATGCATGACAAATTTCCTCAGCGTGAGAAATAAAATTTGTAATGCAGATTTACCTTAGGAAAAAAATTCGTAATGCATGATTGCAATACGAGTGCGATACTTTTGCACAGGATAGTTCAGCAGTTGCAGCAACGCCGACGCGAACCAGAAGCGGAAGTGCTGGGTGAGTGTGACGCCTTTCACCTTTTATAACATCGACCCGTGTGAAGAAACCTTCACCTGCACATACCGTATTGACTTAGAAGCGGAGATTCCGCTGGCAGAATGGCAGTTGAAGACGAAGGGAAAGTTCTCGACGTCTGCATCAAGTGCAGCTGACAACTCTACAAGTGGCGCAGGAGCCGAAACTACAGCTGGTGCATCAAAGAGCGGCAGTAATCCTGCAACTACGACCAGTGGGAAACATGACAACAGCACCGGAGGACGAACTACGGGCGGGAATCCGACCAACTTGAAGAATTACAACTCTTCGCGTGAGGACCAAACGTCCAGTAGCGGGGAGCAGCTCGTGCAGCTGCAGAGCAGCAAAAATGCTGCCGCAAATAAAACCAGGACCCCGGCGCTCCTGGACGAGCAGCACGGGGCGTCGGAGGAGGCGGACGCTGGTGCCATTTCCGCAAGTACCCGGGAAATCGAGCGCTTTTCGGTGAAGACAAACGGTATAAGTTTTTTATACGATTCATTGTTCGATTTGATTCTGACTTTGCAAGAAGGACAACTCCGATGGAGCAGGACGCATAGTGTGCTAGAACTACCTGTAGAACAAGTATGAAAATCCGGTTTTCACATGCTTGTAAAGCTGAATTTCAAAAAATTCCCTAAGCCATCATCAAATACCACGGCACAGCGTCCTCCGCTTCAGTGGCGCAGCGGAACCGCGGACTTTCGGTGGAAACGCGGGGTGGTGTACCACGTGCGCAGACAAGCAGCCTTGCTTCCAGTAGCCAAGATGGCCACAACTCGCGGTCTTCGAGCATTTACGACAGGCCGGACGTCCAGCTGGATTCGCAGCCCTCAAGTACCAGTCCGGATCACCACCGGGCGACTACTTCCACGCCTAGTGGGGGAGGAAATGTTGACCATGGTGAAGACCATGACCATCAAACGGGGAACACGACCAGTATGGCGTTCTCAACTGTTATATTCTCAACTGTTGCGTGACTTTGTGATGCAAGAATGGCAAAAGTGATAGGTGGGATCTTGCCCGTCTTGCATGACAGATTTGGCACCGATTATTAGCCTGCTTGGTCCTCTGCAAATTTGTCATGCGAAGCAGCTTGATGGTGTCGATTCTGAAGGCAATTCTGCATGACAAATCATGTAACAGTTGAGAATGTAAACGTTTGAGAACGCCATAAGCAGCACACCGGTCGTCGTGGTGGTCAGCAAGAATCGGGGTGATCGACATCAAACAAGCTGTAGCTCTAGTAACCGCGTAGTTCAGATTGGTGAAGACATCAACCATAACGAAGAAGGCCACACAAAAAACCAGCATTCGGAGGAGCGGGGAAATCTTCCGCACCAGGAAAATACAAGCGGCAAGATGAACAATAATAGTGAACAAAACCAAAACGACAGCAACGAAAGCTGCAACGAAAAGAATTTTATGCAAGGGTCCAACTTCTTCACGCGCGCAATTATGCAGCTGAACCGCACCCGCTCCAGCACGGAGCAGGCCCTGCACGGGAGCAGTCCGTCCGACCCATTCAGTAACTCGAATAATTCCCGAGCTGGAGGGGGTAGAGCGGCCACTGAGAGGGGCGGACAAGCTGCATCAAATTATGACCACAAGAACTTCTACCCTACGAACACCAGTTTGGCTGCAGGAGCAGCAACAAGCAGAAATTTTACAAGTGGCAGCCAGCTCACATCACAACAGCACCAGGATCATCTTCGAGAAGAGCAAAACTGGCAAGTAGAAGAGGAAAACAATCACAATCACCAAGATCCGCGGACCACCTCTCAGCCGTCGAGTCGCGCGGCGAATGAGCAAGACGTGCCGACGGTATCAACTGCAAATATGTCTGGGTCTGGAAAAGTGGAATTTGTAATGCGTGTCTTGCATTCCTAGAAAATCTGTGTTGCGCGAGCAGCAGAAGAGCCGCTTCCTTTGTCATGCGAAAACGCACTTTGTGATGCGTGATAGACATCAGAAAGCGTTTCAAAAACTTGTCATTCATGGCAAGCGTTGCAATTAGCAGGAAATCTGCATCACAGGTTTCCAGACCCAGACATATTTGCACTGCATAGACGGTGGAGGGAGACGATGAGCACGAGGAAAGGACAACCAGATACAACGAGTTCCGGCGCAGACGTATTTTCAAGAATAGTAATGGGAGTGGTGCTCCTGCTGGACAGCAGCTCCACGGCGAAAATAATCAGGGAGGCAACAACAGGTTTTACAACGAGCAGAGAGGGACGAACACCAACACGGCGGGGGAAAGAACAACGACGAATAACAGTAATTCGAACTCCAACTCGAACGACCGGCTGAATCGGATGAATGAAAACAGCAATAGCGAGGAAAATTTCAAAAACGAAAATACAAATATCAACGGGTGGTCGAACCAGGGTGGCTCCTCATCTTCCGCGACGAATAAAAACTGCAGCAGCGGTGTCGTGATGAAAGATCAGTACGTGGAGGAAGAAAAGCTACTGTTCCCCTTGCCGAAATTCGTGCACAAAAACAGCATATCAAGTGCAAAAATGTCTGGGTCTGGAAAAGTTTAAACTTGTCATGCAGATTTTCCATGACCCATGAGGTCTGGAATGCGGGACTTAGCATGACAGACTCTGCGAGGTCTCTGCCATGCCTATGCTGCATGAGAAACTCCCGTCCAACTTGGTCAAAAGTGGACAGCTTTTGGCACTCATGCAACACAGATTTTTGCATGCTTCAGATTTACCATGACAAGTTGCCGCCTTCCAGACCCAGACACTTTTGCAATCCATACAGCATCGACCTCCGCATTTTTTGGACCTCCTGGACGGCCGAAATGCTCGAAAGAGAAGCTGCTGGTGTAGAAGTTGTTCCAGCACCGGTAGAAGTTTCTTCTTGTTCGCAACCTGAGCAACAACATCTTGCGACGCCGGAGGGGCAAGGAGAACATCAACCACAAACCCGTGCAGCTGATGATCAAGCAGCACGGGGAAACATAGCGCGCGAAAGGAATGTGGTTCTTAATAAAGCTGAAGATCGTGATGCGCACGAAAGAGCACAGCAGCAGGGGGACAGTACTAGTTCCAGAATGAACTGCAAGAACTTTTCTAAGGATTACAACTGCTACCAAGAACACAGCGGCTCAAGAGCTTCTACCAGGACCCGCGGGCCTGTCTCCACGACAAGCAGTTCTGCGACGATCGCCCGGACGCAGATGCTCACCTCCAAGTGTCGGACGCAGTTCGACTTGCAGGCCTTTCCGTTCGACCGGCAGGAGTTGCGCCTGGTTCTGTTCAACCTGCCCCAGACCGGTTTGAATTGGGACATCATCGTGGAGCGCGACCACATGGCGCGGGCGGTATCGGCGCTCGAGATCAGTTGGAAGGACCCCGACTGGGCGCTGATACCCGGCTCCTTTCGGGTGCACCGGGAATGCCACCCCGTCTACGGCGACCGGATTTTGGTACACGTCGAAGTGCGAAGGCTGTGGATGTGGTAGAGTTTTTATTTACTTAAAAATGTTGTATATGCAGTTGCAGTCTTTCAGCCGGTTCTTTTGGTTTTGCAATTATGACGAACAAGTTACTCTTCAAGACAATTATGACGAACAAGTATCATCATCTAACTCTCAAAACGAACTGCAGGTACATTTGGAACTTCTTTGCCATTCTCTTCCTGGTGACGACGCTGGCGTTTTCCGGTTTTGTCTGGGAGGGTTTCGTATGTATTGCAAAAGTATCGTACTCGTATAAATGCATTACAAATAATTTCCTCAGCATGAGAAATCAAATTCGTATTGCAGATTTGCCTTGGAAACAAGATTTGTAATGCAAGACTTGCATTTGTTTTTGTACGAGTGCGATACTTTTGCACAGGATATTTCGAGGAGGATGGGCCAGCCCGAAACCCCTACGACTCGATCGAAATCGCTCTTCTCGCGCTCCTCACCATCGTCAGCTTCAAGAGCTACATGAGCGGAAGCTTACCGAAGGTACTTAACAATCACTATTGAGATGATCATCTGCTCTGATTCTAGTATTAAATGCCCGTTGTACTACAAAATATAGAAATCATTTGTCGTGGTCTTATTTTCGAGGTTTGAAGATTCATTGCGTTGACTCACCAAGTTGTGCACGAGTGAAGATGCCTATGTTGCCTTCCGGTTCCGATATATAGCTAATGATGTTGAGTAGAAGTTGTGATTATATCCAGCGAGAAATAGAAATAAGTATAAGCACGTACACGACACGTCCACGTGTCTAAAAATAATTCAAATTCTTAACAAGGTTGCCTACATGACGATGTTAGACGTGTACACCATGGCCTCCCTGACCTGCTGCATGGCGACCATTGTGCTGACCTGCATCCGCATTTACTTCCAGCTTTCCTACCAGCACGAAGTGACCATGGCGTTTGCGCTGTACGGGCTCTACACGCTGTTTTTCCACTTTTTCTTCGTGAAGAAGGCTTTGAAATACGTGCGAGAGCAGTACGCGATGGAGGACATGACGGGCATGTATGGGAGAAAGAAAAGCGGCATTTTTTTACCGACTTCCTCCTTCTACAACCGATTCTCAACGACCACGACCTCTGCAAGTCGGGGGAACAACGCGACGAACAATATTTTCAACGGCAGCAGCTCGTCCAGCTGTACGGTAGGCGAGATGGACCACCACGGGCGGATGAGGACTTCCAATTTGTTCGGTGGCGCCGGCGGACCCTCCAACGACTTCGCCTTGCAACTGCAGGAAGCGATCGAAGTTTTCGGAGGGGCTGAGACATCAAACCGGGACAGCCGCAACAACGTCGGCCAAAACCAGCAAGGACGTCGAGAGCAGGGTCAGCACTATGCGCGGATGAGCGAGGAAAATTTGAAGCAACTCCTTCCAGTCACTCCGCCCCACGACCCGACAAACAACTTGCTAAAAAACACAACTGGCGAATTCATGAGGCGGGAGCGTCGGGTTTCGAAGTCAGCGCCCCGGAAAATAACGCGAAGTCAGGAACTAGTTGTACACACGGGCGTGTCCTCGGGCGTGGTAGCAGGTGGTGAAGCTGCTTCTGGTGAAGTACTAGCGAGTAGAAGATCTCCCCGAGCAGGACATGAAGCCCAGAGCAGGGCGACAGAAGCTGCTACAACACCAGCAGCAACATGCGGGCAGCAGCTGCCCTCGACTTCTGAGCAGAATCAGAATCCAAAAGATCAGAATCTTGCACATCAGGAGTCCTCGCAGCAAGTAACAATTCATCCAGCACCTGCTCGTGGCAAGAATGATTTGATTGCAAAGCCGCTTGGAGAAGTAGACGCAAGAAAAGACGAAGTTGTTCCGAACAACTGTTTGCACCAAGGTGTTGATCATCTTCTTCGCATTTCAACAGAGACAAACGAGCTGCATCCACACAACATTCTTCAGCAAAGCCAGCATGATTACCCGGCAGCGTCGCGAGAACTACACATTACGAACGACAGCCGGACGGTGCCGTCAGCGACGGCGCACTCTCCGAGTAATCTTCATGGTGTAAAAAAACCCGCTGGTTCCAGCAACATCCTCACAAGTTTTGTGTCCCAGTTCTCCTCTACCTTCTCTCGGAGCAAGACTTCTTCTCGTGGCGCCGCCGCCGCGCGGCCCCCACAGGAGCAGCTGTCACAGCCGCAGCCGCGACCTCGGGGAACCAGCTTGACCCGGGCAAGTATGAGCTGGGAAGCCAGCAATGATTGGATCGGCGCGACAAACAAGCACCAGTTTTAGAGGCCGGAGGTGAACAAGTAAAGTCGTGCGTCTCAATTAATAACAGATATTCAGCTGCACGTGGTTTGTCTTTGTTGTAAAAGAAAAAATAGTTTCCGTTGCGGTCTGTCATAATTTTTTGTTTCCGAGACGATAGCAAATAGCACAAGAACTACATCACATGATGAAGGGCGGATGTTAAATTTGCCTTCGGTATGAGCAGGACCAGGAGGACGTGGTCACACACCGCGGCAACGGCACAGATCAGGAGTCAGTAAAATGACTAACACGAAAGGAGCCGGTACAGACTGGGAGTCCGAGTCGATAGTTCATGTCTTTGTTATTTTTCACTTAGCTCGTGCAGCAATGAACATTTTTTTTCCACCATTTTTGTAGCATAAAAGAAAAAGAGAAACTGCAGCAAGAAGATGCACAATTATCCAGATTTTGCCGATTAGCATGCCCCCTACAAGTCAGCTGTTTTTTGCGGTTGACGATGAATGACAATGATGTGCTGGGCGTACTAGTTGTATCAGCAAAGCTGATGGTCGACGGCTAGACTCCTTTCCAAGAAAAACAGATACCATATGTAAAGTACATCATTTTATCCAGTTCCACGCAAAGAACTACACATGATGTTTCTCTTCCTCAGTATGCAGTTGCAAATGCAGGTTCTCGTCAAGAACTCAGCCAATTTCGACGGCTGATGATGAACAGGTCGACTCCACTGTCGCACGAATGGTTCAACTACATGAAAATTAGGACTACTAAATTCAACAATATTTTGGGGATGATTGATAAAGAAGAAAAAATGTACAAAGAATTCCAAATTAAAATGACGAAACATACACATGATGGACAAAAACATGTAATTTGAAAGCCTCGCGGTCGCGCTCGCCCGCGTACAGCGAAATGCTTCGTCTTCGCTCCTCCTTCTCCTGGGGAAGACGACCCCCGGGAAGAACAAAAGCCGAAGGAGCCTTAGCGCTAGGACATCAACCAGTGTAGTACTTTTCGTAGGACGATAGAAAAACAAAAGTAGTACTTTGTGTTGATCGATCCACCGTCCTTATTGTAACACAAGCACTGCTCTTGCAACGAACTACACAATCAACATCTTCTTCTTCTTCATCGTAACTACAATAAAGAGATCGTTCTTCTAGCATGTCGCGCTGTAGTCCTCGTGTTTGCTTGCATTCAAGAATTCGGAAGGAAATCCAACTTCTGAAATCATTGCACCGTTTTCGTTCTTGTTGACCGTATTATCGTCGAAATCATTCTGTTGTCGTCCCGTTCCCTTCGTCCATTTCTTGACTCATTTCGTGTGCGAAGGAATTCTGTTTCTTTATTCCCTTATCTTGCGACTTCTATGTACCGAAATTTTGCTGAATTTGTCTTCTTGGTCCATGGTGGCTGATGCTGAAGAATTTTTGCGACGGAACAGCTTCGTGATTTTTTTGGTCGTAAAAAGTATTAAATACGATCAACTTCAGGTTTACTACGTAGAACTACGTGTACCCACAGCCACAACCCTGGCGCACCACTCAGTTGTAGCTCTAGAATCAGAAGATAATTCTCACATCCCAAAATTTTGAAATTTGTGTCTCCTGACCTCGCTCCTGTGGTCTCCTCCTAGGATAGAATTTGAATCGGAAGTGGTCGTAGTAGAAGTCCAACAATTTAGAACAATAGACGGGAAGATAAAATTATTCGTCAAAATGTTGTTCAGTATCACGTCGCCGGAACTAGTACGAGCAGAACAGGCACAGTTATTCAACAGGCCGGGAACAAGCAAAGTTGATGTTCACGTTGCCGAGACCGCGAAGATGATGTCACCAGCAGGAGAACTTTCAACCTCTATGGCGGGCAAAAAGAAAAGAAGTCTCCTGTTTGGTGCAAGAACTTCTTCTGTGTTTCTCACCGTCAGCGTTACGAATCTGCGTCACGCGGGTGCGCTTTCTTTACAAAAGAAGAACCCAGGAGCACCTGTTACTACAAAAACCGGGAAGATGAACAAGAAGATGAAAAAAACTGTTCTTGTTGATCATCGTCCACCTCACCAGCAACACAAAGACGACAACGTCGCACATTCATCCAAGTTCCTGCCCTCTGCAACTCTTTCGACCGCGGCTTCCGCTCCGGCCTCTGGGGGTGGAGGCGCGCCGGCGCTTTCGGAACTCCAATTGCAGGAGCACCTGCACCAACGCCGAACATCAACCAGCACGACCGAAACCTCGACCACTACACTGGTTTACTACGAGCTTTTGAAAGACGAAGGACTTTTCGGGCGCCAGTGCCTCGAGACCATCGCAAACTGGCGGTTTTTCACGTACGGCCTGATTCCCCACACGGTACCAGCCGATCCGGCCGCTTTCGCCGAGACCTGCACTGCTGAAGACTGCGAGGGCAAGTGCAAAAGTTCTTGCGCAGAAACAGACACCTGTGCCGCGTGGGAGTTCCTGACAACCGGTGAAGCCACCACGTCCCTCCTTGGCGGCTCCAACGAGGACCCGGCCAAGGTGGCGCACTGCCGGCACTTTGCTTACGCAGACATCGAAGACAAAACCCACCTCCTGGTCTCCGTGCCCGTGTGGCAGCAGTACGGAGACGACGTTGATGTCGAGAACGAGTTCGAGAAAATTTCGGCCGCGAATGCGAAACAGGGTGCGAGCGGCTTTTGCGTGCAGGAAGCGCGGGACTTGACATTTGTAGAAGAAGAAAAATGGAATGCTAAAAGCTTTGACGTGATTCGGCGCCGACTGACGACTGCGGACCTGGAGGAACACGCGGCGAAACGCGACGCGCGGCAGAACGCGTTGGAGCAGAGTTTGCGCCAGGAATTTCCGGACTTGCCCGACGCCAACATTACGGAGAAAATCCAAACCGATGGGCTGAACGAGTACGCGACCAGGAAACTGTTTCACATTCCCTACGAAGGCTTCGTGAATGACGGTGAAACCGCGTCCGCGGTTCCCTGTGACTACCGCCGGTTAAAGGACAATTTTCAGGCCTGGAAGGAGAAAAGTGCTACGGAAGGGGTGAACGGCGCCGAGGTGCCGAGCAGTCCGGCTTTGGATGAGTCGAGCTACGCGATGCTCCTCAACGCCACCGCGGCTGACCTCGAACTGGCGCGCGCACGAGTTGAGGATGACAAAACAACGCACTACTACGTGGAAAACTGCCCGTACTACAACCGTCTGAACCACTGCGGCGACGCGAAAACTGGCGCCGGGGGCGGCGGCTGGTTGAAAGATTATGGCCCGCGGGGCCACGACAACTTCGAGGTACGTCGAGACCCCGGACAAAAGTACAGTCCATACAAAGACATACGCACAGCCATTCACGAACATGTCAACGCGCAACACACAAACTGTTACGTGCAGTGCGAGTGCTCCCAGCAACCGCTCAAGGTTCGGGCCCCGCGCGCGCAGCGGGCAAAGGCGGACGACGGGACGGCTGAGGAGCAGCACACCTGCCTCGAGCCCCTCCCTGCTTCGCTGTTTTTCGATCTGCAAGCGAGGAAGAAAGTGAAAGACGACGGCACGGTAGAGGTGGTGAGCGATCCGGCCCCAGCAGCGTTGGGCACATCTATTGCGATCCCCCCCGGCGCCCCGGTGCTGGTCTACCCGGGCGCCGCGGCCACCGCCGCTGGCAGCAGCCGCGCGGTCGCACGGTGGGAGGGCGAGCGTGCGTGCGAGAAGAGCTGCGACGACAGCGTGGACTGCGCCGCGTGGCAGTGGCGGCTGGACCGAGATGCGGGGGAGGAGCTGCTCCCGGCTAACCCCCCTAACAGTGACGCGGCGACTTCCGAGCGCGAGCCCACGGGAACCTGCACGACGTACGACTTTACGGAAGTGGAGGAACTGTTTGTGTCCACAACGCTACTCTCCGTTTCCGAGAACCAGATTGAATTCCGGGCCGCCGTCACGAACGAGAAAAAGGTGCTCGAAAACTTTGGCCTCTTGCCCGAGGACTACGTTGCCACGCCGCTGAACGACCGCGTGACCGGGCATTTGGGTGATCACGCTGCCTACCAGGCCCGCCTTTTTCCTTCCCCGGCGAACGCGGAAACGAGCCGGGTGGCCCAGTCCTACTTTTTGACCCAACCCGGCGCGAAGTCTTGCAGCGATTCGGGCCGAATCGGGGGCAGGTCGTTGCCGCGCGACTGGCAGGGTCAAGAGACGGGTTGGTGGTATGACCCCGTGGGCCCTTTGGTCGACTGGTCTGAGCGCGACGAAGCCAAGGTCGCGAGCACCGCCAAGGAGTGCGAGAAGGTCGGTAAGCTGTTCGCGGACCTCCTGCAAGGGGGGGCAGCAAAAAATGATCCCGCGGCCACGAACAGCAGCAAAAATGTGACCATCGCCGAGAAGGCCGATGGCCTCATGTGCCAGGAGGAAACCTTGGGGAAGGAGATCCCGCTGTCTTGCTCGCTAAAAACCGCTACCACTGTTCCCAGTGACACACACGCTCCCTTTTCCGCTCACTACCGGCTCGGGGACACGCGCAGTTTGATTGGGGCAGGCTTCGTGTTTGACTACGACGCACAGTACAAAGATGTGGAAAATTGTATTTCGCCGGACTACCAGCTGATCTGTCGTGCGGACCACGTGGAAACCACTCAGAAGCAGATTGATATCCGGCAGAAAAAGTTTCTGCCCCTGCGGAGCACAACCTACTACAGCGCGACCGGGCGGTGCGTGAAGAACCGGTTCGCGGACTTACCGGAAACTATCGTGGACCTGACCAAAGCCGAGGACACGAGCAAATTTTTCTGCGACTACCGCCTCTCCCAGACCGCCGCGCGCGACCCGGACGCGGTGGGAATTGCGAATCTGTACTTCAGTCCCAAGGACGCGAAGAAGGACTTTTGTGCGTTCTTTGAGCGGACCCACCGCATCGGCAGCATCGGGAGCTACCTGCAAGATAACGAGTTTTCTTTCAGTTCTTCCGCGGACGAACCTGAGAAGAAAAACGCGGCGAAAAAGCTTCGCGAGCTGCTCCAAAGCGACAGCAAAATCAACGAGCCCGGGATCGAGTACTACAAAAAGAACTGCGGCTGCGTTTCGGCGGCCACCTATGTGGACGAACCCGCCAAGTACAAATTTTTCGTTTCAGACTTGCCGCTCGCCGCGAAAGTGGCGCCGCTCAAGGACGCGGCGACCAGTGACCAGATCTGTTTGTGCCGCAATGGCGTCCCGCAGTACAGCGAAACGCTGGGGAAGTGCATTTGTGAAATGTGCGACGCGGGGTTCACCCTGACGGCAGATCAGTCCGCGTGCAGTATGGGAGGTGGTCTTGTGCACAACTTCCACTGCTTCACCTCATTTGTCATGCAAGATTTTTTTACGAATACTAACCCGACTGTTTCTTTGCCCAATGGCACTCGCACTTCGTGTTGCATGACAGGTTCCGGACCTGCCCCTGCCAAGATAAAAGTACTACAGATATCCTGCTGCGTTGTAGACTTGTCATGCAGAAGCTGAGCCGTCGCCTCCGGCAGCGCTTCTGTAACAATGCCCTTCATCGAATGAGGCGGAGGGGAGGGGCAGTTGTGCACTCTCATAGATGGAACGCCCGTGGTTGTGGGGGGACACAGCAATGGGACGAACGCATCAAACACGACAGAAGAAGACGCAGGAAACGGATCATGCTGTTGATTTGGCGGAGAAGAAGATCCTGAAGATGCGAGAAAAAAACTACAGAAGAGGAAAAATCAAAATGTAATAAATAAGGGGAGATCTTCAACATCTTCCTCCAGATCGCTGCTAGTCCTATAGAAAAAATCCAACTTCTTGATGTCATGCTTGCGGCCCACGTATGTATCTGTAAAGCTAAAGCTCTAGTTTCTGTTTCTGCGATGCGAAACGCCTGCAAAAGGCCCTCCAGACCGCAAGGCATTGAGCCATTTTTCGCCTGCTTTTTAAATCCCTCTTGTCTTTGCGTTAAGTACCCTGTCGCGTGAGTCGTGTTTGCGCGATTTTTGCGTTTCTTCATTTTTTTTTGTTTCTTCCAGGGTCGCCCCCAGTGCCATTATACGTAAGTCCCCACCCCGGGGGATCGTTGTCATTCCAACGAACTCCTCTTGTACGTATTTTTTTTCTTATTCCGTTTTCTATCTTAAGCATAAGCAATGGCCTTTCTACTTTTTCGACGATGCCTTCCCACCTGTGCTTCACCTTCTTGCTTCTTTGGCGTCGGTTGCACCTACTTATTTGTTTCTTTCAACACGCATATCTTTTCTTTCAATGTTAAGTTAACAAGAGCAGTCACAGACATCCGTGCAACAATGTAACAGCCTCGGCGTAGGACCCCCCTTTTTACAATCATAAAGATGATGCGCCATTAATTATTCACTTCCTTGTCCAGTTGACGCATGGTCAGATTGTAGCTGTCTGCTCAGCTCAGGCGTTCTCGTGTTCGGGGATTGCCTCGCGGCCCGCTCCTGATGTTGAATCAACGGGAAGAAGTAGACTTCGTCCTCTTTGTTTTTCTTGTCAGGAAGCTAGTTTTTGATCTTTTCGCGGCAACTGCAGGTTTGCGAAGCTGAAGAACTATAAGTTTCACGGAGAGGACCACAACCACATCAGTAGGAGGGCTACAGAAACAAAACGAAAGAACAGGATGTCGTGCGTGATAGCGATGTTGGGGCGATGAACATGACTGAATGCGCATGGACCCCCACGACGAGTGGCAAAACTACAAAAGATTCCGATTGCATCTCTCAAAAACTACTTATTGATTTACATCCTTCCATGAGCGGGGCCATGAGGGAGGAAGCAAGGTATGGACGAGCGCTTTTTATCAGTTTTTTTTTTTGATTTTCTGAGCGTGAGCGGCTGCCAGTCCGTCCTTGTTCCTGTTCGACGGTCCCGCCTTGGTGTTGGTCATGCTTTTTAGCTTTGGTATTGCATCATGTCGTGTTAGGCCTTTACTTGGTTCTTCCGTTTGGAGTTGAAGACCTTCAGCATTGTAGCTGCACGACGAGGGCAGCAAGGTACAACGGTAGGGATGAACCTGTCCTCGGGCAGCATTCTGACTTAATACCAGGCTGTTAAGGACCACGTTTATTGAACATAATTGCAACAAAATATTACCACTAGCTACCTCTAGCAGATTGAATCCGGTACAGCTCAGGATCATCTGTACCATGAAGATGATAATGATGAAAATTGACACTGCCTCCACCTCGTCCGTCCAGAGCAAAGAACGTAGGCCCTCGCAGCACAACGACATAGGCCGCGAGGACACGACCTTCTGGCCGGGGGCAAGGATGAACTACGGCGACCGGGCGAAGATGTACAACTTCATGCCACGGGTACAACTACTACACGACGCTGCTTAACCTTAAGCAATGGCCTTTCCACTTTTTCGACGATGCCTTCCCCCCTGTGCTTCTCAATACATTTTGAAACATCATCTTTTTGCTTTTTACTTTTAATGTTATAGTTAACAAGTAGAGCAGTCACAGACATCCGTGCAACAATGTAACAGCCTCGGCGTAGGACCCCCCTTTTTACAATCATAAAGATGATGCGCCATAAATTATTCACTTGTTTCCTTGTCCAGTTGACGCATGGTCAGATTGTAGCTGTCTGTTCAGCTCAGGCGTTCTTATGTTCCGGGATTGCCTCGCGGCCCGCTCCTGATGTTGAATCAACGGGAAGAAGTAGACTTCGTCCTCTTTGTTTTTCTTGTCAGGAAGCTAGTTTTTGATCTTTTCGCGGCAACTGCAGGTTTGCGAAGCTGAAGAACTATAAGTTTCACGGAGAGGAGGAGGACCACAACCATATCATTAGGAGGGCTACGAAACAAAATGGAAGAACAGATATCGTGTGTGATAGCGATGTTGGGGCGATGAACATGACTGAATGCGCATGGACCCCCACGACGAGTGGCAAAACTACAAAAGATTCCGATTGCATCTCTCAAAAACTACTATATTAAATTTGCATCCTTCCGTGAGCGGGGCCATGAGGGAGGACACACAGGAGGCAAGTGAGTTGTAGACGAGCGCTTTTGTTCTGTTTTTTTTCTCTGATTTTCTGACCGTGAGCGGTTACCAGTCCGTCCTTGTTCCTGTTCGACGGTCCCGCCTTGGTGTTGGTCATGCTTTTTAGCTTTGGTATTGCATGTCGTGTTAGTCCTTTAGTTCTTCAGTTTGGAGTTGAAGACCTTCAGCATTGTGGCTGCACGACCGGGGCAGCATCAGCAAGGTACGGTAGGGATGAACCTGTCCTCGGGTAGCATTCTGACTTAATACCAGGTTGTCAAGGACCACGTTTATTGAACATAATTGCAACAAAATATTACCACTAGCTACCTCTAGCAGATTGAAGACTCCGGATAACTCCGGATCCTCTGTACAATGAGGATGATAATGATGAAAAGTGACACGACCTCCACCTCCGTCCAGAGCAAAGAACGTAAACCGCCGCAGTACAAGAACGTCGACGTAGGCGAGGACACCACGACCTTCTGGAGGTCGAGGGGAAGGATACTAAACAACGACGACCGGACGAGGATCTACAGGAACTTCATGCCACGGGTACAACTACTACACGATCGTTGTCATTCCCGCGAACTCCTCTTGTACGTACTTCTTTTCTTTTTATTTTATTTCCGTTTTCTATTTCTAGCTTAACCTTAAGCAATGGCCTTTCCACTTTTTCGACGATGCCTTCCCCCCTGTGCTTCTCAATACATTTTGAAACATCATCTTTTTGCTTTTTACTTTTAATGTTATAGTTAACAAGTAGAGCAGTCACAGACATCCGTGCAACAATGTAACAGCCTCGGCGTAGGACCCCCCTTTTTACAATCATAAAGATGATGCGCCATAAATTATTCACTTGTTTCCTTGTCCAGTTGACGCATGGTCAGATTGTAGCTGTCTGTTCAGCTCAGGCGTTCTTATGTTCCGGGATTGCCTCGCGGCCCGCTCCTGATGTTGAATCAACGGGAAGAAGTAGACTTCGTCCTCTTTGTTTTTCTTGTCAGGAAGCTAGTTTTTGATCTTTTCGCGGCAACTGCAGGTTTGCGAAGCTGAAGAACTATAAGTTTCACGGAGAGGAGGAGGACCACAACCATATCATTAGGAGGGCTACGAAACAAAATGGAAGAACAGATATCGTGTGTGATAGCGATGTTGGGGCGATGAACATGACTGAATGCGCATGGACCCCCACGACGAGTGGCAAAACTACAAAAGATTCCGATTGCATCTCTCAAAAACTACTATATTAAATTTGCATCCTTCCGTGAGCGGGGCCATGAGGGAGGACACACAGGAGGCAAGTGAGTTGTAGACGAGCGCTTTTGTTCTGTTTTTTTTCTCTGATTTTCTGACCGTGAGCGGTTACCAGTCCGTCCTTGTTCCTGTTCGACGGTCCCGCCTTGGTGTTGGTCATGCTTTTTAGCTTTGGTATTGCATGTCGTGTTAGTCCTTTAGTTCTTCAGTTTGGAGTTGAAGACCTTCAGCATTGTGGCTGCACGACCGGGGCAGCATCAGCAAGGTACGGTAGGGATGAACCTGTCCTCGGGTAGCATTCTGACTTAATACCAGGTTGTCAAGGACCACGTTTATTGAACATAATTGCAACAAAATATTACCACTAGCTACCTCTAGCAGATTGAAGACTCCGGATAACTCCGGATCCTCTGTACAATGAGGATGATAATGATGAAAAGTGACACGACCTCCACCTCCGTCCAGAGCAAAGAACGTAAACCGCCGCAGTACAAGAACGTCGACGTAGGCGAGGACACCACGACCTTCTGGAGGTCGAGGGGAAGGATACTAAACAACGACGACCGGACGAGGATCTACAGGAACTTCATGCCACGGGTACAACTACTACACGACGCGAGCACGTCTCGAACAGAAACAATCCGCGCGAATGCACGACATGGAACAAACTCTAAAATCCGCACCCTGTCTATGCAGCAGTGCAATGGTCTGTTCCCACACTGAAGACATGTTTGCGGTCGATAGAGATACACAATCGTCCCCATAAGATTCACGAGCTGAACGGACACCCCGTAGAACGCTGCAACCTGCTTGACGATTGTGAAGAACCCGTTCAGCACCATAGAGCAAAGCAGCTGCACGTAGCAGAAAAACGCCAGGAGAAAAATCCGGGTCGGCTTCGGCAGAAGAAACGGCATCTCCGTGCGGCGAATGGGGGGCGAGACCGAGGTGATTGATGTAGTAGTCATCTTGTTCAATGGGTTTTTCTCGCAAAGTTTAAGTTTTGTTGTCACGACACAATATTAAAATCTCTCTGTATTTATGTATCTGCAGATGATCGTCACGAGTGGTCTTCTAGTTGATCAGTAGCCTCTCTACCCAACATGCTTCGCCACTTCGCCTATGAACACGCCTTAGTCACGATGAAATGATGAACCTAGTCATTGGCAACGCACTCAGCGCAGTTGATATTGTTATTGACAGAAGTTCGCATCAAACAGAACGACAGCGGGGATTTTTTATTTATTTTTTGAAAGTCTTATCGAGATAATCTGCTTGTTCGCGCCTCGGTCTTGCAACCCATCAGAAGGCTATTAAAACAGGTTGAAAAACGAAAAAAAGGGAGCTCGCGCGGATTTTTTTTGTTTTTTTACTTTTATATTGAAAGCGTCGCACTGGTTGAATACTTAGATTTTCTTGCCAAGCTGAAGAGAAAGTTTCAACTCCTAAGAGCGTGTCAAAAAGTAAGAAAAAAGTTCTTCAGAAAAAAGTGAAAACGATGATCAACATCGGGCTTTTTTGTCACAATGAAATCAGAATCAAAGTCAAATGTCGTCGCAAACAGAGTCAAATTGAGAAAAAGAAAATTGGTACTTGCGGAAGGAGTGGCGATTTGGCGAAAATACTGCTCAACCATCAAATCGGTACACTTCCAACGCAGTAATTGTATAATTGAGTCAAATTGAAAATAGAAGTTTTTTTTTTCCTGATTTACTGTTGTCACACATCCAACTTCACCCTAGTTACTTCTCTGCCTCTGCTACTGAGTGATCCATCAGGCATTTGTTCCAGGAGAAGTTCTAGAGGCGGACAAAAGTAAATCGGAAATGTTTTTTAGAAGTCAAATAGTCGTGTCTTGTTGACAAGAGTGAAAAATGAAAGCGGGGGCAAGGATGTACAACTTCATGCCACGGGTACAACTACTACACGACGCGAGCACGATATGAGGAGGACAACGTGCCCAACAGGCAACGCACCCAAGGGGATAATTTTTTTTTTTTTCACAGTAAACGAATTGAACATAAGTAATTTCGCTAGTTAAAATACACTAGCTTGCCTTATGTGAATTAGCTATGTAAAGTAGACGCTTTCAAAGGGTTGTAGGGTGCTAGATCGCCGATATCCAGCTCCACGGCTTCGCCTCGGTTGTCTCCACGCAGGGGCGCCGGGATACTGCACACGAGGGCCTGGCGCAGATAGGGCACGAAGGTTCGCAGGGGGCAGAGGATCGGCGGCCAGCCTTCTGTGGCAAGGCAGCAGGACGACGTAGTTGCGACGGCCGTGTCGCACCTTGCCGCCGTTTTCTGTGTTTTGTTTGTGCCTTGCTGCCACTTTCCGCCGAGCTTGGGAGCCATTTTGTGAGGCTACCCAAAGTGCCCCGGCTTCGTTGTGTTCCTACCTGGGCAGATTGACCTCACAAAGGACAACACGAGAGTCCGGGATCCCCGTCCGCGATGCCCCTCCGAGATGCCCCCTTTTTGGCAAGGGACAAAACGACCACAGCGTCGGGGCTAGGGGTAAAAATATGCCCTATGGGAGGCCCTGTGTGGACCCCCTCCCGCGGCCCCCCCTCGCGCCCCCGCCTCTCGCCTGCGGCCCTGCAGGCCGCGGCCTGCGGGCCATGTTGCACTTGGCTTGCGGGTGCTTTTTGGCGAAACCCCCCTCGGCAGCCGATGGCACGCTGCTCCGCCTTCTCTCATAACCAGGGCGCGCGGCTTTTTGTGTCTACCGTGCCGGCTTGTCGTCAGCCATCCGCTGGATGCGGCTAGCTGCGCCAAATCTCCCACAGGCCACGCACAATGGAAAGCGCGGGCAGTAGACAGACGCCACACCATGGGGCGCTTCCTCGGTTTTTTGCTAGGGTTCCGAGGCGAATCCGTGGAGCTGGACTTGGCGATCTAGCACCCTACAACCCCTAAAAAACGTCTTATCTAACTACTTAATCACCTAGCTATTGCAATTAACTATTTTATATAGGTATTTTGCCGGCCAGTCCGGCACTAATTGAAACTTTTTTTTTGATCCCCCATGGGTGAGTTGCCTCTTGGGTACGTTGTCCTCCTCATACACGACGACGAGGGCGACCGGGCGAAGATCTAGGAAAAAAACACGGCGACCGGGCCTCGAGACCGTAGGAAAAAAACACGGCGACCGGGCGAAGATCTACAACTTCATGCCACGGGTACAACTACTACACGACGCGAGCACGACGACGACGACCAAAGTCGTAGAAGAAGACAACACAAGAAACTGTATTCGAACGCAGGAACTGCACGAAGAAGTGGCTGCATCAAGAAGTGCAGTGAAAGCACTGTCGGATGTTGAAAAGAAGCGGCATGATCAAGGAAAGAAGAAAATACGATGTAATAGAAGGCGCAGGAATGGAACACCAAATAAAGCAAGAAGTACGTCTTGTGTCTTACGAGGTGGACCTCGATGTGGTATCAAAAATGCACCTGCTACAACAAGAAGTGTTGAAAGTACAACTCCTGAAGCAACATCTTCTAGGTCTTCTTCTCGATCGGTCAGTTACTACTTCTGGCGGCCAAGGGCTTATTTCGCAGAAACTGAGCAGCAGGCCAAAGAAGATCACAAGGGCATGCGCGGCCTGCTTGATGTGTTGGCATTCCTCCAAGCACAGGCCTGGATGTCGATCGGATCACAAAGGTGGACGAGAAACAAGGAGGCGCACGTCTCAAAAAGCAAAACTTGGAGCAAACTTCTCCGGAGGTGGCAGCTGCATCATTTCAATTTCTTCTTCCTCGCGCGCGGCTATTTCGTGGTCTTTTTTGTTTTGCTGGCGAACTTTTCTCACTTCGTTGAAGCCACAAACTTCATCACGACGCTGACCAGAACGACAAGCAATGTAGTTTTCAACAGTGCCACCTCCAACGACAGAGCCGCAGTCGAAGCGAACCAATTCGCGGCGGACCAAGAAAACGCATCGGCATCTTCCGGGGGAGGTGGTAGAAGAGGTACTAGCGTTCAGGAACAATTCTTGCCTGAAGAGGGTAGTAATGGTAGTACAGATTCCACATCATCATTACAAGCTACTAGTGAAGACGCGGCAGCGAAAACTGGTGCGGCTACGATGCGGAAAAATCCGAATCGAATCGCAAAGCAAATCAAGCCCCCGAATCCTTTCACCGTGAAACTGCACGAAGCGGCGCTGAAGGATATCGAACAAAAGCTGTACCCCCACGATCAACCAGATCCGGAAGAAAATCCCGCGAACTGGCTGTTCGACAACTGGTGTCCGTTGCCCCCCAAGTTTGAGAAGCTGACCACGCCCGGGACCACGTACTTCCAGGTTTTGCAGCAGTACTTTGACAACTTTATGGACAACAGTCTGCGGGTGGTGCCCAACAGCTTTGCGCAGTTCCGGTACGGGGATACGGAAATGGGGCTTTTGAAGCCACGCCTGATCGGTCCGGATGAGCCGTGGCCGATGTTTTTCCCGGCGAGCCAGGTGCCTGAGTTCCTCCAAAACACGGATCTGAACCGCGGGTCCTGCCTGCAGGACGAAGTGAGCAACCTCGCGCGCATAAATTTGCCCAACCTGCACTTCTCCTTTTCGAACTGGCACTTCTGCCGGGAAGCCTGGGTGACGCACGCGGACCCCTCGATTGAGGCCACGCGCGACAGTACCTTCAGTAAGGAAATGGTGAAGCTGTTTCGCGACCGCCTGGACTTGTACTCCGACGAGATTGTTTCCGACTTTCTGGATCTGCGGACTAGCGAACTGCTCGCGTCCCTCACGTCCTCCAGCACGGCCGCGCCTATAGTTATGCCGGGCGCAGCTGCCGAGGATGAACAGGGCGCGGCAGGCCTCGTGACGCTGCAGACGGGAGCGACCGCACTCTCCTTTTCGTCGACTGGCGAATCTTATGCATTGCAAAAGTATCGTACTCGTATAAATGCACTACAAATTTTCAGCATGAGAATCCGCATGCGGATTTCCTAAAAAATTTGTAATGCATGATTGCAATACGAGTACTGTACGATACTTTTGCACAGGATAAATCTCGGTCCATTCCCTGGCAGGGCCTGTGGTCCGCGGAGATTTACCACCTGTTTAACCTGGACAAGCCACAAGACCCGCTGCGCAGCATGCTGCAGGTCGCCAACCGCCCAGTGGTCCTGGTCGGGGCGCCGCACCTCCGAGCGCTCTCCTGCCACTGGCTGCCCACCAAAGTCGGCTTCATCGAGGCACCAAAACCGTCCGAGACGGAAATATGCTCCTTTGCGGTCAAGCAACGAGTGAAACAGCAGATGCAGGAACAGAGTACTTGATCAATGCTCCTTCATTTGTTCTGACGGTTTTTATTTTCTTCTTGACTTGTGGATTTCGATTTACTTATTATATTTGCATATAATTGTGCACTAGCGAGTAATTCGTGTTGGTGTCTGCATCGTTTGATAGAGACACACTAGAAAGAAGAAAAACAACTTGAGTTCTTGTGCACGATGCGGCCGGAAAAAATAGCAGAAAAAACGTACAAAAAATGATGATCACGATCCCCACAAGGTGCACGATTCCCGCAGGAGACGGTGACCTTCTTTCTCGCGGGAGGGCCCTGGGTGAAGGTAATCGCTGCCGAGGCGTATACGGAGAGCGAGTCTTTGCTGAAAAGCAAAGACCTCTTGCTGGACGTCGGATCCACGTTAGACGGTGTGAAGGGCACGGGCGACAGTGGAATCCGCAACATAAACCGCTACATGAACCACAAACTGCAGAACTGCGAGCAGTTCTCCACGGCCATGAGCTGCGAGACCTGCTTTGAGGAATGCATATCCTCGATGCAAGACAAGTAATATTTTCGCACTTGTAAAATGAATTCCTGCAGTATTTCTCTACTTTTTGCATGACACTATTAAAAAAAGCAGCATTTGCACTACATATAATTTCTGTAATTTTTGATGCCGAAGAAGAGCGAATGGAACGCGAATTTGCCACAATATTCTTACTAGTTGTATGTGTGACTCTACAACTTTTGCAGTGGATAATGCAGCAACATCGACAATCCAAACGACAACTACGAGTTCGATATTCAGTACGACCGTGACAACGATCAAGGATCTCCTGGTAGTGCGGCAAGCAGGACTTCTAGCAAGGGAAAATTTCGAAAATGGAAATCGTCACTCGCAGACGAAGATTATCCTGTGCAACAGTATCGTACTCGTACTCATAATTGCGACACAGCATGACAGTTCTGCCGTCCTCTATATCCAAAAATGCATGACAAATTACATTTTTTCTTTTCAGAAATAAATTTGTAAGAAGTAACGAAGATGCGACTTCTACTAACAGTACGATATTTTCGTGTGCATAATGCTAATGGCAGTGGCACTTCTAGGTCAACATCAAGAACGTCTCGGAACAGAAAAAATTACTGCGGTCAATGCAGAAATGTAACAAAATCGGGTTTCGAGGACGATTGCGGGTGGTTCGAGAATTGGGATTCCGAGTTAAAAGGTAGAAGAAAACCCACTTCGCAAGCGGGAACGACATCAATATCTGCTTCACACGTCGAGAATACAGACTCCACTACTAGCACCACTGCCGGGGGTGTCGTTCAGGGTGCTATTTCGAGTGTCTTGGACTCTACCTTCGCTTTGGCAAAAAAATTGATAAGTTAGCCAAGCTAACGAGTTTTCACATGATAATAACATAGTCTCATAGTCATATCATAACATTTCGTCGGGTATTAACCTCGTCGTTTCCTGACGAAGCATGAGGATTACTTAACATGTTTCCGCTTCGAGCCACAGAACCATTCGCTTTGCACGAGAACAAAAAACCCACGAGGAGGAAGATCGGCAGCTTCCTTGCGGAAAGCCGCAGGGTGGTTGCAGCAGGACGACAAGACGACGTCACGCTCACGAAATAAAAAACAGTCTACTCATTCTCATAGTCTTCACACCGTTCTACGTCGTGTCTTCTTGTTATTTGCGATTTGTTCCCGTGTAATTGATGTCCGTTGTTGTGCCTGCTTTCCAGAAAAATCCAGGATCTCCTGCTTGGGGTCACGATGACAGATGAAAGAGGAGAAGCTACTTGTGGAACAAGATCTTCGTGTTGATGCAGGCGGTTCTTGTACTAGATCATCAGATACGACACATTGGTTCTTTATTCACGAGACCATGCATAATCTTAATCACGCTACGATCTTCAAGATAAATCTCGGTGTTGTTTTCTTCTGCTTTAAAGAAGTTGTCAGCCACGGGCTCTCGCTTGATGAAGAACTACATGGTGATGGTCGTTGGAAAGTTTGTGACTTTATTCTCGTTCTTTATGGCCTCGAAAGATCATGTGGATCTTTTGATGCCACCTGGCAACATCAATTTCTTGTTTCAAGTGGTCAACTCACACCTAGCTCCATAATTCTTACTGCCAAAAGTACATCATTCACCGGTAGCTCGCTTCTGATTGATGACATTTTATTTAGCGAATATTAGCATTTCCATCTTGCTCCGTCTAATGTTCAGCCTCTGCGCAGAACATCATTATGGCTACTTACTGTATCAACAGGGGTCAGAAGTGTAGTAAGTACTAGTAGTTGATTTATGGGTCGTCATTTTTTGTCCTTTGACGACCTGCTGAATCAGGTTATTTCATGAACTACGTGGAAGTGCAAGTCTGTATGGGCCGCGGGGAAACGCGACAGATCAAAATATGCAGCTCTTCCCGCCGCTCTTATACGCCCAGGTCGGCGGTCTATTGTGGAAAACCCGCCGTTACCAGAAGCGGCACCAAACGAAAACCTTCGTCGAATACCTCGCGGCGCCGTTGCTAGTTTGCCTGTTCTCGTACTTGTTTTTTGGGGGCTATCAGACCAGTTTGTACACGGAAAATGGAGGAACGGAAAGGGAAAATGCTTCGTATAATGGGCGAACGACACGCGGCCCTCGTACGGATGAAACAGCTCCCTCTACGTTCGTCCCGAGGTTTGTTCTTCCCTCTTTCAGCGGTGTGTTGGGCGACCTGGCCGGCAAGGTTGGGCCTCTACTCCTTGATGGCAACGAGAATTCTTATAACCAGGAGATGCTTGTTGGAGGTGTCCAATTGGGGATGCGGGACTCGTTTCCAAGTAGCAGAGTCTGCACTTCTGTCGGTGTTATTACGGACGACGAAACCTGGAGCCAAATCGTGGACGCGGTTTCTGGACGACCTTTTGAATTTTCGAAAGCCAGCACTACTTTTGCCACGACGACCATACGACATCCGCCCACCAAAGGCCCGACGGGCAAGAAAAAGGCCGCTCTGGTTCGATTCGGCGCCTCCACGCTTTTTCGGGTCGAGGTTACGACGACCGATGTTGACGCGGCAACCGGTGGTGGTGCTTCAACTACAACTGCGAAGATCGTTGCAAAGACCGCTGCTCCTGCAGAGGATGATCTTCTCTCTTCAAAAGAACGCACTGTAGTAAGAACCGGCGGCTACAGCCGCTTCAAGCCACGTGACCTGTGCGGGGTGATAAAAATCGAGTTTCGTGGAGGCACTTCTATACCCGAGGACTCGTCGCCGGGAATGAAGACCGCGGCAAAGTCTTCTATGTTGACCTCATCTCCTGACGCTGGCGCAAAAAAAGGACGTCGTGAAGATGATCATGCTGCGGAGAATTTAGTTGTGTCCCTGTACATTCGAGCTCTGAAGAGAACCAGCGACCAGGATCTGTATGATGCCCTTAGTTCTCATCATCAACATGTGGACGAGTTGTTGTATAACAGGAACTACGACCTGGAGCGGCCCGGATATAATAATCAACATACGGAGGACCACTACTACACAAAAATCCGGCTGGCCGATGAAGACAACGACAGTGTTTTTGTGTCCACGGACTACTCGGGCTGCGGAGTCGGAGGAAGACTGAGAAGCCAAAGTCCTCGTGCAAGTAGTCCAGGCACTGCAGCCTCTTACGACGCCGCCAGGTTCAGCCCGTGCGTGCGTTTTTTTCGAGAGAAAATGAAGCCGATTCTCGAATTGCGGTCGGTGGCAGAGGGGATATCAGAACTGGTCGTTGTTGCAGCCGGCGGTCTTCGAGCAACTTCTAGGAGCGCAAATTCTCTTCCTGTCAGCTTCGTGCCCTTCCCCGAGTTGCAAATCACGAATTCCTATCAAGTGTAAAAATGTCTGGGTCTGGAAGAGTGCCTGACTTGTCATGCAGGTTTCCCATGACTCATGAGGTCTGGTATGTAGGACATAGCATGACAAATATTGCGAGACCTTTCTAATGCCTATCCTGCATGAGAAACTGCCTCTCGATTAGGTCAAAAGTGGGGAGCTTTTGGTAATCATGCAACACAGATTTTTACATGATTCAGATTTAGCATGACAAGTTGGATTTTTCCAGACCCAGACATTTTTACATTTGATAATTCCCTGCGTTCCCTGTACGTGAATCCCTACAAGCTCGAGAAGGAAGTGGAGCTGGGCTTCCTCTGTGTGATCTATCTTCCAGGAAAAAACAACCATGACCATCTTATATCCATTTTCTGCATGACAAACACAGGACTTCATATATGTTTTGCATGACAAATTGGATGGGGATCATGGTTGTTTTTTTGTGGATATCAACCTCCTTCCGCTTTTCATCCCCTTTTTCCTGACGGTGAACGGACAGATCGTCGAAAAGCAAATGCGAGAAACCATGCGCACCATCGGGGTTTCGGATTTGTCCTTTTTCCTGCACAGCATCGCTTTGATCTGTATCAGCTGTTTCTGCTTCAGCACTGCCGTCGCGCTCGGCTGGGTCTTGTTCGTGGCACCACCTAGTAGTGGGTCCTCGATTTTCCTCCAGAATCTCGCCGTCGTAGCACAGCTGTTTTCCTCTTCGTTCTTCTTTTCCGCCACGGTAATGGTTTTTGCGCACATTTTATGAGAGTGCACCACAACTCCCACTCCCCCTCGTTTGTATGGCATGAACAGCAACACAAACACCAGCACGCGTGGGGCCTCTGCATGACAAATTCAATTCATGTGCCTAGTGTAGTACTGTTTATTGGGCTCCAAGAATCTGTCATGCAAAGAGTGCCACAAGGTAGCGGGTGGATTTGGGATTTTGCATGACAAACGAGGGAGAGGGGGAGTTGTGCACTGTTATACATTTGGAGCAGCTTCTTCTCCAAGCCCGCCACTGCGTCGACGGCAAGCTGCATTCTCTTCGGGGTCCCTTTCCTCTGGCACGCACTGCAGGTGTACTTCTGGCAAGGGGGTATCGGGACTGCAGACAACAACGGAGGAGCGGCAGCCAGCAGCAGCACTGCTGCAGCTGGGTACTATGGTTTATTTCAGCTGAATGTTGCCCAAGACGGGACAACGTCGACGTCCCCTTTCTATTCTTTCATCCTCACCGTAGAACGGAGCTTTCTTTTGCTGCTCACGCTCCCGGTCCGGGCATTTCACGAAGCCTACATGAGTTTCTTGCTCGAGACTACTCTCAACTCCTTCGGCTACCCGTGCAGCCGATCGCCGATGAACCAGGACCCACTTACTCCCCTGCTGAAGTCGTTGGTCTTGCTGCTCGCGGTTTGGTATTTAGTGGACTCCACGTCCTTTACTCTGGTTAAGGCGAAGCAGGATTTGGCGAGGCGCTTCTGGTACTGCGTCAACTTGCTGTGTTTCTGCCGGACAGCACGACGCAATGGCAACAATGGGTTAGCCTCAGAAGAACATCATGGTGCTACTTCTAGCACATTATCGGGAACAAGAACATCCATGGGATCCTCGGCGATGCGCGGTAGTTCCCAAGCTTTCTTGGACGAAGACGAAGAAGTCGAAGGTGATTTTTCCTCAGCTTCACGGAACAGAATCACCCGACGCCCAGCCCCAAACCGGCGGTGGACCACGCGGATCTGCCGTTTTGTTCCGAATCTGCTGCTCAAGCGCTGTCTGAAGCCCGTTTTGCGGTGCCTGGTGGCCTTGCTGCAGTTTTGTTGGGAGGTGACACAGCGTGAGCGTCGACGTCGGAGTAGAAGAAGTTCTAGGAGCAGAACGACTGGGCTACTGGTTCCAACGACCAGGAGACGCGGTAGACGTTCCGAGCGTGGTGGTGGCGCAGTTAGTACTTCTTTTTCCTCACGAAGGTGGACGACCGGGGCTGGTGGTGCGCAGAGAAGTCACTATAATAATCCGCCGGGCCAAACAGAGGAAGCTGTGGCAGACGGTGGGGACGTCGACCACGCTGAGCCACATGATTTCGAAGCCGCTTCTGAAGTAGAAATGTTGCACGACGACGACATTGACCCCCTCGCCCAACACCAACTACACCAGCCTGCGGTGGTTGTGGAAAATCTGCGCGTGAAATTCGGCGACGCCTTTTACGCTCTTTCCGCGGGCACGAATCTGAGGATGCAGCGTAACCAAATTTTCTGCCTGCTCGGCCCCAACGGTGCGGGGAAGAGTACCTGCATGAAGGTTTTGACCGGGCATTTGAGACAGTACGACAACGAGGACGCTGCGACACCAGCGAGGGACGAAATAGAATCAGTTTCCTCGGACGAAGCAGAGGAGCCAGAACTAGAACCGCAGCAGCATCGCTCTTCTCCTACTTCTGATCTTCAATATAGGAGAACAAGTGAGGACTACAGTGCCGCAAGTAGTACGAGAATATCTACTTCTGCCCCGGCCCCTGCGAGGACTAGGACTACACGGAGCGGACCCCGCCGGGGTAGACGAGGCGCTGCGACCGCCGGAACTACTACATCAGCCGCTACTTCTTCATCACTTGGTGGACGAGGTGGTCTTATTCTTCCGGGGTCTTACGTGCGGATCTACGGGCACACAGTTGAGGAGGGGAGGCGGAAGCAGATGATCGGGTTTTGTCCGCAGGAGAACGCGTTGTACGAGTACTTAACCGTGGAAGAACACTTCTTGCTGTTCATGAAACTGCGTAATTTCGAAATTCCAGCCTCGTCAGAAGAGGCCGACGAAGATGAGATTTTGGAGGACCGAGATCATGCTGTTCGGGATGGAGAGGATAGTAGTTTATTTGGAGATCATGATGATGTAGTTGCAGACGCGGCAGATGCAGTTCCACATCGAGTACAACATGTTGCGTCTTCACGCGAGATGAACATTAATGCAGTAGAAGAACAAATAGGCCAACGGACTACATCAACAGCAAATCCTCGTGGCACGACACCAGCTCCTCGCGTGCTATCTGCAGCGGAACAAGAGCCGGAAGCAGTGGCTGACGAGAATGAGGACGAAGAGCAGGACCACGAGGACAATAATTTGTCCTGGATCGCCTTGACACTGAACGTCAAGACCTCGCGTTCAGAGGAGCTTCGCGCGCGGAAAATCCGCGAACGGAAGTACGTCACCACCATGCTGCAGAAACTGAATTTGCTGGATAAGCGACACACATTAGTGAAAAATCTGTCCGGCGGGATGCAGTATGCACTGCAAAAGTATCGTACGCGTATAAATGCATTACAAATTTCCTCAGCATGGCAAAGAAAATTTGTAATTACAAAACATGAACACACTTCTTCTATCGTTCCAGTTGTAATGCTGATTCACCTTAAGAACAAGACTTGTAATGCATGCAATTCGAGTGCGATACTTTTGCACAGGATATGCAGCGCCGGTTGTCGATCGGATTGGCCTTCGTCGGGGACCCGGTTTTTGTGGTGTTGGACGAGCCCTCCAGCGGGCTGGATCCGTTCACCCGGCGCCAACTTTGGGAGTTTCTGCGGAAAATGAAGGAACACCGGACCATTTTCTTCACGACGCACTTTCTTGACGAGGCCGAGGCCCTTGGGGACAACATCGCGATTATGTCCTTCGGGGGAGAGGTGAAGGCCGAAGGGAGCGCGGACTTCCTCAAGCGGCAGCATAACTGCGGTTACGAGCTTATGCCGTTCTCAAACGTTACATTCTCAACTGTTACATGATTTGTCATGCAAAATGACCATGACTCACCAGACGATCGAGCTGCTGCGCATGACAAATTCTCGGAGGGCTAAGTAGCAGCACTATGATCTGCACGAAACCTGTAATGCAAGACGCGCAAGGTTGTCCCTCTCGCCTGCGCTAGTCTTGCATTACAAATTCATGTAACAGTTGAGAATGTAACAGTTGAGAACGCCATAGAGCTCGTCCTGGAATACGAGGAAAATTCCGCGTACTACGAACGATTGCTGCGATATGAGGGTGTCAGGATTAAAATCGACAAAGTCGCAAAATTTGTGATGCACAAAATCGATGGCGGTCGGAGCCTCAGTTTCCAGGTGGCGCATGACAAATTTCGGCAGCACCAAAATCCAGTCTGTCATGCTGTTTGGGCAAAGAAGATTGCTCCTGTCGTGCTACTCTGGCAGCGCATCGCATACCCCTAAACAGGCGCGCAATCGCTTTCATTGGCCTGCTCCCCAGTACAGGCCTTCAGTGCCCTAGATTTTATGCATCACAAGTTTTTTGATCATTTTGTCGATTTCGATCCTGACGCATGCATATGCTGCGAGGACCGGAGCAGGCTGCACGAATCGACGGCGGGGGCTCAAGAAATAGATCCTCCCCTCGCTCCTGCTTACTCGCCCCAGTCGCATCCGAGTCTGAAATCGCATCCGAGTTTAGCGCTAGCCCGGGCGACCAGCATGAGAGAGTGGGTGGAGTGGAGGCAGAGGCTGGTGCAGCTGATCATGCTAGTACTGATCTTCAGAAAGCAGCGCCTGATGCTGCCTTTGTTTTCAGTCAGACAGTGGGCAACGTTGCAGCTTCCTCTTCTTTTTCAGCTGCGGGCGACCGTGAAGATGATGCAGAAGGAGGTCTTACTAACAACACTACATCGGATGAAACAAAATCAAAAGAAGGGCAAGAACAAGACCGTCAACAGCAACACTCATCGAAGGACTACACGAAAAATAAAACGGCCTTTTCTTCTTCTTCTTCTTCTTCGAAAAGCATAATCAACATCAACCAGGAGATCGTGGATCTTTACTTGGAGGATTTCCACCAGAACGGGCTCACAAATTCGTTTGAGTACGTGTTCGAGGAAGACAAAAAGTTCCCGCGGCAGAACCCCTTTTTGATTCTGAACGAGACAAAGCGAGTAGTGGAGTCCGCGGTCAAGTTATCCAGGACAAAACACCCATCCCCATGATCAATTTTTCGCATGACACACGACACTAGAGTTTATGCATGTTTTGCGATGACAAATTGGATGGGGGTGGCGGGCCTTTTTTTGTGGATACAAGTACACCCTGATGAAGGAAATGGAGAAGAAAATGGCAAAATTTGAAGCCGCAGAAGCAGAAGCAGCAGCAGATGATGAACATGTTGTAGAAGGAGGTCTACAAGATGAACTTTGTAGCCCAGGAGCGGAGGTGCAGTTGGAAGGGGGTCCTGCACAACTTTTACGACATCCAGGAGAGCATCGTTCATCTGCGTCGTCGTCCCCGCAACATAAGGCTCGTGGAGAACTACAAGGAGAACAACAATTGCCAGAGAATAAAGAAGTTGTTGTAGATCCTGACAATAAACTGTACATGGACACTCTTTTAGCCGCGGCGACAACCGGGGAGACCCCAACCCACTTGATGTGTGGTAGTTCTAGAAGTAGAGAAGCTCCTCCACCATCATCACCAGACGACAAGAACGGCACGCAAGATGCGGATGGTACTACGACGATGGGACCAGCAGCAGGAGCCGCTGCTTCCGACGTTGATGTAGTTCCTGCATCAAACGGTAACATGAGTTCCTCCTCCTCATTCGACGAAAGTAGTCGACGTGTTGAGCAGCTGCACGAGGATCTCCTATTCGAAACGGCGGAGGAAGCGGAGCCTCTGGCGGAAAATCTACCGCCCAGTCAGTTGTTTCGGAACTGCGTCAGAACTTCTGTAGCTGCGGCGTCGAGGAAGTCGTCTCTCCTGTCCGTGGATAGTTGCAGTAACACGGCGACTTCTACCTCCCGCAGTTCGTCGCCCGCAACCAGCAGAAGAGCGACCAAGAGCCCAACGACCACAACGACGAGCAGCGGGATTCATCTGGGAGCAGCGGGTGCTCCTGGTAGTAAAGCAGGCGCGTCCGGGTGTCGTGCCAATATGAATACAAGAAGGAAACTGCAGCACTCTTTCGAGAGGGTCGTGAAGGAGGTGGATGCGGACACCGTGTTGATCACTATCACGTACGCTTGCACAAAGCTGCGGGCGCGAAAAAAAAATGCAAATGTTGTGGTTGACATCACTAGCAGCTTTAACAGCGCTTCACAGATGAACAATGCGGCGGGGCCGTTTGAACCTCGTCAACATGATCTTCCGAATGAAAGCGCGGAAGGCCATTGCGCTTCAGCCAAGGCGACCCAAGAAAGACGGAAGACTTCTTTCGATGACCCGGGAGGGACCCCGGTTTTGGAATCCTCTAGCAGCAGCGGAAGCATGGTGCTCGAAGGGGTCGTGAGGCAGCAAGAAGACGTGCGCGAAATGGACCACGTAGGCGTCGAAGATGAAGTTCTAGGTACAGCCAAAGAACCGGCGTCAACTACGTCAAGTACTAAAAGCAAAAGGCCGAAGTTCGTTGTTGGTGCGTTGGCGGAGCCGCGGCGGGGTCGTGGTATGACTTTGCCTTCGGGGGCTTCGCGCGGTGGTGGATACATAAGCGAAAGCTCTAAAAATTGCTTGACTTTGAACCCAGTAATTCCCAGTGGAGAGGACTACATCACGATGACGAGCTCCATCGAGATCCTGTACCGCTTGCTAGAACGAAGCAGCACCACGACTACAAATGATACATCAGATGAATCATCGCCAAGAAGATCACCTCGTGGAGATATTACGGAAGCTGAAGCAGACTCCGAGGAGTCGTTTGCGACCAAAACTCGTCGTTCCGGCGGTGACGTAGACGTTTCGTCACCAAACAAATCGCCCGAGAAAATGGAAACCGCGACAGGAAATAATCGAAACAAGAAGCAAAAACACCAAAGGGGAACAAGCCGGACGAGTTCTACTTCCAACAATAAGATGTCGGTCCAGTTTTTCAATTTTGACAATGGCCTGGTGGCAAAAATCCTGAAAGGCATGCACAGTCTACAGCAGATTTCCAAGACACGGAGGTTTTTGGTGTTGAAAACAGCCAGCCTGCAGACCTGCAATTTGGAGCAGGTCTTTTTGAAACTGTGCACAAGAGACGGAGAGGATGGTCTTCGCGGGGCAGGAGGAGCTTCTTCTAGCGCCGGAAGAGGCAACGCTATTTTAGCTCCAGGAGTCACGACTACGATTCCAGCGACGTCTCTTCAATCTTTTGCGGCGCAGCTACAACTTCCAGTCGCCGACTTGGCGGGCTCCATGCGGGCGGATGCGGAAGCTGAAGACGATCTTCATACAAGAACGGAGCATACTGTGAGGACTTCTTCATCTTCGCAGCGTGATGCTGGAGGAAGAAATCTTGCCGATATAATTGACTATGGTCAGCACCAACAGCGACACCGTAGCAGGTTGTGGCCACGATTTAATTTCATCTCTGCCTGCTGGAACACTAATAATTTTTTCACGATGATTTTTACTCGCAGCCCACGCTTGCGGCGGTACTTGCGGACCTTCAAGCTGTTAAAAACTCTCGTCAAGCGCCGGCTCTACCTGTTCCTCCGCGGCACGAAGTCCAGTCTCTTTGTGCAACTCAGCTTCCCGGTCTTTCTCGTGGCTTTGTGTTGCGTCTGCTACTTCCCACTGCAGGAAATCATGCAGCCTATGGACCGCAGGATGAAACACCGACACAGCATGATGCAGCATTTGGCCGGCCGTGGAACAACATCTTCTTCACGAATTGGGCAGCTCCTGCAGCTGCTGCCTGGGTCGGGATCATGCGTCGGGGAGAGAAACAGAATAGAGGACGAGAAAGAACGAAATAGACCTGCTGGAGGTCTTGAACAGGGCCGCAACAATAAGTCCTCCGAACCACCTCCACGTCCTTTTTTCAGCGCTGTCCAGCCATTTACCTTCAAGCCGGGAAACTTTTTGTGGGCACGGTGTAGTGGCAAGAACCACTTGGGTCGTTTTGTGCACGGAGGTGCTGCTGGGGCCGCGACTACACGAGCTACTGCTTTGACAGGAGAACAACTACTGGACGGCATGGGTACAACAAGAACGAAGAGCGAAGTAGGTGTCGAGCATCGATTAGAATCTGAATCACAACAAGCACTGTTTTTGAAAACTATGTTGCAGTCTTTATCCGAACACGATTTGCAGAAAACCGAGCGCAGCAGCTGCAACCTGGACAACGGACAGGAGGTGGTCGGCATTTCGCCTCTTGACTGGATACACGACGACGCCGTTTTGAATGATGCATTTCTAACGGCAGCACAAATGTCAGCTTCAGAACATGAACATCTGCCTACTGAACGAGAGGAAAATTATAATCAGCTCCATCTTCAGAGGATTGTGGAAAGCCAACGCCTGTACTCGTTGCAGCTGCAGCTTTGGTATGCATTGCAAAAGTGTCTGGGTCTGGAAACTTGTGATGCTAGTTTGCGAATGGTGGCTCGGCGCACTGCAATATGCAGCCCAGCATGACAAGTTTTTTGTGCTGTTGTGTGTTTCGTTTTTCGCATGACAAGCTGCGTTTTTGCATGACAGGCAAGAGGCTCTTTTCCTGCTGATGCATCACAGATTTGAGAGTCATGCCAGACAAGCGTGACAAACCTGCATTGTCTTCCAGACCCAGACATTTTTGCATTCGGTATTTGGTTTTCCAACCTGCTGCAGACCGAGATGGCGCCGCGAATCGAACTTCAGGGAGTCCGGAAAACAAATCCTGGCGCCACCACTGGAGGGACCACAACTTCTGCAGCGGCCACGAAAGGGACGAGTAGTACGACTGGAGGTGGTGCTATTTCTTCAAAAAGCGGCGTCTACAAGCTGGCCCAGTACTACCAGATGCCGATCAGGATCGCAGCGAAGACGATCATCCGCTGTTGTCGCAGCGCGGCGTTGGGAAGCGTCGCGGTTGTGGAAGAAAACTACGACGAGGTTGAAGAAGGAGAAGTGTCTCCACTTGAAAATGCCGCGGACTCTACTAGCACACCGTCAAAGTCAACAACCGCGAAAAATGCAGCCACTCAAAATCCGTTCATCCCTCCAGCACCTGAAAAGATCGCTCCCGTGTTGAAAAAGCAGTTGCAGCAGCTGTTGCCGTCGCAAATGCTCGCGGCTGTGGCGGATCCGGCGTCGACGACGAGTTCTTCCAAGTATACCTTTTCGCAGGAGCTGATCGACAAGGTTTTGTACCCAGACGAGAACGTCTCATTGGAGCAAGGGCGGGCCAAGAAGCAGCACGAAGGCCTGGAGCTGGACCTCGGTGGCGTTTACGTCAACATCGTGGAGGATGAGAGTTTGATGAGGCCTACTTTCGATTTTGATCCCCAAGATGAAAAAAGATATCAAAGGTGGTCCACCAGCAGGTCCTCTTCCTCACCGCGCGACGCAACAGTTTTCGTAGAAGACGGCGGGACAAGAACCAAAAAGTCCCAACCAAAACAAAAATACGTGAACCTCAACGACCCGCGGTTGACAATGATACGGAGCATTGGAAGTAGCGAAGATGTTGTTGGCGAGAGCAGTGGGCCCCCGCGGGGGCAAGAACTACATGAAGATCTTCATGCAGGAGCTGCCACAAGTGACTTGATGTCGGACCACGCCACGACTCTGCAGATTTGGTTTGAAAATGATTCGCTCATAGCAACGGTGGAATCTTCTTCGGAGATCAAGTTTTTTACAGCTTCTTTTGGGTCCTCTCGCAAAAGAAATGCTGGCGTTTTTTTCTCACCTGCTGGCGCCAGGAGCTCCAACACATTGCTGGACAAGATCCAAGTTCTCAGCGGAAGAGACAAATACGAGAATCTGCTACGAGAAAGCCGCGTTGATGTGGCACAGCGGCCTCATCTGCAGGAGAAACAGCCGTTGGAAGCCTTAATCCAAGACGAAACCGTGTCCGATGTTGCGTTCCACAAGTGGTTTCTGTTCGTCGCTTTGCAGAAAACTTTCCGCGATAAAAAAGCGTTTGAGCAGTTGCTGTTCCGGCGGATGGAGGAATTACTAGACGAACCTGTGCCCCGCAGCTTCGAAACCTTGCTGAAGCAAGCGCCGAGCGTGGCGGACCTGGCGGCTGTGTGGCAAAGCAAACTGTCCTCGTCGTCGTCCCCTAGTACAACTACCTCAACTACAAGAACGCAGGTAGAAGAGGACAAAGGAGCCGAAAAAAAATCATCCGAGAAAGATGTAGTTGAAGACGGAGTGGGTAGTGCAACGGTTGGGCTGAGTGCCGCCAAAGAACTTCTTCTCAGGAGAAGGTCATCATCGACGACAACTACTTCTGAAGCACAGCAACTACCGAAGGATTCGGATTCCTCTGCCGCTCGTAGTGAAGTAGTAGATGCAAATCTTCATGATCCTCAAAGCTTTTTAGAGAACACATCAGCGCATGATCCGAGGCAAAAGAAGCAGTTTGATCTCCTCTACGAAGCCCTGGCCCAGAACCCGCTCGACTACGTTTTCCTGGCTCCGCGGCTGACCAAGCCGGGCGTTTTGCTGCAACTCCAGATCGACGAGATCAATGAGAAGCAGATGATTTCCAAAAGAAAAGTCGACGTGAGGGCTGTTTTGTCCGCCTTTCAGAAGTGGCGGGAGGAGATAGGCGAGGACGCGTTTCAGTATCAAATGCAAAAATGTCTGGGTCTGGAAGAGTGCAGATTTTTGTCATGCTGCTTCTGCATGACACAAAATGTCTGTCTTGGAAGCCCTAGCATCACAGATTTCGAGAAGCTTCCGCTTTGCTTAATCCGCATGACAAATCCCCCATTTTGGTGACAGGAAATGGGCGCCTTTTGCTGCCTATACATGAGAGATTTGTCTATGTTGTGCAATGCGCATCACAAGTTCGCTTCCTTCCAGACCCAGACATTTTTGCATTTGATATTCCGCACGACTTGACCACGGTCCTGCTACCGGAACTCGAGCGACGCATGGATCTGCTCGATGCGGAGAAAAAGTTGGCCCGGCGAAGGTTCTTCCACGAAGAATTCTTGCCTTCTTGGGAACAGGTGAAGAAGAGATTCAATATTGTTGTAGCAAGGGCGAGGACCACCGACGGATCACCGGTTCTACTTGCACCGGTTGCGGTTCCAACGCAACTACCGGTGACATTTTTCCTGGCGGAGGAAAAACAGAAGTTGGCTTCGAAGTTGGAGCGGAGTACTGTCACTGATCTTCTTCGCACAAAGACCACGAGTACAAGTGACGATAAGCCACAGACACAGTTTTCCATCGCACCAAGCGCCGGAAGCTCCTCATACACACAGCTCCGTCTTTTGCTGTTGCGCAGTCCCAGTATGCTGTTTGTCGACGTGGTTGCACACGACGACCATAATTCTAATCGTGTGGTCGGACAAACTGAAACGACTAGTACCCCCAGCACCACCTCTTCTTCTCAAGAACACACGGAACAACAACAAGACCCGCTTGCGCACTACAACCTCGATGACACGCAGCACGCGCTGCTTGAGAATCTGTTCACACTTATCGGCTTCAATGTTTTTCACGACGGCCTGCGGTTTTTTTTGGAAAAAAAGTACGAGGAACTGCTGCAAACCGACTTCTATGAGGCGAAGGCCTTTTTCCAACACGCGGACAATGAGCTGTGGACAAACAAACTCATCCGCCAGCGGCTCTACGAACTGGGTAGCTCCAGCAGTGCGAGAGTGGTCAAGCCGCAGAACAAATTCTACGGAAAAGTTTTGGGGGAAAAACAGGTCGGGCTGGATGTTCCGGTGTCGGGCGGTCTGATGCACGAGAGCAGTGGCAACATAATGGTGGGCGAAGGAGGAAAAAATGAAGAAGCGCCAGCACAACAACTTCTTGATGAGCAGACCGAGTCCGCGACGACAGAAGGGAATAAAGCAGATGGGTCCTCTACTTACTACCCCGCGGTGGGTCGTTTCGCGGCACTATTCGGAGGGACGACGCTCAAAAGTACTTCGAATCGACTCCCAGGTGCCAGTGCTAGTCGGAAGAAAATCTTCCGCATACGAGCGTTGTCTGCTACGGGCGAGGGTTTTTTTCAATCCGGGGAGAACATGGACGACGACGAGGAGGTGGAGCAAAATTATGAATACCAGGAAGGTTCTCGTAGTAGAAGTAGTTCTAGTTCCAGTTTCTCTTCCTTCGCACATCAAGAGGGACCACCTCCCTCGATGTCCTCCCAGTCGTCCTCGTCATCTCTGCGGCCCTACACTGCGGATTTTGTGCAACTGGCGTACCGAAACGAGGAGTCCGATTGTTGGATTATTCGGAATGACGAGAAGGATTTTTCGCAGCTCTCTCGCAATAGTCTTTCGTCTGGTGATGTTGAAAACATTAGCAGCAGCGGAGATCATGGAATTGAAAGAGACACGACGAGGGGTTCTTCTCCGCAACAGTATCTGGACCACGTTCCAGACCTGTGGCTGAACGGGTGCGACCGGGATGTCCTTCGTATGCTGGCGCGGACGAACGGAGATATAATTTCCCGTAAAAGAGCTGGAGCAGGGGCTCCACAGAACGAACGATCAAGAGCTGCACGAGGAGAAGCCAACAACTATGCCGGAGGTCGTGCCGCTCCGCAGCACTTCATGGATTATATCACGTTTTTGCCGGGTCGCCCGTGGCTTGCGTATCCAGCGGAAGGAGCCCACAGCTCTAGAAGTACAACTTCTAGCGCAGGAGCAGGAGGAGCTTTCATGTCCTTCTTCGATGAAACAAGAGAACCTACACCGCGGATCCGCCTGCTTCCGCCCAAGTCCCCGGATTTGCAGGTGGCTGTGCTGACAGAAGAGAGAGTTGTGCTGTCTAAGCATGTTTCTCAAAGAACAGGACAAGAAGGACCTTCAGCAGGAGGGAAAGATCGTGGTCCTACTCCTACGACGGTAACAGAAACAACGTTCTTCCACAACCTTAATACCAACCCAATCGGCACGCCCTTGCAGTTGTTGCAATCCTCCCTCGAAGCTGCAGCTCACACTAGCTGGACACAAGCAAAACAAGCGGAAGAAGCTGCACGAGGAGGCATGTGGTCGGCTGGAGCTGCTGCCACGGAAGTCGAAAACGAGGATCATGATGCGCAGTCAGTTGTACATAGCAGAAGCAGAAAGGCCGCGGCCACGAAGATAGCCGGGGGAGATGTCGACCCCCGCAACGTCGAGGACGTCCTTCCAACATCGCAACGACTTTTGTCAACTAGTTTCAGAACAAGTAGAAGTACAAGTAGCTCGTTATTGCAGCACAGCTTTCCTCGGGCGGAGGTACTGCCACCAACACTGCAAGTCTTCCCGATGGACGCACTTTTTCCCGGAAAAAAAATAAACGCATTGGACGACGAGGCATCTTCAAGCGATGCTGGCAGCAGAAGTGCTAATGATATGCAAGCTCATCCTGTCGGCATGGACCACATTTTGAAGAATTTTTTTCTGCCGCTCATCCCTTCCGCGGCGTTTCTTTCGGTTTTTAACCTCTTCATCCTGACACTGCTCACCCTCAATGTGGTCTTCTTCAACGAAAACGAGCGCGCGCTGGAGTGGAAGCTGCACATCCTGCTGGCCGGCGTGAGTTTGAAGAAGTACTGGATCGGCAACCTGGTATTCGACTACGTCTGGTTCTCTTTTGTCTGCTTGCTCCTCACCGTCGGCTACACGGTCGGGGGCGTGGACATTTTTTCCTTAGTGGACCTCGATGTTGAGGACTTCTACACAGGAGACATGAGCAGGAAGAACTACTTCATTCCCGCAAGAACTTCGTCGCCAGAAGAACAAGCGTCTTCTACATCGCAGCAACACCAACTCACAGAGGACATTAACACGAGCAAGAGCCATCTTCCGGTAGTTGCATCTACTAGTGCAGTTCAGAATGGTCCTTCGTCACCGAGAACATCAAGTGCCGCGCCTCTGGGCCCTTCTGCTTCCGAGGAAGATGTTTTTAATTCTAGTGACACCATTACGCCTGTTCTCGTGCTTTCTCCAAACCTCTACGGACTGCTTTTCTTGCTGCTCGCGATTCTCTTCTCCATGGTCGCGGTACTCATTGCCTACGTTGGCTCCGAATCCGGCCGCGCATGGGCGTTCTCGGGCGGCACCGGCAGCAGTAGTAGAAGTCGTGCTGCGGGTCGTGAAGAAGTATATGAAGAAGAGCAAGGACAGGACGGCAATTGTTCTATAGTGGCCGGCGGAACAAGAGCTGCGACAACACGAAGAACCTCGTGGAATGGTGAGAGTGTTAGTACGGTGAATCCACTAACCGGATACCTTGGGAGACTGCTACAACAACTCTCATTCGGTGCCGGGGGTCGTGCAGCGTCCTCAGCAGGGGCAAAAAACACAGGGATCAACATGAACAGCAACAACAATTCGGACACGCTGGCGTTGTCTCTGTTCTTCTACCACTTCTTTGGTGGTCTCCTCCTCGTGGCCGTGTCGTTTTCCCTCACCTCGTTCGAAATTTTCTCCCTCACGCACTCCCAAAACCCGCACAAGTTCCGCATTGACACCGTCTGCAGCTACTACAAACCGCTCGCGGCGCTTTCTTTCAGCCGTCAGCGGATCGACAGAAGAACGGACTGCGACACGGACCGGTTTTACTTTTGCCACTGGAACGACAATGAGCAGCACTGCGAGCACAGCGACCGGTCGAAGGCGATTTACTTGGAAGAGTTGGAACACCCGGCGGTATTCTCCGTCCCGATTGCCTACTGGAAGGCGGGGCTGGCGACCATTGGCGGGGTGCTGGTCCCGAGCTTCCCGTTTTTGCAGGCGGTGCTGAAACTCACGATTCGCAAGGGGGTGCTGTTCCTGCAGTGGGCGGACTTTGTCAAGAGCTCGGTGTACGCCAACGGCGGAGTTTATGGAAGCGTCAGGTTTGAAATCGACAAAGTTGAAATGATTTGTCATGCATCAAATGGATAGTACCAGTTGGAAGACCGATTTCCAAGCCGCGCATGACAAACTTTCGGAGCACCGGAATCCAATTTGTCATGCTGTTTGGGCACAGGAGACTGCTTTTGTCATGCTCCTTTGGCAGCTCTATCCCAAACCCTAAATAGGGTCACAATCTGCCTCACTTGCCATGCCGGCAAGACAGGCACTTCATGCCTTGCATTTTTTGCATGACAAATCATTTAAACTTTAGCGATTTCAATCCTGACAGATCCATAGAGTTTCCATGCTGCGGATCGCGGAGCAGATCAACCCCGGACTGGTGATATCCTGTGCAAAATTATCGTACTCGTAGTAATTGCAGTCATGCATTACAAATATTTTTCCTAAGGCAAAACCGCATTACAAATTCCAACTGTAATGCTAAGGAAATTTGTAATGCAATTCATACTAGTACGATACTTCTGCATTCCATAGGTGAGCGCGGTCTTTTATGCTGATGAAAAAGCAGGAGCGAGGACGTCACCAACTGATGAAACCGCTGAAACGTCGACCCATGTTGCGACCTTCCCGCTTTTGGAAGAGATTGTCTCGGTAGGGTTAACATCTGCTGAGCAATCACATTCATCGCTCTCATCTTCCCCCAGCACAAGCATCGAGGATGAGCTCGTACTGCCCAAGGTACGCCCAATGGATGCTGTCTTGCCACACGTGATGCAAAGCGCCACTTTTTCCACTTGTCGGCTAGGAGCTGCTGGCCGTGGAAGTGAAGATCATGGTGGAGCTATTTCATCTTCCGATGGGAAGAAAAATAAAGCGGAAGCCGGTTGGGGGAAAACGAAAACTTCTTCGCAAGAATCTGATCCAAGAATCGGTTGCCGGTTGATGAGCGAGTTTCTGGCGGCGGGGAGGAAAGGAGAGGATCCGGTGAACAACAACCGCGAGGAGGAACTGTATACGATCAAACTGCAATCGATCGAAAAGAGCCTGGATTGCTGCCACGGGGCCGATCCAATCAAGCCCTACCGAGGCGTGCTGCAAAAGGTGCGACAGGTGCTGCGAAACGTGGTCAAGGTAAGGGAAAGGAAGAAAGTTGTTGGGAGTAGAGTAGAACAAAGTAGTACCCACCAGGACGAGGCGGGCGGTTCGGGTTGGATCCCAGCAGCAGCAGGGGGCAGTAGCACTGGTACGTCTGATTCTGCATCTTCGCATAGTACTACAAGCCCAGCACCTAGGTCGTCCATATCATTCGCACACCTGAAGCCTGCCCTGAAACTGCTCCTGCAGCGCCAGATCGAGGATGTTTTTAGTGCGAAGATGACGAAGAACAAAAGGCCTCCGCGGCCGCAGCAAGGGACCAATAAAGCAGACTACCACGCTGCTACGAATCCGGATGCGGAAACGAAGACAGGAGAGCCACATCATGGAGAACAGGAAGTTTCATCTCCTTCATCTGACCTCCAGAACGAAAACGATAAGGACGACCCAGAAGTTCTTAACCCTCCCGCCCCGCCAGTCGTCCACCTCGAAGACGCACAATTTGACGAGCTGTTCCACTACCTAGTGGAGCGTGGGGAACTCGGCGACATTCTGTTGGAGGCGGCTAGCTCTACTGCTGCTGGCACAACTTCTGCTTCGTCAACCAGTAGTACATCACCGCTATCCGAGGAGCAAGATTTATTTGAAAAGAAACTCGTGCACTTTTTGCAGAGCCCCATCGAGCTGCACTTGAACAGGGCCGAAGTGTTGCACTACTTTGCGCAGCTCAGCGGGATTGACGCGACTGGGAATCTGCAGCGGGTGTACGATATGCATTGCAAAATTATCGTACTAGTATAAATTGCATTACAAATTGACTTAGCATTAAATTTGTAGTGCGGATTTGCCTTAAGAAATAGATTTGTAATGCATAACTGCGATTACTACGAGTGCGATACTTTTGCAGTGCATATACGACCGCGCAGTGGAAATCGTTTTGTCGGAGTTCCTGACCATCGGCGACGAGCTGCTTTTGTTGGCAGTCTCGCTTTTCGCGTACTTGCTCCTGCTCTGGAACATGACGACGGGAACGGCCGCTGCAAGAACAACGGATAATGAAAACCAAAACTCTACTGCACGAACAAGATTCCCAGCGATGAAAATAACAACGACCAGACTCGCGTCCCTCTCGAGAAGATGTTGTTTGTTACCGCTTTATTTCTGCACCGGAAGCCTTACACTTTGCTTTTTTCTGCTAACCCGACTGCTCCGCAAGCTGCTGGAACTGTCAACCATGCTGTTTTGCCGTGGTCTGCTATTCGTTAAGCGGTTCTGCTGGAACCGGCTCATTGGCGGCCGGCGTAGAAGTAGCTCTAGGGTGTGGAGACAACGAGGAATGGGAGGAAGTTCCGCACTCTTTCATACCAACCCGGCGTTCGTCCACGTGCACCAGCCGGCCTACGCAGACAACTTCGTGCAAGGAGACGAGAGCAGAAGCAGCAGTCGTGCAAGAACTGGTTCTAGTGCAGGCGCGACGGTGGACGGCCTAGAAGGTGGACCACAAAAGCAATCGCAATTACCTGGGGGAAACGAAAACGATGTCCTCAGTACAACTTCTAGTGGTGTCAGTAGTACAAACCGGGTTCTTCTAGAAGGAGAACGAGAAGCTCAATCTGCTCTCTTCGAGCAAGAGGATGAGGGCACCAGAGTAAAAAACATCCCAGAGGACGAAGACCAGGAAGTCGTGGCGGAACGCAAAAAGGTCAAGAACTGGCTGCATTACCGTTTGTTTCGTGGCTGGTTTCAAAGGCAGGACCCGGGACAACGGGGAGATTTTTCATCTATTGCAGTAGAAGATGAGGAGCAACAGCAAGAACAGTCAGAGCAAGGGCGGGATAGAACTCCTCCACCAGGGTCCTCGCAACTAGTACAACAATCTTCAGGGGCACTAGAAGTAGGTGGGCAACAAGAGGATGATTCAGATTCTTCTCGACACTCGGCGCACCATCAAGGAGGTTTTCAGGGCGGGGAACAAGATGTAGTTCCTAGTGCGGCACAATCCTCGTCACACCCCTACCTGGTATTGCACAATCTGGAAAAGACGTTTTACTCGCTAGACCGAAGCATTTCGAGCAAGGTGCAAGAGAAAAAGGCCGTCTGCGGTGTGGATTTTTTTGGCGCGCTGGACGCAGGAGGAGCAGGAGTGGGGCCGCTCAAAAACAGAGCTGCGAACAACGAAGTTGCGACAAGCCTGACCAGTGGCAGTTCCACAACTGCCAGCGCCGCGTCGACGGCTTCGAGTTCAAGTACTACCACGAACACTAGAGCCTCGTCCTCGAGCTCAGCGGGATCTTCACCAGGCGGCCAAATTTTCGGCCTCCTGGGTCTCAACGGCGCGGGAAAGACAACAACGTTTAAGATGATGCTGGGCCTGGAAACCCCGACGAGGGGCGAAGTGTACATCCTGCCCGGACTGCTGCAGAGCTCTTCGTCGTCCCGGGACCACGATAAAGTCCCCTACGAATACATAGGGTACTGTCCGCAATTCGATACGCCGCTCTTCTCCGAGCTGACGGTCTTGGAGAACCTCAACATTTACCGCCGCTTGAAGCAAAACAACAGCACGCGCGCTGCGGAAGCCGATTTTAGTACAACACCACCTCCAGCAGTGGAGCTGCAGACAGAGCCTTCATCTTCACGCGCTCGTCCGGCTACTACTTCTACCCGAGCAACAAGTTCTACCTCAACGACCTACGCGTCTTTTCTGAAACGGCGCATGCAGAGCTTGATCGTAGAGCTGGACCTGGAGCCCTACCTGCACAAGAAGTGCTACCAGCTCTCCGGCGGAAACAAGCGGAAGACGTGCGTGGCGATTGCGCTCTTGTCAAAGCCGAAGCTGCTTTTTCTCGACGAGCCCTCTTATCCACAGAAAAAAACCCATCCACATCCATTTTTTGCATGGCAAGCACATGACTTGATACGTGTTTTGCATGACAAATTGGATGTGGATGGGTTTTTTTCTGTGCATACCTCTACGGGAATGGACGCCGTGGCCAAGCGAAATTTGTGGAGGTGCCTGCAAAAGTATGTGCAACTGGACAGAACCTTGTGCATCTTGACCACACACAGTATGGAAGAGGCCGAGTTTCTCTGTCACCGCATTGCCATCCAGGTGGAGGGACGCTGGCGGTGTCTGGGCTCGGTGAACCGGCTGCGCCAAGTCTACGGTGGCGGGTATGAGGCCATCGTGGAGCGCGAGAAGATTCGTAGTACACTATCAGGCATGTCGATGTCCACGTCTCTCATCTCTGGGGGCCGTCGAAATGGAGCAGGAGGTCTACTTGGCAAAAATACTGCTGGCACAACGACCTCTGCTGCGGAAGTTGCTGTCTTAGAAGATTTCCTCGAAGAACTGCGAAAACTGCACCCGGATGTGCGCATCATTAACGGCACCGGGACAAATTTGCAACTGCGCCTGCAGTTTCCGTCACTGGGGTTGATGTCGCAACAGGAGGACCACATGGAAAACGACAGCTACACTCCGGTTGATGGCTCTTCACAACCGGTGGAAGCGCGGAACAATAAATTGAAGAACACGAATCTGCTCGATCTTGCGGTTCTCTTGGATTTCTTCCACAGCTACGAGAAGCAGCAGGAAGAAGACAGCGAGGTGGTCAGGAACATGAGCACGACGCAACAAGGGACATCAACCAACTTACGCGCGTCGTTGTCGCAAATGCGCCTGGAGCATGTGTTTCACCGCTTTAGCCCGGGGGCCATGAGTTGATCGAGGACTTTCTCGTCGCCCTCGCGAAAGGAAAGGAAAAAAGGGCAAGGGCTAATAACAGAATACCGACACGGATGGTAATGGTACTGATTTTGGTATTAAAAAAGATGATTTCACCACGTCCACTACATGTCTGAACAACCGGTGGATCAGTTCGTGGTCTCGTCTTTGGTAGCACGTTGTGATTCAATTTGTATGTCGTGCCTCGTGGAGGTAGTTACTGCTAGACTTAGATAGTTCTGCAATCATTTACATTTTGGTTGCGCTCGCTATAAATGACTGTAACATCGAAAGCAAAGACAAAGACAAGAAAAAGAAATCAGAATGACATTGACAACTAGTGCAACTGGAGAGACAAAGAAGTGTATGAAATTGAGCATAGTTGTAAGCGGAAACTACAGAAAAAATGTTTCCACAGAAGTGGTCCCCCTGTGGTCACGAAAAAATGAGATGACTCAAAATGAATAATGCCGTACAACAGATGATGATGAAGATGATACCACTCAGGAGCTATGGTTCGATTAATCACTGTAATACACCGACAGCTTTACGACCCGGAGCAGGTCTCTTGAGATAAAAGAGACGCAGTCCGCTTATCCCTGTGTTCTTTTTCTCGTTCCGTTGTCGTGTGAATTGAAGAAGAAGACAAAACGAAAACCAACACTATCGTCCTCACCGCGTATAGCATTCGTCGTGCCTCCTGCTGCTCCCACATTCAGACACGTGGTCGTCCACCTCGTATATCATTATCATCATTTACCTCGTAACGTCGTCGTACTTTTCGTTTTCCACCTCTATCGTTCTCCCCCGTCATCAGTCACGCGTCGTGTCTCGTTCTCGTACTTCGTTCACCCATTGATCCAAAGCGAAAGCGCTCAAAAATCAAAATACTTTTCTCACTGATTCATTTTCGTCATTAAATCCGCGTTACAAAAGATAGTCAGTGTATAACAAGTGTTGACCACCCTTTTTTTATCCCCCGTTTCTTTTTTTCAGAGCTGGAACCCATCTCAGAGCAGATAATTCCTGTTAAAAAATATATATCCTGAAATGTCTGCACCGTCCGCGATGCAGGGCAAGCGGTTCGCGTGGGTGCCGGGCAAGCACCCGAACCGGTTTACGCTGGCGGAGGTGCTGGACATTACAGAGACCAACAAGGGCAAGATCATCTACACGGTGAGCATGGGCGGGGAGCACATTCACTCCGACGCGGCCATTCGGGAGAACCGGAACCAGGGTAAGACCGGAGAAAAGGACCTGCAAATCCGGAAATTTTTCGCCGAAGAGGTGTCCGAGTATAACCAGCAGGAGGAGCAGCTGGCGGTAACCAACCCGGCTTTTGACGTGCTCATCCAGTCCAACGCGTTGACGCAGCACTACCTGAAGAAGCGGCTGGAGGCGGGGCTGTGCTACACCAACTGCGGCAAGAACACTTTAGTGTTTCTCAACCCGTTCACGGACCCGGTGATCGTTCCAGACCGGATCCTGAACGCCTTTTTGATGAAGGCGGTGGGCACGGTGCGGCCCGGCAGTTCTTCCCCGCTCGCCGGCAGCTCTGGTGCAGCGATGAACGCCAGCTATTCCGCGCTGCTGTTCCAGGGTACTAGTGGCAGCGGAAAGTCCTGCCAGTTGAATCTCTGTCTGCAAGAACTCGCGAAGCTGCACAAAAACGGTCCCCGGGGGACGTTTCTGATGCGAAACACGGGCCGCGTGCTGGGCTTCTTCGGAAACACGAGCACGGTGCGCAATAAGGACGGAAACAGGTACGAAAAGAATCGCTCTAGCGTAGTTCATGACAGATATTTTTTCACCCCGAGAGGCAACGCAGGGGCAACCGACGCCGAGTAGAAATATCAAATGAAATATTTTTCTTTGCCGCCTATATTGAGACGCCGCTCCTTCAGTAGAGGTAGACCTAGAAAGAAACAAGGTCCAACAGCACGAAACTAACATAAAACCAAAGCTCTGTCCTCCACGTCCACCGAAAGATAAATTGAAAACAACAGGTTCAGCCGCGTCCTGGAGTCTACAGTTGCTTATCCGAAGCAGAAGGCGAAGCGGGCGGCGTCTCCGGGTGGAGCAGCGGCAGCTTCCGCGAAAAACCTCCGCTCGTTCTTCATTCCGGGCACTCGGGCGAAGGACCGGGGCGTAGCAGGAGACGAGGACTTCTACAGTACTGGCAACAGCAATGTGCAAAATGCGATGCTGAGCGAGGAGAAGAAGCAAGTGCTGGCCCGGTACCCGTTTCTGGTGACGCAGACGGTGAACAAGACTTACGCCTTTGAGGCCAACAAGGTCGCGAAGCAGAACCCGGGGGAGTCAAACTTCCACCTGCTCACCTGCTTCTTCGCGTACCTGAAGTGCATCCAAAAGTTTTCCGAGCTCAAGGCCTTTGACAACGACAAGTTTCCGCTGGACCCGGATTCCGCGATCGTGATCGACGACACACTGGAGCAGCGCATCGTGGAGGAGAACTCCGGAAAAATCCACCCGGCGCAATTGCGCAACTGCATGCTGAAATGCGACCAGGACTTGGGGGTCTTGTCAGTGGTCGAAGAGCTGCGCGTGCACGCGGAAAACCAGTACCGCTACATGAACACGGACCTGCAGCAGCAGGACGCCAATGACGGCGACGAGCGGAGTCTGATGCTCCTCCCCGACGAGGACGCGACCATGCTGAAGCTGACGAACGCTGACCTGCTCAATTGCGCCCGGTTTCTGGACATGCGGCGCTTGTTGGAGCAGTACAACGTGAGCAACACCGAGTTGGGCGGGATTTTGAAATTGCTCAACGTCATCCTCAAGATCGGTAACATCGACGTCGTTGCTGGTGCAGCTGGTGGCAGCAGCGGTACTAGTAGCGCAGCCCCCTCCAACACGGATGGCAACAAGGACGACAAGATGAATACGACAGAAGGTGGACAAGGAGCAGTGAGCTTAACGGCCCGGGGGCTCGCGGCGCTTGAGGACTTGACGGCCTTGCTCGGGCTGAAAGATGTGGATGTCCTGAAGGACCTGTTCCTGGTAGAGAAAAGCAAGAAGTCAGGCACGGCTGAACCGATTCGCAGACCAAGGGGAATACAGTAATGCTTAAAGTTTGATATTTACGGACGTGCTAGTGCTTTTCGTTTTGGTTTTGGTTTTCCACTGTGATCATCATCACATCAGCGGTAGGTACTGTAGATTTAGTACGTGTGACGAGCAGGACCAGGAGCTTAATATCCGAGCGCCGCAGCGCCAGCGCCACCTATCAAGATGTCCTATCGGTTTATGTACAGGTCGTTCTTCTTCAAGTGAAGAAGTGAACGCCAAAAACCAGATTGATAAATGTAAAACGAAGAGGACCGACCAGCATGAAATTCCATTATGTACACATTAATATGCACAAAAATGAAAAAACGTCAAAAAATCCTCTCAGTTCCGTTCTCCGGATCCGTGATGGGATTGCCGCTAACCTGTACGAGTCGATCTTTACCTTCGTGAAGACCAAGATGAACACGGAACTGCTTTTAATGTCAGAGCTGCCCGAGAGCATGAAGGTGGAAACGGAGCAATACGACCTGCAGCACGTGAAAAAGTTGCTTCTCGTGGACGCCTTCGGGTTCGAGTCGGTCCAGGAAAACACCCTGGACCAGTTTCTGAAGAACTACGCGGCGGAGACGCTCCGCCGCTTTTTCGAGGTGAACGAGGTAGAGAAGTCACTTCAACTGCTCAAACGGGAGTTCGAACGCAGCCACGAAACCGGGTTGGAAAAACTTGAGCTCTCTACTCAGTCATCCCGGTCCTTTTACGACAGCAACGAAAATTTTCTGAACTTCCTGGAAAACGACTTCATCCCTCTGCTAGACGAGGTTACTTTACAGAACATGGTCCGTCTCTCCGACAACCTCCCCGGGGACTGCGATCATGCCGACAAGCAGATCAGCACCAAAACCGCGCGCAGATCCATGTCGAACGCAACGACCAGCTCCGATTTTGCCCTGCTGAAGAAGCTGGAGGAGAAACTAAGCGCAAATAATAGTACAACTATGTCCCCATTGAAGCCAGAACAGCCGTCAAAAAAGTTGACCAAGTGGCAAGAATTCTGTGCGACCTACCACTACAAGTCGCAGATGCTGTCCGCTGGCGGCGGTGACGAGAAGAACAGCAGTGAGGAGGACGACAACGCGGCGGAAGGCAGGCAGCAGCTAATCGAAAAGAAGTTTTCCACCTTCCTCATCGCGCACTACGCGGGCTACTACGCGCCGCAGTCTTTTAATTCCACGACAGACAAAAACTCTAGTGCATCAACTTCATCGAAGCAGGTGATCGCTTACAGTACGAAGAACTTCATCGCGAATAACTGCCGCGTCCCGTCTTCGGTCCTGTCAGAGATGAAGGCCTGCCTCGCCAATTTCAACGCGGACCTGGAAAAGGACGTCCCGCCGAGCGAAAAAGGCCAGGTGTCGTTGCTGGACGCCTTTCTGCACGAGGCCCCCCTGGACTTTCACAAGTACGAGCAGAAGCTGCCGAAAATCGGTCTCGGCGTGATCCACGACAGCGACCCGGAGTTGGTGAAGAAGTCAGAGCCGAAGACCATGATCTTCGCGCAGGAACTGCGACAGCTGCTGAAACTGATGCAGAACGCGGCGAAGGCGGACCAACTGTTTTTCTGCATGTGCGTGAAGCCGAATCCGGCCAAGGCCGCTTTGAATTTCGACACGGACATGGTAACGAAGCAGCTGGCCGGCCTCGGCATTTTAGAGTTGCAGAAGGTGTGCCAGAGCAGCTTCGACTTGCATTTAACGACGAAAGATTTCCTGAAAAAATACCGCAGCCTGGTCGCCTTCCCGGACGCGTTGTTGGAAAAGACCGAAGCGCTATCAAATGCAAAAATGTCTGGGGCTGGAAGAGCCAAACTTGTAATGCTGCATTTGGATGCTAAAAAAATCTGTACTGCATGAACAGCAAGAGGAGTCAAAATTTGGCTACGCGGAGATGGCATTTGTCATGCAGGATGCGCATTGCTCAGCGCTCAAAAAATCTGTGATGCTATGGCATACATCACAGACATCATGGATCATGGAAAATGTGCATGGCAAACTTGTCCTCTTCCAGACCCAGACATATTTGCAATGCATAGGCGCCGGTAACGAACAAAAACTCCGGTAGGCGGAAGTCACGGAAAGCGTCGAAATATGAACTGCAAAAGTATCTGTATCGTACTCGTAGTCATTGCAGTCATGCATTACAAATCTCATTCCCAAGGCAAATCAGCATGACAAATTGCAGCTGTCTTCATGCTGAGGAAATTTGTCATGCAATGTATACTAGTACGACTACGATACTTTTGCAGTTCATACGAAAACACTCTCCGCCTCCATCTCGCGCATCCAGCGTCTCACGGACGCGGACGCGGCGAATTTGTGCAAGGACGTGCTGGAACAGCACTACTTTCCCACGCGGAAGGAGGACGACTTTCTGGTCGGCAAGACCCACGTGTTTCTCCGCGTGCAGAGGTCCCGCGGGTACGAAAACTTGCAGACGGCAAAGCGCTACGTGGCCGCGACCGAGCGGATCCAGGCGCTGGTGCGCGGCATGCTAGTGCGAAAACTGAAAGTAGAGACCTCCGCAGGTGGAAGTACTTTATCCACGGCAAACAACAATAGATTCGGGTTCGCAGACCGGAAGGAATGTCTGGAAAGGTATCAGCAGAAGAGACAGGAAGTAGTAAAGAAGTACGTTGCGGATTCGAAATCGTCCTTCACCCTGCTGCTAGGCGTGTTGCAGGAAGCCGCGGCCACCGAGGCGGCCCAGCGTGTCGCGATATTGTCAACAGCTGGAGATCAAGCCGAAGAAGTGGATGCCTCGAGAATAGGAGCTGCTGGACAGTTCTTCTACGGTTCCACCACTACCTGGCAGCACTGCTGTTTGTACTGCCTGAACCTGTTCGAGCAGAGGTACCCCATCAAGAAGCGCGACTTTTTCAGCTACGCCCACTGCGAAGAGACGTTGGAAGAGATGGAGCAGTTGGCCATCCGGTTGCGCAACGCGGCGTTCGACACCCATGTGCGGCACGCGGCATATGGGATTCTCAATTGTTACATTTTCAACTGTTACATGAATTTGTGATGCAAGAATGGCCACAGGGAAAGCAAAGGCCGGATCTTGCAACTCTTGCATTACAAATTCGGCACAGATCATTCCCATGCCGTTTAGCCCTTCCAAAATTTGTCATACGAAGTAGCTTCACCGTGTGAACATTGGTGCTCTTTTTGCATGACAAATCGTGTAACAGATGAGAATGTAACATTTGAGAACGCCATACGGCAACTTCCACGAAGAACCTGGACGCCATGAGTTTCGACGGGATTGTCGCGGTGCTGGCCGAGTTTGTGGCGGATAACCGCGAACTACAGGAAAACCTGGTGACAAAGGATCTGAAGCCGCTGCTGAAATTGATCTACGAGTCGCAGTTGTCGCAGATGAAAGTGAACAGCAACAGTGCCGAGGACACGAGCGACTACGAGCAGCTGCTCGACTGCTACGCGGAGACGCAGCGGACCGTGGCGCATCTACTAGATGCCGAATTGTCGAGTTTGGAAAGGCAGTTCATGATTTTGAAAGCCCAGCTGATGTGCAACTTCCTCTACTTCACGTTGTTGCCGATCACGAAAGTGGGGAATAATAGTACGAAAACTTTGAACCAGGCCACGCGGCAGATTTTTGAAGATTTTCTGAAGTGGAAAAGCACGACGAACTCGGTGCGGTTGTCTTTGATCGAGAAACAGAAGGAAGAGAACGCGACGCATTTGAAACAGTACACGCAGCACGTGATCGAAGACATCCACCGGCTGAAGGCGGTAAACACGACGGCGCCCATGGAGGTAAAAACCATCCTGGTGAACGAGGCGGAGCAGTATCTGAAGCGGGCGAAGCGCGCGGTGCTCGAGAAGCAGTTTGCGTATCAAAACGAAAATTGCCCCCACCGCCCCACATCGAAAACGAAACTTGTGATGCTGTATTTGAGTACACAAGTCGACTTGTAATGCTAGAAGGCCAAGAGCCGCAATTGTGGCCTCGTTTGCAGGCAATTTGTCATGCTGGTTCCCACTTCCAGCTGCTTCCTGTCATGCTGAAGATGCAAGGCTTCCCCACGCCACCCAGTACTACAGTCCGCATCTTTTCCCTTCTAGCATGACAAAACCGATTTGTGACCACAAATCTGCATCACAGATTTCCGCTTTGATATGGGGAGGGGGGATTTTTCTTCTTGATATTGCGCCGGTTTTGTACTCTCTGTACCACCTCCTGGACGGGTATTCAAGAAAAAAACACCATCACAATCACTATTGCACATTTTTGCAATACAAAAATTTTTGACATGCGCAAAAATGCATCACAGTCAAGAGTTATTGGCGATTTCCCTTTGTGTTTTTGCAATACAAGAAAAATTTGGCATGCGAGAGAAATTTCTGATGCAAAACCTCCTACATGTGATTGTGATGGTGTTTTTTTCTTGGATAACGGGGGGCACGACACCGCGTTCGAGCAGACGCTGCTTCTATCCGACAAAATCGCTTTGGAGAATTTCAAGCGCCTCCGCCTGTGGCAGGGCCGGACGGACCTCGTGTGCCAATGGGTGAAAAACAAACAGAACCGCCTGCGGGTGGGGAAGGAGAAGTTACTGCTGCAGCAGAAAGCCGAAGAGCTCGCGTTTCAGCAGTACGGAAACGCAAAAATCTATCAAAAGGAAAAATCCCCCCTCCCCATATCGAAAGCGAAATGTGTGTTGCTGTATTTGAGTACACAAAAACAAATCATATCTGTCTTGCTGGAGAGGACTGCAGACCCATATCAAGCCTGAGCAGAGAGGCTTTGAATTAGGCGCTTAGCATGAAAAGCGTCCGTGATGTTGGCTCAACAGCATGACAAACCGCCTCCATAATGGGACGGAAGCTGCTGCCCTTGTCTTCTTGCAGCACAAACGTGATTTGTGACCTCAAATCAGCAACACCGACGGCTGGCCTACGGATATCAGGTGGATCACAGGCTCAAATCAGCAACACAAATTTTCGAAAACCTACCTCGTCAATATGGGGCGGGGGAATTTTTCCTTGCGATAAAATTTCCATGCAGCAATTCGGCAAGGGTAAGGGAAAGGGATTCAAAGGCGCGAAGGGAGTGACAATGATGTCCACGCGAATGTAGGCGGTCCGATATTGTCGGGCTCAGAGCGATAATATGACGGTCGTTTATGATTTCTACGTAGGATTTTTTTCAAATTCTGAATCTGACTGCACAAACCCGCCGCGGCTAGTAAAACCTCCACGCTGCGTTATTGTTATGTTCTATTCATTCTCGTTTTTAAGATTAACACATCAAAATTCACTGCAACACGTCTAGTATTCACGGTAAAGTATGAGAATTCTGCTTTTATTGAGTTTAGTATTCATACGTCGTTCGAGTCTAGTAAAAACGTCAGTTAGATAGAAGTTCAGTTCGGTATTACTTAAGAATCAGTACTTGTAGTCGTAGAAACAAATAGCATACAAAGCATGCAGGTGCACACTTCCATACACGCAAACTTTTACTTAATCATACACAATCACAATGTCCATGTCGCTAACTCGCGAAGTTAGTTTCTCTCTCGTTTTTAGGATTAACATCAACATCATTTTTGAGTGATTTATTTACCGTTAGTAAGCATAAGTGCACGTAAAGTAAAACCCAAGAGGACGAACCCCCCACAGAACAAGTGCCCCAAAATCGTACCTTCGTTCATGCATAATTCCCTCGGTCCCGCAGCCACGCAAAATGAAACTCTTATGCCAGAAAATGTAGCAGCATTTTCAGTATTACGGAGTTGATATGCGTAGCAGTAGAGCCGACTCGTAGTGCCTCACCTCCACCCAGACCCGCCATACCACCTTTTTTTTTACAAAAGCAAGAGTGCAAGATCAAGAAAGGCATGGCCTGCCTTCGAACCTGCACGCGCCGACGCTGTACTTGTTTTTGCGTCAGCTTTTGGTAGACGCTTCGCTGGTCGCGCTCGCGCATCATATTACCTATCCGGTAGTTTCTTGCTAGTGATTATATTCGCGACGACAACGACAACGCATACGCACTCAACGACAATACTGCTGCTGCTCCCACTTGAGAAGTGCATGTTGAGTTAACGGAAACGGATATAGGCCACTTTACGTATTTGATTCTCCCCTCCCGTAACCCGGGAAAAAATTTAAATTTTTGCAAAACATAAACCCCTTTCGACTGTATACTAGTTTGGTTCGGATGGGGCTGAAATAGAATCATGTGAAGAAGAATCTCATCAAGGGATACGCTATCTGTGTTTCTTTATTTGTTGATCTCACTTGTTCTTTGATCATATCGGTGAAGATCTAACGTTCGTTTTTTGTTCTTTCCCGGCGGCTAAATATCTTGAATGTTTGTGACGCATTCTTGTTTCGCTTTCGATGCAGAGCAGTTCTTCATCGGTCGTCTTGAAGTAGGCAGAGTACAACTGGAGATGTTGCAAAACGCAAGTCGCAGTAGGACCAACCTCGTCGTCGTCGTCGCTCAACTCGATCGTTCTTCGGGTTCTTCACTCGCTATCAATAATATCCATGTTAGTTTCCCTTCTTCAATCTCCAGAATTTTTTTTTGCACAAGGGAAGGGGGGCAATAAGCGCACGGCGGCGCCATCCGTCATTATCATTGCTTCAAAGGCAAATAACTCGGTGGGGGACGCAAGCAGCGGGACCACTTCGACAAAAGACACGACTCGGTATTGTGGAATCTTCAATAAATCAATATTTTTAGTCAGTGTCAGTCTCAGAAGTCGGAGTCCTCTGTATAGAAGTACAAGTAGAAAAAATAGCTGTTAACGAAAAGATAAAGAAGTACGTAGACAAAAGCAAAAGGAGCGGTCCCGCAGAAGTGAAGTGAAAGAAACTGTGTACTTATCTTCAGTAAAATTTTTGTCAACTAGTAAAATGGAGCGTCGGCGGGGCTCTGACCTGCACCAGCCGGACGTGTATCCGACGAAAAAGCGTTAACGTTAACGGTTTTCATAGATTGCAGGTATACATGACAAATGTTGCCTATTATGCATGCTGTGCATAACAAATTTGGGCGCGTTTTGTGATGCGTGACTGCATCACAAACTCCGTTAACGTTAACGCTTTTTCCTATGATAATGTGGGCAAGATCCTCACGGTGGACGCCCTGTTCCGAGAGTTGGATATGACGGTTTTTAACGCGAAATCGCTGTGGGCTTCCAGGTTCGACGGGGAAACGTCGTACAGGGTCCGCGTCCCGGGCAGGGTAGAGGTGCACCACCACGAGGAGAGCTGCTTCGTACATGTGCATTTCACTGCTTTAGATGTGCATCTATGGTACTGTAAAGATCAACATGAAGAGCTTGAGCCTGCATACCGATTTTGGCAATGCAGAGCATGCATTTGTAATGCTGAACAGGGTAAACAATCACACAAAAAAAATCATGCTACATAAAGGTCCACCGTTGCGTGATCGGTGACAATCCGAGTTTCACGTTCCTCCCCCTGTCACCCACGGTCCGCGGGGCGGTAAATGTGAACACAGCCGAGTGCTTCACGCAAGTGCCAACGATTCACTTCCAATCCATCATGTTCTACTTCAAGCTTCGCTTTCTCCTGAAGCTCCACTCCGCGCTGTGCGAAATCGACAACAATTACTGCCTATGCAGATTGCAAGAAACGCATGCGCATTGACGTACGTGGTACTAGGATTCGCATGTTCTGCAAATTTATTTCCTCAGGAACAAATAAATTAATAAACTTCAATTTGAGTTTTTCATGCAGGGCGGTCAAAAAAACGATTTTGATCGTTCTCATGCAATAAGTAATATCACCAGTTGTACGAGTGCGGTAATACTCTTGCAATGCATACAGTTCCCTGGCGAACTTGATCCAGGGCATGCACACGCTCGGCATCCAGGAGTGCGAGCGCGTCCCGTGCGACAATCCGTTCGAGGTGAGGAGAAGAAAACAGCTGTACGACCCGACACAGGTGGTGGATGATTTACTCGAACAGCTCGAAAGAGGACTCGTATCAAATGCAAAAAGGTCTGGGTCTGGAAATTGGTAACTTACTTATGATGCTGTTTTTGGATTCCAAAAAAATCTGTATTGCATGACTAGCAAGAGGAGTTCAGTTTGTGCCACGCGGGGACGGCGTTTCTCATGCGGAATAGGCATCAGGAAGCCATCTAAAACTCAGTGATGCTAGGGCATGCATTACAAGCGTTGTGAACCATGCAAAATATGCATGACAAGCCTGGCAATCTTCCAAACCCAGACACTTTTGCATTTGATAACTCGGCAAGGGCTACGAAACTTTCATGGACTTCGTTGCGAGCTGCGACCCGAGAAAAGCACTGATGGTACTAGTACACTTTGAGCATGTTGTTCTCCATTTTCCTGCATGGAAGTTAGTTTTTCATGCACGATGGCGTTTTATACCGAAGATACAGATATCATGTCAGACTGTTCAAATTCTGTGCATTGGTTTGTTATGTTCAAAACAAAAGCTGCGCGGCAACGGGAACGGCACACTTATACAATAAATGATACAAATCAGATCAACAAGCACGATGTGCACATGGCGAGGATAAGCTACAACGACAAGCTGGAAGTGATGATCGAGGAGATTTTTCTCTCCTGGTATTGCGACTTTTCCTGCAAGACGCACCGGGTGAGTGAGATCCTGGCCGACATCGAGGCGTTTTCTCTGCCGGTGCCAAGAATTCCGACCCTGAAAACGAATTACGTGCGGGCGTTTATGGAAGCGACCAGTGGCGGGAGCCGCGGGAAGAGGTACTATCTGGAAAACTTGTTTTTGGCTGCATTCTTATGGCTTATGCAATGATACTTCTCGGACACGACACTTGAAGATGTTATCAGGTCATCACCATCTCGATCTCCTGAGATAGAACAAAGAGTGTAACTGCAGCTGCAATCATGCTTGAGGAAATATTAAGCGTTCTTGCTCTCTCTTATCACAGGGAAAAGGGTGCACAATTCGAGGCTCTGCATATTGTCGCGAACTTGGATATGGAGTTCTCAAACGTTACATTCTCAACTGTTACATGAATTTGTCATGCAAGACAACCTTCAGCTGCCACTGCCAGACGGTCAAGCTGCTTCGCATGACAAATCTCCGAGAGGCTAAACAGCATCTAAATCTGTGCCAAATCTGTGATGCAAAAGCAGCAAGCTTGGCCCCTTGACTCTTGCCATTCTTGCATCGCAAATTCATGTAACAGTTGAGAATGCAAGAGTTGAGAACGCCATATTGGACCTGGAAGAGCTCGGACCATTAATGGGTGAAGCCACCGCAGACATGGAGACTGACAACCCCGCGCACTACCGAAAAAAGCGCTTACCAACGTCAATTTACGACGTGCTATTCTCCATTATCGGACACAAATTTATCTTTCGCGAGGGGCTCCGGGACAGGCTGGTGGGGGTGATACAGATGAGGTATTTTTCTCGTTGATGTTTTTTATTGTCTTTGGTTTGTGGCTCTGTCTTGCAAAAGATTTTTTTCGTGCGCAGGCACGCAGTAGCTACTAAGTGTAAGTATCTATGTGCTCTCCAGTTTCATCTTGAAGAAACAGATAACACACTGAAGGTACGACCTCAGCGAGTTCCTCCGAGCAAGACTAGACGACCTGGCGCACATATCCCTTTGGATGAATCTTTCCCTCGTGGCAGATAATTGGACGGACAGTGTTGTTTCGATCTCCTCGTGCATGCAGAACTTTAAATAGCCGCGACAACAGAAGCGACACAAATGTCTGGTCCCAGACAAAGAAGCAGGAAAGATTCTATAAAAGCAACGAGCTTCTTCAGCTTACGAACTTGTTCGGTTTCTTTTGTTTTGCATGTGAAACTAGCACAGGCCGACCATATTGCTGCGAAAAGCGTAGGACTCTTTCATCCCTGATACCGCATCAACTTGGACTCGAGGCTACTGACCGAAGACCAGATGCACAGGATAGTAGTGCAGGAGAAAGAAAAGCTCTGCAAGTGGTTCGACGGTAAGGACAAGATGTTTCTGTTTTGTATAGCAAAAGAAGGATAAAAAAATGCATCGAGTACTATTCCGGCAAAGATATCAAGATCGGCAAACTTCAAGAATAGATCAATATCTACTTCTCTGTTAATGCTTTATTAAAATTAATGCTTTATGTAGATCGGAAGTTCACTCATTCTCATCTTGTGCTCGGACAGTGGATAAACATTCGCACATGTAATTTTTCACCTGGACGCAAACGCAAACTCAAGGTTTTTTTTCTCACAAACAAAACAGACTACCACCAAGAAACCCTGCCGTTCCTGCAGCCGTCCATCGTGGGCGTGCCCCGCGAAGACAAGAAGGACCCACGATATTGGCCCAGTCTACCCATCCCGAAATATGGATTGCCAACATGTCTGGGTCTGGGAGATTGCGACGAGATTTGTCATGCTGGTCCGGCATGACTGGTGTGACTCGGAGTTCTGTACTATTGCGTGGCCGCAAGAAAGCGCTCTTCTTGTCTGTCAATGTCATGCAAAGACGCAGTGTCTCATGCCGCGGAGTACGCAACACGAAGCCACGGAAAACTCTGTCATGCTTGGCAGTGCATTACAGTGTGCGCACTATACTAGTTCCCTGACTCGCATCACTATCTCAAGTTTCCAGACCCAGACATGTTTGCAATGCATACGAAGTACGAAAAAACCAAGGACGACATCGAGTTCATCCACGCAAAACCGCCCATATGGATTGTAAAAGAACTATCGCACTCGGAGTAATATTCGCAATCATGCATGGCAGATTTTCTTCCCAAGGCAACTCAGCATGACATATTCCCTCTGTCTCCACGCTGAGCCATTTGTAATGCAATCACTACTACAGAATTAGTGCGAGGAGCGATGCTTTTGCAATCCATAGCCCACGGTTTCGGATAAAAAACCACCCTTTGTCGTGCCCAATACAAACTCGCCGTTAACGCGGGACCGCAGTACACGAATGCTGAAGACGACGGGTTTTTTCGCGCGAGAGGAGGGGGCCTGCATCTAGGCTTTTTAACTGGCGCGGGACAAAGAAATTATACTCTTCTGAGCAAGGTGAAGGTCTTTTTTGCTGATGTTCCGATGACAATTTGAACTTTGGACGCAGCAGAAACTTTGAATTTTTTGTCATAGTGCAATAAAAATTGTTTGTTTTGAAAATTGTAGACACAACTCGGCGGGCATCGCTATCGCGGTGCCTTTTTCTTGTATGATTTGGCACGACAAACATCACATTGGGTGTGGGAACAGTATAGGAAATAGCATGGCGACTTTGAGCTATGGAGAGAAGAAAGTTTGTCACAGTCACTATCTTGGAGGTTTTGCATTACACATTTTTTGAACATCACAACTTTTCCTCGTATTGCAGAACCACTAAGGGAAATCCCGTATGAAGTTTGGCTGTGATGCATTTTTACGCATGTCAGGCATTTTTTGTATTGCAAAAATGCCCATGAGTGATCGTGACGAACTTTTTTCTTCTTATATGAGCTCCATGTTGTACAATACTACTGGTTTCATCATAGCCAAATGTACAGAACCTATTGAGTTGCAGCTCTTGCGACAGTCAGAAGTACACTACGCTTTTTAAATGAAAGTCGTCTTGTATCAACCTTAATTTTTACGTTCTAGTTTGCAAACCTGTATAGACCTGAGTTTTTACTCGCGTAAAAAAGCCTCTTGTACAACTCCGATTCCAGTTCGATATTGAAAGCCTCTACTTGACAATTGATTCGATTGCAAATAAGCCTTTGGCGACAATTTATTGGTTTGATTGATTGATGATACAGATTCAGATACGTCGTGTGGTTGGCGAGCCGAGTTGAAGTACGTGTAGCAGACAGTTGGTTCTGCAGTGAGCCGTGGTGGATCAACATGTTACGCGCTGACCTCCACGCACGAGAGACATCGAGCAGATGAGACTTTCTCGGCTGTGTCAAAATGACGACACGACTGACGTGGTTGATGTCATGAAAATGTGTATAAAAAGCTGAGGAAGAAATGAAACACGATTATAAGCAAAATTCCTACTGCAGCAGGGGACCTCAAAAATAGCGTCCGATGAGTCCGACTCCGAGAAATCAGTGGGCGTTCATGTTCACCTTGGCATACTAGTATTTGAGTTTCGCGATACTAGAGTGGGCGATACAACAACCTGGGGCCGCGACCACGGTGCTAGAAGAAGTTTCGGGCAGAAAATTATGACAGCAGCACTGGTGGGCAGGAGCTGCTGATAGAAGCAGCCTAGTGAGTGTGGTCTCGTCGAGGAACAAATTTCTACTTTCTGTTGGCTAGTTACGATTGAGGATAGGCTTTCATTGCCACTTCGGTAGCATTATCCAGTTTTTACTAAATCAAAATCTCTTAAACTACAACGATGCAAACAAGCCACGCGTTTTCTATCACGGAATGCGCATTTATTCTTATTGGTACTCATACATTTTGTCTTTACCTTTACGCTACTAGAAAGGGGCAACGCAACACCCTCTACAACTACTACGCCAAAAAAATGTCGACGTCCTCATCGTCTAACACGAGCAGTCATTCGTCCCCCTCGGTCACTTCGAGTGGAGGTTCTTCGGAGACCGACGCGGATGATACAAAGTCCGAGGGGGCCGCAGACACCTCCTACCGCCCGCTAACCGGCGTGCAAGACCTGCATAATTTTCCCTCGAATGAAGATGTCGTTCTTGCAGGAGGTTCTTCACCCACGACCCTTCCTGGTGGTGCAAGAACTACTGCTGCTGCTGCTTCCTCTACTTCGACCCACCTAACTACATCGCCGCTGAAGATTCCAGTGCCGGCCGGCGCCTCGCGGGAGGAGATGAAACACAGTATGCAGAAACTACTCCCCCACATCGTGCCAAGCTCTCCGCAAACGAACGCCTTGCTCTCCCCCCGGCAGCAACTGATGACGCATGGGCACACGCTGAAGCGCGAGGACTTCGAATCCCTCCAGAAGGAAATGCTCCGCCTGAAGCACGAGAACCAGCAACTCTCGCGACAGCTGCAGAAAGTGCCGGAATTGTTGGAAGCAAATCGCGCAAAGGTGGCGGCTGGGTTCATTTCGCAGCCGCTTGGCGCAGGGGTCGTCACAACTGCTGGTGGCACAACAACTGCGACATCAAGCCGTGGTCGTGCTGACCCATCCATGATAGTACCATCCGCCATGATCGCCGCGCCCCCGCCAAAAGTGATCGAGAAGCGGAAAATTTTGATGGTGCATCAGGATCGTGATAGCAGCAGCTCGAGTGCAGCGAACCAGCAAGCCGCCGTAGAATTGGATGAATTACGGAAGGAGAAGGTCGAATCCGAGAAGAAGAACAGGGAACTAGAGCTGGAAGTGCGAGAATTGCAGGAGAAACTGCACACCATGCAAGAGGTTTACCAGGCCGGGCTGGTCTCCCAGGAACAGGAGGCGATGCAAATGGCGCGGGAGCACTACCGAAACATCGAGAAGGAGCGGGAACAAGAAAAGCGGAACAAGTTGCGACGTGGTAGTTGTTCCGCTGATGTTCCTTCTGCTGCAGTAGATGAATCTTCGACCACTTCCGTAGCTGCTGCACCACCGGCCGCACAAGATGCACAGTCTGGTCAGGAGACGTCGAAGAGAATCGACGAAGCCAGTGGGGTCACGACGACACCCGCAAAGACGGAGGAAAGCAACGAAGCGTTGTCGTCGAGAGATCTACTTGAGGTAGTTGTTGATACTCCTCAAGAACCTGGTTGTGGTTCAGAAAATCAAAGTGTTGCTGCTGACCGAAAAGCAGCAAGTGCAAACTTGCTGGGAACACCTCTTCTCGAGGTGCGAGAGGAACGACATGACACAGAAGCAGACCTTCCGCCAGGGAGTACTAATGCAGCTTCAGCTTCGACCTCCCCTAGTACAACTGCGGAAACGAGCTGCACCGCGGCGAGTTCGGCAACGAATACCGCCGGGATAGTTGCTGCTGCGTCTGGTACTGCGGCGTCAATGCCACAGGAGCAGCAGGAAAAAGATCACGAGCAGCTTGAGCTTCCAGCCGCGCAAGGTGTACTAGACGGGGATCAACATCCCGTGTCAATGAATCTTCATTCATCTTCATCTGGTGCGGAAAAATCGTCATCTTCATCTGCGGACAAAGAAACCCTCCAAAAGCCGCCGCCGGAGGATAGCAGTACAGCAGCACCTGCTGAAGACGTCGCTCTTGTCGCCGGCGCCGCGACCGAAAAGGCCGCGACCGAGAAGGGCGCGACCTCGTCTACTTCATCTTCCGGTGCCAAGCCAACTCCAAGTAAATCAAGTACCGCAATAAAACAAGACGAAACTTCTACATTGAATCAGGACCGCGAGAAAGATCGTGGTACGAGTCCTTCTCCTTCCGCCTCCGAAGCCGTTCTCGAGCACAAATTGCGGATTCGCACGTTGGAAACTGAGCTCTTCCGCGCTAACGAGGTCCTCGAGATGCAGACCAAGCAGTTGCGACGCCTCGCCCAGCGCGTCGCGGAGCAGGAAGGGACGACGACCGGGGGAAACAAGGGAGGTCAATCAAGTTCAAGCTCGAGCAAAGCGATGAAGACTAACGGGGCGAACAACAATCCTGCAGGTGGGGAGCACGGTCGTGCAGATCCTCCTCCTCCGCACCAGCAGAACCCATCCAGTACTAGCCTCCACCAGTTGAAGCTGAAAGCCCTGGAGCAGCAGAATGAGCAGCTACAGCAGCAGGTTCGCGAGCAACAGGAGCAGATGCGGGATATGGATTGCAAAAAATATTTTTGTTGGGAGTGGAAGTAGAGTTTGTCATGTGGTTTTTGGATCTGCCAGCTCTGCCAGAATTTTTGGATGAGTGCAGGTGCACACATATAGCATGTGCATAAGATTAAGATTAAGAAGTTCTGCAGAGGCTGCTTCCCCGTGCCTAGCCTGCATAAGAAATGCCCTCTCGTCCAAGAGGCAAGAACTACGCACCTTGTGCAGCCTTCTTCTATGTAAAACAGGTTTCTACTCATCTCTGTATCTGTTCCATATGCGTCGCGTAGCGATTATATCAGTTCACATGATCAAGCAAGAGGGTTGCACACTCCGACACCGGGCTGGCTGCCCGGTGTCGACCAGCTTCGGCTGGGTCTCTGTCCTTTTTCCAGAAATACCGCATTGTCTTGGCTCGCCTAGATTTTGCGTTTTTTCGTCTCTTCGGTTCTCGGAGAGTGGATATTTGACGGAGGAGTGTCTCGATGAGAAAGCGAGGCGTACTTGTGCGCCTCAGGCCTTCGCTCTGGTTCTGCTTCGCAGTTCCGCCTTGTCGTTTCCGGCGCTGCCGATCCTTAGCGTGGATCAATGCAGTGTGCGGCAAGCAAAGAGCTCCGGTGGTCCCGTTGCCATTGAGCTGCCCAAGCCATGGGCAGGTCAGAACAGACGGCGTGCGCCTTGCCGTGTGCACGTAGCTCGGCCCTACCGCCGAGCGCCAGGGCATTATCCTGACAGGGGGTGATGTCCCGGTGGGAAGGAAGTTGTTGTGCAGCTCTCACAGTGCGGAGAGAGAGTTCGCGTTCTTCGACTACCCTCCAGGCTATCTCCGTTCAGTGGTACACACACGTCGATGACGCGCTCTCGGTTCTCGCGAGCACCACTGGCCGGGGAGTGGAGAACCCGACTGCCCACGATGTGGGTGTAGCAGAGGTTCTTCACGCCGTTAGGGGCACAGGCCCGGCGTTATCTTGGCCTATTGGCCAGGCCCGCTATCGGCAAGACACATCGGAAAACAGCGCAGCTTCGTCTGCGGCCTGCCGCTCTGTGTGTCGCGGGCGCTTCGCGATTCTGCTTGTCGATGCACGCCGCGATGCGGCAGACATGCAGTAGCAAGGCGCTCGTCTGTCGTAAATGGATTCGCGCGAGCGGGGGCGCCGCGGTCCATTACGATGGGAAGGCCTCACTGAAGGCTGTGAAATAGCCACTGGTATCCTACTAGGGCGATGCCCGCAAGGTCCCTGTCACAGGGGTCCGGGGCCAGTGTAGCGGCAACCTACCGCAGCCGGCAAAAGATCGCGCCGACGGTCATAAGCCGGGGCTAAGTACAGACAGACACACAGGAACACGAGGCAAAAAACAAGGCACCCCCGCGCCATGTATTTAGCCCCTGCCAATGGCAGGGGCCGCCCGATGGGCCGCATCACATACACACTACGATCTGACTACAAATAGAGTCACCGAAACGAAACGCAATGGTCTGCGTGCCCGATGGGCACGCAGATATATTAAGTACCAGGGCCAGCCCTCACACCACACCGCCCAGCACCCTGGACGCGCAACCCCACAGCCCCGCAGGCGCGGCGGTTTGTAGCAGTGGGTCGCATGCCTGGGGCGCAGGTTATTGCTGGTGTGTGCCTTCGCCTGCGCGTGTGACTTCGATGACGTCGCCTGCGGGTGCTGGGGTGGGGTTGGGCGTCCGCGACGTCGTTGTTGCTGCTCTTCGGAGCTCGTGACGCCTTCGTTGCAGCTTCCACATGGATGCTTGCTTACATCTTGCAGGGCATGTTGTAGGTAGCACTTCGTGTGGAAGTATCAGGTGTGCTGACACGGAAGGAGAGCTGAGGAGCGTGGCCTATCGGCTTCGCGACTCCGTCCTTCGCTCCTCGGCGTCGGTCCGCCGGTGTTGATTGCTTGAATGCAGTCGACGCAGTCGAGGGGTTCAGCGGTTGGTGTGGGGGCGAGAGGGAGCGCTGCATAGATGCTCTTTTGCTTCTGTGAACAGGTTCGTTCTTCTCCTGCTTCGGGGTCTCCCAGGAGATCCTGACTCATCCAACGGGCCTGGGGACGCTTTTGTGGCCTTTGCGAAATTTAAACGAAACACAGCTACGACAGATAGCGTCTACTTACCGAGACGCGTGGTCGGTCGCGCAGTGCTTTGTGCTGCTTCCGCCACGAGAGGAGACCGCGGAACCCTCCCGGGCCTTACTTATTTAGTCACATTTGGGAGCACGCCCCCACTATCCTCACCCGGTTCCCGGGTTGTGTCGCGGGGATATGTCCCGGCACGATTCCACAAGCCTCGCTACTTTGCTACGCCGCCCCGTGCGCCCTGCTCTCTGTCCCCGACAGTGCGGGCTGCCCCCTTTGTTTAGTCGCATTTGGGGAAGATATTCGGCGGCCCCAGTCGCGTCTCGCGGCTTGGGCCACCTCTATGTCCGGGGCATGGCTCTGTGGGGGTCGAGAGCCTGGCTTGCATGGCCTGCTACCCGTAGCTCGTTGTGCCGGCCGGGTTCTCTCTTGGCTGCCATTGTGACTGTCGCTCGAGGTCTTGCGACTATCACTGCGACGCGCTTCTGCACGTCATTCGCTTCCGTTGGTTGCGCGCGCGTTCACTCTATGGGTGAATTGCGCAGAGAAGGTGAAATTATATAATAGAAAATCAGCATGAGAAGTTTGCACCCTTCGCCTTCCAGACCCAGACCTATTTACACATGCATAAGGGAGAACTTTGTGCTGAAAACGACAGTGGCGAGCAGCGAGAACTCGTTACGGAGCTTGAAGCAGCAGGTGTGGAAGCTGAGCAAGCAAAAGGCGGAGTTAAGCAGTACGGTGAGCCGGTGGGAGCAGGAACGAAGTAGGATGCTGCAGGAGGACTTTCTTGCTAGGGTAATGCGAGGAGTAGAATCACTACAGGTACAGACACTGGCACAGCAACAGCTAAAGGCGGCACGGGCAACGGGAACGGCAAATACATCAGAGGAAATGATAACGACAGCTGGCGGAGCGCTGCACGGTGGGCTCGAAGACGAAGCAGCACAAAAAACCATTGCGTCCTCGCCACCGCCACTTCTATCCCAGAACAGAGGACGAGGATCAGAGCTGTCTGGTGGCATCGGATTCGTCCAGTTCTCGCCGCTGGCTGAGCTGGAAGAATTCTCGCTGCAAGCGCTGACTAGAGTGGTCGGTGACCCCCGTCCTCCGCTTTTCCAGCAATCGGAAGGAGACAATAGGTCTGCTGGGTTGTTGGCGCCTACAAAAACCAGCAATATGACCTCTGCCAAGGACAACAACATCGCTATCGCACACGATGCGGGAGATAATCCAAACACCCCCTCGTCCGCTGCAGAAGTAGAAGCCCTTCGCGCCGCTCTGGAAGAGGCGAACGTGGCCTGCGATCGGCAAAAGCAGCGCGACGCGAAGACCATCGAGGACTTGAAGAGTCTCGTGGAAAGTTTGAAAACACAAGTCCGAGGGTTACAGGAAGCGAAGAACCAGCTCCATTCTAGTGTTGTACTACAGCAGAGGGAATCTTCAGTGGTTGCAGGAGCAAGTGTACCGCCACCACCTCCACCTACTCTGTCCGCCACCTCCCGGCGTGCAGTTTCTGTTTCGCCACAGAAAACTGTCACTGCAACCAGCATCGCAGATAATCCCGCAGCTTCGTCATCGTCGCTCACAACAAGCGCCACTGTAACAACAGCAGGCCCGCAGCTGCGACCCTCAACTGCTCCTACCTCGCCGCGCGCCTCCTCATCTACTCCCGATGAGGCAGCTCTATCAACAAGCACCGACCTCGCCGTAGATCAAGATCTGCCGGTCGCGCCCTACTTGCAGAACTCAGAGCACCTGCTGGAAATGCGTCGGCGATTTCAAAATTTTGTGTCCCAATCCTCCGCGTCCGCAGCGACCTCGCTCGCCCACGCGTCGACGACGTTTCAAACGGCAAATTTCACCGCGTTGAACAGAAGTTTGCAACCGTTGCTAAACCCGCCGGCGGTTGCAGTAAACAAACGCTTGGAGGCTGAGAATTCGGATCTGAAGAACGAATTGCTGGAGTTACGGCAAATTCTCGCAACGACCACTGAGGACAACTTGCGGTTAAGGGATGACTTGAAGGTCTTTACGGAAGAAATTCGGAGAAGAGAGGGGTTGGCAGGAAGCGGTGCACCATCTAGGGTGTGACAGACTGCAACAAAAACGATATACAAGTAAATGTGAACAACCCGCCGTGTCAACGTTCTTGCAGCCATCTGTCTGGTCGACTGGAACGAGATATAATATGGAGCGTCTCTTTACGCCAGCAAAGGCAGACGCAAGCTCCATTACATCTAGCGACAAATAGAACATCAAACGGGCGAAGGATTTACGATGCGTCCATCGGTAACACTAACATCCTCGGTACCCTGTCTAAAAGCTGGTGTCATGCTTATTCCTCTTTGGTCGACGTTGTACGTGCTGTGTGCTCTCTGTCTTTCGAGCATTGTAGGTCGTCGTGATGTAAGGGTTTGATTCTTCTTCATGAAATGGTCATCACTATCGTTTCTCGTATTCCTTAATTTATTCGAGTCGACGACCGGTATTCTCGGGGGGAAAGAGATAGAAATAGAGTACGAATTTTCTGATTTTGAGGAAAACGAAAAATAGATGAATCTTGAGAGGCGCTCGCACGGGCGTCGAGCGGTGTGAAGATAGCTTTTCTTATACTTACATACGTAGTGGATGCGTGCGTTTTTTATTTTTTCTTTTCACGAGAAGGACAAGGGTATCCGTTTCCACAACAAGCAATTAGCTGTAGAATTGAGACTTTATTTAATGATTTGTATCTCCGGAGAGGAAGACGATAAAAATGAATGACTAGTAGAAGTTGAACAAGTGGGAGCAAGGACTGCTAGTACTTCTACTTCCTCGAAAAGAAGAGCCCCCCGTCCCCGACGAGCAGGTAAACCTCATCAGCCTACGTACACCCGGTCGAAGAAGAAGAAGATGGCGCGGCAGTACAACTTCTTGGTTTCCACCCACCTGAAGAGGGCAGGGTTCCTGTGTCTCCTTGCCTGGCCTTTCCTCGCGTTTCAGTTTCTCCAGCTGCTTGTTCCAGTGTCCGGAAATCTGCGCGGAAAATCCGGTACATGAATGTTGCAACTCGCAGATACTTACTTCAATTTTCTTTCGAGAATTGTTCATGCGGACACGTAAGAAGGACATTTAGCTGTAAGAAGAAGAATGAGAATCAAGAATGATATGCTGATATCAATTTCACTTTCAGATAACGTTAACGGCCCCACGACAACTACGAATCTGCATTCTCCACCGACTGTTTCTCACCCTTCTGCCGCTAACAAGGCTGCCCTGTACGAGCTTCTGATGAAAGAGAAAGACCACGATGCGACGCAACAGGAGCAAGCTTTGGTCGACGCTGGGTACCCGGCGCCGCAGGTGATGAACAAATTGGTGATCATGCGCTTTTTTGTCTGTTCCGCTATATAGAGTTAAACCAAATACCTCCGACGAGGACTGCAAAATGCCATAAGTAGAAAAGATCTGATGTTGGGTTGCAGTCCCGGCATTCATTCCCGATTGCCACATCTGTATACCTCTCAGGTAAAAGTGATAGTGAGCATGTTGGCGGACCCGGTGAATGGCATTACTTTCACCGCTCGAGCGGAGAACGTCGTGGTGTCCTACCAGTACGGCCTGCTCGACTACTTCGTCGCGCGCGATCAGAACCGGGACGGGAAGCTGAGTGAGCAGGAGTGTCCCTGTCTGATGGACCAGTACAGCACCGCTGCGGTTGCCCCCCCCCCCGCGCCGAGCAAATGCCCGACGGCGTCAACGCGAGTGCATATGGTTGTGAAAAAGTAGTTTTGTCTCATCAAGTGATAGTTTTCCTTTTATGTATGAATATGTTGCCCCCGCGCAAAAGCTAACCTGTGCACGACATGGAAGATGCTGTGTTTCGGTTTCCGGAACCGACGTTGCCGATCATGTTATTTTTGAATAGAATTGCACGAGCACGACTGCGAATATGGATATGGATATGCTGTGAAATGACTCAAAATTTTGCGATGACAATCCTGCCCTACGCATGTGGACGAAGCAAATCATGGCGACGAGAGCCACCGCGGCGACAGTTTCTCCGACTGCCGGGATAACTACTGCACACGCCGAGGCCCCCGAAGGCTCTTTTCTCGAGCTGCGTGCAAGCTCCATGTGGAACAGGTGGCTTCCTTGTATGAATGGACAAAATGATATAACAACTTCTCTTCAAAAAAATACCGGCATGCTGGCTAAAAACGCAGGCGCTTCGCCATGCCTCTGCTTGAACACGCAGCACATTCAAGAAGTGGCGCGTAATCTTCTGTCTGCGTGTTGCTTTTTGAATTCATGAGATCGCGGCAAAAAAATCCAAGAAAGAGGAAAGAACATTGCTGCGTGATCATGCCTAAAAAGGGCGCGAACAGCAAAGATCACTCTAATGGCAGTTGTTTGTTATTGTGTCCAGTCATATTTTCATCTTGTAACTGTGGACGCGCCGGCCGCGAACGCGGCACATCTACCGAAGAATCAGACCGGGAGTGGGAAGAGTTTCAACGGGAGACGGACAAAGGACTGGAAGACGAGGAAGCCGAAGCTGCAAGAGCCAAAGCTGCAAGAGCCGAAGCTGCAAGAGCCGAAGCAGCTGCAGCAAGAGATCGCGTGGTGGCGGTCGAGGATGCGAAAAACCAGCTGAATCAGCTCGCCGTAACCCCCCGTTACAACCCCGGGAGCAAATCCCTGCCCCGCAACCCTCCTAACAACCGCCAGGCTTCGCGAATGAAACCCGACAACCCAAGCGGTGAGACTTGGGTCTCGAGCGACGAGCAGTCTGCGTATCGTGTGAACCACGAAGACAACGCCTTCAGGGGGCGCCTCCCGCGACCATAGTTGCAAGAAATGATGGAGATGTTGAGAAGGACGGTGCTCGTCATCTTTTTCGGAGAAGTAAAAACGCTATTCGTCTTGTTCTTGTTACGAGGAGAAATGACGCGAAAAACACAGATGGTCGCAAATGACAGACCATTGACAGAAGCGGCCCAAGATAAAGTACATTGTTCGAACTAGTTGCGCTTCTGCGAATACGCCGGGTCAGGCCGGTGGCCAGCATGATTTGTAGCCGTGTTCTTCGTGTTGTCCTCAACAAATTTGAAGATGCATGTTTTGAGCTTAGTACGCTCAAACCCGTGTTGGCGCAGTTCTGAATCAATGTATCTTAACCTACTACTTGTTCTTCACCGAATGCGAACATACAATGGCAACGAGAATTGCTTTACTTTCTGGTGCAAGCCCTAGCGTCAATCCCAATCGATACAACGAGGACAATGACAAGAACAATGGTGCAAGTTTTACGTTTTTATTTTTATTTTTACCGCCCCCCGACGTTAAAATCATGAATTATTCGCCGATGTCAACATACAAGAGGTGAAGAAAGGATTTCAAAGGTTAATGGCCTGCTGTGGTCGATTGCAATATTTACTTCTCAGTACAAGTAGAGTCGTGGTCGTGGACGCACTTACAGCCAAAGGTAGTTTTTGTTACTTATTCTTATTTCAATAAAGACAAGATGGGTTACTTCAGCTACATCAACCCGGACGACTCATCGGACTGCGACTCCGACTTCTTTGATTGGGACTCCGACGAGTCTGGCGACTCCGATCTGAACGAGGGGGAGCTGCTCTGCGGCGCAGATTATTCGAGCAAGAAACAACTTGCCTTTCAGATTTTCGGCGAAGAGAAAGCAAAGCAGAAAAGGCAAGAATGGAACGACGCGCAGCTGAAGAAGCCAGCGCTGGACCGCCGTGCGGAGAGGAAGCAAGTGCACGGCCTTCATCAAAAGAACGGGATGAAAGTAAAGGCTGTTCTTGCCACCACGGGGAGAAGCAAAGAAACCATCAAAAAGGACGGCAAAACTAAAATAAACACCTCTGCTGCTCCTGCTGCATCTGCTGGAAGTAAAGCGATAATGGCGGGAAACGAGGAGAGAGCCTCAACTGATAGAGCCACGACAGACTCAAGAAACCTGTCCGGCAGAGGAGAGGGGCCCTTGATGGGGGAGCAGTCTGCGTCTTGCTTTACCACGACTACACTGCTGGCAGGTGAACATGATAGAAGCAGCGCGAGTTATTGTTGTTCTACCCCCGCAAGAAGTACAACATACGACCCGGCCGACGAACTACATCCGCGGATCGTCCAAGCCGCACGGGATGGGGATGTGGAGTTTGTAAAGAAAATTCTCGACCAGCACCCATGCAAGCGCCTTGAGGACGACAACGTCGAGGCCCGTCGCAAAGGACCTGGATGGCAGGACGACACCCCGTTGCTCGCCGCGGCGCGAGAGGGCCACGTGGAGATGGTGCTGGAGTTGCTTATTCGGGGCGCCAACGCGGGCGCGGAGAGGAAGATGCCTGGTAGTTTGATGTGCACCGCCACTGCGGCTGGGTCAATCTGGCGACAAAAAATTGCACCGGAGAAGGAAGAGTACAAGCGGTGTAACTCTACCGGGAAGTACGACGCGATTCTCAGGATGTTGAAGGTTGCGGAAAAGTTCGCAGCGGTTCTGAAACCGCTTTCGACGGACACTTTGCGGGAGCAAAAGATTCCTGACAAACCTCTGAAAAAGGAAACCGCCATGGAACTGACGACTTTGGAACTGAAGGCGGTACTGGAGAAGCACGATGTGCAAGTCACCTCTACCACGAAGAAGCGCAAGCACAAGCTAGCCGAGCGCGTAGCGGAAACGACTTCCATGCAGGAGATTTTTGAAGAGGAAATGAAAAGGTGGAAAGAAGAGACTGCGGCCGTCCGGGCGGCTCGCCTGCTTGATGCCGCCGAATTGGGGAGGGCAACAACCGCTTTGGCAAAAGCGAGCATAGAACCAGTTCAGGAGCCGCATAGCAGTGCAACTAATCCTGCTGGAGACGACGAGGCTGGTGACGGCTCTTGTTCCATTTTATCGGCTGATGAGAAAAAAGCGTATGTCAGAAATAATCGGCTTTTTGTGCTTTCGACGCACGATGTTGATGTAGTGAACGACACGAAGAAAAAGAACCAGACGGGAAAAGACGGACGCACGCTAGACGAACAACTACGGGCGGCTCTGGCAGCGTGCAATTCGTCCTCCGCGGGGACAGGGTCTGGGGCTGCGTCATCTTTGCAGCTGTTGTCACCATTTGTATCGCCTTCTGCGTCTGACATTTTTGAGAAGGAACGAGACGCCGCCACTGATACTGAGACGGAGAATTGTCCGTTGATGTTCCGCTGCATGGGCTGCAGAGCGTTCTTCCAAAGTGCAGGGTCGGTGGCCGCGCACCAAGAAATGTCCAAGCGGTGCCCGATCTCGGCGAGCTTTCGTCCAGAAGGGTGCCAGCGAGGCGGGAAGAAGGCGAATGGTGCCATTAACAACATAATTCCCCAAAACTGGATGAACCGAGACGCGCAGCCTTCTCCGCAAAACGAATTTTTTCATCCGCACGCTCCACGACCCGCAGAGCAAGTTTTTAATTTTCAACCTCAACATCAAGTGTTACTTTTTCCACCGCCACCACACGCATTTCAGCCGCAAATCCAATCGCAAGCGTTTCCCTTTCATCAAGCGCCGCCGGCAGCCTTTTATCCGCAACCTCCGCAACCGTTTTTTCATCACCAGTCCCATTGGTCATTCCCGTCACCACAAGAACCAAGCTCGTGGGGACAAAAATCTTCAAGCTCAGCCTCCAGGTAAATGCTGTTCCCCCTAAAAGAACAACATTTGCAGTACGTACATTATGATCTGCCGGGAGGTCCTCGTGGTCCTTGTGTTATTTTGTAAGTCGGATATTGATGTTGGGAGGTCTCCATCAAGAGACGTTCGAAACGCTCGCACTTGGTTGAATTTTTTTTCCGCACATGAGATGTTATTTCCCATTACAAACAAATACAAAAGGAGGTGGACCGCCTGCAGGGTGCGGTGAACGTGAAAAAAGAAATTGACAAAAGTACGAGAACATGTCGTGTTTCCTGCTCTCTTGGTTATTTCTGGTTAGCTTTTTGTTCCATGTCTCTGCGTCGTGAATTATTGTAAAGAAGTCGTAGTCTTATGTTACAGCCAAAGCTGCAAGCTCCGAGGACAATCGTAATCGTAAGTGCAACGAGACTCGTCCTCGTAATGGGATTCGTAAAACTTTCAACCGTAAAATTTCCTCGTAGTTGCAGTTTCAATCGTAAAGATTTCAACCGCTCGTCCACCTCGTCCTCGATTTCGTTTATTTCCTTCATTGCGTAGCTGTAGCTATATGATCGTGATAGAAAGATGCATAACAGAGACAGAATTCTAGGCTCCTCTTTGCCGAACACGATCGTGACGCCGATAATTTTCCTTGCAACCACATTCGTGCCGGATATGATATCCATTGGAGTCTAGTACGCCTACGGTCTTTATTTCCAGCTTAAAATAAATGCTCTACGGGCGAACAAGTTATCATTCACAGTGAACAAAATTGATTCAAATACAAATCGCAAACGTGCAGGACCTTTTTTCCTTGGTTCGTTTGTCCCTCCAGGGGAGAGGACAAACTCGAAAACGTCTATCGTAGTTACTTTACCTTTAATACAACAAGCGTTGGCATTGAGAAGTACTTGGTACAGGAACTACTTGAGCAACGAAGGCGCTCCGTTGAAAATGTTGGAAAATGAAGAGAGGACTTTCGTGCTTATTGTATCTTCCAATTTTCCACCACTATCGAAAAAAGGTTCACTAAAGTTTTACACAACGACGCGAAGCAATCTTGAGGAAGCCGATGAACCCTTCTCATGACCTCTTCCGCGACAAACTTTGATCGAGGCGGGTTTTCAACGGTAGTGCGGGATCGGTCCGAGGAAGCCTCGTTGAAGAGGGAAATACGTGGAGGCGCCGCGGTGTTTTTTATTTCGTTGCACAATTCCTCCGCGTTCTCGAACCATAGAAGAATGAGCTTGATGCCCAGTACAACGACTTTGCGAGCACGCAGCGAGCAAGTGGAAGTGCAGAAATTTTTCCGGGGCATGTTGAAGAGACGGGGTTTGCTGTGGTGCCTCGGCTTGTTCCTTCACCTGTGCACATCAAGAAGAACAGTAGCAGCAGATGGCGTGTTGACTGGAAAAACCAGAGGACGACAAGAGGTGGACAAACAGCAGGGCAAACTTCTGGCTACTCGCTTGGCCCGCGTTTTTTCCGCGAAGAAGAAGCAAATCTCCGAGGCTCTGCTGACGTCCCGAAATGGGCGAGATCCTGCATCTGCATTTCTGGAAGGAGGTGAAGCTGCAGGAAGATCTGCAGTGACGGCTGAGCAGGGGCAACCGCAACCCTCAAGAACATCGTCCCCGACGCCGTCAGGAGGTACTAGTAGCGCGACTACATTCGTTTCTGCTGGCGAAACTGCTGGCGACGGTACTATGAACGGGCAACATCTTCACCAGCGCCAGCGAGAGCAGCAGACGCTTGTTCATCATGCGGCACCAGGCGCGCCGCCCAGCACCTACCCAGTATCCTGTGCAAAAGTATCGTATTCGTATAAATGCACTTCTTGCATTACAAATCTTCTTCTTAAGGCAAATCCGCATTCCAAATTTTGTTTCTCATGCTGAGGAAATTTGTAATGCATTTATACGAGTGCGATACTTTTGCACAGGATACCCAGGAGACCACGGCGATCCGCCTACGAGCAGAAGTGCTGTCGTGTGGCAGCGAAAAGTGCAAGAGTTGGAGGACCTCGTGCGTCGACTCGGGAATAAGCTCGACCTCCAAGAAGAGACGACGCGGGAGCAGAGCGAGACGATCTTGAAACTGCGAAACGGCCTGGATGCCCAGCAAGTTTCCCAGAACGTGACGGCGGCGCGCATTGCCAGTGCCGGCGCAGTCGCGGAGATCATCCAGCAATACCACATTGCGTACCTCTTTTCGATCCTACGCAAGGACTTCGTACTCTCGGCCGCCCTTCTCGTCATCGGCTACGTGGTGGTGCTGGTAGGCCTGAGCCTGCCCACGAAGTTGCTGTTTTTCCCGCCCGCGATCTACCTCCCGCAAGAAACTGACGAGCAGGATCAACAGGATCGCGGTGTTGACCTAGAACGTCGAATGGGCGGCCGCGGCGACGAAATTACTGGCGAGGAGCGGCTTGTTCAGGTCCACAGCGAACAGCGAGGCGAAGACGCTCCTCCAGCAGACGGGCTCCGCCTCCGCAAAGTAGAACAGCATGGCGAGGACCAAGAGCGACCTCTCCGGCAAAAGTGCATCCTCTTGCCGTACGATTTCGCGGCTCAGGGAACTCTGTCGAGTGTCTGTCAATTTCAAGACAGCACCGAGGGAAAGGTCTGGACTACTTGCCTCGTTACCCACACCGTGTGCGTTCTCCTCTCGCAATACACCATTACTGGAAATTTATATCCAGTTTGGTGCGACAGCGGAGGCGGAATGTTTACGGAGTATTCGATGCTCAACATGTCCTCGATGTCCTCTGCGGAGATGCTCCTTCGTGTCGTGTGGTTGGTTTTTCCGTGCATCTATCCTGAGTGAAAACGTACCCACACCAGAGTCAGGATGGGGATTTTGCAACACAAACCTAGGAGTTTTGTGAGTCACGCATGACAAGTTTCAGTCCGTAGGGTAGTGCAAGTTAGCAAGGAAAGCCGCATCACAAATCGATCTGCTGATCCTGTTTACAGCATTACAAGTTCCCAAACACGATTGAAAATGCCTGTCATGGGGTTGCGCATCACGAATGTTCCTGTCATGGCAAAGTCGCATGACAACTCTGGCGTGGGTACGTTTTTACTCAGGATAGCATCGGTTTGTTACTCACGGCCGCTGTGCCCACGGCTCCTGCTGACACGGAGGGGAGTCTTCGACCTGCATTGCTGCGCGCTTTTCAACAGAAGGGAAACAGGCGCGAGGATCTCGAACCACAGGACGCGGTGGAGTACTACCGGGCGCGCAACATGCTTTGGCAGATCGGGATACATTCGCTGTGTGCCCCTTTGTCGATTGCGGTGTTGCTAATTTTCGAGACCTACCAGCTTACCCAAACCGAAGGAGTATCGTTCGCGGCAGCGATTTTTGGAGTGGGCGAACAGGATGCGGTCGACGAAAAGCAACTGCAGTCCTGGGCGATCCATCAGGGCACGGGCAACGCTTTCTGTGGGTGGGAACAGTCCTGGCGTCCGCAGTGGGCACCTACCATTTTCCGTTTTCGGGCGGTTTTTGTGCTATTGTCGTGGATCTTCTGTACTGCATTCCTGATCTTGTGCGCGTACCTTCACTTGATTCCTCCATCCGAGCGACAAGCACGTGGTCCCGTGCGAGCTGGCTCAGCGTCACGACCTGGGGGCCGCTCCAGTCTTGGTTTCCTGCCGTACGAGGGAGGGGTGAGCCTTGTGGTGCCGCAGCTCTGCTATGCGATGGAAGTCGCAGGCATTGTGTGCGTTTTTCTGTTGCCGTTCTTCCCAATTATGTACCAACTTTCCTTTCGCTTTGCCCCAATGCCCGGAAGCGTTCCAGACGATTACGTGCAAGTCCTGAGCAGCAGTGGGTCCAATATTCGACTCGTGTACGAAACGTTCTGGGATATTAATTCTACATCTCCTAAGTATGCGTCGCGCGGGCCAGGTTTTGCCAACAGCTTATCAAGGTGAAAAACCACCCCTAACCATGTGAAAATGGAAATTTGTGATGCTGATTTGTGGCCACCCCTTGGTTATAAGGTAATGGGAGCCCTGTGGCGCATTCGTTCCACAGCCAGTCTGTCATGCGCGTTCGACTGCTGCAAACCTGTTTGCCATGCCTAATTGCTAGCAAGCCTTCTGCATACCCGAACAGGCTCAGAAATAAATACCGCTACGCATTTTGTGCAATACAAAGCTGATTCGTGATTCGTGGCCACAAATCAGCACCACAAGTCTACTCCACTTCAACATGATGGGGAGGGGGGATTTTTCCTCACAATACGGGTACGTTGGGGATCAGTGCAGCACCAGTTGGGGCACGCACACGTGGAGGGACCCGCTCATATGCGGCCACGTTCCGGGGTGGAACCAAACAGAGAACGGAACCAGCGTGTACTGGTGGGAATGGCATGACAAGCACTACTAGGGCGAAGAGCTCCTCCTGCTGAAATGGTGTAGAGGACTAGCACATACGATTTATCTATTAAATGTAAGTAGCTATGGATTTTCTTTTTCTAGCGAAAGCGAAAGAAAACTTGCTCTCGTCGTCTTCTTCAACTTAGCCTATTGACTTTTCGTTCCCGCTTGCAATTCGTATTGATAACAACACTAACTCCCAAGTGAAACCAAATCCAAGTAGAGCTGTATTAGCCTGCAGGACACAGCATTACCTGCCACGCGGATAAATAAGATAAAAAAGATATTACATGCATTTTTACACGCTGTAGAGTTGTGCTACTTAGCAGGTATGCACTTCCTTTTTGGGCCGTCCTCAACATTTCGTGCTATGTTAGCTACGAGACGAGCGGCTCAAACTGCCCGTCAAGTTGCGGCCCGAGGAGATCGGATTTACCCTGTACAATTATTTGTGGTGTTTCATTATCATTTTGGTCGATGATTTTATACAAAAAAACAGCAACTCGTCCTTCTTGGGGGAGTTGGCTGTTTATCCTTTTGGAGATCATTTGTTTGCCTCTTCTGGCAGCGGTTTGTGTGATGTTCTTGCTTGTTGTTGATGGTCCTCTCATTAATGCAGGAGTTAATCTGGTAACCAAAGTGTCACCCGCGCGCAAAGCGCTCTTGCCGCTTGAAAAAATGCGGAAGTGCCTGTTTTAATGGTTTTGCGTTTATTGCTTGCGGCGCTGCAACGATCATGGGCGAAATTCAGAATCTTGATCTTCATCAATGCTATCGAGGAAGATCCCTTTGTTCCTTGTGCGACAACTATTAAGCAGTACGTGTTACCAGAAAGGTATTTTAAAGTCGAACAATGGCTTGGTCTCCCGGAATTTCAATACGTACCTCAGAAGAAATTAAAGTTATTAGTCTTACCCTTCTTGTCGTCGGAGGGAGGCAGTGGCAGACGTAGAATCTCTCGCAGGCTGAAGCTGGTGTTTTTCAACAAGAATAAAACACGATGGGTTACTTCAGCTACATCAACCCGGAGAACTCATCGGACTGCGACTCCGATTTCTTTGACTGGGACTCCGACGAGTCTGGCGACTCCGATCTGAACGAGGGGGAGCTGCTCTGCGGCGCCGACTTCTCGAGCAAGAAGCAAGTAGCCTTTCAGATTCTCGGCGAAGAAAAAGCAAAGCGGAAAAGGCAAGAATGGAAAGACGCGCAGCTGAAAAAGTCCAAGAAAAAGCCTGCGTTGGGCCCCCTCCGGCCGGGAAATAAGCAAGTGCAAGGTCGAAACCAGATGAAAAAGACAGTTGCGAAGAACAATGACAAAAAAACCATCAAGGGGGACAGCTTGAAAGGAGGAATGAAGAAGGACCTCCCCTACAACACCCCTACGTCTTCGGCTTCTTCCTCGTCCTCGGCAGGTGCTGCTGGCACAAGCAAATCCGCAACCGGGGCCGGCGCAGGAGCTTCCAAAAACCTGCCTGGTTGTAAACAAGGAAAGCAGTCTGCTGCATCGTCTTCTCGTTCTGCAGTGTCTGGACAAGTAAGCACAACACCGAGTTCCACTTCGGCGGCTTGATCTCGAAGTCGAGCGAGGCACGCGTGTTGTTAGTCAAGTTCCTTGAGCTTGAAGATTTACTTGTTGCGTTCCACTTACATTTTTACGGAAGTGGCATGTTGTAAAAGCCCAATCTAGAACACGCAGGCATGGAGTTGTTGGAGCAAGACACGAGGTTCCTTGGCCCAAAATTTTCATCCTCAGAAAGTGCCTACAACTAAGTGAGCGTGGTTTTCTATTCCGCTACTTTGCAGTGTTACTCCGCTGTTCATTGTGCTCGTTCAAGACGTAAAAAACGTACGTTGTCGTTGAGAAAAACAAAGAAAAAGATGAAGAAACGCTTTCACTCGGTTGGAGAGAAATGACATAGACGTATCAGTAGTAGAATGCTACTTGAGCTTATCGGTCTGAGGCATTGTTGCATTCTGCTATCCTCGTGCGTGTCCGTAGGTAGTAAGTTCAAAGCTTTTCATATTTGAGTTTTTCGTGATTTTGAATTCAATGTGCGCACTACAGTTCCCCGAAAACAAATTGAAGACCCCCCGTGAAGGTAAAGTAAGCAATATCATTTAAGTTGTGACCTCGCAGAAGGGTTTCAGGGTTTAGGGTAGTTTAGGGTTCCTAGATTTGATTTAAGTTGTAGGCTCCTCATCTTCAAGTTTTAATTGAAAAGCAACAGCAACACTCTTTTTTGATACAGAAAGTTCTTCGCGCCCCCTCCGCAAACAACAAAATATATTCATAAAGAAGTTAGTTACCGAACAGAATAAAAAGCATGTCCGATCCTCTTTATGGCTGGCCGCAGCCACCGATAGTGATTGCTGCCAGGGATGGCAACCTCCAAAAGATCCGGGCGTTGCTCGACAGCGATCCCGACGCCGCGAACGCCTTCCGGTACCGACCTGGGATGGTGCGGACCGACCATTCCTGTTTTGTCAAAGAGGGCACCTACAAGGACCTTTCGCCGTTGATCGCTGCTGCCGACGCGGGGCACGTCGACATTGTGTTCGAACTCCTCAGTGCGGGCGCGTGGGTCCACTTCAAGTACTCGCCCGACGATTCGCTGGAGTTTCAAGATGAGGACGACGACACCGGAGTGGACGTTGAGGAGGTCGTTCGACTCAAATTCAATTTGAAACTCACGAAGCAGGAGCACGCGAATTACAGGGCGATCGAGCGGATGGTGGCTGTGGCAGCAAGGTACTGCCAAAAACCCTGCCTGGGAGGGGGGCGTGTGCGACTGTCGCAGCCGCAGAAACTCGAGGCCGCGGATTTCACAGTGGGTGAACTGAGGAAAATCCTGCAGGACGACTGGAAAGCGACCCGATGTGTCGAAAGGCGGACCAGGCTGGAGCTCGACGAAAGTATGTGCGCGGACCTTGAAGACACTAGTAGTGCCGACAGCGAGGAGAACCTCCCGGTCAGGAGGAAACTGACGCCGAAGGTGAACAAGGTTCTGAAAAAGCTACACGCGGAACAAATGCAAGAGTGGAAGATCCTGCTGGGCGTGTTGCGGGTACATAAAAAGAACAGCCCCAAGAAGAAAAAAGCGCTCAACGAGTTGCGGCAGGCGCGTCGTACAGTTTCATCCGATCACCCGGCCGATCCGTCCTCAGAATCTGAAATGGAGTTGCTACGTTGTCCGGAGAGCTTGCAAGGAGCACGCGAAGCGAACAAAGCGCGCAAGCTGAACAATGGTGCACGCCTAGACGTTGGAGTGCCGCGTGGCGATGAAAATTATTGCCCGGAAATGAGTACGAAGAGCTGCTACCTGAATGAGGAGAATCTCAGGGCCCTTGATGATGCTTATCGCGAAAACGCCAGCAAAAACAATGAAACCGCGCTTCCAGCAGCGAGGAACCCAAGTCGGCAGCCGGGGCCTCTGCCTAGCGCGAACCAGCACACGCCCGCTCCTATCGTGCGTGCGGAGCCTGCCCTGGAGTCGAAGTCCATGGCGAAAGGCAAAAAACCACAGGAGAAAGTGATGCCCGCAGCCGTGGACTACAGCGGACATCCCTTATACCCATTCCCTTGTCCACACTGCATTTGGTGGTTTGTCAGCCAGGAAGCCCTGAACATGCATTCTCGCCAATCGATCCTCTGTCCAGGTTCGCAGTTCAACATGAAAAGGCGGGCGGCCGCCGCAGCCACTGCTGGCACCGGGGCCACGGCATGTTCGAAAAAGTAAGAGTAGCGCCGAGTAGTTGTGATTATGAGCTTTATCAAGGCACGAATGAGTTGATTGCAATTGCTGTAGAAAATACACGGAAGTACATGATTATTTTTTCATATTTTTTCATCGAACTGCCATTGCTATTGCATGCAGATGCACCACGACCATGACGAAGACGATCGCAAAGCCCGTATGTATAACTTTTATCTTTTCCCATCATTTTTTCTTCTAGAACTAGCAGTAGAATAAATCGTACTAGGTTTGGTTGCAGTCACACTACGTCTCACTACTTTTTCTTTGGGCATCTTTCTTTGTACGTTTCACCTGCGAACAAATTCAAATATTGGACAACCTGCACCTCAAAAACGCCTACGCCGACAAAATCCAGACCTGCATGACAGGCTTATACTTCCCTAAAAATTCTAATTGAGATGAAGATAGATCGATGACATGTATATTGTATACCATGCTTGTTTCAGCTTCACTTACATTTTCCACGCTTTCCAAGTTTCCACAAATCCTCGACCTCGACTCTGACGCATGATGGACTGTCCATGACATTTTTACTTAGATCACGTCGACACCTTCTAGCCCCCAATGTCATCGCTATCTTTTTCTTCGGTAGCTCGGTAAGAGCCACCTTAAAAAACTTACTGCCGCAGAGCAAACACGTTTTGAAATTGAATTCCATTCATTTAAAATTGTGCGGACCAGCATGATCCCTATCAATTCTCCACGGCCTCGGCTCGACGAGAGTGGTCGCCATCGCACGGTTCATCCGTTATGTTTTTTTTCAGCTGTCTGCTTTGGGCAGGCACGCAGAGCCTTTCCTGTTTTGAAAAAACCTCTCAGTCTGCCTCGTTCATCTTTTGGGCAACAACTATACTAAAGGAGAGCTGTCGTGCCGTAGTCCAGGGCGTTGCTTGTAGTTGCTGGGGTTATAATCGCTGTGTCTCGTCGCAGTGATCATGTTGGAAGGTCTACTTTAGTAACAACCTGTGACGTATTTTTCGTGATCTGGTAACCAAATGCGTGCGCGCGCGCGCGCAGAGCGCGCGCCGGCCCACGAAGCCGGCGCGCGCGCTCTGCGCGCTTGCGATATTGCTTAGCAAACGCAGCGCGAAGGCAGTTGCCGTTACCATATAGGGCAACCGCCGGGAGGCGTGAAGGTCAGGGAAATGGCCAGAAATGAAGCGGGAGAAGGGAAAAAAAGCGGACCAGATGGGAAAATGGCCAGGAGGTCAAAAATGACGCAAAAACGGCAGAAACCAAGCGGGAGAAGGTGAAAAAAGAGCATTTTTGCGGTCTGGCCCACTTAGTATCTGAAAAAGAGGCGGACTATTTTTTGCTCCGCCCGCTGGCCAGCTGCGTTGGAGCAGCAGGCCCGCGACCTGTTCGGAAGCCTTGGGCCGCTTCGTAACTGGAAAAAGTTGGAAAAAAATGGCGAAAAATTGCTTTATAACGTGGGGGGAAGCAATCGTCGGATTTTGCGCAGATCACCCGGGCCACTTGGAAAATGAAAAAAGATGAGAAATTGCGCAAAAGCGCAATCCTTCCGCAGGCTTCAAAGCTGCCAGTCAGATGCGGGCGGTAAAAATGTGCAGGTCGCTGGGGCCACTTGGAAAATGAAAAAAGATGAGAAATTGCGCAAAAGCGCAATCCTTCCGCAGGCTTCAAAACTGCCAGGCAGATGCGGGCGGTAAAAATGTCCAGGTCGCCCGGGCCACTTAGAAAATGAAAAAAGATGAAAAATTGCGCAAAAGCGCAATCCCTCCGCAGGCTTCAAAACTGCCAGTCAGATGCGGGCGGTAAATATGTGCAGGTCGCTGGGGCCACTTAGAAACCAGAAAAAAACGCGAAAACTAAAAGAAATCGAGAACCCTCGGCAGGCTTAGAAACTGGCCACCAAGGGCGGTCCGGCGGGCGCGCGCTTGCGCCGTACCATCGCGATTGGGAAAAAAAAACCGCACTAGAAGCGGGCGGGGGTATGTCACAAAATTCCCATTTGCCCTGGGTTGTGAGCAGAAATTCGGCATCTTCCCCGGGTCTGAAATGGCCGACTTTGGTGGCCCGGCCCGGGTTCTTTGGTTTGCGGTTTTCCACATACCTTCTTGGCCAGGAGGCCAGTTTGTCATGCAGGAGGCTAGAAAGGATGCCCCGCTGCGAAGGAGGAGGGGGGGGTCCGGGGGGGGCTTGCCCCTTTCGGGCACATACCTTCTTGGCGAGGAGGCCAGTTTGTCATGCAGGGGGCTAGAAAGGATGCCCCGCTGCGAAGGTGGATGGGGGCCCCCCCCGGCCACATACCTTCTTGGCCAGGTGGCCAGTTTGTCATGCAGGGGGCTAGAAAGGATGCCCCGCTGCGAAGGTGGATGGGGGGGGTCCGGGGGGGGGCTTGCCCCCTTCTGCCACATACCTCCCTGGCCAGGTGGCCAGTTTGTCATGCAGGGGGCTAGAAAGGATGCCCCGCTGCGAAATAGCAGACCGGATTTCGCCTTCAATGCTTATCGCAGGAGCCTGCGGGCCGCCGCGGGCGACAGTAGTTGTCCGCGGCCCTTTAATTAGGGCCGCGGGGAAGTGGTGGAGCCCGCGGCGGCCCGCAGGCTCCTGCGATAAGCTTTGAATGTGAATCCGGAAGCCCCCGATGACCCGCGATAGATGGCGATGCTTACTTTCAACCTATGCGCACTAAAACTAGCAGCGTCGACTGACATCCCACCCGGCCGCGGCCATGTTCTGGAAGCGACACATGTGGACCCTAGTCTACGTGTTGATAAGGTGCGTCCGAAGCTGCTCCAGAGTGCGGGCAACAGTGGGCCTCCGCGGTACTCTTCAAGAAGAAGTGGGATTCTAATTAAAATAAATGGTGGTGGCAGCCGCGCGGCGAAAGCGCGGCCCGCAGGGCCGCGCTTTCGCCGCGCGGCTGGTTTGGCTTTCGCGCTGGTTAGATTTTCGCGCACGCATTTGGTTACCAATATCGCCCTCCGGGCGCGATCTTCATATTATTGCCAATTATGTGCTGAAGTTTTCTGTTTTTGAGAGAGGGAGAGCTCAAGTTCAAGCACAAGTTCTAGTGAATAAATCGACAAAATGGAGAACTACTCTTGCTTCCCTTGGTGTTCTTCAGGAGCTGGTCCTGCGACTTGCACGATCCGCCTTGCAGCCCGAAGTTTCGCTTTCGTGCTGGTTACCATTGCGTTGCTTTTTTCGAGAAGCGTTGTGTCTTCCGTGGGCGGCGGTCACGCTCAGCCACGAAAAACAAGGCCCTCCGCAGCGGGGGCAGCTGCCGCAAGGAAGCATCAACCTAAGGCTTCAGCAGACCATCACATCAAACGTCACGCACCTCCTGGCGCCCCCAGAGTGGTACAAGTCAGCAGCGACAATTCCGATTCGAAAAATGCGGAACAAAAACAAAACGATCCCACAGCCGCCGTCGCCGTCGCAGGCCCTGCTGGCGGCGAGCCACCGCACACCAACACGCCAAAGCGCCGTCCGCCTCCGACCGTGAGCAGCCTGGAAACGCAGCTAGCAAAACTGCTGATGACAGAGAAGACGGCCGACGATTTTAAAACCAGAAGGGCGGAGCAAGATGATATTGCGAAGACGAAGAGGAAGAATAAGAAAAGCTACAATCCTGGTAAGATTAAAAAGAGCGCTTCGACACTTGGTATAGACCAGAAACAGTGCCGCAAAGCAGCACGGAAAGATCTGAAAGCGGAACTCGCACACTTCGCCAGGAAGAAGGTAACCTATCTAGATGTTGATCGTGGTGCCTTCGGTGGAGGTCCATTGGCCACAACAAGTTCGAGTCAAAATTATACCACGACGGCCAGCACGATAAACCTCGATTCCTACTGTGTGGAGAAACTGTTGAATTTCTACTGCACGGAACTCTACGAAGAAGCTGCGTCTTATCCGAAGTGCGCCCATCTCCGGGACAACACGCTGAACTTGGATTTTTTCGAATGTTTCCCCGAAATTTCCGTACCCGCGCACTGCAAGAGCCCCGCAGCTCTTGGGGGAAACAGCAAAACAGATGAACTTGTTTCATCAGCCACTGCTGGTCAAGGTGAAGGTCCTCCACGGGAAAGCAGCGGCAGGCGACTGACGTCGACAAACGACGACGTGCGCATCGTTTCTATGGGAGTGTCTTCAGGTTGGAAATTTGAAAAGTTGAGAAGATGCAGGAGTGTGTGCATGAAATGCAACATGCAAGGCTCCTTAAGCCGAAGCGTCTGCGTTGCACCATTGTTGGAGTGGACTGAAGAGTCATTAACAAAAGCCCTCACTTTTTCTCGACATACAGTGGGTGCGACAGATCGACTTCTCCGCGTCTCGAAAATCATTCAGGCGCCGCTTGGAAAGAAATATAAAATCATTGGGGACCCCGACTCGTCCTCGACTGGAGGTTGAGTTGTATCGGTTTGACTTGTGAAAAGTCATACATTTCCCCTTGGCCAATTCCCAACCTGACGCTACTTACTTACTTCCATATTCTATTTTCTCACTTTGAACGAAAACCCAGCCGCTCTGAAAAATCTCTATGGACCCCTGATGTACGGAATGCCAACGGAAGTCGTGCTTCGAGCTGCCACAGGGAACAAAGGTAGAGCGAACATCAAAAGCCGAAGCACAACATCAACTGCAAAAACCCAACGACATCAACACACCCTTCTGGTTCACCTGGACGCAAAGATGACTGCAGAGCAAATAGCCCAAGTGTCAGAATTCGCTGCCAGGGTCAACGGAAACGAATTTCTACCGACGACAAATAGCATCGTTGTTTTGCCCCGGCAGTTCCGGATCACCAAGGGCGGACAGAGCCTCTTGAAAACGAAACTCTACGGGATGGCCTTCGCTGCGGCCTGGTTTTCAACAACGGCGGGAGCTGCCCGAGCTGCATCTTCAGACAAGAAAAACTCACCCAAGGTTACCATATCATCAAACGACGCTGCAGGGCGTTCGGGGTCCGGTCCGCTTTTTACCGTTGATAGCCCTCATGTTGCGGCTCGCACATCAGACGTCGACTTCGACTTTTGGATCCACATCAGCGAGACCCATGCGGTGTTGCGGAAAAACATCGAGTCCTTTCTACGGCCGCTCAAAGGCTACAACCTGATCGCCATGGATGCGTGTTGGAAGGCGCACTGCGCCCGGCCGCTCGGGTTCTCCTGCGTGGACGAATCTTTGACCTTCAACTCGCTCCACGGCAAGCTCCAGATGCACAAGCCGCTGCGGTTTCGGCAAAAATCCGCGCGCGGGCCGGAGTGGGGTGTGTGGAGCAGCAGTTTTGTGCGGGAGGTGGCAGAGGTGCTCGTGTTGAACGAGGAAGTACTGGAGAGCGAGGATGTCGAAGAAAAGAGAGCCGCCGGGGAACAAGACGCAGATGTTGACACTGCAACCGGTAAAAAACCGGAACAAGCAAGGACCTCCGCTGGTCGTGAGGCAGAAGCTGCGTCGACATCGACGAAAGCCGCCTCCACTCTTCCTCGAAATCTTCATCAAGATTTCAACGACGTTAATCTTCCCCCCGGCATCAAACTTTTGCCTGCAACCGAAGAGTACTGGGTCAGCAGCACGACGAGCGGCACGGATATGCGATGCAAATGCACTCGTTCGACCGGAGTACACGTTCTTCAAAATGCATCACAAACTGCGATGCCAAGATGAAGAAGAACTACTTAGTAAAATCTGGTGCCACGAATGGACCTTGTCAATCTGAGTATGATCCTGCTCGTTGATGCGCAAAAAATTCTGTCATATTGCAGCAGTGTCGGCATTTGGAATTGTACTTAGGTGTAGGGCGGGTAAATTTGTATTGCATAGCAAACAAGTTTGTCCTGTTCCCGACGTTCGAGGAAAATGTGGAGTGGAAAAGACGAGACAACGGGTTCGAAGACGTCTTTCATGCTGGAACAAGTGTTACAACTAGAGGCAGCGCACAAGGACATGATGCTGGTCATAATGCAGTACCGCCGCAGGCAGAAAAAGACGAACTCCAGCTAGAAGTACAGAGAGCGACAGCTCGTCTGCAACGCGTAGATCGCATGTTTGAAGATGTGGACATCGGACAAGACGAGGAGTCTCCTTCTGGCGCGGGAGCAGGAGGCGCTGCCTCCTCTAGAAGTAGAAAAAGAAATTTTTACACCCGAAGGACGACTTCTACTTCCTATCACTACCTCCCCACGCTCCAGCAACGCCAGACCGCAATCTTCCTGATTCGGGACGCTCTCGCCCAATACCAATCAGACGAGGCCTACTGGGTGCAGGCGTTGCGGCTACGCATTGCAAAAGTTGTAATATCGTACTAGAAGGCGAGATTGCATTTATTTGAAAGGAAATTATAATTCTGTCGTACAGATTCAGGCTAGGGAGAGGTGTTTTGTCCTGCATAAAGGCAACTACGACCTGTGCGAGTGCTGATACTTTTGCAGAGGATCCCGGCACTCGCCTAACCACTGCGACAAGATGGTGAACGCCAACCTGCACATCAACGGTGTGGTGATGGTATCCAATGCAAAAACTGTCTTTCTGGTTCATCTCGTCTATCCTGGAAGGCTGCGTAGCCATTTTTTGGGATGTAGATTTTGCAATACCTCGCAAGTGGTCTGCAGCTACAACTTCATCTGTGCTCACATGGCAAGACAGATTTTTCTATGTGCAACTTGATTTCTGCGCACCAAAATTTCGCACTGGAGTTCCAGAGGACGAGGACGCAGACATGAAATTTCCATAAATTCATACATGGCCAGTAACAGCAACTACAAATCCACTCGGTACCACGGGGAGTTGGACGCAATTGGGACCAATTCTCCACAGATGTTGGATGACATTCTCTTGGGCGCATTACGACCAGATGAAGAACACGAGCTAGATGATGGCGCGACGGTACTAGAAGGGGGTAAAAAAGATGATCTTACAGATCATACGGCTGATGATGCACAAAGTACTTCTACAATGGCTGCTGGTAGCGAAGCCGAGAGGACCTGCTCCGCCAAGAACAGCGGGTTGGGAACAACTGCTTCTGCCAAGAGGAAGAGCAGCTACACAACATTGACATCCTTCGAGAACGCGACGGCCTCGCCAAGTAAGGTCAAGCCAGGGAAGATGAAAAAGAAGAAGAAAAAATCAACCTCCGAAAAATATGTGAACGACATCATTTGGAAAAACTATTTTAACAACGAGGAGAACTTTTTCGCGCGGAAGCTGCAGAGCCCGGAAATCCAGAGTCACGTGTTTTTCGAGCGGCTTGCAGGGCGGAGTGGGACGAAGTATGACGAGGAGATAGCAGCTGCTGCTGCTCTTTTCGACGATAATCGAGAGGATCTTGACGATGTTGAGAGGAGAACAGGAGCTTCGATTGCGACATCTTCAGAGGGGGACCGGGCCACGCGGCAACGAGAGCGCGTCCACTCTGAGGAGGAAACAAGTACTCGAAGTGAGCGACGGGGACAGAGTCAGCAAGCTGGTTCACCCCGACCAGTAGAAGAACCTCCTGAGCTAAATAACTGTTGCAACCCACCCTTGGCGGAAGTGAAGATATTTTTGCAAGATGAACAAGGAACCGATGGCGGACTAAACGCAAATCCAAATGGCGATAATGCACATGCAATGTTGGTAACGAATACAATCGACCCTCCCGCAAGTTCGCCGGCCTTTCCGGGCTTCGTGAAGCTTACAGCGGCGCCAGACGAGTGGGATGACGACAAGAGCAGGACGGGAAAGAAGAAAAAGAAGAAGAGAAACAAGAAACGCGATTCATCAAATGCGAATGATCACCATCACATTCACAATCCGGTTCGCATTTGGGACGTTCCGTGGAACTACGGAGAGGAGGAGTTCTTGATGCAGGAGCGACAAAGAAGTCTGCTGTCACCAACAGATGGAGTCCACTCTTCTCACCAACAAACATCATTGGCCAGCAGCGCGCCACCCGCCGAGGATGCGGACCGCAAAGTCTTCCTCAAGTTGAGTTGGGTGAACCTTTTTCGCGAGCACCCCTCGGCGCCGTCGGCCGGCACGCCCGTCGCAACCACGGGCGCACCGTTGCCAAGCAAGTACAAAATTGAAGTGCTACGGATGCTAGAGAACGCGGCGGATAAAGAAACGAGTAGTAGCACCACATCTTCTCCACGACGAGGAGGACCCGGAGATCTTCCAGCCACAACGCGAAACAGCACGAAGCAGCAGGTTCTAACAATTCCAAGAATCCACCCGACGAGTTACGGCTGGGCGTTCCTGGATGAAGGAAGGAAGCCGATCGATTCAGGCCGGGTGTTTTTTACGCATTTGGTGGAAATTCCCCTGCCGTTGCTTTTGGAAGACGACGATAGCGATAGGATTAGGACGCGAGAAGTACCACAGCAGCAGGGTGGTCGTGTTGAAAAGGAAGCACACGCAGCAAATAACGCGACCAGGAGAAACGAAGAGGCTGGTTATGGTAGGAATACAGCTCGTCGCTTTTTGCTAAAGATCAGCGGATTCGGCGAGCGCGAATTTCGTGTGCGGATTCCAGCAAGAAGCACGTCACTGAGGCGAGGCTCTGCGATTGTTGATGTGGATAGAATGAAAGAACCTGCAATAAACCTGGCGCCGAATGCGCGTATGACAAGGACACAGGATGAACTGTGATGAAGGGAAGAGGACGCGACAGTTTTGAAAGTAGGCAAAGAAGAGCATCAAGATCATTTGATACAACCGAAGTACCATGACGACTCTCAACAGTCGGAGAACGATCGTTGTGTCGTCTCTTATCATGATTCGACATTCACATTCGCGCAAGACTAATGCGAATATGCAGCATATTCTTATTCATGCGAGCCAGTAGTGTATGGCAGTGTGAAGCCGTAGGCGAAAAAACAAGTTGCTAGCTCGATATGTGATTTCAAATGATACTGTGCGAGTCTTTGGCTTTCGGTTACAACGATCTCCACTTCAAAAAACAACTACGTACACGATGGCTACTTTTACTTTTGCGAACTGACCACGATTACTTTCTCGGTCTTCAATAGTGAAGCCTAAATCATGCCTTAACCTCCTGGTACCTTCGGTTCGTACAACAGTACACAATTATTTCAAGTCGTTCGGCTTCATACAAGGCTAAACTTGAACTTCGGTTGTGCACCGACCTCGTTCCAAGAAGCTCTCGGTTTCGATTTTCGTACACAAAATACTTTGTTTCGTGCACACCAAACGGACATCGGATTGGACTTTTTCCAAAAAAAAAAAATCTTCTTGCCTTCGGGAAAATGAAAAACCGAATTATTTTTCATCCAAAAAAACTCTCAGGCTTTCGCTCAGCCGGTCCTGCTCCCCGCCAGGGGGCAATATTGACGCTCACCTAAGTATCAATTGTTCTATGCGGATACCCTCCGAAAGAGCTTTTTTTTGTTGAGCGCATTTTTTTTTTCAACCGATATGAAATCCACCTTGCTTTCTGGAATTATACCTATGCACACGAAGATGAGAGAGGCTTTAATTTTCCGAAAGGTTTTTTTTCCGACCTGAGTGTCAACAGTTGACGGAGCGCGTTGCACTTCGAGTTTTTTTTTATGTGCCGCTGCAATTTTGTCACAAGGATGAGTTACGTATAGGCGGGTCACACGCCTTCGTAGTTTAAGTCTGTTTTGTTTTTTGTTTCTGTGAGCGAGGAAATAGTAATAGGCGGTTTTTTTTTTCTGGGAAGCGAACATCGTGCTGGAATTTCTTTTCTATCGCTCACCGTTTCAATTTTTCGAAATCCCAAAAACCGTAGCCACTCTGCTCTCGTTTGAGGAGTAGAATAGAAGTTGAAGCCCCAGAAGCGGGTCTAGCTCTCTACTTCTAAAGTTTGACGAAGAACAAGTCGCAAGAGTAAAAGTTTCGCAACAAGAAATAAGAACGTGTACAAATTGAAAAAAACTACCTCTTTCTCTTCCATCTACGTCAACGTTTAACTAAACTTTGCGCACCCCGCAATAGTACAAGACAAAAAATGTTGGACGCGCGTGAAGAAGTGATCATCAGCGGCTTGCTGAAGGTCGCCGCCGATGGGGAGGCTGAGTGCGATTTCATTCGCGCCCGCATGTGCGAGGACCCTGAGTTCGAGCCCTACACGGCCTTCAAGGCTCTGTATCAACTGCAAATCATGTTGTGCATGTCATTGAATCTGGTGGAAGAATGACGCAGACGATAATTGTTGGTTTATTTGCTTTTTTAGGTATGCCAACAGGTCGAGAGCATGATAAGTTCTTTGTATAATTGCCGAGCTAATATGAAGGGCTCCGTTAGAAGTACAGGAGAAAAGACTCGCCACGACCCTTCAGTAGTTCCATGCATCTTCACAGGAGATCTTGGTGTCCTTCTAAAATAAATCTTGCGCCACACAGGAAGTGAACCAGACTCGACCAAGACATGGTATTTGCAAAAATGCATACGTTGCAGCTGAAGCCTATGACCTCCGGCGTTCTGACCGCGAAGGACATCACCGTGTGGCTGACCCGGCAGTACTACAAGACCTCGTTGCTGCGCGATATGCATTGCAAAAGCATCGCACTCCTCGTACTAATCGCAGTCATGCAACACAAACTTCCTGCTCAAGCTAAAGCAGCATTACACACAGATTCCATTTTGCATGCTGTAATTTGTATTGCATTACGAGTGCGATACTTTTGCAGTTCATACGCGAGCGCGACCTGCAGAACCTGATCGACCACTACTCCATGGGCGAGGGGGTGCTGCGCTACGAAGGTTTTTTGAAACTCGTCCTGCCCCGGGAGGACAAGCGGGTCCGGTCCCTGGTCATGTGCCGCCGCTCCAGCTCCATGTTGGAGCGCGAGATGGGGCGGGACGGAGGCTACCACTTCATCCGGCTGTTGGAGCAGGAATGTGCCCTCTACGAGGAGCTCACGCTGCGCCGCAAGCGCTTGTTAGAGTACTTCGATTTCTTCGAAAATACGTTTTATTATGTTTACCTAGGTGGATGGCTTCACACATTGCACTACGTCGAGACAGTCATTTAGTAAGATCAGAAAGAGCGTATCTTTATGTTGTTCTGGCCACATTTGTTTGAGCAGAAAAGAAAAAGACAGCCACGTTGGCAAGGCAGGCCTTTATAATTTTTGGTTCGTCCACCAACACAAACAAGGGATTCAAATTTTCCTTTTGACTCCGCACCACAGGTACGAATGGCGTGAGGACCGTGAACACATTGCTCAGCGCGCTTTCACCTGGCTGCAGTCCATGTCTTCCGCCCCGGGGGTGACGCATGTGTCGGTGCTGGCCGTGTGCCGCCTGCTGTGCGACGTGAAAGAGCTGCTGTCCATCAACCAGGTCGAGCAGCTGTTTCACCGCGTCAACCTCTCTGGTACCGACATGCTATGAACTGCAAAAGTATCGTACTCGTATAAATGCATTACAAATTTCCCCAGCATGCGAGATAAAATTTGTAATGCGGATTTGCCTTAAGATGAAGATTTGTAATGCATGAATGCAATACGAGTGCGATACTTTTGCACAGGATACATTCTCTCCTTCGCCGAATTTGACAAGTTTCTGCAGTCCAAGGAGGCCAACGCGTACCTCAACGAGCTCTACGTCCGCAACTTCTCCACCATGTGCCCCGGCTGCGGCGCCATGGTGCAGCGCGAGGGCGGTATGCGAGGGGAGTAGAACAACTCGTCTCCCTAGGTGGTTCCGCCCGTCATTATTTTTGTATGCGGAAAATTTAAATTTTTGAACACCAATCTAAACGTAATTCAAATTCAGTCAGCATGTTGCTCTGCTTTTGCAGCTCTACACTGCTTATAGCTCCTTGCAAGAGAAACTGCTGACGAAGTAAGTGGTGTGGTTGGTGGTACAATCTGGAGTGCGTGATCGGATAGCAGTAGAGTGGTACAGTCAGGAAAAACTACCTGTGAAGCTGATTCTGCACGTCCGCCTTTCTACTTTCGATTGGTTGCTGCTCTTCTGTGCCGTTCAAATTTAAAAAATGATGGGACCACGACGGGGACGAGTTCAACATCTTTTGCACTTTCATACTTCGCGCGTGCAACAACGTCACCTGCTACTACTGCCGCACGACGTTCAAATGCAATACGAACGCGCAGGACGCGGACTTGCTGTCTCCCCGCGCGATCAAGACCATTTCTGTCCAGCAGAACCCGTACGCGAACGACGTGTCCGGCGGCTTTTGCGCGCGGTCCGGAGCTGGTTCTCCGCGTAACGTGGCGTCACTGTCGCCACGCACACCGCGGAAGACGAACAACATGTCCATGATGTCGACGAATGTGGGCAACGACACTTCCTTTATGAGCAACACGTCTAGCCTGACGTCCCCGCGGGCGGCCGCGACCAACGTGGCGGGCGGATATTCTACGGTAATATGCGTCCTTCTTGCTTGTGTAGGACTAGAGAAAATCATCATCTACTCTTGAGATCATTTTGATTTATTTAGGAGTGTAGTTGCGATTCGGTTTTTCTCATGTCAGATGAGATACGATTTTTACGAAGTACTTTTTTAGCGCGCGGGTAGAATGCATTCCTACTGCTGTCTCGTCCCTTGACGAGATTCAGATTTTTGATTTTGTAGGTCTTCTTTGCAAGACGGACAAGAAGCATCATTCGTACTAGCACGACTTGTATTACAAAAGTAGCAAACGTTCCTATTACTCAACATTTTCATTTGTATTCGCAAAATCCTATAATCCCAAAAATTTCCCACAGGTGCTCGAAAACGAGAACAACAACATGTTTACCACCTCCTACATTGGTGAGGACAAGCCCAAGTCCATGTCCACCTACATGTCGCCGCCCGAGCCGCAATCCGTGATCTACGCGCAGACCCCGAAGGCGACCGACTCGTTCCAGACCGGCGAACTGATGACCAAGCGGCGGCAGAAGATCAACTTGAAGAAGGTGGTCGAGTGCATGTGCAAAATGATGGACGTAGACCATTTGATCGAGTCCGAGAAGGAGCTATCCACAGGAAAATTGATGATTCATCCCGCACATGACGTAGAAATAATATAATTCCGGTTTCTGCATTATGATGAAAACCGCCTTCAAGAATTCTATTCAGCATGACAAGCAGCACTCATTCTCTAAGCTGGCGAATGAAAAAAATTTTGATATGCATTTTGTACTTCTACGCGTGGCTGCAGGATGAACAACAAATTTGTATTGCATAAGAACAGCTGTGGCAGGCGGGCGTGAACCTGGAAGCGGCTTTTAAGTTCCTGGACCGGTACCAGAAGGGCTACATCGCCGACACGGACGTGTGGCAGGTGATGCACGGGTCCGACCTGCCCTGCACCTTTTCCGGCGTGTGCCAGCTGTTTCGCGATTTGAAGAAGGGGGACGCGGCCAAGCTCAAGCAGGGCCAGTTGAGTCTCGCGGAGCTCACGCACGTGCTGTTTCCGAAGCAGTCCGAGGAGGCTGCGCACGTGGAGCAACAGATGAAGGACGCCGAGGCCCTCAACGTCTTGTACGTGGTGCGATCCACCATTTCCTGCCCGGGCTGCGGAACGAGGGTACTAATATCGTGATTTGAAGATTTTTCCCATCTAGCATTTAGCGAGACAGTAGTGCATGTAATAAAGTTCTTCTTGTACGGGGGATCGAGTATGTAGTGTTTTTGAATAACACAATTCTTTCCCATCCACTCTACCAAAACAGGTTCAGCGCACCATGGAGGGTTGCAGTTCCGTGACCTGCTCGGTGTGCCGCACGCTATGCATTGCAAAAATGTTTGGGTCTGGAAGAATACAAACTTGTGATGCGCATTTCAGAAGACAGAAACATCTCTCATGCACGGGTAGCAAAAACTGCCCACTTTCTGTCACCAAAATGGGGGATCTGTCATGCGGATTCAGCATGGCGGAAGCTTCTCGAGACCTGTGATGCTAGAGCTTCCATGCCAGACCTCCTGCGTCATGCAAAAACAGCATGACTCTTCCACCAGACCCAGACACTTTTACAGTTGACACACGCCCTTCCGCTGCAACCTGATCGGCGACGACCGTGACACGGAGTTCCGGTTGACCTTGACCCAGAAGCACAAAATCAAGCAGTACTTGAAGTTCGCAATCGACGCGGCCGAGGACACGGAGCGGTTCCGGAAAATGCTCATGATGGACGTGGACGCGCTGTCTACCGTATGAACTGCAAAAATATCGTTCTAGTATGAATCGCATGACAAATTTTCTCAGCATGGGAAATAAAATTTGTGATGCGGGTTTACCTTAAGAAGAGAATTTGTAATGCATGACTGCGATTAGGATTACTACTAGTACGATACTTTTGCACAGGATATACCGCGCTGCTGGACGCCTTCCTCCTGATGTCGGACGACAAGGGATACATCTCCTTCCTGGACTTCCAAAAAGCCATCCTGGAGCAGCGGAACGTGCGGACCAAGGAGATCGAGTTGCTCTGGCAGCGGTTCGCCGGCAGCCAGTCCCGCCGACTCGGATTTGTGGATTTCGCTGCGCAGATGCGGCCCTTTGGGACCCAATAAATCACGGTTAGTTGGACAGATGTACGAAATTAGGCTCTCTAGATATTCGAGAGAAGTTCAAAGATGTTGTACATGCGCAGCAAACAATCATCATCTCGTCATGATGTTTCAGAAAACTTTAACTTCAAAAAGAAACCAACACACCATACTACGCGACCGTCAGAACTCAATCGAGGCAATTCAATAGGGTGGTTAAGACAGTACGTCAAAATAAATCGGCATTGGTGTAGTTGTCTACTTTCGTTTTTGGAGGTTATGATCATGCTGGCGGCCGTCGAGATGAATCTCTGCAAGAGCCGGTGGTGCGAAGATCAGCTGTTCGCCATTTTTGGTGAGCAGCTCTCTGTAACATCACAACAGCCTCTAGAAGGATAGACTCACCTTGAATTGCCCATGTTTTGTTTGAATAAATACAATATTCAGTTTCTCGTTTATCCAACTTGTTAAAATCACGGCATTTGCATAGCGGATAATCGTCTACTTCATGGGATGAAAACATACTATCAGAGGAAAGAAGCAAGCATGCTGATAAAATTACGGGGTATGGGATGAAGATCATATACATACGACATAGGACGTTTCGGTTTCAATGCATAAAACAAATCACAACTATGTGTGGAAGTAGAGTCCGCCTGCCGGTGTAAGAAGATTGTAGCGCAGTAGTGTCACGTGCAAAACGTGGTTAAAATTCTACTCAGGAGGACTAGAAAGCAGGACGGACGACTTTGGTTGAAAATTTTATAGATACCCTAAAATAAAAAATTAGAATACACTATACCCCACTGAAATAAGGTCATCAGATTTTTACACAAATAATCGGAAAAATCAGTTGTCATTTTTTAGCAGCTAACAAATTTGGGAAAATCGGGAAAGAAGGGTGATAATAATATCTATGGGTTAGTACTGCGAAAAACATCTCTTGCTCCTCTCATAGAACTACGAGACAAAAAATATCGCACGCACATGTTTGATTTTGGTTGGAAAGAAAAAAAAAGTTTAAACCACATTCGTGTCGTTGATTGACACCATGCGGACTAAGAGTGCTGTCGCGGTTACAGTCACCGTCGCAGCATCTTCTTGACCTATGTTGCATGATCATGATGTTCTTCGGCCAAGAATCATCTAAATGCTGTTATGCGCTGAATGAGTCGTGGTCACGTGGATGTGTCGTGCGTAAAACGTTCATGATAGTTGGAGATCGGTTGAAATAAAAGTAGTACGGGTGGCGCTTGTACTTTTGCCAGGCGGAAGTGTCGGTTTTGGACTAAGCACGAGTAGCATCTTCTTGCGTCGTCCTTCGGTCCTTCACGAAAATAAGTACTTAAATCCTTCGCCTGCCTACTTCTTTTTACAAAGTGACCTGTGGTTCTTCCGTCTAAACTGCGAGGTTTTTCTACCGTGAATGATGGCGATCTTGCGCCGCAGACGGAGCAGCTCAACCTCTCTGGTTGACAGCTCTGTCAAAGGGCAACATTATCGCAATTGCTCTGAATCGGAAGTATTCCAGAGCAAACGGACACCCAGCAACTGCCAGTCACACATGTCCGAGCACCTCGCGGTTGGTGTACTATTTCGTAGCGCGCCCAGCACCTCGACTGCCCAGCACATTCACCGAAACCCCTTTGCCACCCGCCTGAAGGTAGTGCAGCTCCGACCAGGGCTCTTGGCAGCTCCAGCACAGCACCTCCAGGGCTACAGTTGCCTCTCGTCCTCTCTACCGCGGGCAATTCCAAGAAGCACATGCTCGTCGTCCTCCTCTAGTAGCAGTACGGGTCTTCAGCACCAGGTGTTTCGGCACGAACCTGATACAACTAGCAGGGGAAGGACAGGACTAGTACACCGAGGAGCACCAGACCTCCGGCGGGTTTTCTTCACTACAGCTTCAGCAGCACGGCATGACCAGCAGCACCACAATTCGCCCGGCAGCACCGACAGCATGCCCGCTATGGTGCGTCGGAAGCGACTGGCGTTTTTACTGAAAACGGGTTTCGGCGTGGACAAAGTCGACCGCAGGCTGCTGAAAAAGGCGTACTTCGCGAAGTCAAAAAAGCTGCATCCGGATCTGGTACAATACCACGCAAAAAATCCTACCAAAAACGGAAGCGAGCAAAGCACGACCGCAGCATTTGTGGAGATGAAAAAACAGTACCAGGAAGCGTTGAAGCTGCTCGACGAGGAAGAGAGATTCCAGAAGCAGATGCTGAGCTCGGAGAACGAGCAAAGAGCCACGAGGTCGCGTAGAAGTTCTTGGGGAAGAACAAGTGGGACTAGTTCATTTCAGGACCAGGATCATGATTCATCGAACACAGCACAGCAGGCCGAGAGGAAAAATGCTAGTAGTGGTGCCAGATCCACCATGTCCGTGGAGGACCTGCTCCGCAGCCAGAACATTGAGGAGAAGCAGAGACGAGCGTGCGAAGCGGCTATCGCAGCGGAATATGAATTGCAAAAGTGTCTGGGTCTGGAAGAGTGCCAGGTTTGTCATGCATAATTTGCATGACGCATTATGGCTGTAATGCATGGCCTAGCATCACAGATTTTGAGAGGGCTTTCTGGTGCGTATTCCGCATGAGAAATGCCCTCTCCGAGTAGCACAAACTGGACTCCTTTTGCCGGTCAGGCAATACAGACTTTTGTGGAATCTAAAGACAGCATGACAAGTTGCAATCTTCCAGACCCAGACATTTTTGCATTTGATACGGAAGACGCGGAGGCGAAGTCGGAGATGCGCGGGGTGCTGGTCTCCCTCGCGGGCTGCTTATCACAAGAAAAAAGTGTTACAGTTACACATTGTCATGCAAAACTGGCAACTGAGACAACCTTCCTCATGCAGGAAATGCTTCGGAGCCTCGTTTCCTTGCTGTTTTCCCTTATGATTTTCGCATTACAAGTTTTCTCTGCCACACAGAGAAAATTTGTGATGCAGAAACTCCAACAAATGTGTAACTGTAACACTTCTTTCTCGTGATACTGCTTCTTCGTTTTGTACTACGCATGGAGCTATCCTGTGCAAAAGTATCGTACTCGTATAATTGCAGTTATGCATTACAAATCATCTTGCTAAGGCAAATCAGCATTACAAATTTTGTTTTTCATGCTGAGGAAATTTGTAATGCATTTATACGAGTGCGATACTTTCTTGCAATGCATAGGAGCGTTTTGGACAACACGCGGGCCAGCGAGCATAGGAAACACGAACTCAGCGTGTACGAAGTTGTGAATGGTGGCGGTGGGAATGGGATGATGTTGTCCTCGTCGCGCACGCCTGTAGTTCTTTCTGCGTACAACCCACGGAGCGAGCTGGTTTCGCGACAAGTGGATGACCACGCAGCTGCAGAAATAAAGCGCCAGATGAGGAGTGGTTCCTCTTCTTCTTCTTCTTGTTTTGTTGGAACGAAGCGAGCGCCCGAGGAAATGCACGAGCGTCATTTACTTCGCCGCGAACCAAATGACGATTTCGCAGACCAGTACAACCTCGTGGAAATTCGACGAAGTTACCGAAAGTGGAAAATCAAAATGACGAAAAACGAAGAGTCTCGTTCTGATTCGTCTTCCGAATCCTTCACGACGTCGGGTGGGCAGATGAAAGATGAAGCTCAAGTTCTCGTCCCAGAACAATCAGAGACGAACTCCTCATTTCTCGTCACCAGCCGGCACAACACAGCACCTGCGGAAGATGAAGCAGGAGCCTTCACGACTGCGCGCAGAATAGACTTTTCGGCTGCATCGTGCTGTGAGACGGTAGAAGTTGTTGGAGATCTTCACAGGAGCTCCACCTCAGAGGAGCTGATAAATCAGATCAAGGACCACGTCGACGCCGAAACAGGCGCAACAAATGGAACTACTGCCTCAAAAGCCCTTCTGTCCCCGAGCATCCCGGGCTACAACTTTATCCAGATGATCAACAATTTCGGCACCACCGTCGATCTCGCCGCGATTAAAGCACGCATCGGGTTGCGGAGGCAAAAAGAGGAAGAGGAGAAGCAGAAGCGGAAACAGCGGCAGGAAGCGAAGGATGCCGAGGTTTTACACAGCTTCGCGGTTACCTCAGGCAACTTGTACACGCTGCTGCATAGTCATGAATCACAACTGGCACCCACCTCCTCTACTTCGACGTCGCTTCTGTCGGGGAACAGTAAAAATAGAGGCAGTGGCCCTCGTACAACTACGGCAGCTGGTGCTGGGTCTTGTTCCTTGCTCTCCGACGCGAAGGTTTTGCACGCACGAACAATGCGAGAACAGCGGGAAATGGCAGAGATGCGAAGATGAAGACGAGAGTCAAGGCTTTGAAAACCATGCAGAGGATGAACTGCTAGTACACCGCACCAAGGAAACAGCAAGAGCACAGTAAAAAGGAAAGCAGTCGCTCATTGCACCAGGCAGAAAAAATCATTCGACACGCGTACTGTCTCGAAGGCTTGTGTTCATTGGAGGATGTTGCAGCTGATGTGCTTTAAGAGACCTGGATCGCGTTGACAGCACGAAACCACCGCAATAAGTACCTTCTTCCTGCTCACTTCAACGGATGATCAAGATCATCAGCAAAGTAGTCCTGGATCGCAGTTTGTTTTCATCGCCGTGGCATCAGCATAAACGAATGGCACTTAGGTAGAAAGAAATGCAGTTGTAGACGACAGCAAAACAAGATGAGCGGGTATTAAGCAACGGCACGACCGAAATTTAAAATTGCTCGTCATGTTGTTGACGATACATACGTTAGTACGTTACTTAACGCATCGCACATAGTACATACTCAGAACCGCTTTTCTTTTCCCGAATGCTTACATCACAGGTGGTACTTCGAACTCCTTTAGTTATCATGGCTATCCCCCACGACTCTTCAACACACTAAATTTGTACCCGTTGCCATTCCGGCCGTTTTTCCACATACACGTCGACAAATTTGAACGATTGACCGTGATAATATTAAATCCTTGTTGTCACAACGACGCGACCGAACATTCGAGCCGCAGACTCCTTGTTTGTCGATGAACAAAAACAATACATGTCCACCTCGCGGTTAAAAACGGCATCTTCGGTAGTAAGAAATCAGCTCTACTCTACGGCTTGCGCGAGGACCAAAAAAGCAGTGGCGCGTCGTGTTCCTATTCTGCCCTCGTGGTTTCAGCATCATCATCCGCAACAAGCATCATCGAGATCAACAGATCAACAATTTGGAACAGTTGGACAAGACCAAACGCAAGCAAGAAGACCATTTTCGGGCTTCTCAAGAACCCCGTTTATCCGTGTCGGAACTACACCAGGATCTGGTTTGCTGCAACAAGGTATACATAGATCAGTCTGCCGTGTTGCGCATACGATATCAACGTTTTTTTTGAGGATGTGTCCTCTCGTTCACGAAAACAGCACTGATCTGCGAGCTACATCAGCTCGACACCCCCGTAGCTTCAGGCGAATTTTTCTGATTCAGGGTTTGATTCAGATAAGCTAGCAGCTTTACCTTCGGAGCCTCATCATGGCGACGCGATTTCAGGGGAGGGGATGACTTGGGACTGAAAAAGCTTACGCCAACCGGTGCTACATTGGTTTAGGGTAGACGAAATCCAGAAAAAAACTTACTCGTCATAAAAATAAAAATTTAAAATTTCGCGGATTTCGCAAATTGATAAAAATAAAGTTTTCAAAATTTCGCGGACAAAAATTTGGGAAGTGAGCATAGGATTGACGACCTGGAGAATGCACATAGGTTGTAGGAGCTCGGGCATGATAGAAGTTGGGTTGTTTTTGGTGGGCTGTAGAAATAAAATTTTTAATTTTCGCGGATTTCGGAACATGATAAAAAATAAAATTTTGAAATTTCGCGGATTGCTTAGTTCGATTCTGAAGTAAGTCCCCTGCTGGTCCTCGCCCATTTGATCGCTCCCGTTGCAGTGCCTTTTCGTCAACACGTACTATATTCAGAAGAAGTGCTAACGCACGCAGCAAACTAAGACGTAAATAATGGAATGCGTGCATTTGTGGCCACGCTCACCCTCACGCCAAGGTAAGTACAGTGGAGCTTCCGTACGTAACGCGTAGACGATGAGTGGATGGGTTTTTCAAAAAGCAAGCGAACAAAGAGACGTAGCAAATAGTTAGATGTTCAAAAGAAAAAAGGACCATGGTCGTGCTACTTGTCGTGTCACCAGTGTGTCGCGCTTCCACAAATAAACCGTCAAAGCGGCTCCGTAGTCCCTCTAATACCCCCGTTTCATCCGCAAAATGGCGTCTTTTTTAGGGTCATCAAGCAGTAGTAACTACCACCAGAGAATCCTGGGCAAAAACCGAGCGGAAGTTGTAGACGACCAGCAAGCTACTATTTTAGAGGACATCGACCTCGGCACCCCGGTCGACGACCCGGACGACCGAAGTTCCACCTCGGACTTCGGCGGCCATAGAAGTAGCGCGGCCAGGGTCGCGAGGCTCCACCAATTGCTCTTTAACAGCGATAGCACTTCTTTTAATAACAATCCATCTAGCTTTGGTAGTTTTCTGAAATCCATAACCGCGCAGTGCTTAAACTACAGTGCGGTCAAGCGCTATTTCTGTCTCTCCGCTTTTCTACTCGGCATCTGTTTTCTCTTCGCAGGTTGTGGTACTAGTAACTCCAGTACAACTAGTCCTACGGGGATTCTAACGGGGAATAGACAAAGCGCAAGCAGCGGAGCTACTACATCCAGTAGTTCTTCCTCAGCTTCCACTAGCGCGAAGAACAACCTTCAGTCCACCCGTACTAGCTCCTCCTCCTCCCGCAGTCTGAGCACGACCATGTCGCCGGTTTTACCACCCGCGGGCGACGGGGCGACACACAAAAACCCGCTGCTTTTCCCGGGGTCCCAGCTCTTCCCGCCGTTTGGCGAGGTGACGCCGGACCATGTGGAACCCGGCATCGAAGAGCACCTGCAGCACGCTTTGAAGTCGTTGGAGCAGCTGGAAACGAAAATCAAGGACGAGCTTGCGAAGCCCACGCCCAACCTCACCTACGCCGAGGTTGCGCTAGAAGTGGAGCAGTTCGATGACAAGCTCTCCCGGGCGTGGGGCGTGGTGAAACACTTGAAATCGGTGAAGGACTCCGACGCGCTGCGCGCGGTCGTGGAGAAGATGCAGCCGAAAGTAATCGAATTCGGGCTCCGGATGGGGCAGAGCGAGGAACTGTACAAGGCCTGGCAGTTTCTGTCGGAACAGGATAAGAAGGAGAAAACCTTTATCCTAAGTAAAAACGTCCCCACCCCAGAGTTGTCATGCAAATTTGCATGCCAAAAAAGTTTCTCATGCGGAGCCTCATGAGAGCCATTTTCTAGTCGTGTTGTGGAATTTGTGATGCTACTATCGGCATGATATGCTAGATCTGTGATGCTTCGGAACTAGCTAAACAGGATCACACTACCAGGACAAACTTGTCATGCGAAGCAACCATATCTGGTTGATTTGTCTAGCAGATTTCCCAGCTTAACTCTGTTATGGGGACGCTTTTACTCAGGATAACCTTCTCAAAAAGCCAGGCCCGGATCGTGGAGCACGAGCTGCTGGCGGCGAAATTGTCGGGCGTTGGGCTGACCGGGGAGAAAAAAGTCAAGTATAACGCGAACACAAAGAGGATGGGCGAACTGAAAACGAAATTCACGAACAACTTGCAGGATGCAACCAAGGCATTCTCGGTCAAACTCACGAAAAGGGTATGTTGATATCCACTTCGTTGAGTTGTATGCGATAAAATGTAATTTGGATGAGCATGCGGATGTGCATGTCGATTTTTCTACGTCTCTTGTCATGTGTTTTCATGCATCAATCTGGCGAAGAATGAGAATCATTTCTTACGCTCTAAAAATAATAATAATATGAATACGATGACGTGCGGCTCCTGGTGACACGCCGCACGGGACAGAAAGGATACTGTAAAACCTTAAATAATGCTCTCTTCAAAATGAAAATACGAATATCAGGAAGAAGTCGCGGGCTTACCAACCTCAGCGCTGCAACTCGGAGCTCAGCAAGCAAAAACGAAAGGTAATCAATTGTAGAGGAGCTTTTTGGTTTTTCGTCGTAGCAAAAAAAGATTAAAAAAATCCAAACTTGTGTTGCGCCAGCACCTGCAAAAGTTGGTGCTGATCATGTCGTCTACCTAGACCTCCTTTGATGTACTCTTTCCCGCATCCTCATCACTTGAGACGAAGATCATGTTAACAACTCAAGATCAGCATCAACAAGAATAAACACCGGAAAAGAAAAATCCCCAACAACGAACTCCAGGCAAGGAAGAGTCTGCCACCGCTGAAGACGGTCCCTGGCTGTTCACCCTGGACATGCCGTCGTATTTGCCGGTGATGCAGCACTCCACCGACCGCGAGCTGCGGAAGAAGATGTACCAGGCGCATCTGAAGCGGGCGAGCGAGTTCAGCACGGATCTGAAGGACTATGACAGTGCACAACTCCCCCTCCCCCTCATTTGTATAGCATGAACGGCAATACAAGCATCAGCAAGGGTGCCGGTTTTGCATGACAGATTTCCACTGGATTGTAGTGCTATTCGGGCTACCAGAACTTGTCATGCATAAGTAATAGTGACAGGAGGCAAAGCGTGGATTTGGTATTTTGCATGAGAAATGAGAACGAGGGGGAGTTGTGCAATGTGACAAGGACGAGGAGGGGAAAATCAAGGACAACACGCCGCTGATGGAGGAAATCCTGAAACTGCGCCAGGAGAACGCGGAGCTGCTTGGGTACAAGAATTACGCCGAGGTGTCCATGGCAAAAAAGATGGCGACCTTTGAGTCCGCGAACAAGTTGATCGAGGATTTGCGGTCCAAATCGTACGCGACGGCGGTGTATCCTGTGCAAAAGTATCGTACCCGTAGTAAGTAATTGCATTTATGCATTACAAATCTCTTTCTCAAGGTAAATCAGCATTACAAATTTAATTTGTAACGCTGGGCTAATCTGTAATGCAATTTATACTAGTACGATGCTTTTGCATTGCATACGGTGAAGGAACTGGAAGACTTGGAGAAATTCGCGAAGACGGAGTACGAAAAACTGCCGTTCCCGAAGGACGAGAAGCTGATGCAGTGGGACGTGCCCTACTACGCGGAACGAATGAAAGAGATGAAATACGAGTTCAACGAAGAGGAGCTGAAGCCCTACTTTTCCTACGCGTTGCAAAAGCGAAAGTGTCCTCGCGGTAGTACTGGTGGCATATACAAATTTGCATTTGCTCTTTAGCATGATGTCGACAAGCGGAATAACTTGTCATAATTGCTGAGTTGTTTATTTTTTCCTGTAGTAGACATCACCAGGTGCAGGTTTGTAGTCATATCTATTAGATACAGTATTGCTACTACTGCGCCCTCGTGCGATACAAGAACTTTTGCCGTTGATATCCCCTTACCAAAGGTCCTATCGGGGCTGTGGAACCTGGCGAACAAGTTATTCGGGATTTCCATCCGGGAAATCGCGTCGGCCGAGGAAAAAACAAAGCTCGGAGTCTCCCTCTGGAACGAGGACGTGATGGTGTTTGAGATAGTCAAGGACAATGAAGTGGTTTCCTACTTCTACCTCGACCCGTTTTCCCGGCCTGAAACGAAAAAGGGCGGCGCGTGGATGGACGAGGTGTGCGGGAGGACCGCGAACCCGGAGCTGGTGCAAGGAGAGAAGAAGATCCGACTGCCCGTCGCGCACATGGTGTGCAACCAGACAGTATGCATAATTGCAAAAGTTTCGTGCTCATACTGGTACTAGTAACTGCCACGCCGCGTGTTGACAGATCTGCTTTTACTCGACCTGAATGCGCATTTTCAAAATGTTGAAAAAGCTTCATTGTCGTCCTTGGAAAAATTCGCAACGCAGTTGCCGCTGTATGCGAGGATAGTACAACTTTTGCAATCCATAAACGCCGCCGGTGACGAGCGGCGAGAAAAAAATCCCGTCGTTGATGAACTTCCGGGAGGTCGAAACCTTGTTCCACGAATTCGGCCACGCGCTACAGCACATGCTGACCAAGGAATCCGAGGGGATGGCGGCGGGAATCCGGAACGTTGAATGGGACGCGGTAGAGCAGCCGTCGCAGTTCATGGAAAATTGGTGCTACGACAAACCAACCGTGGACTCCATGGCGATTTGCCTCAGACCGTCAAAAAAATTCTGCGCGCATTTTTTCGCGTCGCAAAGCTAGTAAACCTGTGCACGCAAGTGAAGGGCTGACCTGAACGCGGTTTGTTTTAGCTAGCTTGTCAGCAGCAGAGCTCTAGTAGGTAGGTGAGTACTGACGTGGAGGAGGGCGGGGCGTTGAGGGTTCTTTGTTGGCTGATGTTTTCACATAGAAAACGCCGGGCGCCCGCAATGTTTTGCTTTGTTTTCCGGATTGCTCTCTCCGTGAAGCTAGTTGCCGCTATGGCCTGGGTCAGGGTGTGAGGCTGCAAGCGCCCCCCGATATGTCTACTCAGGCCCTGGCGTCGTCGTCTCTAGCGGGTGCCGCGCACATATATTGGCCGCGAAGGCCTATCCGGAGCCCTTCCAAAAAGGGGGGGCCGCAGGGGTGCCCGGAACCCTAAAAAAAAACCCTACCGCTTTTTCTTCGAATCACGATGGTGCTACCCCTCCCCAAAAGGGGTCCCGGAACCCCTCTCGGAACCCCTCCCGAAAGGCTCTCGGGCTTTTCGCATTTTCAAGAAAAAGCCGCAAAGGCAAAAAGCGCGCGCGCCTGCCGGTGCACGCGCGCACAGCTGCGCGACATTAGAAACAAGGGGGAGCGCAGCCGCGGCCGGTTCCATTTGCGCCAGCGGCTCCGACCGACTTGCACAGATTGAGACCCATTGTCTAGCGGCTGGACTGCAAGAGAACCTGCTGCAGCACCTCCAGGTTGCACGGGCGCTCCAAGGCAAGTCTGTGGAGCAGCAGCGCCGGATAGCTCCGTCTTTAGCCACTGAGAAGCGCTGCGAATAAGCTAGCGAGTTCATTAGGTGCGCAACATAGCGGGAGGCTATACGCGTGCAGCATGATGGGCATTAAATACAAAAAAAGGCGCGCGGAAATTTTTTTACAGCTTGAGGCAAATACAACTTTGGCGACCCCATAGGTGCTACGACAAGCCAACCGTGGACTCCATGGCGATTCACTACGAAACGGGGGAAAAACTGCCGGACGCGCTGTTTCAGAAGCTGGTGAAGGCCAAGAACTACCGGGCGGCAAGCATGATGCTGCGACAGCTCCACTTTTCCTTCGTCGATTTAGAGTTGCACTCCAGGTACTACACTGCTGCTGGAGATGGTTCCTCTGCAGAAAAGTCCGACCCGGTGAAGAAGGCAGAACAGACCATATGAGAGTGCACAACCACACCCCCTTGCCTCCCTCCTTTGGAATGGAAAACTAGCAACACCAGAGAGAGCTAGGATAGAAATGTGTATGCTCTGCGTGAGAAATCTTAGTCTACAACGAACATAGCGTGGCGTTGTTTGTGGGTCTCACTTCTCTCATGCAAAATTTTTGAAACGTAGGAAAAGACATCGCGTTTCGCACGCCAAATGAAGAAGGGGAGGCGAAGATGAACTTTTTGTGCACTCTCATACACCATGTGGGAAGTGGACAAGAAGGTCTCGGACAAATTTGACGTCCTACCACTACTCCCCTACGACCGCTTTCTCTGCTCCTTCGCGCACATCTTCGCGGGCGGCTACGCAGCGGGCTACTTCAGCTACAAGTGGGCGGAAGTCTTGTCCGCGGACTGCTTCGCCGCGTTCGAGGAAGTTGGGCTGCAGAACGAGAAGGAGATCGAAAAAACTGGACGAAAATTTGCAGATACGGTGCTGGGGCTCGGCGGAGGCGTCGCGCCGTTGGAGGTGTTCAAGGAATTTCGCGGTCGGGAACCAACCGTGGATGCGCTGTTGAGACACAATGGACTGTCCTAGCGGACGCGAGCGCTCGGATCGAGGATGTACAGAAATGAAACCGTGCCCCCTGTGACGAACAGTTTTTTAAATGTGGTTAGGTCAACATCGAAAGGTGAATTATTGTGCGCGACAGATGACCAGCACTCTAACGCCGCTGCTGTAGGTACTTGTGCAGAGCAGTTAAAGCAAAGTCAAACGTTAATCTTTCGATAGAGAGTGGCTGGATGAAAAAAAGTCAGTAATGTGGTTTTGGTTTATAACAAGAAAGAGAAAAGAACGGACAGTGAACAACAACCATGACAACCAGCTGTCAGCACGCTTGAGTGTCTATCTGCGATGCGGCAGTAGGCGATGCTGCTGTTGTGTGTGTGTGTGTCTCATGGGAACAGCGTGTTGTCCCAAGGCAGCGGTTGTATCCTGATCTTTGTGATCGGACCAACCGAAACTCCAATACATCAGACGCCTCCTCTTGTTGTTTTTAATATAAAGCTTTGGAAGACAATCGGTGTTTTAGATCGCGAGCTGTTTAAATGAATCTACAGCTTGCCGTTCTTTCATTTTTCCTAGAAGTACAAGCCGTGAAGTAAAACAGCTCTCACCCCTTAGGGTTAACGTTGAGTAAAAGAAAAAAAGATGCGGCTCTTTCTGGCCAAAATTGTTGTGCACGGCTTGGCACATCAGCCAAAAATCAAAAGAAGATTGTCGGATCCTTCAACATCCATGATGACAGTTACCATCTAGTCTGACGCACCACTTAGTGGGACTTGGGTCTTGGAGTCTCAAGGTTATCTTGGGATTCCGCTACTCTCCCCGGAGCGAAAAGACGACTTTTTCATTTAGTCATAGTTACTCTGACCTTGTTGCAGCTGAGCGACGACATGAGCACAAAATCACGATCAAAGAGAGAGAACAACGTGGCTCGGTTCCGAAAGGTATGTGTCTGGTTCGCGGCGCGACACGCACCGCTAAAAAAGTTCAAAGAAAGAGATCTGATACTTTGTTTGCGCGCCAAGCTCAGATTTCAAAATCTAAATGTTCATCACCAACCAACAGATCCTATCAAGCGAAAAACTGAATCCCACTTTAATTTTAGACCGATCCTTAGGCAGTTTTTTGAAAAGTTCTACACCGAAATAGAGCCCCGCAAACAGAACCGAAACTACAATATCAGGTAGAATTGAAAACGATCAGTGAAGAAGTGAAGATCTTCCACATCTAAATAGTTGACTTTTAGAAGTATCGTATCTGAAAACCCTGGATCATCGCGAAAAGATCTGTTGTAGTGCAGATCTAAAACGGAAATTTCTCTCCACCACGAATAACCACAAAACTCGCAATTCTCACAGACGGTTCTAAGTTGCCCTGTTTCGACGCAAGCGGACAACTTCTTGCATAACGTTTTGCACAAGTATTTATTCTTGCATAATTCCCTGCACGACCTACGACTTAAACACCAAAAACACACAACAAGATGGACGCCATTATCTCTCAGATCGGTTCCAAGAAGGAAGCTGAGGCCGGCTTGACCGCGCTGAAGGCATACGTTGAGGGCGGAGACAAAACCAAGCTCATCGAGTCCTATGAGGCACTCCCGGCCGTGCTGGAGGCTGCCGCTTCCAAGGAAAAGCCAGTCAGCAAGGTATGATTAGATTCAAATCTTTCAATTTTCGCGTGTCGACATTGTAGTCTTAGGTTTCGCATTAATTTTTATTTCCGGCATTGAATCCTGCAATACAAAATCAATTCCCATCCCAGGCCGCCGAGGATGTCGCAACCCTGATCTTCGAGAAGTCCGAGGCTTGGTCCGCGTCCGTTTCCCTCCATGGTCTGGACAAGGCCCTCGACGGTAAGGCCAAGCCCCCGTCCAAGGAGCTTGCGCTCACCCTGGTTGAGAAGTTCGCGAAGAAGCACCCGAAGGCTTTCGCCCGCGAGATTGAGTGGATCATCCAGCCCATTGTACTCCTGATGAACGATATCAAGAAGGAAGTGAAGGCCAAGGCCAAGGACACCTTGAACACCGTGTGCTTCACCTGCGGCAACAAGGATTTGATCGGTTCCGAGGAGGGCGCGACCGTGGTTGCGGAATCTTTTATCCCGACCATCATCAAGGCGAACGAGTCTTTGAAGAACGTCGAGGAGTGCGTCGAGAAGCTCGCCGGGTGCGTCTTCGTGCAGAACGTCGAGGCTCCGCACTTGGCGGTCATCACCCCGGTGCTCTGGCGTGGGTTGAACACCAAGTCCGAGGCCACTCAGCGTCGGTGCTGCGTCATCGTCGATAACATGTATTGATAAATATGATACGGTTCTTGTTTTAGTTTTATGTGCGCTCTCGTGGTGATCCAAGTAGAACCAGTGATTGCGAGAAAGATATTAGACTGTTTTACTACACAGATGACAGATGACACAGATGAAACAGATGACACAGATGACAAATTTCAACATTTTGAGCGAATGCGGAACTTTTGTCATCTGTGGACACAGATGACAAAATTGGAACATCAAAAACCGGCACCCCGAAATCATCACAACCGAAAGCGGAAGGCGGCCCCTAATACAGAACTAGTTGCAGGATACTGATTAGACACAGATGACGTAGTAGTATTTTCATAGGCGAGCAGCAGCCCAGAGTGGACGCCCGGGAGTTTTATCCAGAACCAGAAGACCCTTCGAACAGAAAAGCGCGCGGAGTAGAGGACTTTAGAACTAGAAGGGCAAGCCAGCCCATGCATAGGCATAGAAGGGCAGGCGTGATTCTGTGGCCCATCATAGTAATATTTCCAAGAAAAGCGTCACACTTCTGCCAGCGTCCCGCTTATTGTCCGCGTGTTACGGACTATTTTCATTTTCACACGCACGAACCGACCCTAGATTTTTTGCAACGCACAGGCATGAGCTAGCTCCTAGATTTTTGCAACGCACAGGCGGACTCCGATAAAATTCGGATTCCCACGACCGGATTCTGATTGATGCGGAAGCCGAGCGACACGGAAAATGGCGGAGAGTGGTGGCGTCATCTGTCATCTGTGTCTCAAAATTTGCATGACACTCAAAAATTGTCATCTGTGTCATCTGTTCATCTGTGGTTTTGTCATCTGTGCCAGCCCCCCCTTGTAATACACTCTAAGATATGTTTGTTTCATCACCTTTTTTTCGATTCCTTGTCATGCAGATAGGTAAGGACTTTCACTTTGTGCAGAATTCCAGCGGAGCGCGGAATTTCGAAATTTCCGTGGAACTCCTCCTAATTTTTCTGCCAAACCACCAACTGCGCGTTCACCCCTTCTCCCCTTTTGTTGTGGGGTGAAGGTTCTTTAACGTAGTGACAGTCAAGATTGCCAATCTCTTCGGATAGTATTTTCGTCTTTCCGCAAATTAGCAAAGTGCAAATTGATGCTTTGCACGCAATCTTTGATTTCAAATTTCGAAGCAAACCCTCTTTCTCAGGTGTAAGTTGGTCGATGACCCGCGTGAGGGTCAGCCGCTGTTCCCGGAGATTCTTCCCCTCGTGGAGAAGCGCGCCGCCGAGATCTCCGACCCGGACTGCCGTGAGATGGCGGAGAAGTGCCTGGCCACCATCCAGAAGCTGCACGCCGTCGGCCCGAAGCCGGAGGTGGACTTCAAGGAAGTCGCGAACAAGCACACTTCTTTGGGCTTCTTGAACGAATCCGTCGCCGTCTACCTGCAGAAGGTCTCCTACTCCATGAACAAGGCGAACTGGTAAACATGTTGTTTTTTAATTTTATCATTCGTTGAAGATTGTCGGAATGGGAGCTGTATACTGTTGTTCACTAGCAGTTCTTGATCAGGACTGTTGCACCTAAGAGCGAGATTACTGTCTTTCAATCGTTCGATGTTGATTATGCTTTGTGCGGCGGGTTGAGTGCGAAGTACTGTTTCGTCTTTTCCCTTTCAGCAGTAACAAATCGATTTCGAATGACTTTAAAATCGTCTCTTCCCGCCTAATTGCTCCTAAAATCCTAAACCACCATTCTCTCCACCACCAACACAGCTACGATCTCGCTGCCTGGAAGGAGGTCCTCGGACCGTACGTGTCCGACCCCAAGGCCGTGGAGGGTATCATGAACGAGCTTGCCAACGCTGGTAAGAACACGGAGATCGAGTTCATCGATGAGGATCCGGCCCCGGATCTCTACAAGGGCAGCTTCTCCCTCGCCTACGGAACGCTTACCCTCCTCCGTGACACCAAGTTGCACCTGAAGCGCAACAAGTTCTACGCCCTGCTCGGACCGAACAACTGCGGTAAGACCACCCTGATGCGCGCCATCTCCAAGGAAAAGGTTGAGGGCTTCCCGAAGCGCGACGAGTTGGTTACCATCTTCGTCGAGCACGAGGTCGAGGAGCGCATGCTCGAAGAACCGAGTATCCACAGTGAAAATTTTGTTCCCGAGATAGAACACGAAGCACAGTAGATTCATAGTACACTGAAGAGGCATGTTAAAAGAGGTTCGCGGAACAAGTTCGAGATCTCCCCTGTCGTTCTCATCGCGTGAAGAGAGGAATCATTGATGACGTTGCATCATTCTCTTTTCTGGGTCGTGCTGTTCTGTGCGAGGGCAAGAAATTTGTGTTGCATAGAGAGCAAGGAGTGGCCGCTGGGTAAGTTCAACATCGATTTGAACGGAATGGAGTTCTGCGTGGACACCGTGAACAACGTGTACAAGAAGTCTCCGCCGATCACCCTGGCCGACGCGGAAGCGGAGCTCGGCCTGATCGGGTTCAAGAACAAGGCCAAGGGCGTCAACCTGAAGGCTGCAGCGGACATGTGCAACCCGATCACCACCTACTCCGGTGGCTGGAAGGTGAAGATGCAGCTGGCCTGCGCCAAGCTGATCAACGCTGATATTTTGATGTTGGACGAACCGACGGGCCACTTGGACGTCAAGAACATTCAGTGGATGAAGGACTGGTAAACAAAATTTTATAGTGCTTGATGATGATATCTTTATCTTCTCGCAGGAGCGACTCACTTCTACCCTGCTTTTTCCGGAGCAGATGTGATAAGCCTCTTTCTAATATTTTGTCACTGCATATCCGATGCGATGCTCCTTCATCATCGTACTTTCAAGTCGGCTACTAAGTGACGCAGAGCAGCGGACGCGAGGGTAACGGGGAGATCTCGCAATCCTGTGCGGATTCTCTTATCCTTTTCCTCGCGGACAGTTTCTCATTTATTGATTTTTAAATCGGAATAGCTGGCGCATACTCGCTAATAGTGTAGCTGGCGTGGCCGAATGAAGGCGGTAGCATTTAGAGCGAAGAAGCTCTTGCCCCGTTCTGCAACTGTCCGGGGAAGTCAAAATCTAAATGTCTTTTCCGTCTTTCACGGAACGCAGAGCAGAGGACGCTGGTGTAACGAGAATCCAGGCAGACTTCGAAAGATGCCCTTGTCCGGCTTTCTATCTTTTCCAGCGGACAATCAAAATTTATCCGAAACTTGTATTCTTGCCGAGCGCGTCAGTTGATTATCACCATTCCGGCTCTTACTCTTTGTTATATTGCATGACGAGAAATATCCAAATCCAAAAACCTATCAGGTTGAACGCGTTCCCGGGTTCCATCATTGCCTCTTCCTCCAACTCCCTGTTCCTCGACGAGATGATCACCCACGTGATCGATTTCGAGGACCGCAAATTGATCCAGTTCAAGTCCGAGAAGGGCCGTGTGCTGACCGACTTCGTCGCCGCCAACCCGGCGAAGAAGGCCTACTTCGAACTCTCCAACAAGAACCAGAAGTTCGTGTTCCCGCCGCCGGGTCCGCTGGAGGGCGTGAAGTCCAAGGGGCGTTCCATTCTGAAAATGAACATGGTTTCCTTCAAGTACCCCACCCACGAGAAGAACACCGTGCAGGTACTACCGCTTAGTGGGAACAAACCTGATTCAATTCGTGATTCCATGAATGTGTAGCACTAGGACTAGCACCGCATGATCATGCACCATCGTGAGTAGAAATCTAAATGCGCATAATCTTGTTTCGAATTGATGTTCCCGCCGTAGCAGGGTCGTTCGTCTTCGTGTGCGCGAAAAACAACCCATATTTTTTCCACTAAATCCTCACCTGACGACAATCACAGGACATCTGCCTGTCTGTCTGCATGGCTTCCCGTATCGCCGTGATCGGCCCCAACGGAGCTGGTAAGTCCACCGCCATCAAGCTTTTGATCGGTGAGCTGAAGAACGAAACCGGAACCATTTTCCGTCACTCCGGTATGCGTCTCGCCTACGTCGCCCAGCATGCGTTCCACCACTTGGAGAAGCATCTGGACAAGACCCCGGTGCAGTACATTCTGTGGCGTTTCGCGGGGAACGACGATCGCGAGTCCCTGGAGAACCAGACCAACGAGGTGAACGTCGACGAGGAGGCCCTCCGCGCCGTCAAGTGGTGCGTGGACTCCAAGTCCGGTGTCGTGCGTAAGTGCGTCGTCGGGGAGAAGGCGGACGTGCCGGTCATCCCGGACTGCATCTTCAACCGTCGTAAGAACAAGCAGAAGAAGTACGAGTACGAGGTGAAGTGGATGTACAAGCCGGTCGAGGCTACCTGCTGGGTCGAGCGTGACACCATGAAGTCCATGGGTTACGAGAAGATGGTAATGTTCAGATTGTTGATGGCCTTTTCGATGTGTTGCTTATGATAATGATTTCCCTTACAAAAATGTCATCGCGGCACAGAGTTTGTTTTCTGCAGATTATATGTCGATGTCCCAAAAGGAAAAGATGTATGTGGTTTTTGTGCATGTAGTGTTGAAATTTCGTCGCATCCGCTTTTGTTGTTTCCAAAACGAATCTGGCACTATGATTCCTTCTGACATCAATATCAATTCCACCCTACGTACAATTACAGGTCTGCCGTGAGGATGAGAAGCAGGCTGCCGCTGCGGGTTTGATGGCCAAGCCGCTGACGGCCCCGTCCGTGGAAAAGGAGTTGAAGAACTTTGGTCTGGACCAGGAAGCCGCGGCCTACAGTCCGATTCAGTCCCTTTCCGGTGGGCAGAAGGTGAAGGTCGTGCTCGCAGCAGCGATGTGGATGAACCCGCATATCTATCCACAGTAAATTTCCTGTACACGTACAAATGCAGTCTCTGCATGACAAAACTTGCCTTCAATCCTAGTGTAGCATGACAAGTTGTGCACTGCAAGTTAGCGAAATTTGTCATGCATTTTGTACATGTACAGGAAATTTACATTGCATAGCATCCTGATCCTGGACGAACCGACCAACTACCTCGATCGCGATGGGTATGATTTTTTGATAGAAGTCCCTTTGATGCTTCTGGTTCTACTTAATTCTGTATATTCACAGAGGGGTCGACAAGAAGTTGACGAAATTCACATCGTGCATCATCCAATTGTGTTGCGAAGCTGGCATGAGGTCCGCGTTTCAGACATGGATGGCAACATGCGAATTCAGAAGCTCTTGCAAAACTATTGCTATTCTACAACAAAATCTTCATCACAGTCTCGGTGCCCTTTCCCTGGGTCTGGTCGACTTCGGCGGCGGTGTGGTGATCATTTCCCACAACATGGAGTTCGCCGAGAAGGTCTGCTCCCAGAAGTGGATCATGGAAGCCGGTCGACTCCGTGAGGAGGGTGAACTCCAGGTGGACGACGATGATTTCGCTGCGGACGCCGCGGGTCCGGACGAGATCGTCGACGCGAGCGGCAACAAGATTGAGGTGAACAAGGTGAAGACTATGTCCGATAAGGACCGTAAGAAGCTGATCAAGGAGATCGAGAAGAAGCTGAAGGAGCACAAGAAGAAGAACACCCTGTCCGACGCCGAGATGTGGGAGTTGCAGGATAAGCTCGCCGAGTTGAAGACCGAGATGGGCGCGTAAGCATGTCGTGCTGTACAAGGGATTAGATTCGTAGAAGAAAAAACTGACTCATGAAACTGATAACAAAACGAATTTAGTATTCACAAGCGAGAAACTGCACAAATCTAAATGCAGCTTCTGTCTCATCATCATCGGAATTGTCAACTTATGGAATAAACGAACACGTCGTGCAAGAATGGGTTTATCACAACTTGATTTTGCGAGAACACAATATGAAAATTGTAGCAGGGGGAGTGCTGGGCGGATCATGGCTGCTTTCTGTCCAGTGGCCGCCAATGAGGCTCGTTTCGCAGTTACTCCTCTTTAACAGAAATTAGATTCGTTGCTTTTACATCACTCATCGCGCAGAAAGAACCGAGGGGAACCAAATGTGGCACACAGAATGCAACGAGATGCGATATGAAAATAATCGGATTTTGGGACACTTCTAAATGTAACAATTTGAAGAGCCTGGTTTTCTGTAGGTAGTAGCCAATGTAGTTGTTTTTAATCCTTTACATCTCTCCCGTTATTTGCGATTCATCGAAAAAGCCAATTGGCGTTGTGAAAGATACATTTTGCAGACACAGAGACTCTTCCCCCGGTACTAGTGGCTTCCTGCTTGCGCGGGTTGCTGTATTTATTGGGCGGGGCGCCTTCTTGTGTCTAGATGACCAGGCCGATACTTGCTGCAGCTACTTACAACTCAATTGCTGAATCGATTCTAATGGGCATTATGTCAGGAGGCACGTCATCGGCAATGCTAGTTTTCTGCGATGATGCCGTGTTTTCTGGAAAAAAAGAACGGTTAAAGTATGAATGAAATCTTGTATGCATTTATCAGATCAGAAACGTCATTTCGAAAGTAAAGTTTGAAAACGCAACCTAATTTTTAATTGGGAGAACAGAGCAAAAGCAAATGCTGTGCATATCGTGCAAAGATTTTTTGCATTACTACGTTTCCTACACATGTGATGCTCATGCTAATTACTACGCGTATGATAACCTGGCAAAGCATTGATTGCCGCATCAAGAACAATTATGGCAAGGCTTTCTTTCGATTTGAAAACATGATCCACCAGACTCGCACTGAAATTCTGTCTAGAAAGCACTCCAAAAAACTATCTCTGCAGAAAAAAAAATTGCGCTTTACTGTTTTCCGGCCCAGATGGGCGCGTTTGGTTGCGGCGCGCTAAGCGTCGGCATGCCTATGCATTGTTCACCGAACCAACAGTGTAAGTAGCGGCAGCTTTTCGTTGGTTTGCGAGGTTCGTCCGTCTGCAGTTTCATTTTCTGCAGCACAAGTGATCTCATGCTCATCCATTCTTTCTGAAATGGCTCCTTGCCGTAAAGGTATCAAAGCGCGTTCCTGTCGCTGTTACTACAGCCTGGTAGCGGACTGAGCGAGAGTAGAGCATCATGTGAGTTTCGAAGTACAAGTACTACAGATACAGAGGAATATGCGAAATGCACCATCATGGCGCCATGTGTATTAAGCACGCGGGACCAGTCGCTTGGAAAAATAGCGACGCAATAAAAATCGCAAACCTACAAGTCAAAAAGTTGAGGAAACAATCCTGCAAATAAGACAGTAACGCAGAATCAAAATTCCAAACCATGACCGACGAGTACAGCCCGGAGCAGGTGTCGGAGGTGTTCAAGGTGTTTGACCCGGACGGCGAGGGAATCCGGATAAAGGACATTGGAACGGTGATCCGCGCAACAGGCTTGAACCCGCCGGCAACCTTTGTGTCCGAATGCGTGAAAGATGCAAACCAAAACTCGTTGGACACGTGCAGCTTCGAGCTTTTCATGAAGTATGTGGATCAAGCAAAGAGGCTACCCTCGGAGCTGGCGGATAAGGGGAAGCTAAACGCGGACCTGGATGGGCTGAAAAACGGGATAGTGCACTTTTACGACAAGGTACGTTCAGATGTTCTATTGCGAAGACGTTTGGTTGCTAACTGAATACGTTGTCGATGTGCATGAGTATGTTTTTTCGATGAACGTGAACCGCAAAAACGTAGTACCTGGGTCTACTGAATACCACGGGTGTTTGTGGTTTTTCTGCATGAGAACTAGATCTACGCATCCTGAACCCAAACATGAACGCCTGGCGCGAACTACGTGTCATCTTTTACTTTCCCGAACAGCAAATATAAGCGATCCACCTTTCAGGTATTTCCATCCGCAACTAAGCTTTCGAGCAAAGTGGACGTGAAGATGGCAAATCTTGCTCACGTCCTGACAAGGCTGGGCGACAAGTTAACCGAGGAGGAAATGGATGAATTTACGCGAGAAATTCGAAATTCGTGTGCAATAGAGAACAACCGCGTGGACTGGGCAGATTTGAAAAAAGTAGTGGCGTGACCAGAGAAGGCACTATCTTGGGCAAAGCGTATAAAACTCAAGAGTCTGCAGATGTCAACATTGCAAATAACCTGCGCGCAGGGTCTTCTTCTGGTGTCACCGCAGCTGCACCGAAGATCGGACTGAGCCGGAGCTCTCGCGCCTTTTTCAGCTTTTCACATTCGTCGTTATACGTCATGCTGAAGTTGTATCGCACTCTACGTCAAATCAAATATTAGGCCCGGTGGCATCGTGCATGTCGTATACGTTTAAGTTGGTTTCGGTGCGCCCGATACACAAACAAAATAAAAGGAAGTCTCTCTCTTTTTGGCATTTGCACGGCTTCAGTTGTCTTAATGTGGATGGTGCTCGTTTCGTCTTTGGACATGCTGTCCCTGGTTCTATTCGTGCAACAGATTAAGTAGAATCGTTCGTACACCAGCAAGTACTGCTAGATCTATCCGAAAAGCACTCGTGGCTCAATAATCATCCGGTTCTTCATCTTGTCGCGACTGACAAAAAACCGTTCTTCCCGCCTCATACATCGTGCATATTTTTGAATCAAGGTCGTTGTGGTCTCTTGGATCGTCGTCTCGTCGTGTTGTCATTGGAGGTCGTGTAGCCAATTTTTTGGTTTCTTTTCAAGTCAATTCATTTTCAATTTGAGATTTTACCAGGTTTTTGCATCCCTAAAATCTTTACCTCCCTTCCCCGTTGTAACCCAAAGAGACGTAGACACCCCTTTGAAGCCTTTTGTAAAGGTTCCCACCCTCTTCTTTTCTAGACGAAAACCTTTTTTCTTTACTACTATCTGTTGTTTCTCTTGCTTGCCAGATTGTATTTTTCCCACGACCATTTTTTACCCTTATTGGAAAGCTACTACATGCTTGAACCCTATTGACCAGTGCTCGAAATTCAATTTGTAAGAGGGCTCTACTTCGTCTTCCTCGTTTTCACTACAACAAACAGCTCCTAGCATAAGCACACCCCTCTCAACATAGCCTCAAAATGCGTTTCCGCGACGTTGTGATAAAGGACGTGCGTGCCTTCTTGAAGAAGAAATACACCGTCGAGCACGTGGCCACCGCCTGGCTGTTCTACCTCGACTACAAAGTTGACACCCAGCTCTCCGCGGAAGACCTCATCGACGCCTGCGTTGCGTTGAACGACGATGAGCGGGACCTGCGGAACACCCCGCTCGGCGGGTACATCGGGTCAAACGCGTTGGAGTTGCTGCAAATCCAGCATCAGCTCGGCGCCGGGTCGGTGTTACAGCCGGCGGGTCTGTCGAACAGCCCCAAATCTTCAATCGGCGGGAGCGGGGGACAGAAAGGCAGCGATTCGAATTCCGAGAATGAAAACAGCGGCGCAAAACCGTCACACCAGCAGAACTTTGACGACGAAGTAGACCACAATCAAAATTCCGCCCGTTTGCAGGAGAAGTTCTACTCGCTGCACGGGGTGTCGACCTATCTCGATTTAAAACACCAAGCGAGGAAGGAACTGGAAGAGCTGGAACGGAATCCGCCGCCGAAGGACGAGAGTATTGTGCGACTGGAGTACTTTTACGATGAGGACATGAAGAAAAAGTACTACATCAAGGAGGCCAAGCACGCCGCGAGCTACCTGCGCGACACCCCGATTTCGTTGGCCGATCTGGACCCGTTGGGATTCCGGATGATCAGCAGCTTTATCGACTGGCTGCTGGAACTGTTTAAGGACAAGGAGCATCCGGCCGAGGATAAAAACGACATCACGACCCGGATCTTCTTCAACATGTTCGATTCTGTTTTCCCGAAGGGATTGGACCGGAACATTTTGAGGGAAGCGGTTCCGTCGTTGGAAACGTTGAACAAGTTCGTCAAACCCGGTTCCTTCGCGGACCAAAACATGCGGAAGTACGCGAATTACCACATAGGAGAAAAAATCGCATCCGAGATCGAGCAGGAACTGAAAGACAACTACGGAAACGTGTACTGCTTGGACCGCGAGATCTTCCAGGACGGCATGCGCGCCTTTCACTACCCGTTTTTAGACGATGCAGGCAGGTTGTTTAAGCTGTTGGATGTGAGTCAAAATGACCAGCTGGAGTACTGGGAATTGCGGCAGCTGGCGCCGGACCTGGTGGTGAAGGTGGGCGGGAACAGCTCGGTTGTTCCGGGGAGTCCGAGCGCAGCTGCTGGTGTAGCCACACCTACTTCTACTGCGGACCATAGTGCAAGTGCCACAACCGCGGGGGAAGTTTCTACTGGTGTTTTACTTTCTCCTTCCATGCCCAAGACCAAAAAATCTCCGAAAGCCGCGATGACCCTTCCGAGTAAAGAGGAGGAGTTTGCGGAGTTGATGAAAGCGCGGCAAAACCGCGGAGAGCTGCTTGTTGACACGAACACACACATCAAAAACTTCATCCGCGCGGTGTACGGGGAGAAAAACCCGTTGCGGGCGTGGCAGGACTTGGCGAGGCGGCAGTACGAGAAGAGACTCGACCCGAGCGAAATCACGAAGTCCGATTTTCTCCACTGGTGCGGCCGGGTGCAGTACCACGGGAACAAGAACTTGGCCTGGAAAAACATGGACAAGGACGAGCAGGGAACGGTGTCGATCGAGGAGTTCGACGTGAAAGCCGCGGTCGCGTTGACGAAACTGCAAGCCTTTTACCGCGAGAAATTTGTGTCCTTCGAGGAACTGATGGTGCAGATCTTCAACAACAAGAAGCCGATCCAGTACCAGTCCTTGTTTAAGAGGTTAACCGAAAAGGAATTCATCCACCGGATGCGGAAGTTGGATTTTTTGCCGAAGTTGAACATGGAGAGCGCCTTCGACTCCATGCTGATCAAGGCCAGCGCCGCGGTGTGCAAGGACTCCCTGCTGGTGCACGCGGACCCGGCGTTCTGGACGTTTCGGCTCGGCGCGGTCTGCAGGTACTTGAACCGGTACTTGAAGCTGCTAACGAAACAAGCGGTTTTGCTTGAAAAGGAAAAGCAAGCGAAACTGGACAAGTTGAGACAAGGACAAGGCGAAGTTATAAAGAGTCGCGACGATGAGAATGGAGGTTCTGGAGTTGTCGCAGGAGAAGGAGAACATCAAGAGTCAATAGCCACCTCCCAGCAGGACGAGATTTTACCGCTCTCAGCTAGCGGCGGAAAAAGGGCTGCAAATAACCAGCTGACGATCGAGACAGGGAGCAGTAACTCTCCATCGAGCGGCACTCGGATGAACAAGAGTGTCACCGTCCTCCCAGGAGAACAAGACACTACCGGCACCACAAGTACTAGCATGACCAACAATTCCGCCACGGCAACTCCGACCACCGTCGAGAGAGTCATCGACACGACACCAAACTACTTTAGCCGGTCCTCGTCCTTACGAAGATCTCCAGCAGAAGAACCTCAAAACAAGGAACATGAACATGATCAGCAACAAAGTTCCTTATCCTTTGTCAATTCTTTCGCCGAGACCTTTGTGACCAAAATCGTGAACCAGGGTCTGGATGATCTCGATTACGGGCTGTACCTACTCGAAAAGTCCTACGGCACAAACGAACTTAGCTACGGCACGACGCCCAGTTCCCCGGGTATTTCCGCTTTCGATGAGGAAAGCATGAACTACCAGAACTTCGAGAATGATAATGAAGAGGATGTTGACAACGACAACCTATTCGGGGGCGCTGCGGGTGGTCGAACAAATGAGCATGAGGATTCCACTAACTTCCCTCTGGAGCTGGAGCTGAAGCAGCTGGAAACGGTCATTGAAGAGACGCAGAACGAGGTGGACGAAGAAGAAAACGCGGACAATTTGGACGAATATAATGACCACAACGAGGATCACGAGTCGAGCTCGAGGTCGACTCAACAACAGCGGGACCACAACTACAGCAAAGAGCTCCTGCAAGAGACGCTCGCACAGGAAGGGATGTTGGGCGATGACGGGAGTATGATTGGAATTGCAGCTTCGGAAGGAGAATTCATGTCCCCAGAACAAGAGGAAATTGACCACGTTGCGCAACTCCACGACTGGATTCTTGCCGAAGTGGAGGGCGGCAGATCCGAAATGGGCTTTCTCCGCTCTTTGGGAAATCTGGACCGGCAATCGCTCAAGGCGTGGGCGCCGACCGTGGAGAACCACGCGGTGTTTCAGGGTTTGAAAAATCAAGTCAGGGAGACGCTGATCGAAGCGGGGAAAGCCTCGAAGAAGTTTCGCAAGGTCGTGCGGCAACTGCAAATCATCAATCGCGCCGCGAAAATCGGCACGGGGAAGAAGTTGCAGCACTTTGGCGACGTGGTGGACGAAGCCATGTTGGTACACGCGTTGAACAAGCAGCAAGAGTGGCAAGAAATCGACTCCTCGGACGAGGACGAAGCGGGGTTGCAGACGGCCGCGAAGGTCTTGTCCTCCGATGACGAACAACAGGGGAGCAACAACGGCTTACATCAACGGCAGTCGCCGTTCAATCAAACCGGAAAATCACTATTGTCCGTGGTGTCCAAGGCAAGCAAAAGCTCTTTCGCTACAGCCACGAGCAAACAGCTATCTACTTCCGGGATAGGAGGAGGAGGTGATAACAACAGTACGAAAAGTGGTAATAACATGAACGAATTATCCCAGACTTTTGCGTCCTCCACCATCCGCTCCATCGGGTCTTTGCTCCAGCGGGTCCAGAAGGCGCGAAAACAGTCCTCCCTGCGGCGGAGGTACGAGAAAAAGCGGTCGGAGTATTTCCAGTTCCTCTTTCGGTGTCTCTGCCACGACGGCGTCTACGTGCAGCCGAAGGACTTTTTGTTTCTGCAACGGTGGCAACCGCCGTTATTCCTGAATGCGAAGCCCGACGCGGAGGGGTTTGCGGCCCTGCAGAAGATTTTGCGGTTGTACTACGGGGGGAACGACCTGTTCGTGTGGCGCAACGTGGACGCGGACCTGAGCCAGAAGGTGATTTACTCCGAATTCGAAGAAGCGGCCACGTTGTCCGTGAACAGCACGGGGGTGGCCGCGGCAAGTGTCGCTTGGAACGTGCTGAAGTCGAACTTGCGGAAGCATGATGCCGATAGTGCGCTGGAAAATAACGGCACTTCAGCGGAACAATCGCACCACAAATACGCCGTTTCTGCCTTCGGTAATGCGTTTCAACAGCAGAAATTCCGGCTATCGCAGTTGCCGGGCGCGTGGGTGCACTTGGACAAAAACCTCGATGGGTTCGTCACGATCACCCAGTACGCACCGGAGACCGCGACGATCTTGAAGAAGTTCTTCTCTTTCTGCGCATTGAATTTCGGCGGGTATCTGGCCTTCCTCCAGCACCTCGTCACCTCGATCCACGGAGCCAAGATCGCCACTGAAATCTTGGGAAACAGCAGCAAGAAAAGCTCCTCTTCCGCGGACAGCAACGTCCCAGCGGAGCTGCAGGACCAAAGCAAGAGCAAGAAGAAGAAGACCAGCCTGCAGAATCGGTACAGCAGCCAGATTGGGTGCTTGCCGTTTCGGAAGGTGATGTGTAAGGCCGGGTGGACGGGGGACGTGATGAATTTGTTTGACCTGCTGGACCAGAAACAAGAAGGCCACATCTACCCAAGCGAAATCCAGTGGCTGCAAACGCTAGACACGCCGGCTTTTCTCATGTCGGGAACTACAACTAGCGGGGAAAGTGGAGGTGCCGCGAACAAGCAGAATAAAATCAAGCCCTTGAAGGATTGCTCCCGGTTTGAGCGCGCACCTGTGTTGCATGACTTCAACAAAATAAAGCAAGCCGATGATTTGTCGGAAAATAAAGGGCTAAAACCGCAAACCCCAGCACCAGCAGGCGACCACGCGTCCTCGACCAAGAAGAGCACCAACCAGAACCGGCCGCTCTCGCCCACCGCCATTAAGAAGGAAACGGACAAGCAACTTCAGGGGATCTTGACCCACGGGCGGTTAGAATCCGTCGGGACGGCCACGTCGAAACGCGATTCCGAGTCCTCGATCATCACACAGGAGCAGGCGGACCGGTATTTTCACCTCGTGGATGCCGGCAGGGTGCAAAACGGGAAAATCCTCGCCGCTGGGCAAGGCTTGCACGAAGACCTGGAAAATTTGACCGTGTCCGACCTCCCGTCCGAATCCTCCGAAATGGAGGAGGTGGAGGTATTTGACCGCGTTTCGAATTCCATGAAAACCATTGTCCGGAAAAAGAAAAAAAAGCGGTCACTGACCCGGACGGAGCGGATGCAATACCGGTGCGCGGACGAGCAGGACTGGGCCATGCAGACTCTGGAAGACCAGGAAAACCGGAGGCTACTCGCCGAGCAAGAGTTTGAAAATCGGAACAACATCGGCGGCGTCAAGTACATCGACAAGGTTTTGGACGACAGAACGGCGTATGATTTTGTGTTGGAGAAAAGAAAAAACAGACTAAAAGAAAACCGCAAAATGTACGGAAAATCGCACAGATTCGCGGACTACCCGGAGAGAAGCGAGAGGGCGATGGTTTACGTCCGGAAAGCAACCGATCCGGTCGGAAGGCCGCCGGTGATGTCGGACGGGGGGAAGAAGAATCCAAAACCCGTGACGCCAACCTCCCCAAATCTTTTTCCCGATGCGCATTTGGACTTCTGCACCGGGACCAACACCGGGGGAATGTCAGAGTCGACCCGGTTGGCGGCAACCAGGGACAACTCCCTGTTGAGTCGGGGCAGTATGATGTCGACCTCAAGTAGCATCGCGTTCGACGAATCAACGACGTTTTCCACAGTCTCGTCGAGTGGCGGAGGTCTGGGTCATCAGCGTGGTGACAGTCGCGGGCGTAGAAGTCGAAACCGGAGAGATAGGGGGCGGGGAAGTACTAGCAATTACACCCATAGCCTCGTCTCAATGGCGAGCTACGACGCCATTCCCTGGCGGGGCCGGGAGGCTACGAGCAAGGCGGCTGTGAGTAGTGGTCATGAACGAATGTCAGCGACTGGTATGATCACAGGCGTCGGTGATGATGAATATGCTTCCTTTAATATGCTGCAGAGGGCCAATGATATCGGAGAAGATGTGACAGAAGTGACTGCAGAGCAGCGACCTGCTGCATCATCGAATCCGAAGCAATCTTCCCTGTCGCCACGAATTATTTCCTTTGTGGCGGATGAGGAACAGTATCAGGACCAGCAGGAGGAACACCGACAAGAAGAAAATGTTGCACTATCGTCGCAAACTACACGAGGAGACGATGTTGTCGACAATGGTGCGCCAGCTGACTTGGAGCCGGAACTCGAACAACTACACCAGCTCCAGCTGAACCGAAAGCTTCCGGATTTCTTTCAAGACGATCGGCCCCCGACGGGTTCCACAGTCGCACCAATCGGCAGCAACAGCCGGCCGCAAACTTCCGCGACCTCGGCTTCACTCCCCTCTGCGGGATTGTCGTCCAGCCGGCCGCAGACCAACCACTCCAATTCCAGGCCGCAGACCAACCACTCCAATTCCAGGCCGCACACAAACCACTCGAACTCCAGGCCGCACACCAACCACAGTACATCAAGGCATTCCCGGGTGCACAAAATGCTGCTCGAACAGGAGGAATTTCAAATGCAGCAGCAGGCACAGGAGCTGCAAGAAGAACTACCCTACGTGAACCAAAACCAAGACGCGGACCACGCCAGCGCAACAACATCGCCAGGCCCGGGTGCAGTAGAAGTACCAGCAGCAGCTTTGAGTCACGAAAACAGTACCAACAGCAGCAATAACTCCAGAGGTTTTTACAACAACAATCCTGGCGCTGGAACTACTTCGCCCGGTGGGTCCTCAAACTTGTCTGGCCAACAAGGTCAGCCGAACACGACGGTAAACACGACCGGCAGCTCTTCCATCAACTTCGACCCGTTCATCGATTTTGGGTCGCCCGGCTCAGTCTTGTTCGGCGAGGAGTTTAACGGGTTTGTGGACCAAAAAATCAGGTCCTGGTCCGCGACGAACTCCCAAGCAGACACACAGTCCCTGCCCGCGAGCCCCTCGCCGGGAAACTATTATGCTTCGGCCTCCGCGACTGGCCCTGCGGCTGGTGCGGTTCTCGGTACTTCTTCTAGGATCCAACATCGCAGCATCTCTCCGGGAGCTGCGTCTTCAAATGGCGGCGTCGACACTTTCCATCGAAAGAGCAGTTTCGACTCGCCGCAAACGTCAGTGTTGTTGGATGCAGAGTACGAGGCGGTACGGAAGGAATTGTTTGGGGACGAGGATCCGAAAGAGAAGAGGACAAACCGCAGGAGGAGCCGATCTCGGAGTCCGGATTTCGATTTGCTGGATCTGCTACCTGATGACAATGTTGGAAGTGTGAACGACGGCACGACAGCAGGTCTCGTTGATCAAACGATGGAAGAAGCGAATTCACATGCGGCGAAAAACAAAACGAAAAATAAAACCTCTTCTAGAAAGTCGTCCAAAGATGAAGCTGCAACTCCTTCCCGTTCCCGAACTCCGGAACGTCCGCCGCCGTACCAGTTCCTGGGCGGCCAGTACCTGTCCGGGGTGTACTCCACCTCAGATCCCAACTTGAAACTGCAGAAGAAAGACTTGTTCCCCTCCAGACACAGAAAGGCAAAGGCTGGTCCTGTAGTTGTTCCTGGTGGATCATCTTCTCCTGGAAGTAATCAAAATCCAAATCAAAATCAAGAACCGCTGCGCAGACGAGACATCCAGGCGAACCTGTCGCACAATTTGTCTCTCACGAAGATGAAGGACGAGAAGATCTGCATCGGGTCCATTCAACCCTCCTACGCGAGCCTGAAGCACTCGACGGAGAACGTGTGCTGGAACCGGCTGAATTCCGTGGAAGACGTCCCCGTGAAACCCATCTGGAAGCCCACGCTGGCGACGAAGCTGCGGTCTTCCGTGCAGAAGCAACGGGAAAAACTGTACGGCCGACCGGGGAATGTGTCCCGGTACCAGGAGCACGGGTACAAAAGTAGCTACAATTTACCGGTGGTGTTGCAGCCGAACGCACAGTTTCTGTTCGGAAACAGCGGCCGGAGTCCGAAGATCTGAGAGGAGGATCGCTGTCGCAAAGAGAGAAATAGGCTGAAGTGTATGTTGTGCTGTGAGCATCCCTCTGGTTGAGCACTGATTCACTACAGCCTATTTGCGTCCATCCTGTAAAAAAAATTATTCGTTTTATTGCTGTACCTGTACTGTTGCTTTTGCTATGCTGTTTTTTCTAGATACGTGATACATTATTTTTTTCCGAATCCAATTTTTTGACAAGCTGTTTTTCAGGTAAATTCAAAATCAAATTTTTCTCGAAGTGTATGCTTATTACAAATGTAAATGCATTCCGCTATACTGTTTTTTCTAGATACATCAATTTCACGGCGAAACTCACTGCTTTATTTCCAATTGAGATACAATCCCAGTCTTTTCAAACACAAACTTCTAAAAGGGTTTTCTTTTGCTTTGTTCTCACTCTAGATACAATCCAAGTTTTTTCAAACACTAACAACATTTTGCTTTCCACCTAAGATAGAATCCAAGTTTTTTCAAACACTAACAACGCAAACATTTTTTATTTGGGTATATTTTGCTAACATGAATTTTGCTAACATGAAGTTTCTTGATCAAATTCAAACTCTAGTCTTTCAAGCATCGTAACCCGTTTACAATACAACTCAGTCCTTGTGGTCTGTGCCTTTCGCTCGAACCCACACCCCGTTAATCTGACTCCGGTAAGATAAGAATCTTTTCCCCAGAACCCGATATCCTCATCACTCGAGCAAGATAATTCCAAGCTCGACCCGCTTCTACACAGTACCCCTAAAGAACCACTAACACGAAAACCGCTACCCGATCCGAATAGATTCTTAGCCAGAATGATCCGTATATCTGCTTCATCAGATCTCGTGCAGTCAGCTCGAGCGTTTCTTTGGCGGTAAAGTTCGCCGAAACAAGCAGAAGCTTATGAAGTTCATCTTGTTCCACTCATGAGAAGATAGAATTTTCCGATCCGGAAATAAATTGAAATCCGGACGAAGATGAGGTTCAACTCGTTCCGAAATAGCATAATCAGAACCGATTTCCGATGCAGCACTTCAATCATAGTGCAGTGCCAAATACTCGACAAAAGAAAGGTAGCGCTAGCTACAAGTAGCCTACAATCGCGTGCCAAATACAAGAAAACCTTGATCACAACTTCTTCAGTTGCGATCAGATAGAATGGACAAGAAAACAAGCAATGCGGCTTCTATGACCTTTTCTGCTCCGGTTTTGGTGTAGGTACCTTTCCGATATTTGCGTTGCTATGAAATCCGGGTCAAAAAAATTCTGGCTTCGCTACCAGACGGTGATCAAAGATTGCGCAAATTTTCCAACTGGATGAAGTATTTTGACAGGCAATGAGTTAAGTAGTTTCAACAACAAAAGTAGCTGGCAGATTTCCCAAGTAGAAGTTTACAAATACAACAAGCGACCTGTGGAAGCGGCGAGAAATATACGCAGGAAAAGATATTAGATTTCGATGTTCTTGTAAGTGTCACTTTCACGACCGCCTAATAAGAAGTTTACACTTACAGCTCGTGTTTTTTGAAGTACTTTTCGCCCTCTTATTCATTTTCCCTACGACGACCCAGCAGCAACACACCCCCTAAAAAATGTCGGGTATGTCTACGGATCGAAACACCCGTCATGGGTACAAGGGGACGGGTCAGGCAACCGCCCAGGACCGGGCCATGGACCGGCGGGATCGGCTGCGAAGATTGGCGATGGAGAGCATCGACTTGTCAAAAGATCCCTACTTTATGATGAATCACGTCGGGACGTTCGAGTGCAAGCTCTGCCTCACCGTGCACACGAACGAAGGTATGGTAGGAAGTTTCTCTCTTGGTGTCAACTGCTGCAGGTCCTGGTCCACAAAAAATGGAACCAATTTATTTTCTGTAAAGAAATTCTAACTCAACCACATTTCGTTCCCTTCCTGACGCTCGCGTACGTTGTTTCTCCGCGGCCTTGAAAACGGGGACGATAAGTAAAGCACTTTATAAAGTTTAAAGCTCAAATCACTCCAGGTTCCTACCTCGCGCACACGCAGGGGAAGAAGCACCAAATCAACCTGGCGCGACGACAAGAGAGGGAAAAGAAGCTCGCAGCGGCTAACGCGTTTTCCGTGCCAGTACCAAAGGATATGGTGAAAAAAACCGGCACGATAAAGATTGGGCGACCAGGTTACAAGGTCACAAAGGAGAGGGAGCCAACAACGAAACAGAAGGTAATTGTGCGCGAAGAATCATTTCTTCTATCGTTTTGCATCAACTACATGTGCGCATGCTGAGCTTGACAAAGTCAACGACACCGCCATGATCATTTATTTTTCTGGAAACATATTACAACCACAGGCCCTCCTTTTTGAAATTGAGTACCCTTCCATCGAGCCGGACGTGATTCCGCGGCACCGGTTTATGAGCTGTTACGAGCAGAAGAAGGAGAGTCCCGACATGAATTTCCAGTACCTGCTGATTGCGGCGGACCCGTATGAGACGATTGCCTTCAAAGTCCCCAACATGGAGATTGACAGGGGGGAAGACGGGAAATTTTACGAGGTTTGGGACAAGTCGAAAAAGACTTACACGCTCCAGATCTGGTTCAAAGACCGGGAGTTCAAAGAACTTCCCGGTCTCGCACAGAACGTGCGGGAAACAAATTTGGCGTTCCACGGTGGCGGCGGGTTCACAAGGTAGAAGGGTCGACGACGTTCTTCTGGGCATCTGGACGAGGTCAATCATGCCTTTGTCCACCCTCTAGTGGCCGGAGGAGTAGCTCCGGTGCTATTGGGCTTATCAAAGATGAAGCTGATGTACTTGGTACGGCCACGATTTTCTGTCTCAAACGAACCGCAGTGTGTTGTTGACACGACATTCATATTGATGATGAGAAGCGAGTACTAGTCAAGAAAATGAGATGTCGATGAGTCGCTTCTACTCTGGCAGTTCCGGTTCGCTGGACGCTTCTCTCCATTTACGTTGAAGCTTCCAGACGTTCACGCTTTTCAGAATTACAGAGAAGTTGGCGTCAGGCACGGAAGATCTTCAAATTGAAAAGAATTATCAGGATCACTCAACACAATCACAAAGCTCCTGGATCATGTCTGTGGCGCATCAACCAAGGAGACTCAACAAAGGTCCTCTTCAGTTATTATTTGAGTTTAAGTTGCAAATCTTATACCGGGTCCACGAACAAGATCAGCATCAAGATCACGACGAAAACAAGAGAGAAGAGTGGGTCTTCATCTAACAAGGTCATTGCAGCTTTTTTGCGATCCGCTTCTCTGCTCCACCTGATCAAATCTGAGCATTGGAGATCGTACGTACGCTATCAATTTTGTTAGCGAGATGAAGATCCTGATGATCCTCATCCTTTACTGTAGTCGTGGTCTAGCTGTGTCTTTTTGATGTCTATACAACTCTAAGTGCTCCTGTCGTGTTCACCACGCTTGTTCTGACGGCGACATACCGATCAATTTCAGTTTCCCAGGCAGAGCAACAATTTTTTTGCTGGTGTCGTGCTGTATTTGTTGAAAGCGGTTGAATTTCCTCGACGTAGTTATCTGTACAACGTTCAGGAGCAGCAAGAAAACAGCATCAGTATCACTTTGATACTTTAGCAAAGGGCACACTAGCAACGACGCATTTAACATTAGCACTTCTACAGAACGACTATTCGCATTCTGCTCTGAAAATGACAGCGACCTCCACCGACATGAGCTCTAAAGATCTACTTTTCTCGCCTGCTGTGCGCCCCGAGAACAACAACGAGATCCTGAGTCACAGCACGACGACCGCGAAGCCCGACGACTTTGTGATTCTGTACGGCAACGCAGAAACCGTCTTCGGATTGACGCTTCAAAAAAACGGGATCTTCGACTGTGAGTGGGGTTCTTTTTCCCATGACGACATTATCGGCCAGCCGTTCGGCACAGTCATCCGGGAGCGGAACCCCTGGCCGGCACTGGAAAAGAAACTGCTGATCAAGGCGAATGCGAAAGATGGGGCGGGTCATTTATCTACTGGCGGGACAAACAAGAAGAGAAAAACCGACAGCAGCGTGACGACAACGGATAACCTGGATGAAGAAATCGATCAGGAGCCACCAGAGCAAGGGGTGGAAAAGAAAAAGCAAGCAGCTGGCGCTATTATAGAAGTAGGGCGAGGAACCAAGGCCGACTCGCTTGAAAAGAAGAACAGCATCGGTGCAGAAGATCAGGCGAGCTGCAAGGGCCGCGACGAGATGAGGGCGACGAACAAAAGCAAAACTTCGCCAACAGCACCTTCCCAACAGCATCAACAAGCAACAACAACCGCCCGCCGTCCGAAGTTCCTGAGTCTGATGAAGCCGAACCCCGACTTGGCGACACTCTCCCTGCCGCACCGGACGCAGATCATCTATCATGCGGACATCTCTTTGATTCTATCTTTGCTCGATTTGAAACCCGGCGACTCCGTCGTAGAAACCGGCACCGGCTCGGGATCTCTGTCCACAAGCTTGGCAGCGAGTGTCTCGCCGTTCGGAAAAGTTTTCACGTTCGAGTACCATTTCGAGAGGTTTCGCAAGGCGAGGGAAGAATTTGAGATGCGAAAGGTGAACGGCTACGATAATTTGTTCACCTTTTGGGGGGACGCTTGCGCTTTGCATAATAACCACGCAGGAGCTCCTGCAATAAACGAACAGGCGGAAGTAGAACAAGAACGCGAGCAAAGCGGTGAGAAAAAACCAAAAATGGTGCGGTCTTTCCGCGAGGGAATAGAGCTCCATCTTGCAGAAACAAGCAAGCAGGAACAAAGTGCTGGCATGAGCAACGCAGCATCCTCCACCTCCACGAACACGCTCTCGTCGCGGCCTTCATCCTCCACTTCCTCACCAGCAACACCCTACTTTGTCGACGCGGTGTTTCTGGACCTTCCGCAGCCGTGGGAGGCGATTGAAAACGTGAAGCAGGTTTTGAAACTGAATGGGAAGCTCTGCTTTTTCTGTCCCTGCGTGGAGCAGGTCAGCCGCATGTCGGAAGCGCTGCGGTCCGGTGGCTTTCTGGACGTCCGGACCTTTGAGTGTTTGGCCAAGCCGTGGGGGGTGTGCAACACGAAAAACAACGGGGTCAACAACTCCATGCAGTTGCCGATGCGGGGACACACCAGCTACGTGTCGGTGGCGACCCGGTGGGATGACGCGGATATTTTGTGAATCATGTTGTGAAATAAAGCCTGTACAGCTTTTTTTTTGCGCTCTGACTGTGATAACCGATAAGTACCGAAATACTCGCGTCTGCAAGTAGAAGTCCACCACACAGTCACAAAATGACGACGATTGCCAAATCTCGACTCATTCTTCAGAACGCGCGCAAGCCAGCCAGGAAGCTTTCGTCCAAAAAAGTTGAATCCTGTTCAACGTCGTGCGTCGTAGCTGAGGGCCTTGTCAAGAACATTCGCTTACTCGATAGCTTTGGAAGTTATTTCTCTGCCGCAAGTCATAGTGAGAGCAGCCTTCGTGACGTTTGGAAAAACAGTTCTGTTCCTCGTTTGGTCGTTTTTTACTAGTACTCGTACTTTGTCGATAACGATCAGTCACAATCTCAATCTCGTGCGGGAAATGTACATTGAAATTTGGTGATGTTGAAGCTCGTAGAGCTAACAGAAAACTACATGATCACCAGCGCATTTTTGCAGCTTTTTTTTTCACGAACACCGCACCGCTTTATTGTCGTGGTAGTTGTTACGAGACATCTCCAGCTCAACGAAAGAAGTTGCAACCATGTCCTCCCCGAGTCAGCAACCAAGTTCCTCTCTGCTCCACCATGCGAGCGTGGGCGCGCTGTCCTCCGTCCTCGCGGTATCGTAAGGAAAAATCCCCCCTCCCCATATCGAAAAGAAAACTTCTGATGCTGATTTGTGATCACAAATCGACTTGTATTGCTAGAAGGCCAAGAGACGCCGCCGCCCCCTCGTTTGCAGGCAATTATTTGTCATGCTGTTTTCCGCTTCCAGTTGCTTCCTGTCATGCTGAAGACGCAATGCTTTCCCACGCCAGCCAGCACTGCAGTGTCTACATCTCTTGCCTTCTAGCATGACAGTCTGACTTGTGATCACAAATCATGCTACACAAGTCGCCCTTTGAGTATGTGTATGGGGAGGGGGCGTTTTTCCTTTTGATGCACGGGCTTGCTCCTCTACCCGCTGGACGTGCTGCGAACCCACAGCCAGATGGACAAGTCGCGGAAGGAGGAGAAAACGTTGACCGTTTTCCAGCGCTATCAAATGTAAAAATGTCTGGGTCTGGAAAGTTGTGATGCTGAGTGGCGTAGCATGAGGAGGCCACAAGTGCTGGGTCAGCATGACAAATTTCTGAGCTTGTAGGTGTTGCCTATTCTGCATGACAAATTGCGTCTCCGCATGACAGAAAAGCGCGGCTCTTGGGCAACGTGCATGACAGATTTAAGAGTCATGCCAGACAAGCATGACAAACATGCACTCTTCCAGACCCAGACATTTTTACATTTGATAAGCGCATTCGGGTCATTTACGAGCTCGGGAGGAGAGCAAAGCAGGCCGAGCAGGAGAAAGCGGGCGTCGGCATGCAGCTCCTGTTTGGCTCCCCGTCCGGGGGGACCACTGCTGTCAAGATGAGCGGTGGAAAGGAGCAAAAAGCTGATGAAAATAAGCGAGAACAGCGCAAGAAGCAACTCGAGCAGATTTTCGCCGGTGTGAAGGGATTCTACAGTGGTCTAGTACCCGTCTTGACCACGATCGGGACGTCGCAGTTCGTGTATTTCTACCTGTTCCAGTGGACCAAGAAGGTGGTGGCAAAGCTGCTCGTGGCGTATCAGGCGAGTAGAAGAGCAGGCAAAAGTCAACAAGTGGCCCTAGGACTTGCTGCGGGTGACGCTGCTGCCGCCGCCGCCGCTGCTGCGAAAGCGGAAATACAGAAAGTAGAGGAAATTTCCGCGTTCCAATCTTTCGTCGCCTCGCTCGTCGCCGGGGTTTTGAACATGCTCCTAACCGAACCGCTTTGGAAAGCAAACATGCGTTGCATGCTCGCAGCCAGGAATTCCTCGGTGTTGATGAACGATTCCGCTGCTTCGAGTGCCACCACGTCGAAGCAAACGGTCGCGAGCACCAGCCCGATTTCGCCCCTAGTGACCGCGAAAACGCCCGTCATGAGTCCGAATAAAAAGAATGACAAGAATGTTTCAACAGCGGAGCAGGAACAAACCAGCAATTATGCACAACACCATCATCAGCTAATTATGCCTTCTACGGCAAAAATGCAGAACGTGTTTCGGGTCGCGTACCGTATGGGGGAGGAAAACGGTTTCCTGTCCCTCTGGGACGGGTTGACAACTTCGTTGTGGCTGGTTTCGAATCCGGTGTTGCAGTACGCGTTGTATGACGTGTTGAAAAAACGGTACCTCGACTACTTCAACAGCGGGGGTCCTTCTTCATCCCCGCAAATTATAAAATCTACAGCAACCATCTCCGCCTTCGTATGGAGTTCTCAAATGTTACATTCGCAACTGTATACATGAATTTGTAATGCAGGAATGGGAAAAATGAACGGGGGGAAATTGCGCCTTTTGCATTACAGGTTTGGCGCAGAGAGATTCTAATGCTATCTAGCGCGTCAAGAACTTGTCATGCGTTTTTGCATGACAAATCATGTACTTAACAGCTGAGAATGTAACAGTTGAGAGCCCGCCCATACTTCGCCGCCTTCCTCATTGGCAGCATCACGAAAACGATCGCCACCGTGCTCACCTACCCCCTGCAGGTGACGCAGACCCGGATGCGCACGCTATGCATTGCAAAAGTATCGTACTCGTACTAATTGCAGTTATGCATTACAAATCTAGTTGTTAAGGTAAATCAGCATTACAAATTTAAATTTGTAATGCTAATGCTGAGCTAATTTGTATTGCGATTTATACTAGTACGATACTTTTGCACAGGATACACCCTGGTTTCGAACGACGTCACGTTTTTCTCGTGCATGCAGCAGATCCTTATGCACAGTGAATTTCCCGTACACGTACAGATCCGGTCTCTGCATGACAAAACTTGGCTTCGATTCTAGTTTAGCATGACAAGTTTTACGCTACAAATTGGCGAAATTTGTGATGCATGCTGTACATGTGCGGGAAATTTTGTATTGCATAATCCTGGAGCTCGAGGGCTTCTTCAAGGGGTTTTTCAAGGGGCTGGGCCCGAAGCTGCTGCAGACGGTCAGTCAAGCGGCGTTCATGTTCGCGTTCTACGAGTTTCTGCTGGAGAAAACGCGGAGGGCGTTTCACTGAATGATATAATCCAAAAACAAAAAGCTTTAGCTTATATTTCTCATCCATCGTGGAGGTCGTGGTCCTCTGACATCTACTCGTTGTATCAGAATGCGAAGGAATGAACCGAATAACCGATTACTCTTCGGGCACCTGGCTTGTGTTGGTGCTGGGTATGTTCTACTTGAACAAGATGCAATTGTCGTCGTGCGCGCGTGTTTGATGTTCATCGTTGCGGATTTGCTACTTTTCTTTGAGAGGCTGCTGCTCACTGCTGTTGAGCAGGCCTAGTTCTTTAGAGCGAAGAGTCAGGTGGTCCGACACCTTGACCGACGAACAGAGCTCACACGCCGAGCTTTGCACTGCACTGGAAGCAGCTGCAATATAGATCTAGATTACGTAGATAATCGACGGCAATTGGGCTTCTTGTCTACCACTACTTACATCACAACAAGGCAAAAATATACTGCTGATTCTCGAGTGAAAAGGAAAAGGATGGCCGCCACTTCTGCTTCTGACAGCGGTACCAGCAGCACGAGTAAAATCGGTCGGTGCTACATTTTCATCCTCGTGATAACCGGGTTTGCGATTTCTGTCGGTTTGGTGAACGTGACGAAATGGCTGTTATCCTGTACAAAAGCATCGTATTCGTATAAATGCAAGTCTTGCATCACAAATTTTTTTCTGAAGTCCGATCAGCATTACAAATTTGATTTCTCATGCTGAGGAAATTTTTTGTAATGCGTTTATACGAGTGCGATACTTTTGCAGTTCATAGCTGTACGTCGAGCACCATTTTCGTTACCCGGTGTGGCTGACCGGGACGCACATGCTGATGAGTTACGTGGCGGCGAGCGTTGGTCTCTTCGTGTTCGAAATCGTCCCCAGGGAAACCCGGCCGATATTGACCATGAGGCAGCAACTCTTTTTGATAACACCCTTCTCCTGCGCCGGAGCGCTGAGTCTGGGTGCGGCGAACATGGCGCTCGTCTACCTCTACCCGTCGTTTCATATGGATTGCAAAAATGTCTGGGTCTGGTGGAAGGATGCAACTTCTGATGCTGGCTTCGGGTTCTAAAAAAATCTGTGTTGCATGACTAGCAAGTAGAAGATTCGACTTTGTGTTTGTGCTACACGGTGGAGAGGGCATTTTTCATGCAGGATACGCATCAGAAAGCCCTCAAAAAATTTGTGATGCTAGGGCAGGCATCAGCATCACAGACATCATGGGTGGTCATGCAAAATGTGCATGAGAAATCTTGCACTCCTCCAGACCCAGACATTTTTGCAGTCCATATTTCACGCGATGCTGCAAAACTCAACGCCGCTCTGGACCGTGCTGTCTGCCATGGTGTTTCAGGGGAAAAGGTACATCTACATATGTTGATGTTCCCAAAATGTTGCGAAGCAAATCGGATCTACTACCACTTCCAGATCATCATCATCATCTACGAAGAAACATTGATTTAGATTTGCGTTTGTTTTCTAACCTCCTTTGTTGCAATTTAAACTTTTTCGCTTCAGCCCGCCTGGCACACCAAAGAGCTACAGCATGACTCTGAAATTTCTACAGGTTCAACCGCAGTGCCTACCTCGCCCTGATCCCGGTCTGCGGCGGCGGCGCGATTTGCGCGTTCAACGAGGGCAGCCAATTCGCCGTGTTCGGGCTGCTGATTTCCCTGTCTGCCGCGCTGTTCCGGGCGGTGAAAGCCGTGCTGCAAGCGGAGCTGCTTCGTGGCGCGGATTTGAAACTGGATTCCATTTCCCTGCTGTACTACAGCAGCCCGGTCAACATGCTGCTCTTCTTCATTTGGAGCTTTTTCCAGGAAAACCAACTCGAGCCCTACTACGAATTTTACTTCGCATTGACCTCGATGGGGAAATTTTGGGTTTGCCTCGGCGCGTTCATGGCGGCCATGTTCAATTTGATCGGGTTTCTCACCATCGGCTACCTGGGCGCGGTCGTGGCCATGGTGGTGGGGAACATGAAATATGCATTGCAAAAGTATCGTACTAGTAAGTATAAATTGCAATACAAATTTGGCACAGCATTACAAATCAAATCTGTAATGCGGATTTGCCTATATCAAAAAGATTTGTAAAAATGTATAAAAAGCAATTCGTACGAGCACGATACTTTTGCAGAGCATATGAAAACGCCGACCACGATCTTGGTGTCCGCGATCGTATTTAACAATCCTGTATCAAATGTAAAAGTGTCTGGGTCTGGAAGATTGCAACTTGTCATGCTAGTAAATCTGCAGCATGCAAAAATCTGTGTTGCATGATTACCAAAAGTCGCCCAATTTTGACCAAGGCGGGAGGTAGTTTCTCATGCAGGATAGGCATTAGAAAGCTCTCGCACAATCTGTCATGCTAGCTCCGGCATTCCAGACCTCATGGGTCATGGAAAAGCAGCATGACAAATCGCGCATTCTTCCAGACCCAGACACTTTTACACTTGATATCCTGTGCATTGGAAGCAGATCGTCGGCTTTCTCGTCGGCGCGTTTGGCGTTCTCTTCTACGATCGATACGGCCGCGAGGAAAGCAGCAAGATACCGACTCCGAGCAACGCGATCGGGCGGGTACTATCTTCGCCGGGGTCGTCCTCGCGCAAGATAAAGTCGCCGGTGACGAAACGGAGCTTAAACTTGCAGGAGAAGTACTTGTCCAAATTCGGGTTTGAGTCGGTGCCGAACAGAGAAGTGCTGGATGACGAGGAGTTCGGATTACAGGACGAGGACGAAGAGAATTACAATCTTGATTCAGCTTTGGACGAGGAAGAAGACGCGGGAATAAACAGTGGTAGTAAAGTGAATCTAGAGCTGGCACACATGGACGCATTTGGTGGATCTTCAGGCGGAGGACGACATGATGCACCGGGCGGCACTGTGGTGTTTGGGGCGGGGGGCCACAAGGAAGCAGTGAGAATAGATGTGAACGACACAGGACCAGGCGGGGAGAAAAAGCAGGGCCGCGGGTCAACTAGAATAAACGCAGGTGGTGTTGTATCAAATTAGAAAAGTCCTCAGCTGTATTTTTCCTCATAGGGCCAAAAAATAAAAATAAAAATTGCGCAGGTTTTTATGTATCAGAAGCAGGCCCACCCTTCAGGAGGTTCTCCGGAACAGGGTACAGCCTCCATCTATCAGGCTGCATAGCGATGGTGTTTGGGGTACGAAAAGCAGACCAATTGAAGCCAATCACGGCGGCAGTGCAAAAAGAAAAACAGCACACCGTCGCGCCTGAGCAAAAAAGTGACCCCGTGTGGCCACCGTAGCATCGGGAATTGAATGCAAAAAAAGCTTCTCCCTCTGCTACCGTATTTGTACTCACTCTTCTTCCTGACCCTAGGAAAAGCTATGTCTTATAGCATCAAAGTGAGCTGCTTTTTCAGAGAGTTCTGATCCAGAACTCCGTCGTGGAAGTTATTTGTACTCATAGCAAAAAAAATGAGTACTCATAGCAAGGTTTCGGACGTCAAAATCCCAAGGATTTTGATCAAAAAAGCAGCTTGCTTTTGCAAAAAAAGCATCTTTTTTGCCTTCTCCGCATTACAGCCTCGACGGTCCGAGTCACAATTTTGGCCAACTGAGGCACTTCTTGGCCATGCTTTTCAGCGCCATACCGTCGCGATGAGTCCTCCTTTTCAAAGCAATCCCATCACTCACAAATAAACAGCAGGCGCATGATTTCCGAACTTGCCGTGAATTGCTTTCCGCTTGGGCGGTGCTGCGCGCCTTGAGTTCTGATCTACAAATATGCTTGATTTTTTTTTTTTCCCTATGAGGAAAAATACAGCTGAGGATGTTTCTCATGTGATATGTTGGCGCAGCTCTCCCTGCCATGCTTGGAAAGAGCCAGCAGATAGGGATAGGCGTCGTAGGCGGTGGTACCGCCCGGGATGGAGGTTTGTAGACGAATTCCTGGCCGCGACGTGGCGACAATTGCAAGCTTGTTCGCCCTCTTCCTTTCGCACAAAGGAGGCGTGACGCCGCTCCTACACCAAGTAGGGCGTCCTCGAGTGGGACACGCACGTGCACCAATTGTGGATCAAGCGGTGGGACTGTACTTCTGCGATTTTGGGTTTCTGTGATTCTGCAATGAACTGGAGATCGTGCATGATGGCTGAAGTAATTCTTGAAGATCTTGAGAAATATTTGAAACTGTGAGTGTCAACGTCTGTAGTTACAGGTAGTGATCAAGACCAGAAACGAACATGAACAAAGCTCCGCCCACAAAATGGAACTGCGCTGAATACTTTCACTTGCTACTAGACGTTGTACCCGTGTAGGCCGCAGGGCCATGACGTTGCTATGTAAAGTCTCGTCTTGTTGTGCTCGTCACTACTTACTTTTACCGCTAAGGCCGCGCAACGTCGTTTGGCGACGGCATGGACAGCGAAATCGTATAAAGATCACTATGTATGTGTATGTTTGATGTTCCAGTTCACTCTTCATGAGTTTTCGATAGGATTGAGTTTGAGAGAGTTTAAATCTTAGGCTCTGGTTTGTTTCGATCCACAAAAAGTTCAACTAGATCATCACGGAAGAAAACCACGGCTGAGATCCCAATCCGAACGTGTTCACATGAGATCCTTGTGACAGACTCGAAACTGCATGTAGTTCAAAGCAGTGATTGCAAGTGTGGAAGAAATCAAAAGAAAAGTGCAAAAGTCTGATCCACCTGATCCCACCAAAAACTCCATCCATTTTGTACGTATAGATCCAAATCTTGGTCCTCCCAATAAATCCGAGAAATTTGATCGCACGGAGCTTGCTCTCGACAATGTTCTTAGTGTTTTGTGTGGTTGACATAAGACCTAAACGCACACCACCACCAGGACGAGGATTTTGCAAGAGGAAGGTTATTCAGAGAGAGACAAAGAATTTTATCGACACATTTCTTTAAGGTTGAAAAGCTTGTCTTCATGCTGGATCTTGAGCTTGCTAGTTCACTGATATAAGATTAAGAAGTAAGTAAATTACAATCATTGAACCTTCCAGAAATCACGCCCTCCTTTTGTTCCTTTGATACCGCAGTAAAAATGGGACAATCCGACGTCGCTCCCCGCGATGAAATAGATACCTCCCGCCCAAAGCCGGAGAAGGAGAAAAAAGCAAAGAAGAGCAAAAAGGAAGACAAGAACCTCGACGTAGACGGCGATGTGGACATGGAAAATCAAACATCGAGTAACAACCAAAACACCACAAGTTCAAGTGCCGCCCCCGCTAAAAAAGCGAAGAAGATCAAAAAAACGAAGAAGCACCACAAGGCCGATAACTCCGACGCCCCGACGGATTCCGACTCCGACCGAGCCATCGAGCGGAACATTGATTCTGCCCTTTCCGCGCACCCGGGCAGCAAGCGGTCCGAGTGGATCACGACCGCGGAGTGGAACAAGAAATGCGACGTCTTTGTGGAAAACAACCCCGGCAAGGACTTTGTCGAGAGCCGCGACTACCTAAACCCGCGGCGGCGACGGAATCTGACCAGTCCGTACTTGACCAAATACGAGAAGACACGGGTGCTGGCGGCGCGGGTCAACCAGATTACCTTGAACTCGAAAATTTTGATCGACCCGAAACTTTACCAGTTGAACGCGTCGTCGTTGGAAGGCTGCGATCCGGAGCGCATCGCGGAACTGGAATTGGAGCAGGGCAAAATTCCGTTCATCATAAGGAGATATTTGCCGGCGGTGAAACCCGGGTCGGGCGGACAGGAGCGGGATTACGAGGACTGGCGGGTCTGCGATTTACTGGATCCGGATAATTGGTAGGCTGCTATTCAAATGAAGATGAGCTGAAGCTGCTGCTGCACATCTCCAAACTCAAACTAACGCTATCATGTGTTGGTCTTCATCAAACGCTACTGCACTGTGATGATATCGTCCTGGAAGTTATTCTGCAAGAAGGAAACAAAAAAATAAAAATATAATGAACCCATGCGCCCGAATCTGGCGACGACCTGAGCTGCTCTGTTGTCTTGTCGCGGTGGTACACACGGCAAGTGGTGTTCATTTTACACATCATCATTTTCGATTGCTGCGATTCCCCCATTCACTTGTCGAAAAAAAAGGATCTCATATAGCGGAACGTATCTGTTGGTGTTGCTGCTCTCGTCACCTCAATCACTACAACATGATCTTCATCAAAACGTCGTGCTGCTAGCAACAGACTAATTTTTTGCCCGCTAGGAAGATGAACACGTCAACAAACACCTGCCTCAACATTCTCTTCCCGATTTCAGCAGGAGCGTCGAGCACGCAGATAAAGATATTATCGGACGATGAAAACGATAATACTAAGCGGCGTTGTATTTCTCGTCCTTGTTCTATTGAAGGAGGAGTAGATCTCATCATAGTGGCAACAAACGGAAAGCCTTATTCTTAAGAACAAGAAGGTCAAAAACCGATCGCAACGTATTGGTGCTTCCAACGAAGATCTTCTTGTCTGTACCTGTAGTGCTCTTTCTTTTTCTTCAGCATGCACGGAGGCTGGCGGTAGATGTTGTTGTGTGTTGTTTACGTACAGTAATCCTCCTTCCTTTGTCTTGCAGGCCAGTCAGCCAATAATTTGGTTGACGTTCAAGATTGTGGTGTCCTCTTCTCGATTCGTAATCAAAACCATTGCTTTCATCGACCCTTACTTAATTAGCGTTTACTTGTTTTGGAACTAGTAGAATTTTCACAACTTCGGGTGAACAGAAGAAAAAGTAGCCTTGCATTCGGAGTGCATCCACCATGCCGATGCAGATCTTCGTGCGTGGCGTCGACGGCGCCTCGCAGGTGCGTTGCGTCGATGAGAAGGCCACGGTTGGGGAACTGCTGGCCACTCTGGACGTCGTGGAAAAAGAGCAGGAAAATAATTTCCACTTGTCCTATGGGGGCAAGGACATCCCGGAAGACGCTTTCGTCGGGGAGGTGCTGCAAGAGGAGTGCACGGTCGACGTGAATGTCGACCTGCTCGGCGCGGGGAAGAAGCGCAAGAAGAAGCAGTACACCAAGCCGAAGAAGATCAAGCACAAGCACAAGAAAGTCAAGCTCGCAGTGTTGAAATACTACAAGGTAAAGTACAACGTGAAGATGAACACCAGCATTCGGATTCCTCAGTCCTCCAAAACTTATTTATTTTCAGAAATATCGATAAAGATGAAATGTCACAACTAGCTCGTATGATCTCGTCCGCACTTGCGAATTATAAAATAATGACCAATACGAAACACGTCGACAGGTCGACGCCAACAACAAAGTGACCCGGTTGCGTAAGGAGAGCCCGATCTGCGGAGCAGGCGTCTTCATGGCGATGCATCACAACCGCTACCATTGCGGGAAGTCCGGGCTGACCTTCATGTTTAACAAGGAGGACGAGAAGTAGACGGTGTTGACGGTGATAAGAAGAAGAACAACTACATCATGATATATTTATATTATCAGATGTATCACAAGAATTATGAGTTCTGTATCTGCTCTATGATCTGCAGGTACCCCTAGAAAATGAAAGCTTATTTTCAGAAATACAATTTTTGAAGAATCGTCAGCATGATTTGCTGCATTTGCCTACTTCTCTGAGGGCCTTTTCGAACACGCCTGAGGATGCAACAAGCGAGTCAAATGATTAATGGTGGACGATCGATGCAAGTAGTAAGTAGGCCCGATGGTGCTCCTGATCTTCAACTTAGTCCAAGTGTTAGGCCTACTACATGGCGGCAGAAGATAGTGCGTGCTTTCAGTACGAAATCACAACGAGCATCATCCTCTTCGTCGTCCAGGTGGATAATTTTGACCGATTTTCAGGCGGCTTGGAATCATGAGCAAAGTGCCTGCTTACCAAATAATCAATGAAGATGGCACAACTTCTTTATCCACTGCTAATATTACACCTGATGCTTTACGAGTGGTGAAGGACTACAGCACTACTTTTTTGCAAATATATCGACTGGACACCAGCATCGTTCGCTAATTTCTGTCGTCACACGACATTGCAGAGTCTTTTGAATTCTGACGAATCAATGGTGAAAATCAGGATGGTGCATGAAGCAATGGAGCGGTAGTTCTGACGACGAGGAGCAGTCACAACACGAGTATTCTTTTCATCGTCGGCAGTGCAACAGCGCTTTCAGAAGCAGGATCATTCCGTTTCTTGACGTTGACGGTGTCGTGGTTGTTGATATTGTCCACCTCCAACTATCAATCTACTATCGAATAATGTGTATTTTTATCGAATTGTGATTGTCCTCGTCTTTTAGTTCCACATCGGCGTGAAGCTGAAGATCCCTCATCGCAATTGGTCACTTGTGTCGCTTTACATCACACTGCAGCTCGTGGCTGCAAGTCAGTCAAACACGATCATAGCCAGCGCTCGTATATGTTTCTGTAGCAAGTGCAGCTGCAGCAGCGTTTTGCCTGCCCCTGCGAAGCGTTATGCAGTAAGTGAAGACCACTCCGCGAAGGTGATCCAAGGCTTTTCTTTTTGGTCCGCCGCGCTTTTTTGTCTAGTATCTGTGGAAGGAGCTCCTCCCATTGTTCACTTGGACTCGATCACGGTCTATGTAGAAGAACTTTTCGAGCGTAGTAGTTCTAATGAGCTTTGCTCTGACGTGGGGCGAGCAGCTTACTTTCAATTTTATCGTTGCATTTGCAGAGCAGGCTGTTGATTGATGGTCAGCTGCCGATCTACCCGACGATCATCCTCATCCTATACTCTGCGTGCTAGGTGGTAGCATGTATGTAAACGGATTAGTCGATGATATCTAATGTCTCGACCACCGGGCTCTAGTTGGACGAAAACAATTGGTAACGAAAGAATCCTTCGCATGGCAACCAAGTACTTCTACGAAGAAATTACTGCTTCACGTAATTTGTAAATCGAATTGAATTGGAAGAAATCGTAAGAAATTGCAATGTAACTACATGAATCTTCAGCATCTGCACCGCTCGAGCGGCCACTACTTCTTTCCGGGGTTGGGAAGAGTCTCGGAGTAACGTACGACGGGACGTACTCTTTCAACTCCCAGGCAGAGCAGGTTTTGAAAAAAGTCGGAAAGGAGTTTGCATTTTTACAAACCGAAAAAGGTTGGAGCAAGAAACAAATCAAGATGCTCATCGAATCTTTTGCATTCCCAGCAGTGACATCGGTTTCCGTAGTGACATTTCCGTATTTCACACAGACAGCAAAGAAGGAAATCGCGAAAGAGTTTGCAACAAAAATAAAACAGAAGCTAGGCATTCCAAAGCACTGCAGCAATTCGGTCATGTACAATGCCACAGGGCTGCCGCACCCGGTGGACAGTCTGCTAGTAGAGGCATTAATGACTTTCTACAAGGGGGCCGCGCTCGGAATCTGGCCCTTCCACCAGGAGGAGGAAGAGGTGCCCGATTTCAGGCCAAGCAAAGAAGTAGAGAGTGCAGCAGGCACTCAGCCCCGCCCCCCTTCACAGGTTCAGGCCCCGCCGGTAGCTGCCTCGCAGTCGTCCGGTGCGGCTTCGCAGAACGCAGCAGGAGATGGCGACGACTTCCCCCCCGACGACATCCCGAGCGCAGAGCGAATCTCCTCGCTCCGCGACCCCGTAGCAGCAACAGTACTAAAAGACAATCCGCTATGGGCGCATTGCGACGAAGCATGGACGAATCGAATGAACAGAATAGCACTAAATCAAGAATTTCAACCAATAGCGGCAAGCGCGGCTAGCCTGCAGGTAGGCAGGCAGTTCTGGAAGGGGGTGAACAAGATCCACGTCTTCCCAATGAGTAAAATTGCAAGTAGATTCCGTCTTCGTGACCCTGCCGAAATCAAGAAGCACAAACTGAAAAACAACACGCGGCGAATGATCTCGCGTTTGATAGAGAAGGAAGCCCGGCGACACCTGACTAGAGCCGACACGATGGCCACCTTCACCGACGGAGGGGCGAAAGGCGACAGAGGAAGCGGTGGAGGAGCAACCTGGCGCAAGGTTCTCCCGACGGCGCCACGGCCCGCGCCAGTAGTGGCCAGCTTCTGCGGAGTGGAGTCGAAGATCCACTTCGAACTAGAGATAAACCCGGATTCTTTCGACGGCGAGTGCTTCGGTTTGATGCATCAGATCAACGAAATACTAGAAAAAATACCAGCAGCAATACTAAAATCAATAAGAAGACACGTCTTCTACATCGATTCCAACGGACTGGTGATGGCGATAGAAGCACTGCGCGACAAATCCAACGTCATGGCGATTGACATCGTGAAGGCCCTGGAACGTCTTGAACAAGCATCGGCTCCGGGGGTTGAGATCATCCTTAACTGGTGCCCGTCGCACTTAGGGTGCTATTTTAACGACTTTGCAGACGCAATGGCAACAAGAGGCCTGAAGCACGTAGGAGACTCGTCACAGGGACGCAAAACCTTTGAAAAAGTCATCACCGAAAAGCTTCTGCGGAAGATAGTCAGTCAGATAGTGTACAGCTGCCCAAGGGGATACAGCAGCACCCACCCCGCCTTACTACGCAGGTCCGAAGAGCTAGGGCAGTACCAAAGTCACGAAAAACGCCCTCGCTTCATAGATAACGCAATGTGTCTAGTATGGTTAGGGGTGGGAAACCAGGGGCAGCTTGGCATGGGAAAGACTGTACACGACGCCAGGAACCCTTCAAGCAGTTACATGAGTTGTCCGATCTGCGCGAAAAAAGTGACCCCAAGCACTGACCACGTTTTGTATGAGTGCGAAGATGTGCACTTAGTGCAATTGCGAAAAGAACATCTAGGCTGGCCACGACAAAAGTCGTGCGAATCTCGCACAAGTTATTTAAAAGAGCCGAAAAACGTGAAGAACATTCTCAACTACTACGAAGCCGCCTCGAGACAGTGCGCGGGAATTCTTCCCACGGGGCTAGCGAACGCGATACGGGCGGGGCAGGAGAAGTTCAACGCGGCGGAGTTCCAGGAGGTCTTGGAGTGGCAACCCGAAAAAGCACAGACGAAAGTGCACGAGCGAGACCTAGAAAAAATTGCGAAGTGGATCGGCGATCTGTAGCTCGACAGCGTCAGCAGCATGAGAAACAGCAGAAAAAGCGGCACCGTGCAGCTTCTTCCCTTCTGTTGATTGGCGCGGCGCCAAACACCAGACGAAAAAACCACAGCCCCGACCACCCCCAGAGCCTGTCTTCTCATGCGCAATTTTGCCACCGAGCCAAACCGCAGGGCAGCACCACGAGGCGCTGCAGAAATCCCCACCCTCCCCCCCACAGTCTGGCCATGGTGGCAAGAGATACCTCAGGCGGCAGGGCAAGTGTGGGGCGTTAGTGCGGGAGGAGCGGAACCACACACAGTGCGTCCCCTGGGCTCTCCGGAGCCGGAAGTCAGGCACCGTGGGTGCGCCAAGTGGGAGGTGGGGATAAAGGAGCAGCACCAGGAAGATCGGGGGAAAAGTGAGATGATGTTGAGGCGTGTGTTGAGGCTGAAATTTAGCTACAGGCACCGAGCTGCAGTGCATAGTTAAGAAGGACGAAGAACGCGAAGACTGTCCCTACTGAGCTCGATCGCGAGCGCAAAGCGCGGAGGGCATCAGGGGAGAACAGTATACATAAAACGCAGCTGTCGCTCACCCGCTAAGCCCTTCCTAGAGCAACGAGCTTAGATAGAAGTGCTTAGATAAAAGTGCCACGAAAGTATACAAAAAGCTCAAGACGTCTAAGCCCATAAGGCTTACGCGCTAAAATAGCCGCGTCGAGCCGTCGCAGGGGATCCGCTCGGCTTACGATGGCTAGTCTGAGGAGGGGTTTTCCTTAGTTCGGTTCGCCAGCAGGTAGCGTGGAAGAGCACCTGCGGGGACCTGTCGTCTTTTGTTCAGCTTTTCAGGTTCATTCAAACAATAGCCCGCTTTAAGCCTAAGTCTTGATTTTTACGTGCGCGCCAAGAGCGGTACGCTCAAGACAGCAGCGGTGCTACAAGGCCACAGGTAAACCATCCCTACGCCTTCCGGTTTGACCTTGACGAACTGACTACCAAAACTGTCCCGGATTCACCCACGAAAGCCTTCGACGAGGGTAACGCCTCCGCATAATCCGCGGGTAGATCAGACGGACCACAGAAAGGCGTTGCGAGGTGGAAACGACATCACGATAGCGGGAGAGCGGATACAAGGCCTTCGTTCTACTGTGTGGCGTGCGTTGTTTACTAGTCCTGTCTAGCTTGCTATTGTCCTGTCTAGCTTACCTGTTCCTCAGCGCTATTGCGCTCGCTACAGCTCTGCTTGGAAAAAACATTTTACAGTTTGGCCTCCGCTTGTGGAAGGTCGGCGATTCGCGCCTTCTCTGCTCTGCTAGCCGCGCGCTACTCTTCAAGTTCGTGTGGGCTCCTGGTGCTGCGATCACCGTCGGGAGCTAAATAACATGAGAACATAAGGACGTCGGGTCTTTGAAGGCTATTCATTACAAGACCTATTTCGATTAATTTTGGCTTTTTGTAGCGTTCACGCACAAGAGCTTTCTTTGATCGATCTAGGCCCGCCGAAGTTTTGCGTGCGGGTTTGGCCCTCTTCTACCCCTCGAAAAAAGGGGAGTCGCCTGACCCTTATGGTCGTCCCTGCCGCCGGTGGTTGCGTGCGCGTCGCCACTCTGATCTGATCTGATCTGCTATATAGGTTATCTCTCTCTCTCTCTCTTTCCGAGTTACAACAAACACACAAGATCCATGTCATTTTTGCCTGGTGCAGGTGGCGTTTTCCGCACCTGGTCATCGCAGCTACCGAAGATGATCTTGCGAGCAAAAAAATGCAAGAGAGGACTACAAATGGCACAAATGCTGAGCGCCATGGTCCTCACGGTGACGATACTCTATCGTGCTTCATCTGTTTCCGCCCTCACCAGAACCCGGAGCAGTCGGGGCGACGCCTGCAATATTTTCGGGAACATGGGCGGCGGCGGTGAGGGCGGTGAAGCCATAGTTCTCCAGCCCGGCGAGGACGATTGTTGGAACCACTGTGATATGCATTGCAAAAGCATCGAACTAGTACAAACTGCATTGCAAATTTTCTCAGCATGAAAAATTGAATTTGTAATGCATAAAGGCAATTAGCACGAGTGCGATACTTTTGCACAGGATATGCGACCACGAAAACGGTCCCTGCGCCGCGTGCGGCACCGGGGGGATGTGCTGCCGGATTGGCTTTGAAGGGAACGGCTGCAACGGAAGCATCGGAGGGTCGGGGTTTCACACCTGTGTCATCCGTACTTGATGTTATTTTTGATGTTTTGTAGATTTTGTTTTTTAGATTTCCCTTTTGTGCCTGCTCCGTTGGCGATCGGTCAAGCTCCGGTGGCGATCGGTTGAGACACTAATCGCCAGCTACCTACAAGCAGGAACATAGATGCGACCTGTTAAGTTGCGAGCTTGTAGCACAGCGATGCTTGTTACTTCTTGGGACGAGATCTTTGCAATAAAAGCAAGCCGAAGCCTCCTGTTTTTGTGTACTTAAATTTCATCGAACATCTGTACTTTCACAGCGTGGACCGCGGGCCAATTGGTCCGGGTGCGGGATGTCCCATCCGCGCCCGCGAATCTTGTCGGCCGCTACGGAACCGTCGTGGACGAGGACGACATTTCCTTTGCGGATAGCGCCGATTTCAAAATCATCCAGTTGCAAGAAGACAGCAATGTTGGGGAGGACGAGAGGAAGGGCATGGAAAACGAAAGAGCCAGGTCCCTCGCGCCCGCCAGCAGCGGAGACATGATCAGTGGTACAGCTGAGCTGCAAGTACAAGACCAGAACTCGTTTACAGGAGGTCCTGAGCAGTATCACCAACCGCATGTGACTCTGCACGTCGACGCACTTGCTCCGCTGGTGAAAACAAGTAACAAAGAGAGGGTTCCGATACCGCAGCAAATCGCGATTTCAGTCGACAAGGTTTTGTTCTACAACTCGCCGAGTGGTAGTGCTGGTACACCTACTTTGGGAGTTGGACGACCGGGGAGCAGTTCTTCTTTATCTTCGAAGGTGAATTTTTTATCCAGCAACACCCTGCAGAAGTCCGGAAAAGTGACCTACGTGACCGAACTACCGGCGTCGAGCAACAAGAAGTTCGAGAAACAAAAAGGGCGGGAAGAAGTAGCGGGCCACGCTCGACGCGACGAGGTAGTGGTAGACGACCCGTTCTCAGACCCGCAGGTGGTGACTTATGGCGTTCTCAAACGTTACGCTCTCAGCTGTTGCATGAATTTGTAACGCAAGAACAGCTATAGCCGAAGAGGCAAGCTTGCTGCTTTCGCATCACAGAGCTGGCACAGATTTACGCCCTGTTTAGCCCTTCGGAGATTTGTCATGCGTAGCCGCTTGATCATCTGGCGGCTTGAGGTAGTTTTGCATGACAAATTCATCCCCCAGCTCGCCCAAGCCAGTAGCAACAAGCTCAATCGAGTCTTGTTCCCCAAGCACAATAGATGCGAGAAAGGGGCGCGCAATAGATGCGAGCTCAAGGCTTGGCAGCGCTGGGGGAGATGGTGTGGGCCACGACGCGGGAGCTTTCCCGCCGTGGAATCGACAATGGGCCTGGCATTGACGTTTTGCGCTTCTATGTTAGCTGCGCAGCGGCTCCATCGTCCGTCACGTCCGCGCCTCGTTTGGATCGTGAGGTCAAGATGTGCAGCTCCGTCGATTCATTCTCAGCTGCAACCTTTACACTAGCCTTTGCCTGGCTCTCAGGTGCTTGGCTTTCAAAAGATAAAGGCTCTGCCATATGCTTACCGGAATTTCCTAAACCGCATCGCAGGCTGGTTTCGTGCCTGCGGTGTCCGTAAGATTCCGAATAGTATCTACTTTGTACGCATGGGACCAGCTGCAGGCTGCTGCTTCCTCATAGCAGTTAGCCTGGTCGGTCCCTGCGCAGTTTGTGAGCGCTATAAGTTGGATCGTTGGCGAACGTTAAACGTATGTTGGCGATAAGTTGGACTGGTGGCGAAAGTAAGGTAAAGTTGGCGTGTAGGATGATGTGCCCGAGCGTGATGGCGATGGCTTCGGTCCGCCTGATTCCACGACCTGGTGGCCGAACCATCTGCGGTGAGGTGCCCTTACAGGTTGTGTAGTGGTTTCGGTCGGTTTAGCATGACAAATTCATGTAACAGCTGAGAGTGTAACGTTTGAGAGTCCCATATGACTTTCAAGGGGATTGCGTACGGACAGGCGGAGGTCTGGGAGGCCCCGAAACCGCCGAGGGCGGATCAGCTTGGACAGCCGGTAGTTGTGGCACAGCCCGCAGCTTTTGTGGTCCCAGGAGCTGATGCGCCACCTGCTGGAGCCGCTAGTACCGGGGCGGCGAGTGCCGGAGCGGCAACCAGCACGGTCGTGTCTACGCAGCGACAAGTTGCATCTCCGCCGTCGAATTCGCTTCCGAAGAACACCCGGCGCCGAGTGCCGATGAAGAAGAACGCGAATAGTGGGCAACTGCAGGGAGAGGATAAAGATGACGCAACTTCGATGAGATTGTCCGCTTTCCGCCCGGAGGACCAACACGCACTGTCCTCAGGAGCTCCTGCAGCGCAAGGATCGTCATTTGTGGCAGTCGTACAACCACCTCCACCCTCCCCTTCCAACTTTCGATTTTTCGCGATTGAGTCTCGATCCGGGTGCCAAAACGGCGAGTTGCACCGGAACCCGGACCAGGCCTCGAGCCGAAATTGCCTGCGCCTCGACATCACTATGCCGGTCAGGAGGGCGTTGGAACTGCAGGCGAAGCAACAAGGGCAGGGAACAAAGATTGGAACTGCAGTCCAATCTTCTACAGCTTCCGCCGCGGGCACGTCTTCTACTACTGCGACTCAGACATCATCGCCGCACCAAAAACTTCTGCAGCCACCCGTCAAAGGAGCCCCTGCTGCTGGCGGAACCGCGACAAGCACGACGAGTACTTCTACCTCAGCGCAGCACACGAAGAAAATGCCCGTTTTCGTGTACTTCGCGGGCTCTTGTTTTGCGGACGGGAGCCAAACCGACGGGAAGCAGTTTTTGAAGAATCTCCTCCAGTATTCGAGGGAGGAATTTCTCTTTGTCTCGTTGCAAATCCGCGCCGGAACGCTAGGACACGCGGCCAGCACTGGGCTTGTGTACAGCGGTACTACAACTGGTGCCGTTGCAGCAGGCGACCCGTTATGAACTGCAAAAGTATCGTACTCGTATAAATGCATTACAAATTTCATCAGCATGAGAAATTTGTAATGCAGATTTGCCTTAGGAACAAGATTTGTAATGCAAGACTTGCATTAGCATTTATACGAGTACGATACTTTTGCACAGCATACCCGTATCATCAGAAGGAGAAAGACGCCGACTACGCCAACTGGTCTCTGCTGGATTCGCGCCTGGCCCTGCAGTGGATTCAGCGACACATCCACCACTTCGGGGGGGACAAGACCCGTGTGACGCTGTTCGGGCAGTCCTCGGGGGCTTGCATGGCCTCCGCGCATTTTGTCTCGCCGAAGAGCTTCGACCTATTTTCCAACGTAATTGCGAGTAGTGGGGGCTTTAACGGGTGGTGCACGGCGGGGCTGGATGTGGCAGAGGACCAATTTGAAAGTTTGTATGTGCAGGCGACCAAATATTTGAAACAGGAACCGGAATGCTTGCAGCTTGGAGGTACTAGTAGCAGCGGCGTTCTTCCTGCGGGCGCTGGCGCTGGACATCTCGGAACTGCTGCGGGAGGTGGACCTGCCACCGCGTGGCCACAGAGCCGTGCTGCGGGCAGTTTGCCCTTGTTTCGAGACCCATCTTTGCAACATCTCCAGCAAGAATTTTCTGGATCATTGTCTCCAGGTGGTGGAATTACGACGAAACCGCCCACTGCCGCGAACTCGCCAAAAGTTCCTGCGCTGAAGAGAAGCAAACTCGGGAACAGCCGGCAGGATCTACAACTGGCAAAGGAAAGTGAAAGTAGTGACAAAGACCGCAAAGGTGGACCGCCATCGCGAGCTGCTGGAACAAACAACTCGTCCTCGTCGTTCCATGATATTCGCAAGAACTCCGAGAAGCAGACTTGCATGGCTGCGTGGTTGAAACAGCAGGTGCACACACACAAAACGCTGTCCGAGTACGATCTGGCCGGTTTCCCGGTTCCGTCGCCCTGCTTTTCCGGCTGTGATTCGAGCTTGATTGTGGACAAAAAACAGATCCTCGCGTCCATGCCCGAGATCTTGAAGTACGGCACGGCCGGGGTGCACTTCGCACAGAAACCCGTGTTGCACGGCTACACGCGGGATGACGGCTTGGACTTCATGGGAGAGGCAAAGGTCGAGGTGCCGGTAACGGTTGCACCACCACTAACCGGAGGTGGGAGTGACGCGGGAGCCGCGCATTCTGAATATGGACAGCAGCAGCAGCTGCTGCAACACGAGGCCGATCGTATTCTGAACATGGACATTGACGGCGAGGAACATCAAGGCCACGATGGAACAGCATCAGGGATGCAGCGCTCGACGTCGACCTCCTCTGCGTCTTCTAGCGTCGCAGAAGGTGGTACTTTGAGCGGCGGATCGGGTGGAGACGAAACGAGCAATGGGACGGGCAGTGGGACTGGTACTGCGACCACGAGTCGAGCTTCTTCTTCGTCCGGCGATGTCCAGATGATAGCTCCAGATGAAGAACACGTCGAACAAGGGACCACCGCAACCGTGGGTCGTGATGGTGTAGTTTCTTCCAACATGCAGCCAAATTATGGCTTCAAGAACAAATCTGGAACTAAAACGAAACGCAAAACGCTGAGCTGGCGCAGGCTTTTGACCAGTCGCGAGGCGTTCCTGAAGTATCTGAAATGGGCCTTCTACGTGCCGGGAGGTGTGGTGGAAGCGGATCAGGTCCTTGAAAAAAGGAAGACCTCACCGGCGAGGACCGAGGTGGCAAGAAATCAAGGAAATTTTCAAAGCCTAGAACCGTGGTCAACATCGGCATCAAGTCCTCCAGCCAAAGGCGGATTTACGAAGAGGACACACGAAGAACGTCCGGAACTTGATGCTCGCGAAGATCAAGATTCCTGGTTCTTCGATTTCAGTCAACAGCTCGCGGACGCGTACGCGCCCGCGGAAAGTGATACCCTTCGGGATGCGGAACAGGACCGCGCAGCTGCTGCTGCGTCCAACAAGGGTGGAATGCTAGTACAGCCGTTCTCAATTCTCTACAACAACCTCAACGCCAGTGGTCCGAACGGAGGTGCTGGCTGTTGCGCTGTGAATCTGTTGAACGACCTGCGAGAGTTCGGCCGGGGTGCCTACCAAGCGGTGTGGTCCCGGATCCGAGACTCCTGGGCCGGCCAGGCGAGTGGTCGGCTGCTGCGGCGAGGGTCTTCCTCCTTTCAACTGTTGGAGGCAGGAGGAGGCGAGGATGGAGTGGCTGCGTCAGCTGGTCGACGTGGTGCACCAGCTGGGGAAGCAAGTGACCATCTGGATTTAGTACAGCAAACAGGGGCCGCCGCGGCTGGAGGTGAACTACATCAAGACCAGGATGTTGTGATGGATGATCGAGAACCAGAACAAGGCGATGACCTCCACGACCAAGATGTTATTGAACAAGCTGGTTCACCCAGTACTTCTTATTTCAATTACCTCTCGCACCCGAAATCGCAGTCTAAGCCGACGCTGCCGATTACGGACGAGAAGTCCCCCTTCAAGAAGCACAAGTCGTGGTTTTTCGCCACTGAGCGGGCCTTCACCTCTTGGGAGTACACCTGTCCGACGGAATTTGCGAGCGACGTTCTGGCGGAGAAGGGGATTCCAGTTTACGAGTACGGGTATGTGGACGATAACGACGACGAAAATTATCTCCCTTTAGTCCCGCACGGCTGGGAAAGTTGGCCTTTGTTCGCGAAACATACAGAGGTGAAAAGAACTTCTAGTTCAACATTCTGTGCTGGTGACCACGACCGAGTTCTTAGAATCGGCAGTAAGACCTCTGTGTCTGTGTCGATGAAGAAGAAAAACGAGATGGCGACCTTGGCGAGTCAGATGGCGCGGTACTGGGCCAACTTCGCGATTTTTGGGAATCCGAATGGACTGGGAAGAACTTCAGCAGCTGCCGGAACTGCTGCTGGTGGACCACTGGACGAGTCACGACACGAAGGCCCAATGCAAAGACCAATTCCACAAGCCGCAGCACAGCTAGGAAGGGTGGGAGGTGGAACTGCTGCAACAACTTCTTCCACAACAGTAAACCACAACGACGGGCTGTTCACAGATTTTGGGTTTCTTATGAAAAAAAAAGAACTGGAATCGGCGCTCTTGCAGGAATATCGCAGGTTGAAAGAAACATTGGCAATGTCGGAACAAAGTAGTACCTCGACAGAGCCATCCCAATCCTCTTTTACTGTCGGCGCGGTTTCACCATCGGGGATGAGTCGGAGTGCTGGAGTGGAGGAAGCAGCTTCTGTCGAAAAATCTGTGCAGGGACGTCTGCAAAAAACACGGGTCGTGTCCTCGGTATCGAAAGTAGTGGAGCAGCAGAAAGTTAAGAATCGCCTGATGGTGATGAAACGCTTTCTAGCCCCGGAAGATGTGGCCAGATTGGAACAAGAAGGTGAGATTTCCTGCTCCCCAACCTTGCAGCTGACAGGGGGGAAGATGTTAACAGGAACGGAAACATCGAGCCCGTTTCACGGGTATCAGGTGCAATTCCAATCATCTCCTGCTGGAACCACAACTATCTCGCCGAGAGCGTCGAACAAAGGGAAGAAGCTGGCTGCTCCTTCAGAACTAGCGCAGCAAGGGCGTTGTGCGCAAAACAGTAGCGGTGCTCCACCTCCGACGAGCTTACCGACTGGGAAAATAAAGAAAGCGGGACTGCTGATGTCCCCTGGTGCCGACTACACCACGACAAACACCCGCGCTAGTATGGAAGCGTCAGGTTATTTGAAATCGACAAAGTTGCTATGATTTGCCATGCATAAAACGGATACCAGTTGGATACCCAATTTTCAAGCGGTGCATGACAAATTTTCCGAGCACCAGAACTCAATTTGTCATGCTGTTTGTGCACAGACGACTGCTTTTGTCATGCTCCTTTAGCAGCTCTACTTCAAGCCCTAAACTGGCTGACGCTCGGCCTCACTTGCCATCCCGGCAAGACAGACACTTCATGCCTTGCATTTTATGCATGGCAAATCATTTCAACTTTGACGATTTCAAACCTGACGCTTCCATAGCTAGCAACGCGAGCACGGCTGTTCCGGATGAGGACTCGTGTGCTGAAGGCTCTTCGCGGAGTTCTATCGGGAGCTTCGGTTTTGCGGCGTTGCGGCTCGAAGATGATAGCACAACGAGGTTTTCATCAGTGGATGAAAGTAGTACAAGGAAGAAGACACGAACTTCTGGTCTCGTTCTTACGTCCACCGCGAAGGACGGGCAGACCGGCAAGCATGAGGAACCATTGATATTACACCCAGAACTTCTGCCGCCGCTGCCCCACTGGCCCCGGTTTGAGTCGAAAGAAGATCCTTTCGGGTTTTCGCTCGCCCGCGGGGAGCAGTACATGGGACTGAATCAGCGACTGGACACGCAGGCGCAGTGCGGGTTGTGGAAAGAAAATTGGGCGGAGCTGTTTGTTTGCCTGAAAACCAACGACAGGCTTTGGTCAATGGGGGAGAACTAGGTAGTTGGAAGACGAAACAACAACGACGAAAGTGGAGGGGATGAAAGACAAAATATGATGATTGCTCGAAGATCAAAAAGGAAAAGGAGGTCGAGAATACAGGTACTCTTACTCTATACTTGTGTGAAAATTTCACAAATTAATACAGCACGACATCAAATGTAGATGTCTGCGCCACACAACGCATTTAATGACTTGCAAGGATGTGCGAGTGTCTATCTCTATGCCTATGGCTATTCTCAATACGATGATCTTCAATTTTTGGATATGCATTTACGTCAACAGCGCCTAATCATCGACGGGGTAGCTGCAATTTTGAACAACGAGGAACTTGAGCCTGACATCGATGCAAGAAGTTGACTCTTCACAACCGGCTCATTCTCATTTCACTTTCAGTACTTAGAAGACAGGCTGAAGTTTTTGGATACGATAGAAGACGGCTTCTGCATGTGTATGCGATGCCAAAAAGTTGTCCGCGATTCTCAGAATCCTGTGTACTGCACCAGCTTATCGATTGTATCGGCCGCCAAAGGCAGCACTTATTGATGTTGAGTAGTCGGTTTTCCAGCACGACTAGAAGCTTGTGTGCTACTAGTTTCATCGGTGGCGTGGAAATATGCGAAGTACTAACATAAGCATACTCGTAATCGAAGCTGTCGTGTCTGTCTAAGTACGTTGTTCTAAAGGAATTCGGTCTGCAACACGAAGATGCAATAGATTGAATTCGAAGTAAAAAGTGTTTGCTCGTCGGTTTTGGATTTGGTGGATGCGAACATCTCGTCCCACAAGTTCTAAATCTAAAATCGGTCCTTTTGTCGTGCCTCACACTCACCCTCGTTCGCAACAGAGCAAAAGCGTTTATCGTCCTTATCGTCCTGCTTACGCATCAAGAACGGTGTCGGTTGCAACGAAAGCGCCACCAGATAGGAAGTTTCGCTTTCGTTCACAAGGAAGAGACATGCATGGTTGCTCAACGTGCAAAATACTGAGGACTATCTTCGTGCGGCAGCTGTTGCTCTAGCGGGCCCAGAGAATTGCTTCTTTCTCTTTGTACCTTCAGGAAAAAACCCTACCCACTGAAATTTGTTTTCCAATTTTATTGCATTCGATTGATCGTAATTGTATTTGCAACTCTCCAAGATCAAGAACTACATCAATCTTCTTGGAGCCTGTCCCTGAGCCATGTTAGGCCCTTGTTTCTCCGGCCCGTTGTTCCGGCGTGCGGGCCCGGGGGCCGCGTCGAGCCTGACGTCAGCGGCAAACCGAGCAGGAAATTCGAATGCGAGCGCCCTTGCAGGAGCTATCGGTACTTCTGCAAATCACAGTTTGTTGTACTTCTCGACGCAGAAGTACTACCTCAGCTTCCAAAACCCGCACCAGCAATCACCGGCCCGAGTTTTCAGCAGCGCTCCGCCGAGCTTGGACTTGATCAACCAGGCTCCGCCGAAAGTGGGGAACCCTTTGCCGACGCAACCCCTGCAGAAATCCATGGGGCAGACGCTTCCGGCTGGTATTTTGAAAGTCATTTTCAATTGCATGTCTTTGCGGCGTGCACTAACTGTCGTTTCCCCTACTTTCATGTGGAGCAAGACATGATCATATCCGTTTGTGGTACTAAGCAGGATTATGTTAGTTTTTATCCTTTCGCAGATGCAAATAACTACACGTGTCAACTATAACAGCCCCCACCGTCGGGCGCGGCGCTGCGGTGGTTGAGAATGCGAAGGCTATGGCGGCAACCTCAACATCCTCGAGAACTGTGATGAAGATGAAGACCGCCAAATTTAACTCGCGCAAGCACTCCCAGCAGCTAAACCAAATCCAGAAACGCATTGCCCAGGCGAAGATGCGCGTTGCGTTGTTGAAGAAAAACATCGCGACCTTGCCGACGCATGGCGCGCTGAGGTTGGGGAAAACGAGCAAGCCAAAGCCAAGTAAGACCACTTCTACTAAGATGGTCCAGATGAAGAAGAAAACGACCCAGCCTAAAATGCAAGCGATGAAGAAGAAAACAGAGAAGAAACCAAGCAGAAGTACTAACGCGGTTAATATGAACCTTGGGGATGTGAACATGAAATCAGTGTCCCTACGCATCGATCCGGTAAAGTTCGATGTTGTTCCAAGGAAAAAATCTTCTTCGCCGAAAAGAACCGCGAGCAAAATGAAGGTGATGCGCAACAAGACCTTCAAGGTGAAGGTTCCCCGCCGAACGAAATCTTCGGTGCCGAAGATGAGCAAAGCGCTGACGAGAATGACCACCACGAAGATGAAAACAAATCAGCAGTTGAAAAAGCAAAAATCTCCAACCACCTCGCAGATCCAGCGTCTGAATTCAATGGTGCGGCAGATCGCGACTAAGAACCGGCACATGCAGTGGCAAGCGGTGCAGTTGATCCAGCAAGCGGTGAGGGAGCAGCAGAAACACTCCAAGGAATTTCAGCGAATTAAGTCGACCATCAAGGAGAATGAGAACATTGCGAGCAAGGCGCCGCAGAGAATTGCCATCGGTAAGCCGGTGACCACCCGGGAGCTGCAGAAGTTGAAGGAGCGGGCGTCTATGCGAAAGTTGAACAGTTTGGTGAACCGAATTGAGAAACAGGCGGCGAAAAGTGGACAAACCGGGAAGAAAAAGATCGACGAGCTGGTGCGAGAGATAAAACGGCTGAACAAGGAGAAGGAAAGGAATTCGGTGCTCATGCGCCGGGCAAAATCTAAGAATTCTCCTGGAACTGCGCGGAACAAGAAGTTCAACGTGGTAATGGCGCAGATCAACCCACCTTTACCAGAACCACGGAGCAGTATTTCCTCGTTGTCGAACAACACGACAGGACAGCAGACCACTTCCTCGGTTTTCCTCAACATGAAGACGAATGAGCAGCAGAGATTGGACGAATTGGTGCGGAAAATCGCGGAAAAGGCGAATAAAACCCGGCTCAACATGAAGACGAATGAGCAGCAGCGATTGGACGAATTGGTGCGGAAAATCGCTGAAAAGGCGAAAACCCGGGCCGATAAAAAGACAATCGACCAGCTGGTCGAGCGGATTGAGTCGAAAATGAAGAAGATGGGAGCTGGTGGTGGTCGTGGTGGGAGCAGAGGACGCGGCCATCAGGTTGGTCCGAGGAAAGTTGCTCGAAGCAAAACGTTCACCACGAAAAAGCGAACTGCGGGAGGAGCACGACCAGGTGGCAAAAATATGAAGATGAAAATCACAAAAATGGCAAGCAAAATGAAGAAAATGGCAGCAGCAGCGAAAACGAAAAGTCGTGGCCGGTTGAGCAGCAAGAGAACATCAAGCAGTCTGGCTGGCAAGAAGGTGGTCGGTGTCGGCAACACTTCGATCGACCTGCTCGTGCGCAGAATTGCAGCGAAGATGAAGGGTGAAGCGAAAATGGGGACAACAAAACGAACAACGATGTCGAAGATGAAGCAAAATTTTTCCAAGGCGAGCATTGACCAGCTTGTGCGTAGGATCGCGGCCAAGCGGAAGATGATGCAGACGAAGATGAAAACGCCGAAGAAATCCGCTGCTGGGAAACAATCGAAAGGTGGAAAAAAGCTTTCCCTCAACAACCAAAAGAGACTTGACATGTTGGTTCGCAGGATCGCGGCACAGAACAAGAAGATGCAAAATAAAGGCCGGAAAAAGACACAACAGATTTCGCTGAGAAACCAAAAACGACTCGACATGTTGGTGCGCAGGATCGCGGCACAGAGCAGGAAAATGAAAAAACTTCCAGCCGGAAAGAAGCTTTCCATCAACAACCAAAAGAGACTTGACATGTTGGTGCGCAGGATCGCGCGGCAGAAGAAGATGCAGAAGGCCGGCGGTACCCGTGGAAACAAGAAACTCTCTGTGCGGAACCAGCAAAGAATCGACATGTTGGTACGGAGAATTGCGGCGAAGAAAAAGATGATGCAGAGCAACAACCAGGGAAGAAGACCATCGACATCAAAGTCCACCGGGGGAAGCAAAAGCCAGAAGCTTTCCATCAGAAACCAAAAGCGGCTTGACATGCTGGTCCGCCGAATCGCAGCGCACAAGAAGATGCAGAAGGGCAAAATGGCAAAATCCCAAAAAGCAGCCATCGACCGACTGGTGAAGAGGATCGCTGCGAGAAGGATGCAGACGATGAAGATGCAGCGATCGCCGACATCATCATCAAGCACCAAGATGATGAAACTCAAGCTCCCGCAAAACCAGCAGAAGTCTCTGGACGCTCTCGTGCGGCGCATCGCTGCGAAAAGGATGATGACGAAGAAGAAGCACCGGTATCAAGTCAGGGGAAAATTGATGAAGATGCGGAACAAACAGCAAGGTGTCAACTTCGCTGTGGCTTTGCGACACAAATTGTTAAAGGAGCGCCTCAACGCGGTCAAACAGCGCATCCGCATTCTGCAGCGGCGGAGAGGACAAGCCGGTGGAATTTCTGCAGCTACAAGGAAAACCGTTATGATGGGCAAGATGAGGAAGATGATGCGGATGAAAAAGGCGATGAGAATGCGCGCCGCATCAAAGGCTGTCTCTCGTCCAGGCACCGCTCGTCCAAGAAAAATGGCCCGCAAAATGAAGATGATGTCTACTTCCCGTCCGATGAAGATGATGTCATCCTCCAGGATGAAGATGATGAAGATGAAGATGCAAAAGCCGATGAAAATGGGCAGCCAAAGTGGACGCAGTTTCATGGCGATGAAGAAAAGCATGAAAACAACGATGGGCCGGAAAACAAAAATGGCAAAGCCGACTTCTATGAAGATGAGAATGAAGATGATGAAGAAGATGCAGGCCCGTACTGCTGCATCAACTTCTTCCATGAAGACGATGAAAATGCGCAGGAGCATGCCGATGAAGAAGATGCTGCGCAAGTCCGTGATGAAGATGAAAACAGCAGCACCAGCTCCGTCGACCGGTCGATACACAAAAATGCGCCATAATTCTTGTATGATGTCCATGAAGATGTTGCGCAAGATAAACATGGGTAAAATGAAAATGATGAAGAAGGAGCCCAGCCCGATGGCGAAGAAGCTTCGAATGATGGCTGCCCGACCGCGAAAAATGGTGATGAAGATGAAGATGAGCAACAAAGCCACCGCCGCGCACCGCAAGCGCAGCAAGGTGTTCAGGCAGCAGCTCCAGCAGCTCGCGCGGACGAAAAAGTTGCTGAAGCACCGTCTGCGACAGAAAGTTAAAGTTTTGTCCAGAATGCCCGTGTCGAATAAAGCTTCTTCTTCAAACACCTTGCCACCCAACTTGCGGAAGCGCGTTTCCACCGCCTATCGGAAGGTGTCGGCGTTGAAGAAACAGCTCCGCAAGAAACACGCACTGACCGCGAAGAAGGAAAGGTCGTTGCTGAAGAAGCAAAAGCAAATGCTTCTGAAGGAGCAGCAACGGCAGAAGATGCGCGCGGCCGCACGAGCGAAGAAGGCGAAGCTCGAGCGCAGGAAAATGATGAAAATGATGTCGAGCAAAATGATGTCTTCGAGGAGAACAACTTCGACTTCCAAAATGTCTGCAGCTTCTAGAAGACGAATGAACTCACCGCGGCGCATGAAAATGATGTCTTCTCGTGCTGCAGCCCCGAAAATGATGCGGAAACGAATGATGATGAAAAAGATGGCAGCTGTCGGGCGTTCCGCGCCGCGCCCCAATCTGCGGCCCTTGCAAAGCGGGCAGCGTGGTGTTTTGGTCCAAACCCTGGTCACGCCGCTTTCCGCTTCCCGTGCGGGAGGTTTGCTAGTTCGAAACCGGGTGGCTCGGCGCGTTGGAAACTCTTCCAGTCGGAACACGACCAGAAGACGCAGGTTCTTCAGCACCAGGTCCTCGTCTAGTACTGGCGAAGGCGACTCTACGTCTTCGAAGAAAATGATGGCCGCGAAGATGAGCAAATCGTCGATGAAAAAAAAGATGAAAATGAAGATGATGAAAGCCCCGTCGGCTATGAAAATGAAAAAAAAGATGATGCGCAAGAGGCGCCGTCGCGACCGGTATCTGGAAATGGAAGACGATGACGACGACATGTTAACCACAGCCGGCATTATGGCGGTTGCGGCCTCCAAGAATAAAGGTGGAAACGGGGCGCGCGGCAAGGGAGGTAGAGGAGGTGGCATCGACTACGACGAGAGTGACAACTCGTCCGGAGAGTAGAGGAGTGGAAAACGCTTTTTGTTTTTGGAGCTGAATGTATGACATCAAACCCGAAGCTTTTAGTACCATTCGTTTTTCCACATTAATATCATCACAAGAACTACTCCTCTGTTTTTTTTTCTATTTGCTTTTCTTTCACTGACACTGTTATGTCGACCAACTGCTAAGCAAGCCAAGTCCAGACCAAGATTGAAATTGCACCGGACAACATACAATACTAAACAAACATAAACATTACATTCCCTTATTCCAACAATTTTATGGGTAGCGTGACTACCTGCACAAAATATTTTCATTTTCTTGATGCTGTTGCTGTTTTAGTTTTACTTTTTTATTTTTTATCAGGTAATCACATTCTATTTCTATTGCAGCAATTGCATTAATTAATCACCCGCTTAGTATTTGTTGATGAATTATGATTAGTATCAAACCTCCCCGACTCCTAGATCTGACAAGACATCTGATGCATCACGTGCGAGCAGTTCATGGCTACTTCTCGATTTGGAAGGCTGACAAATTTTTCACGCTCCGCCGTTTCTGTATGCTGTAGAAAAAAAAGTACTGTGGTTCTCTTCTTCTAACAGAAACTCGACAGTGAGGCTGTCGTTGCTCCTGTATGTATTGTCTACCGGCCTTGCGACACGCATCAAAGTTGTCGTGTCTGTTAGTTAGTACTCCAATTTTCATCCTAATTTACGATGAAGATCGGTATCGTACTATGCGTGACCCTCTACTTTGGTTGGCCGCTTATTTCTGTATCAACCCACTGCGCCTGCAGTGATCACTTGCACTGCCTCGTCCGCTCGGTCGTTTGTTCTAAACGTGGGACAAGTCTTCGGTAAGTATGTGCTACTACGTTCTTCCTGTTCGTCCAGCCACGTCGTTCTTGGCCACGTGAGTAGTTCGTACGAAGCCGTATCAACATTTTTCGTTCAAGCCGCGGCACTCTTTCGAGCAGCAAAAGAACGTCGCCATTACCATTGATAACGACGACCGTTGGTTTAAAAACAAAGATGCATGATCCACCACAACTACAGCCGGAAGCTTGAGGCACACACACCTTCATAGCTTGCATTTGCATTTGATCACCCCACCACGACAGACGAAAGAAATCACGTTTACACTTAAGTTTTTGACCCAATTATATAAAATTAAAATTCGAATTTCTCCAAGAACCATTTTCGTATCGCGTGCTGTTGTCCTTGTCGGATTTTCAAAAGTCTGCGTACTGGTCTTGCGTTGAGCTGTCGTTGGTAATTTTGTAGGTGGAACACTCTAGGTCTAGAACCACGGACCGGGAGTTGGCGCATTACAGACACAAGACGATTTGTAGCTATTAGCTCACATCAACGCTGCAGCGACCGTTACACCAGGCGATCGCCTCCATTTGAAGTGTCAACTACAGGAGCAAGGAGCTTGGTGAGTCAAGAAGTCCAAAAAGGAGCGCTAAACTTACACGACCATACACCAGGACCTTGCTGACACGGGGGAACCAGTTTAATATACGTGGAACGAGCTTGGATGAATTGGAAGCAAGTACACTGTTTCTGTTTCTTCATGCTGCATGATATTATCACCGGAACACCATCTTTAATTATCTTGAAGATATTAGCGAGAGCGGGACTCTTCTGATGTAGTGCGTGGCTATTTTATTTAGTTTTTACTTTACTATTTTCATAGTCCTATGGTGCTGGCCTCGAGTCATGCAGTTGTAAATGCAGGCAGAGCACTAATTAGTCAGGCTGTTGGTAAAAGTTTTTCACGCGTATTTTTTTCAGGTCGTTCTTGAACGCCGTTCGTCGCGCAACTTTGACCTCGTCGAGTGACGGGCGTCTTGCAGCCGGAAGAAATCCACTCTTGCTCTTCTTCGTCCACGACAGCTTTCGAGTCCAGGCATAACCAGAAGCGGCTTACGGCGTCATCATGATCGTGTTTCCTGCCACTTGGGCCTCGTCGCTGTCAGGAACAAAAGATAAAGCGACGGGAAGCCACCTGTTGCCCGTGCGGCAGAAGATCATGCATCAACTAATGCGTTGCGCAATCTCACTCTGGTTTGCTTCCAGCGAAGTTAGCAGGCTCTTTCTTGCGTACGCCTACAATGCTTCCGCCGTTCGTCGTGGACCTCGCATTGATGAAGTTCTGTGGACAGACACAGATGATTATGCTTACCACAGACACGGAGATGAAGAAGATAGAAGTCCCTATCATTATGACTACGAAGATGCCCCATCACAAATTTCGCAGATGGCGTTCATGGAAGAAGACAAGAAGAAGGATCGAAAGCAACGGAAGAAAAGACGTGCAAAAAAGGACCGCAAGAAGCGAAAAAGTAGGAAGAAGCGGAAAGCGGCCTCGTCATCGAGGCGGCAAGAACGGAAGAAGCAGCGAGAACCTAACAGGAACGGCCGCGACAAGAACTACAAGAAGAATTCAACGATGCGGGACGAGGGAATTGAAAAACGAAGGTTGGTGCAAAAGCAAAGCGAGAGCGAGTTAGTGGCAAAAGAGCCGCACCACGCAAGTACGGATTCTAGTCCGCCCGTTGCCAGCGACGGTCCCGCAGCTCTCTCGGCAAATGTAAGCCACGCGAGCCAACCCTTGCAGCAAGAAGAAGAACCGTCTCAGCGGGACGAACACGAACGAGCCAGGGCTAACTTTAATATGGAACGCAACGCAAACCCGAGGCGCACTGCCAATGAACTGGGCGAAGATGGTCCAAAAAATGCGACCCAGTCGGGGACTGAGCGGGTCGGTGTTGACAGAAAACAGCCACTGGTCGCGGCCCGTGAAGAGTCGCTAAATAGTACAGGAAACACACCTTCCAACGCTACCGGCGTGATCAGCGAACACGATCCTGCCACGCCAAGGGGTGGAGGAAAGGATTCTCACCGCGGTCTGGCTTCAGGCGGCCGAGAAGATGACGCTGCGGACCCCGAAGGCGACGAAGGCACAAAGGGCGCAATAGCTGAACATGTTGGTGTTGCCAATAGCACCAGCGCGAGTGGTGCGCTGGCTGCTGATCGTTTTGTGGGCTCAAGCTTCGTGGAGGAAACAAGAACAAGTAAAAGTATAACGCATTTATCGCGTGCGGTTCGGAAGTTGGTTGGGCGGGGGACGACTGCAAAAACGAACGGAGTTGTAGATGGTCGCGTCGAACATGCCGTGGAGAGGTTCCTCACGATCTTCGAATCTGACGCCACAGTTCCAGATGGTCCTGGCCGTATTGAGATGGCGACTGGGTTTCTACGGGATGATCAAAATGTATCAAAAGGAACAATCCCCCCTCCCTATATCGAAAAGAAAATTTGTGATGCTGGATTTGCGTACACAAATCAGATTGGTCTTGCAGTAGAGGACTGCAGGCATATGCCAACCCTGGGCAGCGAGGTTTTGACATAGACGCCTAGCATTACAAATGTCCACACTGTAGGCCCACGAGCATCACAAACCGCTTGCATAATGCGGCGCAGCCTGTCTGGAGTTGTCTTCCAGCAAGACAAATACGATTTGTGGTCACAAATCAGCACTGCAAATTTTCTGTGGCCTCGTTTTCGATATGGGGCGGGGAGATTTTTCCTTACGATAAAATGCAAAAAAACTTCTAACCAAAATCGAAACAAATTAGGGCGGAAAAATCGGCAAATAGCATCATTTTTGCAAGCGCACTTTTTGGGGGGGCAAAAAAATTATGGCTATTGGGGGTGTCGCTACTGCTTTTTTTCCTGTTGGCCATTTAGATGCTGGCGCCGCTCTTCGTTGTCACGTTCCGCCATCCGGCCCTCCCCTTTTTCCAATAGAGCCGCAGCATTTTGTTGAAGTTGCATGGGCCTGCGGCCCCCCGGCGCGGGAAGCCGCGCCCCCTCTCCGGCATCCAATTCCGTACGCGCCCAGACATCTTCGCATCTTCCCTTTACGGCCAGATATTGAGAATGCGGACGCGCCAGCAGTCAAATGCTTCCGGGGGGGTGCCGAAGGGGGGGGGGGTAAGGGGGTGCGCTTGGGCTGCCTCTGGGCTACCATTTTGGGGCACGCAAAATCGGCAGTTTCTAATGGGGATTAGGGGGTCGGCATAGGCTACCGAAAGGGTACCCGGAAGGGGTACCCGGAAGGGGTGTCCGAAGGGGGCAAAAATGCACCCCCCTGACCACCCCCCTTGCCGGGTTCCCTCTTCCTCGTGGCGAGCGTCCTCGTTGTGGTCCGGTCCCGGAGGTGGCCCAGCCACTTCTCGAAGAGCGGGCCTACTCAACATTGCCGGGCCATCTGAGCGACAACGCACAGCGCGAAGGCGCTGCCGCCTGTTTCGTGTCTTGCTATGAAGGCCTTTTGAAAGCCGAGCTATCATGTTTCTCGTGGAAAAGATGAAGTGATGCTTTACTTCTGTTGATTTCCAGGTAGTTGACTCCCTGACAAAAGAAAAAAAAATACCCCCCCAAAGTGTGAGCTGACAAAAATGATGCTATTTGCCGATTTTTCCGCCCTAAACAAAGGAGGAGTTTCTTTCTGAGCTCTGGCGGAAATTGGAATTACGGGCAAGGAAAGGTGGACAACCCCTCCAGCAGCTTGCAGTAGAGGTGGACCGAAGTTCGGAACGAGAGGCCATCATGCAACTTGCAGTCCTTGCGCTTGGTCTTCGATCCCGGATCGACGCGGAAGTGCGGGTGCTTTTGGGAAAGGCGGAGTCTGTGTTTTGGATAGCAACAGCAAGTGAAAAGCCTAACGGGCATAATTATTACACTGCTCAGCAGAGAACTGATCAAGACGAGGCGATGGCGCTGGTGGAAGAAATGAGGCAACAAGTACGGAGCAAGCGCTATCTGGCTGATTTTCCCGTGGTCGCCCACATTACGGCAACGGCCGGTGAGTACCGATGGCGATGGAAAATCAGTCGTGATCACTTGGACACCGCGGCCGGCAAAGATAAATCGGCAATCGTGTCCCTCGCTACCATGATCGGAAACTTGGCGATGGCCTGGGCAGGCGCCATTACATTGCCCCCGCAAATAAACTATCTCGAAGCAATGAGCCACTTCCGTCAGGTACGTCTACTTCATCACGACTACGAGGACACACAGCATGGTCCGCAGAGTCACAACTGGGCGTGGGCGTCAAGAAAGGATACCATAAGAAAGAGACAGGTGCGCGATTGCAGAGTCGAACCCGGCCGACTCGAATGGCTTACTGGAATAGCACAAGGTCGCGTTGGCTTCAACGGTGACTTTGAGTGCCTTGCAGCACTCGTGTCGTTTGGCATGGCTGTGGACCTAGCCACCAGCGATCCGGATTACTTGCAAAGCCTGTCCGAGTTGTATGCTGTCGTTGCTACCACGCAAACGATGTCCGAGGGCGACAGTTCCATAGACGACCTCCTTCGAGGTTTATGGCGCGCGCCATTGCAGACACAAGTGTTGGCCGAACAAAAAGAAAAACAACAACGACGAGGAAAGAGCAAGGGTAAGGGAACAACCACGGACAATGACAAAGCAGAGCATGACATGTCGCATCTCGCAAGCGTGCCAAGGCAGAGAGTTGATATTGCGGTCGCCGCACTTCCAGAATCGCACCAGAACCAAATTACAGAACAGGGCGTCGAAGTAATCGAAGCTATCCGGGCGCCCACATCGTCCGCCTCCTCGACGACCACGGGTGATGCAGATGGTACAAAAGCCAAAGGAGCACTTGCTGTTCTCTTCCGACAAAGGCCGCATCTTCTGGCGCGCGCCGTCTGGGTTACTTCGTACGGGGCTGCAGGTAACTGGAGAAATTTTTTCTATTGTGGTCAATATTCACCGGTGCGGGTCATTGCAGATGAAGGAGAAAGCTGTTTATTTCGCCCCGACAGTCTCCACACCGCGCGAGCGTCCGCTTCCGGTGAATTGAGATCCTGGCTGACTGGGCAACTCAGCACAGTATATCGACACGCCGGAGTCCTCCCAACATCCGAAATCGAGGGCGACACGCCTCATTTCACGCCAGTGTTTCTGTTACAGGCGCTCGAGTATCATCACAGTGAAAAGCTAGCTGCGGGAGTGCTCCAAGATCTGGAAAACGACTTCGAGGACAGATTGTGGCGCTACTACATCAGCCCGGAAGATATAAAAAAGCGGATTGAGGAAATCGCGCACGATGAGGACGCATGGTTCGATAAGGAAGTCTTGGGAGATTTGAAGAGCAAGGACGAGAAAGTAAGCAGGACCGAGAGCCGCGAGGACGCATTAGGTTTACGTTTGATGTGGCCTGGCAAAGAAGAAAAGAACTCTCGGATCACGACCCCGGATGGGATATTCGTGGTGCGGCAAGGCAATTATCTTGACTTGTGTTACGTGAAGGAAGCACAAGAAACCGTGAATCGCCATCTACTTGGTCTCGTCGACGACGCCCACGCGGAGTTGTTGGTGCTTCAACTTCGCCGGTTGGAGGAACATGGTTCGAGAAAAAAGCGAAGCGAGCTAGTTGGCGACGTCGTCGAATTTGCGAAACCCATGCTTTTACGAATAGATCGCGTGCACTCCTGGCAGACGAGTCAGTCGCGAGCGGCTACTACAACCACCAAGGTCACCAAGACGTCCAATTTATTTGGCGCGGACTCGCGGTTGCAGCGTAAGCAACATCTTACGGAAGCAATGTGGCGGCGTGTCCTGTTGTCCCTGGGGGCCGCCGCACTGTACACCGAAGGCCTTTTTCAGTTTGTCTTTCGCTCGCAACACTTTTTCTTTCGGGAGGTTCTTGATGCTAATGGCAGGCTCGTGGTGATGTCGCTTGCGAATGCGAGCTCGGAAGGAGAAAAGAAGGCGTTTCTTAAGGCCTATCACAACAGTTTGGAGTTCCGCTCTGAGGCCGAAACTTGGCAGGAGGACAACAGGCGCGACAGGATTGAAAGGTACGTTACGAAGCGTGGATTTCGTGAAGCTACTTGTAACTACCCGGAGTAGCAGGTCGAGGAGGTCGAGCCATGACGTTCGTCGAGCTGCACGTAGTACCTCCGGAGAGCTTCAATCATGGGAGGTCCCGGCTGTTGGGCCACGAATGTGAATGAAATTCTGACGGATTGATGTCAAAGTAAAAAGAATCGCATTCGCATCGAACAACCTTTAAGTTTAAGCTAAATGTGCACGAAAAATAAGTGTCTTACCCGTACCGATACCTCCAAACAAATGGACGATGGTAACGACAACATGTTGTAGTTGCCGACAACCGGCATTATGGCGGTTGCGCTTGCGGCCTCGAAAAATAAAAAAGCGAAGAACGGGGCGCGCAAGGGGAGTAAAGGAGGTGACGTCGACGACGAAAGTGACGACTCTTCTGGGGAGTAGAGGAGTGGATAGCGCATATTTCGTTTTTGGATCTGGAGAAATACGATTACGATCCGAACAAGCTTGTAAATATTTGTTTTTCCAATTCCACAGACATCATGATCATACATCACAAGAAGCCTTGCTCTGTAGTCACTGTTTTTGTTTTATTATGATTCGCTTTACGTTTACTTTATAATTCGGTTTTGGTTTTCGTTTCGCTTTTGCTTTTGTCAACCAACTACTAAGCATCAAACCCAAATTGAAATTGCACTGAAAAGTACCAAACAAAGACCAACACCCCCCTTGTTCAAAGAAGAATTTTTATACTATTTATGCTAACCCTAACTTGATCTTTTACTTTTTTCTATCTGACGGTCGTGTTCTATTGCAGCAAGAAGTTCATCACCCATTTAGTATTACTATTTTTTTTTTTATTATCTTCAAGCCCCGACCTGTCCTCATTAGGTCTACTTCATCGGGTAGAGAGGTTCTTGATGGTGAGACGGCAAGGGCCGAAGTGTTGTTCTTATTGCGCGCATAGCTAATCATCTACGGGTGAATAATCAAAAGAAAATCAAATCAAAATCAAACAGGTAAAAGTCCCTCTTGAAAACAAAAAACAAAAACTAGTTAAAATAGTTCGCATGCGTGACATTCTTGTATTCCCCCCTAAATTCAAGTCAAAACTTGACTTTTATTATCTTCAAACCCCGACCACTAGAAAGATCTAGATCTGACGTGTTGTCACGCGCGAGCACTTCATCATGGCTTCTAATCAATTTGGAAAGCAGCTGACGAACTTTTATTTTCCAGGCTCCGTGACCGTGAGGGATTTTACACGAGGACAGCATGTTGATAATTTTCGTCTGGATACGGAGCAGGGGAGTTGGTCCTCGCGAAGTGATTCATGGGGATCTCGAATTTCTTTATGTTTTGCTTTTTCCACAGTTCTTGAACTTGACGCAGACCTAGAAGTACATTTTCTAGTTCGCCGCGCATTCGGGAAGCAGAAGCAGCAAAAAACGCCATGCGGGATGTAAAATCTTCATTTTGTTGTTCGACATCGTCTGTTGCTGAGAGAATGCGAGTAAGATTGTTGAAAATCATACGCTCACCACCCCCCCCCCCCCCGCCCGAGAGACAAAGAAATAAATCGGTTGTCAAGTTGATCCTTTTCGCTGTTGCCGGGTATCTACTTATTGTGTGGCGAGTGAATGCATTGTCATCACCGAAGATGGAGTTGAAAATGATGGCGAAGCATCAGTCTTGTTCGAAAACTCGTTCTGGGATCTATTCCCTCTTGTCCCTCTGCTTGCTGCTCTCACCGGTGCTGTTGCTTTGGAAGAGCAAGGGAAATCGTGCTGCAGCTTCCGGGTCAGCACGAGGGCCACCTCGACCACGACTTTCATCATCGTGGGCGGCTGGACACAGTGGCATTTCTGAAACGAACGAGGGCAGCACCAATCCATTCGTCACTGTTGGACGAGCAAGGCGAAATCTATCACCTGGTACAAGGGATGTCCTTGCGGCCACGTCGGAGGTTCTTGAAGATTCTATCTCTTCCCCTTCCACCGCGCCGACGAGCAAGCTGTACCACCTAACGCCCGAGAGGTGCGACCACGAATTTCAAATTCTCACCGCGGAAGAATGCGCCCGGGTCGCGAACTACGAACTTGGGTTGAGACGCAGAACCGTCGACCCGCACACGAAGTCTTTCCTCCTGACCGTGGAGCCCCTGGAAGAAACACCCCAGGATTTGATGAAGCACGCGGGGTGCTACTACGACCAACAAGCGTCGAAATTGTACTTGCAAACCAAGACGGACGCACGGGACCGCAGCCGGAACTACAAATCTTATCTAGCGATTTGCCTCGTCGACTACAGTTATCTGCACGAGCACAAAAATGTGCAAAATATCGCATTAATATCTTCGGGAGCAGCTGCTGCGAACGCTGAGGGTGGTTCCGGAGGAGCTGCAGCGGCGGGCGGTGGAGAGATAGCTCCCGGCGGAGCAGGTGGAGGACTACTCCAGCAGCGCGCATCTATGAGGGTCCACGGTGAGCAGACCTTGCACACGGAGTCGCACATCCTGTCCCGGTCATTTTACCCGCTCTATTTCGTTCTCCTCGCTCTCTTCATTTCCGCCTGCTGCCAGATGCTGCAGGACGTTCTGCACAAAGTCCTGCCCTTCGACTTTCCGCACTCCGTCATGTTGTACTGCGCGGGCTTGCTCCTGTCCCACTTTTCCTCCGTTTGCCCGGATTACGAAATTTCCGAAGCGGTTGAAGTGGCGCAGAACATCGACCCAAAAGTGATCTTCTGGATTCTGCTCCCGGCGCTCCTCTATGAGGACTCCGCGAAGACCATTTGGCACGTGGGCAGGAGGGTTTTGCCGAACAGTTTGCTGCTGGCCTTACCCGGCGCGATTTTGAACACAGTGCTGACCGGGGCGTTTTTGTACTTCACCTTCGGAAAATTTACGTTTTTTGGAGCTGGAAGTAATTATACCATAATTCCGGGTGGAGCAGGAGCTGGACCAGCACAGGGAATGGTGGTCGGCCCGAGTGGAGCCGCGCCAGCTGGTGCTAGTACCGGGACGTTGCTACCAGGATCTTCTACGTCAATGGATCTGGATTCAGAAGTGCCTCCCTTTCCCTCTACCGCTTCGAGCGCTTTCGCGGACGCGGCGGAGAGTGTTACCTCTACGGGTTCTACTTCCAGTACGCCTTTCACTACCGCAAGGTCGTCCAGCATGGGAACCATTCCCAATGCCGCGAATGAGTTGTCCTCGTTGATTCCGGAACAGGGCTCACTCGTGTTTCTCCCTCCACAATTGCAGCAGCAGGAACAACTTCTACAACAGCGAACAGAAACGACCCAGCAAGAAGTACACCAAGACGAAAACGGGCCAACAGCGTTCAGCGTGAGCCAAACCTCTTCTACACACAGCACCAACCGCCTCCTAGCTGCGACTTCTTCCACCTCCACCTCCTCCTCCTGGCAGGGGTTCACGGTTTCCGAAGCGCTCCTGCTCGGTGCCATCCTTTCCGCGACCGACCCCGTCGCGGTCATTGGCGCTTTGCACAACCTTCACGCGCCCGCGAAATTGACTTTACTGATCTCCGGCGAAGCGCTGCTAAACGACGGGTCGGGGGTGCTGCTGTTTCTGGTCTTCCTCGACCTCGCAAAGGGGTTGAAACCGTTTTCCTTCACGGATGTCACGTTTCAGTTTGCGTATTTGGCGTTCGGCGGCATTTTTGTCGGAATCATTTCTTTCTGCATCACGCTGTTTCTGCTCCGGAATGTGACGAAAAACGCGGGGAACATCAACAACAATAAGGAGTCGTCCTACCAGGTCGGGCTGTTTATCGTGATTGTCGGCGCCTACGGGACCTTTTTCGTCGCGGACCACCACGACATCGAGGTGTCGGCCGTTCTCGCCATCGTTACCTTCGGCTTCGCAATGTCCGCCACGGGGCAGTACAGCATCGCGGGCGAGCACGCGCACTCGCACCACACCGTGATCGCGTTTCTCGCGTTGGTGTCCAACGAGTTGATCTTCGTCCTCGCCGGCGTGGTGGGGTACCGCTACAGTTTCCAGGCCAATTTGCTCCCCCGAGACTGGATCGAACTGATCGTGCTGTACTTTTTGGTGCACCTGACGAGAGCCATTGTCGTGGCGGTCTTGTACCCGTTTTTGAAAAGGTCCGGATACGGCATGACCATGAAGGAGTGCATCATTCTCGTGTACAGCGGTTTACGCGGTGCGGTTGGGTTGGCGATGGCGATTTTGGTCGAATCCGACACTATGGCGTTCTCAATTGTTACATTCTCAACTGTTACATGATTTGTCATGCAAAATTGCCTTCAGAATCGACACCATCAAGCTGCTTCGCATGACAAATTCCCAGAGGGCCAAGCAGGCTCATAATCGGCGCCAAATCTGTCATGCAAGACGCGCACGATCCCTCCTCTCACTTTTGCTATTCTCGCATCGCAAATTCATGTAACAGTTGAGAATGAAACGTTTGAGAATCCCATAGACACGAGTTCGACCGTGTTGCCGTTAGAGACGCGGTATCGAATGTAAAAGTGTCTGGGTCTGGAAGAATGCAACTTGTCATGCTAAATCTGAAGCATGCAAAAATCTGTGTTGCATGATTACCATAAGTCGTCCAGTTTTGACCAAGCCGCGAGGGAGTTTCTCATGCAGGATAGGCATGAAAGAGATCGCGCAGAATCTGTCATGCTAGGTCCTGCATTCCAGACCTCATGGGTCATGGAAAAGCTGCATGACGAGTTCGCATCCTTCCAGACCCAGACATTTTTACATTTGGTACGCGGGCGCGGATCGCGTTTCACGTCTCGGGGATCGCACTCTTGACGATCTTCATCAACGGCACGACGATCACGCTATCAAATGCAAAAACGTCCCCACCCCATAGCTCTCATGCAATTCTGCATGCTCAAGATGTTTCTCATGCGGAGCCCTATGCCAAGCGTTTTCTGGTCGTGTTTTGGAATTTGTAATGCTTCAATCAGTATAATAGGCCAGATCTTCTGTGATGCTGCTGAACAATTTAAACAGAATCACACTACGAGGCCAAACTTGTCATGCGCAACAACCAAAGCTGGCTGATTTGTCTAGCAGCTTTCCCATCTTGACTATGTCTATGGGGTGGGGGTGTTTTTTCTCAGGATAAACGCCGCTGTATCACTACCTCTCCGTCTACGACTCCGCGAAGCACCACTCTTTACTGCTCCACCGCGCGCTGTGCCAGGCGGAGATTTTGTCCAAGGCGCAACAGTATCCTGTGCAAAATAAGTATCGTACTCGTAATGCAGTCATGCATTACAAATCTTTTCCTCAAGGTAAATCAGCATTACAAATTTCATGTCTCATTCTGAGAAAATTTGTAATGCATTTGTAAGAGTATGATACTTTTGCACAGAATAAACAGAAACAGATGCAGAAGCACTGGTTCTTCCACAACTGCAACTTCGAGATCCTGGACTTGTTGATCCCGCAGTTACACCGGATTTTCAAATCTTCAGACGACGCGATCGCGAGGAATTTAACCGCGGACAACAAGTCCCAGATCACCGACAAACGGGTCCAGCGATTGATGATGCAGCTGGCCTCGATGCTGAACGTGGAGAAAGAGTCGCGGTACCGTGCGAAGATCGAGTTTGCGTCCGAATTCTCGTTATCAAATGTAAAAATGTCTGGGTCTGGAAGAATGCATGTTTGTCATGCTTGTCTGGCATGACTCTTAAATCTGTCATGCACGTTACCCAAGAGCTCCATTTTTCTGTGATGCAAGAACGCAGTTTGTCATGCAGAATAGGCAACACCTAGAAGCTCAGAAACTTGTCATGCTGAGCCAGCATTTGTGGCCTCATCATGAGACGCCACCCAGCATCACAAGTTTCCAGACCCAGACATTTTTACAGTTGATTCTCGTCGGTTCGCGGGTTATCGTTGTGTACGCAACGCGAGATGCTTATGGAAGCGTCAGGTTTGAAATCGTCAAACTTGAAATAATTTGTAATGCATAAAATGCGATACAAAAAGTGACTCTATTGCAGAGGACCCAAGGGAGGCAGATTATAGTCCTGGTAAGGGTCAAAAGTTGGACTGCTAACTAGCATGACAGAAGGCAGCTCTTTTGCCCTAAACCGCATGACAGACTCGCTTCCAGGACCGGGAAAATTTGCCATGCACCGACTACAAACTGTAGGTCTAACTGGTATCCGTTTTATGCATGACAAACTATTTCAACTTTGACGATTTCAAAGGTGACACATCCATAATGCTGAATGCGAGCGACTTACGGAACCATTTATACCCTGCTGGGACCAGTGGGACCACGACGTCGCATTCCAATTCTGCCGGGGCGATTGCGCAGCAACAGATCATGACCACGACCATGTCGCAGAGAAAGAGGAAGAAAGTGAAAACATCCTCCGACTTGTCCAGCAGCGGCGCCGAGGAGGATCATGTACTAGATCTTGACGCAGCTGCCAGGAACACGACGATGTTGTTGAAGCGAAACTCGAACACGTCGAGTGGGCACGACTACGCAGGTCGTGGGCGACGCGGTTCAACAAGTTCGTGTGCCAGTGTGGTGGTGGAGGGGGTGCCGTTAAAGAAGCAGAATTATACAACCATGGGCACTTCTGCACCTGGACCTGGAGCTGCCGCTGTTGCTGTTCAAGGAGTTGCCATGATTCATCCAAAGAGCAAGAAGTTGCACCGGCCCGGAATTCCGCGGAAATCTTCCTGCCAGAACTCTTCCTCCGCCTTCTCCGCCAGCAAGACGCCGTTACTTTGTTGGTCCGGGAAAAAGAAAAACTTCGAGTTCCCGCTGAAATCCAATGCGAGCGTGTTGCAGGGATTGCGGTCGAACAAAACGCAAGAATTCCTGGCGACTGGTGGGGCAATCGGGAAGGCAAGTTCATCTTCTAGTACTTCGCAGCTTTATTTGACGGGTTTGGATGAAATAGATTCCCGGCCGCCCGCCACTTCGCAGCAGTTATTATCTGAACTCCGCTCGGGAAGCAGGAGTTATTTCGAAGAGGATGGTGACACGACGAGCCGGAAGATGTTGAACAAGCACCAAGCTGTGGACGTCGAGATGGCGGCGTTTTGTCAACATGCGGGAAGATCTACCGCATCAATTAGAGAACACGGACCGCCGAAGCGCGTAAACAGCAACGAGAATGTCAATGAAACCGACACGGTGAATCTTCACGTCGAAAGCAGTGAGAACGATCAGGATCATCCTGACGAGCTGTTTGGAAAGCGGATCAGTAATTTAATCGACCACGAAGACCTGCCTTTAGACACCGTCATCGCCTCTCTCCCGTCGAACGAGCCCCGGACGCTGCGCAGCCTGATTCGCTTCTTTAACAAAGCGATCAAGAACCAACGCGTCACGAAGCACACGGAAAAACTGAAAAGCAACGAAGGTCCTGGTGGAACTGATTTTGGAGCCAGCTCGAAGATTGATCTCGTGAATGGCTCGGTGTTGGATGTAGGCGGCGTTGGGATGAACAATAACGGGCATAACGTAAACGTTGGCGCCTGTGCCAATATCAATAAACGAAACAGCACTAGCTCCCAGTTGGAGGATCATCTGATTGCGAATGAAGAGATGCTACGGCGCAGTTACGACGAATCAGAGACCGACCAAGACGCAGACATCACGCCGGCCGCGCACAGGCAGTCTGTGGACGAAAATGTCGGTTGTGGTGGAGCTGTTGAAGAAACTGCGACATTAAATAGCGGAGCTGCTGTGGCGGACGTTTTTGCAAATGACAAAACTACGTCAACTACAACCAGGACGAAGACTGCGAAGAACAGCATCATCTGTAAAACTGGCCGGAATTCAGCGGAGCTCGTGGAGCAGGACGAAATACATGGTCATCAAGAGAGTTCCTCCGACCTGATGAATAAGAACTCCATGTTCGAAGACCACCCCGAACTCGCGGTTTCGCCCAGCATGACGATGACCACTGCCGCCCTCCTGCAGCCAAAATCCATCCTCCAGAACAGCACCCGCGGCCGCGCGTCCTCGAACATCGACAACCGCGGGGAGGCGCGGAAGAGCGTAAGGATCTCCATTATCGACAACGAATCGCCGCTTCCGGTAGGTGGAGGGGGGGAAGAGGAGGTGGACGGTGGGGCATTCGGAACTACTATGAAATCATCTACCCGTGGTATGTTTCCCACCAGAGGAGGTGGTCCGCGGGACAGTACGAGTGAAATGAGCGAGGAGTTGCTGCAAAATAAGAAGGCTTCCACTTCGTCGCTTTTAGTTCTGGATGAATTCCGGCGGTCTATCAGCCAAGACAAAGCTGCTCGGGCGGGAGGTGCGGGACATCAACAGCAAGTAGAACAACAGCGAAGGAGGAATTCGGCAGGGGTACTGCTTCCATTATCTACAACTTCGGGGTTCAACGGAACAGGTCCGCAAGCAGCTCATGCAGTTGACACAAGCAACATCGCAGGTGGTACAATCATCAACGACACAAACCTGCGCACGCCGCACCGGCCACCGTCTCTACCCAGACACCGCTCCTGCGAACAGGATCGCATTGGCCGCGGGAGCGGTCGTCTTCGTGGAGCAGCAGGTTGTGGAGATGGATCTTCGCCCGACGGGCTGCAAAAATCTGGCAACAACTCTGATGAAGATGACAACACCTTCCTCGCGTCCGGCAGCAAAAGCTGCAACAGTAATTATGCGCCCAACAGTTCCAATCCGCACAACATGTCCAACACGATTTCCATGCTGAACGTGCGGCAGGCGATCACGGCGGACATTGAAACCGCTGCGGAGCTGTACCAAACCATCCTCGACGCGTCTTTCGCGGGGTACAGCGAACTGTACTATCAAATGCAAATATGTCTGGGTCTGGAAACTTGTAATGCTGTGTTGGGAATAGTGAATGCTCTGCAATGCCCAGCCAAGCATGAGAAATATCTGCGCTTCGTTGTGTTGCGTTTTTCGCATGACAATGCATAACAGACGAAAGGGTGTCTTCTTGGAAATGCATCACAAACTTTTTGGTCATCCCAGACAAGCATGACAAATCTCGCAATCTTCCCGACCCAGACACTTTTGCATTTGATATGTACGAGTTGCAAGTGATTTCCGAGTTGACGTATCGTGCCTTGATGGAGGCTACCAAATGTAAAAATGTCTGGGTCTGGAAACTTGTGATGCTGGGTGGCGTCTCATGATGAGGCTACAGATGCTGGCTCAGCATGACAAGTTTCTGAGCTCCTAGGCGTTGCCTATTCTGCATGACAAAGTGCGCTTCTGCATCACAGAAAAGCGGAGCTCTTGGGTAACGTGCATGACAGATTTAAGGGTCATGCCAGACAAGCATGACAAACATGAATTCTTCCAGACCCAGACATTTTTACATGTGATAGAGGCCTTCGAATACGCACAAGAGGCGGTCCAGGGGGAGCTGCAAGAGTACTGCTTTCTGACGAACGGACACTTTCCGGAACTCCACCTCCAGCCCCACCGAGTGCAGTGCGAGGCCAGTTTGGAAGTCTTCTGGGACTGCTTACTCCACTGCTTGAGTTCCGGCGTCGGCCTGCGGTGGAAATTCAGCAATTGGCTCCACGGCGACAGCGGGAGCAGCCTCTGTCTGGCGGAAAGCACGAGTCTCAATGATCTGCAGGGAGCAGGAGCTGGTGGTGGTCGTGCTACGACTAAAGAGCTCATGGAAGGAGCAGACGATAGCAATGCTCAATCGAAAAACAAACAGCAGCTCCAGAAGGAGAAGAAAGCGAAACAAGCAAAAGCTTCTTCCCAGAAAAATCATAATCAGCAGCGCAGGTGGTTCAAACCTTCGGAATCTAGCCTGCTCCGCACGAAGTGGGACATTTCCAAGCGGCATTTTGAGGCGATTTTCGCGTTCATCATCGTGAACGAAACTCTGATCGAGGAACTGCCCGTGTTCGATGATTTTCCGCACATCAAAAACACGGTGAACCACTTACTGGAAGCTGCCATGGCGGAGAAGCTGTACCAGCTGCACAAACAGTCGCCCGAGATGTTCATCATGTTGGAACACATCTTGGCCGCCCGACTGCTCTTGATCAATAAGAGCACCATGCTGCAGCACCTGACCAAGGAGGGGGTTTTGAAGCAGGCGGACGTGGAGCACATCCTGGATTCCGTGATGGAGCCGTCTTTTGTCAAGTTGACCACCTACAATCCAGACGGGCAGGTCATCGAAATCATGCGCCAAATCTCCAACCCGGGAATCGGCTTTTCGTTTTGATAAAATGTGTTTCCGTTTTTCGATAGTTTTGTAGTTTCATCACGATTTCTTGCAATTGGAACTGGAGCCGGACTTCACCAGCGTTGCGGCGGCTCAGTGGAAAAGTCTGAGGACGTCACTAGTATTTCGTGCTTTCTTTCACAAATGACAACTTTCCTTGGCTTTAGATTTTTTCAAAGGCGACGTATTTCTGAATTTACTTTTACTTAAAATCTTCCGACCACGACCACGTACGTAGTTGATGCGGCACTACACATTTTTGTACTGCGGCTTGAATTGAATTTCAATGCTCAAAAATCTCGGACAAGTTCTTGGCTTGGGGGTGGAGCAAAAATTTTCCAAACGAAGTTCTTCTACTTGTAAAAGTTTTTCAACGTCATCAAGCAGAAGTGTGCTTGGTGCCAAAAAAAGTTTTCGCGTGCCGGCGTGGGCTTGTAATTTGTTGAGTTCCGTCTCCGCCCGTGTGCGTGTGCTGCAGTGTTTTTTCTACAGGTCTTTGCAGCGCGGCAGCGGAAACATCTGTTGCCGAGGATGGTACAGGTACTAAACTCACTTCGTAGTTGTTATCTTCTATGTATGTCGAAAGTCGCAAATCGTACTTGAGTGTAGAAGTTTTCCGCTTCATCTCATGTTTCTTTTGAGCGATATGGAATTGATTGCGTCGCCCTGTGTAATACCGGAAAGTAGCGCGCGACTGCAGCATGATCATGAAGATGCAAGGTATTAACGAATTTAGGAAGTTCTTCTTAGGATCAACGGGATTCGGATTGCTATTTTCAGCAGGAGTGACTACTTTCACTCCTGCTGACACTCTTTCACTCCTGCTGACACTCAATTAGGATCATTCTGATTCTACTTTAACTTTCTGTACACGACAATGCGGAAGCGAAGAAAATGGCCAGCGCTTTTGCAGCTTCTGCTGTCCCTCATTGCTCTCGGGTCGTTCTTCGCAGCCTCAGCTGTCGGGCGCACCTTGCCCTCAGTCCCTGAGACGACCACAACCACGTCAAACGAGGGCGAAGCGACGGGTAATTACGTAGTTGGCACGAAAACAAGCGAAGCCATACCCATAGCCAGCTCCAAGAACAAAGCGAAGGGTGGTCTTGCGGTTCTCTTGGACGAGCGTAACACTGCGAGTAAGTCGTCGTCCGTGGGAGGAGCATCATCTTCTCGTCTAGCTGCACAACATCAACAGGATGATGAAGCGGATGAAGAAATGCAAAACAGGCAATCAGAAATGGAGAAGACTCTGACTGCTGCAGCGGGAAATAAACGGCACGCGGCAACGATGATGGCACGACACGACGCAGAAGCGCAGCACGGGGGTCATCTTAGGTTGCACAATTTGATGGCCAGGACGACGAAGTCTACCTTTGCATCATCTTTACACAGCTCAACGCACGAGGACTCTTCAGCAGTGTCGTCATCACTACAAAAACGGCGCACGAGTTCTGCACAATCCAGCTCCACCACCTTGGCGCTGTCGCTTTCCAACAAACGCTGGCTTTCCGCGGCACACCTGCTGACGCCGAGCACGTTGCGGAACGACATGGCGAATGTTTTGCAAAACTTGCAGGATTTGGAGCAGGGACGCGATTTTTATGGTACTACAACACAAAGTGCGACCGGCTCAGCAGCTACCACTGCCAGTGGAAGTAGACGGTTGTCCGACCCGGACGAGCCCACGTTGGAATTTTCCTCCGGTCCGGGTGGTGAAGATGCAAAAACCTCCAACCCCCAGATCGCGGAACTAGAAGAAAATTCGGCGAATGCTGCACCCACGACCGCGACCTCTTCCTTCGCGCGCCTCCTCCTGGATTCCCTCTGCATGTTCCTGCCCTTTTTTATGTTTCTCAGCCCCGGGGTTTCCGTCTTCTACCCCGCGTGGAAACAAGCCGATCGGAACAGTGCGAATGCGGGTGGTGTCGGTGGAAGTGCTGGAGCCTCGTTCTCCCTCCCACCACTCCCGCTGACGTCACAAACCACCCAGTGCTTTCTGTGGCTGCTGTTCGGGTTACATCTAAGCAAGGACGCGCAGCCGGTGGTGCTGATTCCAAACGTTGTCGGCCTGGTTTTGGGCGTGGTCTATTTGTATCTCTACCCGAAGTTTCTGGGCAGTGCTGCCAGTAATTCTCCGACGGTGTCTTTATTTAAGCAGCAATACCGCTTGCAGATGAATCTCGTGATCCTGATCGCGGTGATCGGCGTCGTGCTGCATTGGATGGCGTTTGTTTTCGAGCAGAACACTATGGAAATAGCAAATGGAGCAGCAGGACGAGGAGCTACAACTTCATCATCCTCTGAAGCTTCTTCAAGTGGAAGCAAAAATCCACAAAGCAACGTCGCACACGACACTATCGGGTACCTCGCCTGTTTGATTGGGCTACTACTTCTAACCAGCCCTCTGTTTGTGATTCAGCAGGCTCTGGAGACGGGGAACCCGCAGGTGATGGGCAGCTTCGTCATGAATTTGTTCTCCTTTTCCTGTGCCTTCGTCTGGACGATTCAGGGCGTGCTGATCAACCAAAAACCCGTGCTGATTCAGAACTTCTGCGGGACGGTCGCGAACGGGCTGGCGCTTGCTGTTCGGTGGTATTTGGAGGTGAAATTCGGAACGAATTTAGTGCACGGTAGCAGCATGATACCTCCAGCTGTACAGCATGCTGTGGATTTCGACCTCGAGAGCCCGGAGAAGGATCAAGCGAATGATGACGAGAGCGAGCTGACGACGATCACCAGCAGTACTGTGTCGACCACGGCGAGCGTGATTATAGGCGGGAGCATGACAGCTGGCAGTGCCGGTGCACAGAGCTCCTACTCTGCTGGAGGGGGAGCGGCCTTCAGTGTCGGAGCAGCACAGTTCTCCCCGCCAATGAACATCAAGGGCGGGCCGGTGGAGTGAATAAGTGCTTCATCTTGTTCCATGACACGGATGAAAGGGTACAAGACGGTGTTAGACATGGATTGACCTGCTGTTTTCAACTTTTGCGAACTACCTTCTTTTCCACCATAGATGCTGCAAGATCATGTGCTACTTCTGCGATCTTCGGTTGATGTATTGATAAAAACTTTATTGCACAGGAGTCCCATGATTGTAGCTTCTTGCATCGCAGCTTTTGTGGAGAAGCGAATGTGCAGTCTGTCAGCAAAGAATAGAAAGAAATGAAATTGCCAGCTGCACGAGCGACATGAATTTTGAAAACTACGGCCCGCTCCGGTCGTCTGAATCACTTGTTATCTTCAAACTTACGTGTGTTCCATCTATCGAAGTCCTGCAATCAAGTTGTGCGAGCCGCAGTCTGTCCATTTTTTTACAACAGCTGCATCTACTTCATGCGCCAAAGCGAAACAGAGCGCGCTCGTGCTAGTGTCTAGCCCTATCTGGGACTCCAGCGAGCAACAAAACATAAACACTAAGCGCCGCACTAAAAAACAAAAAGTAGTGACAGAAAAGAAAATCTGCGCGTTCATCTTGCGAGTAAGTGCTGCTGGTGCCTCAGCCTCGGATACAAAATTTTGCGAGAGCTCACACCTGCCCAGACGAGTTACACAAAAAGAAAAAAGCGCGAGACGTTGACTGACTGCCTTTTTGCCCGCGCGCCGCTCGGTTGATTTTCTACCAGACAGATTGCGCAAGTAGTACAACGCCATGAACATGTACTGGTAGTAGATTCAGCAGAAGAATCAACACTCTGCAAAGTGCTTGCAAGCCTAAACGATTCATCATATTGCAAGAATACAAAACCACGTAGGCCAAAGCCCCAGGATCTATGCAAGCGAAGAACATCATCAATTGCCCGGCTCAAGATCTACTTTCTTTTTAGCTCGAGAACGCCTTCTCTAGTAAACCTAAACGTAAACACATCGTCATCGTATGAAAGAAACGCGCTCTTCAAGAAGGATCCTCAGCAATCCCAATCTATGCAGCGCCTAGAGCTTCGTGATTCTAATTTTCGATCCTTTTCACGTCGAGCGACGTTCAGGGAAGAGAAATCACAGCCGTATCATTATTTGCCTCGCGCCATACTTTTTCCTCTCGTCAACATTGCAAAAATCCTGAGGAGGACTGGCGTTTAAATTTTATCGTCGGCCCTGCCATTGCCCTTGCAATACAACTATTGCTCGCTCCATCCTCGAAAGCAAGAGCAGCATACTCGCCAGCAACATTCATCATCGTCTGGATAATTTTCACAGTGCGAGAAGCCATTGCGACTGGATTGTGAATTCAATGAAAAAGCGCGAAAATTAGGAAGATGAAGAAAGGAAATCAAGCGAGCTCACTGTAGTCGACCAGAGCTTGCGCTTTTGTTTCCTTGGGCCACGCGGTGCCGTTTTTTTTTGAAAGTAAAATAACACGACGCAAAGCTCTTTCTTGTTCTTTTGCTTCTACTTTTGGCTTTGCGCAAACAAAACTTATCACTCCTGCCAAAGCCACACGACATCTTCACGCAAAATGGTGCTCATGCTTCAAATGTGCCGCAAATTTGAGCGGGGGGAGTGCAACTTGCGCGACTGCCGCTTTGCCCACGTGGACGACCCGGTGAATGTGCGAAAACACCGCGGGAAGGTCCCCCTTTGCGCCGACTTTCTGAAGGGGAAGTGCGACCGGGTGGAATGCAAGTAGCGATAATTTGTTCTCAAGAACACAACCACAAGTGCAATACTTTTGCTTTCTACCGTTCTTCTTGAGTTATCATACAAGCGGGAGAAATAGAAATTGGAAATTGAAATTCAAATTGTAGAAAATGCGTGAGTGCATGATTTACGGCGTTGCTCTCATGCTGTTGTTGCACCTCCATCTTCCCTAAACCCAGGTATTTCCACCCACCCGCCTGCTGGAACATAGACCCCAATACCAAGGACAAAACCGTTCCGGTTTGCAGCGACTTGTGAACTGCAAAAGAATCGTACTCGTATAAATGCATTACAAATTTCCTCAGCATGAGAAATAAAATTTGTAATGCGGATTTACCTTGAGAAAAAAATTTGTAATGCATGATCGCAATACGAGTACGATACTTTTGCACAGGATACGACTACCTGAATAACAACTGCTTCAAGGATATGGAAGCGTCAGGTTTGAAATCGTCAAAGTTGAAATAATCTGTAATGCATAAGATGCATGACCCGAGGCGCGTGTGTTGCAGAGCAGGCAAGTGAGGCCGATTGTGAGCCTGTTTGGGGTTACAGCTCGAGCTGCTAAAGTAGCATGAGAAAATCGCCCTTCTTTGCCTAAACAGCGTGACAGCCTGGATTTAGGGACCGCCGAAATTTGTCATGCGCCACTTGGAAACTGGGTTCCACCTGGCATCCATTTTATGCATGACAAATTATTTCAACTTTGTCGATTTCAACTCTGACACATCCATAAAGGACCAGGAGGAATGCGACGGCGCGCACCCCGAAAACCACAACACCCTGGCAGAGTTGCACGTGGAGGTTTGCGCGGAGTGGATTCGCAACCCGATGGAGGACGCCGACAAGAGCGGCGTCCACTGCTCCGAGGGCATGGACTGCAACAAGTACCACCCAAGTTTGAGCCACCCGATGTTCGAAATCCTGAAGAAGCAACTGCTCGGCAAAGATTACGTCCCGCCGCCGGGAATGAAAAACGTACCCGGTATGATGATGGATAGTGTTGACGATATGAGCGAGAACCGAAATCAGAACAGAATGACGAACACGTCGAAGACGGGAGGTGCAGCTGAAAGAAACAACCTACAACGCCTGCCACCACGAGGTTGTGCTCCTGGTGGCAACAATAGAGGTAATGACAACAATAACCGGGGCGGAGCTAGGGGTGGACGAGGTGGAAATGCTATCAAGTCCAATAACACGCAGAACCCCTTCGAGGACAATTACATGCACATGGGGGATGAAGATGATTCGCCCGTGTGCGAGGACGCAAACAACCGCCTGTTTCCCACCTTCAACAGCGCCAGTAGGAATAACAGCATGAACAGTCAGTTCGGCGACGAGGACGACTACGAAGACAGCCGCAGCAACAATAACATGGGCGGCGGCGGTCCTCGGGGCGGTCGGGGTGGAGGTCCAACGCAAAGAGGTGGTGGTCCTCGGGGAGGCAATAACATGAACGGTCGGAGCATGTCGAACAACACATCAAGGCAGCTCTCTGGCCGGGACCGCGAGCGCTCCAGAGATCGCAATGGCGTGGAAATTTGCGGCGAGTTCAAGGCGGACCGCTGCATGAGGGGCGCCAACTGTAAATTTTCGCATGACCTCAGCGGCAGCTTGGAAGCGAATAATGGCGGGGGAAGACAGGTAAAAACTGCTTGTAGCGGCGGGCTCTAGTTTCTTTGCATCATGGTGCTGATGCTCGTCGAGCTTGGGAAATGTTATGTTATGATATGGATATGCCTCTTTTTCACGACGATCTGTCAGATGAAACCCTGCTTTTGTTGCATGCACGAACAAGAATGTTCTTGAACAAGCGACGATCTGAAAAACTAACGTAAAATTCAAACCACAGATGAACGACGGTGGGCGCAGATCTCGAGGTCGCGGCGGCCGTGGTGGCGATTATGATAATCGCAATAGCAACATGGGCGGTAACCGCAATCCTACTTCGCTCGAGATTTGCAACGACTTTTTGAACAACCGGTGCGACCGCGGCAGCCGGTGCAAATTTTCGCACGACACAAGCCTGCTGCTGCGCGACGGCAATACTGGAGACGTCTACAGCGGCCCTACGGAGCTCTGCGCCGACTGGCGGTTGGGCAAGTGTGCGCGGTTCGACTGCCGATTCCTGCACATGATCCGGGAAGAGGCGGAAAATGCGGGCTATGTATTCGAGGGCACGTCAAACCGGATCCGCGGCAGACGGGCCGCCGCCGGCCAGACGCGACAACGACGGGGCGGTGGCGGCGCCGGGGGACCGCAAATGCGAAAGGTATTGGATTTCGTCAACCTGAACCTCAGCCTGCTGCTTCTTGTTCTACTTGTTTTTTGAAGCACACATCAGAGGACGCAATAAAGCAGTTTATCATCAATGCAATTTTTGGGTGTGTAGGTGTACTTCATTGATTATTTGGTCAGTTGGGTACCCCCGTCAGTTGGGTAGATCATTCATTCACATACTAGCTCGGGGGAAGGAATCTCTAGGAAAAATAGTGCGGTCGCAGGGGCGGGAGGGGAAGAGAAGAACTAGGCGAGGACGGGAAGGAGGGGCGACGGCGCGCGGGGTAGGGCGCGGGGTCGCTCATCGCGGAATCTTGGGCGCGGTGCTCCCTTTACTGGGGCGGACGGACCTCACTCGCAAAACGCTGGGGCGGACGGACCTCACGCGCAAAACACTGGGGCGGGCGGACCTCGCTCGCAATGCACTGACTGGGGCGGATGGGCCACGCGCGCAAAGCACTGGGGCGGATGGACCACACGCGCAAAACACTGGGGCGGATGGACCACGCGCGCAAAGCACTTGGGTGGATGGACCACACGCGCAAACCCTTTTCGCCGCCCTTGGCGACTGTGGGGGCGCCTCGGGTGCAGTGCTGTCGCGGGCGCGCTGGCGTGGGGCCGGCCTTGTTGCCAATGCCGGCCCGCCCGCAAGCCGGGCGGCGGGTAGGGCGCGAGGTCGCTCGTCGCGGAATCTCGGGCGCGATACTTCCTTCACTGGGGCGGACGGACCTCACTCGCAAAACACTGGGGCGGATGGACCACACGCGAAAAACACTGAGGCGGATCGACCACAGGCGCAAAACATTGGGGCGGATCGGCCACACGCGCAAAACCCTGGGGCGGATGGACCACACGCGCAAAACACTGGGGCGGATGGGCCACACGCGCAAAACCCTTGGCGCCGCCCTTGGCGACTGTGAAGGCGCCTCGAGTGCAGTGCTGTCGGGCGCTGGCGTGGGGCCGGCCTTGTTGCCAATGCCGCCGGCCCGCAAGCCGGGCGGCGGGTAGGGCACGAGGTCGCTCGTCGCGGAATCTCGGGCGCGATACTCCCTTTACTGAGGCGGATGGGCCACACGCGCAAAACACTGAGGCGGATGGACCACACGCGCAAAACACTGGGGCCGATGGACCAGACGCGCAAAACCCTTGGCGCCGCCCTTGGTGACTGTGAGTGTGTGAAAGCGCCCCGGGTGCAGTGTTGTCGGGCGCTGGCGCGGGGCCGGCTTTGTTGCCAATGCCGCAAGCCGGGCGGCGGGTAGGGCGCGAGGTCGCCCGTCGCGGAATCTCGGGCGCGATACTCCCTTTACTGAGGCGGATGGACCACACGTGCAAAACACTGAGGCGGATGGACCACACGCGCAAAACACTGAGGCGGATGGACCACACGCGTGAAACACTGAGGCGGATGGACTACACGCGCAAAACACTGAGGCGGATGGACCACGCGCGCAAATCACTGGGGCGGATGGACCACACGCACAAAACACTGGGGCGGGCGGACTCCTCCCGGCCTCCGTCTTTCCCGGCTAGCTTCCGCGTTTCCCGGTTTCCGCGTTTCCCGGTTTCCGCGTTTCCCGGTTTCCGCGTTTCCCGGTTTCCGCGTTTCCCGGTTTCCGCGTTTCCCGGTTTCCGCGTTTCCCGGTTTCCGCGTTTCCCGGTTTCCGCGTTTCCCGGTTTCCGCGTTTCCCGGTTTCCGCGTTTCCCGGTTTCCGCGTTTCCCGGTTTCCGCGTTTCCCGGTTTCCGCGTTTCCCGGTTTCCGCGTTTCCCGGTTTCCGCGTTTCCCGGTTTCCGCGTTTCCCGGTTTCCGCGTTTCCCGGTTTCCGCGTTTCCCGGNTTCCGTGTTTCCCGGTTTCCGTGTTTCCCGGTTTCCGTGTTTCCCGGTTTCCGTGTTTCCCGGTTTCCGTGATTCCCGGTTTCCGTGTTTCCCGGTTTCCGTGATTCCCGGTTTCCGTGTTTCCGCATCCATGAAACCATGGGGGCCGAGGCAGGGCGCGCAGTGAGGCGAATCGGGGCAGCGCGCAAACTTAGGCAAACCGGGCGAGGGGAGGTCACAACTGGGCAAACCGTGGCAGGGTGCAACATTGGGAAGATCGGGGGAAGGCGCAAAATTACGTTGATCGGGTTAGGGTGCGAAACTACCGGCCCAAGGCGTGCAAGGGTACAAAATTAGGGAAATCGGTCTAGGGTATAAAATTCGGGGAGGGTACAAAATTAGCCAAATCGGGGTAGGGTACAAAAGTAGGCGAATCGGGTGAGGGTATAAAATTAGGCGAAACGGGGTAGGGTACCAAATTGGCCAAACCGCGCAGCCTCAGACGGGAGGGCTTTGGCTCCCGCGGTTCTGCTCTTCCGACGCTAGACAAAAATAACCCCTGCGACCCCACCAAACCCCTGCTTTATATATATTACCGGTCGTATAAAACACAAATCAGGAACTCTGCGGTGATTTTCAGCTGGGCAAGTGTCTTCGTCCGGATTGCCGCTTTGTGCACGAGTTCCGTGCACCGGACCGTAGCAACGACCCAGGCAACGCGCGCAACGTCAGGACGAGTAACCGCGAGCGCAGCCCCAGGAGGGGTGGCGGAGGGAAGGGAGGTGGTGGAAACCAGAACAATTTTACGGGCGGTGCTGGTGGACCGCCACCCCCATCGCAGCAGAATTTCATGGGCGGCGGTGGTGGAAGACAGATGAACATGGGTGGTTTCGACGACTACAGTGGCGGCGGAGGAAATAATGACTTCGTACCCTGCATGGACTTCCGAGCCGGTCGCTGCTTCCGGGGGGATAACTGCAAGTTCTTCCACGAACCGGGATACGGCGGGAACTGATTATAGCAGGACGAGAACAAGAACTGATGAAAAACGTACAGTGCAATTTTTCAATCATCTTCTGCACGGATACGGAATTAGTCGTGAGACTGAGAAGATTCAGCTTCTAGTACTCCTGAAGCAGAAGTAAGTACTAGAAGTAGACGATTAGTGCTGATTGCAAGGGGCTGTTGAAGTAGAAGATGGATCTTCACAACAGGCAGCTATCGCTCACTACAGGTACTGACCCCCTGTATTAAAAACCGACTATCAAGCTGCCAGCACCAGGCAAGGTCTACAACCACTAGTAGCGACAGAAGAACCTCTCCCCGTTATAGTACATCAGAACATACGAGCAGCGGCCGCACGGCGAAAGTTGATGAATACCGCAATCTCCGCCAGTAGAACGACATCATCATCAATACGACAACCGTCAATCTTCTTCACCTTTCTCAATTGGCGATTTCTCTCCTCGACAAGCGAAGTCTTCTATCAAGATCGTCTACGTCGAGTACGGACTACCAAAAATCTTCGACATCATCTTGACGCGCTATAATCTTCCGAGAATAAAACAGTTACAGTAACAACAGAGAAGAACGACCTATAATTTCGAAAAGACAGCTCGATGCCGTTGCGTTGTGTGATGAACCGCAACACTAGCAGCAAGCACCGCACCAGTAAAAAAAGAAGGATCAGGAAGAAGGAAAAAAAAGACCGATATTTTATGGTATCGGGAAGGTACAAGCCCCTCGTTTCAACGGGTCTTCATCTGGAAGCCGCGCCGAGACCTCCTGCGCGATTGTTGACGACCGTTTTCTTGTGCGCAGGTCATGAGCCCCAAACATCGTTTTGCTGGACTCGCTTCACATCTTCATTTTCGGCTTCGTTGAGAAGTCAATGGATCGGTACCGCAATCATCTACTCCTTTCTTTTTCCTGATCTTTTTTTCTTGTTGATGTGTAGTTTAGTACGAGGTCGGACGATGAAGGTAGCAGGAGTGACAGCAGGTGCAGGACCGCATCCTCGTGTCACAGCATTGCTATTGCTTCGTGTCCCGCAACATGGCTTCCAAAGAAGTAGAGTTTCACCTCGTGTTTACGCGGAATGAAGAAGAAAGCAGTTGTGTTGAAGTGTGGATTTCCTGTCTTCTGAGGAGCTGAGTCTTGTATGTTAACGTTTGAGATTGCTGCCATGAATGAAAGAGTTTAAGCTCGTTCCAATCCGATCAATAATATTACAGCTGCTGCTCGTTCGCGCGTGCGACGCCGCTTCCTTTTGATATCCGCCCCTGCCTACTTACATGTGATGCGAGCGTAGCACGTGCGTCGAACCCACCATCTGCCTCTGGGTACATTCGGGCGCACGCGCAGGAGCTGCGTGAAGATCATTTGCCGCTTTGCTGCCAGCGAGCCTGGCACGCCGTTCGCTCCGAGCAGGTGGTCCGGGTCGCCACCTTACCTTCGGCGAGGCGCACCGGCGCCGCACCAGCGCTGTTTTTGCCGCAGCCGCTCCTACCGGGCGATCATTGTGTATTCCGCGGCAACCTCGCTATACGTGAAGCGTAGCGATCGCGCGGGCCATGAGCCTTGCTAGGGAGTGGAGCTAAAATGGCGAAACATCAGGCGGAGAAGTGTTGACAAAGGTAAAGGCGCAGCTGCCCACGTAAATGATCATTTGTCGACATCACGACTGCAGGCACCACTTGGATTTATATCTACTACAGATGTTTTTTTTGAAAAGCTAAAGCAAAAGAGGCACAATGCTTCCGCCTGCCGTGCGGCAACTACAAGACGCCAATTTATAAGTCGGCGCAGCATGATGTTGATGACTGCTTAGCGCCCCTTCTTCTACGGGTTGCAGCGTATCTTCTTGATTTCGCGTAACAAGAAACCACAAAATCGAGCCTGGCGACAGTATCGCGAGGAAGGGCAGCGCCTTCTGATGTGTACTAAGTGCAAACGGTGGGGGTCCTCGTGGTTCTAGAGGTAGGGCCCATTCTGAGCAGTTTTGCTCCTCTGGCTCTGAGTTTTTTTTAGCCGGGGCAAGAACGACGTGGTTATTCTATTGGCGCCCCACTTGAGCCGGAGGCTTCGTGAAACAGCAGCGGGGTTGCACAGCTGTGGCTGTGGCTGCGTTTATATTTGCGGTCAGTTCCGATTTGATTCATTTTGGATGAGCTTTTTACCTGGCGACAGAGCGCCTGCTCCTGTGTCCTCCAGTGATAATATATTCGCTCAGCGGCAGGCTGTGTAGTTTTACTTTTCGTCCCACAGCAAGTAGGAACATTGAGAGGGGATTTTTCTTCCAAGGCCCGGCTAGGCTCGAGCGCCTGCGTACGATCCACCTTACGTTTTCTGCCATGATACGACGAAGTGTGTCTTATATTGGATTGTCGGAAACAGTTGTCCACTTAAGCCCACATCATCATGGTCCTTTAGACTTCGCGAACAGAAATGCAAACTGTCGATTTTGGTAAATTGGGTCAACAGTATGTAACCTCTGTCAATAACGATCTATACTAACAACAAAGAAGATCAAGATCGGATCATCATGTCGGACCCTCAGCAGTATTTCGACAAGGCCGTCGCTACCCTGCAGGTTGCAGTTACTCTGGACAGCAACGGACAGCTGCAGGAGGCCTTTCGGGAGTACATGAGCGGCATGGAGATCATGAATTTGGGTTTCAAGTACAGCAAAAACGAGCGCAGCAAACCCTTGTACCGTCAGAAAATGACGGAAATGCTGAAACGGGCGGAAGACATCAAAAAATTGCTTGACCAGGGGATCACGAAGGTGGAGCCAAATCTTCAGGGCTGTAGTGCGGCGGGGGAACCACAAGTTGGAACTGTTCTTGGAGCTTCGCATCCAACCCAGGCGAACGGCGGCAGTGCGAAAAACAACTTTTTCCCAGGTGCCCGCGGTGGTAACAGGACTGGCAGGGCCTCCTCGGGACTTTCGGAAGTTGTAGATGACATCGGAGCTGCGGCGGGCAACAAGCCACCAGCAGGCACAAAATCGAAGGACGAAGCAGCTTTGTTGGCGCAGTTATCGGGCGCGATAAGGTGCGAGACCGACTGTGATACGAAATGGGAAGACATCGCCGGACTCGAGGAAGCGAAGCGGACGCTGCGGCAAACCGTGGAGCTCCCATTGGAATTTCCACACTTGTTCGGCTCCGTGTCGACGACTATGACTGGTTCCGCTTCCTCTGCATCGTCCTCCCAAATCATCACCATTCCTGGCGGAAATTTCTCCTCCGCGATTGAGAACAAATCACTCCTGGTTCCTTGGACTGGGATTTTGCTCTACGGACCCCCGGGAACGGGAAAGACGTTTTTGGCCAAAGCGGTGGCCAGCTCGCAGACACAGAATGGAGGTAGCACTCAGGAGCATGAACAGCCTCGTGGTCGCACAGGAGCTTCTTCTTCTTCTTCTTCTTCGCGTCCTCAAGAAACAGGGAGTGGATCATCAGCCACCGCCACGGCAGCGAACCAAAATCATTCCACCGCCGCATCGACCACGACGTTTCTCTCCGTCTCCGCCGCTGATTTGATGTGCAAGTATGTGGGCGAATCGCCGAAACTAGTGAAACTCTTATTCGAACTTGCGCGGGAAAAAGCGCCCTCGGTCGTCTTCTTGGATGAGATCGACTCGCTGATGGGCGACCGCACAGGATCGTCGAGCGATTCGAAATCCGAATCCAGCCGGCAGGTTTTGACGGAGTTTCTTGTGCAGCTGGACGGTGTGGGGCCCAGTATTGAGGGCGTGCTGGTTATCGGCGCGACAAACGTCCCCTGGGAGCTGGACCGGGCGATATTAAGTCGTTTCCAGAAAAAAATCTACATTCCGCTGCCGGATCGGAGTGCGCGGCGGGAGTTGCTGAGGCAATTGCTAAAGAACGAGCGGTGCGATTTTGATGTGTTTGGCAGCTCAAGTAGAACTTCTGATGTGGAAGAAGATGAAAGAGGACGAGCAAGGGGCGTAGCGACAAGCTCCCGCGAGGCCGCGGAAGCCGCTGATGGAAATCATGTGCTCAATACAGTCGTCGACGCGACCAATTTCTTCTCTGGCCGCGATTTAAAGGCGCTGGTGTTGCAAGCCCTGCAAGAGTGCGTCCGCGAGTTTTCAACCGCGAAAATTTGGAAGAAAATCCGGCCTCACCCATTCTTGCGGGCTACAGCGAGCAGTGGAGCGTACAACTCTGGCGGATCCTCGTCAGACGAGGCAGGGGTCGTCCTGGGCGGTGCTGGGGCGAGTAAAAACGGTGGCGTAGCAAGAGTATCTTCCCGATCCAATTTTGCCCTTGAACCGGTGATATTCAGCGGTGGCAACAAGGTGGGCAACATTCAGAACGACGAGGTTTTCGAGCCGGATTCGGTGCTGGAGATCTCCTACGAGCAGCTGCGCTCGACCCGCCCCGACCTGCGGAAGAAAACAGTTCTGCCAAAATTGTCACGAAGACACTTTGAGCAGGCGCTGCTGCAGATTAAGGGGTCTGTGTCATCAGAGGTGGATTTGATGAAATTTGAAGATTGGACCAGAAGGTATGGTGCCGTAGGTGTGTAAGAAGGTGCACTTACATAGTTAGCAGACCTGCGACGTGGCGCGGATGCGGATCCAGCTGAGGGTTTGGAAGTAGACTTCTAGCATTTAGGAGTCGATACGCAAATGATCACTTCAGGCTGGCAGTGTGCACTTCCACTTCGAGACTCTTTCTTTTAGTTTTTCTTGCGATGATCGGTCAGAAATTTTAAAATGTGGACAACCTGCTTCGTTGAAGCTGCAGCTGGTCGAAGCAAGTTCGCGATCGACATGATCTGATATGTAGAAATGAACACTAGCTCCTCCATGCAGATGAAGAGATCCACTCAAGACGTTCGTAGTGATGCCTGAGAAGGTCCGACATCGCTGAAGTGGATCCCTTCAGTAGACCTGCACGACTTGATAAGAATTCCAATGGCAGCACTTTCATTTTCAACACGACTTGGATCAACATTTAAAGAATCACCAGCTTCCGAAAGGACGTTCAAATCAAAGAGTTGGCTGACCTTGAAGATAAAGAGAGGGAGGGAGAGATGATATACACCTGCATTTCCCAGTCGTCGTGGAGTCGGTAGTTCTAAAGATGCCATGGCGTGACTGAGATGGTGAAACAACTGCATCAGATCATGATCCTTTAAATTTAGATGCGCAAAAACCAAATAAGGAATAAGATCCACCAGCTCTTTAACTTTCAAAAATCGATCTCCAGTGCGACACTGAGTCACTTTGATACTGCTATGAAATTCGCAAGAATAAAGATCCTGTTGAAATAATTCAACTGTTGAAATTTAGAAACGGAAATGATTGTGATCACCGCCTGCTCCTGCTCGACGGACCTACCAGAAATAGAAGCTCATGACGTTTCCTCACTCTAAAGAATCAATCTTAAACACGGAGCCACTCTCTACTACAAAAAAAACTGACACAACTACAACATCCACCCATCAATCGCACCCACAGGGACCACGAGGGAATTTGAGAATCCTCCTCAAATTACTGCTAAGTAGATACACAGTACTAAAATCCACCCCAAAACATAAACCTCATCCAAAATGGGTCGCATCGTTCGTGGTCAGCGTAAGGGTCGCGGGGGCGTGTTCGCCGCCAAGACCAAGCACCGCAAGGGCGCCGCCAAGCTCCGCTGCCTGGACTACGCCGAGCGTCACGGGTACGTGAAGGGCTTGGTCAAGGAGATCATCCACGACCCGGGTCGTGGCGCCCCGCTGGCCAAGGTCTACTTCCGGGACCCCTACAAGTACCGCATCAACAAGGAACTCATGGTCGCCGTCGAGGGCACTTTCACCGGACAGTTCGTCTACTGCGGTATTAATAGAAAACTTTTTTTTCTCCTGATTTTCATTGTCGCTCCTGTTTTCGGCAGCAGTGCGGCAGCGTTTACCATTTTTGGTAGCTGTAGGACCACGACTCCTAGGGATCGAGATCGGCTTAGGAGGGTTGAGATAATTTAGATTTCCAAATCTTCTACCGAATATGGCGTGCAACACACCTGCTCAATACCGGGAGATTTAGATGTTGTCCAATGTCGCTCTTCGAGTTTTGGGAACTATATGCGAGGACTCGACTCTTCGACGTTGGTATTTATCTGTGCTAGAACTTAGAATGCAGATGCGCAACATTATCCTCTTTCTAAAAATTCTATCACAGGTAAGAACGCTCAGCTGGCCGTCGGAAACGTGTTGCCGATTGGCAAGTGCCCGGAGGGAACCGTTGTCTCCATGGTTGAGGACAAATTCGCTGACCGCGGCTCCATCGCCCGCGCTTCCGGTATTTTTTTTTCAGATTTATCGAGCTAATGTGTGAAAGTTTCATCGCCCTTCAATACTCGGCTGATTTCGGTACAATGGCTTTAGCAGAGTACAGCTCGACGCATCCTCTTGGGTGTAGTGAGAGATGAAGTTTTGCAGCTAGGTAGTACTCGGACATCAGTCTAAGAGATAGAGCGACTTGTTCGTAAGTGCTAGATGAATTTAAATCCGGCTTTATCCAAATCCACTCTCCTCTTCCCCAAAGGTACCTCCTGCATTGTGATCGGTCACTCCGAAGACGGCAAGAAGTCCATGGTCAAGCTCCCGTCCGGTACCCGCAAGCGCCTGAATTCCGGTTCCCGCGCCATCGTCGGCATCGTCGCGGGTGGCGGTCGCATCGACAAGCCGCTCCTGAAGGCCGGAACCGCGTTCCACAAGTACCGTGTCAAGCGTAACTGCTGGCCCAAGGTGCGTGGTGTGGCGATGAACCCGGTGGAGCACCCCCACGGTGGTGGTAACCACCAGCACGTTGGTCACCCGACCACCACCGCCCGCAACGCGCCCCCGGGTCAGAAGGTCGGTCTCATCGCCGCCCGCCGCACCGGTATCCTTCGCGGTGGGAGCGGAAAGAAGTAAATTATTGCTTCTGCCAGACAGTGGGGTTGAGATTCATCTGAGATGCCATTCTCTCGCAGCTTTGATGTTTTTTATGTCAGAACGTGGGTGGACCACAGATGGTATCGAAAATCAATCCGTAGTGAGACTACTACTTTTGGGTGAATTTATAATACTGTGAATCTACTAGTAAAGTAGAGTTGGCTCATCTCGCTGTGTGAGAGGAACCACTCCTACTACACCAAGAGGACAGATATGTCGGTTTTTACAGATGGAATGGACAACTAGGTGACCGCAGGAAAATGTGGTATTGGTTTATCCCGATCTATACTTTCCTGTGAGAGCTTGAAGACAGTAAAAATCTGATCGGACCTATCTTATCGAAGACTTTGAGAAGAGGATTTCATATTCAAATTTCGAGAAAAAAAAACGAGAAGTGCAGCTCAGTTGCAAGCGCCTGCCGAGTGCTGGCGTAGAGCTGCGTTGAGGTTGAGGAGACGGCGGTGCTAGCGCATCGTTCATGATGTGTACAGCTAGCCGGAGCGTTATCCTGTCTTGTTCGTCAGAAGTTAGGGTCTCTTTGCAACAAGATGCTAGCCTCAGTGTCGTGTGAGATCTTACCTGAGTGTGAGAGTGAAAAAAACAGATGAGAGCGTGAGTGTGAACGCGCGGAAGCAAACAGGCTTGGTCAAACAGATTTAGATTTTGGAAAGGTGATGTTGATGTGATACTAGTACCGGTGCCGTACCATCTTGGGCATTGATGTTCATGTTGTACTTGCAGCTACAAGAGAGCGTCGGTCTATTATTTCGGGAGCAGCAGCCAGGCGCGCCGTCTGTGCCCACGACGTGGTGCGACACCGAAAATGACGGTCCCTGCGGTTGGTCCTCCAGCGTCCGCATCAGCTTCCACGACCATGACCACCGGAGCGCGTAACTACAATCCGGAGGTCGACCTGATACATGACGACGTCGAACAGGAGGAGCTACAGGATCACGGCGTGGGCGTGGCGGGCTCGATATCAGCAGATCCTCCGCCACGGAGGGCAAGCAAGCCTGAGCTTTCCTCTGTCGACAGTAGCAGTCCAGATCGCGTTGATTCGTCCGCCGATCAAGAGCAGGGTCACGCACTGCTGGACGCTGCGTTGGTGAAGAAGGGAGAAGGGAATGAGCTGTACAAGAACCATGAGTTCAAAGCGGCAAACCAGAAGTGGACGGAAGCGCTGAAGGACGTGCTGCAAGCGGGACAATTTATTCTCCTGCCCAGATCCGCGACGGAGCTGGAGACCGCACTGTATTTGAACCTCGCCCAGGGCCATTTGAAGCTTTCGGAGTGGAAGCAAGCGGAAAAAGCACTCTTTATCGTGCTCAGGGAAGACAAGTCCAACGCGAAGGCGTGGTTCCGGCTGGGCGAGGCGCAGCTCGGGATGGAGCAGAGTAGCAGTTACGAAGACGTGAAGAAAACGATCTTGAAGTTGGTGGATTTGGGGAACAAGCTATTCGCAGGAAGTTTTTCTTTTTCCCGGTGAAACAATGCACAACAGCAACAAGTGGTCTCTAATATGCATGACAGAACAAAAGCAAAAGCTCGTCTACTTCTCCGCATGATGAGAGCAGTACGTAGTGGTCTTCGCATGTTTGTTGTAGGTCCCCAAAGAAGGAAATTCGAATTTGTGAGTGGGTTTTGTACCTCCATTTTTGCGGTTGTGGTTGTGCCCGCGGCCGAGCGGGAACAAAGTTGTTGTATTGCATACGAGCCACTGGCGACGAGCTTGCAGGCAAAGCTGAAAGAGAAGAAAGAAAAGGAGAAGGACGTTTATCACACAGAAGATCGAAATGAGAATAACTTCTGCGCTCCTGCTGTTTGAAGATTTTTTACCTAGACGCAACGTGCATGCATCGATGTAACATGACTTGGGTCATGTTGTCGCAATATTGAGATGCTGTGCGCTGCAGCACCAGGTTGTTGTTCTTTTACATGTCCTTGCAGTTGCGCTGCAGTGCTCCTTCGTGCGCCGGAAAGGCAAAGGCTTTCGTGTTATGATTTAGCACTGCTAGTGATCCTAATATTTTTCATCTTCTCGTCGTGATAATCCGTACCGCAAAATCATGAAAAACGCCGACCAATTCGCCGTCGACGAAGCGGAGTTGGAAGAGAGGAAGGGAAAGGCAACAGAGGGAATCACGCTACCCAGTGCATATCACAGGAAAAAAGTGTTAGAGTTACACATTTGTTGTAATTTCAGCATCACAAATTTGCTCTGCATGGCAAAGAAAACTTGTAATGCGCAGACTATAAGGGAAAACAGAAACGAAATGACGCTGTCTAGCGTTTCCTGCATGACAGAGGTTGTTTGTCTTGCTTGTCTTGCATGAGAGTGTGTAACTGTAACACTTTTTTCTCACGATAGTGCAGCCACGGCGAACAGTGTCTCCTTCGAACAAACCAGCGCTCTGCACGACAGCTATGAAGTTTAGAAATGTCTGGGTCTGGAAGATTCTGAGATTTGTCATGCTAATCTGGCATGACTCTGAACTCTGTATTGCGTGGCCGCAAAGAGCTCCTCCTCCCTGTGTTGCAAAAACGCAGATTCTAATGTGGAATACGCAACTAAGAACCATGAAAAAAACTTGTCATGCTTGGCGGCGCATTACAGTGAGCTCACTATTCTCTTCCTTGCATCACAAGTTGAAGTTTCCAGACTGACCCAGACATTTTTACAATCCATAACAGCATCCGCAACCCGACGGTGCTCCAGTACGGCTACAGAAAGCACTATGCTGACCAAAGAACAACAGCTCCTCTATTGGAGGTGGGGAAGGGTCATGAAGTGCAAGAGACGAGCAGCACTATTCAGGAGCGTGCTGTTGGTGCTCAGGTGGAAGCGAACAAAACTGGGAGTGGCGCAGATCATGACAACGACGAGTCGACTCCTACAGCCGTGCAGAAGACGTTTTTGGACCGCGCGCTCCAACAGGCGAAGCGGTACCAGAAGTTTTCGCGCAAGTCGAGCAAGGAGAACATTCAGCACCAGGCCAAGCTGTTTTACCTGCGGCAAGGGTTAGAAGGCAGCCAGGTCGCGAAGGACTACGAAATGTTCGCCCAGGGCGTGGAGCAAGAACTCGAGGCGCGGAAGCGCGAAGGCACGGAGGATCAGGAAGTGTGTGAACTGGATGAAGTGTTGTAGACGACGAAAAACCGAAAAGAACGCAAACCTATTGCGCCTTCTCTCTGGGAAACCAAAAAGGCGTATTAGTGTGCGACTTCAAACCAAAAAGATTTCTCTGATGTGGTACACTCATTGCGACTTCAAATCGAAGAGGTAAAGGGAGAAAGGCGTAAATTAGAATTAGTGTGGTGCTCATCTTCTCTGCAGGTCCAGTTGCAGCATTGTTCGACCGGCGGCTTGTTGTTTTTCACTCAGTGCTGTTGTAGCGCAAGAGATAATGAGAAAGAGAGAAACGTGCGCAGCAGGATTTTCTCTAGGATGAGTTTGGTTTTGCTTTGCAGGGTTTTTCTCTGCAGCGGCAGTCACGATGAAGAAACTGAAGGATGTTTTCTTCAGTGCCGTAGCAGCGCCAGAGATGGAGAGAGAGAGAGAGACACGTGCTGCGCAGCAGGACTTTCTCTCGGATGAGTTGGGTTTTCTTGCTTTGCAGGGTTTTTCTTTGCAGTTGCAGTCACGATGAAGCACGTCAATGGTTCGCTCTACGAAATGAAGTCAAAGTCGTTCGTTCCCGAGTTGGGAGGTAGAACATCAAAATCAGACACTCTATGAATCTCCTACCGGCGATGTCGGTGTTACCACACGTAAACAAACTAAAAACAGACCACACCAACCAGTAGTTAGTACATCCATGAGTAACAAGCGTCAATATGTAAGAAGACCCGGACCGCTCACACGCGGTCATCTCTTTGTCTTTCATGGCCCGAACTAGTAAGAAAGATGACCCTACAACAGCGAAGCCATTTATTGTGGTCAAAGCACCACGATAATGGATATGGACTACAACTACTCGTCAGATGGTAGGGCAGGGCGGATGATAAAATGAACCTTTCCTTGTTTCTCAACGACGGTGACGCTATGGGGTTGGCAAATTAAACTAGCCCGTCACGAAATCGACTAGCTTGTCATGAATATTTTTTTGCAATGTAGTATTTCTGCCCCTGCCTGCTCGGACCGGCGCTGAGTGACACAGCCTTTCCTTCGCAGGACTATCGTGTTAGAAGTCGCTACCACCTGGAAACCGGCACAGCTCAACAAGGCACTTGCTTCTTTTTCGCGGCGCTCTTCATCAAGTTCAAGAAGATCATGGTGCGCAACTACAACAAGAGCGAAGCACGAGCACGCGAATCCCTAGGCGCGCGCGGCCGAACACAGGAGCGAAACTCAGTTGCGAGTCTCCACTTTGCGAAAAGGGTACTTGCCCGACTCTATGAAGTTTTCTTCTGGCTGTTTGCGAGTCTGCTGGAGTCGCTGCGCGAGCTCGTCAGCAGCCTGCTCGTTCACGCGCGGACAGCAATTGCGCGACTTTGCTGTGGTAAAAGGAACAGCGGAGGTATTGGACGAGGTGACCACAGAAATAATCTTCTTCGTGCTGGATCAGGATCCACAGGTCATCTACTTCACACGTCGGCACGCCGGAAAAATCAAGCGCGACGTGGCGGGTGTGAGTATGGGAAAGGCGAAGAAGAAGATCATGCGTTTGAGGACGCACTTGTGGAGCATTTGGTTGAGGTGAAGAAGGATGAAACACAGCGAGCTTGTCCCCCGCCAGCGCCACATGAGGGAAATAAAGTGAAGCCGCCGGTGCTGGGAGCGTCAAGGCACGACGACAAGAAGCAGTCCGGCGCGCGCAGTAGTAGAAAGCATAAAGATAAACAAGGTAAAAAGGGAAATAAAGGGCCGAGGGGGATGAGCATCAGTAGAAGTAGCAATATGGGCAGCGGGGGCATTGTATGCACACCTTCTTCTTCATTAGACGCAGACGCTGTCGCAGTGCAACAACCTTCGAGCTCGGCGGATCACCAACGAAGAAAAAGCTGTGACGTGGTCGAGTTCCCGGTAGTGCAAATCGCAGTAGATGAAGCGAAAGCGGAAGAACAAGGGGAATCATCAGTATCGACGAGGAGGAGGAGCTCAACCAGCACCAGACTGCAATCCGCATTCTCGACGGAGCGGACGCAGACAGCAGGGACAGGAACGATAAAAAGTGTCCTACCGGACGAGAAAGCAAAGTCATCTGAAGAAAGTAGAGGGACTAATCCAATAAAAGATTACAGCTTGGATGGCCATTAGATTTCTCTGTGGTGAATTTCGCGTGATTTTAGGGGTCTGCAAGAATTTGATAGGTGGCGCTGCGAATATTTTCTCCCGGAATTATCGACATCCACCCGATGGAATAGTCGTAGCGACGTAAGTTCCAAAAGGCTTCCGGTGGTGGCGGAATTTTTCCAGCAAAGAAAAGGCCGGGATGGGGCGCCTCAGTGTGTAGTTGCATTGTCAGCGCCCCACCCCTAGGATGATGGGTTGCGAAATAGCTTCGCGCAGTTATTTTTGTTTTCTGAGTGCTTCGGATGGCTTGTCGGGCTCGGGCGCCTGATCTGTCACACGCCTTCTGCTGCGGCAAGAAGTCATAGCAATTCAATGCCTCGCCTGCCCTTGTGGCGTGCTGCTTGCATTTTGTTGGTTTTGTATTTGTGCGTGCATGCGCCAAATGTTTCGCATTTTCTGAAGCAAATGCGCGGCGATCGTTTTGAGTGTGGTTTTCCGACTCCGGTGAATTTAGAAATGAATGCAAAATGAGTGTTGATTTGGTGATGGTCTGGAATCCAGAATCAGGTCGGGGTGAATTTAGGAAATTGCAAAAATTTCCTAAATTCACCGCCCACCAATTTCTAAATTCACCGCCAAATTCACCGATCGCAGCATACCATCGGTAAAGGGGGTACTTTAAAGCTGGTTTTTGGGGCGAAACAGCACGGCACTCCACATCGGTGATTTTTAGCAAAAGATGCATCCTCATCATACCATGGGGAATGATGTTTAAATGAAAGCTTTTCCCGATGGCAGTGCCGTTTTTTTGCGATTTTGTTGTCCAAAATTAAAACGTTGAAGTTGAACTGTGGAGAAAGCAGGGAGAAAGTCATGAAACCACCAAAAGACTTGCCTCGCGAAAAAAGACGCGGAAAAATGTGGTCGGTTGGGCGTTGCCGGGACGGGGATTGCAATCAATGTGAGGGAGCCGTGGTGACGAGCCCCGTGTCGCCATCACCTCTATTTGTGCTAGCCCTTGCCCCGTGAACCATAACCACCCGAAAGACCGGCCCCGCGATTCTACGCCACCTCTAAAATCACTTGAAATTCACCGCCCCTATATCTCATGGGCGTCCAAGCTGTAAATAAAAGATGACGCCAAGAATAAATCTAGCTTGTCCTCCACCGCTGGAGCTCCAACGACTACAACAGCCCGTTGCTCTACGCAGGACGTCACGCCCCCACCAGAGCAACAGCGTAGTGTCAAGGATGCGTCGAGCAGCACCTCCGCCACCACGCAACGTGAAGTAGATGAGGGACGACTGCAGGCTTCTACTGAGCGACAACTTTCATCCAACATTATGACAGCTGCATTGACAAGAGCCGCGCGCTTTTCGATGAAGAGCTGCTCCAGGAGCTTTTGTCCCGAGTTCGTGACTCGCACCATCGCATCCAGTTGCTCGCGTGCTAGCAACTTTTTTACCAGAAGCGAAGACTGCGCGTCTACAACTTGTTCAGAGGAGGTTCTGCGACACAAGATCACCACAAGTTGTGCGACTGGGACCTCCACGTCCACCCAAAGCGGTGGCGGGTCCAATCGCTCTACAGAAGTGGCTAGTACTGTACTGTCGTCAGTACTGCGACCGAACAGTCCACCAGCAACTACTTCTGGGCTACGTCCACCTGCTGGCGCGCCGTCTCTTACCACCAGCACGGCTCATCTACCTAGTGCTGCTTCATCTGTCGAAGGGAAGGACGAGGTTATGCAGCGGGGAGAAAGAACAACAACGACAAACCAGAAGGGGCTGAGCTACAAAAACCGGAAGAGAAACAAAAAGAAGAACAGTAAACGCAGCACTCATAGCACTCACGAAGATGATGAAGAGCGCTCAGTAAGACATGTGCTTGGAGATCAACATCCGGCCATCTCCCGGGGACCCGCTACGGAAGTCGTGGCCGGGACCAGCACGCTCGGCAAGAAAAATGCGGCACGCGGCACCGGGGAGATGTTGAGCGTCATGCCTGCTTCTTCTACCTCTTGGGCGGGTTTATTTTCCCCAGCTAGCAAAAATGTGATGAAGCTTTTCTTGGTCCTGTTGTGCAGCATGCTGCTGGTTGACGCGCGGCAGAGAATGTTGCGGCGCGAGCCCCGACGTACAGTCGCCTTGGTGGAGACGTCGAACCCGGGGCCGCCATCTTCGCTGGGTTCTTCGTCTTCATCGTCGGGCGACAGCAATCGCGGCACTTCAGCAGAAGCAGGCTCCCTTGCGCAAACAAGCTCGACTCCCGGCGCGCTTGCCGCGGGGGCTCCCCAGGATAGCGTCGCGAGAACTCTGGTTACAGTAACCACCTCAGTGCTCGCTTCCCTGTTCGGCTGGGACGAAGGTGGTCATGGAGGTGGGATCAGTGCAGTAGAGCGACCCGCTTCATCATCTTCGAGTACCATAGAAAGTAGTAAAAACGACCCACCTGGAGCTGGTGCTGGACGAGATGTTTCGAAGAGCACGTCGGCTTTGGCCCTGGAATCGGAAAGGAGCTTGTCTAATGGTGATGCTCCAGCCGTGGATTCGACCGACGGAATTTCTGCTGGTAGCGCAGATGACAGTGCTTACAGTGGCCAGAAAAGCATGCTGCGCTCGCCGACCTCGACGACTGAAGATGAAGTCAGCGCGGGACGAGGAGCTGCATCGGGAGCCGAGAATATCCCGCGAGGATACGAAACATCTTCACCGCAAAGAACTTCGACTGCCACCGATGAAGCTTTCGGCCCTGGTGCACCAGAAGATGCTGCCGTGAAGAAAAATGACGAGGAACAAACCTCGTTTTTGAGTAGTGTCGAAGACAAGCAAGATGACAGATCCGGCGCAGCTATCGCAAGGACTACAGAAGAACTGTCGGGAGGGTCTTCAAGTTCATCTCCTGCCGCACCTACAGCTACACCTGCACCCCCATCTGGCCATACTACTGCTCTTTTTGCCGACGGCGGACGACGAGGGGTCGCTGCAAACACAGAAGACCACTTGTCGCTGCACCAGGAGGCGGGCGTAAGCGATGATCAAGTAGGACCAGCAGCTGGCCAAACGCTGACCGTGCCGCGCCAGAAGGATGCGGATGCTAGTGCTGCTCACCCAGCACCGGCTGGAAAGAAAATTGCCTCCACGTCACAAGCTCAAGTCCCGGGCGGGGGCGGGGGAGGTACTACAAAAACGACGGGTACAAGCCCGCCTTCTACTGCGAACAAACCGGTGGCGAAAGCTGGTGGAGATGGTGGAAAGACCGATGGAGCAACCGAGAACAGGAAAAAAATGAATGCGGCGGGGCAAGAGCGCGGTCCTGTGGGAAAGCGACCTGCAACTCATTTTTCGGATGATGAAAAACAGAGACAGGACACCTTATTCGGCGCTGTTGGCGAGTTGCAACTCCTGTCCGATGAATCCTCCGCCGCATCCTCCGAAGGTGCCGCTGCCGCGCCAGATTTCAGCAGTACGAGTAGTACGTCACCGACCAGTGCTGTGGATCGGACCACGCCGGCGAAAGCAGTAGCGAGTTCGAGTTCGACCTCAAAACCCTCAGCTGCGCCGGCTGATGCCGAACAATCGACAGGCGTGCATCAACAACAACCAGAAGCGCAGGAGCTGGCAGCTGTGGTAGCGGACGATGTTGTCGCAGCAGCTGCACATGATCAAAATGGTCTTGGTCAGCATGCTGGACACGAAGAAAGTGATCATCATCAGCACGACGAGGGCCTTCAAGGCAACGAAAAACCCCCCACGCCCGCGATAGTGCACCGCGGCCCAACGGCCATCGAGCCGCCTGGACCAGTTGTGGAGCGCGTTGATCTTCCGGCACGGCCGGAGGGGAATTTAAACGACGCGTTTGCCACTTCTTCAACTTTGGAACGAAGTAACAAAAAGCCACTGGATGTCGAAAGTGAAGCCTCGCACGGAAATGGTGATGATGACGAAACAGCAGGAGCAGGAGCGGCCGGGGGCCGGGCGACGCCAGAGTCGGCGTCGACTGCTCAATCAACGTCGGATAGTACTCCGCGACAGCAGGAGGCCGGACCGAAAAGAAGTGCTGCATTGGACGCGGAAGACGAGATGGACGCATTTGGTACTAATTCTAAACTAGAACTACAGCTTCTGCTGCTTATATTTAGCCTGATGGCCTTGATGGCACGCAGACGTACCGTGGTGTTGGATGGAACAGTAGGGCTTCATCTATGTTGGATGCTCGTCAACTTTTGCATCACGAATTTGTTCAATGAACAGATGATTTGGAAATAACATCTACATCATCTTCATCATCATCGCAGGTTTAGTGGCCGAGTTACGGCGGGACTCCTTGCAAATAGAAGACACCGGGGGGATCATCGACAAACAAGATCCGCCACCTGCTCTACCTGTCGATGATGAAGATGATCATGTTCATCACGCTGATGGTGCTTCGAATTCACCATCGCCCAGCAACATCCCGGACCCGGACGAGCACGAGGACCAAGAAGTGCATGGTGATCTTGAGCGCGAGATGCTGGTCACCGGCCACAGTGGACGAGCACCAGTTCCGACAGCGGCGAGGACAGCAGTGGGGGAACAGCATACTGACGACGACAAGAACAGCCAGATGACTCAAGACCAGCAGGAGGATCCTGCTGTCCCTCCGCCTGGAGGTGTTGCTCACACCGCCCGGAACTACCGCGAGGAAAAAGTGATCTCGAACGACGACAATGGGAACGGCTCTGGAAAAAGTGGAAGCGCGTCCAGGACAGCACCTGCACCTGCAGCCATGTCTTCCAGCAGCACGGCGGCGGCGGCTCCTGCTGCTTCATCCGCCGAGACCGGTTCAAGTTCAACTTTCTCTTCAGCATCAAGAACCTCGGCATCATCATCTGCTAGTAGTGCTCTTGTGCCTAGCTCTACTGATGGAAGGGAGGGCAATGACGAGGAGGCCGAAGCAACAGGAAGTGCAGCGAAGACCAGCGCGTCTGACCAATCACATATTCGCACCACGCCGCCTACGTCAACCGCTCGTGGTGCTGAGAACGCCGGGCCGCAGCAGCAAGCACAAGCGCCGGAAACTGCAGAAAGTGCAACGGCATTGGCAAGCGAAAGCACGAACCCTCCCGGAAGTGCTGTAGAGACCGGGAGAAGGAGCGGGGGGGCGATGCCACAACAAGAAGCACACGGAGCCGAGATGAGGAAAACACAAGGTGATCTAGACAAAATACTGGGACTACGGACATCTATGGAAGATAAAGGACCTTCCAGCAAGAGCAAGAGCAAGAGCAGGATCAAATTCGAAAGTAAAGAAAAAGGAGGCGTAGTACCGCCCGAGGAGCCGGGGCTGCCAGAACAGAAGCAGCTGGCCATAAAAAATGTAAACGGCGTTATCACAAGCTTTGAACAGCTGAAGGCAGCATACGAGCAGTGGTCAAAACTGGAGAAGGTGGCTGTAGAGACAAGTCGCCCAAACCAGGACAGGACTTTCGTCCAGTTTGTGCTCGATAGCAAGTCGGATCCTGAGGGGAAGCGCAAAGAGCTCCGCGAGGAGCTTGCGAATTTCATTCTGGACGTGGCCGCGTCTTTCCTTCTGGACGCCTTGCAACCCCCGGAGGACGCTGAAGAGCTGATGGACTACATCGCTGGAGAGCTCGAAGAAGAGAAGGAAGGTCTACGCAAGAAGATGGAGATGGGCGGGAAAGGTACAGAAATAGAAAATGAAAAACGAATCGAACAACTAGTCAAAAAGCTACTCCCAACGAAGATCACGGAAACTAAAGTCAATGAGCGCACCATTCAGAACTTTTCATACAAAGCTGCGAAGTTTCCATCCCGTGCGACCACGCAGGACACGCCGCGTGCAACCTTTTTCAAAAACGGCGTCGAAGTCACGGAAGATATAGCTAAGAAAGTATTTGAAGAGATCAAGGAAGCGCTTCAGGGCGACGAGCGAGAGCAAGGTGAAGAATCTTCGCCGAGCAACCATCTGGAGTTGCCGACAGCCGGTGAGGACAAGGCGAACGCGGCGCCAAACGCTGTCGCGAGTTCCTCAAGCTCCACCCCACCTTCTGGGATTAATAAAGAAGAGTCGCTCGCGCCGCCAGGAGACGTAATCGGGAGTCAGCATCAAGAACAGAAAGAAACTTCTACCGGGTCCCTAGTGCCTGCTCTCGCTCCTGTTTCATCACCAGATCCTGGAGGACATCAGATACGACCTGTTTCTTTTCTGCAAGAAGCGCAGTCGAGTGCAGGTGGGCCAAAGGCAGCACTCGCAACTTTGTTCGGACCAGTCGGTCGGATCGGCAAGCGGATCTTCAGCGGATTTTCATCAAATCAGAAGGCGGAGGACGCGAAACAAGCGGAAGAAGTTCGCAAACGCGGTCGCAAGCTACTTGACAGGTTGGTCGAGCAAAAATTGCCGGAAGTGCAGCAATGGCTCAACTACCTTGCAGAGCAACTAGTTGTACAAGATGGCCAGGGCGGGCCGCCCTCCAACGTCCTAACAGCGGCTTTGACATCAATGACTGGAAACGACGCGAACAAGTCGCAGTTGTTAACGAAGAAAATTTATTGCGCGGAAAAAAAAATCCCTCCCCACACTGATTTCATATCTTGCGACGTAGTGGTGTGTGTACGTAAGATGAGCCAATCCTTGCGGCATGCACCAGCACCGCTGAGGAGCAAGGACATTGTCATTGATTTACATTTAACACTTCTTCTTGCAGTTTTGTGTGGTGGACACATAGTTACATCATGCGGCGACTCAGTGCCGGGGGCGCGGTCGGCATTCCGCAACCGAGGCCCGGCTCCCGGCCGATACCTCTCTAGGTATTGCGCCCGCAAGCGCAAGCGCAAATTTTACCCCTTTAGAAGAAGTTTCTTTTTCGCGAATGTCTGGTTCGGGATCGGAGCTTTCGGAAAAGCGAAACGCCCATGAAAGTTCGCGCATGGTGGAACCACGGGCGGCGTCACTTCGAGAAAAAAGAGCACTCAGCGAAATTGCGTCACCGTCGCCGCCTGTTCCAGGTGGGTCCTGGCGGAATTGCGCTTCCCCTGAAATTAAGTACGCGTCGAGACACTTCGCAAAATTTATGCCAGCGCCTACACAAACCGCTCTGGGATGCTGTTTTGCTATAGCAGACTCTTCTGTTCTTGTTGAAGCAGCGCCTTCGTCTGCAAGCTTTGGTGGATTAGAAGAAAACGCCTACTCTTGCTCTTCAACAGAACTAGAACAAGAATTGAGCCACGGCTAATATCTGAAGAGCAGCTTACTGAAGAGCTATCTTCTGCTAAAAAAAAAGCCCAAACTCAGACAGAAGAAGAAAAAACCCACACTCTGAAGAAAAAAAAAGCCCCGCAACAACTTCAGAGCTGTGCTGCTTTCTCTTTTTCTTTGATATTCGACGACAAAAATAAAAAGAGGACAAGGACTGTCGAGAAAAAAGGAAAAGAAGAACTAACAGAAATAGATCCTTTTGAGTTTCTTGCGCGAGTTTCGCGTTCTTCTGAAGGTTGAAAGTTCGTATTATCGCCTTCAGAGGAGCCGAGTTTTCGGAAAACCAAAATCGAAAAGCTTTTTGGTCTTCTAAAGAGTGTTTTTTGTTCGTTTTTTTCCTTAGATCCTTCCATCCTGAATGCGAAAAGAAATTTAGGCAAAGTTCGAGTCTTCTGAAGACCTTCAGAGCCGGAAGACAGAGGCTTTGGAAGAGAAAGTTGAATTTTCCTTGCGCCTGTGCTTCTCAGAGTAGAAAGGCAAAGACATGCACGCGCTGCCAAGTCGTTTACAGGCGAATCTTCATTGGCCATGTCGCTAGTAATTGTAATCCCATGGGGCAATCATGCAGTATTTGCTTCCTGTCATACTGATCACGGGGCGACTTGCTTTTGCTACTACACCAGCAGCATAATTGGGTCCGCATCTCTTCAAACACAAACGGCCGCCACGCTTATACATAGAGACAGAGACTTCCTTTAAATATAAAAAAGATTGGGCGGGGGTTTTTGCCTCTTTGATGAAATTGAGCTCCTCAGCTTACTAGCTCCAGTCTTCTTCGAGACCCTGATCCTTTCGCTGCAGCTCTCCCGACAGATGGCGGCAGAGGCGGACAAAGATATGGTGCGGTAAAACAATTATTTTTTGATGTGATTTGAAAACTTTTCATTTTCTGGGCCTCCGGACTGCGCCTTGTGCATGGCAAATTTTGGTAGGTACATTTCGCATGCGTCCGTAATCAGCCGAAAGGATAGCTACTACTTAAAGTAGCTAGCTTTGTAACGAACTGAAAAGCAGCAGCTCTGCATAGCTGTTTCGTTGCTGACTTGTCTACAGATCTATGACGACTGATCTTTTCGATGACGGCGACGGGTGGTCCGGAGACTAAGAAAAAATATGTTGCACTCGCGCCGCCGTGTTGGCACAACGGCGCGGCAACTTCTTCATAATTGAGGGACCATAGAAACATAGACGAGCTGACTCAAAGGCTTGTAGATTTTGCAGCGTCCGTAGATATGTAGTGCATGGAAGTCCTCGAGGACGGAGCCCGGGAGACTTTCATGCGCTCCGTCCCTGGTCCACATGCGGTCGGTTGCTTGAAAGGATGAAGCAAACAGCCGACCCAAAGAAAACGCAAAGTGACTACATTCCATGGGCCCTAGCTTCCGCCGGGGCTACTGACCCAACGCGGCATCAAAAAGCCTCAGTGGCCTAACGGGCGGACGGGGGGGCAAGTCGGCTGCGCCGAGTGCCGGGAGCCGGGTCATTTGCGAACGCACCCTGCCAGAGGCATCGCCGTGGCCACGGAGGTAGTTAGAATGAAGCAAGCGCACAAGGAAGCGCAAAACTCAAGAAACGCGGCAGCAGGCGTAGAAGTAGGCGCAGGAGTAGGGGAAGAACTAGGCGCATTCATAGGCGTAGAAGTAGGCGTAGAAATAGGCGGAGAAGTAGGCGTGGGAGTAGCCGTAGAAGTAGGCGTAGAAGTAGGCGCAGAAGTAGGCGCAGCAGTAGGCGTAGAGGCAGGCGTAGCGGTAGGCGTGGGAGTAGGCGTGGAAGTAGAAGTAGGCGTAGCAGTCGGCGTTGGTTCAGGTTGTTGGGGTAGCAGTCGACGTAGTCGAAGCGGCATCGCGGGGGGCGAGGGGTACAAGAGCAGAGGCCTTACCAAGGGCGTAGCCGTAGTGGCGCTGCTAGGGGCGAGCGTGCGAGGGAGTAAGGCCCACCCGTTTTCCTTGCGCATGTTGGGCGGGATGGCGCCGAAGTGACACGGCTGGACGGAGCGCAGGGGCGGCGGCCGCGCGCTTTCGAAACTAACAACCGTGCCCCGAGTCTTGCGCTGCCCGCCCGCGCGGTTGCATGCTGACTAGCGCCGAGGGGGCGCGCCACCAAGCGAAACCCGGGACGGAGGGCGGCACAATGGGTGGCCGGGGTGGGGGGAGAGTCGGCCTGCCAGGGCGCTACCTCCCGGCTTGCTTATATATTTACGAAAGTGCTGCGCCCCGCCATTTTTTTCATCCTAGCCGAGACCCTGACCCGGGGCCGCCTCGCCCGCGCTGCTAGCTTGGCTCGGGCGTTTGGGGCACAGCCGCTGACTGGCGCGCTAGCGCTAGCTTCCCCCAGAGCACGGCGCTTGCCCCCTCGCCCGGCCCCGTGGCCCCCCCGGTCGGTGGCCTGACCCACCCTGCCCCCACCCACGCGGGGGAGGGCGGCGGCCGTCTTCTTCCAAAAGACTGGCTGCAGGAGTGCGCCGCCGCTGTCCCCTGGGTGGGAGGGCGGGCGGCGGAGAGCAGCGGGCCTCGACCTAGTCGCCGCAAGATAGCGGCAACATGCCCCCGATACGTACTTACGGCCGCGACATATTTTGGCAGCTACTTGCGCCAGCGTGTCTGTTTATTGCGTGTGGACGCTTCCTCCACCGCTTTGGTGCAAAGGAGAAAATGGCTGGCGCAGGGGGAAAAAACAGGGCCCCTGGACGTTCCCGGGCGGGCGCTAGGGGAGCGGGGGCGTAAGGGGCGCAGGCCGGCGGGAACGGGTGCGCCGCGAGAGCAACAAGGGGCGGCCCGGGGCCTGCCGGGGTCGCAGTCACACCCATAGCAGGGACCCAACCTGGGAGCGGTGGGGGTTGTTCGCTAGCTCTCCGAAGGCGGGGCGGCTAGGTCTTTGCCGGCAGGGCGTTAGGGGTATTAGAAGGCGGGCCCCATATGTGCTACCAGGAGCAGGAGCAAGAGGCCCTACCAGGGGCAAGAAGTTCTATCAGGCGCAAGCTGTGCATGTGCCTGCCGAGGCGAGATATAACGCATTGCGATGGAAAGGGGGCGCTAACACTACAAGGAGCGAGAAGTCCTACCAGGGGCGAGGCGTATGCGCAGGGACAAGATGTATTGCGAGGGGCAAGATGCACTGTGAGGGGCAAGATGCACTGCGAGGGGCAAGATGTACTGCGAGGGGCAAGATGTACTGCGAGGGGCAAGATGTACTGCGAGGGGCAATATGTACTGCGAGGGGCAAGATGTACTGCGAGGGGCAAGATGTACTGCGAGGGGCAAGATGTACGGCGAGGGGCAAGATGTCTTGCGGGGGGCAAGATGTACTGCGAGGGACAAGATGCACCGCGAGGGGCAAGACCTAACGCAAAGCCTTTGCGTTAGGTTCGACCTAACTGCAAACTTCTTACTTGCCCTTTGCGGCAAAGGGCAAGTAAGAAATACTGCCAGGGCTAAGGGGCAGGCGCCAGCACGCAGGGGCAAGAGGTTCCACCAGGAGCGGGGCGCACCGCGCGGGGGGCGACGAGGGGCGCTTTTATATTGAAGGGGGCAAGCGGTTCCCTTCTGAGCGAGGGGGCAGGGGCGCCACTGCGTCCAGGGCTCGGGGTATTTTTGTAGCGCCTAGGGGCTTCCTTGTCGTGTATCGTGCCGAACCGCTACAGCTTAAGCCGTAGAATTTGTCGCAAATATTTTCACAGTAGCATGCATTTTACGAAAAAAAGCGGGCAGATACATGAAAAGTTCTAGAGCTCGAGCCCCAGAAACGCTTCAGCTTTTGTCGTAGTAGCATGGTGATTCAGTTTGTGGGCAGACGTCATGTCTGTCGTGGTTTTTGGTCGTGTCCTACGGCTAGACCTTCATCTTTTGAGTCTCTGCCGTGCGTATTAGCAAATAGGAAAAGAACTAGTTTGAAAAGCCCTAGGGATTTGCTTCAGGTTTTCTGCAGGTCGAGCCGCAATTTCTAATGCTGTTTGAGGGTCTCAGAACTTTCGTCTACAGCCTTTGAGTCAAGTTCGGATTAGTCTATAGACTATAAAACTAATTTCATAATTACTTCGAAGAAAATTGCTTTACCGTTCCATAGATGAACAAGCGAGTTTACAAAAACGAACGGCCCCTGCTTCGGGCGAGCAAACAAGGCTGCAAGTTGTTGCTGACGGGTACGTGCACGCCCTGGCAACGAATGCTGGGGCCGAGGAGAAGGAAATCAGGGATAAAGCCAAGGTAGGACTCGATCTGGCTTTGCAACACATAGAGAAGAGTTGCAGCAGTCCAGCCCCACAAGCCGAGACATCGCCCACGCCAGCAGCTGCTCCGACGAGGCGCGCTAACGGTATAATTGGTTTTGGCTGTAATCTAGTGTCCAAGACAGGAATTGGAATTGGAAAGTGGGGAGTCGGTGCTGTTCTCGGGCTTGCTCACCCGTTTCGGAAGGAGCGCGACGGTGTAACGCCGCTTGGGGAATCAACAACAGGGATAGACGAAACCGCCGAGGACGAGGAGGAGGAGGAAGAAAGCAGCGATCGAGATGATCTTCAAGATGAACAAGAGGGTCGACCGCGCGTTGCACCTGCACGCCAAGAAAAGAGGCGTCACTTGTTTCGCTCATTGCGTGCATCACTAGTTTACCCGCGAAGCAAGAAATTTCGAGAAGGTTTCAGATATCTAGGCTGGAGAGGTACAACGAAGCTCGCGGAGAAAGAAGTGCAAAAGCAATTCGATCTAGCGACAGGTACCCGCGCCCCGCAACCACAGTCGAAGTTTGCCGTCTACACGGCGCGGCTTCTTGCGGGAGCAGCAGGGGGCAACGTTGCAGTGGCTGGCGCCTCTTCGGTCGGAACACAACTGGGCGCAGGGTTAGGCCGCCCTGACGCGGAGCGAATCGCTGGACTCGCTTCGCAGTATTTGGAGCTAGCAACCGACCTTATGGGATTGTGCACGTTGCTCTTTGAAGCCGCTGCTAGTTACTACCTCAGCCCGGTCCTGCCGATTGACCTCTTTCTGCTACGCCGGCTGGTTATGGAGACGCCGGGGGGGAAATCGGGAACATGGAAAGGCAAACTTAGGATGGCAATCAATAGTAGATACAACTTGCATTTTTGCATTTTCAAGGCCAAATGGTAATGGATATGGATAAGGATGCCAGTTGGTGGTGGTGCGTGGAGGGCCAGCAAGCGTTTGCATTTCGAAGCGGCGTAATATGAGTATAATGGCAAACTTCTCTTTTATAAATTTGAAACGTTGAGGCGAGAGCGAGTCCAATTGGCGCATTCTTGTTTGCTGCTTAGATCAACACCAGAGTGAGAGCAACAAGAAGATTATCGGTCCTGCTCGTGTCATTCCTTATCCTCCGGCCGCTTCGGAAGTAGACGAGACCTACTCCTCAACTCGGCCTCGGTTGCAGCTCCCCCTGCAAAAATGCAGATAGTTTACGTCCTCTGGCGATTTATGCTTTAGCGCAGATAATTCGTGATTCCATTGTTTCGCTTTCCACTCCTATCCACAGAAAAAGACCCATCCCTATCCAAGAATTTGTCATGCAACAAACATGCATTTATTTTATTTTTAACTTAAGTCAAGTGTGTGTAGTCATACAGAAAACCAAAATGGATGGGGATGGGTGTTTTTTCCTGGATGACTCCCCCTGACTTACCATACTCATGGGACCCGCCATTCCGATCGTCAAAACTCTTGGTGACACTTTGATCCGGTTTAAAGCGGGGGAGACAACTGTCCAACAAAGCAACGAAGACGCACAGGCAGCGGCCAAGAGCTTGGCGCCTGCCCTTCTAAACGGCATGGCCCAGGTCGCTGATGCATACATCGGAGTCCTTGTTCCGGCGTCGGGGGGCGAACAAGTGAGGAAGGTGGGGAGGCGGGTTAGTAAAGTTTACAGCGTGCTCAGGTGTTCTTGCAATCTCAAGTGTTACGAACAAATAATAGGATGAAAGTAATAGTTGTCATTCTGATCATTTGTCCCGACAACGTGCGTTCAAGTTCTTCATGATGCAGTTCTCCTGTCCTCGCACGAGTTCAGAAATTTTTTAGATTTCGACTTGTGATGCTGATGCGTATCTGCGATCAATGTCGACGGGACAGGAGTTAGTCTAGTGCTTGCGTTTTCATCCGTTGCATTGCGTCATCGTATGACTATCTGGCTGGGATGTTGAAACATTGGCCCTGTAACAGTTGGCGTTGTAAGTCCACCTGAGTGCGCGATAAAGTGATGAGCACATTTCTTTTTGGGTCCTCCCAGCCCCAGGAACGAAAAACGGCAAGCAAGGTGGTGGCCGAGGGCGTTGGACTTTCGGTAGATGACTACTACCCTCCAGGTTGGCGCCAAGACGAGCTGTCACTCTTAGCTTCGGACCTCTTTCACGGCGCTGTGCTTTTCAAGGCCATGGAGGAAAGCGAACAAGACAAGCATCAGGGACTCCTCTCACGACTGCCGAGGCTCATCTCCTTTCGGGAGTCCCTCGCAGCGCGGCGGGGCAGAACGAGTAAGGAAAAACCAGAGCACGGTGCAATAAGATGGACGCACCTAAGTGCTGCAGCATTACACGCGTGTAGCTTCTCCGCTTCTGCCTCTGGCCAATCGAAGAGTGCGGAATCCTATTGAGTGAAATGACTGAATCATCGCTCTAGGTTTACTACTAGGCAGCTGAGGATGTCTTGATGTATCTATGCCGATGCGAGGATGCCATTATGCAGCAAGCCACATCGAGTGTTGTTTGCCAGCGGAATCAACATCAATTCCTTTTAATATGTAGTTTATCTCTTTGATCCGCGATAAAAAAACCAGTGAGCGATGGTTTCGTGTTTAAAGATGCATATAGTAATCGCAAGGGGCGGCGCTGAACTGCACGAGGGAAGCTCGGTACCAAAATAAAATTTTCAATTTTCGCGGATTTGTGATGCGAATACAAACAACCTTGTTAAATACAGCAAGGCTCTGTGTTGCGACTAGCTTACGGACACCATAAAAATAAAATTTTTGAATTTCGCGGGTGTGTCATGCGCGTTCTGGACGGGGACGGGAACCAATTTCGCTTCCACGCCACCGGGTACCCAAATCATACAATCATACTGAGTACCCGACTCCCTCTGGGTACCTATTTCCCAGTGGGTACCTGTTTCCAAAATGAGTACCTTTTTCAAAGTGGGTACCCAATCCAAAGTGGGTACCCAATCCGTGGGTACCCAATCTACACCTTTACCTTATTATTATTTTCTACTTTTTTTTCTTCCTCTTTCGTGAACGACCGCGACGTGCGTGGAGGTGTCGTCGATATTTTAATACTAATATTCCAAACTATTCATCTCCAACAGGAGCGCCAGTTCTTTATGTCTAGTATGTAAATGTATGACCACTATGCGTGATCTCCAACCCAATAGAACAGAAACTACTTTTATACAAAAACAACAAAGGTATTTAACTCTATCGCCTGTGGCGTTTTGAGTCGGCAGCTTGTCCCGAAGACAATAGGAACGCTATCGCTTGCAAATCTGTTTAGGATTGGAAGAAAAAGAATGCAGATGAATTTGCATGCATCCTTTGGACCAGCGCGAAGGTCTGGAATGCACGCAGAGCGTGCTGACAAGATTCGCGGAGGCTTTTCCGTGCCTAGCCTGCAGCTGCATGAGAGACACCCTCTTTATCGGGATTCAGAGGGCGCACGCTATTTTCTTGCAGTCCAAGACGTGTCTTTTTCTACTTCTTTATCAGACGCAGCGGCGCAACTTGCGCTGCTGAGTGAGGAATCTTGCAAGCAGCTCGAACTTCCTTGTTCTGCTGAAGTACTATCGGTCTGCAATCTATCTTGCAACTTTTGACGAGTTGCAAGGTTCGTCCACACCCAGGCAACGTATTTGGAATGCATAGGTAGATAAGTACGATGAAAGTGCTGAGGAAGCCCGTTTATGGAGTGCAAGTGCGGCGCCCGCAGCGACACGAAAAACCACGCAGAGCTGCTCACTATTTGCATTTGTCGTTTTTTGTTGGAGTCTTGCTCTTGGCAGCATCCGTACAACTCGGCTCTTGCGGATGCTGAGGCGCTTTCTCTAGCTCTGCATTTTGATATCGGATGAAGATTGATATGTCGTGTCCTCCTCACCGAACCTAAGATAGTCCTTCGCATTGCTACTTATCGATATCTTCGTTCGCGGCAGCAACATTTGTATATCAAGTTATCGGTATCCATAATTTACAAATTGAGGTCGCTGGCTGAATTAGAAGATTTTGGAAATTATTGACGAGAAATGCCACAGTACTGGATTTTCCGCAGAGGCAGACGTGGTTGAATACAGGACGTTTTCCGGTGCTGGTGTGGGTGCATATTGACTTACTGTGCATGTTTTTCCCTTTATCCTATCGGCAATGTCGCTGACTTTTTGGAAATTAGCGACCACAGTATCTTTTCGGCAGCGTTAAAAGAGTTTCATCTCGCTGGGCCGACCGACGTGCGTGGGCCAGACGAAGGTACCCGCTTCAACAGTGTGGAAGGTGCGAAAGACGTGCGCTTGTGCATTGCAAATATGCCTGGGTCTGGAAGAATGCGCTGCAAACTTGTCACGATGCATAATTTCCATGCCCTACGCGGTCTGGAATGGAGGACCTAGCATGACAGATTCTGCGAAGTCTCTATCATACATGCCTATGACTATGTTGCATCCTGCACGAGAAACTCCCTCTCATGTTGGTCAAAAGTGGGCATCTTTTGGTGAAGATCTCACAAGACGAAAACAGATTTTTGTGTGATCCACAGGACGCGTCACAACTTGCAACCTTGTTCCAGACCCAGACATATTTGCATTTGATAGCGTTTTTTACTCGACCTGGATTGGATCAGCAACGACGTCGACGAGCAGAGGGCCGGATCCCAGAAAAAACCAGGAGCCACGGTGGACTTTGACGAAATGGCGCTCGGACTTCTCTCTGCACCGGATTGCAAGCGTGCTGTAGCGCATCTCATTTTTTTGATGGGTGTTAAAACCACCATGGAGAACCTCAAAAAATTCCACCTCGCACCGTATCAAATGTGCTTCTTTTTCGCGCATTTGCACACTATTACCCTCATCAAGGCCAAAGCCGGCGCTACAGTAGTTGTAGGTTGTACTTTAGTTTGTATCGGGCCTGCAGCGGGTGAACAGCTGTAGAAAAGAAAAAGATCACGAGGGTAGTTGCTGGGGTCGTTCGCGGCCATGCATGATTAAGCATCACAAGTGACCACGCCAGACAGATTATCTTTTTTGAAAAGGATTTTGATTTAGGCTCCTCCTAAAGAGGGTTTAGAAATCGTCGGGAGGCGCCAGGCAGCGCAGAAGGTGCACTAGGGTGATCAGCAGAAAAATTGCGTAGCCCTATACGCATCCGATTCGGGGACGAAAGAGAAAATATATCGGCCGCCATGCCCTCGGGGGAAGCTTTTTCTGGTTCGTCCGTCAAAAACTGCCAAGTTTGTTTTCTGCAGGCCTCCCGCTGGTCGCCATTGTCGGCGCGCGGCGCGACGTTTCGCGCGAGAGCGAGAGCACGGCGACCCGAAAAAAAAACCACGCGCAACTCAAAAGCAGCGCCTGCGCCAATTTCTGGACCATCTGAATGTGTTGCGCGGCCTCTTCCTGGTTGTGTTAGTTTCTTTTTGGATCAGTGGCGAGGCAGCCAAGTTAATTCATTATTGAAACTGGAAATTTTTGCTTGGTGGTCGGGCCGTGTGCCGCTCGTCGGCCCAGGACTGACAAGAAAACACAGGCGCCCTCGGTATCTATGCCCGGGCGGGGGCGATATTTGGCATCTTTTATTTCGTCCGGTCGCGGCGCCCGTCCCCTCTCTAGCGCGAGGGCCAAGTCGAGGTCTACGCCGCCGAATTTCCTCTACTCCTGGAGCGTTCCTGGTGCCCAGCTTCTGCAGTTTCGCACGCTCAAAACGTGAAAAACACCGCTCAAATTGAGCGCCTCCAAATAAGGCCCAGTAGTTTTCTTGTTGTTGTTTTTGAAACATTGCGTGGTGCTGCAGCTTCTTGGTCGTGATGATTCGTAGTGGGAACAAGTGGTGCGACGTGGCGAAGATTTCCTTGCATATAGCGCGCCCCCACATGGTAGCCGCCAACGTTTCATCCGGAACCAAGAAGAGACTGGGGGAGATCACCGCGACGATTGTGCAGCTGGATGCAGTGAAGAAAAACCGAAAAGCCGCGGCCGCAAAAGCTAAAGCAAAAGCGTCAGCATCTGGTGCACAACCCTCGGCACCGGGGGGCGTGACAAAGAATGTCAAGAAACGCGCCATGAGAGCTGCAGCATTTCTGGTCCGCAAGTTGGTCTTCACCTCGGGCGACGCGGCGGAGGAACAGCAGCAACTGCCCGAACTGCCTCTAGAAACAGACGAAGGGGTAGGGAACGGGCCAGGGCGATTCCTCCAGTCGTTGCTGGATGGCCTGGGGGAACAGATCACCCAGATGAGCCAGAAGATCCAGAAAGACGGGGCGCAGGGGGGTCCGCAGGCGCAGGGCGAGGTGAGTGGGGCAGCAGCAACATCTGCCGTGGTGACTCAAGCCACGAACGACGGCCTCTTCGAGGTTTATCAAATAGAAGAAAGAACAAGCAGCTCCTCTAGTGATAGCAGTACAACAGGCGCGGCGAGGCGATCTACTGATGGCACCCAAAGTACCCCTCCCCCCCGGAACGGGAATGTGGTTGTGGACGTCTCCAGCGAGGACATATTGAAAAACTATAAGGCGTTTCTTTTATGAGAGTCGTGCTGCTCAGCTACTCGCCCCTTTCTCCCACATTGACATTATTGCATTTGAAGCATTAATACTTTTGTTTTTCATGCACAGTAGATTTTCCTTTTCTTGTACCTACTCTTTGCATGACGTTGATGACACGCATTCATTGTCACATTAGCACGACGACGTCGAAGGAGCAATACTAATACAATCTTCACCTGCGGATTTGATGAAAATTTTTTTTGTCAAAGTCAATGACAGAAAAAATAAAATGACTCATGTGCCGGACGTAACATGATTTGTGGCATTGCTTATTTCGCGATCACTGCTAATGAGTGGGACGAGGGGGAGCAGTTGATGCGCTTGCGCTCCTTAATATCTCGGAGACTGGGGGGTGTGAGAGCAGAGCTGTGCCGGAACAAGTTGAAGTTGTAAAAAATAGTGAAGGATGAAACCTGGAGCCCGAGCCGAAGCGGCGTTACAAAATCAAAACGCGTCATTCGTGAAAGGAAAAGTTGTCTTGCACACGAAGAACTACACTGACGATCCACGACCGAATGTGAAGGATGCGAGTACTTATGTCGTACTTAGAAGCAAGGAGCAGAAGACAGATGACTGACGATGATCTATCGCTATCGACTCTCCTTTTCTTTGCCGCTCACGATAGTATCCGGCGCCGCCCAAAGTAAGAGGCGTGCGTCAACGGCGGGTGGACAAATCATCGCTATCGAAGAGGTTGAAGTTGAAGTTCAAGTTCTGGTATAAGTATCACGCCAGAGGACGCAGTATACCACAAAGTAGAGCTATTTCTAATCAACAGCAGATGAAATTATAGAAAATAGTAGAAGTACAACTACAACGAGAACGAGAACACATTTTTTTACAATTACAACTAGTTGGAGCTTCAACGTCTAGTCGGAGATCATGCTACTGGCAGGAAGCTCCGAGTCTTCAACTTCATCGTTCTCGTGCTACTTCTTGCGCAGTTGTGACGGCCCAGACGATGAAATTTTAACTGTGGTGTGAAAGGTGGAGTTCTTCGCTCGGGTTCTCGTTGGCAGCACATCGCTAGGAGGGACGAACGAGATCTCTGATTCCATCTGGTTCGCGTCAGATGACTTCGTGCAGCATGCAAGCTCCGTTGTAAAAAGACCCGTGCAAGATCCGATCACGGCCGCCTCAGGTGGAGGCTCCTGAAAGATGAAGCTCTTTCGGATCTACCGAAGAAGGATCTTCGTCCATGGGGAAGACGATTCCGAATCGATCCAAGCAGTAAGAGTAAGAACTTTTCTTCGATGATAATTACAAGTGATACGTGTGGAGCGTGTTCACCTCTTGTATAATTACAAGTGATAAACGAACGAGGTGGTCTATTGTTCAAATTACTTACATGCCAGAAGATCAAGTAGCTCCGGTGCTCTGGGAGGCTCTGGTGGTACATTGATATTTTTTTTAGCCTGGTGGTATGTAGGGCATTTTGATTTTTTTGGTTTCCCGAGTATGTATAGCTTAGACTTTTTGCGTAGTTGTTGTACCTTCGTCCTTTACCGTCGTTATGGCTACAAAGTGCGTGGCTTTATGGAACCTCACCAATGTTGAATGTGGCCAGTCCACTATCGTAGGATAGTTCAAATGACGAGATGAAAATCAACATCAACCCATGAGCATTCTATATTTTTGTACGTAGCTAGGCGTACGTGTAGCCCAAGTCTTTATTTTTGCGGCCTCCCTATTACGGAAGATTCTGAACACCCGTGTTATGATGTTATAATCGTTAGCTGCAATCAATACCAAAAAAATCCCGCACAATAAAACAAAGAGTGAAAATCTGACTATTTCCACAAAACTGAGAAAGCTATGCCTATGATGTCGTCCGAACGCGTATCATCTTCCAAGAACGCTGCTGGGCTGCGTGAACCAGCTCCTCCCGGCACCAGCGCTCAGCCACGAAACCGCGCAGGTAGAACTACCCCGGGCGACAACAAAATATCGCAGATCTCCGCCCTCTTCCGTGCCGGCTGGCGATGGGTACGTGTGAAGCGTCAAAATGCGTTCTTGTCGAGACACCAGCAGGCGGGGAACATGTCCGCTAATGCGAGTGCCGACATTTTTGGAGATCAGGAACTTCAAAACGCACAACAAGTAGTCGCACAACAACAAGCCGATAATTGCTACGCATACTACTGGCTGTCACCCGAGCAGCTGTCCGCGAACAACGGACTGCTGCAGGACATTTGTTACGCGGCGGATAGGAATTTTGGTTCATCTTCCTCTACTGCAGCTCCTGCGGCGACTTATTTTCTGATCGAGAACACAGGAAGACAGGACACGGAGGGTCTTGGGTACCGATTGAGCCCCGATATAGAGGACCGCGACCCGGAGGGATCCCTGGTGCCCTGGAACTCCATTATTCACGCGGAAATTTTCGACAACCACCACGACGTTGCTGGTGGACTGGACCCTCGAGAGGCGGGGACCGAGTCGTCGAAAACGTTGACCCGCCAGTTCATTCTCGACGACGGCTGGTACCTCCCCGTGTTTCTGGAGAACAAGCCGGCGGGCGCGAAGAAAAACAAGAAGAAAAACATCGCAACGGTGGCACCTGCGCCTTCAACTACTTCTTACTTTCAAGTCGTGCGACCGGTCACGCACGCGGACTACTTCAGGGCGGGGACGTTTGTACACGATGAGAACGGAAACCGCATCCCAATCCGCTCTTTTTTCGAGAAAACGCTGGGGGAAACCTACGACAGCATCGGCCCACACCTCTTCGTGCCCGAAATCACCGCCTTGACCGAGGAAGAGCTCGTGGACCTTTTGCAGCACAATTGCAGTGCAGGTGAGCAGACTTCTGCATCTGCGCGAACTTCTACGTCGCTTGCACAAGGAGCGATTGCGCCGGCGCTAGTTCGTGTCTTCAATGGGCAGCATGAGATGCCAGTTTTGATGGGAGAGCCTCCTGTTGATGCTTCTGTCGTGGGGACAACTTCTGGTCAAATCTCGACGACGAAAGGCGAAACTGCTAGTACGCTTGGCACGACCACTGGTGCACAATTTGCAAGCAGTACTTCTAAGTCGAGGCCCTTGGAGGCCGATGTAGAAAATAACCGGTCCACAGAATACGACTTCTGGCACCAGCTACAGGGCGAATCGATGCCAACAGCAGGCGGGTCAACGACTGCGACGTCCGCTAGTACACACGCGACGACGATGAACAGCGCTGGTGGACCAATTGGCAAGCCAATGCCCAGTGCAGGAGCCTCCAGTGGTTCGTCAAAAAAGGTGCAGCTGCAGCCGCTTCCGTCTGCGTTTGACGTGGCAAAACCTTCTCCAGCTTCCTCTTCAAGAAATGGAGGCCCCGGCGGCGCAGCGAAGCCCTTCATGGACGAAGATGTAATTCGCAATGATGGTCGTGCAACGAGCAGTGCCCCCACGGCGAGCAGAGATGTTGACGCGCAAGCGCAAGAAGCCCCCCGAGGACGTGCTCAAATACTAGCTACTCACAGAGCAGCTGGCGGAACTGGAACAGGGGGCATCACCAGCACGGCTCCTGGGCAGCGTATTTCTTCCGCAAGTTCTTTGGAGCCGAAGCCTTTGCAGATGGAGACGATTTTAGCTTGGTATGGCTCGGAATTCATGTACGAGCGCACAAACCAGTCGCAACAGGAGGGTCCAGCGGCTACCAAGCAGATGAAGCTGCAGTCCGACGCTTTGAAGCAGTACGTGCAGGAGCAGATTGTGAAAAAAATTACGAAGACCGGCTTTCTCACCCCGGACGTGCTCACAATATCCTGTGCAAGAGTATCGTACTCGTTTTGCAATCATGCGTTACAAATCTTTTTCTTAAGGTAAATCTGCATTATCTCTTGCTGAGGAAATTTGTAAATGCATTTATACGAGTGCGATACTTTTGCAATGCATACACAAACGAGCTAGACAAGTTGAAGTGGCGGTTCCACAAGAAATACAACGGGCAGATTTTGAAGGAACCCGGCGTGGGGGAGCTGCTCAAAGTGCTGCTTCGGTTCTCCTTCTATCATTCAAAAACGTGTATAGATGGCGTAAGAAGTAATGGTTTTCACAGATGATGATTGCAGGCTTGCATGGGAAGTTTTGATAAGCGCGCAGGCTCATGTTATCGTTATGCAAAGATGTACAAATTTCAGCAGCGCGTAGGGCTAGCACGGGTTATTTCTGCATGCGTTAATAGTGCAACACAAAAACAAAGTCTGTTACTAGTAGAAGTTCAAGTGCCGACGTTTTATTTCCTGCGATACTTTCCTCGTGGAGTCGACCCTTGAAGTGGCGTTTTCGACCATCCCGGTGCTGACTTTTCACGATCTGAAGTCCGCAATTCTGAAGCACAAAGACGTCAGTTCGGAAAAGGAGCTGGATGCGCTGGTGGGCAAATTGGAAAATCACCCGGTTTGCAGGCAAAATTTCCAGTTCAACAGCGTGAAAATAAACACCACGAGTTCCACCTCATCAGCTGGGGGACGGGCCGCCGCCGCGGGAGACCACCTCCAAGCTGGCCCCCTCGCGGCCGGCTCTACTGGTACGTCGACAGGAGGCTCTAGTACTACTTTAGGCTCGGCCTATGTGGACAAGAAATTGACCACCGAAGCGTTGATCTTACAGTTGTTCGAGACCATCCCGCAGGAGTGGGATACCGCGAAAAGCTGGTCGCCAGACCCGGACCTGCTGGCTTTGCAAGAAGAGGAAAGGCAGAAGAGCAAAAGGGAAGCTTCGTCGAAACAAGGGGGTGGAATGAAGAACGCGAAGACCGCATCGTCGAACAAAAATAGCCGGTTTTACAACCCATACGAGGACCTGCCGACGAAGTTGATAATGGAGTTGGACTATCCTGTGCAAAAGTATCGCACTCGTCGTAATTGCATTTATGATCATGCGTTACAAATTTCTTTCTCAGGGCACGTGAGCACTACAGCTTCAATTTGTAAAAATGCTGAGGAAATTTGTAATGCGATTTCTACTAGTGCGATGCTTTTGCATGTCATACGGACCCGGAATTCTTCGGCGCCGCGAAAAACTGGACCCTGGAATTTGGGTTGTACCAGATCGCGCGACAAAAATCCCTGCCGGACTGGCGGTCGCTGGGGGTCTTTTTGACGCGGGACAAGTTCCTCGTCGGCGTCATGCACCGCATTAAGGCCATGCGAGAGCGCATTCTGCGGCGGCAAAAACGGGAGGAGCAGCGTTTGGAGAGGATTTTGTTGCGAAAAGTCGAATACTTCCGACCTTTGATGCTGCCGACGTCAAGTTTCACTGCAGCTTCCTCCACGCAGCGGCCGCTCACGTCCGCAACCGCGGAGGTTGACGACGTCGGCGCACCACCCACAGCATCCGAAGATCCAAACACGATCGACGGGCGGGCGCTCCTGGGCCTCAAATCGCACTATTGGATGAAGCTAATGGAATTTTTTGAAGATCCGAGTTTGCTCACAACGCCTAAGGATACTGGAAAATCGGTGGGTGGAGCAACGAAGGACGTCAGGACCTCCAGTGGTAGAGATGTTAGAATAAATCCGGTTGCGCGGCTTTCTCCCGCGGAGATCGTGTCTCGGCAATGGCAGTTTTGCGAAACCATTTGCTGCAAGGCACTTGGGTTTGATTTTGAGGAAGCTAGTAGTGATGTCCCGTTGGATCGCGAGGAAGACGAAACCACGGATGAAAGTGGCGCCAGCGCGACCACGTCCGATGAAGAAGGGAGTTCGGAGTCGGATGAAGCGGAAAGTGACAGCGAACACGAGCCGAGGGCGGACAAAACAGAATTAAACGCAGGCAGCGCAGCGCAGCTAAACGGTAAGAGTCGCGCGCCGGCGCTTCTAGGTGAGATGAAACAGGAGCACGCTGGACCGCGAGAAGCAAAGTCCGCAAAGCTTCATGGTCAAGGGGAAGCTCCATCATCAGCAAAAATAGAACATTCTTCCAAAAAGCGCCGCCGTCCGAAGTGGACGGTCAGAGACCAGCTGTCGTTGCCACAGATCAAGGTTCTGGAGCAAAATCTGAACGAGTTTCTGAAGCAAGTGATCGCGCCACTGCTGTTTGGCAGTCTGACCACCCTGATCAACTCGACGTTTTACACGAAAATGGTGACCACGGCCACGAACCCCGCGGCGTCGATGTCTTCAACAGGAGGCATTGCAGCAGCAGCAGCCTCCGCACGACCTGGCCAGCCGCACCGGGCACCACCCCCTTCGCGGGAAGCCATCGAGTTTTCCAAACTATCGAAGCGCAAGGAGGAGGTGCGACTGATTTTGAAAGAGGAAAGACTCCGCATGCGGCGGGAGAAAATTCTGCTCGTGGAAAAAATGATGCGTGGAGTTGCAGTTGGGGCAGGGGCAGGCGGAGGAAGAGGTGAAGGAGGCCCGGGTAGCAATAATTATGCTGTATTAGGTGCCGGCGCGACAGCGACGAGAAATTCTACCGCTCTAGTGGGCGGAGGAGCCGGAACAAGCTCCTCGACCGGAGCTGGTGTCGTGACCACTAACAGGCAGCAGAATCTGATGAAGCGCATCATTTTCAAGCATTTAAACTCATTCGCGCAGATGAGTACAGCTACGACTTCTATTGCAACCAGCGGCGCAGCTGATGTTTATTCTGCAGCTTCCGGAGCCGCGACCTCCTCCACGCGCAACTATGCCAGCAGGACGTCGATGAACCTGTTTCAAGTGCTTGCGGACTGCGAACAGGAGCTCGCGAACGCGCTGGGATTGGAGCGCCCGGGGGAGATGCCGTTGACGTTTCTGCAACTGCTGCTAACCCGAAAGGAAATCTTCGCCCGGGGGCACGTGTCGAACTTGCTGCAGCAAATCGGCGCGCAGACGATTGCGAGCGTGATGGGGATGGATTTTTTCGGCCAGCAGGAGGGTCAACATCCCGCGGGCTTGGGTGCTGCTGTTGGCTTGATGGCCCAAAAACGCGAGGTCTTGGACTCGTCCTTCCTGCACCAAGAAGAGGAAGCTGGTTTAAGACTACAACATGGCGAGCAGACCTCGGAGTTGCAACTGTTTGCATCAACGGACGATCACCAGCATGGCACGTCCTCTGCAGTGTCGACGTCACTGCGCTACGCCCAGGCAGGTGCTGCTGCGACAGCAGCAGGAGCGGGGGGGCCGTCGCAGCTTCACGGGGGCGCCAGCGTCGCAATGACATCGTCAAGAGGTGGTCTAGTGACAAATAAAGAGCAGGCATTTAAAAATCAATTTCAGCCTCCACCCGACCAAGCGATCCAGATCTCCGAAGAAGCTCTACTGGACCATTTGACTCAATTGATTCGCGATGCGGCGCTGGCGCAATTGGGCGGCGGGGGAGCCGGTACTAGTGCCTTTGACTCGACTTTTCCCCCGTATGGTGACTCCTCTTCGGCCGATCTCACGAAGTTTCTTAAGGTTGCAGGAGAGGTCAGTGACGACCCAGCAATTCCTCGGCTGCATACGCTGTCCGACGCGGATGAAAGTGAGGACGAGAGCAGTGGCGAACAGCAAGGAAGGTCTGGTCATGCGGCTATGCTCCTTTCCTCCTCTGAGGAAGAGGACGATGGAAAAGACCTCGACGACGATCCCGTGGCGCGGAAAATTCTGCAGCAACGGAGACAGAAAAGAAGAGAGAAAAGGAAAGAACTGAAAGCAGCTGCGGCTGCGGCGCTGGTGGAGAAAAAGAGTAGGAAAAAAAAGATGAAAAGCGCCGGTGGCGGCAATAAATCTTCCGCAGGAGGAAAGCCAGCAGCTGTTGCGGGAGACGAGAGTGGTACTGGTATCGCTGCACATGATCAGGATGCGAATTTTCATGGAGATGAAGACCTTGACGGCGGATCAGCAGTAGTCCCCGGCGCGGCGCCTTCGTTTCTTTCGATTCCGCAACTGTTTCAGATCCTTGCCGAAGCGGAGGAGAGTGTTTGTGACCAATTGTTGGCCACCACAACGCTCACCGGGCAAGATCATGATGCGAACAATTCCTCTTTCGAGCGGCACTTCGGCGGCGCGCATGGCAAATACATCGATTTCTTGGCGAAGCACGGCGAGGCGATTCTGTCGCAGCTGGCCGGGAGTGCGCGCGAAAATGAAACCAGCATCCCGATCGGATCCGAACCACGCATGGTGACCGAGATGAAAAGAAGTTTGACCGATGTTTTCGGTTTGATGTCAACAAGAACCGCAGGAGCTGCTGGTGGTACAAGTGTAGTTGACAGGACCTCGTGTTTCGACTTTCTGTACAGCAGTTTTGGAACCAGCGGGGCCGCGACGCTGTCCGAAATGCACACCGCGGTGCACCAGTTTGTTCAACTCGCCGCGGCATCGGCAAGAACGGATCCCCGTGCGCAGAAGGCCGATCATGAGATAGATGGCGATCTTCCTGAACAAGTAGAGGAGAATCATGCTGATGCTTTCGAAGATGATGATGTCGACCAGGAGACTCCTCGTCGTCTCCCGAAAGAACGACTACGGAACGATGTTGCCCAGGCAGAGAATATGAAAAACGAACATATACGAGATGATCATGAAGATGAAACCGCTTTTAAAACGCTTGCAACCTGCGTGGCACGTTTCGAAAAGAACACCAAAGACGCTTCAACGCTTGATGGCGGACTACACGATCAGCTGCCAAACGCAGGAGCTTCTACTGTCGCTTTGTCTAGCAAAATCGCAACCGAGGAACTACTGCGTGAGCTCGAGGACCGCATTTGGGAACACGCTCCGCTGTTAGTCGATTTGGAAGCCCACGTCTTTCCAGACTGGCGGACCCGGTTCGCGCCCGTGCTTGGGAGTCTGGCGGAGGTGGTGCGAACGAAGATGAAAAGGAGTAATAAAGGCCTTAGAAATTTTGCAGGCAGTGGCGGCGGAGATTCTGCGGCCGAACTGGAACTCCCGCCGCTGCTTTTTCTGAAGAAAAACCATGTCGTGCGGATTCTCTCCGCAACGGAGGAAGCGACGTTGGAGGAATTCGAGCGAGCAGTTGCAGTGGAGTTTAGCTCTTGTTCGAGCGGCAAGACGAATGACGCTAGAGAGCAGAAGTCCGGTGCAGCACCGGCGGGAGGCAATGTCAAATCGCACAGTGCTGCTGGTGCAGCTCTCTCATTCACAAAGGACGGCTCATCTAGAAGTTGCACTTTTAACCTGCGTCTAGCCGTGGCGATCCTTGTGACGCGATTTGTGACAGACGGTGACTTAGCGCCTTGGGCACAGTTTGAGTCTCTGGTGGGAAGAATGTATGGGGACGTTGTGCTGAAGATGGAAAAGGAATTGGAGGAAACACCAGAGAGAGAAGGCCACTTGGACAAGAGCGGCGCGCCACGTCGACCAACGGCTGGAAACAAGACCGCTGACCACTTTTCTGCTCCCACACGAGGACTATATCATCATCCGGAGAAAATTCTTTTAGAGGTCACCGCACTTCTGAGCCAAATCGACCCCGATCTAGTGTCGCCTTTTCACGAAACGCCGATCCTCGAGGCTTTTGCAAAGCCGTATATTGTGTTGCGCCGGCCGAAACGGAATCTGGTGGAGGTCTGCGGCGGAACTACAAGTGGTCTAAATTCTCGGAGCCGCCTTCAGGGAGCTGGTCTGACAGCGTTTCAGTACCGAGCCGCACTGCTGGCGCTCGGGGAAAAATTTGGTGTGCCAGAGTGGAAGGACGGCGGACTCGGCTTGCGACTGGAGAACGAGTATGCCGGTTTTTTTGACCGAGTTGCATTGGCTGCTCGCGCGCCGGGGCTGCCCAGGGCAGCTGCAGGAGCTGAGGTGGACCACGCTGCTTTTATATCAAGGAATGACAATGAAGTTGATCTAGATAAAGATGCAGCAGCTCCGGGAGCCCCCTCATCGGAAGATCTCGGACAACCCGCGGAGGCGGTTGTCGCGGACCAGTCTACTGTGATTGCTGGCGAGCAGGACGATCTACGGCTCGATGCTTCGGGAACGGCGACTCAAGGAACAAAGGACGCAAAAATGCAGACCGAGAAAGGGGAACAACAAGGTCGAGGACCACAGAGCAGACAGAATGCAGGGCATGAAGACTCCTCCCTCGCCGAAGTCAAGCCGGAAAATTTGGATCATGATGGGCAACAAGAAGAACCAGCAACACCACTCGACAGGATGATCAAAAGCGACAAAAACGCCTCGCTCTGTCGCGAGATCGCTCGCGTGAAGGGGGTCGAGCTAATCGATGTAGACCCGGTGACCCGGCACTGGGTCCGCGAGCCTGAGGACGAGCGCATCCGCAGTCTGCAGCAGACTGTGCAGGGCGCGGTGGTCCGCCTTGCCGCGGATTTGTACTCGGGGGAAAGCCACTTCTTGCTCGAACTCCTGCAAAACGCGGACGATTGCGGCTACAGTGAAAACATCGTGCCTGCCCTGGTGTTGACGGTTGTGGACTTCTCAGTTTTATCTGCTGCATCATCGTCGAAGGCGGCGCGCGCGCGGAAAACTCGTAGCAGAGGAAAACCGGAATTGGACAGAAGCGCTGCTGGTGAGGAGGACATTCTAGATTCGGCCAATGCGTGGACGACGTTTCATTGTGACGATGTCGAGACCAGTATGAGCTCTGGCCCGATCCTGCTGAACGGAAATGACAGAGGACATCAGCGCGCCGGCAGAGGCGCACGAGGCACAGCAGGCGCGGGTGGCAGAGCATTGCGTAACAAGAACGAGGCAACTATCGAACAAACCGGATACGGAAAGAATGCAACTAGAACTGTAGTTGCTCCGGCGCAAGGAGGGCAGACGAGCAACAGGATTTCCGGCCTACTGATCAGCGAGCATTGCGAGCTTGGGTTCCGCGAGAAGGACGTGCGGGCGCTGTGCGACATCGCTCAGTCGACGAAGAAAAACAAAAAGTTCATCGGACACAAGGGTGTCGGCTTCAAGTCAGTTTTTAAGGTCACCAGCACGCCGGTGATTCACTCCGGCGAGTTTTCCTTCCACTTCGATGCCAACGCGCTCAACGGCCTGGGCTACCTGGTCCCGTTTCCGCTACGCAAATTGGACACGGAAAACATGCGGAAGAGCTGCTTGTTCCGCGACAAAGAGTTTCGAACCGTGGTAAACACGGTGCAGAAAAACGCGCTGGCGCTGAACTCCTGCTGGCGACGGGGGAAGGATAATGAAGCGCTTGACCACGATGAAGAAGCAGAAGGATCATCTTCTCCTGACGCCGAGAGTCACAGTCGTGCAGTCCCTGGTGCTACTAGTAGCGAGGAAGACGGCGGAACGAGCTACGATGAAGTAGTGCAAGGAGTCGCTATTTCATCCGCAAAGCACAAGCCAACACATCAAGATCAACCTAAGCGGCCATCCGGCACCCGCATCGTTTTACCCTTGAACCAAAACTTCAGTGCCTCTTCTCTGGCTATTCGCATGAGGGAAGACTTGCAGCCGCGACTTTTGTTGTTTCTCCGAAATTTGTCCAGGTTGATTCTGCACCACTGTGGAACGTACAAGGTCCTGATGAACCGAACAGACTTACCGATAAACAACTACGAGTACGACCGGGGAGGTTCTGATTCTCACGAAGATCATGTTCATGCCAAAAAACGCAACAAAGATCCTCCGTCGGCGGGGTCCTCGGACACAAATCTGGTAGAACTCCAAACCGTGGTTCTGACGGACAAGGAAAGCAGTGGTCCTAACGAGGAGCATGCTGCTGCGCTAGACGACTTCTCATCTGGTCGTAGAGCCATTTTGCGAGGCGGTGGAACTGGAAGGGCCTCCAGCTCCAAGACAGGCGAAGTGCCTCCATCTAGTACTTCTACTTCTCAGCCTCAGCCAGCCCCAGCGCATCAAGAAAACACTATCGCAACTTCGACCTACGAGCGGTGGTTTGTCTTCACGGAGAGGCTTGCCCCGAGCGCGAATCGCGACGGCGCGGAGGCCGATCTGAAAATTGCGCTGCCGTTGCCGAGCATGTTCTTGGGGAGTTTGTTTGGTGGTGGTGCGCCGGCGGCGGACAAGGTAGATCAGGGCGTTCTAGCAGAAGATGTTGAAAAAGCGCCTGCAGAAGTAGATGCCACGTCTTCACTCGAACAAAAAGACCACGAAGATGAACGAGACGACGACAGCTCCCAGTTGACCAACGAGGAGATCTTGAAACAGCTCGTCACCGAGCAGCAACAGGTTTTCGCCTGGCTGCCGACCCGGTCCTACGGTTTCAAATTTATCATTCAGTGCGACTGGGTGGTCGCGACGAGTCGCGAAGCGGTCCTCGCGACCGATCCGTTCAACCAATATGCCCGGGACCAGATTCCGGCCGCGTTCGCGAAAGCGGTGGGGAGGTATGTCAAGTACGTCGAGGGATTGAAGAAGAATTCGAAGAAAGAGCCTACAACAGCTAGGGCAACAGCAGCACAACCTACCGGCTCTTTTCTACATCCTCCTGACAGTCGAAGTCGCGGCGATCAGAAACATCCGAAAACAAGGCAGAAGAACCTCCTGACGGACAAGCAGCGGGCACTGCTCCTGCAGCTCTACCACATCATCCCGTTACCGGGAACAGCTGCGGAGTTCTTTATCAAATGTAAAAAATCAAAATGTCTGGGTCTGGAAGAATGCAACTTGTCATGCTGATTCTGGATCATGCAAAAATTTGTGTTGCGTGATTACCAAAAGACGTCCGATCTTGACCAGGTTGGCAAGGAGTTTCTCATGCAGGATAGGCATGATGGACACCTCACAGCAACTGTCATGCTAGGCGCTACATGCCAGGCATCATGGGTCATGGAAAACCTGCATCACAAATGTTGCATTCTTCCAGACCCAGACAGTTTTGGATTTGATAGTCTTCGCGCGAACGCCACACGGCATCCTGGAGGAACTGAGGAAAACTGCGTTCGTGCCTGTGAGCGTAACGGTAAGAACGACGGTTGGAGGGGATGGCCACGGGCATCATGACGAGAAAAAATCTTCTACAGCCGCTCGAGAGAAACACAAACATGCGAATGGCGCCGGGAATTATGCATTTGAAAAGCAACACGATCTTGATCTTCCCGCAGACAGAAGAACCGCTGACGCCTCGACAATGATCGCGAAACAGCAGAGCCACCAAATCCTGAAATTCGCAGAGCCGCGCTTCGTTGTAAAACCGTATCCAGTAGAGATGAAGGATTTCATTTCAGCGTGCGCGGTGTACAAATTCAAATTGCATGGTAAATACTTACTATCTCGTTGGCACGACGGACATGATGAAGTCGTGCATCGTGGTACTCACTAGCAGGACTTTCGGCTTGCTTCGATTTGGTTCATCGCCAACAGAATAAATTTTCACTGTTTAATATTTTTGTGCGTGTTCTCTGCACCGTATGCTGGAAATTCCTCACATTTGTGTTGCATACTCCGCAGCTGAAAACCACCAACCTAAACGGTACCTTAACTGTTGAGAAAATCGAGTTTTACTTTGAGCAGCTCTTCGCCGACATGGGGTACTACTTGGAGTCCACCGACAACTTACTGCCGCAGGGGCTGGCGCTTTCTTTGGACCTGCCGCTGATCGACGGGGCGCTCGCGTTACGGTGCCTGGCAAAATTGGCGGAACAGCAGCAACAACAGGCAGTAGTGCGCACGGTGCAGGAAAATAAAACCGAGGAAAGCCGTCAAAGCATGCACCTAGCCGCGGATTCGTTGCATGAAGACGGCAAAGAAGATGATTTTGGATTTGGCGCTACAGCTGCTGCTGCTGCTTCTGCTGCGAGAAAGAGTAAACAGACTTTCTTGTTCGAACAGCTCCATTACCTTCTTTTGATCATCGCGAGCGAAGACAAATTGCAGACCTACTTGCCGAAACTGCGCGCACTGAAAATCATTCCGGTGCAGGTGCAGCAGAGCCGAAGCGGTGATGATGAAGAAGTAGAAGACCACCACTATTCGAAAACGATGAAAAGCGCTCAAGTAGAAGTAGATCATGAACTACGACGACGACCACACCATAACTTCGACCTGGTTTCCCTCGCGACCGAAGATCAAGAGGGCCGCAAGGTGTACGATGCTGATTTCCCGGTGGCCCTGGAGGGCGTGAAAACCGTGCACCCAGGCTTTCGGAAAATCATGGACAGCAAGGTGTCGGTTTTGCTCACGAGGCTGGGGGTCCTGGGACTGCAATCCACCCAGTTCCTCGAGTCGCATGTCATTCCGGTGCTCACCTCTATCCACAGAAAAATATCCATCCACATCCATTTTTTGCATGACAAACACATGATTTGAATTTGAGACGTGTTTTGCATGACGAATCGGATCATGTGGATGTGTTTTTTTTTCTGTGGATAATCTCCGCAACGAAAATACCAAGCAGCGAACACCTGCTGGCCTGCACGCTCTACCTGAAGCAGCTACTTTGCCGAGCATCTTCTCCGGTTGCGCTATCCTCGGCGGGAGGTGGTCGTGTGGGGCAGGAGGATCACGAGACTCTTCTTGATGGGAAAAATACCCACAACTCAACAAGCGCCGGCACGTTCTTGGGAACAACAACTACGAAGAACAAGAAGGCCGCTGGTGCTAGTACGATGAAAATGACAACCTTCGCGCCTGGCACTAAAAACCCGCAACAGCAGCAAACGCAGCAACTGAAAGAAGCGATGAAAGCAAAGATTTTGCAAGTGTTGCAGCGCAAGCCTATTTGGGTGCTGACGAACGTGATGTCCTCAAGCAACAACGCATCAAAAAAGGGTCCGGCTTCTCAGATGAATGTTCAGGAAGGTGGTGTTGGACATGGAACAAAACAACAACAGAACAACAACGACGATGCTCTTCTGTTGCAGCGAATCGCGCAGGGCGATGACGAGGACGATGGGGAGGACATGCACATGCTGGATGGAAACGAGAAGAAAGATTCCCCATCCTCTTCTTCTTCGCAGGAATATGATGCGCAGGAGTCCCTGTTCATCGCAAATGGAGGACGAGGGGCTGCTGGCGTGTCTGAAAGCAAAAAGTCCGCTTTATTAGTTCCACCATCAAGCCGTGAAGCGAATAACTCCATCAAGGACGATATGCTGCTGGATATGTTGGCTCACACGAGGGTCGAAAAGCTCGAGAGCCACGTGCGCGTGTTATCAAAGTGAAAAATCCCCCCTCCCCATATCAAAAGGGAAATCTGTGATGCGGGATTTGTGTACACAAATCCAAACTGTGTTGCAGTAGAGGACTGCAGGCAGATGCAGTGCCTGAGTAGGGGCGTCTTGCTGTAGGTGCCTAGCAAGGCAGGCGCGTCCTCTGTAGGCGATAGAGCATTACAAAGTACCTGCGAAACGCGGCTGCTTCTCTGGCTTTGCCCTCTTGCAATACAGGGACGCAAATCAGCATCACAGATTTTCAGTAGTGCCCCTTTTTGGTATGGGGAGGGGAGATTTTTCCTCACAATACGTGTTACCGCTGCCTTCGAACCTGTTTCCGAACTTCTACGCGCAGTGGGTGTCCGTGGCGACGCAGTGCTACGAAAGGTATGAAGTGGTGGCGAATCAAAATACTGGGACTGGCCATGGGAATACAGTAGATTCGAGCTCGTCTTCTGCACCCGCAGGAGCAGGGAAAAACAAGAGCGTGAACAATGGCATCACATGGAAGACGAGCGGCGAGAACACTACTGCGACTGCCATGACTGGGAACAACCTCAAGCAGGCTAAGAACAAGACGCAGCGAGACAGAGCAGGCTCGTCGGGTCAAAACCCATACGACCAACGCATCAGCGCGTCGCTTGATTCATCACACCAAAAGAGAACAACTGCACAAGCAGAAATCCCGAGCACCAACACCAACTCCAGCAGCAGCCCGTGGTCAGTTTTAATGGCCACCGGAGCTTCATCTTCACCGGACCCATCCTGGTCGGATTTCTTCATCGAGAAGTTGCAAACGTGGCCGAGCGTGACGGTGGCGCTGACCAGCGCGCAGAACTTCCATATGGCGTTCTCAAATGTTACATTCTCAACTGTTAGACGATCTGTCATGTAAAATTCAAATCAGAATCGACACGACCAAGCTGCTTCGCATGACAAATTCCCGAACGGACAAACAGGACGAGAGTCTGTGCCTAATCTGTCATGCAAAAGGCACAAGCTTCCCCCTTTCGCTTTCAGTTTTGCCATTTTTGCATCACAAATTCATGTATACAGTTGAGAATGTAACAGTTGAGAGCGCCATACTCCACAGTTACGACTTTCAGGAACTGCTGAACAGCATCCACGCCAGCTTGCCCGGGATCCGGAAAACCGTATCCACAGAAAAAAACCCATCCACATCCAATTATTTGTCATGCAAAACACGTATCATATCCCGTGTCTCTCATACAAACAATGGATAGTGATGGGTTTTTTTCTGTGGATAAACCGCCGCAGCATCGCATTTATTGAACGACTTCATTCTCCCCTATGCTGAGTTCTACGGATCAAAAGTCCGCAAAGCAATGGAATTCGCAGCTGGTCGTGCAGCAGGCCGCGCAAAAGTGTTGAATCAGAGCCACGTGATGATGTCTCACCATCAACAACCGGACTTCTTTACCCAAATCCAAACTTCGGAGTGGCTCCTTACCTGCACGGGTGATCTGGTCGCTGCTGCCGACCTGTGGATCTCACCGACTCTTTCTGTGGAAAGGTTCAACACAAAAGTGGGCTATTACTACGGAGACGAAGTCTTCCGCTACGCCTGGGACATTGCGGAAAAAAAGGTCAGGCTGCTGGAGGAACAACCCGAGAATGATGCTGTTGTGAGGACCACTGTAAGCTCATCTCATGACAAGAACTACACCTCCGCGCCAGGAACTACAACTGGGAGCACAGTTGTTCGAGCAGGTCAAACCCCAACCGCGGGAAAAAAATCAGGTTCAACGACCACGAGAACAAACGCGACCACTACCAGTACGATCAACAAGAAAACCAAGCTCGTCTTTTTCGAGCCGCGTGACGGATACAGTTCGCAGACGACAGAAAGACGCGAGAACGAAGAGACCCAGTTCGAGCACAATCGCGACTTTGAATTGCCGTATCTTTGCCACCCGCTGATCGCCGAAAAGTGGCTTTTGGACGAGAAAACAAGGAAAGCGCTGTTTGATACTAGAAGTAGTACAACAGCTGCTCCAGATCATCATTTTCAGGCCAAATACACAACTCAAGAAGCGCTCGCCATCCAGACCTCTGACGGCTTGGTTCCTAGCAGAATCTTGCTGAAAATGGTCGCGAATCTGTCGATATCCCGTGCAAAAGTATCGTACTCGTATTGCAGTCATGCATTTCAACAAGTCCTGCCCTCAGGGTAAATCCGCATTACAAATTTTATTTCTCATGCCGAGGAAATTTGTAATGCATTTAATATACGAGTGCGAGGATACTTTTGCAAAGCATAGTCGAATCTCTCCAACCACGTGGACCGGCTGGGAAATTGCAGCGGCAAGGAGTTTCTCGAGCGCAAACAGGAACTGGAAATCAATCAGTGCAGGTTCTTTCATAATCATAACGACGGAGGGAGGAGGTCAACTGCAAGAACTGGCATTCATCTTGCGACTACTACAGGTACAGCCTCCGCGGGTCCTCGTCCAGCGCCTCCTAGTGTGGCGGAAGATCCTGCTCCTGCTCCTGCTCCTGCTGATTCGGTTTATTTCGTCCCGAGACAAAACGTGCGCTTCTCCAAAGAGGAGCAGCAGCAATTCCTAGTCAAGCTTTCCATTTACGATATGACGGCCTTGTACCTGAAGCTCTGGGACGCGATGATCAAGGAATCGGAGGAAAGCAGCGCTGCAGCTGGCGCAAATAAAGTAGCAACCGAAGCTCCTACTTCATCCTCGTCCCGGCTCCAGCAAGACGCGGAACACCAGACTTTCAGTGTCACGACCTTTTATCAAAGAGAAAATTCTCCCCTCTCCATATCAAAACGAAATTTCTGATGCTGGATTTGCGTACACAAATCAGCCTTGTCTTGCTCTTGCAGTAGAGGACTGCAGGTTCATATCAAGCCGGAGTGGAGAGGTTTTGGCCTATGCGCTCAGCATGACAAAAGTCCATGCTGTAGGCCCAACGGCGTCACAAACCGCCTGCATAATGCGGGGGGCCTTCTAGGTTGGCCTTCTTGCAAAACAGAAACGCTTTGTGACCACAAATCAGATTCACAAATTTCCAAAGGCAGTATACCTTTTCAGAGTGGGGAGGGGGATTTTTCCTTCCGATACCTTCTTCGCCCACTTCCCGTGGATTTTCCTTCCGGACCATCCCCGGCGGGGGATCGCGCCGAAATACGAACGTTTGCAGATGAACGTGTTGCAAAACCAGCAGGAACCGCTGTGCGGCCGGTTTTACAGAGTGAGCGAGGTGGTCATGGCGGAGCGGTCGCAGCAACTTTCCGCGGTTTTTGACGCGTGGTCGCGAGATGTCACCGACCTGATCTCCAAAATCGCGCTGTTTTGCGGGCAGATCCGGATTTTGTCGCACTATTACTGGGGCCCGTTGTCCGCGCTTCCGCCGGGAATGCGGTGGTTGCCAGGGCCGAGCCAGACCAGGCTGCACGACTTCTTTCTCAAAATGGGAATGGTAAAGGAATCCCTGCAGGAATACGACCTGGAGAGGCGTCGAAATTATGAGAGTGCACAGGAACAGCTCCTCGTGGTCCCCCGTACTGGTCACCTCACTTCTTGTTGTGCAACGTGCATGATACTAGAGACTCGGCTTTTATTTGACCGTGTTTTCATGACCGGTTCTGGTGGCGCAAAATGCACCACGGTCCGGGCGTCGACTTCTGATGCAAAAACTGCTTAGTTTTTCTTTTTGGGGTGCATTTTTGTGCTCCTGCTGGAAATGCATTCTCAAGACTAAAGCCGTGGGGGACCAGGGAGCTCCTTTGTGCTCTGTCATAAAAATGATGAAACTACAACCAGCCACGCCGACGAAAATGAAAATGAAGGCCACCAGCTCGTTGCTGGCGCTGTTCATGATCTCGAAGACCGTCGATCATTCAGAAGCACCTGCACCCCTGTCCTCCTGAACACGCTCGTGTCCTTTTCCAACTTGGTTTTCTACCTAAACCAGTCCGGTAAAGTGAAGACCTCGGGTACGGACATTCAGACTCTTGCTTTGCCGCCCGGATCACTCGCAATTTTGGATGAAGAGGAATACGATACCGGGTTTTATTACTGCTCCACTACCGCGACGAGGACGACTAGTAGTACACTGCAACAAGAACGAGCAATTATCGAGACTGTCCGCAATCTTCGTTTCGGCCGCGTTACAGACATTGTGAAGTGGTTGCGGTTCGAGTTGCGGCAGAAGGAACGTAATTTTCATGCGCTGGTGAACACGTCTGTTGCTGGCACTCTTTCAACATCTTCATCTGCTCTCCTTCCCGCTGACAAGGATTCCAGTGTGATGATCGAGCGTGTCATTTACCAACTCTCCGAGCACATTATCGCCGAGATTCGCTTGATCGGCGAGGAGGCAGAGGAAAAGTTGGCGGCGTTGATAGAGAAAACTACACCTTCGGTGGCGGCCTCGCGGGAAAATGTTGAAAATAAGGAGCTTCAAGACCAAGAGCTTCAAAATGGTATTAACACGGGGTATCGCTCTGATGTCGTGGATGAAGTAGCTGATGCTCTTGGTCGTGAGAAGCAGCAGCGATCCGAGTCCGACGAAATAGAAATACGGGAACGTCGACCCGAGGACCACGATGACGCTCGCCGTGCAGCTGTAGGAGCGTCTAGTTCTCCAGTATCCGACGACGAGGTGGGCCCCCCGTTGCCCACAACAGAAGATGCTGCGCTCCACCTCACGACCAGCGAGAAAGAGAAAGAAAACCAAGACCAATTGGAGCTCAAACGCCTGCAGCGGCTGGTGCTGATTGCGAAGCAGGTCACCAGTCACAGTGCCAGGCTGATAGATTTCGAGGAGGAAGAGGCGAAACAGCGGGTCGTTGCGAGGTTCAGGAGAGGCATGGCGGCGAAAATGATGATTGGCCTTCTAAATGGCGGTGGAGGTGGCGGCCCGCCGACTACATCTGAAGCGGTATTAGCAATTTTTGGGCAGCATGAAGAGGGCTCCTCCACCACCCTCCACTCCGGTGGAAAGAGCGAGGAACAAGTAAACGAGACCGACATAACCGATTTGGACTCCCACGCCTTCCTCCTCGCTGCCACGCCATTGCTCCAGAACTATTTGAAAGTTTTGAGCCACGCCGTGAAATTTGTCCCCACAATCGGTGGTCGGCAATTTGTCTCGCTGAAACACGCGCTGCTGATCAGTAAGAAAATGTACGAAAATCTGCACTACAACACGGGGGAGCGGACGACTTACAGCTTCTCGTCTTTGTTGGATCAGGAAAGACAGAGCAACTTTTTGCAGCAGCAAGGCGGGTCGGCGGGGTATAATGCTGCAGCCAGCATGTTCGGCGGAACTACAGGTAGCAAGATGAACCCTTTCGCCACACAAACTGGTCGTGCGGTCGTGGTTCCGACCATGGGCGGGCATCAGACATCCATGACGATCAATTACGGAGGTTCAAGCGTTGTAGGTGGGCCCTCGATGATGTTTCAACAAGGTGGAGGATTTTCATCGTTATCCAGGAAAAAACACCCATCCCCATCCATTTTCTGCATGATAAAGAGTGGACTTTATGCATGTTTTGCATACTGACTACTCCGCTTCCCTGTGCCTCTGCTTTGGTGCTATTTTTAGTGCTTTAGCTATTAGGCGTCCCCCTCGCATCTCACCTCCAGGACTTCGGGGACCCCACATTTCCAAGGTTCTTGGGTGTGGATGTGTTGTAGCCCGCTCGGAGTTTTCTGTTTTCCATGCGACTCCGCAGCATTCAAGTATTTTTTGGTCATGTCTTCATCTTTAGGTTTTGCGCATGACTGGGCACACGCACATCCGAGATCGCTGGGGCGGGTGGGGGGTCCGAGCCAAAAAAAAAGGTCTTTGTGGCGGCTTGGTATTCTAGGTGCATGTTTTGCATGACAAACTGGATGGGGATGGGTGTTTTTTCCTGGATAATCATCACAGCAAAACTACCTCTTCCCCCATCTCCAAGACCCCAACTTCGTCGACCGTGATATCCTGAGTAAAAACGTTCCCACCACAGAGTCAAGATGGGGATTTTGCAACACAAACCTAGAAGTTTTGGTGGTCACGCATGACAAATTTCAGTTCGTACTGTACTGCAGGTTAGTGTGGACAGCCGCATTACAAATCCATCTGCTTATCCCGTTTACAGCATTACAAGTTCCAAAACACGACTGGAAATGTTGCCCATCATCGACATGCGCATCACAAATGTTCTTGTCATTGCAAATCTGCATGACAACTCTGGGGTGGGGATGCTTTTACATAGGATACGTGATTCTCCGTTGGCGAATTTTATTGTGCAGGTGCTGCCCAGCCCGAACTTCAACCCGCTCGCCGTCCCCAACGCGTGGTGGATCTTCGGCCTGAAGCCGGTCCAGCGGTTCGGGCGGCTGAGGATTTTGCTTCCTGAGGCATTGGAGCGGAAGGAGCAGGAGAGGGAGAAGGACGAGCATCGTAGGCGAAAGAGAACACGCAGTATAGGCAGCAAGAGCCAGGGTGTCGCAGATGATGTGGAACACAGCATCAATTTGCAGAAGAAACGCGACAAGAACCGCGTGGGGCTGGTGCACGAAGAGGATGAAGATGGAAGCTATGTAGTTGCAGAACAAGGCAACGAACAGGTGGACGACCACGATCTCCAGCACCAGCTCACCGAAGAACCCGTAGACAGCACTCCGCAACTTCTACACCGGAACCTGTTCATGCAGGGGGTAGAAACACACTACGTCCGCTTGCTGTTCTTGGCATTGGTGAAGCAAACGCTGGCGCACATGTGCGCACAGGAGAACTTGTTCATCTGCGAAGATGATGCAAGTAGGTTGGCGGCAGGACGAACTGTGGCGGACGATGTGACGGGTGGTTCTTCACAACTGGACGTCGCGGGTACAACTGTCCTCGCAGCGGACAGTGCAGTAAGGCGTGGCAATGGCGAGGAGGATGAAGAAGATGAAACTTCTGTCACGCCAGATGTTCCCCACGCAATAAAAGACCACGCCCTTCTTGCGGATGAAGAAGCGGCTAAACAGCACGCTGGTGCGCTTGGAGAAGTAGATCTAGATGCTGCTTCGTTGAGAGCCTCTTTCCAGAAGCGCGTGTGGAAGTGCGTGCAGGACAGCATCAATTTTCTTCAAGTCGGCACAACATCTAGCAGCGGGGGGTACAACTACAGCGCTTACATCGAACAGGTGGCGTTTTTACCGACTTCCCATCTTCTCGAAAGAGGTCAAGATAACCTCTATCCCTTCCCGGAAGAGAACGACTTCTCCGGCGGTGTAAAGGCTAGTTACATGCTCCCGCTGTTCTTACAAGACGGAAGTTGGAGTCTATTCGGGGATCATGATAATGATCTTAATGTTGAAGGTGCACTAGAAGCTCCTGACAGCAACTATCATGTTGCAACTACGAGGACATCAACCAGGGAACGCATGATCTCGGCTGCACTCCAGCCACCGCCGGCAGAAGCGCTGCAGCTGTTCGAAAGCATGAGCCACTGTGGAGTTGGTTCTTGCGGCCGCAGCGGGGCGGGAAGACCAGGTGGTGATGCTGGGGTACAACCCTCCACAGGAGTAACGACGCCCTTTAAAAATCTTCTTGCTGCGGTGCCCATGAATTACACGGAGCATCCACTCGACCAGAAAGAGGGCAAGCCCTTTCTCGGCTTGGGCGCAAACTTGTATAATGATCCTCCTCATCAAGAGGGTCCTGAAAACCATAGTGCAGAGGATTTTACTGGTGACGGCGCAAGAGTAGACCACCACACGGCCGCCCATTTCCTTACCGACAAGGCGATCGATGTGATTTTTACCCGTAATTGGAAGGGGGTTTTCAACTCGGAGACTTGCGAAACGATGTTTCACTTCGTTTTCACGAAGGTCGGCTTAGACATTGCGTTGGAGCTCCAAGACATGATGACAGGCAAAGACAAAAAGAACGACCCTCGTCGACAAGGAAAAGGAGCTGAAGAAATTGAGGATCACCATGATTCAGGAGACGGTGAAGAGTCACCTTCCCGTCCGAGTCCCGTCGATCTCAACAAGAGCTGTACGACCACGACGAAATTGATGGAATACAACTACAAGCAACGCCTTCTGGCAGAGCAAAAAAAGGCTTTCCTGGCCGCTTTCGACAAAATTCTACTGAACGTCCGCCGGGTCCTTCCGAACGAGTTTCCCGGGCAGTCGGTGAACTTGCCACCCACGACGAACAAGTACCTGTTTGACCAAATGCTCCCCCAGCTGGAGGCCATCGTGGAGAAGATCGGCAGGCAAACCTTCCAGCAGAATACTAGAACATCAGCGACACAACTACTGAAGCTGCCAGAGAATGAAACCAAAAGTGGACGAGAAACTTCTGAAGCGAATGAATTCCACCTGGCGCCGCACGTTCTCACAGATCGACGGTTTGCCTTTTGGGAACTGTATCTAGAAGACCTCGCCAAGGAGGGCGATGTAGATGAGGACGGACATCAGGACAGTAAAGACGCGGGGGTTGATGACGAAGCTGAGACCGGAGTTGGCGGAGGGCCATCGCAGCAAATAAAGCAAACAGAACGAAAGGACGAGCGAGGTGGTCCCGTAATATCACCAGGTGCGGACGCAGCCGCGGACGACTGGTCGGCGCTGTTTGCGAAAATCACGAGAGAGGAAGAGGAACGGGATATCAACTGTAAAAATGTCTGAGACTGGGTCTGGAAGGATCCGAACTTGCGATGCGTGTTTCGGATCCTACAAAGACTTGTGATGCATAAACGTGCAAAAGGTGCCCACTTCTGGCCATGCTGAGAGGGCATTCCTCATGCAGAATACGCATCACCACGGAACTGCAGAACCTGTGATGCTAGGCCCTGCATTCCAGACGTGGGCGAGCTTGGAAAAACTGCATGACAAATCTCGGAGACTCCCAGACCCAGACACTTTTGCATTTGATACGGGCAAAAGCGGAGCAAGAGCGGGCTCTGTTGGAACAGAAGCTGAAACAAGAGCGCGAAGAGCAGAAGCGACTGGACAATGAACTTGCAATGCAAGAAACGGAACGGGAACTGCGCGCGGGTGGAAAAAAGAACGCTGAATTATCAGACGAGCTGGAATTCGCGGCGAAACTGCAGATGGACGAAATGAGCGCCGCGGCGGAGCGCATGACGGCGCTGCAGAAACAAAAGAAAATCGAGCAACTGCTGCAGCAAGCAGAGGAGCTGGAGAATTTGGGCGAAGAAGACGAGCAGGATGAAATTCACGATCCGCGGGGCGAATTCAGCGCTTTAGGCAACATGAACGTGCTGTCGGGGGCAACTACGTCTGCGACTTTAGCCGCACGGAGCGCAGCTGGTGCGGGCGGAGAGAAAAATCCGTTCTTCGTTCCCGCTTTCGATGCTGCAGGGGTGAAAATCACAGCGGCAGATCTCGCCGCATTGAGAGATGATAAAGCTGGGGAACTGCAAGCGGGCTCCACTTCTCGTGGAGTTGGGCCTGGTGAGACAGAAGAAGAGGGTGGCGCTCTATCTGGTACGGGTCATGCTCCTGCGGGAATATCAACTACGACATCGCCGAACCAAGAACACACCAGCACCGCCTCGATCCTTGTGCAGGAGCATGCAACTGGCGTCAAAACGTCGGCCGACGCGACCACTCTTCTGATCGAAAGAACGCTTCAAACCCAGCAAGCTTTGCAGCAGCTAGTAGTAGCCTCCGCTCAAGCCACCTCGGGGGAGCTACCGTTCAAGATCGCGGCGGAGGCCGGGGGAGGGATCGACATTGCGAATGCCCTCGGGTCTACTCCTGGTGTCGGTGGAACCACGCCGACCTCAAGACCACATCAGGTGCGGGGGCAAGTAGATCAGCAAGAGGACTTTTGTTTCCACTCTCCCGAACAGGAACAAGAGCACAGTGAGCAAAGTAAAGCACAGTTGTCTAGTACTCCGCTTGCAGGAGGACCTGCAAATCCTCCAGGTGGAGCCCCGTCTTCGTTTGCGCCGCCAAGTCGCAGCAAGGAGCAAACGGCGAAAGAACAGCACGATCCCCATCAAGTGCAACCGCCGCCCGGACTAGAAGAAGTTGAAGTTGTTGATGTTGTAAAGCAACAGACGTCGTCGAATGCGGTTGGAAACAAGCACGACGGGACTTCTCTACTCCGCCGCGTGGGGGCCGGCGCTGGTGGCCAGCAAGACATCACGACCGATTCCGTATTCGCAGAGGCACGTCGCCTGTTGGAGCGGGCGAAAAGGATGCACAGTGCAGTTTCAACATCAGGGGGTGAGCAAGTCAATGGCGGAACTACTTCTACTTCTTCGGGTGCCCCCTCCTCTTTAGCAGTTGCACAGCCTCAGATGACGCCGAACAGCGTTTCTGGCGCGATGGCCACATCCAAAAATGCCACACCTACTTTCTCCGCCAACAACGTGATGAATACGAATCCCAACCGCCAGACGTCGAACAAAATAAACCTTTCGTCCAACATTTCCCGGCATCTGGCTAATCTTGTGACCCAGGCCGACCCCGAGGCGGCGGCACGGTCGATTGAGGAAAAGTTGCAGCGACTGTTGGAGCAGCAGCAGGCAATTGGCGGGGTGAATCCAAAGGACGAGGACATGACCATATCAGGCGTAGGCACCCAGCAGCCAGGGATGAAACAAATGGTCGAGCTGCATGAAAACCTGGCTACAAGTGACCAGCACTGCCTGGACTACCTGCTGGCCGTTGCCGCGCCGGAGAACGAGTTTGACGTACGCATTGTAAAGCACTATCGTAGTCTAGAAGTACCTACTAGTACTAGGAGAGTAAATAGTCGCATGTTGACAAGAAGTTCTTGTTCTTCCGAAAGCAAATAAAGTCCCGTTTGTCAACATGCCGATGTGGTCTAGAAATGAAATCGCGCTCCGATAATTGTTTGCTAGTACTACGACTACGATAAAGAGTTTTGCACCGGATATGCTACGCCGGATGCTAATTTGCGGTATTTGCTCAACACCGTGGGAAGAATCGGGGAGCAGTATCCTCAGTAAAAACGTTCCCACCTGCTCCGGACTTATCAAGATGGGGAATCTGCTAGACAAATCGACAAGTTTACATTAAGTTTTGGTGCTGGTGCATGACAAGTTTGGGGACGTTTCTAGTACAGTCCTGCCTGCTAAGTGGTCCGGACGCATTACAGATCCACTCTCTCATCATGATTTGCGCACCACAAATTACTCTCTGGGACAGGGACGTTTTTCCTCAGGATAAGCAGCAAGCGCGAGAGTTCTTTGAAAAGACCGGCCAGTTTTCGGTGTTATGGGTCAACGAGGAGGAAGAGAGCAGGTTGCCGTTTGACCTGGTGTTGTACGAGAACGAGATGGATGTGGAGGCTGGTCTCGCTGGTGGTGCAGCCAAGGACAGCACGACAATTATGATAAATGCGTCAACAACATCTTCATCTCCTTCGTTCTCCAAGACTTTCATGAAAGCTTTCGTCTCGAAGTACGCCAGTTGCCACAAGAAGTACTACGCCACAAATGGGTCAACGGCGGCGGTCACCGAAGTGCAGAGGTTAAGAAAAGAAACATATCATGCAGCTTCTAAGATTAATATTCATGTCTCGAATACTAGTGGTACAACTCGTCAGATGATGGTCCTCGCTTGTCAGCATCGTTGTTAATTATCATCGTTGTTTATCATCCTGCATGATCTGCCTTTTCTGCAGTACAACAAACTTGGGGAACCTTTCAAGATTGAGCCAGCTCCTGCTTCCTTCTCCTTCACTAGTACTTGTATTTGCATAATTTGTAGTGCCGCAGAATACAGAAGCAGGAGGCGGCTTTGATGCTGCATCCCTCTAAGAATTGAGATGATCGAAATAACTGTCGCATGTTTTTTAATATCCAGGTGAAGATTAAGATGAAATGCCTGGCAGGTCTGGTATTGAGTCTTAGAAGGTGCTGCGTTTTTTGGTTTCACACTGCGTTTTGGAAGAATACTTCGGCAGCACGACCACAACGGGCACCACCACGGGAGCCGCGACCGCGAGGGCCGCAACGTCGAGCCGCCTCCGCTTCGTTGAGGTGAAATCGAGCATCAAGGCGAGCAAGCAGGCATTTGAAATTTCGCCGCTCGAAGTTGTGACGGCGTTCTACCTGGGGGCGAAGTACTGGTTTTGCCGAGTGGAGGACGTCGGCAACGAGACACACTCGCTGAAGATTGTGAAAACGCCGCTCGCCGACCTGCATCGCTGTGGGCTTGGCAGACTCTGGCTGGTGATGTAGTAGGGGCTCTTTTGGAATAAACAGAAAGTTGTTGTTGAAAAATGTTAAGTCGTGTCTAGGATCTGACAATAGTCTTGACGGTTTTCTTGTCAGCATCGACGCGGAAAAATACACAGCTATCAGCGATTCTTTTAGATGATTTGGAACTCGTTCCCGTTGGTTTTTTGATCGACCAAATGATCGACCAAATGATCGACCAAAACATGATCTCAGTTTCGTTCCGGCAAACGACGGCTTTTTTGGCCGAGGTTTATTTGTTAATGGAAGAATGAAGACGAACACGAAGTAGAATTAGAATACCAAAAAAGTAGAAGCTCAAGTAGAAGTTGTATTATCCATGTTCACCATGGGCATGGTCGTTAGTTCGCGCATTCCGCAGGTGGTCGGTGGAGCAAGACCACATTACACTGCCGTAAATCTGCAGCACGCCCTGGAATCGTCCGAGTGCGACTGCTCTCGTCGCAAACAAAGATCGATGATCATCTGCAGGCAAGTTCCGCTTCCAGTTCCAGTACGATTAAAAAGGTACAAGACAGCCGCGGCTGTGCAAGCAAATAAATTTAGATAAAGATCAGCTTCAGCATCACCATCAGCCTCTTAATTTTTTGTTGTAAAGTTGTGATCATTTTGATCTTCATGAGATTGCTCGACCCAAAATCAAGAAAAACACAAGACTGGCGAGGAACTTGCTGAGGAAGAAGAAGTAAGTAAAACAACGACAACGAGAGGACCGTGTCGGATTGAAAATTATGTTCGATCCACACCAACACGATCCACAGGCCTCTTTGTAAGTCCATTTTCTACGACCCCTACCCATACTCTGTTTCTTTATATGTCTAATCCTGATTTCGATTTTTTTTTTCGTTTCCCACCAACGTCGGTCACTATGCATTCCCATTCAGATTATTAGGATTTCTTGAACGAATGTCTTGTCCTCCCTCGGCCCTGGAAAATTCCTCGAGTAACGTGATTCCTATTCGAGGATCACTAGGACCGCACTCGCCGGTCCCAGTGGTCGCGCTCGTCGTCATGACGTGATTACTACCAGCACCTCCATACGACCACGACCTGTTTGCTCCTCTTGTTTTACACGCATTTCTTTTCAACGTAGTATAATCGCGGAGCCGAGCCTCATTTTTTTTGTTCGGTTCTACTAGTACTTCGACGTATATAAATAATGATGTATCTACTTCGCTCCTACGTTAATATTTGTCGCTTGTAGCCCGCCCCGTAGACGTCTTTACTCAAGAAGACCAGCCAGACAATGTGTCGGTTCGCCGCTATGTGGTCGAACGAGCCGATTTTGATCGCGGACATCTTGACCAAGCCCCGTATGTCGCTGATTCGCCAGTCGTACGCCGCGCAGGAGCGACAGCACCCCATCGGGATTCCCGGCTTGAGTTACCAGCAGTCGACTCTGAACGGGGATGGATACGGCATCGCCTGGTACAGAGATGTGGACGAGCAGTTTCCCTGTGACCCCTTCCTGTGTGAGCCGGTTGTATCAAGTAGGGACGTCGAAGGTCATGATGGCGTGCTGGCCGAGTCTAGTACCAAGAAAATATCAAACTCTGGAACTCAACAAGAGCGTGAATATCCCCCTCTAGTATCAGGTTCAGGAAGAGGAGCTCCAAAAAGCTCCGAGGATGTTGACGCAGACCCTGTTTCTAGCTGCACAAAGACCCGCAGTAAGAACGTGGCCGGTACTAAAAACCTCAACCTGAACCCGCCTACAGCTACGTCCTCGGCCTCCGCCCGCAGCAAGCCGACGACGAAAATTCCGTGCGTGTTTACGAGTTTGAAACCCGCGTGGAACGACCGGAACCTGTCTCGGCTCGCGGAGCAGGTCAGCAGCAAGTGCGTGTTCGCGCACATCCGAGCGGCGGGACCCGGGTCACCAGTGTCTGACGACGCCTGCCACCCCTTCGAGGCCCGCGGGATCCTGTTCATGCACAACGGCATGCTGGGCGACTTCGACAAACACTGTCGCACCTTGATGTCTATGCTTTCCGAGGAGGGATTTAAGGTCGCCCTGGAGCACAACTGCATCGACTCCGCCGTCGCGTTTGGCCTCTTTTTGACCATTCTCGACCGCAATGATTATGCAGCCACGGTGAGTGGTGGACGTTCGGCTGCTGATAGTGGTTGTCCTCCTGCTCCTCTCGACGGCGCCGCACAACAAGGGACGACCACAACCAGTGGAGATGAGGAGGAAGATGATATGGTCGACGACCAAAGCTACAACCACGGCAGCACCAAGAGCAAAAATACCAAACGAAAAAACCAAAGCTGCGTCGAAGAAAGCACGACCACGAAGAACACGACATCAACCAAGAACCTTTTCTCCACGGCCGAACTGGCGGACGCGCTGCAGCAGACGATCGACGTGCTGAACACAGTTTGCGGGCCGAAGGCGCCCTCGCTGTTGAATTTTGTGATCAGCCACGGAACGTGTCTGCTCGCCACCCGGGCGGGCGTGGGGGGCGAGGGCGCGAGTCTGTACGTGTGCACCGGGTCAGACTGGGTGCAGGAGACGAAGAAACAGTGCCCGAAGAAGCCGAAGAGCCGGATCACGCAGAAGCAGGAGAAGTCCTGGGGCCATGATTTGGGCGAGAACTTTCAGAAAGACTTCTCCATGGTCAACATGGAGGCCCGGCCGTCGGTGGTCATCATCGCGTCGGAGCCTCTGTCCGCCGATCGCCACGACTGGATTCCGGTGCCGAGCAACACCTTGGTGGCGGTTACGACTTTGTTCTGCGTCAAGGAGAAGGCGCGGCAGATCGAGAGCGTGCTGTTTCTGCCGTTGAGTGGGGACGATGCGGAAAGGCCTGTGTCCTCGTGTGGAGAACAGAGTTCAATGCAGGAGCTGAAGGGTCGTGGTACTCGAGGTCATACAGCAGGAGCACGTGATGACAATGCTGGAAGGTGGGCCAACAAGATAATACGATCACCACACGAGGACAATGAAAACCAGCGAAGTCGTCAATGTCAAACAAGGCAAAGGTGGCCTCCAGATCAAGATCCTGATCATTTGTCCCAGCCCCCTTTATTTCGAGCAGCCCGACTCGGCGCCGTGCTGGCCGCTATGCAGGGGCAATCCCGACAAGAAATGCCTCCGCACAGGAGCAGAGATGACGTGGTACACGACCAGGAAGAACGGCCACGACGACCGGACATGAGCATAGACAGGTCACCAGGGGAAGACGTACAGCACGTGACCGTAGCCAATAGTGCGGAGCAGCATGTCGAGAGCCACCGTTCGCGTTGTCCATCTTCAGAACAAACAAAATCACATGCAGCACTGTCTCCCGCACAACTGTCAGGGGACGAGGAAGGAGCCAGCGCATGGCCAAAAACGCAGCAGGATGTCAAGAACGCAGGACCTCCACTTTCTCGTCCTATGGATGTAGAAACGGCAGCCTCGGATGTTCTTGCGAATCACGGGGATAGCGACAGTCAAAGATTATACGCCGAAGCGCTGCTGGAAGTTTTTCGCCAACAGACCTACCAAGCGACGCAGCAGCAGGTCCGCAAGATTGAGGACGGAAACAATGACGTCTTCATTCATCCAGGAGCTGCAAACGACACCGCCGGCAGGTGTAGTTCATCTTTCCCGTCCACTATTTTTTCCCCCTCGGCACAAGAACAGAACTTTTTTTCTACCTCCCCCAGACCTCCGGCGCGACCACTGTTCATCCCACAAGACGAAAAATTGCAGATACAGCGAACAAGAAACAAAAACCTCATCTCCCGTTCCAAGTACTTCGCGATGCCCACCGGTGTTCGTAACTGCGTGATTTGGCGCCAGCGGTACCTGCTTGCCGGCTGTCTCGACGGATCGATTCGCGTGGTGAATTTGATATCTGGCAAGAAGAACGAGGAAAGCGAAAGAGACACTACATCACACGAGCAGCGGACCAGTAGTCCTCGTGACATACAGAACATAAAGCATCAAGCTGATGAACAGGCTGGACCGACGGAGGACCACTTTTCTCCGGATCAGAATCAGTACAGAATCCTGGGCCACAACGCAGCGCCCATCCTCGCCCTGCGCATCTTCCGCGATCGGTACTTGTTGAGCTCCAGCAAGATGGACTTGCGAATCTGGGACCTAGATTTTTTGGAGAGCTGCACTACTTCTAGAAGTACAGTGGAACTACAAGAAGCACAAGAACGACCTGGAAGAGGCGGTGTAGTTTCTCACCATGCGGCGCATACAAACGGAGGTGGTAGAGAGCCAACGTCTGCTCCTACAACAATAGGAGTTCCACCGCCTCTGCCTTTTGGAGGGCCCGGTGCTGCAAGCGCAGAGGTCACTGACTCAGTCACCAGCGAAACCGCGGACGAGTCTGTTTTGACTTTACCCAACAGTGCCTTTCATTATGCAGGAGCGGCCAGCACGTGCACGACGACGTCGACATCAGAACTGCAGCCACCTCGGCTTCAGCCGATCATTTCGCAGAGGTCTGTGACCGACACCAGCGGTCTTGTCTTCCGCCCCGGCGAAACGGTTTCGGTTGTTGTACCTGGAACAACTACAGTTGGATCGTCCTTTTCAAAAGAGGTCATCAACGGAACATCAGTATTAACTGGAGCTGCAGCAACTACGTCTACCGCCACCATGACCGCGTTGTCCTCCGCATCGCCCAGGGAGCTGAGGAAAGCGAGCAAAAGGAACCTTAACACCAACTACGGTGGTAACACCAATTCTTCTTCGAGTACTACGCTTACTAACAAGCTTCAGCCCGGCGCCGCCACGACTTCTAGCACCACCGACTCGTCCCTCACGATGAACGCCGCCTGCGTCGTGTGTTACCGGTTCGCGCCGCTGCAGGGGCAGCTCCTCACGATCGGCCGGTGCGACGAGGGCGGTGTGGACGAGGGCAGGTTCCGGATCACACTCGGATTTTCCAGTTGCAACGTGTTCGAACTGTCCGTGGATCTGGACACTTTGCGGAAGCACCCGCAGTATGTGTTGTAAATTCAATGTCTGGGTCGTTGGAAAACTTCTGATGCAGGCTGCACAACCATGAGGACGTCTCAATTGGCGGCCACGCGGCATGGCAAGTTTGTGAGCTGCTAGGTCGTGTTGTCTGTTCTGTATGGCAAATTGCGCTTCTGGTTCTGCATGACAGAATAAAACTGGGGCGCAGCTTGGGTAACGTGCATGACAGGCTTGAGAGACATCGACATGCTGGCCGAGCATGACAAACTTTGCATCCTTCTACCAGACCCAGACATTCTATTTGCACTTCATACGCAGCGTTCGAACACCATACGCTTTTTTACGCTGCCTTGTCCAACGAGTAGAACCGAGGACTTGCGGAAGTGCTATCCTCTGTGGACCACATTAAATAAAAGCAACTTCTTCATGCTCTCGAATACTACCCCCGCTCTTGATGTTGACGTGCCGCTACTCCCGACGTACAATTTTGACTCTCCGCAGCTCAAAGGGATCGTCGCCCCATCTGGTAGTGGTGGTGGTGGTGGTGGATCTACTTCGACGCATCAAACGAACACAGGCGAAACAAGCACGACAAGTGGAGCACAAGAAGTTACGGCGGATCCAGGAGTATTTTCATCACCCCAGGCTCCGTCGACACAGACATCACAACTCGGTAATGTACCTGGTTTAACACAAGAACTTCCCTCCCTTGACGAGGACTGCAGTTTCCTTCTGCAGAAGACCGTGTCCGAAATCGCGTCTTCCCCTTATTCCACCGCGAGCCCGCCCGGTTTGCAGGGGTTGCGACGAGGAGCAGCGACGACCTCGCAGCGGAGAACTACAACAGCAAACAAAGTTACCGGGGGCGGCGCTGGTGTAGTTCCTCCTGCACAGCTCCCGAAGGACTGCCAGCAGTTGCGGTTCATCGCGCAGCACCGGAGCTGCGTGTACCAGGTGTGCTACCTTCCGCACAACAAAATGGCGCTGTCGGTCGGGGGGGACGGGGTTTTGAAGGTGCACTACGTGGCGGAGAACGGGCAGACCTTTGCCTGTCGGGACGAGTTGCAGGGCCGCGACGGACCCATCTACAGCGCGGCGGTGTGCGTCAATCTGAAAAAGAAAAACACAGCTGCAACATCAAATTGTCTTCATCGCGGGCGAAACAAGCTGGTAACAAGGCGGTTCACAGACGAGGGGTGTTTTGACTCCTATACTTGTACAGGTGGGACGATGGAGGAGGGAGATGTTGAACAACAACAAGGCGGTGTACTAGGTGGCTCCGCTGCTCTACACGATGAGAAAGAGAACCATTGCGACCAGCAAAACAAGAGCGGCAACTTCATCAGTTGCACAATATCAAAGGGCGTACTCGGAAACAACGCCGTTTCCGCAGCTACGTCTTCGGGTAGTAAAACGAAAACAAGAGCTGACGCGATTATTACGAAAAATATTACGAGCAAAAAGTTCATTTTAGACGGAACCACGAGCCCGGTTTCAGCCACCGCCAGGCAGCGCGTCGTGGGGACGAACAATGGCAATGTCGTATCCACCACGACCCTTGGTGCTGGAGAGCTTGCCAAGGCTCCCTCCCACCCGGAATTTCGCCTGAGCATAGTAGAAGAGATGGTAGAGCAGAAAAGCGGATTTCTCTTACACGGTGAAGATGCTCTTGCAGAGTACGGGCAGCAAAAAAACATGATAGACGTCGAAACCGAGGAAGATCACAAATTGCTGACCCCCAGAAGTGTAGTCGAGGAAGAGACTAGTAGTACTGATATCACGACGGCGCAGGCGGTATCGGGCGGAAAAATAAACCGAGACCTACACGAGAAAAAAAACGAGACCAGCCACAACCTCGCTTCTGAGCCGTCCACCTCCTCGTCCACAGGAGAGTTACCCGGGGGCGGGGAAAGCAGTAGTTCCTCAGCACCTGCTCCAGGAGGTTCAGTCTCTTTGACAATGCACAGCCACATCAACCAGGTGCCGACCACGACGCCTGCGATGCAACAGACGACCGCAACGCAGGCTATCGAGGACATCTTTGTGACGGGCGACGAGTCCGGGAAGATAAAGCTTTGGCGCGTTCTGAACGGAAGTTTGTCCTTCATGTCGGAGCTTCTGGACACCAACGCGAGGACGAGCCCATCTCATCAAAGCCGGTCTCGCGTCTTGAGCCTCTGCGTACTACGAGAAACACTGTTGGTCGCGGGACGGGGCGATGGCTCTCTGGAGCTGTACGACCTACGAAAACGGCAGTTGCTGGAGGTGTACCAGAATGTCAGCCGTGGCGGCAGGTGGGCCTGGGAAGATACTTCATCTGCGCAACGAATGAATAACACGACGAATCATGTGTGTCAGTGCATTCGGAGAATTGACGACTGGCAGTTTTGTTGCATCAGCCAAGATCAAGGGGTCACGCTTTTTACCGTCGGGGAGCAAGAGGAGAAATTGGAGGTGCAAGAAAGCGAGTTGATGGTCGTTCCCGGGTCCAACCACGCGACCCGAGAGCAAAAAAGCGACCAGCAGCTCCACAAGCATCTGTTGAACGCGGCAGACGCAGCAAGTTGTAGCACCAGTGCAATAAGTGGAAGAGCTCCTCCTGGTGCTTCTGAACAAGCTGCACCTCTACTTCTACCGCCCAAGAACACCTCGTCCTCTAAAGACAACCCGCGTGGTCTTCGCTACTTTTTGTGCGAGGCAGACAGCATTGCGCAGCTGGTCAAGTTTCTGGCTGCTATGGAAAATGCGCGAAGAACACGGAAATTTGAGATCCTGAGCACGGAGAACAGAAGGGCTTGCTTCCTGTTGGAGCTAGATGATGAAGAGGAGAAAATCTTTGCAGACGGTGCGGGCGGGGCAATCACACCAGGCCAGGGGCTACTTGGCGTTGACGAGGAATCAAGTGCAAACCGGACTGCCGTAACAGCTAAATCCACAGTGTTTGTTCGCCTCTTTCGAGACGCAACTGATTTGGTACGGAGCCTAATTGATGATCATTCCTCGCGCGACTCATCAGGAACTGCACAGACGTGCAATGCTCACTTGCTAAGAGTTACCGAGCTGCTTTTCTGAAAATAAATTCCAGCCGTATCGTGGCTGTGATAAACAATGTCAGTTTTGATTCGGTGCTAGCCGCGACCTTAAGTATGTATATTCTGTATAGCGAAGGGCGAAGCATTGCTGTGTAGGGTCGTTGAGGACAGCCTTGCAGGTGCACGGGCTGTGCGTATGAGTTGTGTAGTTAGTTCTAATTGTAATATGTCGTGGCTGTTGTATCACGAGAAATAACATTTTAACGACGACCGCTCCCATATGAAATTGGCTATAGTTCCTGTTCGCACTTGCAGCAGGCTTAGCACTTTCAGTATCATGTTGGAGGGCTATTCCTGCCTATTGATATTGTTGTCGCTGCACTTACAAGGAGGGTGCTGTGCGTTGTGGCTTTCATCCGCCTCTTCATAGTATAGTTTCCGCCTTTTCACAAGCTCATACTCGTTTTTTTCGGTTTAAATGTCTGTGAATTTCGACGAATGGAAGGAGATTGATGTAGTTTCTTGTCGCGTTGCATGATGAATTGAAATTCAGGCTCCATGATCGGAATCAGTGCGATTTTTCAAAGATCCCCTCGAACTGCTGCTGGTGCAGGATCGCAGATCATGAAAATAACAAAATAGAAGGATCTATGTGCTTCATATTCTGGCTCTGTCTGCTGTTGTATTGGGTTTTTCTCCTGTGAAAAGTTGATCAGAATCTAAATTCGGTGCGGCATATCGAACTGTCTTCAAAATGATATTGATCCTGTAGTTGGTTCTAGAAGTTTCCGAAATGACCACATAAGTACATAAGACGTCGCTCAACAAGTGATGAAATTGTACGTGGCACCACTCGGCTGTTGGTCCACATCGTCCTAGCTCCTCTTTTTTCTCTTCTTCGCAGGTTTCCGGTAGTATTGTCTCGCTAGTGATCTCAAGTCGTAATACCTGTTCAGGGTACGTAGTGGACGAGACATGTTTGATAGCATTGGAGAAGCAAGAAAAAGAGATATAATAATTCTACTATAGTTCTTGGTCTCCCCTTCATCTTGCTCTTTTTTGGTCCTTGTTTATTTCGATTTCTGTTGTTGGTCTACATCTTCTACCGATTCTAAAAAGACATACTAAGCCGTCCGTAAGCTTGCTCACCCACTCTAAACTCGTCATGCATGTCGGCATGGTGTTGATGATCTGGTGCAATGGGCTTGATATCATTTGCATTTCTATTTCATCTTGAAGCAAGCTGATGTTGCCAGAATGATGGGGCAGTACGACAACGGCCACGCGCGCAGCTCGAGCACATCTCGAGCGCATCTCGATCCCTCCTCTGGGCACAAGGATCTTTATTCCGGCCGTCATTCTCATTTCGGCCCCCGGCGCACTGTCGGCGGCGCGGAGTTTGCTTTCACGCGGCGGAAGCTGGATTTGAGGCCAGTCCACGACCGGGTCCTGTACGAAAACACGGCCACGCCGGAGCTGAATTTCAGCTACAACCTGCTCGCCCGGGATTTTGACTGCGACGGCTCACAGGTGGTTTGCGGCACCGGATTTGATGCTTGGAACACCGGCACGGGGATCGCCGTCAGATTTCGCTGTTCGCAAAATGGCGGCTCGTCTTCGTCGACCTCGTCGCAGCACCATGATTCCAAAGTCATGGAAACGGGTCCGCTATTTCCAAATTTGAAGCGGGTGGACGAGGAAACGGGAGACATAGACAACAACTCGTACTACCACTATTTTGCAAACGACCCACGGGGGCGGTTTGACGTAAACGGGACCACGACGTCAAATTCTGGCTTCTACAGTGGCGAAAATCTTGTCCAACAAGACCACCAGGAAATCAGTGTCAACCCGTCTTTCACACCAGCTGTGGCGGGCGGGGAAATCGAAAACGTGTTTTCATCCGGACAACAAGTATTCGGGGACGATCCCGATATAATCACAGGGAACTACGAGGAGAACGGTCATTCTCAACATCTTGAAATCGATGGCAGCATTACTCCGGCGCATAATCACGGTGGACAGGAACAGCAGCAAACATCCGCGCACCAGAACAACAGTGGATCTTACCTCTCCAGTAGGAAAACAAGAGGAACCTCCAGCGCTCTTCACTCTCTACAGCACCACCCTTTACAGCACCTCGAGCTGCACCAGCAGAAAACTTTCAGTCAGAAAAACCCGTTCGGCTTCATCCAGCAAATCGAAAAATGCCGCGCGTTCTCCACCCAACCCGGTGCAATCGACACCGTCTGCTGCAAGACCAACGAAGGGCAGGTCGCGGTTCTGGCAGTCAGTTCAAGTTCAAGTACTACCGCTGACCAAGATATAGGAGATGTAGATCATGCTGAAGATGAAGCTGGGTTATTTTCAAGCAGAACTACATTGAGCGACGATGAAGATGTGGACTACGATGTTGATTCGAAAAGAAACCGCAAAAATTATCGCCCGCGAAATAGAACAAGGACGAGTTCAGAAAAGAATCCCAGCGTCTGTTCCCTTCTCGGCCACACGTCGATCCAGTGCGGGACGTCTGCAACCTCGAGTTACGCCGAAAAGCACACCCTGATCGCCGACAAGAATGGCGAAACGACGCTCGGCGTGGTGTCGGTCAGTAGATTCGGGCTGCTTGACGTGGGGAAGAAAATTCTGCACGGGTATAGTGGTAGTTGTAGTACGGGGTCGTCTACTTTGAGCGCATCTTCTAAAAAATCTTCTTCCCCAGCCAACGCGCTCCTCCTTGAGCACCCGCAGAATTGGCAGTCGAATTTCAACAAGGGCTGCTTTACCAATTTCGGCTGTGGGGCGACGAGTTCCGGCGAGAATTTGCTCCTCGTCGCCAGCAGTTCGAGTAGGGAGAAGGGCGGGCTGTTCCACCTGGATCGCCGGGAGAACATCGTCAGTCACTTCTACCCCAACACCGTGTTTGGCGGCGACGCCTTGCAGAACGCGCGGTCCGGCCCGCAGCTGAGCTCGCGGACGAGTAACGAGACGATTTTGAACCTCGAGCCCCTGTTCGGCCAGTACTACGCCATCCTCTCCTCGTGCAAAATGCAGTCCACCGGGTACGACCCGCTGGGGTGCGGGAACACGGTGCGGGTCCTAGACGCCCGGTACCGGAAATGTCCGGTTTTTTCGCTCCGGTTGCCGACGTTGCTGAGCTCGCACCTCTCCTGTGAGGGCGGCAAGCCGCGGAACTGGTTCGGGTCGCGGAAGCTGCCCGGGAGTCTGAAGCCGATGGATGGCATGCGCTACTACGGGATGAGCTGCAGCAAGAACAACTACGCGATGAATTCGAACCTCAGCCTCCTGTCCATCTTTTCCGAGCACTGCACGCATTTCCTGCCCTTCGACGCGCAGAGATCGGAGTTCTATCCCCTGGAAACCTCGTGGTGGGAGTACTGTGCGGGCGTGGACTTCCGCCCGCGAGGAGATGGGTCCAGGGCCGGGCGGTTCTCGTGGGGCTGGGACGACGAGGACGACGGGGCTGATCAGGCTCATCTTGCTCGATCTGGGTTTTCGCCTGTCTGTCTCTCCAAGTACCAGACTCTCGCGGAGACCACGTTTTCGATACCGCGAGGAGGAGTAGAGGACAGATTTTATCCAAGAACAGCGGAATCTTCTTCTGTCGCGGAGGGAAACCGAAACTATCTCGCTCATCATGCGACAACAACGAGAGACGAAACTACAGAGGACGTCGTCGAAGCAGGAAAAGACGAAAAAATCTCCGAAAAGAGCGTCGAAATGGACATAGTCGACTTCAACAAGGACAACTCCACCAGTTTCTTGCTGGAGCACAGCACGATCAACAAGCGTCCTGCCGCGGCGGAATTTTTGTCGCAGAAAAAGAAGGAGGACAAGGACCAAAAGCGGCCCCTGCCGTCTGCCGCCCGCGACTTTTCCGTGGCCGTCGCGCGAAATTTGGATTGCATGGCGGAATGGGAAAAGTTGGAGCAGATCGATCTCATGGACGAATGCGAGGAGTATTTTCGACAAGTTCATGACCACGAGGCTCATGCACAAGATGCTATTCAAATTCATCCTGATGCTGGGACTATGAAGCGGCATACAAAAGGAGCTAACGGAACTGACGGCGGACTTGGGCTTGCCTTCAGCGATTGTGAGGTGGAGGACGTCGATGTGATTCAGCAGCCCGAAATAAAGCAAAGTGGCGACGAGGAGGTGAAAGAAGTGCAAAAAAACAATGCCAATGGTGAGACCACAAGCAAAAGTCTCGCCGGCGTAGTAGGAAGCTCCAGCACGACCTTCGATGAAGAGGACGATACAACAGAAGTTGCCGTCGCCCACGAAATAGAAGATGTCGACCCTTTGGCGAAATTAGCCGCGCGAGCTGTTCCCTTAACGAGGTTAAACGTTCTGGCGGCGGGGATTCGGCGGTTTTTGGCCGCGAAAAGAAGTGCAGCAAAGATCACAAAGGACTCCTCGTCCGGGAATGGCGCCGCAGCGGCGTCGAAGGATAGTAGTTGGCAGGCAGCTCCGGGGGCGTCCTCACCTGAGCAGAGCGAAGAGCTGGAACGCTTGTTCCCAGCAGGTTGTAGTAGAGCGTCGAAAAGATTTAGATGCAAGGAAACGCCGGGTAAGCGCTTGCGGAGAAACAAGAAGGTGAAAGCAAAGGACGAGGAGGATGATGTGAGCAACTACCCGACGAAGAAAACAACGGACGAGACCACCGTGGAGGAAGACCACGACGGTGAAGCTGAAGAGGAGGTCATGAAGCTGCTCCACAGTTTAGAAGAAATCATCGAAGATGATGGATCCGGATATTTTTACGATAATGCATCACCAGCCTACGATCCCTACAAGAACAGCGACTCGACTAATCGCGACAAGAAAATCCGTGACTGTATACGGGACGTCAGTCTAGTCGAACTTCTGGACAATTTGGTATCCTCCTCGGACGAGGAGGATCAGGGCTGTGGTGCTGAAGTTCTTGGTGAGCAGCACGACTCAACATCCAAAAAAGCACGACAAGCTCGCGGTACACTTAGGATGAACCGGCAGCGTTGTAAAGTATTACGCCTGCAGCGACAAACGAAAGCGAAACTGCTGGAGGCGGCGCTGTCTGTCTACAAGCGGGAGTTGGGAAACAAGAGTTTTCTGTTTCCAACCATCGCTGATCTGAAGGAGGCGGGGCTGCTGCGGAAGAACTGGCGCGGCGACATGCAACTTGTCCGGAAGCGGAGCGAGAAAGAGATGGAGATGCTGGCTTTGGTGCGGAAGATGACAAAAATGAAGGGCACTGGTTCTCGTAAGAAGCGCGGAAGAAACGGAAAACGCGCCAAAGTAAGGACAAGGAACAATTTGGGCGTGGTGGGGGGCGGAAGGGGGAACGGCGCGGCGAGTGACGAGGAAGAGGAAGGCGGAACAACTTCGTCAAACAGTTCTTCTGATGGAAATGGACAAGATTTTGACGAAGATTGTGAAGACATGTTTGTCGATTCCGAAGACGAGGATTTGTTCAGCGTCGACCCCTCCGCGACACCCGGAGCAGCAGGCGCCGCTTTCAAGAGGAATAGAAGGCTATCAAGATTATCCTCTTCATCGCTCCACAAACGTGGGAGGAGGAAAAACAAGCGCAGACGAGTCATTAACCCCTACTCCCCGGTGCAGGGCGTCCCGCGCCACGCCGGGAACGTGAAGCGGGTGAAGAGAGAGGCGAAGAAGGAGGCCGACTTGCTGGGCGAAGGGTGGCTGTACAGTTTGCAGGAAGAGAAGCTGGGGGGAGTTTTGCAGAGAGACAAGGTTGTTGACAGCACCTCCTGCGAGGGGGCTTTACTGCTGTCCTCAGCGCCAGCAGCAGCAGCTGCCCCTGCCGCGGCCGGAAGGCCGCAGCAGCAGAATGGGCCTCGTTCTAGTTTCATGTCGTCATCTAAGAAAGCAAAGCAAGCCTCTGCATCAAAAATGAGTGGGGTGGACGATGGTGATACAAGTGATAGCGAGCGTGAAGACGACGTGAAAGATGCGGATCATCCGGGGCTGGAAATTCCGGAGCTGCAGGACGACGAAGAGGATCAGCACGAGGAGGAGGAAGACAAAATGTCGTTCTCACTGGATGGCTTGGAAGACCAGGGTACCCAAGGCATGAAGAAGAGGCGCAACATGCAAATACTTCAAGCAAAAAACAAATCGGGTGTGGGTCAACATCATGGTCGTCATCAGGAACGAGACAACATTTTCGCCAGAATCTTTCTCAGTGTCAAGGACGCACGGGGGCTGGGGAGCTCCGGTGTGAGCAGCATAGAGGAGTACGAGAAGCCAGGCTCGCGAACAACGAGGTCAACATCTACTACTGGAGCGCGGTCTCTGCTTCGAGGAGAACGAGAAGGAGAAATAAGCGAGGGGATTATGGATGCAAAAGCTCGAGGAGATATCGACGAAGAAGACCTCCACGACGCAGAGAAACACCAGGTCGTGGAAAGCAAGAAATCGACAAGCAGAAAAAACCGAGCCGGAACTACACCTGCTAAGAGGTTGGGTGTAAGAACAAAGGCGAAAGCGAAGCATCAAAAACTCAACGACAGCGACAATGAGGAGAACGAGGAGGTGGATTCTGAAAAGGAAGATGAACTACTATCGAAGCAAGCACCGGATCTACTCTCGGACATGGAAACCGCCGGCGGTCATCCCGGGGATCCATCTTCAAAGCCATCCGACCAAAAGAGAAAAGCGCGGCCGTCCGTTCAAGAACATCTGCTTTCCTCGCAACAAGCCGCGACTGGGCTGAAAAAAGAAAAAACGCTGATGGAACACGACGTCGCTCAGAAAACCACGAACGGAAGTAAAACAGCGCCAACACGTCCTTTCGACGAAGCTCCGCAGCAACCAGCTTTCACTTCTGCGGCATCTTCAGAGGCTGAGGCAGCTCCGGCGGCAACAGAAGTTGCGAAAGCCGAGACGCAAACTGGAAAAATGAACCGAGGTGGAGCAGTAGAGCCTACTCCACCACCACCAGGTCCATCTACCGCTAAAAAAACCAGCACTTCTTCTGCAGAAATAACGGGTAGGAGAAATAACAACAAAACGGACGTCAAGATGCTTCTTCCAGCACCACCCGTCCGGCCAGCAATAAAATCACGAACACTGCTACAACCCTCCGCTTCCAGGACAATCGCGACGGGGTCTCAGAGTGTCCCGCTAATGCCGTCGTCAACTTCGAATTCGAGCCGAATGCTTTTACAACCAGCCGGGGGCAGAAACGCGACGTCAACTGCATCTTCCGGAACAAGCAGTAGAACGGCTGGAATCTTCGCGGGGAACAAAACGCAGCCACCCCCCGGCGTGTTCGCAAGCGCCGCTCCTTCTGGTCGCATGCCTTCGTCTGGGCGCGCACCTTCTTCAAACAGTGTGATGTTCAGCAGGGCGGGGCCGTCAACATCAAGTGGCCGCATGCCTTCTGGTACAACTGCTCGTGGAGCAGGCGGTCCGAGCGGACGGATGCCATCGCTCCCGAAAACAATGCCTAGTGGTCGCATGCCGACGGGGACAGCGAAGAAATGATGTAGGAGAATGAATGTTGAGCGACTTGATTGACATAAGAAGACGAACCAGCGACTGAAACAACTGTACTTCGGACAAAACACTAAGTAAGTAGAAACATCCAGGCGATCTAGAATGTACTAGGACGAGGACAAGAATGATGACGAAGTTTACGAATACATCTTCAACCCGAGCGTGTTTCTAAAGCTTTCAGCTATCATCTGGATATGCAGTGGGTCGCAAGGGTGATGAAAGAATACTTCCATCATAGCAGTTGTTCGGCCTCGGCAAGGATTCGTGCGTTTTTCGGCGTCGGCGACCCGGACGTGCGTTTTTCTGTTGCAGACGTCTTGCCTTTTGCATCAAGCGGCCGCCGGCGGCGCCCGTGTTTGTCGATTTTTTGTTTGTGTTTTTCGTCCTTTTTTCTTGATGCTTCGAGAGAGATTGAGATAATCTTAATCATGAGGGCAAGGCGGAGAGTAAGGATACGGAGATGCCAATGCAAAGTTGCAAGGAGCCAGGAGACTATTTCCATACGAGAACAAAGAAGCTCGTGAGCAGCCTCCTCCGTTTCTGTGGTTGTGGTCGTGCTCCATCTTCGTGATGGTGATTCTTCAAACTGAATTTTTTTTTTTTCGTGTGAGCCGAACTACGACATGGCACAAGTGAACAGGTCTGGTTATTGATATTGCATTCAAAAATTATAAATAGAAACCAACAGTACGAGCGAATTTGTTTTTACAATTCCAGTTGTTCGCGTTGGTTCATGTGGACCGCATTCCGCAGCTAGAAGACTTGCGTATCCTCGGTTGTATCCTGCAGCGGCAGTATTCGAGTTCAAGACCAAGATCAAGAAAGAAACGGATTGCAAGCCCTCTAGTACGTCGATCATGGTCCTCAGTACCACAACAACCCCGAGAGGGGCCGCCGGTCCCCTCGGCGCAGCAGCTGCAGCTTCCCCCTCCTCCCCAAGCACCAGCAGGGCGATCTCGGCAAAGGCCAAGGTGGAGCAGCAGGAATATGAAACTGAGGCACAAATTCGCGAGAAGAAACGCCTGGGCTTGCTAGCGGAGTTGCAGCTTTTGGGCCAGCAAAATGAGGAATTGGTACTTCTTTTTCTCCAGTAGAACTAGCAAAATGTGAAAGTCGTGAAGATGTGCTCAGAATGACGTAGAGTAGAGTTTGGGTTCTTTCCGCGAGGTCAGGTCGTGCTAGTAACTTCTAGACCTGTTGCCGCCGATCCAGAGCCATAGAAAGATAGTGACCTGCCACCCACCCTCGTGCAGCGTGAAGGTGAAGGCTGGTCTTGATGGTCCTTACGCCGTGTATTAGTATTTTCACTGTCCCTGTACCTGTATGCGGATCAATCTGAATCTTTGTCTATCATCTTCACCTCGCTAGTACTACAACATCAACAGAATCTACAAACTAACACGACTCGCATTTTGTGAAATAACAGAAATAAAGCACCGAATAAGAAAAGTTGAGTGTCAGTCTCATCTTCTGAAGTATTTTTGCGCCCCGACGCTCTTCACCTTCAGGCTGACAAGATCGAGTCCGCCAGGTTTGCGGACACAGACGTGTTCCACGCCCAGAAGCTGCAGTTGCAGTCGAAAGTCCTGCACGAGATCGCGGACATCCAGACGCTGTCGCAGGACGTCAGCCGGCAACTGAAAACCGCTGCGCCTCTCGACGACGCCGAACAAGACTACCGGGTCGCGCGGCGAAACCTGGGGGACGACCCGATCCTGTTGAAGAAGGCCTTGGAAGCCACGGAGAAAAAGTTCGAGAAACAAGAGAAGCAAATCAAACGGCTAGTCCTTGCAGAACACGACGCCGAGAAGGCGAGAGACGTGTTGCAAAAGGACATGAAGGATAAGGTAAGCTCAGTAGGTAGCACCTTCTGTTTCTATGCTTCTTGACGATTCTGCGGTCGTACTGGTATGGGTATCCACATTTTTCGCCTCTGCGTGAACTAACTTCAGGATAAGTAGCGGAGCCTCTGCGTGAAGAGCTACAGGAAGATCAGGGCCTACCTGCTCCGTGATGATGTAAATGTGCCGATCGCGGTCACTAGTATCATATTCTTCGATAACGATGAGGATGAAGCCGCCATTTTCCATAATTTCATTACTATCAGATATCCGTGTTCTCTCACGTTCGGCGGAAATACGTGGTGCAAAACGATAAGTTGAAAAGCGAACACGCCGCGATGTCTGAGGAGTGCCAGCAGCTGCGCCGAAGCAGCTACTTGCAGGAGAAGCGAATTCTCGAGTTGGAGGACCAAATCGAGAATTTCGGCGTGGACCAACTCGAGCGGACGATCAGCAAACGCATGGAACACGCGACGGAGCAGGAGAAGAAACTGAAGGATGCGCTGAAGAGTTGCAAGGAGGAACTGGTGCAAGCGCGGCGGGAAAACGAAAATCTGTGGCACAAACTGAAAGTTCAGACGACCGCGTTCGAAGACCTTCGCAAAACCAGTGAGACCCAGCTGTACGCCGTGAAACAGAAGTTGGCGAAGGTAGCGCAACAGAAGAACACGGACGTTGTATGCAATTTGATACAAATTTCGTAGTTTCCCGTACACGTACTACATCAACTTCGAAGCCGAAATTTGTCATGCGAAATACAGTATGCAGCACAGGAGAGAATTGTAGTCATGCAGGAATGTTGCCATTCGTGCGCGTGCCCGTACTTGCGCGGGAAATTTAGGACCATGGATACGTTGAGAGGCTCGACACCAAAGACGAGCGGATCAAGTTCCTGGAGAAAGTATCATATAGCAAAAAGTGCTAACGTTAATCGGTGCTCTACTGTCAGTGATTGCGCTGGGCATTATGTTGACAGAGGTTGGCTACAACTGTAGTGCATGGTGTGCAATAGAAGTTCTGCCTGTGGTGATGTTTAGCATGCTGGTCATGATCATGCACCTCTGCAATACGACACTAAATTTCGTCATCAGCATTAACTTGTTTACGCACTTTTTGGTCTGATAGCACGAAGTGAAGTACTACAAAAGCGAGCTGCTCAAGCGAAAAGTCGCAATACAGCAAAGAAGTGCTAGTGGAGGAGGTACCGGTACGGCTGCAGCAGGTGGAGCTAATGGTCCCTTGCCGCCAACCAGTGGTGGTGCTCCGCTGTCCCCCCGGGCGGCGGCAGGAGCGGGGGTCGGGAAAGTGCAAACGAAGAAAGAAAAATCCCAGTCACCAAGACGCCCGGGCGGCGGTGGAGGAGATGTTAGTGGCGGGGGAAAAAGAACAGCAGTAGATGCTGGGCCAGTTTTGAACCCGTGGCCGTGAGGCGTTCCATGTTAAGTAGCACGAGGAAGATTTTTGGACTATCTTATTCCCCTACAAGTTTCGCTTTCGTGTGATCCGCAGTGAAAAAAAATGGTTTCTAAATTGAAATGTACTCTTGGTCGGCCTCCCTGAGACGACAAGTGACCGGCAATATTTAAACAAACAACCACTGCAGCTTCTGCAGTCACCACGAGGAGATGACATCGCTTCTCTTTCTTCCTGGTGCGCAGCTGTGCGTTTGGCGCTCTGGGTTTCCTTGACAATCGCGATCCTCGTTTTGATAAGAAATTTCCGCGGCCACGGACGGCAGCCACGCTGCGGGATGGCTGTATCAAGTCTTCAATTGTTCTTGAGGACGACTTGAGAACGGCGCCGGATTCTTGGTCTTGAGCAGCTCATTTGAGGATGATAAATGCGCTAGAAGAGGCAACACGCTTTAGATTCACCGTGCGTCCGAACTACTTCGATATTCTACATTTTTGTCAAAGCTATGCACTTCGTCAACCGAGACCTCCGGCGCTTGTTCGCCTGCACTCACCCGCGCGGACAAAGATCGTCTCGGTCTCTCGGCATTTTGATGCCTAGGAATAGGATCGTCTTTTTTTGTTGCCCTTTAATATTCCAAGGTCGACCATAAGATCATCATTTTGATCAACATTTGTAGTTGTGGAGGAGAAGACGAATCAGCTTCCTATCTTTTCCATACTTTCATTACAGGAGCTGTTCGTATTCTCATCGATTGTGATTTATAGTTGATCTCATACTAAAAATCAACATTTGTAGTTGTGGTTCGCTCCTCGGAACGTGGACGTTCACGTTGTTCTTCTTGTTTTATGTTCTCGGTTCTTGCAGGTCGAATGTTACAACGAGCACCTGCTTCTTTCATTGTGGATCGTTAGAAGATCTTCATCTCCGTATTAATGTGCAGCTCCTGATGTTTGATCTTGATGCAAACAGATCATCATGATAAAGGAGGACACTTGTGGCGCTGCGTGTACTTATGTGTTGAGTTTCGATCTTGTCTCGCGATCACAAACCGTGACCTTCATGCAGCAAGATGAAGATCAAGATGAACTTGATGCATTCATGATTTTTCATCAACCTAACTTCCTAATATTGTCTTCACCATTTAGAGTCTCGGGTTTTTTATTTTAGTAGGTCATGACCGTCGTAAATCTAAATCTTCAAGTGCAAAATCAGCCCCAGTAGTCGTGGTTGATGAAGAAGTGTGTCATTTTTTCAGGAGCAGGAGCTTCTACTTGTTTTGATCAGATCGAGTTGTACCAGACGCACGACATCGACAGCAGCGAAAATGAAAACCGTGTTGCGCCGAGGAACAGCGAGGGAGGTGCAATCTCGTCGGGGGAGAACCACTACCACGACGCTTGTGCTGCGACAACACAACCACCTAAATGCGACAGCGACGGGGAAGAACTTGTCCGAAACTTCTTGTTCGCCGTGCTGGGCGTTTTTCCCCTGCGATAATTTGTCGAGAAGCGGTTGCGCCGTCGTGTCGGAGACAACAAGGCGAAGTTGTAGCGGCCACAGGAACTTCTGCAGTGTCGCGGCTGCTGCAGACGAGGCACGACTTCTACATCAGCAGGCCGGAGCGGATTTAACAGGAGCACCAGAGACAAGAACTGGTCCTTCAAGAGTGGATACAACTAAGACGGAATCTACACGGGCTGGGTCAAGCAATTTCAGTAGCCCAGCACCAGGCCGACAAGGTGAGACGACGAGGCACGAGGACCACTCGGAGACAGCAGCATCGCCAGCTGATGGAGAGGATGCAGTTGCTGGCGCATCGACCGCAAATGCTGGTCGGATTCGGACCTCCTCATCGTTTTTATCTTCTAGCTCTACTGGTAGTACGCCTTCCTCTGGTAGTAGTTGTCTTCCAGATGTTGAAATAAACCGCACTGCGTCCTCTGCGGCCTTCGCCAGCGGCGTGCTTCCAGAGCATGGAAATCATCGAGCGGCCCGTCCTGATTCGAGACCCGCGGAACCGCTATATTATCGCGCACCAGACGGCGTCGATGGAGCCACGTCACAATCCACGACGGTTGGGACGCGTTCCTCTGCTCCCGAGGATGTCGTTGTCGAGGGGACTTTTGTCAGCACGCCTGCTCCCGGCGGAGTGGAAGAACCCGGAAAACAGCCGCTCTCGTCGGAAAACCTCGCAGCTCCGAATACAACTAGTACAGCTGGTAAGCCGCCCAAGACCACCACCTCCCCCAGCTCGCACTACGCCCAACCAAAAAGAAAGACCATCCTGCGCCCCCCGCAGCCCGTGACCAAAGACACCTGGGACGTGGTGAAGGATGATCTTATCGAAGCCATCAAAGAGGCCGAGTTCGTCGCTTTCGACCTGGAACTCACCGGGTTGCACCGCCACGCCACCCGCTTCATCGGCGTGGACAAGTGTTACGAAGCGCACGCGCGGGGCGCCAACCACTACGTGCCCGTGCAGATGGGTTTGTGCTTGGCCCGGAGGGTCCAGGTGTACAACGATCACGATCCTGGTGTTGCGCCGTCCTCCCCTTCATCACCGCGCACTAGTCGCACCGTGTGGCAACTGACGCCGGCGTCGGTTTACCTGTTTCCCGACGGACAGCTGGCTTCGTCCTCGTCAGCCTCTAACGATGGGCAAAACCGGAACATTTTGATGTCAGCGGCGACCGTAAAGTTCCTGTCAGACAACGGGTTCAGCTTCGACACCTGGGGTATCGCACGAACGAAAATAAACAGTCACAATGCCTTCACTGCGAGCCTGTGAACCTGAAGATGCAGAGGATTGTAGGTCAGCACATCATCGCGCCATCTCGATCTGTTTGTCTTGCTGAATGTGCGAAAAGTAAAAGCCATTTTGGTCGCGTGTTTTAGTGATTCCCTTTCCCTTGAAAGCGTGCGTGGCTGGTGCTGGTCTTGTAGGAAATATTTTTGATGAAAGCCTCGCAAGGTAAGTGATCCTCGGCCACAGTGAAAAATAAAAAAAAACTGTTTTTTCCTGCGATAACAGTGAAGAAGGGTTTGTCTTGGCTCAAGCCGGAAGACGAAAGCCGAGAGGTGGCCGCGGTAAAGGCACGCATGGACGAGATTTACACCCTCCAGAAGGCCTCTAGCTGTAAGAGTCCAGGAGCTGCAGGCTCTAGTACCTCTTCGTCACAACACCCCACTTCCGCACACCAGCACAAGATCTCCGTTCCAGAGGGCCCGGACAAAGAAGTAGTGGAGAAAGTCTTGGGCCAGATTCGAGAATGGGTACTACTACCTTGTGTTGTAGTACTTACTACGTGCGGTTGCGTATGTAGTTGTACAACTACCGACAATAAACTCGTCCGTATCCTATCATGATGAAAGAGATAATGGCGAAGGCGATGCAAAATCCACCGTGCCCTTTGCTGCTCTTCCAGCAAGCATAGCAGCATCTGTAGGAGTCTGCCCTCTTGCTGTGTCTGCACGACCCCATAGATGATCTTCGGGTGCCTGCAGCTCTGGCACCACCAGGCTCCGCATGATCAAACGTCGTACAAAGTGAAAGTACATCTACCACATGCACATAAATTTGTTTTTGTCCCCACCAGAAAACTCACTTCTAATCAGCTCGCCCAACAAGATCGGGTAGAACAAGCTTTCGACGAAGAGACGAGCGACACCGCAGGAGCAGAAAGTCGCCTTTCTCCACTGCAGCAACACGAAGTTACGAGCACCCTCCCGGCCGGCTCGTCGAGCTCTAACATGCTTCAGATTCCGATGGAAAACGCATTTCAGCGTTTGCTCCTGCACACAATCATCGCTCAGGAATTTCCGCAGCTCTTTTCGCAAAGCACGCGCAACGAAAACGGGAGGTTTCTTTCTGTGTACACTACGCAACACAAATTCATCCGATTCCTGAAAGAGAAAAATGCCGTTCACGTGCGAATCCAAAGTAAGGCTGCAAGAAAGGGTATCTTCACAACGTGAAAGTTTTCGCCTCAGAAACGACAACGACCCGACCGTCGAATACTATCATAATAATGCGGCTTATCGAGGAACTAAGATGGTTGCCTTGTCATGATTTGATGATTGTGATGCAAAAAAAAAAAATGGTGCCACCATGTCAACTTGTATGGGCGCACATCATCCTGTACGGTACTAAAGTAGAATCGGTTTTTTTCCTTATCTATGCAATGCAAAAGTATCATACTCGTACTAATTGCAGTTATGCGTTACAAATTTCTTTTTCAAGCTAAATCAGCATGACAAATTCCATTTGTTATGCTGAGCTAAAAATTTGTATTGCAATACTACGAGTACGATACTTTTGCAGTGCATATTTCCTGTGGATAGAGCAAAACCAGGTGAATATGTTTGAAGGGCAGTTGAAGCACTTGGAGCAGGAGATACGAGACTGCACAAGAACTCCTTTTGCTTCCCCTCATTAGAAGGGACGAACAGGAACAACAGGGACGAGGTCAGAAACGTATTTAGCTCCTGCAAGAAGTTGAAGTAGACAAAACTTTAGTATGCTGTTTCGACTATGATCCTGCTCGTCCCCCGTATCTGAAGTTATGTTGTTGCATTCGAAGCGAGGAGAGGGAAAAGGAGTTCTTGCGCACTCTCATAGAAAATCGAGGCGATTCAGAAGAAGCGCGGCGTTAGGGAGCTATTGGACACGATTGTGGAGAGCAAGAAGCTCCTGGTCGGCCACAACTGTTTCTACGACATCTGTCACCTCTACCAGGCCTTTTTCGGCGACCTTCCACTCTCGGCGCAGGCAGCAGGCGGGGGGTCGTCCTCGTCGGGTGCAGTTGGTGGCTTTACGTTCGACGACATGAGCATCTCTTCCTCCGCCCCGTTACACAATGCGCACGATCCGCTGAACTTGATGCACACAACGACGACGACAACGACGACCAGCGGCAGTTCCGCGGCTCGAGACCTGCATCCTGATGTTCCTGAGCCAGGAGATCAGAATGGTGACCTTTTGGCGCAGAAAGGAACAGCACATGATCCTCCACAGGCGCCGACCAGTCAACGCGAGCAGCCAAAATCATCCCTTCCTCCAGTGGCGGAGTTCAAGAAGCTTTGGCTGGCCAAATTCCCGAAAACGTTAGACACGAAGTACATGTCTGATAGCCACGACTTGTTGGCGCTCCTGTCCCCGCCGTCCAGTTTGAAGGAGCTGTGCGATTTCATGGTCAGCAGCAGCAACTACAGCAGCATGGCCCGGGAGATCAAAGAACAGAACGCGGCTGCGCAGCAGAAGTCGCTGCATAGTAGTGGTCGTGGTTGTAATTCCGACATGGTTCTCCAAGGTGGATCTTCTACAGCTTCAAGTACACATAGCCGCGACGGCGCACCGGAACAACAAGAAGTATCGGCGACAGAGCAAGAAGCTGGCGGTGAACTACCGGCGGCGCTCCGATCTCCCGCCGAGTCAAGGTTACCAAAAAGTCCTCGCCATTTTGTCGACGCAGGAATGCGGTTCACCGTCTATGGAAATGATCGCACATCATCGATCTCCATCTGTTCCTGCTTCTCAGTTGTACCTACTAGTTCACACGCAACCCAAAAAGCGCGCGTTTTTATGCATGTTCAATCATAGATTTTTCTTTTTGTACGCTTGTTCTCACAGACCACTCTAGTGCTACTGTTTGTGTATTTCGGAATAAAAATGATGGCAGCCAGAGCCATTTCCGCCAACAACAGTGAGAAAGCACTGTGGAGGGTGGGCAATTAATCGGGTGGCCGCTTCTTGCGCCAAAAAAAGAAAAGAGCAGGCGGGCGAGGAGGTTCGTGTAGAAGTGCTCCCCACTCATACCGTCACGCCTGTCAGCACGGGTGCGCAACATGTTGGCAGAACGGGAGATCCCGCATCGGCGGAGGAGGAAGTGGACGTCGTCGAAAACTACCGATTTCCACCCCATTTTCAAAGGTTCATGGAAGACAGTGCGAGCATCGCCGCTTTTACAACTACCACTCGAAATAATAGTAGAACTGTGTCGAAGGCGATAAAGCCAGGAGAAGGCCTCGACGCTGCACTTGCAGCTTCCGAAGTGGATTCGAGTCCGCGAAAGGACGAGCAGCAGCGAAGAAGTTGTACCCACGACGACAGGCACGACTGGGGGCCCAGGGCGGGAAAAATGCCCAACAACCAGGCTGATGCCGTCCACGACCAAATCCAGGCCCAGCAGTCCTTCTCCTTGTCCCCACCGTCGTCCATCAGCTACTTGGGGGAATTTGCCCACGATGCCGGCTACGATTCCCTTCTGACGGCCCTGACGTTTTTGTTTCAAGCGAGTTACATTCTGGAGAAGAAGCAGCTGCAGTGGACGGACGTGGCGCACGTGGAAAACTTGTTCCAGTTGAGCCTGAACAAAATTCGCCTGGTGCGCTATCCTCGGTTGAAACGTACCTCCCGAGACCTACCCACGGCGCGCAGAGCTCTATAAATAAAAATATTGTCCACAGATTTTGCATTCAGCAGGAAGTCGTGCCTTATGCGGCTCCCCGAGAAACAAGTGGATTTCTGATGCACTGCTGTGCGACTAGCTAGTGAAGCTACCCAAACCCAGCACGACGAAGCCTCTGCGGAATATCCCGCCAACTTGTCGTCCGCAACAGCCAAAACCTGGAGCAGGTCTTGAGGTCCTGTATAGCAGAATGTAAGAGAGTAGAAGATACTCTTTCTCCTCCAATATTAAATGATAGTGATTTGGTTGAGGACTTTTGCTCTGCTGTGGTAGTTTGGGCGTCGTTTTTTTGCGGGATACGCGCACACAACCCAACGTGATCGACCTGTCCGCGGTCCATGCGGAAAGCGTTGCGTCGCAGAGTCTCGCGAAGCGCCATTTCTTCATGGCGAATTACCCCAAGGAGTGGCAAAAGTAAGACGTTCTTGAGTTCTACTTTCCGTGGTCACTGTGGTCGCGGCTGCGCAAGATACTGATTATATTTCTTGTGCAAGAAGAGCATCGTGTTGTTTGCATTTATGGATAACTACTGATTGCTTATTGCCGATCATGATTATGTTGTCGATTCCCAACCCCATGGTGTCGGTGTCCCTCCAGGCCACCTGGCGTTCATGGTTGTTGACCGATATTCTTCCAAAAAAATGCTTATGCTGGTGAACAACTTGTCACTGTCAGAAATAATTGCAATACACTTAGATGGGAAATCGTCCGCGTGTGGAGCCCAGTGGCGGTGTCCGTGGCCCCTGTAAACGAGATATCCAAGCAAAAATCAGTCGTGTAGTAGGATGTGCCTCAGTATTCACCCTAAATTTTCGCGTTGCGACGTTCTCAACACTCTACGAAGCGATGACGTAGAGGCCGAGTGACATGATGATCTATAAATAGAGGACATGGTAGATCATGAAAGATGCTCCCTGAGGATGGGCGGGCTTCAACACAAAAGTTTGTCGGAGCGTAATGCTACTTTTCCTGTGAACGTGAAGAAGATAAGTTCTGACCAATGAGACTACAAGTACAACATCGATTTTTTGCGTGCATACCAAAATTCGTGCTGGATTATCACCCGTACAGACGAGGACGCGGAGAACATTTTGATGATTTGGAACATCCTGAAGCAAAACACGAAAAAATTCGATTTGTACACCTACGAACAGTACCTCCATGCGCAGAGAAACAGGGCAGCCGCGGTGGGACGTGTTGCTGGATGTGCCGCCGGTGGAGGTGGAGACGCAGCGGCTATGAGTCCTCGTGGTGCGTGACGAGTATCAGTATGTTCATAGGGTAACTGGAGAAAGCCGACTTATTGTTGCCATTTCTCACGCGAAATTTATCAGCAGGAGACGCTGCCTGCGTAGGCATAATGCAGCTAGCGTTCTTGTGCGTAAAGTCAGAGATAATATTTTGTGTCATCAATGATGAAAGGGCGTCGAAACACAAACATGGGCACAAGAATCTGAAGCAAATCCGACGACGTAAATGAAAACATGGCAGCATGATGAATCAAAGCGGCCGGATAGGCGGCGAATTGTAATTGTGCTTGTGTCCCCGACGAGCCGCGATAATTTAGAAACAAACATACTTCGGACAGGAACAGGTACAGAAACGATGAAACTCGCAACTGCCACTGTAGTTGATCTTCGATACTCGCAGGTGGTGCTTACTTTCTTATGCGAATAAGCGTGAGCGAAATGCATTGTCTTGTATCTCATTTTATCCAAATGAAGATGTGGCTCATTCTTCTAGCTCCTACTTCGTCGCAGTGAGCAAAGTCATTTCGTCGGTTTTCTACATGTCTGTAGCCTATTTCGTCCACAAATTAAAAAAAAAAGTAGAAATACTCGAAATGCGTCTGGTACTCGGTTAATATCTGCATCTACTTGCAACTTCGTCACACACACGAAGGAGACAGAGACTCGGTGTTGCGTATAATCGTAAAATGGCATTGTTTGCAAGGAAGCAGCGCTGTGATCGTCCACCGTCTATTGTAAAAATTTCACGCGAGAAATGAAAGAACCGAAGTCGCTGGTGTCGGAACAACCGTGGTTTCTGTCTTGAGTTACTTACCGAAGGAGAAGTATCATGTGCTTCTGATTTTCTTGAAGTCGGTAAAAATCTTGATTCCAGGTCTGTAGTGCATCGTGATCGTCCTTCGGTTTTTAACATGCATCGTTCATCTGGTCCTCGGTACCAATAAATTTCGTGGTCCGTCTCGTGTTTCTAAAACTCGTGCATAACACTCGTCGCAGCGTGATCTCTAGTCGTCGTGCTCGTCGCAACGGACGAAAGGAAAAGAAGGAGAAGTATCACAAGGAAGAGCTGCTGCAAGAACTCACCACAAATGATACGTAATACTATTTCTTGATGAGCATGATGAATATGAAATGACTTGTTTTCCACAGTGACTTTCCCTCCTTGTTACGGTACCTCATTGTTGTTGTTTGACGTTTCAGTTTCTCTTGTACCGGATCAACATTGTCCACGCTGAAAGAAGAAGAAGCTATTCATACAACTCCCCAGGTTGTTTTTAGCTGCAGAACTTAAGGACAGCTAGTACGTACAAGAAAGACCAGATACAACAAGACTGCAACTATTTGAGGTGTAGAAGGAAGACGAAGGTTTACTTTTTTCAACTTGAATTCATCCCTGTTTTCAATTTGAATTTCCTCACAATAATTTTCTTCTCAAATCGAAACTTAACTTTATTTTACTTTCCCCCCACTATACTACAAGAAGCAGCACTACTTACTTATCAAAGAGCAACCCGAAAGTATCAACAAAGTTGTACCCACTAAAATCGAAGAAACCCCTTTTTCTTCAACAACGACGAGGTGGACAGTGCCCTGCTCGACATCAAACGACGGAAGGAGAAGCAAGTGGCACTTTCACAGCACCAAGAGGCTCATCTTGAGGCTGTGCTTGTTATCAGACTGCACAAAAATTCTACGTTCCCTCTAATTTGTCTTCCTGTCATTTGTTATGCAAAATGCCAACAAGCTCAAGCACCTGCATCGGATAACCATGATGAGGTCATGTAAGTCTAACGCCACCGCTTGGTTCGCGGCGCCGTTGTTTGCATGTTGAGGGTACTAGTTTGCGGCAGCGGATTTTTTTTCCAAACGGCACAGCTGCAGCACTAGACCACATGGCGGCGGGCGATGAATCTGTCATGTTTGCACAAAACCAAGATACCCATACTCTAGTATCAGCATTCTCTTCGCCGACGAGGAGTTGTTCTAGTTCACATGATGTGCTGGATAAAGTAGATAGTTTCCAGCAAAAATAGATGAGGGAAGTAGAAGATTTGTGCACGGTCATACTGATACTCTTACTTCAACGAGCAGAGGACATCAATTTTCTACAAAAATACCGAGGACGACTACAATTCATTTTGTGATTGAGTCCCCCCCTTGTTTTTACCAACGAAGACGAACGTCGGAGACGGAAACAGAGAAGGACGTCGACGACTACGACGAGGAGGATAAGAAACATCTTTTTTTTTCCTGACAAGAAAAAAAAACGAGGAGAACGTCGAGAACGAGGAGAACATCGACAACGAGGAGAAAGAACAACTCGTTTTCTGAACGTGCGGTCGACATTCAGGTGGTGCGAATCGACTAGGTATCAATTCTTGGTCTTTATTGTGCTGAGAGTCATTCGCATAGATACTTACTTTCTTTGTTCATCTGGATGACGCTCTACTTAGGCGTTCCAGGGTTGCTGGTCAACACAGTCTTGCGCCTATTCCTGCACAAGCTGTATTTATTTCGTGCGTTTGTTTTCATCTCACGCTCAATTATGACCTTGGTTGTTTTGATTCTGCATCTGGATCTGCGCTTGTTTCTCGGCTGTTTCTCACAGGCGATAAACGGGCTCCGAGCCCAATCCGTCACCCGTACAAGGAAGGAGACTAGGATAGCACAAGCCTGTTGTTTTTCGTTGTGGGTTCGTTTTCAGCTTGCGTAATGTTTTTTGTGTCAGGCCTTTTCCATATTTACGAACGATCCGAGAAAGTTCACGGATAAAACGAGGACCAAGGGCGGCGCTATTCAGCGTCTTCGGCGCCATTGATTTCTCGCTATTTTGGGGATGAGCGATGAGGGGGGTTTCGATTAGTCCGTCGGCTGCCTGCTCGCAAGCTGGTTTACTTTATTAAGTTTTGCGATTTCGCTGTAGTTCAACTTGTACTTGTTTCAGTGTTTTGCACCGTGGGATCGCACGGCAGCTCTTTTATTTCTTTCCCGCCTTTCAGGGCTCCACGGACGGCCTTCCCGATGGGGCGCGTTTGCCCCCCAAGTTCGTCGCTGGATCGCTTCGCTTATTTCTCCGGGTTCTTCGGGGTTGTTTCGGCGCGTGGCTCCTTCGTCGGTGGCGGGGTTATTTCCCATCCCGGGCTTTCATGCCCTAGTACCCGTCGTGAAGATGGCTTCCGACTGGCTAAAGCTTAGAATCAAGCCAATCCAAAGGATGATCTCTCTCTGGCTGAAGCTTCTGTATCTAAATGGAAGTGCATGACTTAGGCTAAGGGTAAACAATAGAGGCACACATGTTATATGCTTGAGGTCTTTTCGAATTCGAAATTCAGGTGGTGCAAGTCGACGTGCGCAAGAACTCGAGACGAGAAGAGTTTGTTCATTTTGAGACGACAAGAACGAAAAAAACAACGAACCCTACCCACAACGACTTTGAAGACTACACGGAGCTGCACGACAGGAGTTACGTACAGGTAAGTGCAACAAGAAGCTCCACCAGAAGCTCCTCGCCTTTTGTTGGTGAGGTGGAAAGGGAAACAAACTCAACTTACAACAAAACGCAGTGGAACTACGTCAAGCAGTCCTCGCTTACAACAACGCGCGGTACAACGCGCGGTGCAGGCCGTTGTAAGTGGATCATGAGGAGTCAACAACGAGGACCTGCTGCTGCTGCTCAGCTAAAAAGCGCCCGAGCAGTAGACGGAGGGGAAGCAGGGCCGGATCCTCTACTGCGTTCTTCTGTGCCGGCGGAGGAGGTGAAGAAGCACGAAAAAATGAACACCAAGAAGGACGACGTGAAGAACGTGAAGATGGGCAAGAAGAATCTCGCGGCCTTTGCGTTTCTCGGCAAGATATCACAGGAAGAGAGAACGGCTTCACTGTGATCACCTGTTGTTCTTGTTCGCTGCATGACTGGCATGACAGATTCGCTCATGAAGTTCTACTACATGGGGACGACAACAAGAAAGATGAAAATAATCTGGGGTGCGTGCTGGCAGCTTTGTCGTGAGGGATGAAACGAACGCAAAAAGTAGTAAATGCTAGAGATGAATTTTTAAGATTCACTGTCTTGCATTTTCCCTAGGAGTAGGAACGCAGCCGCTTCAGTATTTTTGCATCGATTCATCTTCGCATGATCAGGTCACAGTGAAACAGTAGTTTTGTCCCGCGATACAAGAACCTGTTGCACTGCTGTGCGGGCGGAGGAGGTACGACCATCCTTTATTTTTCTCTTGGAATCCTTGTCTGGTATCCATAAATGTAGTCCTCGTCCTTGTAAGAAGAAGAAGTCCTCACGGGACGATGTTGATATAGGGGGGCTGCTCTTGGTGAATCCGGGTCCGGCCCCCCGTGGTAACATTTTAGAAGTAGACTCGAAGCTGCAATTTTTTGCCGCGAAACTACTGGCGGTGGCGTGGCCGAAACACCAACCGCAGTTGAATGATGATAAGATACAGATAAGTCGAAGTCCATCCCGAAAAAAACAAAAAAGAATTGCTGCGCTACTGTGCGGGCGGAGGAAGTGGAGCAGCTGCGGTGGGGGTTTTCTGGCTGGGCCTCTTCGACGCGGCCCCGTACACGTTGTACCCGGTCGAGGCCGTTTATGAAAGCGTCAGGCTCGAAATCAAAAAAGTTGAAATATCTTGCTATGCATAAATAAATGCGAGGCGCAAAAAAATGCCTCGATGATGGCAAGTGAGGCCACTTCAAGGCCTGTTTAGAAGTTTGGCGAAGATAGATCTCCTGCAATGAAGGAGCAGCACGACAAAAGCAGGGTTCGTTCTCTGCGCGAAGAAGTACCAGCGTGACAAATTTGGGCGGTGGAGGGTGTTTCGAAATAAATTCGCCCCGCGCCGCTTGCTAGAAATTGGGGGTCCAAGTGGTTCTCGAGCCGATGTTGAATATGAATTGCAAATAGCCAACATTTCGACTCTAATGCTGATTTAATCGAGCCTGACACCCTGATACCATCCGGGACCGCAACAAGAACTCACGCCGCGCCCGTCGCGCGGCCGCTCACTCCGGTGGGGGGCCCTTCGGCTCTTTCGACGATGACGACGACAAAAAATTTTTGGAGGGCCTGGAAGCCACGCTACGCATCGCGAATATGTAGTCTTCTGGGTGTGGAAGTAGATTTTTGCCAGGTTCTTTGCCATGCAGGTCTACTCGCGGCAAGGCCGCCCAGTGTTGGTTTGGATATTTTTATTGGCATGCAGGCTGTAGAAGGCACGGCGCATCACGAGTTTCCTTATTGAGACGGACGCTGCTCTTGCATGAGAACATCAGATGTTGTCGCTTGCGGTGAATAACATGTTATTTTTGCGTAAGTTGGTCCCTACGCTGGTCATGCGATAAGTACAGATCATCCCACGTCGTCGGAGAGGCGACCACACTGCCCCCTTCTAGTCGTGTGCCAGTTCGCGAACAGATGTAAACCCGCGTCTGTCTATCGAGGATTGGGGTAAGAGGCAATGCCAATCACCACCTATCTAAAGCTAACTAGCATCACAAACTCAAACTCGGTCTCTACTTCCAGTAGACCTCCCAGAGGACAGTTTTACGATGCATACACGCCGGGGCTGGACGATCTGTGGATGCCCGCCGGGTTTTCCACCACCCGCTCATCCTCGTCCCGCCGCAATATGCAAGAACAAATTTTTCCCGTACATCAGCTACAAGTAGTACAACATCATGCGTCACAAATTATTTATGAGCAGCGAGCCCGCTACTACTTAAGTTGTGAAGATTCATCTGAATAGGGTTGAAGAAAAGTTTGCCTTGCGGAAGCCACTGCGGTATTGGCACGAACTCCTACTCATGTGTACTACTTGTAGTACGGGAAGTTATTTACTGTGGATACGCAAAGGCAAACCGAAAAAGCGGAAGCAGCCCGCGCCTGCAGCTCCGGCACAGCCCGTTCCCGGGCCTGCTCCGGCAGCTTTTCTGGAAACGTCGCCGGATGCTGTCGAGTCGTCCTCCGTTGCTGTTGTCGTGCCAACACTATGCATTGCAAATATCTGGCTCGTGGTCTGAAAAATTTATTTTGCCGCTATTTCTCAGGCTGGTCTGACATGATCATGACTGTTCCGTATTAGCGAAAAGTTTGTGGAGGTACATGGTGTACCTCAACTCGTTTTTTTGCCTTGTTGTGTTGTCTTCCTCGAGCGACATCGCAACTTTTCATGCTAATCAGAAAATCACAAAATACGCTTCTGTACCAGCATCTGACGCACACTTCTCAACATCGTGTGCGTCTGTGCATTTTTACAGTGCGGCCTCCGACTAACCAGACCTAGACCGATGTTTGCATTTGAGAGTCACCAGCAGCAGCACCTCCTTCCGGCGACTCCGCCGCAACAGCTGCTGCACGACCGCTCCCGGAGGTGGTGGAAGAAAACGAAGGTCATGTTCCTGCGGGTGGTGGTTCCACAGCTTCTTTCGATGACCTGTTGCACCTGCCCGTCAAGGATCCTGCTGGTGCTGGGGCGAGCATGCACGCGTTTCTCCGCGTATACACTGCAAACATGCCAGCACAGCCTCTGTTACAAGTAAGTTAAAGTTATATTAATTTATATATGTGAATGATGTGCATGCTTCTAGTATAATTTTTTATGCAGCTTTCTGTTTATTTATATTCCCCAGGCCTCGCAAAGTCTGGAATGGAGGGCTCCTTGGCGTCGCAGGTTCTTAAAGGCATCGGCATCGGGGGCAATGTGTATTGTGCATGAGAGATCCCCCCTCAGCATGGCCAAAACAGGGGGGCAGCTAATTATTTTGTATTAACTCGTCACGCAAGTAGATGACAGAATTTTGTGTGACCGGCCGCCGCAGGACGCATCACAAGTTCGCACTGTTGCAGGAGGCCTAGACATGTTTGTAATGCATACCGCGCTATCGGAGACGACGTGAACAGCGACAGCAGCAGCCTCCAGCTCCCACCGTATGAAAGTGCACAACTATTCCCCCTCGTCCCGCCCCTCACTTGCCATGCAAAAATGGCAATGCCACTTGTTCGGTACTGTTTGCATGACTTCGGTACTGTTTGCATGACAGATTTTTCTAGCAGCAGGTGGAGCAGTCCTGCAGACTGTATTGCATCTGCAGTAACAGTCCCGCATAATTTTATATTAAAGAAACTTGTGATGCTGACGCTGCACCCTTCCCGACGCTTCTGTTGCTGCTCCTGAGTTTTTCACAAACGAGAAGCGGAGGCGGGAGGATTCGATTGTGCACTCTGATAGCTGCACTCCGAGCGCCGGCTCTTCGACCTTGACCAGCAGCAGCCACCAGCCCGGCGATGCTGCGGCCAGTGGTGGCCACGACCGCGCGGACCTGGTGCAGCGGCCACGTGCTTTGTCCTCTGGCGATGCCCGACGAGCTCGCGGCCCCGACTCTCTTCTGCAGTGCGTATGGAATTCTCAAACCTTACATTCTCAACTGTTACAACACGGATTTGTGGCGCAGGAACAGAAACAGTGAAAGGGGCAAGGGCAAGCTTGCACCTTTCGCATTACAAATTTGGCACGGATTTCGATGCTCTTCAGCCCTTCGAGAATTTGCCATGCGAACTAGCTTGGTCGTGGTGTCGTGTCTGAGTCTGGTGGCAATTTTGCATGTAGTACTTCTAACAGTTGAGAATGTAATATTTGCGAATCCCATAGTGCGACTCTTGTGGACCGAACGATCAACCGCAACACGTTCTTGTCTATCGAATGCAAATTAATGCTTTTGGGTCTGGATGGAAGACCGCAATACAATTGTCATGCTCGGCTAGCATGTGTCTCCATTCTGTCCTGCGCGTTGACGCTACCCAATGCCCGCACGTGAAACGCAGTTGGTCATGCAGACTATACGCAAGCAACACGTACGTAGGCGTAGCGGTAGCAAGAACTCAGAACCTTCTTTGATTCTTGCGGCGTCCTCATGATTCGCCAACCAGCGTCGCGCGTTCTTCTATCTTTATTCTACACACCCAGACATATTTGCAGTTGATGCTCTCGAACGAAGTACAACCACAACCGAACATGTTATGCACCATCCTTTGGAGAGTCCAACCATTGGTGGTGGTGATGCTCGTGCTGGTGGTGGTGCTGGTGGTGATGAGCCTCCACCTGCTGGTGGTGGTGGCGGGCCTCCTGGTGGTGGTGATGGTGTCATCGGTGATGCTGGTGGTGGTGGTGATGAGCCTCCTGCTGGTGGTGGTGGTGCTGGTGGTGAACCTGCTGGTGGTGGTGGCAAACCTGCTGGTGGTGGTGGCGGTGGTGGTGGTGGTGGTGGTGGTGATGGGCCTGATGGTGGTGCCAAAAAGCCCCCTAAGAAGGACGATGATCCCGATCCGGCGAAAGCAAAGGAAAAAGCAAAACCAAAGCCCGCCCCGCCAAAGCAGAAACCGGACCCCCAACTGCAGCTTAAGAAAGCGCTTCCGCAGATCTTTCCTGATCCGGCTAATCGTGTTTTGAGAGAGTTGGTCAACGACCTCTACCTCAAGGACCCACAAAAAAGAACTGAAATCATGAAGAAGGCTTCGCAGCAGGTTGCGCAAGCCGGCACGACCACGTCGGACGTGGTTCTTGTGCCGCTGGTGTTGAAGGACGGCAAGATGTTGCAGCAAATGGTGAAAGCCTACCACGTATCAAGTGCACATAGAAATGCGTCTGAGTCTGGACGAAGATTGCTAAGTTTGTTTTTGTCATGCTGATCTGACATGGCTGTCGCTGTAGAGCTTGTCATGAAGAAGCGTGTCTTGTCATGCGAAAGCGAACACGCCGTAGCTGCGTAAATATTTCTCATACTTGTTTACTGTGCATTTTTACAGAGCGTTCATTTTTCACAATCACGACAAAGACAATCTAGAACTTTTACAAGTTTCCAGACCCAGACAAATTTGCAATGCATACCAAGACAACCGGTTTTTGAGTTCGGTCACACCCACGGAAATGGATCTCGTTCAGCCGGAAAAGTGGCAATGCTTCTTCAAGCTTGTTCTTGACGAGAACAGCGGGAAGCTGCATCACATCGAAGCCTATCGACTCGAAAAAAAATTGTCTCGGTCTGGTGCAAAAATCATGTTGCAGCTGTTGATCGCTACAATTTGCCTGCTTTTGGTGCCGATTATTGATCGATGTTTTTATATAATGAGTCGTTATTCTTTCCTCGATACAGTACTTGTTACACGCGTGACAAGTCATTTTCCTGGAGTGAAAGAACCTGGTGTGTGGGGTGGACGAATTATTCGTTCGTAAGTATTTAGTACGTGGTATTAGAAATACGAAAGGACTCCTAGCACGACAGAGAAGCTGCGCGCCACTCCGAATCCTGTTGGTGCATTAATGCAGCAGATCACCTATAGAAGAAATTTATAGATCTCTGCTGCTTCCGTTTCGAGATCAGCATCTTCACACATTCAAATCCCGCACCAGACCTAGACATAATGTGCGCAATTCATAGAGGTCTCAACTGGGAACAGTGGAAAGCGGGTGGCCAGGCCGTCCATGCCGCAAACCCCAACTTATCGGAGGAAGACGGAATAACGTTGAAAAAGGGGTGGGGGCTCCAGGCTTACAACGAGTTCAAGACCAATATGGCCAAACAGTGCGACGGCGATCCGAAGCTGAACCCGGATGCCAAGTGCGGCGCAAAATTCGCCGTGAAGTCAATCAGTTCCGGATCTTCCGGGGGACCTGGGGACGACGGCGGGGCGGGGAAGAAGTCGATTGATGACTTCATGTCGGGCGTGTACAACGGCGTGGAAGAAGGCAAAACGCCCAAGCAACTCGGCGGGGATGCCGTCAAAAAGCAACCTGTGACGAGTATCGAAAGGAAAAATCTTCCCTCCCCATATCCAAACGAAGTTTCTGATGCTGGATCTGCGTACATAGATGCGCTTTGTTTTGCAGTAAGGCACTACTGCCACCAGACCCTCAGCCGAGGCACTAGGGGCGCTTGGGTCTAGTTGTTCAATAGCATTGCTGCAAACGGCTGCCCCCGGGGCCCCAGCAGCATGCGAAGGCATTTGTATAGTGGCAATGGGCCAGCAGAAGCCTCTGGGCGTGCGCTTGTCTTCTGGCACACCCACTCCGCTCCGTCGCCGCAAATGGTCAGCAGCGCAAGAAATTTTCGGAAGCATATGTAGCTTTTCGTCAAGAATATGGGGAGGGGGGATTTTTCCTCTCAATAGCGAGCGACGGAGTCTGGTTTCCGTGTGAAACTGCAGATCAGCAGCAACAGGAACTGGCGAGAATCGGGCGAGAGCGTAAAAAGCCTAGAATCTTCGGAATCCTGGTTGACTCTGGCCACCAAATCTACAAGCATGTGCTTAAGTGGTCTCAACTGCAGCACCAACTGGTCGAGCTCGAACGGCAGAGGGAGATCAACCTTCCCGAGGGTACGCAGGCACCACCAGAAATTCGGAAAACGAGAACTGCTCTGGAAGCAGCAGAGGGAGTTGAATTCCAGCCTGTGTGCGAGGCGGCCAGTAGGAAGGACGAGTCCGATCCGCTTGCGGTACACCTGCGGCAACATGTGCGTGCAACGACGGCGGGGCGGCGCACCACGCCGGAAGAAGGAGGTGAATTACGTCCCCAACAGGCGCAGTGTTCTGCGTGGTTACGGCTAGCGGCTGCCGACCACATGCATTTCAAAAACCTGAACCAGGAATCGGGAAGCCAGGTGGGGGTACAGGCAGTTCAGCCTCCAGCTTTGTCGCACTTCGTGATGCCGGGCACTGATGTGGATTTAACACCCATGGTATTGAAAAATGTTCATGCGACGACGCTGAAATCCATGATCGATGCCTACAAAATGAATCGTCTTCTGAGTGCAACGACAATCGGAGAAATGCACCTAGTGGTGCCCGACCGCTGGCGATGCCACTATAAAATTACAAACGACGCGGGCGGCGGGGAGGGCAACCGCAACGCGAATTCTCGCATCGAAGCTGTCATCGAAGAGGTTTGGCAAGAGGGCGGCGCAAGTGTGCACCGTAGCAACCCCGAACTACACTACATGAAGGGCAATGGATACGAAAGCTACGAATATTGGAAGAGCCACGACATGAGCTGCCGCATCAACAATGGCGGTTCGTGTGAGTATGATTTAATTCAATTCCGTCCGTCGGACAACCAACGAACATCCCATGTTTCTCAATTCTATCGGAAGATTGCACTTGGTAAAGAAACAGGCAAAGTAGGGGCTTTGACTCCCCTGAACGGGGGCGACTTTTCTCTGACAAGCAGCGGCGACTGGCTATCATGCGAGGACGACGCAGGCTGGCTTAGCGAAATGCAGACAATTCGCAAGGAGCAAAAGATCAGGGCGCACGAACTGACAGGGATTGCGAGAGACTTTCTCCGCGTCGACAAAGCAGGAGACTTTTTCGACTTCGGTGACCAGTTCTGTTTTCAAGGCAAAGGAAGCGAAAATCAAGCGAAAAATCCGTTTGACGGCAGCGTGCGCTCAGCGGACGGCACAACTAGGTATGTAACGAAGTGTCGCATGTTTGTCAATTCGGTTCTGGGCTACCAGAGGGACAAGAGGCATGTCGCGGCGAAATTCGATCCCGTCCAACGATTGCCGAGCCAACACAGGAGAGGGCTGGCCCAAGAGTGCTACGCCGAGTTGCAAAACCCCAGCAATGTGCTTCCCGGGAATGGGAACGCCGTCACCGCAAACATTGCAAGCGACATCAGTGTGCGAAGTGTCCTCACCGAGCTCGAAATGCGATGCCCCTTCAACATGAAAAAAGTGCCGCTGGAAGGCACGAAATGCCTCGATGGCACGCCGGCTGCGTATTACTTGGAGACACAAGGCCACACGGATGCGGCTGTGTGGGAGGCGAAGACCAAGAAGGGTGTTTTCATCGACTTCGAAGGAGACGGCGTATGTGGAATGGATGGGCCAACAGTGCACCTTGGTGACACATTGCTTCAGTGTGCTTTTTACGCCTTGGGCCCCAATGGCGGGGAGAGTACGTTCCGTTACGAAAATATTCGCCGGCGCCCCGACATGGTGGATCTGGCGAAGGACTACGTTTACATTAATGTTAAACCATGCGACGGGGCGGCGTTCAGTGGCAATCGGGGGCCCGCAACTTTTAAGCTCGACGAGCGACTAGTGATCGCGGCTGATAACGTAAACCCCGCCCTAACACCAGGTGAGAGCGCGGACCGCCAGGCTCAGCTGAACCAAATGATTAACAAAGAGAAAAACGAGTTCCATGCCTTACTCAATGAAAAGCAAGGAAAGAATCTGCCAATGGCAGAGAACGCGGGCCAAGGGGATTACACAATCACCTTTCAAGGCTATCAAAAAATTCTTCCCGATCTGCTGGACAGTATTGTCAAACAGGTCATCAAGTCAAGCGAGGACAACCAGCGACGATACGCGGAGGGCAACAGCAAGATCGTCTTTCATGGGCATGGTTTCGGCGGCACGACTCTGTACTATCACGTTGATGCCATGGCGCAAAAAGTCCGAGAGCTCGTCTTGGGTGCTCCCGACCCGAAGAGCAAGATGGAGATCTACGCCATTCCCAATGGTGGCCTTTACCTCAATAAAGGCGTCTTCAATGAGAAGCTCCTCCCACTGGTGCTGCCGACAAACGTCATGGACCAGGACACTCAACGCAAAAAATACATGCTCGACAGCGATAGGTTGGAGCCCAACTACTACGGAAATCAGCTAAAGCGCGTTTTCAAACTGGCCGACCCAAACTTCGAGTCTCTACCCGAAATGTGCCAGAAAAAGTACCCGACAAACAAAGACGTCTGCCTTTTTCCGCAATTTTATACAAAACCAACCATGGGGGTAAAAGGGATGGAAATGCAAAACCACGATGCGCGCATCCAGACGCCGCTACTGATGGTGCAGTCACTGTTTGACGACTTTGTGGTTGCCAAGGTTTTGTACATCACTTGCGATTTAAACATGGGCGTGGGAGGCGACGCGCCGGCGACATCCAATCCGTCGAAAGCCGCGAGAGGATATTCCAATGCACCAAACGTCAAAGCCCTGGCGCCGCGGGAGTCTAAAAATCCTCGGTTTGGCTCTGCCAACAAATGTTCATCAGAAGAAAGTGAACGGATCAAAGCGCTGGCGGGAGAGTACTTTGAAATCCTTCAAGACCACGAAGATCACACCAAGCTGAGTCTTGCTGTTCCACCTGCTGACAGTAGCACCTCTCCTCAGTGTAACCCGCCGAAGGCGGAGGGTAACGCTCCTTCCTCTGGGGGAAGCGAACAAGAGCTGCCCCCCGAATGTACGCAAAAAAACTTTGCCTATTTGAGCACCTATGTTGCGCGCGAAATTATGCCGCGACGTTTCCCTTCTCCCGTCATGTCCCAAGACTTCATTCACATAGTTGCGGAATTCCTCGGCGATGGGAAGGACGGGCGAAAGGAACGCAAGGAGTTCTTCGAAACCAATTACCGTGTTATCAGCAGCCCGTCCGCCCTCGACTTTCTCGGTGGACCACCTTCTGTCACCTTCCGCGAGTACCAACAATTCGGCCCAGAGCTTGGCAAGCAATGGGGAGTGCCGGGCGTGGACACCGTGTATTTGGAAAGCATTTAGGATATTTCTATTCCTGTACCATTCGACGTGCCATCAAGCTTCATCTCCATATAATTGTACGACATTGAAAGATAGTATGAAAGCGAAAAGTTATTACTATGATAAATAAACCGGGTGAAGTTCTTCATCTTTTTATTGCAAGCATGGCGAATTTTGAATTTCGATTTTATGGTTTCCCTATTCCTTCTGGTGCGCAATATCACGTATGAGGAAACGTGACAATATTGTGGCTGTTGGAGTACTACGGCGCAGCCATGTAATATGGAAACGGGAGGTGGGCCTATCACTACTTAAACTTATGAGTTGCAGTTTCAGTTTACGATTCGGCTATTGTTTTTGAATTTCCGTCATCAAGTTAAAGTTAACATGTAGGCGCGCTTGGCAATGTCATGAAACCCGGCCAACAGAACTCGTGATCGATCGATGGCTGCGGTGGTCTCGGGTCGATTCCGTTTCTGCACATGCTCAAGCCAGTTAATTTCACTGCTACTCGAAGTGATTTCAGCGATAGAAGTACTCGTTTCGATATCTCGATTTCAATTTGAGGAAGCAGCGCAGCGACAGGGCCACGATTCGCAGACGCAATATTTTTTTTTTTTGCTCAGATTTAGGCGACTCGTACACTATTTCTCGTTCACTCTATAACTATATATCATGTGCTGACCACTAATCTTCAACTTCAACCATTTTTGTCGATCTCGTCAAACAAAAGGAAGCTGCTGACTTTATATAATGCTCCCGGTCGCACATTACGTATTCCATGTGCTTGTCCACCGACAATCACACTTCATTTCTGCTAACGACGGTTGTATCATCTTGCCACTCATCTCGCGCACAAGTCAAAACTTTCCTTCATCGCCAACAAAGAAAAAAAAAGGTGGTATCTTTTCCTTTTATACCAAAGCTAGGTGCAACAAATAGCAGCAGCGTACCTGTCATTTATGCCGTGTATGAATAAAGAAAAAACTACGTCGAGGTCCACCACGAGGAGTAGCAGGCCGATCATTCGAGGAAGAACATTGGAACGAGCTCTGAAGCGACTCATTACGACAGTGGACGCGCGCCACTTTACCTCATTGTGATTAGATTCATATGTCATGATGGAAAATTCCAAATCCGCTCAACTCTTTAACTAAAAACACAAAAAGCAAAACGCTCGTCAACAGCAAGACTTTATTTCAAAACTCCCTTTCTTCAGAAACAACTTTTCTCAAAAACACGTTGGCTAGTCTCTACGATCGCTTTTATTTTTCTCTGTTCAAGAACCTTCCTCTGTTTTCTCGAATAACTTTCAACTACCAAAGCTTTTCAACTTTTAGACGTTCGCTGTCGATTTCAACTTTTGGAATAAATCACTTTTAGCAACAAAGCTTTTCCATCTTCGTTTTGCCAGTCTGTACTGTTTTTCTCAAGAAGGAGCTCAAAGTGGCTCACTCTAACTGGTATTTTTATTGAAATAGCGCTAGAACACACGCGAGAAGAAAAACTTCACCCGGATTCCGTGTATCCATTACCAACAAACAACACAAACAACTTTCTCTGCTCTGGTTTGCCTCTTCTAACCTTAATGTTAATTCTGTTTTTGTAGTTTCTGCATCCCGGTGGAACGCCAAGGCGGCACTAAGAGATACAGTATTGCACCAACCAGCGAGACAGTAGGTACTACAGTTTCGTGCGGTTTTTATAAAAACAGAATTTGGCGCGTTGTTGCCCGTCGAGTCGTCGATCATATCCGCCTTGCAATGAGGGCGAAGGGGGCGTCTTATCCACTTTCATAGATACACAAATGTAGAAGTGGGGACATTGAGCTAGAGCCTTTTTTTTGATTTTCAGTTTCTAAGTTTCAGTACGCAAAATGTCCAAGCCCTGCGCCTGCCGAAGCCAAACCACAAGTACAAGAAGAAACTACGAAAAAAAAAGCAAGCCTCAAAAAAATACAAGAAAGGGACGAGACCGGGACAGAGAGCAGTTCGTTTCAAGGTGCACAACGAAACTACTCTCACGACAGGTGGATCCCTCGAAATTTTATTGCGACACCGGGTTGGTGGAGGCTACTTCTTATCTGACCGATATACTTTTTCTCTCACACTTTTTCTTTCACGTAGGGTAGTACTTACTTAAAAATCTCACTTGCCGCGAAAAAGAAAATGGTTATCAAACTGCATGAAAGAACTTGACGGAGCTCCTCCTGGGGTGTAAAAAAGCGCTTTCGGGCGCATCCTGTTTACACTCGTGTCCGCTACATCAAAGCCACAGAGCATACTTAAGCATCTGCGTCAAAGTCAAAGCGTTCCCGCCTCGGGCGAAGACAGAGAATGTAGTAACACCTACATCACATATACTACTCGCAATTCTTTTTCTTTTTTTTTACCGTCATGCCACTTTCACCGGAATTTCATTTGTGATATAATCGAATGTCTTAACTTCACGCCCACTAAATCTTTACATCAAAACCTAGTAAAGCATAAGCGATGCATGTCCCCGACGTTTTGTTATTTTGAATTTTATAGTCTCGATTACTAAAATAAAAATTGACTAAGTAAAGTACCAAAAAGCTAAAGAATTGCAAGGCAGCGCCCCTCTCGTATTCTATCGTGTCACCCTGCTCCGACAGTTCCTGCGTAAGTAGTTGTAGTTCTAGTTTGTATCAAATATAATCAAGATCGTGCTGAATTTTACATGCGGCTCAGTGAACACTTCTCACCACAATTCTGTACAACTGGCAGCGCAGCGCTCTACCGTCCTCGCACTAGACAATCAAAGATATAATTGTTACACAATTAATATGAGCGATTACAGTTACTACAGAGAGGGATGATGTACTTTTAGCGCATCATTCCAATTTGTTATCGTTATCGAAGTCTGTATGAGTCTGTCCCAGTGAAGTCGTACTTCTTTTTTGTTCAGCATGTTCTGTTTGATTATGTTTACTATTGAGTCATCGTATAGCGTTCCTTTCTTTGTAGCTCTCACCTCCGGATGACCCTCCCCCAAGTTTGTGTTGTGCATTCAAAGTGTTAAATTATGTTTTTTCTGAACCAAAAAATTCGCTTTTGTCGTCCCGGGTAAGAGCAGGCCATTTTTGTAAGTCAAGCATACTTTTAGTTTTCTAAACTTTCAATATGAGGAAGAAGCGAGGACTCAGTGCAATATACTACCTGTATCTATCGGAAAAGCGCGCTACTTCGTAGTTTATCATCATGTAATTTCTGAACGAAGCAACGATCGGTCCGCGCTGCCACGCGGCTGTTGTGATTCTCGTGCCTAATCATGAAGGTGTCATTTTTGATTCTGTGTAGTTTCAGTTCCTTCAAGTGCAGCTTGTAGCGGTTTCATCTAGCAGGCGCAAGGGGAGGAATAGCTGAGAATGGCTCCAGCGACAGATGTTGTTGAGAATGGCTCCAGCGACAGGAACTCGTCAAGGAAGGACGATGATATACTACTATTGATGAGCTGCAATTATTCTGTGCCACAATCTGCTTCCTACGATTCTGCTTGAGCAAGTCGTTTGCTTACAAAGATGCCTAAGCTACATCTTCTCGAGTAGAGGTTTTGCTATACGATGGTAATCTACAAGCTACACCAGCCCCTTGTGGCGATTATTTCGGCGCGGCTCTACTTCCCCGAGAGACGCCGAGATCGCTCTTGGAGCAACCAAAATTCGCTTCCTTAAATTTTCCAACTATAATTTTCTACAATATCGTATTTCTGCAAGTTTTGTTCGTTGCGAGGGGCCGCGGTCGATTGCAATCATAATTTTTAAGATAAACACAAAAGAAAAGATAAAGACTACCTAAAGACAGCAAGAAAAAACTACATAAAAAAAACCAAAAAAAACGAAGCCTCGCTGGCTCTGTCACTCGCACTAGAGCAGAGCTGGACACATTTCTCCCAGATGTACTCGTGTTGGTGTTCGCTCTTCATGTCGTTCCCAGAAAAAAGAGCCGCTTGATGAAAAGCGCAAGTAGGAGCCACTTCGTTTTTTTGTTCATTAGGAGCACTATCGGTTCTTTCTCTTTCACGAAGAAAAAACCTGCTTAGTCTGGTTTTGAGTGAATTAGCGACGGTCGTTGCACGAAAGAGAAGGACCACGAACGCATGATCTTCGCATCTTTTACTTTTTCTATTTCTTCATTTTGGGCCTCTGCAACTAACTCGTGTGCGACTTCGTGTTGATTTTTTCTCTTCATCTGCCACTGCCTACCATCTCAAAAGGGAAAACCAAATCTGCCGAGTAGAAGAGTGGAAGTCGTTGACTGAGTGGAAGGTGCGTCAATGTCTGCCCGTGTTGACGAGTCCCCGGGTTTTTGATTCGCATGCCCTATTCACTATGAGAAATTCAAAAAATGACCACTTGTAGGCTCATTGATTCCTCGTCCTGTGCAGCGCGTCGACCTGTCACAGCAAGTAGACGGCACAGCTTGTACTTTCGAACGCAGCACCAGCTACGGCTGGTTTTGATTTTTTACTCCTTTCACTTTCTTTTTCTTAAAGATAAAATTGAAATCAAACCACGAGTGCAGTGAGCTTTTTGCTTCTGTTGTTTTTATTTTTTTTTCACTACTCTTTCTTCGTCTTCGAGCGGATATTTCGAGAGCGCAAAAGTCATGTAGAAGCAAGTGCTGGCGTCGAACAAAATCAGAGAAGTTTTTCCACCCTCCTAGAACAAACACCTCGCGGTCCAGCTGCATGTCAAGCAATCTCAGCGCATCAACAAAGAGGCTGCAGTACTGGATCGCATTTCTTGTTTCAGACATCAAAAACAAAACGACCACAAAAGTGATATTGACTATGCTTGAACTTGAAGTCCTCCGCAAAATAATGGCAGAGTTGCAACGCCGGACAGTTTGATGCAGACGAAAGTGTCTCCTGCCTCAGGGCTCTTTATCCACTTCAACTTCATCTCTCTCACTCTTTCTGATGTTACAGCAATATTAGAGGACGATAAAATTTTTTTTTCTTCGCTAATAAATTTGACAAAATTTTGAAAAAGAAAAACATGAAGAAGCAAGCCGCGACGTCGTCTTCTTCATCTTCTTCTATGGTGGACAAGACCATGGAGGCCGAGGCCTCCATTGTAGCTCCAAGCGCCAACACAGCGTACGCAGTGCAAAGCTATCGATTCGTACTGGGCTAGCAGGAATTGCTGCATGGAAATCAAAATCTTTATTTTTTGAATTTGCAACTGCAACTGCATGACGACGATGCATATTATATATTCAACTTCTGCAATTCGACATGCTAAAAAATCGAGTTGTAAAGAGCTCTGCCTACAGGTGAATTCGGCTACGTACGATATTACTTTTGCAGAGGATAAAAAAGCAGGAGCAGGAAGTAAGCCGGAACCACGTGCCGGCCCACCTTCATCACAACCTTCTGTTACTGTCATGCTCAACTCCCTCTTATCCTCCGGAATCAACAAGACCAAAACATCACTGAGCCGCTCGTGGGCACGAAAGCAAGCCGCGGCGTTTCTGGCGAAGGTGGAACTGATGGCCACTTCCCACGAGGACGAGGACGAGGAGAATGACTCTGACGAAGTACTACAGCTAGAGAACAAGGGTCCGGGGAAGGAAAAAAACAACAAATCTAATCGTAGTGGCGCCTCCGCTGCCGCTGCCGGAAGTACTAAGAAAATAAACGCAGCAAATATCAAAAACAAAAGTGCGAAGCTGGATATCTTCCAAGATCAGGCTGTGCGGGAGCTAAAAAGGCAGGAAACCACTTCGACCCGAAACAGCAAAATCAACGATCTGCTTGAGGCTTTTGCCGTCTTCTTCCTGGACGTGTGCCACGCGAAGAGCTGTTTATGCAAGAAAAAAACTGTAAGTGTAAGTCTGTGACGCAGGGAATGCAAAACTGTATACGCTTGTCGTGCTGGATGTGCGTCATAGGCAACTTTCGTACGTGTTTCGCATGATTGAGATTGTAAAATGCAAAACGAATCTGCGATGCTGTTCATCTTCCTACAGAGTTACACTTAAACAGATTTTTTCCTGGATACTGTTTCGCCGAAGGTCACTATGAGAGTGAACAACTCGTCCCCCTCGTTGTCGTTCCGCGCATTGGGAAATGTAGCTGTTATAGCAAGAAACACACCGTATGGTCACCACCACCAGCACTGTATGTTTGTTCGCATGACAAATCTTCTACCCGCGGACAACTGTTGTATGTAGCAGTATCTAGCACGAGCGGTAGCCGGGGTATTGTGCTGTTTCGGATTCTACAATAATCTTTCATTGAAACACTTCCATAAAATGAAATAAGAGGCTGGATATAGCATTTTGCATGACGAATGAGGGGAACGACGGGGACTGGTTGTGCACTCTTATACGCACTTTCCCGGCGAGAAGAACACTACTACCACAGCAGCAGCGACAGGGACCATCGCGAATTTTCCTCCCGACGAAAAAGGTGCTGACCTTGCCGCACTCAAGACGAACATTGCTGTATGAGAGTTGTGTCAGAATCGAAATCGATGAAGTGGAACTACCTTGCAATAAAGTCTACATATTTTAAGCCTGTATGTGGTTCAGGTTCTTCGCGTTGGAGATAGAGCTGATAAAACGGCACGAAAAAGGAGCCCTTCTTTCCCCAAATAATGGCACGAAAAAGTCAGTTCTGGTGCTGCTAAATTTGTCTAAATGCTGATGTCGGTTTTATGCTGCATCATGCGCTGCAATAGATCATTTCAACTTTATCGATTTCAAGCCTGACCCTGTCATGCTCGTCTGCGCCTCTCGACCGCCGCGCTCGCGCACGACCGGCGCTAGAAGTGCAACTTGCTGACCGCCAACGCGAATCGGAATCAAATCGTAACATCAGCAAAACTCCCGATATTAACCCTGTAGTTGTCTCCGACGAAAGCCTGCAGCGGTTCGTCGAGGCCTGCGTGCAAAAGAGCTGCTCAACTTCAACTGGTGGTGGAAGCAGTAGTAGACAACATCACAGAACGTCTACTGACGAGGCAGCTGACCATCAGGAGGTACATTTTCTCGAGGAGGACGCTGACGATTTGTCCATCTCGGACATCAATGAAGAAGGTCAAGATCCAGCCGAACTCGCGGGCGGAAAAGTTGCGGGCGAGAAAGTCGTATCCTGTGCAAAAGTATCGTACTCGTATTGTAATCATGCATTACAAATTTCTTTCTCAGGTTCAATCCGCATTACAAATTTTCTTTTTCATGCTGAGGAAATTTGTCATGCGATGTATACTCAGTGTAAGCACGACGATGCTTTTGCAGTTCATAAGTCGCGAAGCGTCGTCGTCGTGGCAATCACGACCAGAACCACGCAGGACAAGCAGCTTTGAGGCTTGACATGAAGACGCGGACGAAGAAACAGGCAGACCGGGCGCGGCAGTGCTGGATCCTTTTCACCGAGGAACTGGCTGCGGAACTGCTCGAGGGCGTGCAGGTAATGGAGAATCTGCTGCGGGGAGAGAAAGGGCAGCTGCAGGATGATGAAGCTGCTGGACAAGGTTGTTCTTCTGGTAAAAATTGTACAAGTGATCATCTCTCGTCCTCTCCGGCCATGCTCCTGCTGCAGAAGATGTGCCTCCTTTTGCGAGCCTTCGCGGAATCTTCTCCGGTGCCGTTGTGGCGACGCATCGCGTTTCTCGGGCTGCGAAGCTTCTTGGCAAAAAGATTGTTCTTCGCAGCTGCTGGGTTCGGGGATGGCCGGAAAATGAATTCTGGTGATGACATTGACACGAAGTTTTTGAGCAAACAGCAGCAGAAGGAGCGGCGCGGATTAAGTGGTAAAAATAGTCATCGCCAGAGGCTCCTACTGCAACAAGAGGATGACGATGAACTACACGAACTCCTTTTACAAGACGAGAACCTTGAGGATGAAGTTTTCGGCTCCAAATCTGGGCATGGGCGTGGCAGTCTACTGCAGAACGAGAAGAATAAGAAAGATGCGCCGTCCGAGGCGGAACAACTACACCAAGATCACCGTGACAAAACAAAAAAGCCGCATTTTTCCTTACAAGAACCTGTTCACTCCACGTCCACCTCCTGCAAAACCTTTTTGGAGCAGAAAGTCCTGCCGTTTTACCTGGATTACGCCTGCGGGGACGAAAACGTGCTGGTGAATCTGGATTGCGTCGATGCAGTGGGCGACTGGCTGTTTCAGCTCAGCTACGAGGAAAAAGTCTTTGCAGCAGCTGCAAGAACTGGTGCTGCTCCCAGAAAAAAGAATTATGATAAAGGTCGTCCTGCTTCTCTTTTGGCAGGAACAACTGGGACGGCCAGTTGTACTAGCAAGATGAAACTTTCTTTGTACTGCGTGCTTCTCCAGGCCTTGCTGGACACGAAAAACAGCGAAGTGCGACGAAGGGCCCTTGATAGGCCTGGCAAAAGTTGTATTGGCGAAAGTAGCTCTAGAAGTATAAATCGCATATATTACATTAAATAACAATTACTTGGTGTTGGTTTCAGAGTGAAAAATGCTTGCGGTCCTTCGGCATGTGATTTGATTGTACTGCCGTTGCTGTAAATTTCTATCTATACAGCTACGTCTCCGATACAACTTTTGCACAGGATCCCTGAGGTCTTTCTTCAAAAAAGAACGATCACGAGTGCCGTAGCCGCGTCTGCGACCATCGAAGCGACCAGAAACATCAATGCGAAAAATGCTCTATCCTCTTATCCTGTGTAAAAACGTCCCCGCTCCAGCCGGGCAAGATGTAGTGGAGAATGTTGCTCATGGGCGCATTGGGGTGGAGGTTAGTACGCATGATGAGAAACATTTTAGGCTTGCAGATTTCAATGAGACAGCTCTGAGCTCCTCGTGGGGACGTTTTTTGACAGGATACCCCTTCGAGCAGTTCCAACGAGGTGGACCCGTTATTTTGTTCAACAAGTTCATCTTCGCCTTCTATCGTGTCCCTGGATTTTGTGCTGGACGTGTTGTTGCAAAAAGACCTCTACCTCGTCAGCCGGACGGACGAGAATTGTGACACCCTCAACATGATCGGAAGCAATAAAAAATCGCTAAACAAACAACACCACCAGCAGCAAAGTCCTACTTCATCCAGCACGAAAGTGCAGCGGTTTCATACGCAAGAAAAAACCCCTGTATGTAGTGTAACTCTGTGTAGCAGACCAAGAAGTGTCATGTAAAGCATTCTTTACGTTTACACGTATTGCCTGCGGACCACGGCAAGCTCCTTTAATATTCGCTGTCATGCCACACGGAAGATCTGTCATGCTGTTTCCCCAGCAAAAGAAAAAGGAGAGTTACAACTGCAACTACACAGGTTTATTTTGCTTGATATTTCTGGACTTCATTCACGACGACATGCAGGGCGATCTGTGGAACGGAGAGAAGATCGTCACCAACATGGGAGCGGGTTTATCCCGTGCATCTTCAAAAGTGCTATCGTGCTCGTACTAGTTGCATCTGTGCATGCCAGATCTTCTGTCTCACCTGAACCTGCATGACAAACTCCATTTTGACAGTGAAATTGTAAATGCCAAAAATATTACGACTACTAGCCCCACGATGGTACAACAGCTTTTGCAATGCATAGAGCAACAAGCCCAAGAAGAAGATGAAGACCGTGAACAACAAAGGAAAGAAAAGGAAAAACCTCAACCCCGAGGAAGATCCGATTGCAGTAGACAAGAACTCCGCCTTTTCTACGGAAGAATTCCACTTGCTGTACTACCTCTTTTCGGTGATCTACCACCGGGCCGTGGACCTGGCCGAAGAGGAGCACAACCGTGCGCTGGCACTCCGTATGCATTGCAAAAAGACTATCGTACTCGTACTACTCCTCATGCAAAGACAAACCGTAAGTAACCTCTAACTGTCCAAGCCTAGGCAAGAGCAACTCAGCACGAGCAAAGGCAACTCAATTTTTCAACTAAGTACATTCTGAGAAATGTATTTGTATTGCGATTTCTACGTCATACGATGCTCTTGCAATGCATACTCCGCATCGTGGTAAACTTGATCCAGAACGGCGTGGACCTGTTTTCGGCGGATGCAAAGCGGGTTCTCTGCATGCTCGTCTTCCAGCTATCAACTGCAAAAATGTCTGGGTCTGGAAGATTGCAGCTTGTCATGCTGTTTTTGGATTCTGAAAAAATTTGTATTGCATGACCAGCAAGTAGAGGACTCTAGTTTGTGCTACGCGGAGAGGTCATTTCTCATGCTGTAGAGGTATCGCAAAGCGCTCTAAAAATCTGTGATGCTACGGCATGCATCACAGACATCATGGGTCATGGAAAATATGCATGACAAGTCTAGAAATCTTCCAGACCCAGACACTTTTGCAATGCATACCAACCAGGCGGCGACCACTGCTCCTCGACCTCAACGTCGACGCACAGCAGCAGCATCAACGGCCTGGGAGCCGAAGCCGCGCGTCTCGTTTGGCTGCAGATCGAGGAAAGTTGCAGTGCTGCCTCGTCGTCCTGCTGTGGAGGAGATTGTGACGAGGACGAAATCATGAACATTGGCGTGGATGATAGCGGGCAAGGACTACACCTGGTCCAGAAGAGTTTGAAGGAAGGAAAAGGAAAGGATGGTGGACAATACGGACTACATGCTGCCGAGAGCTTCGACTCGAGTAGCAAGATCCTAGCAGCAAGTCAAACCTTGAACCAGGCGGTTTCTTTCCTCGAAGCGTATTTCGATGCCGCGAGAAACGAAGCCTCCGTCGTGGGGGAACTTCGAGATGAGGAAAAAGATAATGATGAACACGGGCAGAGCTGCGTCGACGCGCCGAGTGCTCCTCCTGTGCAGGACGAGAAATACAGCAGCCACTTCATCGAGCGCTTCGTCTGCCACAGCGAGAAAATGCGACACTGCTTGTTCCACCGCTTGACAATGGAAGATCAGAAAGGAGGCCAGGGTTGTACTTCTACGGGCGACGTGAGTCATGGTGTGGACCGATTGAAACGAGGAAAAAAGTTAGATCAAGTGCTACATGACGACCTTGGTGGAGGACTAGAAGTGGAACTCGAACTCCTGCATGAAGACGCTGGCGCTGCAGCGTTCGAAGATACCGACCAGGAAATAAAACTGAACAACAGCAAGAAGAACAAGAACTCCTCCACGTGTGATAACGTTTTCGAAAAATCTGTCGTGAAAACGTTCGACGCGGCCGTTTCGCTGGCGAGCGTAGTGCGATTTTGTTTGCGGGAAGATCATCAGGACGAGGGTACAGCTCTTGGCGAAAATGCCGATGAGGAGAAGAGCGACGCTAGTCCGACACGACCAACCCTGCAACAAAAGTGGATCGCGCTGGAGCTACTGCGGTACAAAAACACGAGCAGGAGGTCACTTGTTGATGTTGAGAGGACCGAAGGACTACAGCACGGCAATGAATTTAATACCTCTTGGCTATTTGTACACTACAACAAGGACCTGCGTTTCTTTCTGGGGAATTTTGAAAAACTCATGCGGCTGGCAAACGTGGACAACGATCAGGACCTGGCAGAACAGGAACAACATGAAGAAGGGTCAGAACTGCAGAAGTTGAAACGGGCCGCGAGTGCGAATTCCTTCGGCAATCAGGATGGGACGCTGGAAACCGAGAATCACGTCGGTGACGTCAATGAACAAACAGCAGTATTATCATCAAAGTCCAACAGATTCGCTTCTCTCCAGCACCGTCTGCTACGGGAGCAACTCCAGCTATCTCTGTTCGCAGTGCTGCGCAACTCCTTGAACAACTTGCACAACAGCCTCTGCGGGGCCGGCATTCTTGCAGCCAGGGCTGCTACATCAACATCAAATGGTGTGGGTTTATTAAAACAACAGCCGGTCATCTCAGCGGAAAATAAAGAGCTTTTGCTGGGTGAGGATCATCAAGACAATAATGAACAAGAAAACGACGAGCACCTGCACCTGTCAGCAGCACGAGGACAGGAACAGGAAGCTCTTCACCTTTTTGGCTTGCTGCAGAAAGTTCTTACCAACTCGGTGCTGGACAAACTGTTTCAACACGAGGAAGGAAAGAACCACGGCACACACCAGCCACGTGGTACTGCAGCTCCGGCGACGTTGAGCTTTACGTCTTTTCCCGTCCTGCAGAGCGGCGCCCAGGTCCTGGCTGTTGGCAAGGCGGTGCTTCTAGCCGCGTCGACGGCAAGTGAAGAAGAGCTTGGTGGTGGATCTGGTTCTGGATCATCTTTAGCAATAGAGAGGAAAAATGCAGACCGGCTTCTCGTCGCACAAGAACTTCTAGAGTCCTCTAAAACAAATTCTGCCCGCTTCCAACAGACGCTCCGCGAGGTTTGGCTTGATTGCTTGCGAAAGTTTGTTGAACTGCGGGCCGAGTTGGACCACGTGCAGGGTAAGGATGACATTAAAATGCACGGCATTTTCGAGAACGACGAGGACGCTACGAAGGACATCAATCGATCATCCAAGAAAACGAAAAATTCCAAGCGAGGACATCCTCCTGTGAAAGGAAAGAAGGACCACGAAAAACGCAACAAAATCGAGCATGTCGTTGAAACAAACGTATCGAGCAGGAGCAATCGTGTGTTACTTCTTCGGTCTTTGGCACAGAAAGTCGCGGCTTTGTCGACCATTCCAGGAATAGCCGTCTTCCAGGACTCTACTTTGTCGGCGTCGGGAGGTCATAGTAATAAAAAACAGGTAGAACAAGAAGACCATGCTGACGAAAACCACGACGGTTTGATGTTACAGAATAGCGAGCTCTTCGCTGCCGTTTTCGACCATTTTGACGGCCACAGCAGTAACAAGAATGCTGCGAAAATTGGCGAAGGTGCGGCCACGGCGTTGTTCCGCGGACAGGCGAGCTGCCCGGAAGATGATGAAACAGCCCTGTTCGTCCTGACCACCTTGTTCAACCTTTACACGAACTACGCGAGCGCAGCTTCATCTGGCGCACAGTTGTTGGTCGAGGGGATGAATAATGCCCAACCCTCATCTGAAGAGATGATGAAATCGAGATTAGATGCAGACGAGATGAGCGTCGACGCTCAAGGAGACGGTGGTGGTGCAGAACAGGCGGACATGGCCGCGGTGGCTGCCGCCAAAAAAGATGGCGCAGCGGGTTTTTCTCCATTCGGCTCGGGAAGAGCTTCTGCAGATGAGCGGCGCAACAACAAGGTCAACAAAGCATTCCTGGAACGAAAGTTGCTCGACCGTATTGCCTACATTTTGGAGCGCTGCGCGAAGAGTGTAGCAGGGGCAGCTACAACCGTAGGCGAAAAACCAGCCGCTGCCGACGCTGAAGACGAGGATGAGGAAAAAAACAACAGCGGACAACATCAGAAGCAACTGCAAGCACGAACGCCGCCGACGAGCGCGCAAAAGAAATCGCTCAACCTTTGTTCTTCCGAGCAAACCTCTACGTGTTGTGCGTTTCTCGGTCTAGCGATTCTTCTCATCATGGAAAGCAGTCCCAGGAGCAGGGACGACCCAGGAGAGGACCTCCTTTCGAACGAGATCATGGCGAAGGCGGTACAGTTTTTCCGATTGCAGTTCTGCCGGTTGATATCAAACAAAAAAAGTTCGTCACGATCACTCATGCGCATTTTTGCAATACAAAATTGGCTGCCATGCGTAAAAATGCATGACAGCCAAGCTTCATAGAGGATTTCCCTAGTGTTTCTGCAATACAAGGAAGACTTGTGATGCTAAAAAAATTTGTAATGCAAAACCTGCAAGTTAGTGACTGTGACAAACTTTTTTCTTTCCATAGTTGCGGGACCAGGCCTTTTTCGGTCGTGCGTTCTCCGCGGGGAGTTCTTGTCGGGCTTTCGAAGGAGCCGGGATGTCCGGAACGGACGACGATGGGAATGAGATGGACGTAGAGGACCACATGGACAAGCTAAACAACGCGAAAAATACCGACGTCGGAGCTAGTAGGAGAGATAGCTTTATTTCCCGTTCCCAGCTCTTCCCGGAAGATATCATCAATCTGGAATCCAGCGATTTGATGTCCGATAACTTTGAAGCGTTTCGCGCGAAACTCTTCACGGAGTTTTCTGGGAACTACGCAAATGTTAGTCGCCAGAGTTTCTGCTCCACCTCTACTAGCGAAGAAAGCAGAAGTACCGCGAAAATTCCTGCACTCTTTTCCCTTTTCTTCAACATGGTTGCAGCAACTACACAGGTCGTGACGGGAACAACTCTTTCAAGTACAACCTTGACCACGATCAGCAGTCGCCAAGCAGAAGTGCAACTCAACGCTCTCATTCTCCTGATTGGCGAGCGCACCCACTTCCCGCTCGGCAACGCCCTCACCCGCGTGGTTTATCCCAGCGAAATAAAGTGTTAACGTTAATCAACGGGATTTGTGATGCACATCCGCATGCAGTAAGAGTTCCTACACAAACACGTAGGTACTAAATCTGAAACACATTCCTGAAATTTGCATTGCGTGATACTGTTTGTGCGTGATGGGAAAAACAAGCTGCATTCTTGTCCTGTGAAAACCAAAGCCGTTAGATAACGTTAACACTTTACCGCTTCATATACCTCTCCAGGAACACGCGAAAACAAGTTGCGTGCGGGAGTTGTTCTTTGAGGATGTTGGAAGTACTAACTCTGGCACGGTGATCGAAACCGGAACTGGTATGGAAGTGGACCATGACAGGAACAATGGTGGACAAGATCAAGATGCAAACAATGATCTTCACGAGGATCATTATGCCCTGCGGGCCACCTCCACTTCGAACACCAGCGGGCTACCAGCAGACCGCTTTCTGGAAGCGTCCGCCGCCGCGGCGCGGTTTTTGATTGTGCGTGCGAAGAAAAACCTCCCTGTGGCGGAGATACTGCGGACCTTCTTCGATGTGGCAATATGCAACATGCAAAAGTGTCTGTTGTACTGCTTAGTTCTAAAATTGCATGACGACTTGTAGTATTCACGTTGTTTGACATTGTGTGGACGGGTGATGAAGTAGAAGTAGAAGAAATTAGATTTAAACCTGCTGTATATGCATGACGATGACTGCAATCAAAGCGAGTTGTGCGATACTTTTGCCGAGGATAAGCGAAGCGCCACTACAACTGGTGCGTGTTGGGGCACGGCATGGGATTTTCGGACTTGATGGGCGCAATGGATGGCGGGCGCGGGACTGCATTGCCTTTGTCAGGTATGATAAGAAGTTCATGCTGACGTGCAGAATTCAGTTACAGAACAAGAGGAGCAGCATCAGCACTTCATCACCATCTTTGTTTTCATCATTTTCATAGCTGCCGACGTCGGCGGCGCGTTATGAAATAGCGTCAGCACCAAAATGTCTCCCTGTGGTCACTATGTATCTATGTATTGCCATTGCACATGAGCTTCATGATAAGAAGATACTGCTTCTACTTCTATTTCAGGTGCAACAGCGGGTTTGTCGCTCCCGCGGGGCGGGCTCACGAAGCACTCCGCTGTCTCCTCTCACTCCCGCTCGGCTTCCTGCTCCAACGCGGAGCACTACCTGCTGCAGAAACCAAACGGTGGGCTGCTCCACACAGGACCTAAAAAAGAAAAACCAGAACTTTCGTTTGAAGACGTGGCGCTGGGGAAGACTAGTAACATGACCAACAAGAGTGCAAATAAGATCCGCATCCCCTCGATCGAACAGAAGCTGGCGCATTTTCGGACCAAGATCCTCAATTCCCTGTGGCTGAAGACCTACTGCCCGGTGCAAATCCCCAAGGCGGAGTATAGAGAGTACTACGAAATCGTGAAACTCGAGCTACGGAACTACTGTGGAAGGAAGATGAAGAGGACCAGAAGCAAAAACAACATGATGATCATGGATAAAACAAAAACTTCTACTGTTGACAGCGCCTTCCTGGGCTACGTTCTTGAACCTTTCGTCGCGCGGTTGACGGCCCAGTCGCGGAAGAGCCTGCTGCAAAAGGAGATCTTGAGCAAAGTACTGCTGTCTGGAGGTGTCGTGTCTGCCTCGGCTGCGATGAAAAAGGAAGACTTGTTGTTCAACAAGAGCCTGAACCAGTCGACCGCATCCGGCGCGCATGGTGATGTCATGGAAGTAGAACATGATAAAAATGTGAAAAATCACAACTCCTTCAGCCTGGACTTCGAATTTTCTTCGGTCTTACAGGACTACGTGGACCAGGAAATGGACAGTTTCGTGAAAGGTATCAACTGCAAAAATGTCTGGGTCTGGAAGATTGGAACTTGTCATGCTGTTTTTGGACTGTAAAAAAATTTGTATTGCATGACCAGCAAGAGGGGAGTGCGATTTGTGCTACACGGACAGGATGCGGAAGGTGCATCACGAAGCCCTCTAAAAGTCTGCGATGCTAGGTCACGCATTACAGGCATCATGGGTCGTGAGAAATATGCATGGCAAATCTTGGATTCTTCCAGACCTAGATGACATTTTTGCAGTTGATAAAAGGGAAGAAAAGCAAAGGCAACAACAAGGCCGCTTCCAAGTCTTCCACTTCGTCCGGCGAACAGGAGCTGCTCGTGATGCAGCAGCTGTTAGCCAAGGCGACAAGCAAGAATGGACAAAACAAGGACTCATCTGGAGGTCCACCTACTTCTTCGAGAAATAAGGACAAAAAGAACTACAACCACCTCCAGCAACCCCCCGCATCCACGCAAGACGTGAACTCGATGCTGCTCCAGTCCACGCACAAGCGGTCGGGCGCGCAACTGTTTCTCGCGAAAACCTTTCTGAGCAACTCGCTTTCCTTTGACGAGATCATGAGAAACTACGGAGATACCTCTGTTCTCTTCATGAACAACTCTGGTGCAGCGACGTCGGGACTTCTAACGGGAACAAGCAGTCATCTTCTCTCCATGCAGAGCGGGAATCAGTTGCTGGGTCCTGAAGATGGAGCTGCAAATACAACCGGTAAAAGTCTGAACCAGTCTTCCTTCTTGAATCAGTCGGCTTCAGCGAGGAGCGATGGTCGTGCGCAGATCATCCCGCAATCTATGTCGGCTGGCCGGCACGATCCTCGTCAAAGCAATAAGCGTAGCCGGACAAACGGCGATGAAAACAAGCAGAAGGATGATAAAGCTGCACGGATCACGTCGGTGGATCAAGTGGATGCTTTTGATGCACCAGATGTTGAAATGGCCGCACCGCACCAAGAAGCAAACGAGCAGGACGAGGACGCTGCGATGGATTTCGTTGGAGATGCAGATGATGAAGTTGAAGAACAACAAGTGGGGGAAAACCACTCTGACGACGACGGCGACGATGAAATCGTAGACGAAGAAGATGACCTGTTGGCGGACGACGTCGCGAAGCCGCCGCCGGCGAAGAAACAGAAAAAGTGAAGAAATGGTAGGATTGAAAAAATGAAAAAGTGAACTGGTATTAGGATAGCAAGTACTTGTTTTTCATCCGGGTGTACGATTTTTAGGTGATGGTCACCAGCACCAGTGGTGCTGGATGAAAATTTTGATACAAATCATTTGAGTTTATTCCCTTTTCTATCATTGACATTATTCTTTGGTACACAATGAACATCAGGATGAATTTTTGTACGATATCCAAAGACACCCACAGCAGAGTGGAGCTTCGTGAACTAAAAACATCTAATCGCAGTCGCCGAATTTGTTTGTCGTCGGATGTTTTCTAGCGTTTCCACCTTTTCTTGCCGACCATCGAGTCGGAAAATTTCCTGTTTCTTTATTGGGCGAAGAAATACAATATTTTGAATGTTTTCTTGCAACAAGCCTCCGCTCTAAAAGTTTTTTCGTACATTCAAGGACCACCCTCAAGCTCCTCAAGAGCGTGGTGTAATACTTTTTTGAAAAACGAATCTGAACGATACAGGAGAAGCAGAGCGACAGCTCTCTACTTTACTAGTAGTTGTTAGCAAGTGAAAACGAGGTAGCGGAAAATATGACTTCAATCTAATGGTACCGAGCAGTTTGATTTGTTTGATCCCGCCCTTCTGCAGCTGATCTTCACGATTTATGTTTGTGGATTTTGAGTTTGAAGTCACAGTCACAGTCGTGGCGCTACTTTTAGTTTTACTTGACAGACTCGAAGAACTTAACGCGAACTTTTTTTTGTTTCCATGTGTTTTAAAAGTGCACCCAGAACTCAGAAGAATCAATGCTAAAATGAAAAGCAGTGCTGGCTCCGTTAGATATTTCCCGATTCTAGCATGTCGCCTTCTGTGCTTGTTTTATTTCTCAGAATGAACCGCGGGACAGACGCTGACACAGAGCAGAAACAAACTACAGTTTACGCAGAGCCCTCGTCGTGGAGGTGGACAAATTTTTCGGTGTAGTTTTCTTCCAAAGCGAAATGGAAATCTTCAAATAGCCATCAAATTGAATAAAATTAAAATGATCGTATTTTCACCTCGACCCCTCGTCGATGCCGCTTCGATACTAGAAATTTTCCCCGACAAATAGCCAAAAGAAGCCCAAAGTGGGCCACAGTTTCGATCGCTTTGGTCATGTCTCAGCGCACCATTCGTGGTGATGACAGACTTTTCTGATTTGATAATTTTGAATTCAACAACTTTTTTCTAGGACGAGAGACGTCAAAGCTTGTGAAGACCTCTTTTATGAGGCTGAGGCAGCGGAGTGGACGAGCAGTGCCGGTGACCTGTCCCGGTTGATAATTCACTCGTCCTAGGATTGGTGGAGCAAGTTTGATGCCATATTGTTCTCCTCGTTCGTGATATATTGAGATTTCGCCTTCGCTCGTCGTCTCGTTAAATTAATTGTTGGCGAGACGGAAAAAAAGGTCGAGACTGTCTTGCGCGTGTTGCATATGTGATGAGCTTTGATGTTGCTGCAGAGCTGCTTCAAAGAGACGATGAGGAGAGTAGTTGCTGCTTGTTGATTGTGATAATAGGCTTTTGCCGTTATTGTGTGAAATTGACAAGAACAGAGGAGGTGGTGAAAAGTGAAGAACCCGTTGTTGAGAATGAGCTTGTGATTGATTTGTAGCAGCTTTTTTTCAATAGCAGGCTTGCTACACGTTATTTTCTTCTGCAGCTTGAACAAAACGTTATATGCGAATTCGATTTCAATTTGAAAGTGTAGATTCAATTCACTAGAAGTTCTGCTTTCCGGTGACCATCCAGACAGTAGAAATGGTTTTTTCTAGAATTGATGGGGACAGAAAATATCCAAGGACGCACTGTTGGCGGAGTACGACCAAGCGACCTCCTACTAATAAGTAACAGTACTCAAGAAATACTTTATTGACAAGAACTTCAACTTTATCGTGTGCCAGTGGTTGCTGCGTGTGTCCACCGCTTTCCAGCTTGATGAAAAAGAATCCTTTTCGCGCGGACGACCGCCCAGATTGCCGGCGGCTTTGTTACGTGACTGTAGAACAGAAGCATTGCTGAAGGAGTAGATCGTTTACTCGACTCCACCACCATCTACTTGTTACTTCGTCCTGTCTTGGCTGCATTCTACTTTCTGCACGGCCATAGAAGTCACGACGTTTTATTGTTGACCCTGGACTGCTACATCAAGCACGAAGATGTTCCCCACCACCTTCACGAATCCGGGGATCCACGACGGCAGCTCCCCAGAAAATCATGCAGGCCAACTACCTGGAGCTGGACCTGGAGCACACGATGACGAGCAACCACCCACTGCTGCTGTTCCACCACCAGCATCACAGGAGCTCGTGGCTGGCCGGCTGGCCTCTCCACCTGCTGATTCCGGAGCACAGCAGGCATTGCCGCGCGGAGCCTCCTTGTCTTTGTCGCAGGAGGAGGAAGGAGGAAATCATGCCCCCGGCTCGACGAGTCAAGACCATCACAAAAACCTGGTCATCAAGGACGGGGACCCAGAAGTAGAAGATGATGCCTCTCTACTACCTCACTCGCACGAGGAAGATTCCAAAGACCACTTGTTCGTCACCAAGCAGGTAGCCCAGGACATCGTGCAGCTGCACCGCAACACGAACCTCAACCGGGAGCTGATTACAAACGGCGACCCCCGTTACCGTCCTCGCACGATAACGAGACCAGGACGAAGCCAAAACGAAGCCAATCGGGCAGCTTTTACAAGGGCCCACCTCTGGCAACGCAAAACGCCGGCAAGTTTTCCCATAGTGGTCGGCCGAGACGTTTACAGGGCCCCCAGCCTCTGGCGTTTCTGCTGCAAGTAAGCGGGGGCGCCATTTGCGTTGTTCGCTCTGTGGGCTCGGGCGCATCGCCTTAAGCATAGGGAGAAGCCCGCCGGCGACGCAGCGTGCCGCCGGGCTCAATTTTTGAGCCGCATGGCACTACAGCAAACGCAAAAGGCCCTGGCTGTCGGCGTCGCAGCGCTTTGCGCTTCCCACATGCCCAGGGGGCGCCGCTTTCGTCTTGCCTGCCTGTGGCTACTATGCGAAGCCCCAGCGCCCCGCGCAGTGCCTGCTATATTCAAATCGTTACGGCCGCACTTTGGCCCAGTAGATATTTGCACGCGTCCACCCCTTGCCGGCATCGCCGGAAAACCGAAGCCAAAACGAGGCCAAAACGAAGCCAAAGGGCAAAAAAGCCGAGGCCAAAACGAAGCCAGAACGAGGCCAAAACGAGGCCAAAACGAGGCCAGGCAACCGCGTTTCGTGTCTGGAAGGGGAACGCGATAAGTTTTGGATTTTTGTCGTCGCCCGGCTCGCGCTGCCGTGCCGCCGTGGAAGCGACACCAAAACGAGGCCCAGACGAGGCCAAAACGAGGCCCCGCGGCCTAATTCTGGGCCTCATCTTTCCGGCAAAAAGTTGCAAGGCTTGGCCGCATTTTTTTCGGACGGCTTTGGCTTCGTTTTGGCCTGGTTTTGGCTTCGTTTTGGCCTGCGCCCTTTCGGACCGTTCTGGGCCATTATCTGCAGCAGGGGCATGGGCCCAACTTCCGCAGCAGGCGCGAGGACTTTCTTATTTTGGACAGCGAGCGGCGTCTAGGTGGGGGCACCCGGTAGACGAGCTCTGGCGTGGTCATTGACTAGCGCGGGTACTATCTTTCTGGTCGCAATCCGATGCGGCTCAAAATTTGGGCCGCGTGGCATGCTGCCCGCGAATCGATAGCCCCGTGGCCCATGCCCCAGTATGGGCATCAATATGAAGAAAATAATTTAGACTCCGCGGGGCGCGCTCGTCATTCTGAGGCAGTTGCAGGGACCACGCGCCGGCGGCATGGAGTAGAGCTACACAGCCCCCGGCCGCGACGTTGTCGGCGCCCGCGCGAATGCCAAAAAGCGACAGGCCTGGCCTCGTTTTGGCTTCGTCCGGGTCTCGTTCTCGGGTCTCGGCGGTAATGGGCGCGCCGTTTGTAAGCTGATGCTGAAGCGGGACAGTTTGCTGACTCCGGAGGAACGAGTCCAGGTGGAGGCTGCATTGAAGGAGCAAGCGAGCCATCAAAACCTTGTTCCAGCAAATCATAGTGGAACAGTGCTGTCGTCGTCATCATCCGGAGGTACTATACAGTTTAAGTTTTTGTTTTCGACTCTTGTTGATGCGTTACGTTGATGTACTAGACCTGCTTACTAGCAGCATGTTGTTTCGTGGAAGAGGTCCGCACCAGTTCTTCTAGAAATTAGTACACGTCGGTTGAGATTGAGAAGCTGAAGAGGACACGGGAGAAGATGTATTATCGAGATCGAGCGATAGGTTTAGGTGGGAGCTCCTTCGCTGAGTATTTTATTGCACTAGAGCAGATAAAGGATAGTATGCATTCTTTACGTCGCGTAAGTTCTTATGTGTGTTGCATATGCATTTTTTGAGGCATGTTGATGTTCTTTCACTTCTAACTCCAACGCTGCGTGGTACCACCAGGCACCCATCGAACCCTGACGAACTTCACCCCGCCCCGTCACTCTTATTACTATCACCTCCGCCCATTCCACCCTTGTATAAAAGTACACGAGCGCCCTCACAACATAGACAGCCTCACCCATTTCCGGCCCTGCTTCTGCTCGTTCACCTACCTATCTATACTACCCTCCTCCGTTCGCTACCCTGTTTTGATGTGTTGCGATTTTCCGTGGCTTTGCGCAAGCAGCCGCTCTCACTCATGTGCACTCTTACTCTATTTCCATCTCTTCGTCCTCTGCGTTCTGACATTCACAATCACATTCCTCCCTTCACGACAAGCCGACTATGATCAGTGACTACACGGCTTCGCTTCGTGCAAGCTTGGGCGGGATCGGCGCCTCCGCGGGTGCTGCTCGCAGTTTGAAATTTGTGCACCAGGCAACAGCTGGAGCTGTTGAAACCGAAGGCACGAAAGACGAAGACAGTAGCTGCGCTTCTGGTTCCGCCCCCGACCGAGATGCTGACTGCCCGCAGGAAGGAGATCCTGGTGCCCCGGGTGCTAAAACAATAGCGACCATAGCTGCCGGAGCGCCGGCGCATAACTCTACTACACGACGAGGTGGACAGCTGCACACCGCAGCACCTGAAAATGACGTACTATCACCAGCAGAATTAGAATCTTCCGACCGCCGACCACTCTTAACCAAGCAGTTAGTCGAGAAAATCCTGCGCGAGCGCAATGGGTTTGCGCACCACACCGAGTTCAACACGGAGCTGGTGCTGTCGAATTTCAAGCTTCGCGGGTTCGCCCCGGGTGTGTTTTCACTACTAGGTGCCGAAGATGAACGAGATGAACAGCAAACTTCGTCCTTGTGGTGGTCTGGTTACTTTGGTGGAAATGAAGCTACCAGTACTAGCGGCGTCGCCGAGATTGGAGGTCGTGACAACGAAAGCAGCGGTATTCATCCGGCTTCGTCCCGTGCAGGTGCAGGTGGCTGGTCTTTATGGACAAACGCAAATAAGGACGAGCAGAATCAAGATCAGCACCGGTTCTACTATGGTCTTTTCGCAGAAACAAAGCAAGATGCCTCATTTTATTTCTTGTCCAGTCCGTTGCAGCTGGAGACGCTGTTTCTGGATAATTGCGGTTTGCGGACCTTGAAGACCTTTGACAGTGCCCTCGGTGGACGTAAAAAAGCTCGAAACGAACAGGATGCAGCTGGAGGCGTATGTAGTGGACGAGGTGGAGGAGCTGCTAGTGGCTCCATGGCTAGAGATGGGCGGGTGCTGGACAAGAAGACAACGAGCCGTGTAGTTCTAGAAACGGAGCATGTCGAGAACAGGAGAGGCACCTCGACCGACGCACGAGAACCTCCACCACAATCGCAAGAACATGACGATGACCGGAGGCTCTCTACAAATGAGGTTCTTGCTCAAGCTACCAATTCCTTTTCTGCTCCGCCGGTAGATGATTTCGAGCCGCAGAAGAATTATGTGCTTGGGCTGCTGGAAGAGGAGGGTACACCCATCCAGGTACCCGAGGTGGACGAAGATCAACTACGTGCTGGAGTGTTCGAAAAAAATGTGGACAACGAGGAAGAAGCTCCTGCGGCCTCTCAGCAACCGAAGATCCGGTCGCCAGGGGCCGGGAAGATGCCAGGCGAAATAGCTCTGCCGGTCGACGAAGACGGCAAAGAAAGCCAACAAATTGACGTCGCAGAGGGAGAGGACCCGAGAGCTTCTACTTCCCGCCCAGACGGTAATCCTACAGGCGGCACCAAAGCAAGTCCCACGCACAACCCAGTCGACGACCCCGAATCCGACACAGCATTACGATTACCTGCAGCGACCACTGGTGGTGCAGTTCTCGACGCTGCAAAATCTACACTGAGCTCCTTTTTCACAAGCATGACCGCCGGCGTGTTGTCTGTGACGAAAGAAGGGCCTGGCCCTACCCCTAGTAGCTCTCACGCTTCACTTCGTCCAGAACCACCTGGGGCCCTGTTACCGTTGCGAAACTTGCAGCAGCTCTACCTGATGAAGAACGAGCTGTCGGGTGTTTTTTCGAGCGGTGACTTGCCGCAGAATTTAGTTGTCCTGGATATTTCGGACAACCGCATCACGCATTTGGACTTCAACTCCACGGCCACTCACGCGCACCAGCAGCAGCTTCCGAAACTGAAGCAACTCAATGCGAGCAGGAACTTGCTAGGTCGGGGTCGTCGCGGTGGGCGAAGAGGAGTGCTGAGCGCTGATGTTCACGTTGATGAGGAACGACCAGATGAGGCGTCTACCCCTGTTTTTGTTTCGGTAGGTGACGTCGACGAAAGAGACCGACCGGCGCCAGCGCAATCGAACACGACAGCATCAACTACTTCGCCCTGCTTTACCTTGTTCCCCAGCATCGCCGCTTTGCGCCACCTCACCGCACTGACGATTCTGGATGTCAGTGACAATGACTGGTTTGTTGGCTTGGAAGATGAAGTGGATCAACGCCAGCATCGTAGTCCCGACGAGGACGATGAAAGTAGAACTCCAGCACCAGGTGAAAGCACGTTTGATGCAAGGACTAACCAAAACGACGAAACCCTGCAGGCATTAGGGGATTTCTTCAGCGAGGTCTACGTGAACGACGAGAATGCCACGACCATCGAAGAACTGGCACGGAGACTGGTGTTTCAAAATCTGCGATCTTTGAAGATAGTTACATCTGCGAGAACCACCAACGCGTCATCGAACTTCAAAAGCGACCTCGATTTGATTTCCCCAGAGCGGCACCGGCACTACCGCGAAACCGTGGCCTTGCAGCTCGACTCCCTCATCGTTCTAGACGATACCAATGTGCGTCGAAGTTGACACGGGACTAATGAACTGCCCCCCCGCAAAGTTTTATTAGCTGTGCCTGTCGGTGCTGAGCTAAGCCAGGACATTGACGTTCTATTGGAAGCAGAACTACGAAAAACATCAATCCAAGAAAACCAAAACTTCAACTTCTTCTACAGTAAAGGATCGAATAAATAAGCTTCTGCAGCTGCAAGAAGATCGACGACTTTACCACACGCACGACAATCTTCACCTTCGACAAAAGATGGGCAGGCTGAGTTCCGCACGTTTCTGGGTCAAGCGAGTTGGAGACAGAGCCACTCCAACCCCTGTGCGTCTTCTTGTACGAGGAGTTGCCTCTGCGTATCACATACGACGAGCAGACGTTTATGCGTTCGTTGGACGAAGAGCTTCTCCCCCACAGTTCTTCTCTCGTTCCTGGTGTTTCCCACCTTTCTTGTAGTTTCCGCTTCATCTCATGTACTGGCTTGTCATTGTCTGGCCGGTCTCGTCGCGCTTGTCGAAGTTGTTCCTTCTTTACTTACTTTACCCCCGTCGCATTTGCTCACTTACCCGTGTCTTCAACATGGCAATGTCCTGATGCTTGCGTTTCCATGATTTCGTGTTACTTTTCAGCAAATACTCAGGTGACAATCACAGCAAAAGAAACGACCAATGAAAAAAATTGAAATTCACTTTACCCCACTCCTCAGGTCCATTCCCACTCGAGCAGAGCCTTCCCGCCGGTTCGCCGGACAACCTGCCACCCACGTCCGCGCTGCGCATGTTGGAAACCCCGAAACAGATCACCACGCCGAAACAGGCCCTGCCCCGCAGCTCCAACCACTTGCTGTCTTCCCTGCAGAATTCGAACCAATCGAAGCGATCCGACGCGCTTCCGACCCCTCAGGGCGGGCCGGGGTCGATTTTGAGGAGTTGTTTGAAGAGCGCGAGAAAGCAGGAGAATGCGCCATTCTTGAACAACAAGACCCCACCGCCAGGCAGCAGCTGCCGAGGGGGGCAGCTACTGGAGCAGAGTATCAAGAATCGCGTCCATTTCTCCAGCACCAAGAAGCGGTTTGGACTGCACAGCCACCGGAGCGCCAACAAGCGGGGGGGCCTGCTCAGCGGGAGCGCGCGGGGAGGCCTTGTTAGAGTTGCAGGTGGTCAACATCCCGCTCAGAGCGATAATACCAAAAACTGCGGTGGGGGAACCACTCTTTTTGGAGGGCCGAGTTGTAGCAACTACGGGACCTCCGCCGGCGCTTCTCGTGGCCTGCAGCCGCATGATGGAATTATACGCGGTCAGCACCATCCGTTCCTGGAAAATCTGGGTGGAGCGTTTGGAAGGGAAAATGATGCTCACTCTAACCTCCCAGCTTCGTCGCCGATGGAAGAAGTATTCGGAGTACGGCTGATGTTCGATAATTTGAACAATGCGGGTGGGAGCAGCAGTAGCCCACAAGAACAACTTGATGCCTTCTTGCCACGCATCAGCGAGAAGAAAAACGAAGATCAAGAAGAACGCCAGGGAGAGGATGTTGGCCGCGAGTCAGCGAGCCAGGTGGAAGTCGATGGAAAACAAGCACGAAGCGCCGTTTCCGTCCGGGTATTTGATGAGAACGACGGTTTCTGTGGAGTTCATGATGAAAAAGGAGCTGCAAGACCTGCGACAAAGATGAACAAGGGGTCTTTAGAAGTAATTGCACCCGGCGCGCCGGCGTCCTCCGCCTCCTCTTCGCCCCCGCCGCGCTCTTTCGAACCCGTAACCTTCGTGATGCCCGGCGAGCAGGTCATGTTCGAAAAGAGCAGAAGTGCGGAGAGTCGCAGCAGTGGAAGTAAAGACCAACAAGAAGGAGTAGGCAAACACCAAGATGAAAAGGACCTCGCCCACCCGGGGGCTGCTGCTGCGACCACGTCTACTTCAAGTAGAAATGTTGGTGAACACAAAAGCAAGAAGAAGAAGCCGAACACACCAAGAAAGCCGAAATCGAAAGTGACCATCGACGAGGAAGTTTCTTTCATGGACAAAGTGCACTTTCCCGGTCTAGACGGCAGTTCGGAGGAGGAGCAGCGAGACGATGCTGACTTGATGTCAACCCATCAAAATGGAGGAAATGGAAATGCAGGTGCAAGAAGTAATCTTCCGAAGCGACCAAATAAGCGCTCAAAAAGAGATCTGATGAACCAAAGCTTCTTGTTCGACGAAGACGATGATTGTGATGGTGGTCCAGCAGATGAGCCGCCCGCATCTCCGCCGCGGATCCGTGCCGGATGTAATGGCAGAAGAAGTTCGAAGCGCTCTTCATTCAGTGCTGGCGGTGACCAAGAAAAAGAGGAACACAACTACCCAAGTCGTGGACAGGGAGATCATGATCTTCTTCACCCGCCTGAGACAACGGCCACGGGGGCCGTTCTTTTCAACCTCCGCTCCTCGCCCCTCCGCGGGTCGCCGCAGTCGAAAATCTTTGCCCCGAGCCCCGATCGCGGCGGCAACCGTGGGCGTTCCAGCAGCAAGCACAACAAGTCCTCACTCGGCCCGCCCGGGACGCCGCTGCGGTCGAGTTTGTTGTCGCAGGTGAGTTCCGTGCAGTGCGAGGTCCGGGAGTACGAGATCAGCCGGCACGAGGAAGAAATCAGCCAGTTGTGGCGGCTGCGGTCCGCGTCGGGCAACCAATTATCGGAGGACGTGGACCCCCCGTGCCCGATTCCCTACACCGTACACGGCGAGGTCGTCGACGAGGTGTACGAGCGAAACTTGGAGGTGGAAACGCTGGAAGAAATCGCGGCGGGAGGAGGTGGTACAACTTCTGCTCAAACAACGTCGCTCGGGGCCCACCAGGCTTCTGCCGGTGATCCAAACGGCCGCACGGGCTCCTGCACTGCAGGAGGATCCTCGTCTTCTAGCTTTTGGGCGGGGGCCCGCTTTGACCACCAAGCGGCCGGTGGAACAGGAACTACTTCTGGACAAGTACAGCGCAGCACTTCTAGAAGCGGGGGCTTTCTCCACCCGTTCTTGTCCTCTACAGGCGGGGATCATGAGCCAACATGTTCATCAAATGCTATGATCAATAAGCTGCGCAATTCGGATGACAGCTTTCTTCTCGACGAGGAGAATGATCCGCTGAACACGACCGGTCTGGACCTTTTCGTCAGGTTAAACACAACGGACGATGAAAGGGAAAGCGAAGAGTTTCTAATGCTGCAGCAGCAGCAGGAGCTCCCTCCATCTGGAGGGGATCAAGACAAAACTCACGATGTGGAATTGCAGTTCTTTTCGCAGCCGGATCCGGATGCGCCGCCGGAGGAAGCTGTGGTTGTGGAAGATGTAGTTGCAGCTGCACGTGCAGACGTACCTCTAGCGGAAGTGGGAGTGGCAAACTCCTTGGACGTCGATGAAGCTGCGAATAAACACCAGATAACCAGCACCTCAAATGATCTACAGACCGTGACCGCTGGTGGGGCAGCATCTTCTTCTTCACCTCCGTTATTTCATAATGCGAGCGCAGACGGCGCTGCAAAAGCAATAGGCACAGGAGCAGGAGCCGGCGCGAGCTCCTCGAGCACGACGACCTTGCTGACCCCGGTACTGCAGAACAACAATCGGAACCACAAGCAGATGAACAATAACGGCCAGCACAGTCACGCTCTCTCGTCCGTCAACTCCAACGTGTTTTTCACCGGCGGCAGCTGCAGTTCGGACGGTTCTCTACAAAAGACGGGCAAAACGAACAAATCGCAGTACTTCTCCCAGAATTCGCAGAGGTCCAACTACGAAAATAACAATAAAGACCCGCCCTTTTCGCAGTTCTCCCAACGCTCTGCCTTCTCCGCTTTTTCCCAGAACTCGCAGCGCTCAAATGTGTTGTCGCCATCCTCTGGGGGGAGCAACCGCCAGCGACGGAAATCCGGGGTGTATCAAATGTAAAAATGTCTGGGTCTGGAAACTTGTGATGCTGGGTCGCGTCTCATGATGAGGCTGCAAATGCTGGCTCAGCATGGCAAGTTTCTGAGCTCCTAGGTGTTGCCTATTCTGCATGACAAAGTGCGCTTCTGCATCACAGAAAAACGGAGCTCTTTGGTAACGTGCATGACAGATTTAAGAGTCATGCCAGACAAGCATGACAAACATGAATTCTTCCAGACCCAGACACTTTTACAGTTGATAGGGTGTGGGAAAGACCGAACTTTCAACTGTTGAAAAACGACAGGTTTTGTATAACCCGCTCAGGTGTTACAATCTCAAACGTTACAATAGAATTTGGAAATCTGTGATGCAAGAATGCATGATCTAGCCAATTCTCATAGGATTGCGCATGACAGGTTCCGGAGCATCAAACCCCACTACAATCTGGCGAAATTTGTATTGCAGAAAGTGGAACGCTCTGCGAGTCTGTCATGCTCATCATGCAAGACAAATCTCACATTCTATTGTAACGCTTGAGATTGTAACGTTTGAGCAAGTCATATTTTGTGATGAAGAAGAAAATCTTGCTGAGAAGAAAAACGCAACTGCACCTTGTGGAAGCGACAAGGAGAAAGACGCAGCGGTAGTTGGGAGAATGAATGTAGGTGGAAAAAATCATGCCGCAACCCGAAATGAGACTTCTACGCGGAGGCTGAAGCGGCCGTCATTCATCCCTGAGATGACAGGAGCAGAACTCGATACTTCATCTTCTGGGCGGGTGGATAAAAACTTTCCCACTTTGCAATCGCCAATTGCAGCACGAGCAGGGATTGATGAAATGGAGCAGCATTCAACTTTGTTTCTTGGGAATGAAACAACTGAGGCTACAATAAAGTCGCACCAAGCAGACGCACATCAAACCGCAAAACGTGAAGAAGCAGAAGGTTCAACAAGATTTGCTGGGGGGCCTCATCAACTACATGAAGTTATACGCAGTCCAGTTGCGGCTTCAAAAGGAGATGAACATGTACAACGGGCGGACACAGAAAACATTGACGATGACGAGATGTTTTTCTCTCCACAGAGCGGGGGAAATAATGTGGAAGAGGAAAGAATCAATTCCGAAAGAAAACACGATAAAAACGACCATGGTGAGGCACTACAACTAGCGGAAGGAAAGATGATGATGAACGGCAAAGCGAAACGCAGTCGAGCCCGGTTATCCAGTGGCAGCATGTTCTTCGATAAGGACAACAATTTGGCAGGAGGATTTCTCGAAGCCCCACCTGCTCAGCCGGCATTCTCGAGAAGAAGTGTGGTGGTTGACGATGATCCACCAATTATGCGTACTTCCGAAGTAGACCAAGAAATAGATATCCACAGGGGCAGAAGTGAGCAAGGACCACAAGCACAACCGCAACCGGATGAACCGCCAGCACAACCAACCACTGCTGCTCCTCCTCCTGCGGCCTCAAGTTCATCTTCATCTTCGTCCTCTACAAGCCGTGCGGTGACGATGCTCCGGTTCTCCACGGAGCTCATCACCGGGGCAACGGGGCAGCTTTTGCAGGGCTTGAAAAAAGCCTCTTCGAAAAAGACCTCTTCCCTCAACTCCCGAGCTACAGGCGGAGGAGCTCCTGGTGGCGGTGCTGCAGACCTGCCAATTGTGATGAACGCTACCTCCAACGAGCAGGACCAAGCTGCACTATCGAATCGGAAGGACCAGAAAAAGTCCCGGTCGAGTAACTTCTCCTTGGAGCTGAGCCCGATCCGCGGCCACTCCAGCGAGCTGGAGGCGGTAAACGCGTCGCTGAATAACAGCTTTCAACTCAACAACAGCCTGTCGAGGGAAGATTCCATGGGCGGCGGGGCTGTAGCTGTACCGGTGGCGGCGGCAGGAAGTGTCGGTGCTGTGAAAAGTATTCGTGAAGCTGCTGCAGCTGAATTTTTTGAAAAGAAGCGACGTCAAGATAGCAATATTAAGTACCGGGAAGAAGTAGAAGTAGATCAAGAAGAGGGACCACTGCTTCCCGCAGCGAAAAAGCAAAAGCAAGATAGCAGCAATTTCGCGGCTCATGATATCCCGGCGCGAGAAGGTTCCTCCAAATATGAAAATGAGATAAAAAAGAAAACTGCGAAGCGAAAGTTGACATTTGACGACGTTTTGGAGGATCGGGACGAACTTTCTGCCGGAGTACTAGACGATGATCAAGACTTTCAGTCTGTCTTCGACAGCAACTCGAATGGAAGCAGGCACATTTTTCATGGAAACCAATTGTCGACATCGTTTCCACCCTGTGCCGCAGACAAATCCGCTGAGCAGCCGCAAGGCGAGATAGTACCCCACCACCGCGAGAGGACAGCGCCGGCACCAGGGGCATCATCAGCATCGCCTGCTGCAATGCCAGAAGGTCAGATTCCCCCGAACAAGCAGAGGACGAGTGTCGTCGATAAAGAGCAACAAGAACAAACATTTTCCACGACCCACCACTACCAAAAGAAGCCCCGAACTTCTTCCGGGGACTCCTGGGTGCACGCCGTGGTGCAACCGCTTGCGCAAATTGTGGTGCCTGGGGAACAGAAAGATCACCACGGGAAGATGACTACTTCTTATACCAAAAATGAATTGGCAGCGCGGTCTTCTGGAGTTGCGCCAGTTGTCGTCCAAGACAAAGAAGAAAAACGACAAGACCAGCAGAGAGACGAAGACAGTCTTGCGCAAGCACTGGTCGTACCTGGGGGCCAGCAGAGAGATGACCACCACGTCGGGACCGCTTCAAGTTCAACACCTGCCGCCATTAGTGTCACAAATCAAAACGCAGTACAAGATATCCAGGACGAAGGCAAACAAAGCCACAATGTTGACAGCACGGGCTTTCTTGCCCCTACCGACGGAATAGTGCGATGCCTCTGCGGAGTGAGGCACAGCAGCAAACGCGCCTGCTATCCCAGAAAGTGAGTTGCCTATGTGTGTTAGTGTTTATGTTCTTCATCGTCTACTTCGTCCAGTAGACACTAACTATGTTGAAGAGGGTGATGGCGTTAGCGTTACTTGTTCTACTGAAAGTTTATACCTACGTTATGCTTATGGCTACAACTGCCTCTGCTAGCTTGTTGCTATCCATGGTTTACTTTGAATATGAGGGTGACCTGTCGCTTCGGGGTACGCCGAGGGAATTCTAACGCTCACGCGCGTTTCATTCCCATTTGTTTGCATTTTATCCTACAGCCACAGATGTATTCAGAAAGATGTTCTTGCAATTCAATGCGTGAAAAAGACGACCAGCACACCACTATCCCTAGTATCGCTAATTCCTTTCTAAAATCGCGCTGTCCCTTGTTGTACTTGTACTGAAAAAGAAAAAACCGTATAGATACCTCTTGTCCTCCTCGTGGAAGAAATTGTTGCTCTGAGTTTGTGTTTGATGCCGCCTATTATACCTGTATTACAATTACTATTTATTACGTAATAAATATCTGCACGACCAGCACCGCATCATTACTGTGCTGCTGAGACTAAATCGGGGTAGAAACCGGAGTTACAATTCCGCTTTCAATACGTACAATTTATCTCTCTCCTGGCGCAACAAAAATAACTCTTGGTCTTCAGATGTCCCGAGAAAGCGGCCTCGGAGTCTTGCTTAAGCGAGTTGCCAAAACGAGTAGCAGGTGCAATTATGCTGCGTGTCAAGCCGCGTTGTTCATCTCTCGAATGATGAATAATAATAAGATCAACCACGACGAGCCATGCTATGCCATTGTCGGTTTGAGTAAGTGCTACGTGCTCCTCTTGTCCGCTGTGAAAATTTAGTGGCAAGCGCAAGATCGTCGTTGGATTGATGCACTTCGGCAAGTCGAAAATAGAGTGGATCAAGATCATTCATTGCGAAATCTTCGTACTTGCTCTTCTTCCCCGTCATGTGCCCAGGAGACCGCGCATGTAGGAGCAGGAAAGAAGATTGATTCTCAAAGGCACAGCACGATCCTGGTTTGTTGATCACAAATAACGAAGATGAAAATCTGGATCCAGATTCATCACCCCGATCAAAAATAATGGGAATGTATCCATCGATCTTCAGACCAAATCCTGCGAGGTTGCTTGGTAAGCACCGGAAGAAAATGAAAATTGTTCTCATTTTCTAGGCCGAAAAAATTATGATCCGATCATGTTTCGCAACTCTCTTCTCATGGTTCAATTCGTGTTGTCAACATTATTCGGAATTTCGTGAAAAACGCTACAGGAGGTCGAAAATCTCTAAGTAAGTACCGTGAGTAAGTAAAAATACGAAAGTTAGCTATTCAACATAGAGTCGTAAGTGAAGTCTCAAGCTCTTATTGAGTGTATACATTTGTTTTCCCGCTCCATTATACATTCGATCCCCTCGTCCTCTGTATCGATTTTGAATCAGGATGGAGCTCTATTACCATTACAACCGAACTACTGTATTACACGAGATTGTAAAGATCAACAAACCTTAAACAGAACAATGAGTTCTTCAAGCTCCTCCCTCTTGTTTCCTAACGAGCAAATCGGCGGGAGTTCGTCGTCGTCCTCCCGGCCGTGGGAAAGAACATCAAACACGCGAAGACCATCGACGACACCAGCAAAAGAAGGTGGCACTGTCATGCACGACCAGCATGACACGACACGCTATCCCTTCCCCACCCTGCACAACAGCTGGGCCCGGGCGCCGCACGACCACGAGCCTTGGAGCCACTTTCGGAAAAACGAGCTCTTTCGTGGCACGGTGGGGATGCTAACCGGGCAAAGTGTAGGTGGAGGAGGAGGGCATTCGCGACGGCGGAGCGTTGTTGGAAATAATGTTGAAAGCGAAGATGGGAAGAGGAACAACGACAAACCAGGAAGTCGTGCTGGCGCGATTGAGGACTCGGATGCCGAAATGTTGAGCTTGTTGGACAAGGAGAACGAGCAGGACAATTTTCAGCATCTTCCCGGCGGGGGGAAAAGTGGAACGCCAGCCAAACGACGCCAAGCTAATTATTCCGAACAAGATGGAGACGACGAAACGGAAACTGCTGCGCATCTTCGTGAGAAAAAGTTTGTCGCCGCCGTCCACCCGTGTCAGTTTCTTGTCACCCAGGGCTTCCAGGCGAAGCTCGACCGCTCGGAGCTCGTGTCCTTGCTCCACGAGTCGCTGAATTGTTATACTGCCAGCACAGAAAATCATGGTACAAGAACTTCGGCTCCTTCATCCAGTTCGCGTCCAGATTCCCGACGTGGCGAAGATGTTCATCCTCCTTCGATTACAACGACCTTCACGAACTTCCACGAGAAGCTGTTCGCGGCCCTATTGACGCAGCGTCCGAATTTGACGCACCTGCCGGCGCAGCAGCACCCGTTTCAGGATTTGAAGCAGACCAACAAAATCGACTACGCGGACCAGGAGCTGCAGGAAATCGCCATGCCGCTGGAGGCTTTTTTCAGTGAGTACAGCTCGGAATTTTGCCAAGTCTTGGACTGCGAGGGGGCGGACTGGGAGGGGCGACTGTTGCGGCTGTTGATGGAAGAAGATCTAGTAGATTTTTCACCCGGAGCAGCCCGTCCTCCGGAACGTTCTTTTACGGCCGTTGAAGAAAAAGGAAATGGAGCTGATGGTCGTGATACCACGCGCCGGCCCACGACGACAGCACGACCTCTTTCTCCGCTACAATCCCTCGAATCCTACGCAGATTTGGTCCAGAAGCAGAACTACTCCGATCTTGATGTACTCTCAACATCTGGGGGAACTAGAGCCAAAAGCTTTCGCTTTCCATTCTTCTTCGAAGAATGGATGGAGGCCAGGGAGCTCGTTTCGAAAAAAGGGCAGCTACTTGCAGGAGCCGGAACGAATGGTGAATCGACGGTGCACCGAATCTTGACGACCATGCTGCCTCCACACTTCCCGACAAGAAATGGTGGAGCTGAGAGTCAACAGCATCAGAGTGGTAGAACAAATAAGCCAACTGGAATAAAGAACGGTAACAAGTTGAAACTGGACATGGATGCGATTTCTTTTGGTTTTGTCCCGGCGCCGCTCTTCACGCACGACGAGAGGCTCGACGGCGATGTTGTGGAAAATCGAACTTGTGCACAAGACCATCGCGATCACCACCGCCCCCCGCTCGCGCGCCTCCAGGCCGCGCTCCGGCTCCAGGAGAAAGTCAAGCTGGGGCCGAAGAAAAACGAAAAGCTGAACCACCTCTACGACCGCTGGGCGCAGGAAAACACGGTCCTGCACTTCTCCGGCTGCGCAGATTTGGTCCGACTCTGGTGCCGGGTGCTCTGCATACCGGAGGTCGTGTTGGAGGAGGAGGTCGCGGGACGAAATGAAAAAGGGGGAAGCGGAACGCGGACGCAAACGCGAGCGCGGGCGCTTGCTGCTGGCAGTGCACCAGGAAAAAAGAGACAGAGAACTACATCAAGCGAGGACATAATAAACGATCATTCCACAACTTCGCAGCATCTTATTCCAAAAACATCGACGCGGCCCCTGGTAAATAAAGAAGTAGACAATTTCCGCCACATCAAGAACGAGAAACTGTCGATCTGTGAGGAGTTCTACCGGATTTTGATCCAGAATTTCCGCCCGGCGGACGCGCGGATCACGTTTAACAAGCAAAATTCTACGTCGACCTTCTCGGTGCAACGACTCCGCAAGCCCCAGCTCTGGCGGTACCTGAATTGCCGGTTGCTGGAGGTGATGTTGCGGCTGGAAAAGTACGAGGAAATGAAGCAGTATTTGGAAGAAACGCTGCTCGCCTACAGTGATTTATCGAAAAAGAAGCGGTCCGCGCGCTTGGAAGGGGATTTTCTCGCTTGGGACTTTTTGCTTCGGGTGAAAATGCCGGAGCTGTACTACAAAAACGAAATGGAAAAGCTGGACGCGTTTACGGCAAGCGTGCGGAGGAAGGAGGCGAAATTCTACCGGGAGAGAAGAAAGGCGGAAAAGCGGGAAAGGTTGGAACGGAAGACGCAGGAGAAATTTTTGCGGAAAATAAGGGCTGAGAAAGAGCAGGCTGAGATGGCTGCAGCCGCAAAGAATACTAATTCATCCAGATCTACTTCCCACTTGAAGCCGACTTCCTCGTCTCGTGCGGGCGGGGGCTGCTCCCTCGAGCAAAAGAAGGCGCTCCTCCCGGGAAGCAAGAACCAGAAGAAGATGACCTCCAAGGCCGAAATGTTAAAGAATAAGCGGCGGCGCTTTGAGGAAGCATCTTCATCGGATCATGATTCGGATAAAGGAAAGGTGCTTCGTTCGGATGAGCAGGAAGACAAGGCGTCGCCCGCAGGAGATGAAGATGCCTCGTTCGCAGACGGCAGCTCCGAAGATGATGGTATAATTTCTGATGCGACGGACAGCGACGCCGCGGACGATGAGGATGACCTCCAAAACGTCGAGCTGGACCAAGAGCAACTGGACGAAATTCGGGCGAGAATTTTCCGGGACCTCCAGGAAAAGCACGACCAACTGAAAGCGATCCTGTGCGACCGCCAGAAGGCAACTTTGTGTTCCCGGCTGGCGGTGTACAAACTCCTGACCCATTGGATGCCCTTCGTCGGAGTCCGGGAAGGGGAACAGGACCAGCACGGGAAGAATCTGAATAATGCTGCGGCGGGCAACTACGCAGACACGAGAGCAGCAGGACCACAAGGGACTGGACAAGCACAAGAAAAACTGAAACAAAACAAGGCCAAAAACAAGCGAAATAGAAACGGCCACGAAGTTGTAGACGATGAAAATGATGCGGGTGCCATGATGAAAAGCACTGGAGCAGCCAGCAGTTCTACTTCACACTCCTGTGCATCAGGAGTTCCCCCACCCGCCGTGAGTTCGTTCGAGTTACCGCGCACCAATCTTCTCTTCCTCGAATCCGATTCCGCCGCAAAATTCGCGTTGACGACCAACGCAAACTACAGCCACAGCAGCTTCAGCACGGAGGCGTCGGCGATGCACGGACTGACGTCCACGTTTGGGGATGAGTTGAAGTTCGAGTACTGTAAACGGTCCCACGGACTTCTCTCCTTCCAGCCCATGCTGCAGACGGGGATTTCCATCCTCCAGAATTGCGACGGCGAACCCCTGCTGATCGAATACGTGAAGACCGGGCTGAAGGAAAAGACGATGGTCGGGAAACGCAACCGCGGGCAGACGCTCGACGGCTACTTGAAACTGGTGTGTAAATGGGTTAATGCGTCGTATAATTGCAATGACAGTGGTGGAGGTCGGAAACATTCTTCAGTCCTCGAGTGGCATAAGACCACAACAACGGAGGGCCCAAAGAAGAGGAACGACGTTGTTCACGGTGCTGCGGGTGATGAAAATGCAAGAAGCAATATCCCCGCAGCTGGGACTGCGACTGTTGCTAGTTCTCCAGTCTTGGATGACTGCGAGGCAAGTCCGCTGTTCTTCCGGTGCGTCTTGAACTGCGACCACCAGGATCGGCTGGACGAGGTGCGGGAAGATTTGGAGAGCAGGAAGAAAGCACAAGGAAGAGGCCAAGCGACGGCCCTGCCTGAAGAAGAGCAAGACGACGAACTGGATGCGCTGTTTCGAGAAGATGGAGACGAACACGATGGTGACAAAAATGGAGAATCTCTCGCTGCTGCCAGCGACAATATTGACGACGACATTGAAGACGAAGAGGACGATCTGTTGGCGGACGACAACACAAAGAAAACGACGCGCAAGAAGATCGCCCCGAAGCCGAAAGCGCGGGAGGAAATGAACAAGAAGGAAATGATCATAAAAGCAGGCTCAGGTCGTGCTAACAGAATTCGCGACGTCACCTTGTGGAACCAAAAGGTGCAAGAGAAGTTTAGTCCGCTTGTGGGACGATTTCTTCTTTCGCGGAAAGACGGCACGGAAATTGAACTTCGAGATCCGGCACGAGAAATTCTGAACGGAAAAATGAGGCGGCAGCAGAAAAACAAAAACGTTCGCTCATCAAATAGTAAAATCATCGGCCTCTCTGTGTCAGACGAGGAAGATGAAATCGAGGACCACGATGGAAATCAAACCGACGTGACCGGCTACCTGTCCGACAGCACCTTTGGCACCGCAAGTCGCCTCGGAGATGACGCGGATACGCTTTATCAAGACGGCCCGCCGCGCAAGCGCCGGAAATCCGAGCGCGGTAAAGACAAGAAGCCGCGACAACGGAGGTTTTGGAAAAAACCTGGAGATGTTGACAACCTAGAGGGCGACGAAAGAGAAGAGGCCGCAAACGGCATCTACAGCCAAAAAGAACATAAACCTGCCCCTCGGAGGACCTCTGTTTGTTCCACGACGACCCGAAAATCCCCCAACGAGACCAGAAAGGACTTTGAGAAAACCGAACTGGCCTGGCTTTTCGCCGCGCTGTTGAAGTGCCTCCAAGTCCAGTCTACCACGAGCGCATGGCTCTGGGTACTGGAGCTGCTGACGAGGAAGGACACCGGGGCGATTCTGTGCAAGGAGCTGGTGCCCGATTGGTTTTTTTGCAACATCATGGTGCCCCTATCGATGACGCAGTGTGCTGTCTCTGGTGGTTCGGCAGGTGATCGTGGTATATTACCTCCAGCCGCGTCCCGTGATGGAATTCCTGCAGCAGTTGTACCAGCTCCCCCCCGTGGCAGCGGTCTCGACGCGTCGCTCATTTTCAAACCGTTCGCCTATGAAATTGAGCAGCAGCAGCGGAAAATGAAACTTCTCATGCTATCTGGAAATCAGAACAAACTGGACATAAGAAGAACTTGGAACACAGAAGTGAACCCACAATCTGTAGCAGTCGACGTCGCGCAGGTAGAGCCTGCAGCTCCTCCGATCGTGGTGCACCCGCAAAGCCGCAACAGCCGGCTATCTGTGGGCGGACCCGGTGCCCGGCGAAAAAGCCTCTCGTCGAGAAAAAGCGTAGTTGGCGCTGCACCGAAGGGGTCGCTGGAAGTTGTAGACGGAGAACTAGAATTTTTGAACGGGAAAAACAAAGACGAACATGATATCGCATTCCCTCCCCCGACACAGAACATGAACAGCCAACGGGGCGAACAAGATGAAGGCACGAGACTGACGTGTGCAGCGGGCTCAGCCACGGGTCGTGCAAATTTTGCCTGTGCTGTGGAGAACTTCAAGGGTAGTTCCTCCTGCCGTCCAAACCCGGCCTTCGTCGGGATCTACCGTGATCGGTTGGAAAGCCTGTATTGGGCGGTAGACAGCGGATCAAGGACACCAAAATCAAAAGCTGCAGTGGCAGCATCTATTTCCCCAGCATCGTCTTCAACACCTAGTACACCAGTCTCGGGTCAACACCTCGTCGTCTTCGCGAAAATCCTCCTCCTGGCGGCAGTCGGCCCCCGCAGGAGGCCTGTGCTGGAGAAGAAGAATACGAGCGACGGCCGCAGCGCTGTCAACAGGAGCTTCTTGCCGGGTCGTGGCGCTCACGATGACGGGGAGAGGCAGCTATCTCGTGCACTAGGAGCTGCAAATATACGACCTCCACCGGCGAAAACGCGATTGATGAATCTGCTGCAGCCGTTTGTAGTTCGGAGCAAAAGTTGTAGCCTAAAAACCTCTTCCAAGTCTTCAACATTTGACGAAGCAAGAGAATCTCCAACTGCAGCATCGACAGCGTTTTTCTCTACTCCGTCGAGCGGACCACAACACCAACTACTCCGTCTGGTGGAAAGCTGTTTCTCCGAAACCTGGCTCGATATACCCGAATTCCCAGCAATCTGGCTGCGAATCGTCGAAAGGGACGCGAAGCTGTGGGGCGCCAGTCTGTGGGGATTTTGTCGGAGATACTCCCTGCCGATTTATCATGATGTAGCTCTTGCAGGAGATGATGCGGCAGGTGGAACTGGAAGGGAAAGGGTTCCGGCCGCGTCCTCGATGTCTATTTCCAAGAGTTCCAAAGCCACAACCGCCGCCGCCGTGCTGCTCCACGACGAACGGCAGGTGGAGCCTACATTCCGACTCCGTCATAGCCTCATTGGTGCAGAAGCAGAACAAAACGCTCCCGCGGCTTCTTTGAAAAGAACTAGCAGCGACCTACTTCGTTCAGGAGCGGCCCTGACTACTTCCAATCAAACTTCCGTTGCAGCTGGGGGAGATCGCGGCCAGCAGAATAAGCGCAAGGTTGTTTGGGAAGAGGAGGTCCCGGTGGAAAAGAGTAAACATGAAGGGACAGAACACGAACTACCAGGAACTACACAACAAGAACTTCTGGCGGAGACCGACCACGCCGAAAGAGGCGCAGGAGAGGAGTTGTCCAGTTGTAGTTCACAAAACGACAAGGGCGGTCGCCGCTACTCGGTGTCCTGCAAAAAAGCTCCCCCAGTGAAGAAGACGAAGACGATGATCATCACGCCGATGAAAAACGCTCCCGCCGGAAAAACTCCGATGAAGCGAGGTAGGAAGAGTTCTGTTGTGGAGGTGATGTCGGACTCGAATGCGGAACCAGGACAAGCAGGTAAAAAGAAGGACGAGGTGGCCCTGGCCGCGCCGGCGAATATTGAAGTTGAGCCGGACCAACTGGCTGACGGTCACGGCGTCGCTGCTGCAGCTCGTGCGTCAGCTCAGGCTCTTCAAAACGAAAATGAAGATCCTCATAAAAATGAAAGTTCTTATGCTACCAGTATGAAAAAGGGCAAGGCCACACAGCAGGTAAAGAAAGCAAAAGCGCAAAAGCAATCGACGAAGTCGGACGGCGAAGACGAGCAAGGTCAAAAAGCTGGCGCCCTTGCACCGGAAGGGGAAGAAGTAGCACCACAGTTACAAATTTCATTTTCAGAAGCAGAAGAAGCAGCAAGTTCTACAGCCGGCGTTGACCTTGACGGCAAGAAGATGAACAAGAAGCGCACCAGAAGAAACACGTCTACACGATCTACACCTGTAGCGGAGGGAGACCTCTTCGACAATGGAAAAAAGAAAGAAATAGGGAACCGCAATCGTCAAGTTGTGCGAGATCAAGACGCGCAAGAGGATATCAAATCCAGCGCGTCTACGATATCAACATCCATGAAGCGCCGGAATAAGAAAGCCAAAATTGAACAAGAAGGACCGCAGGACGTCGTACCATCAAGATCAACGCCCGCCGCGCCATGTTCTTCAAATAAACCTCCGCTACCGGCAGACGATATCGCACATTCAGGAGGACCGCAAAACGCCGAAGATGAAAAGCGCCCGAACAGCAGCAAGCGCTTCTCCGTCTCGTGTAAAAAAGCTCCGTCTGCGACGCCCATGAAACGGAGCCGAAAAGGGTCAGCGTTCGTATCGGACGCCGAAAGCAACTACAGTGAGGCGAAGTCTCAACAACATAATACTGCAAAACCGGCAACATTGGCACAAACATCTGGACGCGGAGTAGACGAAGGAGTAATAGAGCCTGCAGAAGTATTACTATTAGGATTAGCCGACTCAAAGAAGAAGCGCCGCAAAAAAGAGAAACAAGAATTGCTGGATCGGCATGACGGAGTAGAGGTAGACAAAAAGGCCCCCCCTCCTCCGGTGGTAGTTGTGAACTCATCCAGTAGATCACAGCAAGCCCCCGCCGGCGACGAAGATGAAAATGAGAACCTGAAAAAAGGGAAAACACCAAGTACGCCAAAAGCAAAGGCCAAGGCACCTAAGGCCGCTAAGCCTGAGGCTGGGAGGGCCTCAGTAGTAGTACTAGCCGCTGATGGGCCAGAATCTTCATCAGGCGTTTCTATTCTCGCACCATCTCCGAAAAGTCCAGCTGGTGGGGTGATGAAACTGCAAGGGAAAGAACAGACGAGCGCCAAGTCAAATTCTGTTCCAGCGTCGCCGAAAGCTGCGAAGGCGAAAGCTTCACAACCGGCTGTGCCACCAATAAAAATAATGTCGGCGGGAGCAAGAAGCCGTAGTCGCAGTACCCGTGGTGCTACAGCAAAAGCTGCGCCTCCAGTGGGGGCTCCGGTCCATGAGGTAGATTCTGGAAGAAAAATGCCTCCACCCCCAGCGCAACCATCCACTCCAAAAAGGAACAAGTCTATGAAGTCTGTCAAGCTCCTGCAAGATGACGAGGCAGGTAAAAAAGCGACAGCGAAAGAGCCGGCTCGCAGCGGAACAAATGATCTTGTGGTGCCTGCTGCGCAAAACGCCAAAGCGGGTCGTCGAAGAGCAACAACTCCTGCAACGGGTATTAAGCAGTCACCAAAAGCAAAACCAAAGGCAAAGGCGAACAAGGCCACAGGCGGGGACACCGGAGCAGGAGCTGCTTCATCCGCGGATAAAAATCTTCAAGATCTTCTGGACGGTAGCTCAACACTTTCGTCTTCTAAAGCGGTGGAGCGTGAAGATACTTCGAGAAAGATGAACACTGAAGCAGAAGGAAATACGGTAGCACCAACTGCACGTGGTGCTTCGCCCGCTGGCAGGAGAGCAATGAAGAAAGCGTCTTCAACAACTACTGCAAATAATGATGATGTCCCGGCGTCTTCCAGTGCAGCTAGTTCGTCAAGTGCTTCCGCTGCACTTCAAGAAGTAGTTGCTCAAACGGGAAAGAAGAGAAACGCTCGCAACAATTCTAACGGTGGGCCAGCGGTTTCACGCGGAGGAGCAGACCCAGCTTCATCTTCCAAAAGTGACGCGACAAAAAAAGCAAAAAAAGAAAAAGCTCAAGTCGCTGCTCCCGTTGATGTTGCGGACAAAAGTTGTGAAGCAACTGCTGAGACGAATAAGAAAGTGCCAATGAAATCCAAAGCGACATCAAAGCACTCTTCAAAGAACAAATCACCAGAAGACAAGTAAACGCGGCGGCCTGGCTTATGAGATCCTAATTGGCAAGCAGCTAGAGTCGCACTCGCAACCGCAGCGGCGCTTGGTAAAAAAAATGCGAGCTTCTTTTGAAACGACAAGTAAGTTAGTAGATGTAGATGACGATGAATCTGAAATACAACGACAGAGGTGATCTAAAAAAAACGAAGAGCTTGTTTCCACTGCCGCAAATACGAATCATTGCCATTGGTGTTCGCAAAAGTGCGAAGTTCTACCTATATCAAACCGCGACGTCGGCACTCCTTCCTCTCCCGCATCCCACTTCCTTGGTCTATACGTTCGTTTCAGGAGGCGTTGTCCCCGAACATCAAAGTGGCTGAATTGTTATTGCAGTCGTCTTCGTCTAAGTTTAACTTTAAAACGAAACTTCTAGAGATAGAATCGTCGTGCTTCACTCGTATTCCGTGTTAACAAGTTGATCACTTTTTTATCACAAATCGGTATCTTCTTGATCTTCGTGCAATAGAATCTTGCCTGCAGTTCCAGGATAGGATTTTTCGTAAATTAATACACGTCCGTTTGCCGTTCGATTTGTAGCGTCGCCGTCGTGCCGTTCGTTTTTGTTCGTACCTCGTTCGTCCTAATCAACATGAAAAGGTGGTGTTTCGGATTCGGTCTTCTTCAGCTCAACCTTTCCATTTGTTCGTACAGCGTTGTCGTGTGTGATATCGATTTAGCAATGTTGACTAGTTGATCGTACAACTCGAACTCTCATCAAAAGACAATTATCACGACGAAAACATCGTGTCGCAAAAAATTCTCACGACCAGGAGTAAGATACCACATCTAGATTTTCGATTTTCTATTTGTATTTCCCCAAAATCTAAATTTCACTAAAGTGGTTGCTCGCTTAGTACTTTTTGCAAAATATGTTTTTGTTTTTCCTTTACAGCCCGAGGCGACCCCAGCCGGGTTGTTCATATCGAGCTACTAGCTCCTGCAGACATCTTTCATTTACACGACCAGCTTCTTGTTTGATTTTCATTTCTTATGTATTCCACTCAGTGGCGCCTCCCACCTGTGCGGGCTACACTGTATACAAGAACGCGGCGCAGCAGCATCACCCTCTTCGCTTGAAGAAGGACAAAACCGCCGGCGCACCAGTTCTTGCACAAGATGAACGTAATAAAGCCAGATCAGCAGCTGCTAAAAGGAGCACCTCCACGACGAAAAGCAGGAGCACGAGTGGGGTGGTCGGAAAAGATGTGGACACCGCCCCTGGGTTTCTTGACGTTGCGGAAGATGATTCTCCTACGTCATCATCATCTTCGTCCTCATTTCTTCGGGAGAGGGCGAATAAAGTCATGTTGCAGGAACAGGGCAGAAAACGAAATCGAAATGGAAAACACCTCGTCGTGGGCAGCCCTGCTGAAGATGACCACCAGCAGAGACGAGAACAGCAGGATCGGCTTCTTCAAGCGCATAATTCGGAGATTCTTTCGCAGCAGCAGCTGCTAGTACGAGAACCCGAAGAGGATGTTGACACGACAGCGACCAAGAACGCTTTAACTGCTAGTGCTACCAACTACTCGACTGTGGTGCAATTGACATCCTCAAACGCAACAATAAACGAGTCAATGCAGCTAATAGCAGGAACAGGACCTGCTTCTCCTGCTGAATCCTCTATGCAGCAAGCTTCCTCGTCTTCTAGTAGAAGCAATTCATCTGACTCTACTACTAATTCCAGTACTACTTCCACCACGACCACGACCCTTCCCCACACGTACTACGCGAGAAGAAACCTGACCACCGACCAGCACCGGACCTTCACCCAGGACCAGCTCACGCGTGTGGAGGAAAAGGTCTTGCAATTAAAAAAAGAAATTGAAGACACCGTGCTCTTGTCAACTACCAGCGAAAGAGCTACGGGGTGTCGTAAAGTGCAAAGAGACGCCAACTCCTCCGCCTCGCTGGCGCAGAAGGCAGAGCTGCTGCGAACAACTTCTCCGAGTGGATTCATGGCTGAGAAATTCGGCGTATGTAGCGACGCGAATGCCGATGGAGCTGCAACTGGTGCAGCTTCTAGCGTCGGCACTTCTAGTCCAAGAACTGCTTGCGTTCCGCTCACGGGTGACTGGGACAATTATGGAAACTACGGAGGTTGGGACTGGGACAACACTCCTGATCTCCGCAGTGACCACACTGGTGACAGTGCTGATCTTGCTCTTGCAGGACAAACGCAAAAATCCGGCGTATCTGTTCTCGGCAATTTCCACCTCGCCGCGGCGTCTGACGGGGACGGGTTTTTTGACCGGTCCGGGCTGGAAGAAAGCTACTTTGCCGTCCTACCCGCCCGCTGGCAGGTGGACGATCAGGGGGACGAATCGACATCACCCCGCTACAGCAGCACGGGGGCGCGGATCACATCGGACGGCTTGATCACGACTCGCGATCCCATGGTTATTTTTCCGGGAGTGAGCAGCGTGCAGGACGATTTGCAAGACGAAAAAAACTTTGACGACTGCGTCGCCGCGCAGGTCGGAAAAATCTTCGTAAAGCACTTCGGACCACCAGATCATGAGCTGCAAGATGGTGGGGATGAGACCTCCGAACAAGAAGTGTACACTGGACCAACAACCTACGTCGCTTACGCCAACTTCGGGTTCGCTACCACTGGGAGAGTGGTTGAGTGGCCGAATGTGGACATGAATCTGGAGGAGGCGGAAGAAGAGCAGCACACTGTGGCGTCGTCTTTCACCGAAGTTCAGACCTCCAGGAACCGCCCAGCAGCGGCTTTATTTGCAGCAGCCGCGAGTGGTCCTCCTCCTCCACCAAGCTCGTTACTAGCTGATGCATCAGCACCCGCGATGAACACTAGTGGTATTTCTAGCGCAGCAAGTGCAGTTTCGAATGCAACTTTGCCGCAAATAAGCACCTCCGCTACTTCGAGCCACGACCTCCAGGAGCGCCGTCCTCTCCCAGCCCCAAAAGCCACATCGTCGCTGGAAAACTACGACGCGCGACAAGCACCGTGGTACGAAAAGGGCCTGGAACACCGGGTCACCAAGAACGTGGTCTTCGCTATCGACTGCAGCGGATCGATGTTAGAAAGCGGCAAATGGCCCGCGGTGAAAACCGCGGTGCAGAAAGCGATCAGCTCGCTCACCCAACACGACCGGTTTTCTTTGTTTCTCTACACCGGCGTGGAAAGGGAAAGTTGGGGGGACGTGTTCTCGGTGCACTTCGTGGTTGCCACGGAGGAGAACAAACAGGCGGGGCTCGACTGGCTGGGCGCGCGAGACGACTTTGAGTCCGTAGATTTGTGGTACACGCTGCCCCCCGCCGCGTTTCTCGGGCTCACGATTGCGGCCGGGACCGGGGGACCGTCCTTTCCCGACGGCTTTCCGACCACCGCGTATCAAAGGAAAGACAAAGATCGTAATTTGCCATGCAGTAATGAATCAATGCTGATGCATAAAGAGAAAAGGTGCCCAAAATACTTTTATTTGTATTGCATAGCATGCACGATATATTTGCATTGCCATGCATGACTGCAAAAATGCGTGAATAAAGCCGTTCTTTAAAAACAGTTTTGCCTGTGATACCGTGGCGCAGCCCTGCCTCGAGGACCGGGACTTTTGCCACGCTATGGTTCTCCTAGTCACGGACGCGGACGCGAACTCTTTGCGGTTTGACGACGTAGACTGGGAGACGGACTTGCAAGCCCTGTTCCCGGTCGGGTGGAGCATCACCCTGTCGGCCTACGTCGTTTCCTATCTAACAAAAAAGCATTAGCGTTAGCGTTTTGACATTTGCTGGCGAAAGCCAAATTTTTTTTCATTCTAGCTAGTGAGGTAGCTGTGTTCCGTTCAGACAGATTCGCGCTAACTGGAAGCAGTGGAAGCAGTCTCTTCGGCCGCGGAGCGGATCGGAGATGATACCGCCAAAGATCTGGGCGACAGCTTGGCCGCGCGCATGTCTGGGGCTCCAGGGACTCCCGGCTACGCGACCTCCTGACCATGCGGCGGGCTGACAAGCCGTCGCTCCTGGAGTGCCTGGAGACCCGTTTTTGGCTCGCGGCTCTTGAGCCCGAGCAAGATGATCAAGCTTCCCAAAGTCTGGCATTAGCGTTTCTGTCCTCGGAGGTCATTTTGACCCCCCGAGCAGAGGCGAATTTGAATGGTCCACAAAAAAAACGCTAACACCAAACTTTTTTTTCCAGCTACAGGTCGTGCCAAAGTTTGGCATTAGCGTTTTTTCCTGGTACCCGAAAAAACGCTAATGCTAAATTTTTTTTTGCAGCATTAGCTCGTGCCAAAGTCTGGCATTAGCGTTTATTCCGGGCGCCCAAAAAAAGTGCGGCTTTTGTGCGGTTCGGAAAAAAACGCTAATGGCGGAGTTTGGCACGACCTAACGCTAAAAAAAAATTTTTGGCATTAGCGTTTTTTTGGGTGCCTGTAAAAAACGCTAATGACAGACTTTGACGCGACCTATAGCTGGAAAAAAAATTTCACCATTAGCGTTTTTTCTGTTGACCACTCAAATTTGCATCAGCTGGCCATCAAATCTGTAGATTTTTGATGGCTCGGCCACGAAACGCCAGTAGACACCCAAAAGAAATGCAAACCCGCATTACAATCTGCCCCGAACCTGGTCAAATCAGGCAAAAGCCCGGCGACGATGGTGGCAGCCCGATGGCGGGTGGATAACACCATCAACGCTTGGGCACTGAAGTACGGACCAACGGCGGAGAGGATCTGCAACAAAATGCTGGAGGATACGAAGGGGCGCCGGCTTCCTGTTGCACGGGAGGAGAAGGATACACACTTAGCTGACAGATGTTCGTCTGAGCGTGAACTTGCTAACTTAACATGCAAAATCGAAAAAAATTTCGCTTGTTTGAAAAAATTTGAAAACGCTAACGCTAATGCTTTTTTGTTCGATATTTCCCCAGACGCCTCGATCACGCGGTGGAACGACTTCACCACGTTGTCAAGCAACCACGGCTCGAGCTATCCCGTTCTGCTTGACTACAAGAACCAGGGTGGTGGTGACGGAACAACGGGAGGTTCTGCTACAACTACTTCTTGGGAAGACGACATGGCAGACACGATCTCGCGGTACGCGCGAGCAGAGACGCGGAAGCGGGTCGAAGTCGAGCGGGAGGCTGCGACGAACGTGACGACCTGGGTCCGGTTCTTTGACCCTTTTACCGGACGGCAGCGGTTCTCCGCGTGCACGAAAATCTTTTCTACCGGCCCGTATGCCGCCGAGGAAGAAGCCTTCCGGGTATCCACAGTAAATTTCCCGTACACGTAGACGTAGTACAAATGCTGGTGCCCCTGCATGACAAAACTTGACTCCGATTCTAGTTTAGCATGACAAGTGTCAGCACACTCCAAATTGGTGAAATTTGTGATGCATCTTGTGCATGTACGCGAAATTTGTATTGCATACCGGGAACTCAAGCACTACGCGGTCGTCTGCGTGGACGCGGCCCTCGTTCTGAAGGACTCCTTCGAGTCCAAGCTCCGGTGCCTCCCGTTTCTCAAGGCCGAGGTGGCAGCCCGGCGAGATGCTCTGGCGGCGGAGTTTCCGCCCGTCTTCGCCTGTCCCGCCTACGAGAACAAAGAGGCGCGGTGCAAGAGTGACCGTTCCGTGGATTTGCGCGCGTACCTGTACGCGCAGGAATACTACGACTACGCCGCGCAAGCTATTGTGAGGAAAAATCTCCCCACCCCATAGTCAAGATGGCGAATCTGCTAGACAAATCTGTCAGCTTTGGGTGTTGCGCATGACAAGTTTGGACTCGTAGTGTAATCCGGTTCAGCTTGTTCAGCAGCATCACAGATCTACCCTATTATGCTGATTGGAGTGCTACAAAATCCAAAAATCGCCTAGAGAATGCCTGTCATGGGGCTCCGCATGAGAAAGCATTTGAGCATGCAGATTTGCATGACAGCTATGGGGTGGGGACGTTTTTACAAATGATACAAGCCCAGCAGAGCGAGCGGTACGTGCCCGGCTTCAAGCCCTTCCGCGACGAAGTAGTGCCCATTGACCCCGTGTTGCAGCTGGTGGAAGATATGCATTGCAGAAGTATTGCATTGATAGAAATTACAACAACCCAAGAAGTTTTTGGCTTTTCAGAAGCAGGTGGAATCGAATACGAATAGAAGAATTTGTTATGATATGCTGATTTAGAACCTAAACTTGGAGTGCATGATTGCAATCAGTACGATACTTCTGCACTGGATACAAGATGCGGGCGGGCAAGTCGATAACAATGCCATCCGGGTTACACTTTCCTGGAGCAACTGCAATGACATCGATCTCCATGTCATCACGCCAAGTGAAGAGGAAGTGTATTGGGCCAACAAGGAATATGCATTGCAAGTACTATGCCTGTCTGGTGGGTCTTCTGGAAGGATGCAATTTGATGTGATGCGTCCCGCAGATGAAAACAAAAAAACTCGTTTTGCGCAGGTAGCAAAGATGCCCACTTTTGGCACTGCGAAAACGGTGGCCCTGCTGGTCATGCGGGATATTATGAATCGCAAAGCGGCTTAACGTTAACCTGGTTAACGTTAAGCCGCTATGCGATTCATTTATATTTTTTTAACTCGCTTTGCGAGTACATATCACATAAGGCCCGCCTTATGGTTAACTTAACCATAAGGCGGGCTACTACTTAGCCCGCCTTATATGAAAATATATATTTATAATTAAAACCTGTGATGTACCCTGTCCCTGTATTGTTCCAGCGGCCCTCGCGGGGCATGATCCGAAATCAGAATGACCACAAGCTTCCGCACTCATCCAGATTCAGACATATTTGCAATGCATATGGAAGGCGATTTCGGGGGCAAGCTTGACGTGGACATGAATGTTCGTTCCAGTTGTAGCCTCAGTCCCGTGGAAAACATTCGGTGGGCCCGGGACGACACCCCCCAGCCCCAGGCTGGCGTGTACACAGTCAAGGTGGTCTACTTTTCGGAAGATACTGACAATGGGGCACCCCAAGAGACGGACATTGCGGTCAACATCCAAAACGGGCGCGATCCGTTGCTGGATTACACGGCAACCCTACGGGCCGTTATGGATTGCAAATATGTCTGGGTCTGGAAGGTTGGAACTTGTGATGCGGATTCTGGAATGGGCAAAAATTTGTGTTGCATGATCGCCAAAAGCTGCCCATTTCGTGCTACGCAAATTGGGAATTTCTCATGCAGGATAGGCATCAGAAGGCCTGCGCAAAACCTGTAATGCTTTTGCGTGCATTACAGACCATTTGCATAATCCAAAGAATGCATGACAAACAAGGGTCTTCTTCCAGACCCAGACATTTTTGCATTTGATAGCCGTAAAAGCTGCGCACACATTTCAATTCACCTTCGCCGGCATGGATCAGTACACCCCGCCCCCGCCGGAAGAAATCGACGTCGGAAACGTTTTGCCCTTCGTGCCTTCCGGAAGCTTCTCCGACTTCTCCTCGGATGAGCGGCTTCAACTGTTGGAAGCGGACGAAGAAGAAGTCGGGGAAAATTTGCCTGGCCACGTCGATCTGTTTCAACTTTTCAAAATATCCAAGAAAAAAACGTTGTAGGTCGTGAGCCCTTCTTTGCAGAACAACATTCGAGATCTGTCTGGCATGTTGAAGACAGCAATAAAAACCTGTCACGTGGTTGCGCAGATAGTACGTGGACACCGACACGCGCTTAGTTGTGGGCCCTGCAATGCATGAGGACCAGCATGACAGGAGAGGACGCAATCAATTCGCATGTTGCGCATCACATCAAAGTTGCACCTACAATCTCTTTTGGTTGGATACAAAACTGCCGATGACCACTGGAACCCGTACCAACAGGAAGAACAGTGCACGACGACATATGCAAAGAAAAAAGCGCTACAGTACTTTTTACACACTGCGTTGTAGGCGGAGCGAGACAGAGCACTCCTGTCATGATGTCGGATATGCTCCTCCCGAGCCTAGTTTGTCGATGCGTGGCCTCGCTTATGATCTCTGAACTCAAATCCTAATTTTCTCTGTGTCTGTCATGCTCCTGCAAAGAAAATTTGTATCGCCAAAGATGAACCTGAAAAATGCGACAAACGCAAACGTGTAACTGTAACACTTTTTTCTCGGGATACGACGACGACGACTAGTACAACCACATCAACGACTACTACCACCACGACCCTGGATCCTGAAGATCTTGGCGGACACGCTTTCCACGAACAAGTCCCCGAGACGCGATACAATCCACCACCAAGTCTCTCGGCCTTCCGGGACATCGCACCGCTCCCCTGGCCCGACACCCCGGAGGCCGAAGCGGCTTGCTGCAAATGTACGACGTTCTTAATTGTCGCCTTGGTGTTCTGCCTCTGTACCGGGGCTGCGCTGGCGACCTACCTCATCGCTGTCGCGCGGTCGTCGTCCGAGGGAGACCCGTCGGGGGTCGTCCACCTCCCCGGGAGGAGTGCAAGGAGCAGAGGCGCAGGAGCTGACGAGAGGACGATAAGACCAGGAACAAACATACAGGGTGCGCGAGGACAGCAAGAAGCTAGGTCGTCGTCCGACAAAAATGCCGCGTTTGCAGCAAATTTTTCCTTTGGTTCCACCGGTGAAAATAAAGAAGACACTACTGTAGCGCCGAAGACAAGTACAACTAGTGCGCTGCCGGGCAAAGACAAAGAGCGCACAAAAAAAAGAAGCTCTAGGTCAACTTCTCTGCAAGAAGACGTTGGAGTTGATGACCAAGACGTGGAGGTTGTTGACTCGAGCAATCCGACTCCACCGAAAAAACCTTCTAAATCAAGTGTAGTCTCGGGGGCGAACAAGAAAAACTCAAAAACGTTACCGAGCGAGCGGGAACAGAAGAAACAAAAAAAGCGCCACGGTGTAAGCAGTAAAAAGGCCACGCAGGAGAACCAGAAAGCCAAATCCAAGAAGCCGGAAGGGGCATCGACGTCGGAGAGTGAAGAAGAAGTGTATGGCGACGATGATGAGCAGCTCTCCGAGAGTGACTTTGCGGACGTTGTTGTTGGGCTGCAAACAGGACTACAAGACGACGCTGATTTTCAAACAGAAGCAGGAGGAGGCTCTTCGCAATATTTAACATATTGAAGATTTTTACGAAAAAGATTTTAGGTGCACGAGCTGGAGCACCACGGAAGTTGTAGAAGTAGAGCGTAAAACTGCACATACAAATTTTTCCCCTGCCAAGACACACCAGATTGCATTGAATGATTTCTCCCGAAGATGAGGATGACGGGGCACGATAGGATTTGTTGTAGTTTCATCCCACTCAACTACGACCTTTGTTGTGCGACTAGGACTACTTCGAGCTCGAGATGAGAAGGCACTGACGCATTTACAAACAAACTCATCACAGAGGACTATCGTCAACGTGTATTTTCTGCAGGAGCTACAAAAAATAGCAAGTTAGCATTAGCCCGCCCACGCTCGTTCCTTCGCGGTCTGTGCTTGATGACTACAGATACGATACCAAGAACTTTTCGGTACTCGTGGAAGTTGTAGAGTCGGTTCGTGCAGCAATTTATTAGAGAAGATACTCGTGGTATTGATAATATCGTGCAAGAAGCAGAACAACAAGACGCAGTAACGTGGTTCTACGCAACGTCGAAAAGAAAAATCAAAACGTGCTCCATTTATTGCTATTGGATATCGTTCATCGAAAAAGTAGATCGGTCGCCATGTCTCGTGTCAGAACAACCCAACATCATGGTCGGTCGCTTTGATGGAACTTCACAACTGCGCCAGGTGGTTCTGCTCGGGAAAGGTGTCTCTCTGGCGGTTTCTTCATCTTCTCCTTCACCTCCTCGTCCCACAAAATATCATCACCACAGGCCCCCAACGCTCCTTGTCTAATACAACTACTATTCCATTTGATATTTTTTGCGACCACTCATTATAGCTTTCTATAGTAGAGATCCTTTCACGCCTAGATTGATCATTGCAATAGTAAAACATGTTGCCCGAGGACTTGCATCCTGGTGGTCCCTTTAGGAGGGCCATCATCAGCACAATGTGCCGCACTAGTAGACGATCATTAATACCACCATGCATAGTGGTCTGACTGAAGGATCTTTATTTATCTAATCGTCTATCAGTTGCAGTAGAGTAGTGGTCCCTCGCTTCAAAAAAATTCGTACAGATTTAGAATTACTTACGGCTCGGAATCGGTTCGACGTCACAATTCAACACAGCGACACGCGACGGCGACACGAGGAGCAACAGTTTCCTCGAATAAAGGCCTTATACTTACCTTTATCGTGAAGAGGAGGCTATCCACGATAATCGATTGCGAATACGAAGTCAAAACTCTGCTTCTGAGAAAGTTGTAGTTGTACTAGACCATCGCTTATTACTTTATTTCGACCCATATTAATTCCGTTTGAAATCACTCTTTTCGCTTGACAAACCGTACCTATTACATCAACTGTGAAGGCGCAACTTTTTGTTTTTCGACCCCAACAAGAATCTTCACAGAAGTAGTTTGACTAGAGTACGAGTAGCCCCCTCGTATTTTGTCAGCTTTCTTCACGACATTTCATATTCAATCACGATCAACACCTGATATACAAAAAAAAACATTTTCGTGGATATAATAATTAGCCCAAGAATATTATTAATCGAAAATGGCGGACCCTAACCATCCGGACATTGCGAAGCTCCCTCCGGGTTTTGTCGTGGTCCCCTCTTCGTCGCGACCCGGGCAGGTTTCTTACCTGCACAAGGCGAGCGGAAAAAAGTACATGACCATCCAGCAGTGCTGGGACGTGCACGCGGGTGGGGCGGGTGGCGGGGCCACTTCTTTCAAGATCGGCGCCCGGAAGTCCGAGGGCGGGGGGAACCAAGCGCAGTACGCACCAAGCAAGGAGCAGCTGAAGCTGATCCAGAAGGTCTTATCCACCAACGACGAGACCACCAAGGCCGGGAAGGTTTGGTACAAGAAGTACAACGTGGGCAAGCCCGGGCAGCTGAACCAGGAGGAACTACGAAAATGCATCGAGGCGCTGAACAGCGAGATTGGGTTGCCCCCGTTGAACGACGACCGGCTCCTGGATGCGTTGATGAAGAAGTTCGACACGAACAAAAACGGATTCCTGGAATTCACCGAGTTCCTCTGCCTGTACGCGGCCATCCTGCGCCGCGTGCGGGACAAATACATCAAGGCGGGGATTCGCCGAGATTTCTTCATTGACAAGAACAAAACCGGGAAGCCGGAAGACTTCTACAAAACGCTGAAAAAACTGGGCGAGGGGTCCTTCGGCCTCGTCTACCTCGTGGAGGATCTTTCCTCCCACCAGGAGCGGGTGCTATGCACTGCAAAAATGTCTGGGCCTGGAAACTTGTGATGCAAGGAAGGGAAGAGTGGAAGCACTGTAATGCGCTGCCCAGCATGATAAGTTTTTCCGTGGTTCTGAGTTGCGTACTCCGCATGACAGCCTGCGTTTCTGCATGATGGGCAAGAGGAGCTCTTCGCGGCCACGCAATACAGAGCTCACAGTCATGCCAGACTAGCATGACAGATCTCGCAATCTACCAGAGGACCCAGACATATTTGCAGTTCATAGGTGCTCAAAGTCGTCAACAAGGCGAAGTCGGCCATGCCCCCGGAGGAGCTGCAGCTGGAGATTGACACTTTGAAGTCTCTCGACCACCCGCACATTATCCGCCTCTTTGAGTACTTCGAGGACTACAACAACATCTACATCGTGATGGAGACCGCCAAGGGCGGCGAGTTGCTGGACGTCATCGAGTCGAACTACAAGGCGGGGTACAGACTCAACGAGCAGTGGATAAGTGTGGTGTATACGCAGGTCTTAAACGCGATCTCATACGTGCACGCGCGGGGCATCATGCACAAGGACCTGAAGGCGGAAAACATCATGCTTTTGGACGACGGGAACTCAGCAACACAGCCACACGCGGTCGTCATTGATCTTGGGCTAGCGGAAATGTTTGACAAGGTACTAACTGTGACACGCAATCTCGTCTTGCGAAAAAAAGGATTATACTTTGATGATACAAAAACTTGTAAGTGCTTTCCGCAAATTTTTGAGTATCAGGAAAAATGGCGTTTGTGAAATAAAAGCAGTTTTAGCTTATTAAGATGAGATGTGTCGTGGTCATACAAAAACGCTGCATCTACAAAAACCACATCACAGGTCACTGGCAAATCAAAAAATATCGCGGGAACCCCGGTTACCATGGCGCCAGAGGTATGGAACCAGAGTTTCGGCCCGAAGTGCGACGTGTGGTCCTTGGGAGTGGTATTGTACCAGCTTCTCTCTGGAAAGTTGCCCTTCATCGCAAAAACGTGCAAGAAAAAGGACTGGCTCGCAGTCTTGACCGTGCCACCAAACTGGAAAAGAGTAGAACACGCCAGTCAGCCGGTATTTCTACTTGTTCTACTTGTGATCTGCTTTATTTTCTTTTTTTATGCCGATAATTGTTTCTGAGTCTTACACTTTCTATTTGGGAAGATCTTCGCTAGTAGACCCCGCCCTTGTCAAGAATCTACAAGAACTTGTCTAAAAACACACACCAAGTACAAGTACGTAGTTTTTTTTCGTATCAACAAGAACTCCAACCCCCTATTATACATATACAACAGGTCCGCCAGCTTCTCTCGTCCATGCTTACGGTGGACGAAAACAAGCGACCCACCTGCAGCGAGTGCCTGCAATTCCAGTGGTTCCGGGACGCGCCAGGCATGAAGGACGTGCATTTGTCCGAGAACACGATGGACGAGCTTATGAAGTACCACGAGCGGTCCGACCTCGAAAAGGTGGTCCGCATGCAGGTCGCGTCCCAGCTTTCCGCCAACAAACTCCCCAAGCTGAACGCGATTTTCCGCAAATACGACGTGGACAACAACGGCACGCTTTCCATGGACGAACTGGCCGGCGCGCTGCAGGAACTGGGGGTGGACCCCGCCGTGTGCAAACGGGCCGCGGAGTCCCTGGACGTCGATAACTCCGGCTACGTGGAGTACACAGAATTCGTCGCAGGCTGCCTCAACTTCTTTGACAACAACCTGGACGCGATGCTCTGGAAGGCCTTCCAGAAAATCGACGTGGACCACAGCGGGTCACTATCTATCGACGAAATTGGGCAACTCCTCACCCGCGGCGCGGAGTTTGGGCTCGGAAATATCAGCCCCGACGCGTCACAAGTGCGACAAATGATCGCCCGACTAGACAAAAACGGCGACGGGAAAGTCGATTGGGACGAATTCAAAGCGTTCTTCACGCCAAAACTATGATAGATCTAAATCTATTTCAGAACATGTTTTCGGCTCTGCAGCGTCATTTTTTTTTTTTGACGTTGTAGCTTTTTTTAGGTCTAAGTCTATTCGGGTGCAGAAGTCTACTTGTCGTGGAGGACATCACCACACTGTGTAGTAGAAAAAAAGCACGCAGTAGTAGTTGTTCTCTGTCTGTAAGAGCAAAAATGCTTTCAACTTTTGACGATGTTGAAAATCGTACTTTAGAGCCGCAAAAATGTTCTTCTTTTCAGGAATAAGGGGCTGCAATGGTAGAATTTTACCACGTACTATTAATTTTTTTGATAAAGAAAAAGACAACAATCAACACACTTCTAGAAATGAAAGAAAGCGCCAGCGACTCACTTCTCCTTCAGAAAGCCACCGTAATTATTTTGTTTTCCTACTCCTTCGTGTAGTTCTAGTTTAATACCATCGCAATGTACAATAACTTTGTGCGCTACTAGTAGAGCATACGAACGCGAACCTCGACGAAGCAGGGAACAAATTATGAAAATAAAAACTCCGATCGGAGATGAGCTTTTTGTTCGAAGTAGAGAACTTCTAGAACAACAGAAAACAGCGGACAAGGACTTCTTTCGCGACACACGAAAAAAAAACAACACGACCCGAGAAGCGAGAAGAGCAGCAAAATACATTCCAAACGTCATCCCCTTGACATGATGCTCCTCGCTTGTTTTTTGTGATAATTATTCACGCATAGTTTTTTCGCACTTGAACTTGTACTCTACATATAGATTTACCAGCACAAAAAATCCTTCCGCCCCTCCCTGGGAAGAGGTGGAAGTATTAGATAGAAGGCTTCACAGTACTCCACCTGCAGGCGATGTCGAATCTTTCCGAAAGATAATCCACCACACAGCAAGGCGCAGTGCGAAAGGATTGTACTTGCGTTATCCTCGACGAGCAGGAGGAGTTTACCACTGCTGGAAAAATGTAGTAGTTATGAGTAAAAGTTATATGACTTGTGTTTCACAATCACATACAATTTCGACGTACTTCCCCTGCTGAAGTACAACAACCGTCTTTAATATTCGTGTTTATTCAATTTTTACCACTTTTCATACACATACACATTCACATACCACATTTTGCTGTACTAAAAAAGCCAGCGCGGCAGAATCTCGAGTACCATAATGTATCTGTCAAGGAGTAGGATCTAATTCTACCTTCGGGTCTTTCATTCCATTCATTGTCGTCTTCTATTCCCGCCAGAATATTAACTCTTGACTGCTGCTTCAGTACAACCTGATATTGTTCATCGATCTTTAGGTGCGCAAGAACGACCTCCGTAAGTAGCAGTCATGGTGGGAAGGTGTCGAACAAGAAGAACATAATATTTTTAGGCTCTCCAAAGCTACAAAAACACACGACCAATCTCACCTTCGGGAACAAGGCAACCTTCGGGAACAAGGCAACCGAGATTTTTCCGCAGGGACAGCAGCCGGCGTGTTCTCTGGCGCAGGTTATCGGGGTAGACTACCCGCGTCTCGTTCTGTCCAAATATGGGGGCACATAATAGCAAGCGTGGGGAAACAGACAGCAGCGTCGTGCTCTTGAGGGTAGTCGAATCCCGATAACATGAAGCCTATTTCTTGCGCCAATTATTCGCAGTCCTGGACCCGAACTGCCCACGCAGGGCAAAGCTGTAGCTTTTTCGCCTGTTGCCCCTATTCTGGCGCCCGGTAGTGCAATGTGCCGCTTGGGTGTAGTGCCATATCGGATATTTGTGCCCCGGACTTTGGAAGAGTTGTGTTGTCTTGTGGTTGCTTCCGGGTGGGTCGCGACCTAGGTCGCGACCTAGGTCGGAGGTCGTGTTAGTCCTCTGGATCCTCATGTTTGACATTTGCCAGAAATTTGTTTTCTTTTTGTTTTCCTTGTGTAGGAAATTTGTCTGGAATTCATTTGGAATTTATCTGGAATTTGCCAGCCACGACGCTATGACGAAATTCCCGAATTCTCTTAGCGAAATTCCAAAAAAATTCCAGACAAAATCCAAAAAAAGTGCTTCGAATTCCAAAAAAAACCCAGAAAACTCCAACGAAAAAGCCAGCAAATTCCAAGCAAATTCCAAAGATTTGCATTTGGAAGGCAGGGGGTCCCGCGAACGTAGCCAGGGGCCTCGCCAAGGAAGGAATCCGAAAGGGCAAAAAGAAAACTTCTGCGTGGTCCTTCTGGCGTATTCGCCGGCCACTGGCGCAGAATTTGTGGCCCTTGTCGGACCCCACGCATATGGTAATACTGAAGGAGAGGCGCTGCATGGCTTCCGACTGTTATTGCCCTGAGAGCCCGCGAAGCTTTATCTTGGTGCGAGTTGGCGCTTACGCGCTCCCCCCGGGTATCGTTTCTGGCCCATGACACAAAATCGGCGCACCTGGAAAAAAGGGCACGCCGAGAAGAAAAAATACACAAAGAACGGCTGGGGGCCAGGGCGAGAAAACATCGCGCAGGTCTACCCAATGGACCAATGTTGCCAGGGCGAGGGACGTAGCGCCCTGCTGCCAATTTTCGAGACGCAAAATTCCACGAAATTCCGCTTTTAGTTATCTCATCGGAACGCGTCGCAGTGAAAAAACACACGACCAATTTCACCTTCGGGAACAAGGCAATGCCCTGCAGCCTCCCGCCCTGCAGACTCCCGCAATACCGCCCTCCCTCCGACGACAAGGGCGCCTGCAGCCTCCCGCCCTCCCTCTGGCCTTCTGGCCGGCCCCGGTATTGCCGTCGGCGCGCTGCATTTTTGGCAAGCGCCAGCAGTTTTCCCCCAGGCCCCGGGCATTTTCCGTGTGCTTCCGGGTTGCTGCGGGCAGGCTCCCATAACTTGCGGCGCGAGAATGATTCTCGTGGTGGGCTTCGCATCTGCATGAAATTCTTTGCCATTCTCGCGCAAACGTAGTGCTTCCGCGAGAATGGAGAGGCGTTTCACGTCGAAAGTTAGGCCCTATATATGGGGAAGGGGCTTTGAACGGATTTTGAACGGAAATTGAACGGAGATTTGAATTTCGTTTTGAAATTGGCGGGGAATTTGAAATACGTTTTGAAATTGGCGGGAAATTTGAATCACGTTTTGAAATTGGCCTGTGGGATGAATTTCGTTTTGAAATTGGCCTCCCCCATAAATGACGCTTCGAAATGTCAACCGGGGGCGAAGCCACGCTCCGAGCCTAGGGCCGGGGCCACTCGACCGCCAGCATGCCTGAAAATTGCCGCCAGGTAGCCCCCACAGCAGCAGCGGCAAAGGTATTCTGGAGGCGCGCGCGCGTATTATTCATCTTTCATTCGCCAGCTAGGGCCAGCAATAAATGCCGCGCGCCCTCTGTCCTTCTTCGTGTTTTGGCAAAGCGCATCGAAGCGCGAAGGCCTGTGGCATCGCTTGGAGTGGATGGCTGGAAGCCGGACAACCTGGGGCCACTGCGCTTGTGTGGTCGTCCACGCCGACCAATTTCACCTTCGGGAACAAGGCAACCGAGGACGTCCATGCGATTAGTGGTGGGCCCGTCATCAAATAGAGCGAAGGAGCCAGCTGTTGTCGCCGACTTGCCGGCGCGCCCACGCTGTCCCCCGCCCCTCGTGGCCACATGCCCCCCAGGCCGGCGCCGCCCTCCTCGCTGGCCCACTACATGTGGGGCGCGAGTACTCGGCTCATGTGCCCGAACGGCCCGCGCGCGCCCCACCGCCTACCCATGCAGGTTCGTTGGGGGCTGGGAGGCGGCCGACCAGGTGGGGGCCCCGTGCACCAGCGGCCAGCGACCTCCACCAGGCGTGGGAACCTGGCCCAAACACATAGCGCGGGGGATCTCCGTTGCGCGGTCCGCCTGTATTCGGGCCCCACACACTCGCGCCACCGCCCCGCGCGGCGGACCGACCTACCCTGCACAGCCAAGCAACTGGCCGCCCACCGACCGCGAGCAGCCGGCCGGCCCACTCCACGTAGCTGCCCGGCTTGCTGCGGCGCGACCAATTTCACCTTCGGGAACAAGGCAACCGAGGACGTCCATTTTTGACCTGTCTTAGACTGCTTCGTGTTCTTCGCCGCAGGAACTAACCTGCTGCAGCTCACGGGTCGGCAATGTGAATGGATGTCCACATCATGCTGCTGAAAGATAATCTGTCGCATCATCAACAATATGAATATCACCATCATCGTCTGTTGTATGGAAAATAAAATCATAATTTTCGCTCTTCAGAGTAGGTCGTGACGGATTTTCATTTTTTAGGTACTAGGGTGGGTATGGGTTGTGATCGAGAGTAGGTGCCGTGAGGGTGAAGATCGTCTTGTTGTGTTGCGTTGTGCTCATGATGATTCCGAAGTTCCAGTGAGGTCGAAGAGAAATTGAAGGAGAAAAAAGAGAAACACGATTATGACCCGTCTTGGTGGATCACATCATCGAATCAGGCAAACGTGCGTTGTACACAAAAAAAGCTAGAAGTTGCCTGAGGGACGACCGGGTGCCTTCGTCATGGCTGCTCAATTGCTTGTGCTTCATCTTCACCAAACGTAGGGAGAACGAGAAAATTTTGTTCCGAAGGCGAAGACGAAATAAATATAAAAGACGTAGAAAAACAATTCCTGTTCAGAATGTCCTCTTCCTTTTTCGCGCAAATGGCGCTGAACAGCAAGCCAAAACCGGTCAAAAAACTGGAAAAAACCAACATTGAGAAGTACAAGGCGATCATGCTGATGAAGCAAAAAAAAACGGCGTGCAAGGATCACACGGGCAGCAGCTCCTCGGCCTTGTCTCTGATCTCCGCTTCGGTGGGTCCGAACGCCCTCTCCCAGCGTCCGCGGGTTTTGTCGCTGCAGCACTCGGAGTACGTGCTCATCTGTCCGAACAAGCATCTGACGATCGCGGCGGCGAAACTGAAAACCAAGGAAGATTCGGAGATCGAAAACATCAACCATATGAGAGTGTCAGGATCGAAATAATCGAGGACAAAGTTGAAATAGTTGGCAACGCATAAAGTCGATACCGCTTGTAAGTAAGCTGCCCAGTTTCATCTCACATTCATCTAAGCGTCGCATGACAAAATAGCATTTGAAGGATGACAAACTTTTTCAACTTGGGCAATTTGAATTTCAAGCCTGACGCTACTTCCATAAGCCAACAGCTGGCGACATTGCGGCATCAGATCGGCGACTTAACCTACTGTACCTGCGGTGCGGCCACGCCGGAGAAAGCGATGTGCAGACCCTGTTTGAAGCTGCATCAGGACAAAATCGAGAAACTGGAAGCGCAGCGGCGGACGTGGTACTCTCGCAGGAACCGGGCCGTGGCTTTGACAAAAAAGTAGGTGTATTTTTGAGGTGAAGACCTTAAAGATTAAGTATACAACTACGTGAACCTCGTCAATGAATCATGAAAATCCCAACGGCGACGGGAAATTTATGAGTAGCACATCAAACAGCTGTTCTCCAATCGCGCAGACTGGCAAATATAACGTAAGGCGTAAGAGTACAACGTAAGGCGTAAGAGTAGTCTTCAGTATGTATGATTGATTCTACAAATTATAACAATAACCGTATGCGAAGCTCAGGTGCGTCGTGTCAAAAAACAACTTTGTTGAATTTTGCAATTTTTCTGGCTATGAGCTCGTTTTCTATTTCTAATGTAGCAGGATGCGCGTAATACGCGAATTCACCTTCTACCCCGCTCGACTGAAAAAAAAGGTTGAATTTGCAGGGTACTCGTATCCGAAAAAATAAAATACAAACTTCAGCGCCGCCTATGAAAAACCGCTGTTTGCCCTCACCCGCGGTTTCCAAGAACTTCTCTTTTTCATCTCTTCTCTATCTGAATCAACGGATGTGTAGGCTACTTTCTTGCAAATGAAACTGCTAGACCTACTGAGAACTTTAACTTTTGTTTTCTGAATCCTTTTGAAGAAAAATCCACAAGCCACAAAGAAAACGGCTTCGCTCGTCACTGCTAGAACGTAACTGCTTTTCGTTCTTGTTCTTCTTCACCGATGTATTTAGAAGTAAACAACATGTGAGGAACGGGGCTGGATGAGCGGATCTCCAGAGGCATTATCGTTTTCATATGCCTGCCTGTAGAACTAGAAGATGATCGTACCAACAGCATATTAGTAGGTACTATTTGGGAACGACAAGAATACAACTTGGGCGGCCGTCGAGAGCTGTAACCCGAGCGGTCTCTTTCAACCTCTCCTGTGAAGAGCTGCAGGACCTGCGCGAATGAATACCAATACTGTGGTATTCGTATTCCGGAGCCGCAATTATTGTGAGAGAGCTGAGAACTGGAGACGAGATATGAAGAACATGTGTGTCGTGGTTCTTCGTTGGCGTCACTTCCTATTTGAAAAGTGTTTTTGTTTCTAGTGGTTCAGTTCTGTAGGGGGCTTAAGAATAGGCGGTCGTGCCCGGAACGAGGAGCTCTGGAATGACACACGAGAAGTAGGCCGCGCCAACCTCTGCAAAGACAGAGAGGCCGACCTGAAGAAGAAGTACTTGCTCTACCACGTAAAATAAAAGCAGGCTGGGGTCGAGCTAAAGCAAAAACAAAAAACCATCATGATGTCTTCTTCCGTTTCTCCGGTCAAGAAGAAGAACGGCGGCAAACAGGGCCCGAAAATCCAAGCGGGGAATTACATCTCCAAGATGGCGGCCAAGCCCAAGCCGAACGCTTTCCAACAGCAGAAGCAAGTGGTCAAGCCGCCCTTGTTCGAGAAAACTCCCAAGTACGCATTGCCATAAATACTGTCGGGGTCTGGGAGGGTGCCAGAGGACTCGTCATGCTGAACTCGCGCAGAACAAAGTGCCACCTCTCCTCGACATCACAGCTGTACTCCTGCATGTTGCGAAATAAATAGCGCTATGCAAGCGACGGCGCGCAGTTCCTGCTCATGCGCGCTCGACCTAAACTAACTACAGCACTAGAACAGCAGTAGAGAAGTTTCTCATGCGTGGCTGCGTAGTAGAGTCAGAAGTTCGTCACTCATGATGTACTAGCATCACAAATTCCAAGACCCCGACAACATATTTGCGCGCGATACCAAGGACAGCGCGGTGATGGGCAGGAAGAAAAGCAACATGCTGAACATACGACCTGCTCAGGTGCTACATTTTTGACTTTCTCCGATTGTAGTTTGCGAAGTACAATAAACTCTGGAGCTGGACTTTGTCTTGCATGAATAAACGCACTAGGGCCATAAAAAGCCTTGCGCTTTTCGCAACGCAAACCTCGCCGGGTTCTAGGATTGATATTTGATGCTCCAGAACTTCTTGTCATGCGAAATTATGATTCCAGTGAGAGCAGGCGCAGACTGACCACCAGAGCCGTATCATGCTAAAATTTTGGATCATGAACCCTCTCCCTCGCGCTGCTCTCCATTGTTGTTGTAAGTTGTATCACTTCTTGTGTTGAGATTTTAGCACCTGAGCGGGCCATAGAACAAACAGGAAGATGTGTTTCTCGCGGCGATGTTGGGAGCAGGTGGCCAAGAAGACGAGAAGCAATCCATCTACAAGCCCCGACGATTGTCCGTGAGCAAAAGCTATGGATTGTAAAAATGTCTGGGTCTGGAAGAGTCATGCTGTTTTTGCATGACACAGAAGGTCTGGCATGGAAGCTCTAGCATCACAGGTTTCGAGAAGCTTCCGCAATGCCGAACCCGCATGACAAATCCCTGACTTTAGTGACAGAAGGTGGGCAGCTTTTGCTACGTTTGCATGAGAGACTTTCCTGTGTTCTGAAATACGCATTACAAGTTGGATTCTTCCAGACCCAGACATTTTTACCGTTCATAAAAGCAAGAGCAACAGTGCCGCAAACACGCCGAACAAGGGCGGAAACAAGAACATGTCGAAGCTGGCGGCGCCGAAGAACTCCCTGTCGACTATGTTCTCCTCCAACTTGCAAGAAGAAGACCAACTGTCGGTGAACATATCAAAAGGAAAAATCCCCCCTCCCCATATCAAAAAGGAAATCTGTGATGCTGGATTTGCGCACACAAATCAGATTTGTATTGCAGGAAAGCATTGCGGCCAGATCCCCGGGCTAGGGAGGGGCGTATGGATCTAGTTGGTCAGCATTGCAAACGGCTGACCTTTAGGCGCAACAGCATGACAAATCGCATCCATAATGGGGCGGAAGCTTCTGCCCTTGTCTTCTTGCAAGACAAATGTGATTTGTGACCTCAAATCAGCAACACAAATTTTCGGAAAGATACCTTTTCGATATGGGGAGGGGGGATTTTTCCTCTCAATAGAACACGAAGGGCAACAAGTCGAATGTCGAGAAGTATCACAGGAAATAGTGTTAACATGAACGGCTTTATTTGGGCATTGCAGTCATGCATGACAAATTTTCGCTACCATGCATGCTATGGATGCAATACAAATTTGGACGTCATTTCTCGTGCACGCCTAATTGCCAAACTCTATTAACGTTAACACTTTTTGGTGTGATAAGAAGTATAAGGAAATCATGATGATGAAGCAAAACAAAACGGCGAGCAAGGACGATGAGATCAAAAACAAGACGGGTACTAGCAGCTCCTCCGCCCTGTCTCTGATCTCCGCCTCTGTGGGCCCGAACGCCCTGTCCCAGCGCCCGCGGGTTTTGTCGCTGCGACACTCGGAGTACGTGCTCATCTGTCCGAACAAACATCTGACGATCGCGGCGGCGAAACTGAAAACCAAGGAAGACTCGGAGATCGAAAACATCAACCATATGAAAGTGTCAGGATCGAAATAATCGAGGACAAAGTTGAAATAGTTGGCAACGCATAAAGTCGATACCGCTTGTAAGCTGCCCAGTTTCATCTTAAATGAATCGCAATCATCTAAGCGTCGCATGACAAAATAGCATTTGAAGCATGATAAACTTTTTCAACTTGGTCAATTTCAACTTTCAAGCCTGACACTACTTCCATAAACCAACAGTTGGCGACTTTGCGGCATCAGATCGGGGACTTAACCTACTGCACCTGTGGCGCGGCAACGGCGGAAAAATCGATGTGCAGGCCGTGTTTGAAGCTGCATCAGGACAAGATCGAGAAACTGGAAGCGCAGCGGCGGACTTGGTACTCTCGCAGGAACCGGGCCGTGGCTTTGACCAAGAAGTAAAAATTATATGAAAAAGCACGAACTCATACCCCTCGTGCTCGTCCCGCGCCTCATTTGAAGAAGGGCATGACGAACCGCAACACAGACAACGGCAGAAATGGGCTGTCCCGATGACAAATCTGCATATGGTTTCAGGCGGTTCCACAATTTGTTATGCAAACAGTGTTTCGACGCATCAAGAGTTGGTGTGCTGCTCTCATCTTTCGCGTTCTGCATTCGCACTTCAGGAGGAGGCGAGGGGATGGGGAAATGTGCATTTTCATAAAAGATGAAATGGAAGCAAATCGAGATGAAGATACGCCTAGGCATTAATATAGGCCTAAAAAAGGTAAAATACGTAGAAACAGGGCTACATGAAGAGATTGGAACGTGTATCGCAAAAAGAAAGAACAACGGAAAGCTTGAGCGGCTGAGATTTCAAGAAATACTCAGAAAAAACGATAGAGTACAGAACAATAGATCAAAAACAAAGACAACCAAAAAAGTATGTCCAGGAATTGATTCTCCGATGTTGGCGAAGGCAATGCTGTATTTTTTTCAACAGACAGAGACACCAGGGTAGAACTATTGGCAACTACATCTTGGTTCTTGTTTCAGTTTTGAATTTGATTTGGCAATAATTGTTGAAGTTTGCTCTCAATCTTTACCCATAAGAAAATGCACTACACTACACAAATTGAAATAAACTATGACCGAGCGACATGTTGGTAGGTGGTGTTTGGAGGTCTTGTGTTGAATCCTCGAAAATTTTGTATGTCGATGAAACAGAATCTTTCATGGGGATCTGAATTGATATCGATAAAAGAATATCATATTTAGGAATTCAATTGATTCTTTCCATTTGCACCAACCAATTCTTACCGATAGATTCTCGACCATAAAAATATCAATCGATTCTCTTTCGAAATTGGAATCTAATCATCTATTTCTCATTTGATAAAATGAGTATAAATCAGAAAAATCGAAATCAAGAGCAGAAGAAATCGATAATTTCTTTCTTTCTTTCGGTTCATGTCTGGGTATGTTTCATGAGATTATTCTGAAAATTAATAATCAGAAAAAAAAATGTAGATAATCGATTCAATTCATGATTTCTATGAGTTCGAGATCATAATGTTCTGGAAATCCCATGAAATCGATCTGTTCGGGATAATTTGATAAAATGAAAAATCCATAGATTAATTGTAAAGATCCATCTATCCGATTCATGATGGAATGATTTCCTCTTTATCAATTTTAATTTCTATCAATGAATTTAGATTTTCGATCAGAATCTGGAAATTCTCGCATAATTTCTAGATATGATCAGGATAATTCGATTCCCAATTACATTCGAAAAAAATATGAATAAATATGATGTTTTCCGAATTCGAATTTCCGATGGGATTCGATATGGAAAAAGAAAAAGATGAGAGAATGAATGACAGGAAGATAATCTCGGATCGGATCTATATTTATACAAGAAAATGGGTCGCCCTGAAGGGCGACCCTTTCTTGAACTTGATTTTTTTGCATAAGCATGATCATTAGGATTGTTGGGCTGGGCTTCCTGGGAAGGTTACAAAGGAAAACGCCTAATTGGAAAGGGATAGCGACTTTTCCAAAACTTTTACTTTGACTTTTGGCAAAGTCGCTATTTTGATCGTCGGCAATCCATGCTTTGCGAAAATTGTTTGGACCGTGCTGCCTGTTGCTGGTAAGTCCGCACTTTGGGAGTGGCAGAGCATGAAAGGGCGGCACCTCTTCGCCGCGGCGTGTGCCCGCCAGCTGCCTCCCATTTTGATCGACGCCTCCAAGCAGGCTGCGGGAAATGCCACCCGCCGCGCATCGGACGGGCAGCGCCTCCGTGGTCGGTTGTTCGCGATTATTCGCGAGCGCTGTGGGGCCCTGTGCGCATTTTGTGCACCTTTTGAAGTGGTGCGCGGGCGCTGGCCTTTGGCCTTTCAGTATTCGCCCGGATGTTGATCGCCGCCTCGCGCTTCGGAAATGCCGGGGCGCGTCGGCCCTCTTCGCCCTGAGCGCCTTTTAAATAAGCAATGGCACTGGCTGCCACTGCCAGGGCCCGAAACCGAATGGGCGCGCCGCCCCGCCGCGGTGTCTTGGATGGCACGCCGGCCGCGCGCTGCCTGTCCTACGTACCTTCGGCCCCCTACATTCTGGCCCGCCGCTTGCCCATTCTTACAAAATAGAGGCTGTCGCGCCCCGGCAGTCTGTTTCCTGCCCGCCTTTCCGCGGTTACGCGACGCGACCGAAGCGCGCGCCAAAGGCGCCCCCCTTTTGCAACCAACGGGCAGAGGCGGTTCCTCCGCTCGTCTCGCTAGCGGTGGCAGAAGTGTCAAGGGCCTGCGGTCGGGGGGCCACCCCGATGGCCGGCGCGTGATATGGGTCTGTGGCGCGCTGTGGTGGCGCCACCTGTCTTTTTCGGTTGCCCGTCTATTCTGCTTCGCCTGCTTGAACGAGAGAAGCAAAGAGGCAGCATACCATGCGGTCCGACGTCGGACCGCATGGTATGGTGCGCGATGGTGGGCCAGCCTCACGCGCCAGGCCGTCCGTGCGTGCGGCATCGCGTCGCGATGTGGGGCCGACCTCCCCCGGTTGGGTGGGCTTCCCCGGTGGGGTGTTCTTTGGTTCAGGAAATGGATAACGCAACTCCCCCGGGTGGCCCGCCCCACAAGCGAGCCGGCGGGCGGGGGCCCCGTGGCCCCTCTGGTATGTTGCCCTCCAGCACGAGCCTGCGTGCCTGGGTGGTTTGCCTTCTCTTGTAGGATGTACCGCAGCGACCCCGTGGGCCGGCTGTATCTCTGCAGCTTTCCCGACAAGAACCGCCAAAAACGGCCGGGGGCTTGGGGCGTTGGCTCGCGTTTTTTCGCATGTTGAAGATGAAAAAAACCCAAGCGCGCCCGCCTATTTGGTTTTGTCTTACTTCAATGAATGCAGTCGCCGGTGGGCTCAGTCGGCCGCCGGGGGAAAGACTGTCTGAAAAAATGACGTAGGGGGGTCGGCAAACGTGGCACCCTTCTCAGGCGCCGGCCGCGTGCGATTCTGGCGCGCGACTTGGGGCGCCCAAAAGGGCGCCCCAAAAAACCCGCCCGAAGCCAGAACAGCGAAGCCGTATGGCAGGGCCGCGAAACCGGTCGCGAATCGAAAGCGGCCGCCCTTTTGCCGGGTTCTCAGCGGGGGGGCGCTAGCTTTGCAAAAGGCGCGGGCGCGAAAAATAATAAACAACGCAAAAAAGAAGAAACGCGCCAAGCGCGCGAAGCCAGCCCGCATTCTATGGGCCCGCTTTTCCTTCGGTTTTTGGGCGCCCCCCGCGGTGCCCGGGTCGGCCCGATAGCATCGGGGTTGGCTTTCGGGAAGGCGTTTTGGCAAGTTGCCCAATGTCTGCCATTTTCCCCAACCGGCCGCCATACCGTGCGGCATAACCTTACCCACCCCGGCACGGCGGGCCCAGAAAAAACAAAAAAGTGGCGTGGGCCAAGGTCGGCGGGCAAAGAAGCGGCGCCGGCCTCATTATCTCCGCCCCGGCGGCTATATTTGGCGCATTGAAGTAGGCGCGCAGCACGCCGCGCGGCCCGGCCTCGCACGTTCGGGCCGCATGGCGTGGCGCGCTTCGGTGGAGCTGCCCGCGCCTCACGTTTTTGCGTGGCGCCCTTCTTTGGGCGTTAGCTAGAGGCCGTCCGGCCTGCCCCTTTCTCTTTCATATTCGCCGGCCCCCCGCACTTACATACATACAAAGCGGCGAGACCATGCCGCCGCTCCAGAGTGCTCCGCCTCGGTCGCGGCGGCCTTGCGCGGCCGGCTTTTCGCGAGTAGAAAGGGCGCCGGCGCAGCAGGGGCGCGCGCGGGGCGCCACTCACATGTTGCCGCGCCGGCGCGCGCAATAAGTTCGCCCAGGAGGCTCTGTCCCCATTTTCGGGGAGGCCGCCTCAGCCATGTAGAAAAGGGGGGGGGCAGCGGGATTCTTCGCAAGCCTGGCGGATGTGCAAGCCTTCCGGCTTTTCGGCTTTTGAGGGCGCGACGAAATCTTCTGCCTGAGTGCCGAAAGCCTGCCGAAAACTTGCCGAAAACTTTCCCCCGAACTTTCCCGCTTCGGGATCATTTTTGGACTCGAAAACTTTTGGTTGACTTTTCAACTCCCGGTCTGTAACTTTTGGTCGACTTTTAAACGGGAGAATTTTTCGGGAAGGTTTCGCGGAAGGTTTTCGCCGACTTTTCGGGAAAGTTCGGGGGAAAGTTTTCGGCAAGTTCTCGGCAAAGTTTCCGGCAGAGTTTTCGGTAGAGGGGCGGAAAAGCTTCGCCGCCCGGCGCCTGCCCTTTGTTCCTGCCCGCCAGCCGGGCCGCCCTCGGGCGGCTGCCTTGCGCCCGAAAAGAGGCAGGCACAGCCCCCCGGCAGGCACGCCTGCGGTTATTGCGCACGGGCGTAGCCAGGCAAGCGGCCGGCCCCGCCCCGGCGGGCGGGCGGCGCTACGTTGTCGCATGCGCCACCGGGCAGCGGATTCACGCCCCGGGGGCGCCGGTGCGCGTGTAGCTTGCTGCGAACCAAGAGAGGGCGCCCGGGCTTCGGCGTTTGCTACCGACCCCCTGAACTTGGCGCGTTGCGTCGTTCGGGGCGCGTTCGGGGCATGCGCTCCGCGTGCTCCACACTTGCGGCGGCCGGCGGGCTCTTGGGGGCCCGGGCGCCGCTGGAGTTGGCGTCGGTTTGCCCAAACCCATAGACGGAAGGAACACCCGGCCCGGCCGCGCCATTCCTTCGCCCCCCCGCCCGCGACCGACCTAGACCGGGGCCACAATGTGCCGGCCGGCAGCAGCCGCGCGGGCGTGGCGCCGGCGCACTGCCGAGCCCGGGCGGGGGAGGCGTGTTATTGGGGTGCCGAAGCGATTCCGCCGCCCGCATCCGCCAGGCGCCAGCCGGCCGGAGCCGGCCTGCCTGGGGGCCTCCCACCCTCTGATATGGGGGGGCGCCTGCATGTTGGGCCCCGCCGGCCTGCCTGCGCGCCTGG